CCCAACCCCAACCCCAACCCCAACCCCAATCTATTTATTAATAAAAATAAAATAAAACTGAAATATCAATTATAAATAAATAAACAAATACATTTTAGAATTAACAAAATTATAAATATAAAATTAAAAATCAAAAGTAAAATAACTACAAATCCATTTTATAATTTTTTTGATCATTTTAAATTAATTAAAAGATTTAAATAAATTTAAATTTTTAAAAAAGTAGATCAGCAAAATTATATGTTCATTAATATTGTTAACTTAAAAACAAAGAACGTTAATTTTAATTTTGAAGTAGAGTAAAGCCAGACGTATTTTTTTTGTAAAGGACAAAGTAAGTTGAGAAGTTAAAATAAGTTGGGTATCAACATCAGAAATAAAAAATAATTATTAAAAATAGTTTAAAATAACTGATTTTTGTATTAGAAAAATGTTAATATCTCATATTAAGTTGCAATTATCCTAATTAAACTGCAATAAAAAATACTTATAATTTGTTAAGAAAAGAATGTCAAATTAAGTATACATATTTTATGTAGGTCTAAGTTTAATTAAAATATTTAACTAATTGTATTTGATGAAAAGATTTAATATTCTAGAAGAAGTGAACAGAGAGATAGATATATTATGAAATCAAAATATGGGATTTATCAAAAAAGAAATTTAAATAATTTACTTTATAAATTATATCAATTTGTATATGACATCACAAACTAAATAAAGGTTTATTATATTGCAAATTTTAAATTTTCAAAAAGATTACATTAATTTAAATCTATGATAAAAACTAAAGGTGAATTTTTAATTTTATAAATTTAATTTAATAGTGAGTGACTGATCTACCTCATATATTTATTTATTTATAAATTTTTGATTTGTATACGAAATGTGATTTATTTATAATTCTTCATTGAAAAACAAACAATAGAAAATAAATTTTTTTTTTGAGAAATTCTTTAATTAGATAGAAGAGGATTTATTAAATTAAATTATATTTTTTTCCTATTAAATGTATTAAGAACTATATAATATGAATATGCAGGTGTTAGACAATTAATTTAGTTTGGTAATTTAATTAATTATTGATTGATTTATTGATATATAGATAGATAGAATAGATAGTTGTTCAAGTGTTTAGAAGTAAATTATAGTGAGAGTAAAAAGTAATACAGGTTTTTTGCAGTAAATATTATTAAAATGATGGGATGAGAATGAATATGCATTTAATTTATTAAATATGGGTTAAAGGGTCTAATTAATTATAATTATTATTGTAAATTATTATTATATTTTCTTTAATTATTGATTATAGTGATTGCTTTATGTTGGTTGATGGTTATTTTTATTTATTTATTTATGAATGAATGAATTAAGAGTTAATAGATAGGTAGGTAGATCAGTATTGAAATTTTTGTTTAAGTGTATGTTCTTACTATACTTTTATTGGGTAGGTAAATCATTTTTCTAGTGTTTTAATTAATGTTTTTCAGTTATTTGCTCTTCTTTGTTATTGGTTTGTTGGTTTTAGTGAAGATGAAGAGGGAGAAGCACTTATTTATTGGATATCTGCACTAAATTTTCTTAAATTATTCAAGTTAGGATATTATCTCTCAAAACTTCTTGCAAGATTAAGCAAAAGAGTAGAAGCCTTAAGAATTTCTTCATTGTTTAAGCTTAGAATTTAGATAACTTGTTGTATAAGGGCAACAAGATTAAATTCATTGTACATTTATTAAAGGATTTTAAAAGAAACATAGATAATTGCTCCAGCAATAGTAGTTTGGTTATGGTTATTAATGATAGAATATTCATGTGATACCATTTTTGCAAGGTAAATACACATTTTACGGAAAAAAGTAAGATGTGTGTCAAGAAGGTGTTCTTCTAAATTTAATTTTTGGACTGTTACAGCCATAAAGTCAAGGATAGTGGGAGAACTTAAATCAAAATCTATAGAGGCCAATATTTCTTGTTCTCTTTACTTGATATCTGAAATAGACAATTTCTTGTGACCAATTTTTTCATAGAAGGTTTAGAGACGAAGAGGATATATTTCTTCATATTTGCAGGCAATAAACATGCTAGCAACACCAGTCAAATGTAAATCTTGAGGAGTTAACTATCTATTAATATTTAAAATATTAAAATTAAAACATGTTAAAAACCTAGAAAGGAAAAATTTTTATTTAGGAATTATCAGTATTATTAATTATTTTTTATTTATTTATTTAATTAATTAATTAAATAAGGTCGGGAAGGAAGGAAAGATTGAATGCAAAATAATAATAATTATTATCAAAAAGAATTGAAAAATTTTAAATTTCTTTATTGTGTTAATTTTTAATAAATTAGCGTTTTTATGCAAACTTTATGGAGGGAAATAATATTAAATGATCTAATTTAATCATTTAGAATTAGAAATGTGACGGATTTTAAAAATATTAGAATTTAATATGGGAAAAGTTATAGTGTTAATCAAATTAACTTTAAATCAGTAATCAACTTTGATATCAAAAAATATTTTTTTAAATTAATTTTAATTACCTTTAAGAGTTTTAGAAAAATGCGTCCATGTATTGTACTGCCAAGAAGAAGGTTTAATCACTCTAACCATAGCTTGTTGTAACCTCAATCATCCAGTCAATCATCTTTGCTCTTATTTCAGGAGTTATTGTGTGGTTTTGCAAGAAGTCACTTGGTGATTTTTAACTCTATGAATGTTATAAAAAAAAATGAATATAAATCTTAAGATTTTTAGATAATGATTTGGATTAATCCAATAATCAGATTTATAGATTTTTTCAAATTTTTTATATCATAAATAAGTAATCCATATGTCTTAAAAAGAGTATGATAATTAGCAAAATAGATAGAATACTGCTATTAAAAGATGATAGTGTTGTGTTGTGTTGTATTGTATTGATTTTCATATCCAAAGAAAATATTAATTAATTAATTAAAAAATTTAGTATCTATTTAATAATGGGTGAGACAAGCAAGCATATCAAGATTAAAAATTTAATTTGCAAATGAATGTGAATTTCAAAAATTGGGGAGAATTAATTGAATGCTGATATGTTTGTTAATAAGTAAATTAATAAATTAACAATAGAAAATAAGTCATCGGAAATACTTAAAAATGGAATTATTAAGTAGATAAATGAAATTAATTGTTTACATTAATCATAGAAGAAATTATTCTAGATGAGTAAGCTTCTTCGTTGGAAGCGCTCTTTAATAGAACTTAAATTTATTAAAATCTTTTGCTGGTAAAGTAGTCAGAAAAAGAATTGCACTCGGTTGTTCTTTAATCTTGCTACTATTACTGCTCAAAGTTTTATTTTTACTTCAAATTGCAATCATCTTCAATTTCCATACAATCAGCAGCAGATATTTCTTTTTGAGGATTGACAATATTAATTTAACAGTTCTTAGCTTTCTTACGGATGCACTCACCTCCACGGAAACCAGCAGCACTCTTTTAGGCTAAAGAATTGTTGTAGAACTTCTACTAAACTCCAGCGTGGCAGGCATTTTCATAAGATAAGAAGGTCTATTCAGAAGGCATAGATTATATTTCTACTTAGGAATTCATTTATATTAAAAGTGGATTTGTTTATTATTATATATTTGATGTTGTGGTAGTTTATGGTTGTTTGTTTGTTTTAATAGTTAATATATCAAATCCTTGTCAAAATGGAGAACGACAGACTGACTTTTTATATATTATATTATATTATTAATGTTTTTATTAGGTTTTAGTTTTTTTTTGATTTTTTATTAATAATTAATTATTATTTGAAGTAATCAAATTTCTATCTGTATTTTATATCTTAAATCAAATTATTAATTATGAATGTTAGTTAATAAATAAAAAGTTATGCAAATGATTGAATCTTTCCAGCCGTACATTATTATCTCAGATTATAAAGAAATTGCGGAATTTACTATTCATAATCAAATCCATTGTTCAAATTTTAATGAATGCAAGTATTTCCAAAACATGTTGTCTTCAAAATTTTGCTAAATTATTTATATAGAAAAATGTATAAAAATTAACAAGTGCTTAACACAACAAACTAAGGTTTAGCCTCAAAAATCTATTTCACATAAGAAATTGAATGCATTCAATATCACTCATTCCTTCTAAAAATATATTTTACATAAAGGTAGTAGAAATTAAAATAGATCTATTACATTTCGAAACATCAATTTTTTATTCAATAATTAATAAATGCCTAAAAATGGGTTTTTTAAAATTCGCGCATTTCGTTTATATTCCTTAAATTGAAGAAATTGTGACATTTTTAGCAAAGCACTGCTAATTTATTCACTTATACTACTGTTTTACAACTTTAATGCTGATTTTTATACACTTTTACGAGGTTTTTCTCTTCAATCGCAGAATTTCCATTGTTTTTTATATTGAAAACTCTAGCCTTAGAAAACAAAAATTTATTAAAATTATAAAGAGAAATATTTAAATTTTGTTTGAGCTTGGGGAAACAAATTTTAATGCTGAATAAACAACTCATATCTAAAGACTAATGCTTGTAATAAAATTTTTAATTTCCGATATTTTCTGTCTTTCTAATACCACAAAAATAAAGGTAATACTGTGGTTATTGATTTTATTTAAAATAGCTATATATTATTTTTAATATCCCTTTCTCATTTTTTGACATGCTTAAATATAGGTCGAAAAATAATTTATTTTAATTTGCTAAATTGAAAAATTACATTATATATTTAGAATAACATAACTTATTTAAATGCAATTATTTTTTATTTATAAATAATTATCAAATACTTAACATTCAAATATTATTTGGTATTTGCATCTTAATTTTTGAAATAATAAAAATTCATAAAATTTGATTCATTAAAGTGTTCATTCAAATTATTTAGTTATTTATTTGAATTATACATCAAAATAAAAAAAGATTCAAAATGTCTAGGATGTAAATTTAATTATTTAAAAAACATGTTCCATAATCTCTCACATACATAATAACAAAACTTACTTATTAAAATATAATTTAGACTTTATAATGTCAATCCATATTATAACATTCAAAAATATGATAATTAACTAGGTAATGAACAGATCCCTGATATTAAGTATTTTAACACAATTTAGGGAAAATAGATTAGGAATATTTTATTTTGGGGTGAATATTTGAAGAGCAGTGCGAATGTAATTAACATATATTTCAATGAGAAGCCTTTTGAGAATTTAACAGAAATATTTGAATGTATATGTATGTTTTTATTTATTTGTCTGTTTGATAATTGATATATAATTAAGAATTATTTCCCCACACAATAGAGAATACTGTATTTGTCTTTTGAAAAATGGTATATAAATAACTTGGGATGTCTATAATCAAATATTTTTTAAATAGAATATATTAATATTATATTAAATGGTGCAATTTATTATAAATAATAGAATTAGGTCATTCAGAAGCAAATTTTAGAAAAACGGAATTATTATTACGAGTATTAGATTTGTATTTTAGTGTGAAATTTCAAATAAAAGTATTATATGATTTATTTTTACTGAATAAACTAGAGTAAAATTTATAAAATACAAATTTACACTTTTTGATAAGATATAAAAACAAACAAACACACATATCCTTTATGCACATTATATATTTATCATCAAAAAATCAATTATTTTAAATTCTATTACATTTGAAATCTTCATTAACCTGCTTATTGTAACATTCAAATTCTTCTCTTTTCAAATCATAAGGAAATACTTATCAGTTTGAATTGCTTATAATTCGTTTTACTTAAATTGTTTTGAATCATTTTAATTTGCCTTAGTTAAGCAAAAGACTTATTTCAGACCAAAAATAGTTAGCTTAATTTAGTTATTGGTAATTTTGAGCCTACCTCTACATGTTTAGGTTCAGCATTTCATGCCCATATTGGTTAATGTTGTAAAAGTTGAATAACTTAAGAATTTAAGTCATATCCATTCGAATTGTTCATAAACTACCTTATGTATAGCTACTATAACCAAATTTAGTTGTGAAAACTAATAGATGCGATTTTAAAATCCATAGAAAACGAAAAAGTTGTCATCAAAATAAGTTTATGGAAGGAAAAAGTATTTAATAAGTATAGTGAATGTAAAAAAATCAATTCATATAAAATTTATTTTACAAAATTGAAAATGACTAAATGGTTGGTATTGTTACAAACAAAATTTAGATTGTTAAATTTTTATAATAATTCAAAAATTTGCAAAAATTTGATTTTAGAACGTTTGTAAAGATAGATTAACTATTTTGTTTTCATAAATAGTTTCAACTAATTATTAATTCAAAACATATGAATCCAATATATACTTACACTATTTGTTTGTTTCTGTGAGAAATTTACCTTTTTCTATATCTATTTTTTATAATATGAATAAATATACAGATTGTAGATACTAAGATTCCAAGCAGTGGTCTCACATTATTTCGAAAATTAGATTATCAATTTTTAGTTGCTTATATATAGGTAGAAAAATAATTTATATTAATTTGCTAAATACAAAAAATTGCATTATATACTTAGAATGAAATAATTTATTTAAATGTAATTAGTTTTTGTTTTCAAATAATTATCAAATACTTGACATTCAAATATTAGTTAGTATTCTTAGCTTGTTTTTGATAAGAAAAAAATTTACAAAATTTGATTCATTAAATTGTTTATTCAAATTATTTACTTTAATTGTTTATCAAAAATCAAAATGTCTACTTACATCAAGTATTTATTTATGCGAATTTCGCTTTTTTTCTATTACCACTTTTATAATGAGAATACTAACAGAAATTTTGAACACTAAAAGTCAAATGTAACAAACAAATTAAGTTCAATTTTTTTTACATTTATAAAATATGAAACAAATATTAGATTACTAGCAGTCAAATACAATACGAATTAATTTTGCGTAAATGCATTTCAAGTAGTGTACATTCTATAAATATTAAAAATAGATATTGGTTATTTGAATTTTAATATCATCATTTGATTCAGTAGATATTTAAATTGGGGTCTCTTTTTTTCTTTTAAAAATACATAAATTTGAATTAAATATTTCTGGTGTTATTCAATGTTATATTTTATAACTTTCATGATTTTAGTTAGTTATTTATAAAACAAATCCATTTATAACTGGAGGGAAAAAAAAATCCTCTATTATATAAATAGTAATACTATTATATGTTGATATATGAAAATAACTATTTATTTATAAACAAACGAAAATATAAAAAATTTAGTTGATTAATATTTGTAAGTTATCTCAGAAATACTAACTTAACCTTTAATTTGATAGAGTAATCGAGCTTAAAAATTATTTCATTGAATTATTTGGGGAAGTCTTATTTATTTTTATAGAAAACAAAATATTATCTAATTTAAATAACTATCAAATTTCAGTAATGAAATAGTTATTAAAAAGTATTTAAAATATCAGATATAGATATATATATCAATTTAAATTTTGATTAGATAGTCATAATATTTAAATAGGAGTAAAAACTAAGCAGATATTATAAATCAATTCAGCAAATATTTATATTTAATAAATAAATCCTCATTATAAATTATAACTCACTTCATCTAAGCTTTAAACAAATATTCGATGAAACAAAAAAATATACAAAAAATAAATATTTGTGTGATTGATATTCAAATAAAAAAAGTTTAATTTAAATAAAAATGCTAAATTTCTGCATTCGAAATTGAAAATCGAATTAAAATAGAAAATAACTAAATTACTTTTATTAAATTATTTTACATTTATAAAAATTAATAAAATTTTCAGTTTTCTATTTTTCTATCTCAACTTACTTATGATTAATTTTTCTTTTTTATTTTTTAATTCGAAATTAAAGATCAAATTAAAATAGAAAACAACTCATTAATTAACTAGCTAACTAACTAAATAACTTGTTATTATTTAATGAGATTCATTATCTATTTATTTCTATTTTTTTAAAAAAAATCTTTTCTTTTTTTATTTAAAATTTAGATCTGAGATATAAATTTGTTTTAATATAAAAAGCTAACTTCTTTCATTTAATTTTTTTTAAATGGGTTTTAACTAATACTTGAAATGTTAGTAGTCATTATTTAAATTTGATTTAACATTAATACCAGTTTCATTAATTAAATCAAATTTATAAACAATTTAAGTACAATTAAAGATTCAAGGGTTGAGCAAGAAGAAGAGGAATTCTTTATTTAAACATCTTCCTTATAAGGTTAATAGTTGGTATTGACAAGTTATAATTTTGATGTATTTTACCTCTCTAAATCAAGAGTATATTCTTAGAATTCAAAATATATACTTTACTTTTCATTAAATTTTTTTATTTTGGTTCTGAATGCCTCATTCTTTCAGGTTTTACATTTCTTTAAGATAATTATTCTAACTTTCTATCTAAATATTTTATTCATTTATTTTTTTTACTAAATTTTCAATATTCTCTTTTTTTATGTATGCCAATCTAATATAACTTTTAAATATCTTTTGATGAATTCGTTTGCATAATATACTCTATCCAAATTTGTCTTTTTCATGTAAATATATATTTATATCTTCATATGGATTTTATTTTTTAATTGGCATCAAATTGGTTTTTTTTATTTATGAAAAGTAATTAATAATAATAGCTGATAGATCTTTTACAGTTTCTGTGCTATCACCATAAATTTAAATTTAATCAACTTATAATTATAGCTTTTATACTTGTATTTCTATTTATCTTAATTTGGTCCACCAATTATATTTTTATTATTAAATAATCAGATTACTTTAAATATTTTACAGCTTTATCAAGGTCTTTAATTTCATAATATAGCATTCCTAATTGTACATAGCCCATAGTAAAATATGGATTTATTTAAGATTCTGAGTTTTCTTTATAAATATTTATTATTACCAAGAAAGTCTTAAGCCTCTTTAAATTTCCTAATGAAATAGCTTAATTAAGTAAATCTTTTAGATGATCCATCATTAAATTTTTATGTTTTTTTATCTATTTCTTCATTTTGATATTTAATTAATGAACTATATTAACTAAAAAATTCTTTTTTTAATCTAATAATAATCTTTTTTTTCAATTATTTTTATTCATGTTAGAATATTTTTTATTTCAAAATGTATTTTTTCTAATACCCTAATAAAATAAGTATATTAAAATATTTTTATTATCATCCTAACTAAACCATCATATCTTTTTAATATCTAAAACTACTATTTAAATTAAAATAATTCATTAAAAATAAATTACCCAAAATAAATAGTAATTAATAGAAAACAAATTCCTGATCAATTTTTAGGATTTATTAAAAAAAACAAAGTGAATTATTCAAAAATTTTTAAAGGTTTAAATTATTTGTATATATTTTTCAAGCATAATATTTAATTATTAAAATTTTACTTTTTTTGCGCGAAAAACAATTAATTTTAAAATTGATGAAAATTTGAAAATTTCGAAGATTTAACAAAGATAATCAAATAAAATTAACTTTTAGTTAGTGAAATTTAACATATTCTAAAAAAGATTTTATCTAGTAAATCGTTTTTATAATGTTCAAAGAAGATAAAAGCAAGTCAAAAGTACACTCTGAGTTTTAAGTAGAATTAGTGGTCTATTTAGACGAAGAAGATTAAATCAAAGAGGTTTTTGAGTTAAATATTGGTAACAATGTGGTCGGTAGTAGTTCTAAAGATTCTACCATAGTTATCAATAAACCAGAAATAGAAAAAAAACATTTTTAAATAGAAATAGAATATGATTAAAAGATGAACACGTTATTATGCCAAATTTAATCTTTAAAGAGTGAGCATGGAACTTAAAAAAAGCTAAAAGATGGTAATTTTACTGGATTTCTTCCAGGAAAGTGGAATCCTATTGGAGATCTTAGCAAAGAGTATGCGTTTTATATAGCTAAGAAATACAAAGCTCTTGTTAGAAAGGTTGCTAAAAATATTAAATCAAGTAGATCTATAGAAGCATCTTCAAATTAAAATTCAAATCCTAATCCTATAAACAAAATCAATTTCTTAAAATCCTTAGATAACTTAGATGCTGGTGAAATAAATAAAGAAAATAATTAGATGGAAACAAAAAGTGATATAGTTGTATAAAATAACATATCTGCGTAAGATAATTCTGCCACTAAACCAAAGATGTTTGGAAAAAATTTTAAGCCAAAAAACTCTTCAATAGATGCAAATAAGAATCTTCATAGTAAATTTAAAACTCCTACAGTATCAACAGAGAAATAGCCTGATGTAGCTTAAAGTAAGCTTCTTAATTAACATAAATATTTATCTAAATAATTTATTTTATTAAAGAAATGGAAGTAGAAAAGACTGATAAAAAAAATTCTGACAAAAAAAATGAAAATAAATTAGATTCTGGACCAATAGTAACATTAAAAGTACCAAGTAGTCCCTAGGTGAAAAGCTCAAAATCAAAAGAAACAGATTAAAATAAATCAAAGTTAAAAGAAACTAAGTAAGCTAATCAAGTAGCAGAAGCAAAATAAACTGATGAAACAAATGCAAAGTAAAACAATGAGGCACAAGGAAAATAAAAAGGTAAAAGTAGAAAAAATTAAAATAAAAAAAAAGACTCTTCAGATTTGGATCTCAGCTTAGATTTAAGTTTAGATATGAGTGATGAAGACAAAAAATAAAAAAACGCAAAGCAATAAATGATAGATGAGAAAGAAGTAATCAAAATTGCAAGTACAGATGACGAAGATGAAGAAGATAGGGCTTTATAAAAAAAGCAAGCAAACAAAAATTAAATGAATAAAGAAGTTGAATCAACCACTAAGGCTGATACAAAAACCACTGCAAAGAGTAGCAATAAAGAAAAATAACCAAATAAAAGAAATACATCTAAAGACAATAAATAATAATCAGATGACGAAAAGTAGTAAAAAACAAGCTTACTCAACAAGAAGAGAAAAGCTGATGAAAATAAAGAATCAAAATTAATGGACATTGAGGAGGAATAAGAGCATGCTGAAAATTCAAAAAAAGATATTTAAACTAAATCAATCAAAGAAAATGCTTAGAAGAAGGGAAGTCTAAAACCCACCCTAGCATAAAATGCTGTAGGAATTAAAAAGAGAAAAACAGATGAAGCTGATGAAGAAAAAGATAATAAAAAGGTTTAAGCCACAACTGTCATGAAAGATGAAACATAAAAAATGAAAGACAAAAAAGAAGAAAAGTAAAAAGATAAAAAATAAAATGATAATGATAATGTTATGGAAGATGAAAATCAACTAAAGAAAAATTTAAAAAATAAGTAGATGGCTTAGGCTAAATAAAAAGATGATAACAATCAAAAACCAAAAAAAGAAATGAGTAAAATAGAAAGTTCTAAAGAATAAAAAAAAGGAAGCAAAGAAGTAACTACAAAATCTGCAAAAACCTCATTAGCTGCTACTAAAAAAGCAGACAAGAAAAAATAAGTCTTGAAAAATTAAGAAAAAAGAAACAGTTTAGTTAAGTAAAATATAGAAAATGAGTAAGAAGACAGTGAGGATGAGTTGTCTTATGTAATTAACTCAGACGGAGAAGAAGAATTTGTTTTAAAAGGAAATAAAAATTCAATAAAATCTGCTATAAAACCTTCAAACAAAAAATTTAATGTAATTTTTTCTAACTGTATGCTAGATGAGACAGATGTTTAAAACAAATTAAGTAAACTTGGTGCTCGTATAATGAAGTCTATTTAATAACCATTTAATATATTAATTATGGATTAATTTACAAGAAGAGCAAAAACATTAGTTGCCTTGAACAAAGGGGCTAAAATTATTTCAAGCCAATGGGCTCTTGACTGTGTATGCTAGGAGCATTTAATCGAAGATATTGATAAATATGAAATCAAAGTCGATAAAGCTTTCTGTAAAAAACATAAATTTGATCTGAAAGAGGTCTAATAAAGATATCAAAATTAGAATAAACCAATATTCTAAGATGTTAAATTTATACTTCCAGATGATGAAAACTACGCTAATATAGCAAAAGATGATTTAGAATATATTATAATGACAGCAGGAGGTACTATCGTAACAGAAGAAGAGTGTGATGAAATTGAAGATAAATCAAACATAAAAGTGATATTTGATAATGAAAAAAGTGATGAGTCTCACACTACACCAGAAAAGAATTCATCGAAATCAAAATTATCAGATAGTAAAAAGAAAAATCAAGATGAAACTAGAATAAAATTATAATACTCATATAAAAAAAATAATTTTGACTGTGTTTTGATTGAGTCTATTTTCAACTCTTGCCTCCATCAAAAGGTCTGCAATTGGAATGATTACTAAGTTTGAAAGAGTTTAAACTAAAAAACAAAATAATCGTAATAAAAAATATGTAATTTAATAAATGTTCATAATATTTATAAATAAATAAATAATTAATTTAAGTTGATTTCCTATTAATTTAATAATCCAAATTCATTTCCACAAAAATTTTAGTAAATTAAGCAAATAAATTTTAATTCCAATTTTACAAAATTAAACTTTAGAAATAAATTGTTTTTATTTAAGTTAATTTTAGAATTATTTAAAAATTAAATATGTATCTATCTATACATTTATTAATATAATGCAAGTTTTTTGTAATTAGTCTTACTTATTTAGGTTTTAAATGCATTTTATTTCTTTTTCAAATTTAAATATTAAATAATCAAATTTTATTTAGTTGCTTCAGAAATGTTAAAAAATATATATATATTGTGGATTAATAAAAGTATGAATTTTCAAAAACAAAATTAGTAGCAATAAAAAAATATTTTCTCTGATAAATGTAAAATATTTTCTATCATGTAAACATTTTGTTAATAAAATAAAATATAACTTGGATAAAATCAATAGATCTAAATTTAATGAAATTTTTGATTATTATGTTTTAATGGAAATATTATAAAGTGGAATTGTGAGAATAATTTTTTGTTTCTAAATTCTTGCTATTTTTAGGTTGTAGAGAGGGATGAGTTCTTAGTAAAATAGGGATATATGTGCGGAATTAGTGAACTTTAAAACTTTGAGTGCAATTTTTTTAAATTTACAAAAATTACTGCATCGTGTACAGATTATTGTCATGCATTTATATAGTTCAAACAAAAATTTAATTGAATTTTATTTATAAATATTTATTTAGTGATTCTCTTTTTATTTTATATTTTTATGTATTTTTTACACTTTAAAATATCTAATGATCTTAAAATAAATACTTTTTTATTTTTTATCATAAAATTTTAGATTAATATAAGTAAAATATAACACTCATTTTAACTTTAAATATTAAACAAAACTTTTATATCTTTCTATAAAATCCAACCCATTCCTTACCTCAACAAAAACCCTAACTCAAGGGATTCCCTCATTAAGTTTGGGATTTTTAATAAAATAAATATTTGTTTACATTCAAAAAAACACTTCTTTCTCAAATATTTTTAAATTGTTTCAAGTATTTTAGTGTGCAATTTTAAACATTTCATAAATTTTATATTGTGCCCATATTTAAAAGTTTTATACCCAATTTTATATTTATGAGTAAGTGCAATACTTAATTATAATTTTAGAATATATAGCTTTTCAAAGTAAATTGACTAATTTGTACGATTGAAGTAAATGAACTACCTTTTTTTAGCACTGATTAAATTATTTATATATAAAATTTATATTTATATTTAGGAATTAAATAGATTTTATATGAGAAAAAAATAGTTGATATAGAAAATATAAATAATAAAAATTAATTATATTAATAAGAATAATTTTATAATATATAATGAGCATTAAATTTTAGGATTAATTTAATGATTAAGTATGAAGCTGAAGGTATTTATTTAATTATTATATTGGTTTTAAATATGAGTTCTTTATTATTTTATTTTTTTAGTTCTGAAATAATAAATAAAATTCTATCAGTTATTATTGATGAGTTTACTGAATTTTTTTAAGATATTTGTTTGGAAGCCTTTATAGTCGATTTCAAAATCATTATAGTCTATATAAATTACAGAGTAGCCTATTTGCTTTAAGTACAATTCATTTAATTAATTAAATCCAGAGATTGTATTTTCAACACCATCGATCATTCTATTTTTTTCGAGTATCTTTTATTTTTAAATAAATTTTATTCATAAATACATTAAATAAACTTTTGTTTTGAGATAAATAATAATTAATTACCTATATAGCAATCTTCTTTTAAGGAAGCACATAATCAGCAAAGAATGGATAGAAGACAACATTCTTTTATACTTAATTACTAATTGAGAATAAGATTTCACCAGTATATTTTTTTAAATGAGATTCATTGATAAAATAACTATAAATTTAAGAATGGATTATCTTTCTTAATAGATTCTCTTTATTATAGACGAATTGCTCTGTCAAGAAATCTCTTTTTCTTTACATATTTATTTTATTTTCTGCTATAACGCTTGTCTTTTATTTTTCAATCTCAAAAAGTGTATTAGAAACCTAAAAGGAGTTGCTAATGATTTCATAAATGAAATTATGCTAATCATATGCGTTGTCTATTTAAATTTATAAAAGAAAATTAAGAATTTAAAAATCTTTTTAAATAATTATTTACCAAATGGAAGGTTCTGAGTTGGGAGACTTTGCACTTCTTACTCTATTTATTTGATATATTTAGAAGGAGCTTTATCTTTATAATTTTAATCCTTATTAAAGAAATCTTCCATAAAGAATTTCATTTTTAGAACTTTGTTGCTAAGTTCTGGACTCAACCATGACTATCCTTTTTTAATCTTTCCATAAGCTTCTATCATAATTAAGCTTTCAAGGAAAGAAGGAATCATACAAAAATGATCAAAAACTTCAATTAATTTATCTTGCTTAACTAATAACTTGATGGAATGAATGTACCTTTACATTTTAAAGAAAAATTTAATTTTTAATAATTTTCAATGTCTTTAATTAATTACTCTTCATCTGGTTCACTTAAGTATAAGTTCTAAGCAACACATTCAATGGTGTTGATGAAATTTCTTAAGAGGATAGTCTAATTAAATTAAATACGAGAATTATATGTGATAGTCTTTACATACTTGAGTTATTAGAGATTAGATTATAATTCTATTATTTTGTATCCTTGCTATTTTTTGAAATCTTCATCTTTAAGTTTTTCTTAATTTACACTTTCATCTACATTTTCTCCATTCTTTTTTAATTCATCATCATCTTCTTTAGCATCAGCGATTACTTCATTTGCTTCTTCTATCTATAAATTTAAAAAATATTAGCTAACATATATACATTTTAAATATTACTGCCAAAAGATCCATTTCACTATCTTCTTAAGCTATGATTTCATCTTCTTCTTTATCAACAGGTGATGGTATTTTGTGCAGTAATTTAGTGAAGAATCCTGAAGCAACTTGTTAATTTATATAATCTCTAAGACACTATTGTATGTCTTTTTGTAATTAATTCCATTAATTAACCATAGTATCACTAAAATCAACTTTTCTTGAATAAAAATCCTATTTATATTAACATTCATACATTAAATTTTAATTTTGAATATATATTAATTACTTCAGATTATTTAATTATGCTAGGATAGTTGAGTTCATTATAAGACTTATACTTTTATAGTAAGATGTGATAAGCATTAATTTCATTTTCTTCATTGAATTTCTTTGTGTTAAATATGAGAGATCTAAGCAAACTCTTCATAGAAATGAAGGATTCGTCAATGTAATATTTATATGCATATTGATATTTTGTCATGTAAGAAAATAATCTGAAGTCAAACTTAAAATCACTAATTTCTCTGCTCATGATTTAGTTTCCTATTAAGATGAGAATCTTTCCAACTAATTCTCTTTCGTTTGTTTAAACAATAGATCTTAAGATAGCAAGAGCTTTTTACTAATGTGACTATATTATTTTAAATTAACTTAAAATAAATTTATTTCTAAACAAAAATAATTACTCCTCTATCATTTTTGAAATAGCTGAATTTTCCTAGTTGTGTTTCAGTATCAAATTTAAGCTCCAAACTTTTGATAAATAAGCATTAAAGTTAAAGAATAATTATTTCTACTTGATTAAGTTGAATGTTTACATCCTTACAAGTGCCTTTTTGTAACTAATTTTTAAATCTTAAGGTAATATTTTGAGTACATCTGGGTTAAAGACCTTATCCAAATGAATTAGGTAGTAGTTTTCGCAGTTACTTTCAAAAGTGTTTAGCTTTTCGATGTACTATAAATTTATTTTGATAAATTATTTATTTTTTAGTAACTAAAACAAAGAAAAATTACTATTTCTGAAATTATCCTAATAGTTTCATCACTAATCCTGGAATTGAATTCTTCAGGAACTAATAAAAGCTTGAGATTGCTCAAGACAAGCATATATTGTGTGAATTGAACAAAATCAAGTTTTTCAAAATACAAGTTTTTAACTTAATCAGGCTAAGCAAACAATTCTTTATTTTCATTGAAGTAATCAAGGAATTAAAGAGTTAAAGGAACAGACAATCTATTAAATTTAATAGCTAATTATATTATTTTATAATGTTAAAAATGATTATATTCTTTGAAGCTCTCACTGCATTTAGTCAATGTATATAAAACTAATAGACGATCTGCCTAACTGATATCTTCCATATACTCAAGTAGAGTAAAATTTTAGCTCACATTCAAATTAAAATTATTCTAAATAATTCTCACTCTAATTTCATTTTTTACGCGGTCTATAATATTACTTCTGCTTACTTTGGGAATAACTTATACAAGTTGCTAATCTTCAAATTAGAGGTAGTTATTCTTAATGTAATTTTAAATTAAATCAATATTGTCAGACTTCATCGAACGTTCTAGATCTATTTTAATAGGTTCTTATCCTTCAAAGAATTTCATCCATTTTGGCTTCATAGATTAGCTAAAGGCTACTTTGCTTGCTGCATCAGCAGTGGCTTAAGTGCAAAATCCCTTTCTTCCTATTCTTAATAAATTTCTAATCATTTTTGCTAATTTATTGATTGTTTTAATTTTATTTGATATATGAAATATCTACTTATTATTAATTGCTTAATATGAAGATTCTAAATTTTATATTTACTTCTATTAAGTCTCTTTGTATCTTTTTTATTCAAATACAGACAGATACAATCAATTAGTACATAAATAAGTGTTTATTTTATATTTTTATCTCTTCATTTATTTTGATAGGCTCATAATAGCCTTTAAATTTTAAATAGTCAACTCATTAGAAATAATCACTTATTTAATCTAGCATATAAAAAAAATTTTATTTATAAATGATTAATGATGTTTTTAGAATCATATTCATTCTAGTAAAAGAGCTATCTATAATTCTTACAAATAAAAACACTTTCTTTAATTAAAACTCCTTTCCAAATAATTATCTGCTCGAAATTAAAATTATTTTTATTAATTATAATAATATAAGTTAGTTATTAAATTTCATTCTTCTCAAAAATATGTCCACTTTATAATTATCATTAATATTAAGAAAATCTCAATTTAAAAAATATCCAAGTTTAAAAAATATTTATATATTAAAGACAGACATACATATACTATAAGTTTAATTCAATTTAAGTACACTAAAAAAATACAAAATATAATAAAATTTTTTAAATTGCTCAAATCATATTTTTTTATAATTTCTTGAATTATAGTGAAAGATTAAATATCTTTATATAGTATTTGAGTATTGAGATACATAAAATATTCTTTTTTATTATTATATAGAATTTTTAATCGGTATTATATTCTTGTTACAATTTTAATTTTATTTTCTCAAAAATTATGAGAGATATAATTTTAGATAACAATTCATATTTTTATTTTATTAATTTAGAAAAATTAATGTAATTAATTTTAATCGTTTTTAAATTTATATTTAGTTTTAACAGTTATTAATTTAATTTTATCAAAATTGTATTTAATATAAGGAATTTATTATATTAAATAACCTATTTTTTTGTTTATCTAATAATAAGATAAATTGTTAAAGATAATATAATAGTTATTGATATTTTATTTAATTAAATTTTAAAGATTAATATGTAAATTCAAAAGAAAAATAATTTTAATAATATTAAATAATAGGTATGTATGATTCAATTTTAACAAAACTTCAAAAAATAAATTCTATTTTTTTATTACAAAAAATTGTATGAACGAAAATCAAACTAATTAATTTTTGATATTTTTAATATTCTATTTAATTATTATAAAATGGGAATAAAAATTTAATGGAAGGGTGTTTGCTTTGATTAGTGATTAAATTAAAAGACCTATTTTATAAAGTTATTTTTGATATTGCTTTATAATAAATCAGTGCTAGTTTGTTTTGATTATAATGTCTATTTTCCTAACACTGAAAAAGAAATTAATGCTGATATATATATCTTTAAAACTTGTGAATAACATTTATTGTGTGATTAACTAACTCAATTAATTACTGTTGTAATTTAATAAAAAGCAATAACACTAAATAATTATAATAGAGTTAAAACAAAAGACAATTATATTGTTTTTTAAATTAAATTGTACTTTAGGCAAAATAATTTTAGCAATCCAAGCAAAGCTTATACAATATAAAAAAGAAATTTGGAGATTATAAACATCATATTTTCATTAGCTAATTGATAAAAGATAGTTTCCTATCTAAATTTAAGCTATTGCCTTTATTAGAAATTATCATTGAAAAGAGACTAAATTATCATTTTTTCTAAATAGAATAGTAAAAAATATCAAATAAATAATGAAAGGTGGTGTTTACCAAAAACAATACAGAGAAACTGATGATTCATTCTTTTACGACGATTTTTATAATCCACAAGAATTTTGGATTAAATTAAATGATGGTGATAAACCTGATGAAGATTAAATTATTTTTTAAGGTAGACTCTATTAAAAAGCAGGAAAGCATAAGAAATGGACAGCCTATCACTTTGAGTTGTATTCTGATAAATTAATAAGATTTGATTTAACACAGCTAAAAACGAACAATGCGGATGCTAAAAAGGACCAAGCAGCCATGTAAGCAAAGAATCCAGATGCAAATAATTAAACTCAAACTCCAAATAGCAACTAATCAATATAATAACCAAACTAACCAGAAGAAGGGGTAGTTGCAGAATATATACCTATAAATTCCTGCTTTTTAAAGAAAATAAAGTATTCAGATAATTCGTACAGCAATTACAAATATGGTATAAGATTGTAGAGGGGAGAGCACAAAAGTGAGCTATTTACAGAAAACTCTGACACTTTTAATAAGTGGCATGACGAAATAAAAAGATTTTGTATTCTACCTAAATTTACAAAGAAATATAAATGCCTAACAAAGCTTAAAATATAAACTTTAATGCCTAATTCGACATAATTCTTCAAATGTTTTAGGTATTTGCATTAGATTTTTACCACAAAATTAAGCATAATCTAAAGAAAATAATTAACTAATTAGCAAAAATTCTATTTAAAATAAATTTGATATTTGATTAAAAAATGTTATTATAATTTGGGTATTTCATTTTAAACAAACAAACAAACAAACCATAGAAAGAAAATAATAAATAAAAAGAAAGAAAGAAAGAAAGAAAGAAAGCCAATAATTTTATAAAAATTGATTTTTAATTAGAAAATAAATATTTATTTATTATGAATTAATTAGATATAGCGACTCCAGTCAGTATTGTGTTAGAGTGGTAGAAAAATATTCTCTTTCGGATTCTAATAAATAAGCCTTATTAAAAGAAATATAAATTTTACGAAAATTGGATAATCCTTTCCTTTGCAGGCTATATGAAATATATGAAGATGAAAATAATATTTATTTAATTACTGAACTTTTTTAAGGCAAAGATATGAAATCAAAACTTAGTGACTGTTTAATTTTAGACGAAAAGACTATTTCAGAAATTATGTGTATTTATTTATTTATTTAATTATTTATTATTTTTTTCTTAAAGCTTAATTTAATTTTTATTTAGAAGAATTTGTTCATATTATTTGTTACAAATAAATAGGGAGATTGCTGTAAGGATTACACCATATGCATTCAAAAGGAATCTTTCATAGAGATATAAAGTTGGAAAACATTCAATTTAGAAATTCACAAAATATCACTGATGTATGCTTAACTAATTTTTATATGGCAGATTTTGTAGATCCAAAAGGCAAATAAACATATAAAAAATGTGGCACTGCTGGTTTTATAGCTCCTGAGATATTTAAATCTAAACATTATGATTAAAAAATAGATATTTTCTCTTTAGGAATAGTTTTTTACATTTTGATGTTTGGGAAGATGCCTTTTGATGCTCCCACAGTTGACTAAATATTATAGCTAAATGAATAATGTGAGATTGATTTTACTTCAAATGATTGTGCTATAAAATGCACATCATCTGCTATTGACCTTTTAAAAAAAATGTTAAATAAAGATCCTAGCTAAAGGTAATACTTAGATTTACATAATTTTAGATAAATATATTTATTGTCTTTTTATTATATATTTTCTTTAATAAAATTATATTTTTTAAAGGGCAAACGCTTTTTAACTGATTAACCACACTTGGTTTATTAACATGAAGAATAGAGGAGAAGATGGAAGAATGAGAAATAATTTTTATGGAATGCCTACATTATCAACAATTTAAGAAAGGTCAAGTGAAATAGTTGAAGTTAGTAGTAGATAAGATTTATTTTATAGAAGAGGTGAAAACGGTCCGAATAATTCTAGTAGAATATATGAGGAAAATAATAATGGATTTGAAACTTTAAATTAAAAAATGAGAACCCTAAATAGTAATATATTTTCAAAAGTTCCTTCTAAATACAGGCATGACATGGCTATGTCGAAGCTTCTTTGAAAATGAAAAATTAAGATAAATTTAAACCAACCAAACCAAACGTTCTTAATTAAAGTAAAAATACATCTTATATAAAAATGAACTAAAATCTTACTAAATATATTCAATTAAAAAGAAAGTAAAGCTAGAATTACAAAAATAAAATAAATTATAATTCATACTAACTTTAATTATTAATAAATAAAAAACTAACAATCTTCAGTAAACAAAATTAACTAAACTAAACAAATACTAATTTTGAAAACTCCAAAACAATTTTTAAAAATAATAAATTTATAGATAAATTTAAACAAAAAAAATATATTAATATTAATTATTTAAGCAATAATAATGCACTTATGGAATCTCATATGTTATATACCTAATTATAATCTAATCTTTATGTAAGTAGCCCATCTATTAATTATTTATTCTAAATTTCATTTATATATTTTTAAATAAACAAACAATAAGATGGATTAATTTGTTTAAAATATAAATTAAATATATTTTTTTCAAATTTATTTTAGTTATATAAAAGAAAATTTTCTCGTATTCAGATTTAAAGATTATTAATAAGATTTTTTTATCTTTATCGAAAGAATTTTAAGTAGTTTTTTATAAAAATCTGATAGTAAAAATATCTTTTTATTTCTTTTATCAAAGGATATCTTAAATTGTGGAATTCTTATTTTTAAATTAGTAAATAAAATGATTGATAAATTTATCCACCCAACTAAAATATATTATTTTGAAGTTAATGCTTTATTTCTCTAAAATAACTATCTTTTCATATTTTTTTCTATTAAATATAAAACAAATACAAATTGTCTAGGTATTTTTTTTATCAGTTTATTTTTTTTAAATTTAGAAATGTTTGATTTGAATATTTTATACTAACAAAATACAAATCTGAAATAAGCTACTTTTAATTAATTAATGAATGAATTATTTAAAAATTAAATTAAATAAACTACCACTTAAATTTAATTAGATTTTTTTTAAATCTTGATTGCTATTTAAATAAATAGAAATAATTTAAAACTAAACACACATAATTTATATATTGTGATAATAATTAATAATCAAAGTATGAAAATTAATTTAAAAATTAGATTTTTAAGATGTCTGTTTTTTAAATATTTTATTTATTTGTTGTAGTTTTTAGATTAGTAGTATAATTAAATAATTAGTTAAGTTATTTGAATTGAGTTAAGTTTATAATAGGCTTAACTTATTTATAAATTCACTAGTTTTTGACATTCAATAAAATGTTTATGACGAAATAATAAATTACGTAAACAGATTAATTGAAATTCATAAATTTAATGGAATTTCAATTATTTAAAGTGGGGTTTCATATTTTTTGGATACTTTTATGTGTGATCATCATTAAATTTTATGCAAAATTTAGCAGAAAATAAAATGTAAGAATATTTTAATTAATACATAAATTTTAATACGGATTGCAGCTTAAATTTGATATGTTTTAAATATTCAAAATTGTTTTATTATTAAATGAGAACAAATATATTATTTAAAATGTCAGCAAATAATGACGAAGTGTACGTTCTTTTAAATGAAAATGCTTGAAATAAGATTAATTTGGTGAATTTAATTGATGAGAAATCGTTTATTTTGTAATTTAAATGTTTTGTTTTTATATAATATGACCAACCTAAAGCAATCCATGATTAGATTCTAATTTTTTAGTGCGTAATCGATTACGTCTTAAAATTGATAAATAATAGTCATTCTTTAAATTGTAAATACAGAGTGAAATTTATAATATTTCAATCAAGTAAAATCATGCTAATGAAGACATCAAAAATTTCTTAATAGAAAAATAAAGAAAGTAAATTAATTAAAGAGTATATTCATTCATTGATTCATTTAGTTGTTTATGTATTTTTTTGTTTGTTTGTTAAATCAAAAAATAAAATAAGAAATATATAAATCAAAGTAATAAATAAACTTCTTGCTAATTCATATTAATAATTAATAATAAATTAAAGTCTTAGCTATTTAATAAATATTTTTACAACAAAATTGGCTAGAATAGCAAAAAAATTCACTAAAGTTTGGTATTTTCAAAGTCAGTAATAAAGATTATTTAAGGGAAAAGTTTTAAAACTACAGCTTTTTAGTGTAATCCATTTAGGAGTAAAGATAATACAGAAAAAAAGTTGAACAAAATATAAATTAAATGGAGGAAGAACTATCTACAGATAAACAATCTTAACAAATATATAATTAGGACAATTCTGATTAACTTTCAACAAATGAAAATTCTACAGCTTCGAAATAAAATAATAATTTAGATGGTTCAAATGGATTTGGATCTTCTAATTCTTTGACATATTACTATTCTTCCTTCGATTTATTTGAAAACGAATAGAACGCTGCATTTTTAAAATATAGAAGGTTTATCAAAAAACTTCAACACTACTTAGGTAAGCTTTATTAATTAAGAATATTATTGGATATTTTGCGAAAAAAAATGTATTTTGCCACCTGTTAAATTATTTGCTTTTTAGACTCAAAAATAATCTCAAAACACAAAGAAAATTATAACACTTTTAAAATTATTTTATCTAGCCATTTTTTTAAAGTGATAGCAAAATTTTACTTTATATTTTCAGAATTTTTTTGAATCACATAAAATCTTAAGAGAGTGTTAAATACTTTTGTTTTTTTTTATTTTATATTAATTTTGGTCAGCTATTTAACTAATTGCATTTATTTTAAATCTTAATAGGTCCTGACTGGGTAATATACGCTAATCAAGTTTGCTACAAGTAGGATCCTTAGGGCAAAAAATATTTTTTAGATAGTTAATATATTTTTGAGGCATGTTTAGAAATATGGCTTTAAATGAGACGTCAATTTAATAAAGAAAGAAGAAATTCTATTTAAGAAGAAAAAGTTGTAAGAAAAGAATCTGAAATGAGTGTTGAAGATGGTTAACAATCACAACAACAATAACAAGAATAATAGTAATAATAATAATAAAATTAATAAGTGTTAGAAGAAGCAGAATAATCAAAGCTATAAGAAATTAATTTTTCTATGTTTGAAGAGAATGAGATGTTTGAAGAATTCAGCAAAAAATTTTCATCCTTTTTTGCAGATTTTAAAATGGGTAAAAAATTGTTTAACTTTTAAAAAGAAATAATTTAGATTAATATTTGATTTTGCTAGTTTTCTTATTAGGCAATCCAAGTATTTCGTTAGAATTAATCAACTTCGTATAATCTCAAAAATAAAAATTCTTTTTGTGACTGAAGTCGTGATTGATATCAAGCTTAAACATTTAAAACAATTGTAAAAATGATCAATTTAAACAAATAAGTTTTTTAAAAAATCATAAAAAGATTTCAGAAAAAAGTGGAAGCAACTAAATCATAATAGAAGAATATATTCTATTGTAGTTAGCATTTACTATCTATCTATCCTAAAATAGTTATTGTCAATTTTATTTTACATACAGAATAAATCATAAAATTAATCAATCAATCAATTAGTGGGGGGAAATTGCATTTCAACTACTTTTATTTGGTTTATTGTGACGTAATAACCAATTAAAAGAAATTTATCTTTTTTTTACACGCATAAGAGAGAACAGATGAAAAATATGTTTTTTTTCTTGTATTAATTTTTGAGAAAAATACAAATATCCTTTTCACTTATATTTACTTTTCATTAAATATTATAACTTTACAACTTGAAAGCCTAATTTTAAAATATATTTATTTTTTCTAAACACAATATAGAATCTATGACATACAAAGCTGTGCTACATGGCTTCTTTTTAAGTGCAATTGAAACATGGAATTACATACTTAGAAATCCAGTTAAAAAAAGAAATCGCTCTGACTCATTTAAATAAGTAATTGATGACTACAAAAAAAAGTAAACAATCAAATAATTTATCTATTTATATATCTATCTATATACTTATTTATTTATTTTTTGCAGTTTTATTATTTATATTAAAGATTTTTTAATCTAAACTCAAACAGGATTATTAAGCCAATTATGGTTGTTTCATAAAAGATTACAGGATATTTTGGTTCTTAAAAGTAAGACCAACCTATCAATAAAATAAGTGAGCTCAGTGAAAGCTAATTTAGATCTTTTTCTAACTTTTAAAAAAATATTCATAATGGTAAATTAAATTGCTTAACTTTTTATTTCTTAACCTCAACTAAGAAAGAAAAAAAAAAGAAAATTTCTAATTCTTTCTTACTTGCAAAAAGATAAATTAATTAATTATTTGTTTTGAGCTTTTGTATGTTTTAGCATATATGAACTATAATTGACTGTTTATTAAAAATAGAAGAAGAAATGTTATTGGAGAAAATGAAATAACTGACCATAGCTGAAGATAAATTGAGTGATTAGTAGTAGCAACAATAGTAGTAGCAGCCATAAGAAGTCACACTTAAGAAAATATCAGAAAAGGCTCTTAATGGTGCTGTAGTGAAGTTCGCATAAAATTATTTGTAAAATATAGTAAATAATACAAATAAATAATGGCAAGTAGCTAGAGGATTTGTTACAAATATAATTGAACTTAAATACAATGATATATAAGAATATGCAAATAATATGAAGATTAGATTTTTATAACCAGCCTAAGAATTTTATAATCAGTTAATGGAAACATATATTCTTTTTAAATCTAATAATTACACTAATGTAAATTTATTATTTTATAAATTAGAAAAAGAGATTTAATTAATTATTTAAAAAAAAATAGATTCAATTCAAAGATTTTTTGGAAAAAACCAAACAAAATCTTGGAAATAAATGGAGTGAAAAGTAAAAAACTAATTTTGATATTTTAAGGATGTTAAATGTTTTTATTTATCTAAAAGTTTGATCATTCCTACTCAAGTCTTCTTCTAAACTTTAATCTTTTAATGGAACCAAATCTTAGAAGAAAATAAAGACTCAAACAATGACGATGAAACTGTAATTAATTTTTTTAAGATGATTGAATAGAAATATTAAAAAATATAAAAACAGATTATTAGGTTATTCGTACAAAGAGTAAGAAATAAAATGGCTGATAGCTGGGATGAAAACATAGTTTAAAAAGCTTAAGAGAATATATAAGAATGAAAAAATAGCAAAATTAGATTTATTTTAAATTAATATGATTTTCTAAAAATTAATTAAATTAAGTTTACTAAGTAGTAATTAACAATATTTAAATGGCATGTTTAAATTAATCTGTCTATCAATTTATCTATCTATCTAATCTATCTCAAAATTAAAAATGAGTAATAAACTTATAAAAAATACTAAAATTAGTAATCAATCAATTACTTACTTACTGATAAAAATAAAAAAACTGATTAATACATCAATTATTTTGTTTTTTGCATTTATCTATCTATCTATCAATTTATTTATTTATCTATTTTACAAGAATACTTTTATTTACTAAATAAATAAATAATTTCTCAGTTTTTAGAATATTAAAATTGCTTTTATCTTTTACATTTTCATTTTTAAATTATTAATTATTAATAATAAATAATTCATTTTATCAGATTTTTGATAGTATTTTAATATCTGAATATTTTGAAGTAATATTAATATCTCTGTGTGTGTAGGGAATAATCAGCTCTTTTCTCAAAATTTAACTTCAGATTTTATTTATTTGAATAATCTATTTTCTTTTATTTAATTACGAAAGTATTAATGTTGTGTATGAATTCTATGATGAAATCTAAATTAAAAATGGATATGAGCGAATCATTTGTAAAATTAATTCCTAATACTAACATGGTATAATACAGAATTTAAGAAGAGGAGGAATATGAACAAATTACAATTGAGCTAATTAAATAAGATAAAAAATTTTCATTTCAAGAAAAAGCAAACTCTTTTTATACCACATAATAGAGCACAACAAATTTTAACTCACGAGCTACAACTCTAGGAGGCAGTATAACTTCATAGAATAATATAAATGAACCAGAGGTGAAAGATTTTTATTTTAGATAAACTTAAAATATAGTTTAACAATTTGCTGATCCTAAAAATTATATAAAATCATAATAAATATTATTTCAATGGCTTCTATTAAGTTAATAAAAAAGACCAAACCTCTAACTACTAGGTTGGTCTTAATTGGTTGGATAAGGATCCTAAGGGAAGGTTTGTTTGGATTTGATGCAACTTTAATATTAAGATGCTTATATTTGCTAAAACTAATTAACAAAATAGTTTATTCCAGTAGCACTAAAATATATTGACGATAGTGATTAATTTAAGAGAGAGGTTATGATAGTTTAACAGTTATGTTATGAATATCAGCCAAAATTTATCTATGCTGATTTTTAAAATTAAGTAATTTGCATGGAATTTTGTATTTGTACCTTAGAAGACTTTTGTTTAATACCAAATAATATGTATTTAAAGAACGATTAGTTTATGGCTTCTCTCTTAATAAGATTAATGAACAGAATTGTAGGATTAATTAAAACTAACTTAATACATGGCGATATTAAACCTCAGAACACTGCATTTGGAATTAGGAATAATAAATTAGAGCTAATATTATTAGATTTTGGAGCTTCTTCTTACAATACCTTTGATTATTGTAACTACTACACGAAGGCTTACTGCCATAAATCTATAATTGAAATGGTGTATTAAGATTAAATGCTTGATATAGACACTATTTTTTTCAATGAGTTATTTTGCGCGTGTAGAACAATATAGTATTTAATTCTTGAAGATAAGAAATCAACAATTTTTAATTAAAGTAATTATGATTAATTTAAAGAAAAATATTCAATTTCTCATCCCGTCACAACAAGCATCATCAGCTTATTTTTTGGAAATAAAAACCTCAGTTATAGTTAGTAACAGTTTGAAAAATTTATACAGCACTATAATAATATCTTTGATGATAAATTCAATGAATTACAAATTGATTTCTTACTTTAAAACTAAAAAGCTTTTAAATGATTTTAGAATGAATGTTTCATATTGAATTATTTATATATTTTCTTGTTTTGTAAATTATTTTTGAAATGTTCTATTAATTTTCTCAAAACTTTAAAATTAAAAAAAGAATTTAGATTTAAATAATTAAAATTAAAATAAACATCTCATAAAAAATAAGGAAAAAATGTTGTGGTTTAAGAACACAATAAATGCTTACATGGATCTCAAAGATAAACAAAAATTCCATTTACAAAATTAATATTTTAAATTTGATAATTATAGGTGATATTTGTTTGTATGGTTTTCATACTTTTAAAACGAAAAAGGAAAATTATTATTATTTTTATTATTTATTATTTTAGGCAAAAAATTTTTCATAAAGAAGAAAGATTTATTTGTTGTTTATTTATTTATTTACTTATTTATTTTTTGTTGTATTATTGATTGATTGATGATAGCTGACTAATGTTTTGGAGTTTATTGCAATTTACCAAGACAAGTAAGCGAATTTCATATTAATTATAATAACTAAATTAAGCTCGGATAGGTATTAAATAACGTAAACTTTTGAAGTGATTGATTGATTGATTTATTTATTGATATACAGCATTTTTGAATATATTTTTTCTAATATATTATTAAACTTAATTAGCAAATAAGTTAGTTAATAAGAAAGGTAAAATAATTTTTATAAATATCCTCTCTATCTATACTTTTTTCGCTAATTGTTATATTTTTAAAGAATGAGAGAGATATAAAGAGCTTGGTTAGTATAAGTTTTCACTTAGTTCCATTTACATTATTTATTGATTCCGTGAGTATTGTTTCTTTTTTTTATTTTTCTTCTTAATGTATTTTTTCCCATTAAGATATATTATTTTCACAGTTTTTGACCATTTACTTAAATTCTGGTCCTGCAAATTCAGATAATACACTATACAGAGGTAGTACAATTATTTTGGCAAAGTTTCCTTCTTGTTTAGATATTATCTCCATAGATTCTAAACCTACTAGGTAAGGTGTCACTGGTAATCCTAAATGCTCTTCTTCTTGTACCTATTTTTTAATTTAGCAAATCTCAAAATATTAACTTTTAAAAATTTACTTAAAGAGTGAATTCTTTGCATATTCTCATACTCCATTCTTTTGCAAGTTCAAAACACTTTGTAGGACCTGTAAGATCTGCAACATGGACTAAAAAGCCACACATCAACTTTTTATCTGCTTCGCTTTTTACTAAATTTATATTCATATAAATTGATATAAATTTTAAGAAAAATAATGTTACTCAAGTCAGTTCCTTCCTATTTAAGATAGGTGAGTTTTATTTCAAATTGCTTGGTTAATTCTTAATGCTTTTTCATATCTGTAGATAAGATGTTTGAAATGCAATATTTTCTGATATTTTTAACATCTTCGTTTGAAAGTTATTCAAATATGTTATGTTTTTAAATTATTTTAAATAGTGTGGATGAGTGATGATTTTCTAAAACCTTTTTATTTAAATATTTAAGTTAAATAAATAATCATATTTTTATAAGTTGAAATTAATTACTGATTCATCATTAAATTTAATAGCTAATTTTGAGAGTGTAGCAACTTCAAAGGCGTTAGTCCTACCTGTATGTGATACATCATGACCTAAAGAAGAAAAGAGAAGAGTGAACTACTCTAAATAGTCTAAATACCTTGCTAAGAACTTAGCATTAATAAAGAAGTAAGTTGCATGAGATACTATTTATTAATGATTTATATTAAATAATAAGTTAAAATTTATTATAATTTGAATCTAAATTAATAATTATAATAGTAAGTATACCAGCTATAGCGTGCTAGAAATTGTGGAATGGGTTTTGTCTTTTATCATATTTATGCTGTAATAATTGTAAAAATTTTAAGAAAACTTCTTTATCTATCTTTAATTTATCCATAAAACCAGCTAGATGGAACATAGACCAAGCGTATCTAAGCTTATCTTCAGTTGTGGAAACTTAGTTATATGGGAAGTCCCAATGAGAAAGTTCATCTACATCCATATCGTTTACTTTAAATAGTTCTTTTGGTACTATTTACAATTTAAATAAATTTAGTATTTTAGTTTTTTTTTTATTTAAGTTGAATTACCATTTACTATTGTTTGGTGCTACAAGGAAGAAAAACTACCTTATCTAGTAATGCTCTCTTAAAATTTAGGTATCAAGGTAAGCATTCTTGGCTTAAATTTTCTAAAAAAAATAGATTTTAATTTGTTGTAAAATAAATATATTAATGTAAATAATTACATAGGCAAATCAGTGTGATAATACTCAACTACGTAAGAATCCTTGTACTGTTCTTCAGTTATCTATTTTTTGTACAAAAACTCAAAATTAAGAAAACCAAAAAATAAATCTATAATATACTACATCGAGTTATGTTGAAATCTTATATTCTATTGATTTGTCCTTCAAAAAATTCATCAAATCTTAAGGAGTAAAGTTTTCCTACAAGCTATAATGCTCTATCAAATTTTAGCAATACTTTTCTATTTCTTAATAGATGTTTTTCCTACTTTTTCCAGTTTTTGCTTTTTCATCTTAATTCCTATTTGTATATATTGATTGGTTTAATCTCACAGTAAAAAATTATTTAGAATTTACAAATTCTAATGCCCTTACTTTTTATCCTCTGTCAGTATCAAATAGGAATCAATTTAATTAAATTAGTTTCTCAGAGGGATTATATCAATTTGATATTATTTTTGATCTACATTTCCAAAGTTTTTCTCTCCAAGCTCTAGCTCATCAATAACTTTACCAATCAGTCTCTTATTTTCTTCTTCGAAAATCAAATCATCTAGAAGGAGCTATTCGCCAAGTTGATAATTATCAGGAATATGAAAAAGACTAAATTGATAATTATTTTTATAAACTTTAATTTTTGAGTATTTACAAATAAAATCATTACTCAAATTCAATGGGAATAGGATGAGGCTAATAAATGAGCTATCTCTTTTTGTCAAATAAAAAGAAAAGACTATTTTAGTTCTTAGAATCAATAATTTCCATCGTATATTCTTTTGAACTGAAATTTGAAACCATACTTATAAAATATCTCCATTACTTTGTTAGCTTTGAGAAATATTTAAATTTAAGTTAATTTAACGAAATGGATTTTTAAATTATTTACTCTTTCAACAAAAGTAAACAGATTCAATTTAAAGCTTTTAATGCATAAAATAAACTAAACAAATTTAGAATCTCCTATTGGTATATAGATTTTATCTTGGTCAGTGATGATATCCCACTAATTTTCACTATCAGAATCTCCATTATTTAAAATGTCACTATATATTTATTAAACTAGATAAAATGCTGATAATCAGAACTAATTATTTTACCAATCTGACTGCAGATGATATCTGATGAGTTCACACATAATAGATTTCAAAATTTCATAAGAAAATCTTAGATACTAAAATTTAGTCATGTGAAGAATTGAAAGGAGGTTTTCTTTAACAATTTTAGAGTTTTAAATATCATTGACAATGTCTATCATAAAATTAAATATCAAAAAGCAGCTCTTGAAGGGTAGCTTAAGGAAGTATGAAAATAAGATAGATTCCATTTCAAATATGAAAAAATTTGAATTGTTTAATTTTAAGAAAAAGTATTTTTTGTTTCCAAAATATTATGAAAAGCATTCTAAATCTGGTCTTTCGTTTGAGTTTTCAATTATTTCTTTTTTATTTTCTCCTGTTAAAAAAGCTTTTAATTCACAAGAAATTTTTTTTAAGTCATCGTTTGGAATCTATTTTTTATATAAAAAATAAATGTAAAAATTAACAATTAGATATTATTTATTTTATTAATATTCAAATTTTTTTATCTAACTACATTAAAGCTAATAAATAAATAATAATTAATTTGCAATATCTTATTTAATTAGGATATAAAAGGTTAAGCAAGATATTTTCTTTCAGGTTTAATTAAAAATGTAAAGTGAATGAGCTCAGTTAAAATACTTGAATGAGAATTTTGTTACTGGCAAATTTAATAGATTAGAATACTTTCAGTAAATATTTTATAAAAAGAGCATTGTGAAAATGTTTTGGCTTGATAATTTATTCAATTTGAAAAAAATCAATCAATTAGTGTTAATTAATTTGAAGATTTTTGATTTGTAATTTTTATAAATTATTTTGCGCTCATAATTAAAGAAAAATAAAATTAAGAAAATAAGTTATATAATGTGATTATTTAATAATCAAAATTTTTCTTGCGTACTAAAAAAAAAGAAAGAGCTTAGGTGTAACACACACTCGCTATTGAAGATTTGATAAAAAAATAATCAAAAATTTATAATGCTAAATAAACTGCAGTTACATTGAAGTGTTCAGTCGTAGTAAATAAATGAACCTATTCTTAGTTCTTTTTAGAGTTATAGATAATCGATAAGTTTGACGATTAGAAAGCCATGTTTATTAGGCTTCTTAGTAAATAAAGGGATCTCTCTTTTGTCAGCGCTTTTTAATTTAGTATATAGATTCGATATTTATCTATTGATCTTATTTTTTGCTATAAGTTTATAAAAAAAATGCTTAAGATTTATTATTGTAAATATTCAATATGTAAATTTGTGTTGATTCTTAAATGTATTTTCTCACAATTCTTAGCAATTTGTTAATTTAATTATTCAATGCCATACCTTGAAAGCCTATATCCTTTCTTCTAAGTCGTTAAATAAATTCTGCTCCATATTGTGCAAATGTATTCCATTTTAAACTGAACCATTTCTATTATTTTAAAAAAAAAACAAATTAGAGAATTAAGCATTGATAGGCTATCATCTGTTTTTTCTGCTATTAGCTACTGAAAGTTTTTAAATTGATTTCCTCGCTTTAAATGCTTTTAATTACTTTCAACAACTTAAGAAAAAGTTTAAAACATTATTTATATTCTTTAGTTAATAAATATCATATATTACATGTGCTTCTTCTTTTAAGGATAGAAATCGTTTATTATCTTCAGTGTGTTCAGCTTATTTTTAATCTAATTGAGCTCGCTTAATTCTTCCAATGTTAATTCGAGATTACTGTTAGGTATCAAGTCTAATTGCTTGTTGGATTACCTCAGTAGATCCAACATAATCTACTTATTTGATTTATTATTGCTCATATAAACTCTATATAATTAAGAATTTTTTCTTGTAAAAAGGTTAGTTTTTTGTTATACCTTTCTTCTTTGTTTATTTATTTATTTATGTTTTGTTTGTTTGTTTGATTGTTTCTTGCTACTTGTTTTTTACAATAAAATAATACAAATAATTAATTATCTTTTTATTTTTATCAGTCAGTCAGTCAATCAATCAATCAATTAAGCAAAATATTGATGAAAACTTTATTATTTTTCAATAAGCTTTTATCACTTATTTATGTTAGGGATAATTAATTAATTAATTATTTATTTATTTTTCTTAAAATTTCAGAAGATTTTATATTTTTTTTCAATTATTTCTTATCGCTACATTTAAGATATACAAAATTTTATTAACTTCAGCAATATTCACTTCAATCACTCAATTTACCTAATTTTTAAGTTGTGAATAGTTGTTTGTTTATGCCATTTTCTTAATAGAAAAATAAAATATTTCAAAATTTCAAAATCATTTCTCATGGTTTTAAATTAATTTATTATCATGATTAAATATGTAAAAATACAAAGTATTTTTTATTATTTTTACAATTATATTTAATGAAACTAAAAATTAGCTCCCAATTAATAAATTTTATAAGTTTATTTGCTTGATGACCCTTTATAAATGTGTTTTTATTTGTAACAAAAAAAATAAAATTATTTTCATAATTTATTTAGAATTACAAGAAATGTTTATTAATTTTTATTTGAGTAAAAATAATAATTAGGTTATTAAAAAAATAATTTTGAATGAAAAAGTAATAAAAGTATGGATTAATTATGAAGAATTTAGTTGTGATCATTAAGTAAATAGCTTTATTTTACAATTTAAATAATTAAATTTTAAATATTTGATGAATTATTTTATTTATTGTTGAATAGTTTAATAATTTAATTTTTACCAACAAACATCAATAATAATAATAATAATATTTTGGTTTTCATCAATATAATTAAGTGTGTATTTATTATCATTTAGTATAGTATTAACTCCAGTTGAACAAATCTAGATAGATCTTTTATTTAAAGATATATATCTATTCAAAAATAATGAAACAAATTCTAAGTTTAGGGATGTAATCATTATATAAATAAAATATTTTTTGTTAAATAGAAAAAAGAGAAAAGATAAACAATAAGAAATCGTTTTAAAATGAAACAAAATTTACTTTCTTCATTAACTTTTTATTGAATTAATAACTACTTTATGTATCATTATTATATTAAAATTTATAGTGGAAAATCTAAAGGAATAGATGGAGCTAAAAAACTAGGATAAGATATTTTAAGAAATACTAAAATTGAAGATCTATAGTTAGAAATAAGCGAGTATGTTGATTGATCGCTAAAAATAAATTACTCTTTTCATATTTTTTATTAAATTCAATTTTTTTATTTTAAATATGATAACAAATTATAAAATCTTTTGAATAGAGGTAATTTTGTGGGAATGTAGGGAATCAAAGAAATAGGAAAGTCTCTTTTGCAATGTAAAGAGATCAAAAAATATTCACTTGAAATTTAAGAGTACTTTTGCTTATAAAAATTTTTTAATTTAAGTTTTTTATAAAATAAAGTAAAAACTAACTTTAAAGTTATTCTTCTCTATGTATCTTCTATTTACTTTCAAGTATTCCTACTTTAGATAAACTGTAAGAAATCAAGATTATTGTACAAAGGTTTAAATTATTTAAATAAATTAATTTTTTTAGACTAAAATATATATTTACAATATAGTAAAGAGTTGCAATAAAATGAATTTTTGGAAGTATCCCAAGCTCTAAAAAAATGTGTGGTACTCAGGAGTTTAACTCTTATTTTAGGAAAGTAGAAGCTTATAATTCATTAAATTATTTTGCTTATAGTTTTTTATTTCAAAATAGTTAAATGCACATTGATGATAATCCACTTTAGTAAATAATTGAAACAGTATCATAGCTCAGCTTTTTAAAGGAATTTACTATAGAAATATTAAAGTATTTGAAGAACAAAATTATTAGAATTATATTATTTTAATAATAATTAGCGATAACTAGTACTCTAAGAAAGTGTGCTATTACTTAGAAAATGCTTTGAATAGCTGCTCAAAGATAACTAATTTATCTATTTCATTTGGAATGTAATTTATAAAATTAAAAAATTTAAGTTATATTTTTAAAAATAAATTTCGTACTATTTAATTAAACAGAGGCAATTATATTGAAAATGAAGGACTTAAATAATTATCTAGAGGATTAGAAAAGTTGGGCATACTAAAAAAATTATATCTTAGGATAGGACAGTAATTTATTACTCACTCTATTTTTAAAATATGTTAAAACTTGTTTTTTTATTTCTTCAAAACTTTTAAAAGAGAAAATTAAATAGATCATGTAGGCATAAAATTTTTTGCAGAAAGTCTCTCAAAATGTTATCATTTAATATTACTCGACTTAACTATAGTAAGGTAATTAATTAACTAATATATTTTTAATCATTTTTATTTACTTTTAAATTTATTAGAAATGAAATAGGTAATATTAAGTAATTCTATGATAAATCGTACAATATTTATTTTACAAACAATCAGGATCTGAGGGTGCTAAATATTTAGGTTAAGGTTTAAAATTTTGTCGCCATCTACAAAGACTATATCTTACAATTGGAAAGTTAATTAAAATCATAAAACTTGGCATTATATTTATTTTAATTTAAAAAGTGGATGTAACATAGGTGTAGATGGTATGGAAGGAATAGGAAATGGTTTGAAAAATCTGAAACATTTAAATTTTTTAGATTTAATTATAGGAATGTAATTAATTAGATCATTTAATTGTTTTTTGACTTTTATTATTATAAGTTAAAATAAAGTAGAAAAGTTAGGAATCATAAAATTAGCAAAAAGACTCAACAAATGTTAAAAATTAATGATAGTTTATTTCTTATTTAGATTGTAAATTTTAAAATGTTTCTTTCATTTAATTATTTAATTTTCTGTATTTTTAGAAGCCCAGATTCATAATTATTTATTGATATTATGCACAAATCTAAGAGACTTACATACATTAAAAACTAAAGCTGAAGCTACAAAAAATAACTAACTCAATTAATAAACAAATGCATTTATAAATTATTTTTAATTAAAAATTTTTAAATCATCACAATATATATGAAATTCATTTCTTATAAATAAATTGCATCATATTTAATATTTTGTAAATTGACTTCAAATTAATTCTCTTTTTTCAATTTATTCAATTTTTCTAAAAATTATTTAAAATAAATTATTATTTTCTATTTTATTTGTTCTATTGAATTTTATTAACGCAATATCTAAGAACAAAATCCTAATAGCAACTGATTTATGACAAAATTAGAAAACTTAATCCTTTAAAAATTGAAAGAAAAATTTGAATTTTGTTTAGTATTTTATTTTTATAATTTATATTAATAAATAATAAAAAAATAAATCAAAGTTAAGAAAATTCTGTGAAAAAAACAAAAATTAAATCATTATTAATTCATGACATTTTTAAGTTTTTTTTAATTTTTTAAAAACTTTAATCTAAATTTTGATAGTTATAAATATTGATGAGTTTATTTATATTAATAGTTTATTTGTTAATTAAATTTGATTATTATATTTTTACATTTATGATTATATAAAGTGGTATAATAAATAAAATATTACAATAATTATAAATGGGTAGATTTTCTTACTTAAAATAAATTCAAAAGTTTCATTTTATCTCAAAAAAGATTTTATTTAATTCTATAAAGTCTTATTCTATAACTTGTTCAAGTAGTTCATTATCTATACTCAATCTTTTATGGTTAATATCAATTAAATATTAGCATAAGTAAAGAACTTTTGAGTTTAACTCTCCTTCGTTTTCAACCTATTCAGACATAAAATTTAATTACTTTTGATAAATAAAATATTTGATTTTACACAGGATTCTGTGACAATGATTTTTCTTTAATCTTTTTCAAAATTGGTTTATATTTCATTATCATTTATTGAATTTATATAATCAAGTTAGTAAGGCTCTCCAAAATAGCAAGCTAGTGGCTATTTATATTAAAATGGTGTAACAACACAACTCATACTCATATTTAAACTCATTCCATCGCTAGGAACTTTTATCTTTTCAATTTTAACTCCTAAAACTGATTAAAAAAACAAAATATTATAAATTAAAAATCCATGATCAATTAAGTTATCAAATGATTTTACAGTCAAAAGCAAACATCCACTCATAAAAATAAAATTCCTCTAATTAAACAATTGATAGCAATTCAATGAATTTAATAGCTGCTAAAACTAGATTGAGACTAGTATTAGTTTTTTTTCTTTTATCATTAAATATTTTCATTAAGAATGTTAAAATAGCAGGCCATACTATTCTAAATTAATCATTTAATGTTTGCTTAGACATTCTGAGTACAAGGATTCTAAAACAAAATAGGATCTAAAAATGATAAATAAAAGATTAAATTTATTTTTTTGTCAAGAAAAAAATTATACAAGAATATAGATGTTTGGTTAATGAGAATCTTCGTAATTAATAATTATTTCATTTAAAGCTTCTAAAATATCGAGTAACTTTTTAGAATATTTATCAACATTTCCTGAGTAAATTATAAAGCAAACTCTAAACAATTTTTTAATTCTATGACTTTACTCGTGGTTTTTTGATACTAAATTTTAGAATAACCCATCTCTGCAGTAATTTATAAAAAAAGTTTTAATTCAATTTTATTTATTTAAACAAACTTACTTAGTCAAGAATTCTTTAAAGAGATCACCTTGGTCTGAAATTCTATCTATAATGTCCTTCCAATTTCTTAAAGTTTAAAAGTCGCAGTTAAAGAAATCCTAATTAGTTTATTCGAAAAATATTGATTTACTTTATTATTTATTTTTTAAATTTACTTAGCTATTAAAAAGCTCAATTATATTTTTTCTGATCTCTTTTGCTAATAGCTATCCGCTATTTTTAAGTAAAGAATTAATAAGCTAAGATGCATATATTTCATGAATAATTTAGTTATTATCTAATTTCTTTTTCTCTATTGCTTTAAATAAATCAAATAAAAAGTTTTGTGTAATCTTTGTGATTCTTTCGTCACTTGCGTAAATATTTTAAAGTAGTTCATAGCTTAAATCACTTAGGACCTTATAACAAATAATCTAATTGTAAAGAATAAACTACTCATCTCCTATGTCTTTAAGTTCCTTATAATATAAATTTATTTAATTATTAATTTAAAATTAATTTGAAAAACTACATCTATTTTTGGTAGTTAGAATATCATAAAATCAGGCTTGTCTAGGCACATTTAATATATTATTGGAGACATAGGTGCTATCAAGGTAAAGTCATTAATTTCAGAAAGGCGGCGAACAGCATCTGATGTACTTTTAATTACAGCTGTAGGTACAACACTAGTGAATTATATTTTATTTGCAGCTATTTAAGAAAGAGTTAAAAGAATTCCCTTAACTAGCCTTCTTAATTCTTTCCTAAAAGTACGATCTACCATAGCTTGATTAGGAGAAAACTTTTGACTCATCATAAATATACTTTCAACCAACCAAACTAAGCTTTATGAGTGCTTGGAACTTTTGAATTGTCTATTTAATATGAATTATATTTATTTAAAAAACCAAGATAAAATATTATTTATTTAATGATTAAAAATAATATTTTTAAGTTAAATTGATTTTTAAATTTATAAAATTATCTTTTAATAATTACTAAAAGAATTTATTTGCAGGAATCCAAATATCTTGTAAGTAATTATCAGGCATTTTCGTGTCATCAATAGGATAGATTGAAAATATTATATAGGTGAAGCTGAGAACGTTGATTTCGTTTATAGCTATTTATCTACTGAAAGGAAATGTATTCTTGGGAATAGATATTCTAGTATTATAAAAGTTTGTGATTTGTAGTACCATATCACTTTTTAAGCATACATTAATAAAATCAACCAAGTTTATATCAAGAGAAATTATGAGATCCATTAATTTATACAAATTGATAGGATACTCTTCTTCATTATACCATTCATTGCAAATATTATTTGTGTAGAGCTTAAATAGTGCATGCATAGTGTCAACACTAAATTAAGTAAAAATTGGTTTCATAATAGCTATGATCTTTTACCTTAAAGAATCTTTTTAGTTAAGGCTGTTATTTTTAAGCTCTTGTTAATATTACTTTTTTATTAAAATAATTTTTTAAATTAATTGAATAAAATGTATTGAAATGTTTACCTGATTAAATTCAACAAAGGAATCATATTTGTATTGCAGTATGCCTTTGCTTGTTAATTTATTTTAATAATTTTAAAAACTATTTGATAACGGCCAGCAATGCAAAAATGCTTCTATTATGCTTGGTAAATTATCTAAGATATTTCTATTAATTTATTAAAATTAACCAAACTATGCTGTTTAGGCTTCTTTTTTTTCATTATGTGAATGCATAGTAAATAAAGACTTTAGTCTTTTTCTTTCTGTGTTTTGTTGCACTTCTTGCTTCTTAAACTTTAGAAAATAGTTCATTAGTTTATTTAATGCATCAAACAAGATCTATTTTTTAAAATGAAGGGTTAAATTTAAAATTAAAAAATGTTATATATTTTACAAGCTGATCTTATTGAGAAGCTGGTAAAGTAGTTGTTTCTTATAAGAAAAGAGCAGAAACATCTAAATGCTAAATACTACCATTGTTTTTAGTTTTTAGTTTAAAATTTTATCTTATAGATAAAGACCTTGAATTAGAAGTTCTTATCCTTGAAATCTGGGTCAAATTCAAACTTTCTTCTTAGAAGTTTGTGACTTGAGTATCTTTTATCAAATCTACATAAGTGTTAGTAATCTACTCAACATATTTAGTAAGTGTAGAAATAAGATTGCTATGTGATTTGCTATCTGGTTATATAAGCTGAGAGCAGTAGAAAACAGTACTGTTTATTGTTTTCAGGTAAGTCTAGTTAACATAATATGTCTTTGTACTGCTTAATCCAAGAAGCAAGGTAGGAAAACAAAAATATGAAGTTAAAATTTCACTAATAAGCTTTTTATCATCTGATTTAAGGTTTGAGATATTATCTTTGATTTTTTAAAGGATTATATTGAATAAATTGAGAACTTAAACTTGCATAACCTAATTGTTTTAATCTATCAAATTAGATATACAAATTAGAATATTCTCAAGCATAAAAGTAATTGACTTCATCAATATTTCTTGGTCTTATATCTCATTCATAATTGATTCTAAGAAATCACAAAAGTTTGCGTTAATTGTTGCATTTTTAGATTAAAATTAATAAGAAAAAGAGTTTGAAGTTTATCCTTACATCAGCTTGAGTGAAAGAAAAATAATTATTTCAAGGTAACTGCATTTATTTATATCAAACTAAGAAACCATATTATTAATAGAAGCGATCTACTACTAAATCTTAAAAGAAATAGTTTAGTTGAAGCAATACAAAACAAATTTCTCTCTTAGAATGCTAACTATTGATTTAATTTATTTATATAAATTCTATACTTTATCTTAGTTATATTCGTTTTTGAATAATACTTTCTTATTATTTGTTAAAAAGTATTCAGCTTATTTGTATTCATCTAGTAAATCACTAATCAAAGGATCTATGATACTTTAAGACAAGGAATAAATAATTTTATATTTTGTAAATTATTTAAAATTTACCGAGAAAGGTAACTTAAATTGTCATTTAACCAGCTTCTTGAAGTGTAACGTATAAGAGGATTATCATCTTATAAATAATTTAACAATTCGTAGATTCCCACACCATTATTTTATATTGAATTCTCTAAGAAGTAGTCATTTGTTAGGCGGAAATACTTTGAATAGCGTCTTTTAGAATTTTGGAAAAAAATAATTTTTTATAAAATAAAAACTAGAATTAAAAAATAAGTAAGTAACTTAATTAATTATTTACCTTATTGATTATTCTAATGAAGGAGAAATCTTGAGATCTTGCTATATGAATTAGTAGAATATTTAGGAATAATAATTTTTAAAATGTAAAATTTTATTGATGATCTCAGAAGAAGATATAGATTCTTCATCTAATATATAGTATAAACAATGGAGAATCTTTAAGAGGGTCTCCTCATTTTTGCTGATATATCCTCTAAATTCGTTTGGATTTTCTAACAAATCATAAAGATTTATAACAGAAAAATAGAGAATTCTTGTAGATTTAGAATTAAGGCATGATATTAGAGAAGCTAGCCAATTAGGAATCAATGTTTTTTCTTATTTTTCAGAGTGAATAGCCATTATTTTATTTAGAGAAAGCAGAATTTTGGAAGAATAGTCTAAAATACCAAAATCATCATCCGTTTACAAAATATATGAAACATATTCGCAATAATAATCACTAAACTTAACAATATTCTCTTTATGCTACTCTGACAAAGTCACAGACACATTATTATTCTAATTAATTATTTTTAAATTAAATTTTATTAAAAAAAGTATTTGCTTGTTTTTTTATTTGTTTGTTTATTTATTTATTTAATTATTTACTGTAAGCTATTTTAGAAGTTCTAAAACTAAATGTAAGGCAGGACCTCTGTAGGTTGTTTTAGTTATAGTTTTAGGTCCAATCTTAACAAAAGTTTACAAAATTTATTATATTATAGGTTGAAAACTTTCGCTAATCTATGAGTAATCTATTTGATTTTCTTCAGAAATATCATTATGCTACATAGAAATTGTAAATTCAATCAATTCAATTGATTGCAATGCATTTGTCTCATTTCTTTGATCCATTGCTTCTGATAACTTTAAACCTATAATGAATAGATTATAATATATTCAATATTTTATTTAATTAAAATATCTTTACTCAGCTACTTGAATACCAAGTCCATGTGGTTAGAAATACTTTGAAGAAGACGCTAAGTAGAGAGGAACAAATTTTAGTCTTCTTTAACGTTAAACATAAACTTTATCATCTCAAAAGCAATCTCATCTAAAGTAAGTTCTATCAAGTGATCATGTTCTCTGTAAAAATTTTACAGAACCTTCAAGGGAATATTTTTATCAACTAATTATTACAAATATATTTTAAGTTAAATTATTGGAAATTAATTATATTATTTATTTATTTACTTAAAGGCAGTGAGAACAAATTAACTATGGATTTTTTAATGAATTTTAACAGTTTAATCCCTCTTTCATCATCTTATACACTGAATTTATTGTCATTGTCAGGAGGACCAAAGAGCCAAATGTTAATTTTTCTCATGACAGTGAACTCATTTAAATGAAATTAATACAGACATTGCTAAACTAAAAGCTGCTTATCTGTGTCAGAGAGTATGTCTTCTTCAATTGGAAAATGTGAGGTAATGTAATCTAATCCGAACTTACGAGTTAATATATTTTCATCTTATAAAACACTTAGTAAAGCATTAATAATTAAATTTGATTTATTAGGATAGAAATTCTCTTCACTCTTTAAGTCTTTTATGGCATCTACATTTTATTTCATAATAAGAGGTTTTTTTGAAATTCTACTATTGAAATATAAATTTAGATTATACTTATTTGTTTCATTAGTTAGACTTAAAGCTAAGCTATTGGATCCTAAAAGTGGTCATAAGAAATCCTTATTTCTCCTTCAACCTCTTAATCAAAACTTTGCTGACCAGTAAAATTAATATTCTCATCTTTTATACTATATTCAGAATTTTTTTTAATTCTTAAGGAGTTATTGCTGTTACTTTATTTGCTATCTCCATATAATGAATCCTCGCTCTTTATAACATTAACTGAAATAAAAAATATATCAAGTGAATAAATAAACTACTTTTTATTCAAAATTCTAAAATTCATAATCAATTTATTCAGCTTCTATCTGCTTAAAAGGCTTAGTTTTCTTATTTAAATACTTGAATCCACCTATCCTTATTCTAGGAATTCTTAGAATAGTCATCCATAAAGCTGCAAAAAAATATTTTTAGCCAACTCCCTCTTAAACTGTGTCTAATAATTTTATAGTTTATCTTTATACTGATTCATCGTTATCTTCTAATCCTGGTAAAACGCAAGCAATAAGCCCAGGAAGGCAAGGAATGAGTTATACTTGCAGCTCAGTAATGTAATCTTAAATAAGCTTCAAAAATTATGGTTTAATCTTTTTATATTTTTAAAGTAAAATTCACTAAATATGAATATAAAATAGACTTTTATGTAAATCATTTCATTAAGCATTACTTGCAAAGAAGCAAATTGAAAGAAGGGAAAGAGGCCAATAGCATATAAGGCTAAATCAGATGAGAGCTGATTAACATATTTTTTGTTATCACCACCTAACTTTAAAAGCTTTAAATTTTAAAAAATCTTATCATAAGTTGTCAATGCTAATCCATGCACTTTAGAAGGTAATGAGGGATAAAGGCATTGAGCAAGCCTTTTAGCAAAAATTTCCTTGTGAGGAATATGAGGTGTTTTGTTTTCATCTAAAATTTATGCAGCTTTAATTAACCAGTTACTTGAATCTGCCCACTCATTACTTTTTTCAAACTATGCTAAATGATTTGCAAGCGATTTCTTTAGATTTTCTGTTTCTTTTGCATAAGACTTCTCCATCAGTTACAATTTTTTAAATCTATATTTCACACTTTTGATGTAATTTAATGGTTATCAAAACAAACTTTTCAAACTATTTTGCTATTTTGATTATAAATAATTAATTTCAAAGATAGTAACAATTAAATTTGATTACAAATTAATTGATTGGAAATATATAGAATATCCATATTAATTTTAATGCTTATTAATTATTTTTTTTTATTTTTGATCATACATTTTAGATAAACTTTCTATTAAAACTGTTAAATGTATCCTTCTAATAGATTCTCTTAATAGGGCTAATATCACCCTAACCTTGCTTATCTATTATATTATTTACATAATATTTATTTATATCTTTAATAAATTACTCCCAAAAAAATTACAAAAGATATTAGAAATTTGATAAATTTTACAAAAAATTTGATAAAAAAAATTAATTTTATATTTATGAAATATTTAGCCATTAAAATGAGCATCAAAAACTTTAGCTTGTAATTAAATCTTTAAATTAAAAACAAAATAGAAAACCCATATTTAAGTTTTTAATTATTTCGAAGTTAAATTTAATATTATTTATCTAATTAGTATTTATTATTAAATATTTTTTTTTCAAATTAATCATAATAAAATTTTACTAATTTATATTTTCATTTTTACTAATAAAAATAAGAACAAATCCAATTTTTTTTAAATGATAAAAATATAATTCATTCTTGTAAAATATTTTTAAATTTATGTAAAAGAATATAATAAAATATAAAAATACAATCAATATATTACCAAATTAACATAAATTTATAAAATATTCTTTGAGAGAAATAACTATAATATTTACATATGATATATATTTGAAGCATAGATTTTTTAATTTTATTAATAAGGGATGTATTTATAAATTTTCTAACTTAGATTTATTGTTCAATTTTCAAAAGTAAAATAATTTTTTTAATTTTAATTTATATTTACGATTGAATAGATTTATAAAATTCAGTAAATCTTAAAATATATAAAATCAGTATATAACATAAAGCTATAATTTCACATTTTAGATTAAATTATATAATCAATCATCTTATCTAAAATGGATTTTTATTATGATATTTTAAATATTTCTTTTTTAATTAATTTTATAAATAAAAAAATTAAAATATATTCAGAAATCTATTATAAATTAACTAATTATATATTTTGTCATTTTAAATATAAAAATTTTATTAAATTTAAGACTGATAATTTAAGTTATTTTGAATCCATATTTATTAGTTTATAATAAATTTCAAAATAATACTAACCAGAATATTACATACATACATATTAAAATTTAAAATATATAACAAAAGAATTGCATAGAAATTTTATATCAAAATATTATTTATGCTTTCGAATGAATCAATGAAGCAATAATATAAAAAACAAACTATCAATAAATCAAGCAAGCAAGCAAACAAACAATAACTTTTATTTTTGGAAAGAATAAAATAGGCATATTAGAAGAAAAGTCATATTAAATAACAAAGTGTTCATCTATCTTAAATTCCTTAATAACTTCAATTAATAAAAGATAGTAAAAAATAGGTTTCCTTCAATTTTGAAATAATTATTATTTAAATAAAAATTAAACAATTAAGGAAGAAAGAAGATATCCGAAATAAAATAAAAAACAAAGATAATTCAACAACAAATAAGCAAATAAAAATGGACGATCACTTTTTTGAAGACGAAACTCATAATCATCAAGGTAATTGATAATACATTAAAATATATTACAAAAACTTAGAAAAAATAACTTTATTAGCTTTAAATAAAATGAAAATAAGTAGTGACAGATAGCTTGTTAAGCATATTTTTTTATTGTTGAAAGAAACAATCATAATATGATAGAGAATTATATGAAAAAATTTACTAATATTTTATAAAAAAGCAGCTAATAAATAAAAAAGAAAATTATTTTGCTTTAAATTTTTAATATTAATTTCATGATGTTAATTATATTTTTATTTTTAAAGATGTTTTCTAATAAGAACCCAACTAAGAAGCACATTAATAAGCTGCTGGCGGTGATCAGTTTGATAACTTCTTTGGTGATTAAAGCTAAGGATAACCCTAATAAACATAACCTGAACATCAAGAATAAGATGACTTCTTCGGTGGTGGATAACCAGTTTAATAAGCTACAAATTTTGAATAAAATACTCAAAGTAATCAAAAATATTTTTCGAGTATTAAAATTTTAACGTTTTTAATTTTACAATATTAGGCTAATATGGTGCTTTTAACAATAATTTTGGAAGCAGCAGCTAACCTCAATAAAACTTTGATATGTTTGATCCTACTGAACACACTCCTTAACAAGTAACAATAAAATTTTAATTTAACCTGAATTTTTTGAACATTTTCATTCTTCATAGTTTTTTAACAAACAATTTTTTAGTATTAACTTTTGATTTTTTTATCAAACAGATTAGCGAACACGAAGAAAGAAAACTTAAACTCTAAAAAGATGAACAAGAAAGAACTTAAAAGTTAATTTAAAAGCAAGTAATATAAATAAATACTAGATTTTTACAATTTATTGGAATATTTCAGCAAATAATAATGTGTTTTTCTATATGCAAATATAGTCTGAAGAAAATAGTTTGAAGAGCTAAAGAATTTCTGCTGCTAAAACATATCTTGCTAACTGGAAATCGTAAGAATAAATAAATAAATAATTTATGTAAAAGAAATAAATTTATAAATTCATTTTTTATTAACAAATAGTGAGAGAGAATAAAATATTCAAAAAAGAAAATAAGCTTGTCTTTAAGAAGAAGAAGTTTTAGTTGAATCAAGAAAGTAGCAAACTTATGTAAAAATTTTTTTAGTTTATCAAAATTTATCATTTAAAAAATATTTTTCTTAACTTATTCTTTTAAAACAGAAAAATTCTTGGGATAAGGTTACTAGTAATATTAGCTTAAAGGCCAGTGAATATCCTGGAGCCAAGGATGTCACTAGAATGAAAGAATCTATTCTTAATAAAAAATCAGATTTAGCCAATAACTGATATTATATATAATATTAATTTATGTTAAGTAACTATAGATGGTGTAACTAATTTAAATAAATATTCATTGTAAATTTTGTTTGTAATTAAAAAGTTGAAATACTTCATTTTTATTTGATTTTCCTATTTATTTATATAAACATTTTACATCATTTTTACTTTTAATGAAACAATTATTTATCATAAAACTTATATTTTGTATCAAAAATAATGCCTTTGCTATTTAATTAATAATTGAATGAAATAGTTATTTATTTATTTTTTTTAATATTAACAAATAATTTTCCGCGTGGATACTCAATTCTTTTTATTTTTTTATTAAAATTTTATTGGTTGAATTTCAATCTTAATTCAATCAATAAAAGCTTAATAAACAAACATTAAATATATTAATTATAGTTTAATTTATATTTAATAAATCAAAAAAGAAAAATTTGTTTATTACTTAATTAAAATTATTTTTTATCAAATAATGAAAATTGAATTTAATATAAGATACAATATATTCAAATAAATTATGAATAAACAAATTCATTTAAATGTAATTTAAACTAACAATAATATTTATTTTATCAAGATTATTTCAAAAGAATAAATCAAAAAAATCACTCAAAGTTAAGAGTTCTATTCGCCTTTTTCAGCAAGAGATCTGAGAGATTAAAGAAGTTAATCATGCTCAAGTCCTTCAAGACTTACTTCTTATTGGCTTAAAGTTTATACTAATTGAATGCAGTCTTAATATTTTTATTTAAATTCTTGAATTTGCAAGTTAAGCAATTCTTTTTCTTATTAGAAAGTAACTGTTTATGCTTGCAATTATTCTTTAAGCTCAGTATTTTAGGTTTCACTTTAAACCAAGTTTTGTTTTAATTATTCTACTTCTTAAGTCAAAACACTAACACTTTACTCATTCTATATTCTTTCCTAAACTTAAAGATGTAAATACTCAACTTAGCTCTTTAATTCAGTAATTTCGGCATCTTTTTGAGCTAAATCACTCTTTAAGTTTTCATTTTTAGCTAAATAATCTTTGTTTTCTTCGATTGCTTTTTGTAATTATTAGTGTTCTACATCTTGTTGATTGTTTGGATGACTATTTTCTTTTTCTGAAATAGCTTCTACCTTAGCTTCAGTCTTAACATGATGGGTAGTATGACTAGTTTAAGTATTACTTGATTTTCTTTGAGGTTGGGTAACATTAGTAGTGGTAGTAGTATGGTGAACTTGATGAGAAAGAGTTTAATTGTGAGTGGTAGTAGCAGGCTTACTATGATGAGTGTGGTTAGACAACTTTAAATCCTTCATGGCAGCAACTTTAGGTTAAGCATTTTAACCTTCAAGCCATTATTGAGCTGTCAAGCTAAAGTCAATAGAGCAATCTGGATAGAGATCTTCTTAAAAGTCTTAACTTCTTCTAGGATAAATGATAGAAACTGCTTCAGCGTATTTGCTACATAATTTTACTAATCTACAAACTTCATTCTAATGTGTGTCTACAGCATACTTAGGTAAGAAACCATATCCCTTTAATTTTAATAAATTTGCAATTAGTTAGTATACATGTTATAAATTTAGATTATTTATTTTCATCATTCAAAAATAACTAAATTCATTTATATAAAACTTTGAAGGATTAATTATTGCTAATAAGTTTTCATTCATTTTATATTAAAAGCATTGATAAAATCCTAAAGTACTTTAAATTCTCAATTAAGATATATCTTCTTATTATAAAATTTGATAAGATATTTTACCTTAGTAGTATCAGTAACCATGACATCATTTTAATGAGTTGTGAGAGTTCCGTTTTGGTATTCAAATAAGCGGACTAAGCCTTCACCTTTACCATTTAGATATAAAATACCTAAATCGCTATCATAGTAGGGATGGAGAACACCTTAAGCTTAAGAACAGCCTTCTACTTTGATATTGCTTGAGGTATTACGAATATCCCAAAGGAAAAGCTATCTCTTTTATACTTGGTCAAAACCTGTAGTTACGAAGTAACTTGTATTACCTAAAAAGGCCATTTTTTATGCTCTGGTGCTTTGATGAGCTCCGAATTCTTTAACAAATGTTTATTACCTAGGATCAATAATTCTTACCTATTTTTATTTTAAAATAAAAGAATTTTTATTAACCTTAAATCAATAGTCTGCATTAAAGAATAATCAATTCCATCATAAAAGTCTTATAAAAGTCTAGCTTCTTAATATTAATGAAGGAGTCAACTTTAAATAATAATATTACTTGTTTATCATTCCATGTAGAACCTAGGATTGATCCATCGTGGGACCACTCTAAGCAAAGAGCATAGTTACTACCTTAGTTAATAGTAAGTACATCTTTGCTTTCTTCAGTATTCCAAACCTAAATTAATATTTAAAAAAGTTAATTAGCTATTTTAAAAATGTTAGGTTATAAGAGTAATATTAATGACTGATTTTAAAAAAAGAATTTAAAGTATTTACCTTGATAGTCTTGTCATACGATGCAGAGGCTAATATACCTTTAGCTGAGTTATGGGGAGCAATCAAATTGATTTTAAGAGCATGTCCAGATAGTGTAGTTAATGGAGTGTCAATATCTTTGCTATTATCATCATCAATGTGCCAAAACTTAATGGTTGCATCTTAAGAAGCAGTAGCTACAGTGTTTTCTTAGTAAGGCAAAAACTTGAAATCAGTAATGTGAGAAGTATGGGCCCTAATTTAAGAAATTTGTTTGACTCTTCCAGATTGCTTATAGCTTAATACACCTAAAGTGCTTCCCATACCACCTTGAAGGGGGAAAGCTATGAACTTAGAGTTACCTGCTATTATATAACCATCAGTAGCACCACCTAAAGGTTAAATGTCCTCCCACTTTGTGTGAGATTTTGCGAAAAGATTTCTAAATCTAAACTTTTGAGCCATTTTTAATGAATGTCCGCTTAATTAAATGCTTTAATAAAATTATTGATTTTCTTCTTTTTTTTGTTGGTAATTTTTTTTTGTTTAATTTTTATTTAATGAACAGGAAATCTGGATATATCTCAAACTCTAATCCGGATAGAACTAAAAAGATAAACAAGAGTCATTTTTGAAGGGTTGAAATTTATTTTAGTATTATTGTAAAGACCCGCATAAAACACAATATGATTGGTAAATAATTCAGAGAAGAAATAATCACAATTGAATTCGTGTTTAAAATAATAAATTTGGAATCTTTTTAAATTAATTCGAATGATTTTAAACATTATTTTTAGTAATAAAAAACATATAAGTATATATAAATAGATAGATAGATATATTGGTATACATTTATTCAATAAATTCATTTGATAAATTTATGCATTCTGCTGAATAATTTTATATTTAACTAACTCGAAAGAATTCTAATACGAATAATAGAATATATTGAAATGATTTTAGAATGCGCATTTTAAATAAATTTTATTGATTACAGTTAAACCTAAAAAGTTGCGATTTACAAATATTCTTTTATACTTACCTTAAATAAATTTTAAGAAAACTAATCTGCTTAGCTAGCTCTAGATATGTAAAATTTATCACTTAATTTTACAAAATTTCTTTTATAGTTAGTTATATGGTATCTTCAAATATTTTTTTATGATATTGATTAAATATGTGTAAATTAATCAACTTATTAATGATTCATATTTTAGGATTATTTCATCAGAGCTGCGTTGGTCTAGTGGCAGGATTATTGCCTTCCAAGCAATCGGCTCGGGTTCGATTCCCGGACGCAGCATTTTTTTTCTAAATATTTTTAAAGTAATTTATATGAAAATAAGCATATAACCTTAATTTGATGATAATCTTAGATAAATAAAACTTTTTCAAAAAAAAAAACAAGCTAAATTTGATTATTAATTTATCTAACTTTACAAATGAGTCTTTTTATTAGTTAGTTTTAAATGGAATATCAAGCAAAGTAAAATAAATTATACATATGCACATATCTTTAACAAAAATAAAACAAACTAAATAATAGTATAGTTTACCTTTAAATTAAAAATTTAATAATTAACTAATTTACTTTACGTAAATTAGTAAATTTGATATTTTATGAAGCAAAATAAAGTTAAGTTCTTATTAATAAAGCTTTATTTACTATTTAATCAATCTGTTTGAAATAAATGGGAATCAAGATATTATCCTAATATTCCATCATAATAATAATTGGGTGATTCAATATTTTTCTGTTTCTTCAATTCTAAAAGTTGCTTTTCATACACACTTACAAAGAAATCAGAAATACTATTTAGATAAATGATGTTTCTAATAAAAGATCTAATATGACTCTAAATCATACCATGGTTATCAGTATCAAATTCATTCTTAAAATAATTTTTGACATCTTTAATTTCTATTTCTGATTCAAACTTTGTCAACATAGCAAAGTTAACTGAAAAAGATTTTTAGAAAAATTTTAAAGCATTTTTGCTGAATTATTTTCTATTTAAAATTTTTGAACCAACTTCTTCATTAAATTCTTCATAAGTTTAATGAATAAACTACTGATCACCCTCAATAACTTTTTTTTTAGAATAGTTTGAAAATTAAAATACTCTTGTAAATGCATATTCCATAAAGAGGTATCTATATGCTTTACGATATTTCATACGAACACTTTAATATTTGCCCTCTCTAACTTCTAGTTTTTTTTTGTTAATTTCATTTACATCGTTAATTACATCTTCCTCTCTAGCACTGATTCTATAATGCTTATCATTGAACACAAAATCTATGTTGTTAGATAAATCTCTGTTTTTTTTATCTAATACAATTGGTTCATCGACTTTTAATGGAACTTTAAGTCTTGTTCCATCTTCAAAGGAAAAATCTACTTCTATATCATTCTGACAGCAATAAAAGGTGTTTAAATCAATAATTTCTTTAATTGCACATTTTTTCTCAAACCATTTTTTTTATTAACAATTATTGCTATCACCCTTTTACTCTTTATTGGACTTTGAAATTTCATTTAGCAAGTCATAATATTTGATCTAGTTTTATTAATCTTTTACCTAAACACAACTTTCAAATTAAAACTCTTAAAATGGTCTCATTAGAACTAGATTAGATTTTGATATCCTATTGATTGTATCCAGCCTTAATTCATCCTAGAAAAATGTTTCCCTTTGAGTACTTCTTGATTTAAATCTACCTAATTTGCCTTCAATTTCAATAGATTTATTTTCGTAGATGATCTATTTTAAGAAACCATAAATGAAATCTACTAATTCCTACAAAGGAGCTGCGTTCAATTTAATGTCTTGCAAAGGATTAACAGGAACTAGCTATTTTCTAAAATTTTATCTTTGTTCAGCCATTTTTCTTTATATATTTTTTTTAATGTACAAGTTAAATGTTTTGATATTTAAATATAATTTATTTAGAATTAATCCTTTTAAAGGTTCTGTGTCTAGTCTTTTTTCAGTATTTAATGATTAAATTTAATTTAATTATTGAAAAATAAAGATTTTTTGAATAAAAATAATTTTTAAAATCATAAACATAAAATGGAAATTAACAAAATTATATTATGAATTTCTTTCAAATAACTTAATAGTTAGTTACTTATAATTTAGGCAACCGATTTTATAGTATTCATAATTAAAAATCTAAATAAAAATCATAAACATAAAATGGAAATTAACAAAATTATTTTATGAATTTCTTTCAAATAAATTTATAGTTACTTATAATTTAGGCAACCGATTTGATAATATTCATAACTAAAAATCTAAATAATAATTTTAAAACTTAGAAGTTTGCATCATTTTTAATCTTAAGCATTAATGCCTATAGATTAATAAAGTAATTTAATGCATGACAGTAATTAGTCTGTCTAGTTCTTTTGATACTAAAACATATTAATTTACAAGCTAGAAATTTTTTTACAAAATATTAATTTTATTCATATTTTTAAACTGCAAGATTATAATTCTTCATAACAAATAGGGCATATTTTTTTTAAATATTTACTATCTCTACATTTAATCATATCCAAAAAATATCTGTTTTCGCAGTCCTTACAAAAAGTGTGACCACATCCTAAACCCATTAAATTTTCACTTATAGAGTGATCTTTGTTTAACCTTTTACAATTAAGCAAGAAATTTGGTCCTATTTCGTTAAGATTTAAAAATTTGTCTTAGTGTTATTATTATGTATTTATTGTGTATTTATTAGGTTTTTTTGCTTATATACTGATTTATAAAAAATTTTAAACTCCTACTTTGATTACAGAATCATTTCCTATATATTATTTACCTTTAATTTTAATCCAAGAACCATTTCTTGGACTAAATTGTTAGAAGATAACCTTTAATTATTAAATATATTTATTTTCTTTGGGGTCGAATACATTAAGTTCATTTAAATAAATTTCTCCATGCTTGCGACTAAGCTGAGTATCTTTTTAAAATAAATCTGAGAAATATGTAGAATTATTTCTGCCTATCATAAAATTCTAATTAGAATTATATTCTAAAAAAATTGTTTATTCGTTTTATTATTCTTACTAGTTAATACTAAATGCATTTATTACCAAACGAGCCTTTTTTTCATTTGCCTTAATCTCAACTACCTTAAACTCTAAAAATATATTACCAACTTATAGTTCAGTATTACTAAAGATTTCTTCGTATTCTCTACTTTTAATAAATGTACCATTTCTACCTTTATTATTACCTAAATAAAACCTATACTATTAATCACATAAGATCTATATGTGATTTCTAGAGCAGTCTTATGCATTTATAAGGTAATTATTTTTAATAGTTTCATCTCTAATTCTAGAAATGTTTATTATAAAATTAAGAGGTTCCTCTGATTACTTTAAAAAGTAAACCTCCTTTGCAAATTAAATATTCGGTTCTTAGTCTTTTGATTGTATTGAAATAGTGTAATCAAAACTCTTAAAGTCTAAAGGTAATTTTGGAAAATTAAATAAATTGAGTGTTTTAGTTTATTCTGAAATCTAATTGTTAGGTAATTTCATATACTATTGTGTTTCTTCTTCATCTTATTTATTTTTCATTAATTATTCAGTAGCTTATTTATGTATAAGGTTTGGGTTATTTATTGTAATTAATTACTCATAACCATTAGTTATTTACTGCTACTCTGATGTAGTATTATTTCCTTTTTAATCGAATTACGCCTAAATTATTTAATATGGTGATGTTTAGTTAAGTATTTAGGCCTGTTATTAAACTTAGCTTGGTTTTTATTTAAAAATTGTAAATTCATCTTTTTAATCAACTTTATTTTAATTCTTAAAATTCATTCTACCTTCATCCTTATTTTGAGGTGTTATCTCAAATTTTTTTCCCCCATAAGGATCAACTTCTTAAACATAATTATCTTCATCGTCCTCTTCATCATCATCATCATCTTCATCATCATCTTCTTCATCATCTTCCTCATCATTATCATCTTTGTCAGTATTTTTACTGTAAGGATTAATTAATTTCTTACCATCGTTAATTTAAATTTATTGATCCTTGAGATTCTATAAAACAGTATTTTAATTTAAAATGCTTTTAAAATCCCTATTTTTTTAACAAAATATATTTATATTTTAAAATAAAATGATTAATTAATTACGTTTTTATATTTGAAGGTTAATCAACTTATTAAATGTTAACATCGTCATCACTTTCATCCTCCTCCGATTAATCATTTTATTTTAAATCATATACTTAAGCATCAAGGAAAACATTGAAACAATTTTAATCATAATTTTTCTTAAAAGGTGCAAGATTGTTATCACTATAATAAGATATTTGGCTCTCATTTTTTTTTGGAACATGTTATTAATCTAATATTTGTATTTCTTATTGATATAAAGTTATTAAAAGTTATTATAAATAAATATAAAATTAATTAATTACATTATTCGTTTATCAACATTTCTTCAACTAAACTTTCTATTTGTTTTATATGAAAATAAATTAAAATCTAAAATATTTGCATTAATCTTAAAAACATACCTTGGATTTATCCAAGTTCAGCTTTACTGCCTTAATTATTTGGAGAAGCTATTTTAGCTGTTATTACTTATATTACAAATTTGGAAAGCATTAAACTTATTTGTTAACTATAAAAAGAATTTACATTCTGAATAATTAGGTGGTTTTTATATAATTTCTTGATTTTACTAAATTCCTATTGAAATATTATAAAATAATTGTTTTTTTAAATGTCTATCATAAAAATTGAGTAATTTGTTTACCACTTTGTAAACTTTAAGTACATCTTGGATTATTATTCTAACTATTAATTTGTTAATTACTATTTTATTGCTATTCCAATTTTATTTACTCTAATAAATCACCTTTTTACTAATATAAATCTTTTAAAATTATGAGCTCATCATAAAAAGATTTGAACTTCATTTTATCCACTGAAGTTAATTACTATTTTATTTCTAAAATTGCTTATAAGAATATATCATAATTATTAGAAACCAAATCATTGCCGATGAATCCAAGCTCAGTAATTAAATCTGTAAATTTATTTGGAATTTTTTAGTTTAGAGCAAGCTAGAGATCTTCAACAGACCAAGATATTGGATTCGGGTTTGAAGTTACCTTAATATAAGCTATTTATGTTGGTGTTAAATTTAATTTTCCGTTGTTTATCATAGTTAAATTTATTAGAAATCTTATTTTTCAATTTAAGATTTTACTAAATCTTTAATTTTTAATTTTTTGATGTAATAATTATTTTTTAATGTCTTCCTTCTACAAAAAAACACATAACATGAACTCAAGCAAAATAATTTAATTAATTAATTTAATTATTATCGTCTATTGATTTTTAATGTTCACAACATTTTTTTTTATAAAGACAATATTATATTGTTCTTTTCTTAGTAGGTATTGTAAATCCTTGATGACATCTTCAATTTATAAAAATATTTGTATCAAAAATATGTAAATGACAACTAAATTACTTCCTATAAATATTAATCAAATTAATATTTGTATTCCAATAAGTCTTCATACCCACTTTTTGATAATAATAGAATATTTATATCAAATAAAAAATAAAAATATATATCTTACATCCTTATTTCGTTAAATAATAAGTTAAATTTAAACAAATTGTTTAAAAATAAATAAGTTTTTCCTTTACTCTCTTTTTTAAATAAATAGTAAATATCTTTAATCTCTCTTATAAATAAATTTAATACCTCCTATTTTTTTAAGAATAAAGCTAATTGTATGGCATCTTATTAAATTTTATTTTATTACTCCCTATAGATTTAAAATGTTATTCATATATTATCTAGTTTAATCAAAGTTTATATTTTTACTTCCTTTATTTAACATAAATAAATATGAGCTAAGAAGATCAAATAATGATGATGAGTAATATGTTACTTCCTTAATTTAAAATATACTTAATATCCAAAATAGTAATTAGCTAATTTTACCACCTAATTAAATCATTTATTTTAGAAAAGAGTCATCATATAGATTAATTTACGTGCTTATATTAGTAGTTTATGTTTTAATTTCATGATAAAAGGCTAATAATATAAGATTACTTTCTTTATTTTAAATTAACAAAATTTTTAAAAATAAACCAAAATAAAAAATGATAATATTTTTACCAACTTTTTTAGGAAATACCATTAATAAATATGAAAATAAGCTAATAAATCTTTACGACCTTTTAATAAATTTAAATAATAATAATGGTAATCTTAATAATAAAGTTAAAAATTATATTTACTTCCTTTTTATCAGATAAAAACAGTTTTTTTGGAATAACATTTTTAATATTTTACTAACTTTTTTAATTTAAAAAACTGTAAATTAATTTAAATAATATACAAATAATTACTCCCTTTTTTATTTAAATGGTTAATTCTATTAAATCACACTAGCATTTGCTCATAACTAATTACCTACTACAATTTATTTAATAGATTTTCTTTAAATTTATCCTTTCTAAGATATTTACTTCCTACAATAAAAAATCAGTTAAATTTAAAAATTTTTATTATTTATTTATGCTTACAATCTGAAAAATTTTGAAAAATGTTTCCCATTCATTTAAATTTTACTCTCTTTTATTATAAAATGGAAAAAACTTTAACTTATATTAATAAGTAATAAATAAAATTTATCATACAATCTTTATTTTTAAAATATTTTTGTATTCAGTATTGTTGTATCATTTTATTAATTACGCCCTATTTATAAGTTGACAATTTAAATATTTTTTTTAAGAAGAAAATTAAAAATTACACTCTATAAATTTATAAGAAGATTACATTTTTATAAAAATCTTAAAAATTATATCCTACGTCCTTTTAATAAAAAATTATTAAATTTAATTTAATTAATTTAATTTTAATTTATACTTTCTATAAAATTGCAAAGATGATTCATTAAAATAGTAATGCTATCGAAATTAACTTACAAACTATTAAAAGTTAAATTTAAACTTTATTGACTCATTAATAATTTTACAATCTTTAATTTATTTATTAAATAATTGTTTTAATTTACATTTTAAAGTAAGAATATTTATTACTTTCTATTTTTATAATTTATTTGATGAAATCATATTTAAACTATAACAATCAATTTATTTTACTATATCTTCCTTTAATTAATTTAAATTTATAATTTTTATAAATGTTTTCTTGATAAAAAAGGTATTTATTTTTACATATGAATTGTACTATTTTTAAAAAAAGCAAGTTAGAATTTATTTAATTCAAAAATATTTTACATTAAAGCTTTTTCCCAGCAAGGTCGATATCAAATCATTAATAGTGCTTAATGAACTTTGCTTGATATTCTAAATAAAGTATTAATTATAAATTTTTTAATTTTTTTCTTTTTATAAGTACATTTATCTCATTTAAAATTTAGTTTTTTTCGCATTTCTCTTATTCATCTTATCCTTAAACTTCTTCTATCTGTGGCTACTAGGGTTTTATTAAATCCGAAAGATCTTCAGTATCAGGAGTTCCTTTCTTTTTGACAAAGGTATCTAATATGAGCGTGTCGAATTAGAACTGTTTAGATAGAAAATTTGAAATCCTTAATATTAGAAAGAATGCATCTCAATATGATGTAATAATTTACTATTTCTTGTAAAGAAATATTAATCTTTTCCATCTACTTTTTACAGTGCTATGTAAAACTTGAAGAGTTCTGCTTGATTAAAGTCTTATTTAACTCATGAATAAATTATATTTTACCTTCTGGATTATAAACAATTTTTTCTTTTAAAATACTCAATTACCTTGCAATATGACTATCTTCATCTTTTCTGCTTGTAATAGAGTCTATCCTCTTTACAATATTTTCATATTCAATATGTGATGAATTAGAAAGCTCAACAATTTTATTGAATACAGTTTTAATCTATATTGATTAATATTTTTTATTTATTTAAAATATTCATATTTAATGAATGAATGATTACAGATTGTAATTGCTCAATCACATCATTGATATTTGCTAACAAGTTATTAATAGTATCAACCATACCTTTATCTAAAATCTTTACAGCTATTTATTTTAAATTGCCTTATGCAGAGCTTTTTATTGAACTCAATACTAAGTCAATATCATCTTCAGTTATTTTTTAACTTGAATCTCTGTGTTATAATCTATGACATTAGATGCATATTTATTGGAACAACTTATTTCTACCACACTTTTCATTTAAACATCTGCAGTGTTATCAGTAAAATATTTTTACTACAAAATTAAAAAATTTAAATTCATACAAAAGATTTTTTTCTTTATGCTCTGAGCATTTATCGCACCTGTTATAGCTTGACATTTTATTTTATAGTTTTAATACCTGAATTAAATTTAGTATAACTTTTTTAAACAGTTTTGAAATTAAATATCTTTTGATTATATCCAGCCACAAATAAATTTTCAATAGAATATTAATCCAAAAGCATTTTAATTCGTTAATATTTAAATTAGATAAATATAATTTTTATATTATATAATGTGATATTTTGAAATAGCTTTTTTATTGTTTGATTAAATTTAATTCATTTATGATAAAGACATATTTTAGTTAATATAATAATTTTTAAAAATATTTAAATTGTTGAGATAATTTTTTGGAAAATAAATATCTATAAGTTTAAATTAAGCAATATCTTATCACCAAAAATAATAAATTTATAAACTTTTTATATTTAAAAATTATTTTTCTGTTGGGGTTAAAAAATGTTAAAAAAACAAACCATTATTTATTAGTTTATTTATTGATTCACTGATTTATTTATTTATAATAGATAACTTTGAATAGAAACTTTTAGAAAGAATAAAGTAAAATAGAAATTAACATTATTTTAATTTCAGTTTATTTAAAATTTTGTTTGCTTACGTACTAAAAGAGATACGCACTAATTAAGTAGAAAAAGCTTTTATATGTATAATAATTTTTTATATATAAGTACTTAAAAATTAAAAATCTAGATTTGATTCATATAATATGTTAATAAATGGATTAGTAATAGCTAATATTCTCCTCACGAAAAGTTTACCTTATTGCAATAAAAAATATTGTGTGAATATGAGTTGCTAGGAACAATTTAGGTAGATACGGTCAAATATTTTTAAATTCAGGTATATTGCATAATAATTTTTTATAAAAAATCATAAATGATGAATTATTTAGGATATCACTATGTGTAAATTTTTGAGAAGATTGACAATTTTTAATTTGGAACAAAGAAAAATTAAATTATTAATTTTTGATCATTCTCACAATCAATTAAAGTAATTTAGCTTTAAAACCCTATTTTATGAAAAATATTAAAGCTTAAAATTGTACAAAGCTATAATTAAAGGTTCTTTTTGATTTATAATTGCACTCCACCTTTCTCAGAATAAGATTATCAAATGAACATTTTCATAAAAGATCCAAATTAATTATTCTGATTATAATCTAAGAATCTTTGAGTTGGAATTAATTTTTGTTTTCGTATAAAGCTTGAAATGAAGTATTGTTGATAATTTGTTTGCTTATTTATTTAATAAGCTCTTTTGCTGATATAGTAAAGAATAATTGTTTTTCTTTTTTCTATTTTTGATCAGCAGCAAAAAATTACGATATCTAATACGTAATGCTTATAATATTTACTTTGCTTGATTGAATTATAATTTTGTTAAATCTTTATCATCGAAACACACTCTATTACCTCAAATTAATTTATTAAATCTATCAAAGAAACAAATAATTTTTGTTATAAAATTTTTTTAAGAAAAAAAAATTAAATTATTGAAATATCAAAATCCTAGAACTTTAATTAAAATAAATGGGTTTCTTTAAGCAATACATTTCCGAAGAAGGTAAATAAGGAATAAAAGAATTCAAGTATAAAGGAGGATCTGTATCAATTGTTTATGAGTATTTTTGGTCTCCATTATGCGATTGGATTGTCAAGAAGTTTATCCCCTCTAACATAGCCCCAAATACTATAACTCTAACAGCATCCATTATCGTATTTCTCGCACATTTAAATATGATGTATCATTCTCCTGACTTCTCACAAGAAATACCTTCTTGGGTTTCTTTTGTTATGTTCATAGCTGTATTATAATACTAGATCCTTGACAACTGTGATGGTAAATAAGCTAGAGCCACTGGATCATCTAGTCCTTTAGGTATGCTTTTTGATCATGGGTGTGACTCCGTAGTAACTTGGATGTTTGGTATGTGCGTTGCAAATGCATTCCATATTTCTGATAAGCGTCTTATATATTGGGCAGTTCTCATACTTGCCTTAATCCCATTCTACACAGCCTAATGGTCTCAATATCACGTAGGTGTCTTTAAGTTAGGTAATTTTTAATATATTTTATAATTCAAATAAGAGTTTATAAAATAAAGAGATATTTTTACAAAGAAGCAAAATATTTATTTACTTATTTAGGATTTCAACATAATAGCAATAAATAAGAGAATACAATCAATTGAAAAATTATTAATTATACTTTATCAATATAATAATTATTAAAGCATAGAAACTTATTGTTCCCATTTAAAAAAAATAGGTAGAATTAATGCTATAGATGAAGGCTTGATCTTAGTTTAGCTTGTCTTCTTAATCAGTGCTATTTTTGGTTAATAAATTTGGAGAACTGAAGGTCCATTTGGTCTCGAAATAGGTTCTTTCTTTATATTGATAGTAAGCATTATGGGATGTGGTTAATTCTTCTAATTTATTATTGACACTTATATTGAATGCAAGAAGTAAAAGAAGAGCTTCATTTCAACTTTAGAAAGTTTGCTTTGTGTAGTGTTACTATTGATAACTCACTCTGTTGTCTATGCTTACACTGACGTATATCAACATAAATATCTATTAGTTTTATACTTCTATGGAATAAGCTTAGGTTGGAGTAAGGTAACTTCTCACATTTAAATAGCACATATCACTAAAGAAAAATATAACTAATGGAGAGTCAGTTTTATTCTTTCATGCCTTGCTCTTATATCAATGGGTATTTTCGGTCTTTAATAATACTAGACATATATAATTTGTGGCGTATTAATCAATTCATTCGTATGTTACTGTCACTTAGTATATGAAGTTACAAACACCATGGCAGACGTCTTAAAAATAAAAATATTCCGTATTACTCCTAAGATTGTAGAAAAAAAATCTAGCTGAACAAGAACTTAATTTTAATATGTTAATAACTTCCTAAATTTAAATATTTATTAAGTAGGCTTTTAGAGTATTTGTTTAAATTATCAATTTTATAAATAAATAAAATAAATTCTTTATTTTTTATGAGGCTGATAAGTAAAATAGTAATTTTAATTTATTTTTGTTTATTTGTTTGTTTGTAAATAAATAAATATCTTAAATTTTATGAAAAAAGTTTAATTATAAATTTCTCACAAATTATTGTTTTTAATGATTAAAATTGGAAAAATATCTTTCTATTTGATAAATTAAAAAATTCATATGTTAAGCTTACAATCTAAATACTTAAATAGAATAACCTTAATCTGATCAATTTTATCTTCAAAATCGAATTTTTGGAAATTAATTATCAAATGCCTCAAAATAAATTTCTAAATTAATTAAAAAAAAATTATGGAAATTAATAAATTATAAATAAATTTTAAAAATTCTACTTTTATTTTTTTAAAATGAAAAACATAATTAAATTTTAATAAGTGTCATTCAATTTTATTTTGTTGCATATTTTGCAAATTTATTTTTATAAAAAATAAAAAGAAAGATTAATTAATAAATTTATTTTTATTAAATAAGATAAATTTATTAACTATAAAAATAATTTAATCTATTTTATCAAACTGAATAAATTAATCATAATACCTTAGTTAAAGATAAAGTTTGCAATTTTTTTTCTAAATTAATTCGTTTGATAACTAATTTGAATTAAAACTAAGAAATTTTTTAAAATTAATATTTTTAGAAAGTGTATTAAACTTTTTTTATATAAATGATTTTCTAAAGCAAAATTCAATTATTTTTCATAAAAACTAATTTTGTTACAAGTTGTTTAAAAAAAATAATAGATACAATATATTTATCTTAAAAAAATTTAACTATTTGATAAAATAAAAAAATTTTTAAAAAAATAATTTCTTTTGAATACTAGCTTGATTTTAATAATATAAATTTGAAAAAAATTAAGAAAATATCTTTAAATGAAAAATTTTTAAAAAGTTTATTTATTATTCTACACATAAATAGTATTCTAAAGCAAAGTTAAATTGCTTTTCATAAAAACTAATTTTATTGCAAATTCTTTAAAAAAAATAATTGATACATTTTTTTAATATGTATAAGTAATATCAATTTATTTATTTATTTATTAATTTTACTTTCAAATTATTTTTCTCTTTATTAATTTAATTGAATTAGCTTTTAATATGTTTGCTAAGAAAATTTTTTACAACTCTTTATTAAGAAATTAAGAAAAACTAGCTTTACAAAGAGCTTTAAACTTAAATTTATTCGATAAAATTTAACTCAAAAATTTTTCTTTTATCAAAAAGGCAATTTCAGCATTGAGTTGCAATTTTATATGAATCATTATGTTTGCTTTATGATTTTATCAATATTAATTTTTATGAGTGGTTGTCATTGGTAGTCTTAGTATAGATTTATTATTGTTTGAAGCTGTTGTTGGACGTACTTATATTTACATACTTTGATTATACTTTGGCATATTTAATAACCTTTTTTAAGATTCTAGTACTATTCTGGCTTAGTTATACTTTTTTAATTGCTACTAATAGAGCTATTTAAATTCTTCTCTTTCTTTTAGCAAAGCTGTTATATCTATATTATTATTTATTTTTTAGAAATCTTCTACCCTCTGCTGAAGTTCTTTTTCTCTTAACAAAGATTTTCTATAAATAAAAAAAATAATTTTTTATTTTCTTATAAAGTAAAGATTTATTAATTGCTTACTATAATGAATTTTTCAATCTCTCTGCAAAATTTTTAATATGAATAAAGTCATCCTTATTTTTAAATTAATTAAGATTTATATTTATGTCAATTCTATTATTTTCTTGTTCCTTCAAATCTTTTTCATTCTGCATTTGTTTTTCATTATCTATATCATCCTTAGCTTATTCTTCTTCAGGAGGATAGGAAACACCTGATTTAGTTTTTTTAATATCTTAGTTTTAGCTTATTGCAGATGCCACAGAAGCACTCTTTCTTAAACCAGCATCACTTTATCTCATGCTCCCTTAGCGTAAATGCTTTAAATCTAAAACTTTAAATAAGCTAAGATAAAAAAAAATTTAAAATTTAACTCAATATAAGCTTAAAAATTTTAATACTGTTTATATTTTTATCTGACTGGTAAAATAGGTTTTTCTTTCTCAGGGATATTTACTGATTTGATGCCTCCACTATAATGTCCCATCTTTTTTTTGAATTTTAAATTAAAACAATATCCTTCTTAATTGTGGTTAGCTTACTTCAACTTTTTACAAGATACTGCTCAGCCTTGTGATAACTTCGTACATTTCACTCATTTCTAATTTCATTTCATCTATTTACTTTTTTTTTTCTTCTCTGTATTTTTTAGAATCTTATACATATTGATCAATTTATTCATTCTTTTGCTTAAGGTAGAACTCAAACTATTTGAATATGATAATATAAAATTAGAATCATTTTTAATAAATAGCTTATCTATCTTAACATAATAAAAGTTATCTTTTTTGTTTAAATCATATTATAAGGCTAGTAAATAATTCTTACTTGCGTTTTAGAGTTTTCTAGTAGTTACTGATATTCTTTTTTTAAAGTTTCGATCTATGATTTGTGTTCTTTTTCAGCTTCGTATTTAGTTGCTTTCTTTAGATCATTTACTTTTTAATTTTCTTAAGTTTTATTTTACACAAATGTTGGAAGATTGAAAACTAAATTATTCCTTTCTTCTAAAAGTGCGTTGCTTCTATCTATTAAATTTTTCAAGTCTTATTCTTTTTCTTTTTGAAACTGTTTGATGTCACTTTTTGAATTCATTTCTTTTGAGCTTATTTATTCTATTTCAAATAAAAAACTTAAATATTCTATTTATTATTTGAAGTATTTACATTTTAGGTTTACAAGTGATTCTTTCAGTTCTATAATTTAACATTTTTATGATTCCCACTTTCTATGCTCAGTTCTTTTTATTTCATCAATGTGCTTATGAAGATTATCTATTGTTTTTTCTAGTTCTTCGTTCTGCTTTTGTAAATTTTCTGCTTTCATCATCGCCTCTTTTTACTGCTTTAAATGATTCAATTCTCTGATTGAGCTTTTTAAAAATAATTTATCAAGCTCAACTTCTATACCTAATATCATTTATATATCATGTAGCCTTTTTTTATGATCATTTTATACTTTTTCTAATTTTTCTTTTAATTCTTAATTATCTCTTTACAATTTTTAAACAACCTTATCGTTTACTACACTACTATTTGTTAGATTATTTATGTTACTATTATTTGATGAAATTGGAAGAGTTTTAGGAGCATCCTTTGAGCATCTTTCTATGTATTACAGTGTTGCTAAGCATTCTTCGTAATTACTTTCACTAGGATTTATGTTACCAATTAAAGTTATAAAACTCCTTGGCTATAAAGTATTCTGCAAAATTCTAGATAGTTTTGACTCTTTGTGAGGTATTGACTTGCCTTTCAAAGAGATTGATTGCAGACACTTCAAAAAAAAAAAATTAAAATCAAAATTATAAAATCTTATAAAGAGAATATCTACTTTGCATAGTACTGACAAATTTTAATTAATTATTATCGATTCTTAGTATTTGTGACCTTCTGTTAAGCTTTTAGCTATTCTTTCTGAGCCAGCTAAATCAACAAATTAAAGGAAACAATTAGAGAAAGGTATATTTTCATTTTCTTTATCCTTCTGAATGACATTAATTGTAAATATCTATTATAAACAAAAATAGTTAAATAAACAACAGTAATTAGCATATTACAGTATGTGCTCTCTCCCATATTGAAATGCCTTTTAATTCTAGTTGATCTCTTATTTAAAACTAAAATTTTAAAGAAAATCCCTTTAAATACAAAACATTAGACTTATAATTAATATACACATGATTTCAAAACTCCATAGAGTTACTCTATACTTTCTAAGGTTATAAGTGTTAAATCCTTAACCACAATTTACCCATTTGTATTTTCGTACATTGTAAGATTTTCATTTTCTTACTCTTTGATAACTCTATCTATATTTGCAATATTATAATAAAAACTATTCTTTAAATTGTCTTTTTTTTATATTTTAAGATACCTATATTCAAAATTTTCTTTCCTCCATCTATATAATTAGCAAAAAATACATTAATTATTATTTTAATGCAAATCTTAACAAAATATAAATACCTTATAAGAGATAAAATTTTCCTATATCATGAATTTTATCAAGATACACTTCAGCAAAGCTCATCGTAATTACTATTTCTTTTGTATCTTGCAATTCAACCACTTTTTTTAATAAATAATCTACTGATTTAGGAACTAAACCTCGCTAATCTGTTCTTGCTTTCCCTAATTATTCATCTATTGTTTAATGCTGATCTAATAAATATTCTGGGTGCTAGCCAAATATTGAATATGTCTTTCCACTTCCCGTCTAACCATAACTTATAATAAGAGAATTAACTCCTTGAAGTACTTTATCTACTGAAGGAGCCCCAATTTCTTAAAATAATCTATCTTGATTTACACCTTAATTAAGGATCTTGTTAAACTTGAAGCTTTGATCTTCTGCTTGCATGCCAGACAAAGCAACGCTTTAGTTCATTTTAAATGAAGTGTCTTTGATCGTTACTTTATTGTCCTCTATTTATATCATATCAGACTCATAATCAATAGGTCTGATCCTTAGATATTACTTAAAGGAACTCATTTACTTAATAAGCCTTGAAAATAAATTCTATTTTAGCTTATTCAAAAATTGTTTGCAAGTTTCTATTAATAATATATAAAAAGATCTTGAATTCTATTAATTAATACATAATCAAACAATGCCAGTTTCTTTTTTAAATTATATATGCCAGCAAGATTCAGCTAGTTAAATTTTAATAACAAGCAACTAAAATAATAAACTGAGCATTCATAATTTATAATTGGTTATCATAATTTAAAGTAGAAATAAAGCATAATATTTAATTGCTGAAAACAAATACCACATATTTACAATTTAAAATAGAAAAATTAAAATTTAATAAAGTAAATTCTAATTCTCAATTATAAATAATTATATTTTGTTAATTAACATATATTATAATATTTAAATGTTATGTTTAAATAGTTTTAATCAATTAAATCATTTGGACTTAAAACAGATTACCAAGTTTGTGATAGTATCTTTGAGATTTATATCCTTAGCTTACTTTTTTGTATTTAAATCGACGCTTTCATAAATAATAGATGTATGCTCGTCATAGAGCTGCATTAAAACAGTTGCATTAGCTACTTTAACTTACTTAGTCTTGTATGTCTAATTATTTTAGACAACAATTTCATAGTCACAGCCTAACATAAGAATTAAGAAATACTCTTGATTGTATGCAAAACGTTTTTATTTTTAATTTAAGTAAAAGTATTCAATTTGCTTCAATCTAATTAATATTTAATAATATTTTAAAATCTTTTTTTTGATTCAAGAAAATTACTGATTCATGCAATCTGATTTTTTGCCCTCTGTAAAATAGCAGAAAGATTTAATTACAAATTCTTAAATTTTTTCCAAGAAAGGGAATGTGTTATCAACTTAGAAAGAGTCTACGTTTGTGATACCAATTTTATATGATCCTCCACTCTTTTGCAAAAAGTAGTCAGCTATCTGAGTTTATTCTTGCAAATCTAAGAACGGGGCAAGCATAAAACCGAAACCTTCCATCTTAACCTTAATTTCTGAAGCAAAACCTCTCAATTTATTATGAATTTCAGCTGATTGCATAAAGTCTTTTTTCTAATTTGAGCGCTTCTTTTAAATAGCTGGTATCTCCTCACTTGCCTTTCTATTTTGTTAGCTACCTTACTTATCGCCAAGAGTAGGGTAGTTCATATTAAATTTTTCATTTTCTGATAGTTATTTTTGTTCTTCTTATCCTTCTTCTTGCTAATCATATTTACCCTGAATGAGGTCTATATCAATATCTTTAGCACACCATTCATACCAAGTAGATGGAACCTAAAGTTTAAATTTATGTTAATAAATTATATCAAAATATTATACATACCTTTATTAGCTAGTTCTTGCTGTTTATACGAATATCATTTGGGATATCAAATATATTTTTAGATCCCTTTAATTTGATAGGGTAAAACAATTTACGAGGATTTCTTACGACAAATATGTGGTCACATTAACTGTCTTCTCTATACTTTTCAGGAATATTAGCAATATACTCATCCTTAGTTAATACTCCCTGTAAGTCAACACAACCAATTAAGCATCCAGTAGGATATCTTTTGGGGAAAGGAGGCATATTCTTAACTCCTTTGTAATGTTCTTTATACTAACTTTCTATTTCATCAATCAACTATTAGGTTGGTGGAGTAGCTCCAGCGTGAATATATAGAGGTCCTTTGTAATCAGTAGTCCAAAATCTTCCCTAAATAAAAATAATTAATGAAAATTTATAATTAAATGCTATATTTTATTCTTACTTCGAATCTTTTGAAACCTTCAACAAGCAAAGAAGCCCAAGGCTATAGCATAGATAGGCATTTTCCTTCGTCATCTAATTACATATTATACAATGCTTCATCATATGGAGTTTCTCCATTGAAATTTTATTAATTATTTTATTCTATTTCTTTCATCATTTAAGATTAAACTTCTTTTTAAAATTCTAAAAACTCATCTGTTTTTACAATAGAGCTAATTTTTATATTTTTTTTGGGATCTGCTTACTTTTTAGACTCAGCATTTTAATTTTATTTATTACTATCACCTTAAACCTTGAAACTAGATTATTTTATTATTTCTAACTCTTATTTAATTTCATCATATAAATTCTACTACTCTTATTTAAGTGATTTATTAGCAGAAGCTTTAATAACTTTATTTGTTTTTTTTCTTCTTTTTCCTCTTTCCTCACCTTCACTGTCGCTTGTATAGTTACTATCATCATCACTGTCATCGCTTCCTCTTTATTTATCAAAATCGTCAATTTGATTTTAAAATTCTTGTGCTTTTTATTTGAATTTTTGTTCATCGAAAATTGGTTTATTTTCTATCCACTTTCCTTAAGTTACATCATACTAGACGTGAATGTATTTATCATTTTCTTAAATTTCTTCTTATCTAGCTACTAACTATTCTATGGCTTGCTTTCTGGCTTTTTTATCCTACCAAACATCGTCTGCAATTGAATACCTAAAATTAAATATTAAAGGTACAAATTAAATATAGCCAATATCATTATTAAACTTATAACGAATTTTTAATAAAACTATTGAAATTATTTTTATCACAATAAAGACTATAATTCTTATCGCTTCTAAAATAAACTATTAATAAAGATTTGCTCATTAAAATAATTTACCAATCTGTTTATTCATCAAAAACATTCTTTTGAATAAAGTTGCTCTTATCAAATTCAATCATTTTGTTTTTATGCTATATTGCCTTCTATATATCACTGTTAGGATCTTAAAATTCAGGAAAAGCCTCCTCATCTTATCCGAATTCAGCTCTTTATCCTTTAGCTAAAACATCATTACCACAAAAGAAGCATGGACCAGCTCCTTCTTATTCACAAATAACACGGCCGCATACTAAACAATTATTAATCAAATTATGGACTTAAGCATGGCATTAGCAATATTATCTGCCTGGAAGTAAAGGAGCTTCTAAATTAATTTTCTTTTTGCCTTTTTTAGTTGTTATGACCAAGTTATTTTCAATCATTCTACTTTATTTGCCTTTTTTCTTCTATTAAATTCTGCCTAAAAAATTAAATATATTAATCTTATTATTTTAATCTTTATATCAAAAATAATAAATCTTGCCTAATTTAAATAAATTTCACAATTATATTGTAAATCAATCTATGTTTTTTTATTTATTAAAAAGAAAGAAAGCCACTCATATAAATAATTCAAGACAAGTACTTTTTAAAAATAATATTGAATGACATCTAGATTGAATCAAGATTATAAGAATTATGCTAAATAGATTCACTCCAAAAGAATTATTATAATTAATTTCTTGAAATATTTGATACAGAATTAGTTAATTAATTATATATAACATTTTAAAATAATTTTGAATTGTAAAATTTTTTTATTTCAAAGTAAAATTTTATACTTAGAACTTTCTTAGCAAATTAAATTGTTTAATAATTCAAGTAAGTAATAAATACAATATATTCACTATTTTATATTCTTTATCTTTTTTTTGATTTATGATTAAAATTTATTTTATTAAAATTAAAAAAATATTTTATTATAAAATAATTAAAATCATTAAATAAAATTCTATTTTAACTGATAACTATAATCTTTATAAGCTTAGGATTTATTTTTAAAAACTACCCTCATTAACGAATGTTTTCAAAAAATTGTTTATTGTACTTTATTTTATGGATTGTTAATTTTTATTTGTGATTTTTTTATTTTATTAATATGAGTTTTATGGCAAAAAGTATCAATAACAAAAAATACATAGAAAGCAGTGAATTATTTATTTATTTATTGTTATATTAGTATAATATTTGAAGATATTCAATATCTTGATTTTATCTATATGTTGTATATTATGCTATTTTATGTTAAGACTTTTTAAAAATGATATTTAAACATTTTTATCTTGAATATTAAGAACGCTCAGAGTTCTTCAATAGCTCCAGTTTCATCGTTATTTTATTTAGAAAAACGTCTAAATATTGAAGAAAAGAATGACATAGAAAATATTATGAGAATCACATATCCAACAATAATAAATAAAGTTGTGAAGAAAGCAAGGATAGGAGTGTTCTTTGTACAGTTATTTTTTACAAAAGCATCATCAAAATAGAGTAAATTAGCATAAGCAAAAACTGCAAGCATGTAAATTCCAAAAACGCCATGCATAAAGCTAAAGAATTATTTAATAGCAGCATTTTTGTATTTTGGTAATATCGTTATAACTTAGTAAGTTGCCCAAATTATTAAACCGTAAAAAACTAAATTGACTAAAAGCAATAAATTGACTCCTTCGCATTGCTTTTCGCTGTATTTATTTTCAATGATGCTTGTTGCTGCTAAGAAGCAGACAGTATAAATTATATGGGCTCCTTCTTTTGCTCCAATATATTATTTGGATTCTATCTCTTGCATATTTTTATATCTATTTATTCCCTTTATCTTTTTTTATTTAAAATTTTATTAGTTAATTAATAATCCAAAAATTATCTATCTATTTAAGTTTTCTTTTTGAAAAAATCAAATCTTAAATAATTGATATTAGAAACAATTAAAAAATTAATAAGAAATCAATATCTTTTACTGTTTTCAAAGTTTTATGAAAGATAGATGGATATATTGATAGATAGATACATACATATTTTAATGAAAAAAATTTCTAAATTTTGAATAAATAAATCAGCTAATTTTTTTAATATATTTGTTAAGATAATTTATTAAAAGTCAGTTTAATTTCAATTTAATTTGAAAAATAATTAGTTCAAATAAAATAAAATATAATTATTATTATTTAATATCCTTAAATTAATTATTTAAAATATTTTTAATTTATATTTTACTATTAAATTAAGTAAAACTTCTACGATTAAATTGAAAGTGCTTTGATTTTGGAATAAATTTAATAAATTAAACTTCATTTTTAAGTAGTGAATAAGTTAAACAAGTTTAATTTTTACTATTAAATTATGCATGAACTACGATTAATGGCAAATAAATACTTTAATTTTAGAAGAAATTTAATTAATTTTTAAATACTTAATAAGTTAAAAATTTGAACTTGGATTATTATTAATAAATTATCTTTAAATTTTATTTTTTAAGCTTTATATTTATATTTTAGTTATTAAATTAAATGAATAAATAAAAAATGAATTAATTTTAATAAAATTTCAATTAATTTAAATTAGTTTTTTTCATTTTCATAAAATTTTTAAATTTATTACTTACTTTTATAAATTATTAAATTTTTTACTATTAAATTACTTATGATTTTTTAATAGATGTTCTTTAGTTAAAATTGAATTAATTAAGATTAAATTTCAAGCCAAAATAATACAAAGTCGAGTTATTATTAATTATGAGTCTTTACATTTATTACTTTTACAAATTAGTTAAATTTATACTTTTACTATTAAATTATGTATGAAATGTTAATATACGACAAATACTTTAATTTAAGTAAAAGCTCAATTAATTTTAATTTTATAAATTAATTATATTATTTTCATATTTATTTCTTGATATATGGTTTTTTATGTTAGTAGATTTTATATCAAATATTATAAAGTTAAAGTATTTTTTTTTGTTAAATTTTGTAGCAAATTAATTTGAAGTCAGTTCATCTATCTGCTGTTTTAATTTACTATATGTGATGACTGCTTTAGTATTATATCATAATCTTCTTCATTATACTCAGAGTCTTATTTAAAAACTTACTAAGCTTCGTAATCTTTAATTATGGATTGTTTAACTAAGTTTGCTAGATCTTTTGGTGTTACTCTTTACTTTGGTATTTATATTTTTAATTCTTTTAAAAGGGATTCATAAAATTATAGTGCTTCTTAAGATTTTTTATGTTAGTTTTAAATGTTATCCCTGATATTTAAAAAAGTTTAAATAAAATTTTTAATATTAAGAATTTTAAATTACTCATTAAATCTGCATTTTTACTGTTCTATCTTGTATTCATCTAGTCTTTAAAATTGATAAAAAAAGAAATATCTATTCCATATTTTGAGAGATCTCTGTTAGAAATCTGGCTTTAAAGTTTGAATTTAATCATCTTTTTTATAGAAGGGATTTTCATAAATGTGCCTTTTTGAAAGAAGAAAGCTCCAAACAGAAATAGTTTATTTTATTATGTCTTATTTAACAAGTTCCTTTTAAGATAAAATGTTATTAGTGATACATACATAATGTGTTAGTCATAAATTTACTTAATATGAGTTAGCAAGGAAAGTACCATATTAGCAGTTATAGGAGCTAAAAGCTAAATCAACTAAAAATTATTCATTAAATTCAAATGAAAGGGGATAGTAATTCTAAACTTAGTGTACACAGTCTAAAAATTATAAAAATATAGGTGAAGTTTCCTCACTTTGATTTCTTTACCCGTGCCCTTACCTTAAATTAAATTAATGACCAAAATAAACCCAATCCTTCTATATTAGAGAGCAGAATCCTTCAATTGTTCTAAAAACATTAAATTGATTGATTGATTAATACCTCATCATAAAAATTAAAATAATACCTATAATAAGGATCTAAGAATATTTGAGCCAAGGAACACAGTTAAGAAGTTCTATCCCATCCATCAGAACAATGGACAACAACATGATTATTTGCCAGCATAGATTAGCAGATTCTTACAGCTCCCTAAATTATTGAAGAAATATGTTCTAGCCATTAGCTAGAATCAACTTCTTTAAACCACTTTATCTGCTAATCTGAAGAAAGACATACAGAAACTAACTTGTTATATGAATCTCTAACTTTATGAATATTGTGTATATCTAAAAACTAAATATCACAATTTTTGTAACAGCTATTACTCTCATACCCTTTTCCAGCTAATTTATTACCTACTGCATTCATAAAAGGTCTGGCATCATAAATATGGACATTCACATTGTTTGAACCTAAGTAAATAAGTAAATAAATAAACAAATAAAAATAATATTAAAAAGAGTTATTTACTCCTATTATCTTTATTAGTAGGGTCTCCTATCAATCTTAGCATCTATTCATCTTCTGTAGAACGGCTGCTAAATCCAGTTCTACATTGTGAGCACCTCCAAAGAGTGACTGGTAATTTTTATTCATTTGAGCTTTTGAATCCAAATGTTAAAACTGGAAGACGCTCTCTTGATCTGAATTTCGAGCACTTTTTAATCGTTTCTTCCTACATAAAATATGGGACTACTAGGTAAGGAGGATATGTGTCACATATATCCTTAAGTTCATTGTTGAGATATTTGTAGTAAAACTAGTCGTATATTAAAAATAATTTAATGTAACATGGAATAAATACTGAATGTATCTATTTATCTTTCTATTTGTTTATTTATTTGCTGAATGAAAAAATAGATTTTTGAATTCCTCTATTACAATTAATTAAATAAATTAGAAAAGAAAAAAAGAGAATAGTGGGTCTTATTTTGATTTCTAAATGATAATTCCTGATATTTTTTAATGTTTTACTATATTATAAAAATCTAAATAAGTTACTTGCTCTTAATTTGAGTTAGAATTTTGTTAAGTTGGATCGTAAATGTTGATTCTCATTCTTTCGAACTCTTTTTTTATATTATAAATATTCCAACCATTAAATTATTGCTCCTCATCGTTGTATTTCTTGTAAACAAAAGCAGGATATTTATATATCTCTTTATTAAAGGCATTGTCGATTAGCAAACCCATAAATTCCTGTGACTCCTCATTCTAATCGAAATTAAATCTAAATTAATATTTCCTTACATCTTTACATTCGATATCAATGTAAGAAAATTGATTCCCTTTTTTCTCTACTGTTCTCTCACAGCTCTAAATCATCATCAACTAGATTTAGTAAAAATCTGGACTACCAAGACTCTCATATTTACCATTTGTTACTACATAAATTAGCTGTATTAAAATAAAAATATTGTTTTCACAACAGAAATCAATAAAAATCATAAATTAGATTATTTTTTAATCCACATTGCTGCTTAATTGCTGTCAAAATATTTAAAATTTAATTGAATTTGGCTAAAATTACTTTGAAATTAGTTAAAATTAATTTTCCTTCTAGCCTAAAAGTAGCTGATTTTAATCCGGCTTGGATATCTTTAATGTACTATTCTCCATTTAGAATATATTTATCTTTTACACCAAGATCGATAAGCTATTATCTATAATCATTTTAGTGTGATGGCTTAAACTTAGGAGCTTCATCCTTCTAGATTTTTTTAATTACCTACTTCTATTATTATTCATTCTATTATATAGGTTCTTTTTACCAATAATGATGTATGATATCATAAACTATATTTGGAATTAAAGCTGATACTATGTTATTAGATCCACTACTTTAGCTGGCGCTGTCGTTGATACTCTAATTAGTATTTTAATTGCTATTTTTTGAGCTAGCAATTAAATTATTGCTATTATTAGCATTTATTTAATTTTAATTCTAGCTTCTAGGCCTGGTCAAATAATCGTCTGCTAAAGATTTTGTATGGGTGACAGGAGATTATTAATATTATTCTTCTTATAACAAATCCTGTAACCCAAATTGAGCTGTCCTCTACCTATCATCTATATTACAAAATATATAAATACCTAAAATTTTAACATTAGAAACTACTTAGTTGCTAAGAACTATTCATGTTACTCATCTAATTAAAGTCCATTTGTTTGAGAATTTTAGAAAATATTAATTTTTTTTTTGTTAAATCAATAAGGTTTTTAATATATATATTTAGATGCTTTTTAGAATTAGATTTTATTAATTAACAAGAAATAGTTTATATTTCAGTAATTAACAAAACAATCAAAAACTATTCGATAGAAAAATTATGCTTGACATAATGCACTACTTAAAATTAATCGATTCGTTTGACTTTGTTTCAGAAATTATTCAATCAATCAATCCAGCATTCTTAAATTCACTTTTATATTATCAAATTTAGAATATTAGAAAATTGGCAACATTAGTTTTTCCTTAATATAGTGTATCAAAGTAAAACTAAGGTTGTATTAGAATATATTTATTAATTCTAATTTACAAAGATTTGATATAGAATGCCACTTTATAAATTATTTTTTATAATCAATAAGGCTATATACAATAAATATCTAACATTATTTTTAGAACAATATTTAAATTTATAAAATAAATTAAATAGCTAATTCTTAGTAAGAGAAAATAGAAATAATCTACAAAAATAAATTTAATAATCATCAAAAAATTTAAGAAAGTAAATTTTACAAAATGAATAATCAAAATGTAAATAAAATTTAATTTAAAACGATGAGAATTTATAGGAAATATTTTGTAAATTTTGAAAAGAATCAAAATCATATTTTAAAAGCTTACTAAAATAAATAATTTTATCCACTATTTACTTAATTGATAGCTTACTAAAAAAATAAAATTAATTTAATTTTAAAAATTATAGTTCTACTTTTAATGAATCTTATTTAAAGAGATATTAGAATTATAAAGTAGAGTATACATAAACTGAGACAAACAAACACTAATTTCAAATTATTTTTAATCCCTTTTTATTCAAAAATAAGATTGAGTGAAATTCAATCATTTGAATGAAAATGAGAAGAGCTATTTGTTAAATTCTTAAGAATATCTATCTCTTAGATATTAGACTTTTAGGTTTCCTTATAAAATAAATAAATAAATATATTTATTCATTTATATACATAAACACACACATATATATAGATTAGATAAAAGTAAAGAAAAGGTTATTAGACAAATTGATATAGATCTATAGCTTGCATTTAATTATAAACTTTTTCTTGATCTTATTAATTAATATTTTGTTTGAGACAAATACTATATTTTTATTCTTGTTAGCTAAATAAAAGATTAAACATATAAATAATTTTTTTAATAATAAACACTCATTTATTTCTTTCTTTCAAATTATTAAGTAAAGAATAGCTATTTCTTAGTATTTGCTATATTTAAATAAAATATTTTCTTCCAATAAAGTAAAGATAACAAAAATTTTATTAGATCAATGAGTTTATTTGGTGGAGGTATGATTGGTTAAGCATTAGGTTTAACTAGAGGAGCAACAGTTGCACCATAAAATGTACCATCTGCTCCTGTAAATAATTAGGGAAGCACAAATGCATAAAATTTTTCCTAGGCTGTATCTAGTTAAATTAACACTGTAGGATATTAATTTAAACCTTGCTAACCTCCAAATTAAGCAGTTGGATAGAAAGCTTAAATCAAATAAACAGATGTATTGACATATTTATGCTGCATTACTGGTATCGATTAGTTTTAATAGTTTTCAATGCAAGAATTGATGTTAAATGATAAAAAACTTATCAGATAAGGCGGAGTTTAACCACCTTAAGGGAACTTAAATCAAATTACAGTAGGAATGGGATAAAATAACTAACCTTCAGCATAAGCATCTCTTGGTATGGGAGGAGGAGGCTTATTTGGAGGAGCCTAATAAACAGGAGGGCTATTCAATGGAGGTAATACTCAAGCAGGAGGAATTTCAGTAAATACTTAGCCTGCAGCAGGTGGTGGATTATTTGGCGGTTAAACTGGAGGTCTTGGTACAGGTTTAGGTGCCACTACAACTACATAAGGAGGTGGTCTCTTTGGAGGTGGTACTGTTGGAGGAACAACTACTTAATAAGGAGGACTTTTTGGAGGTGGTACTGGAGCACCTTCAATAACGACTTAATAAGGTGGATTATTTGGTGGAGCTACTTAATAGCCTGGAGGTTTATTAACTGGAGCTACTAATCCTCCTCAAGGAGGGTTATTTGGTGGTAATGCACCAACAATTTAGACTGGAGGATTATTTGGTGGAACTCCTGCTACACAAGGAGGATTATTTGGAGGAGCCTAGGGAACAGGTTAAAATAAAGGAGGACTGTTTGGTACTGCACCATAGACAGCAACTGGATTATTTGGCTAACCACAACCTTAAGCAGGTGTATTTGGATAATAATAATAACAATAAGTAAACTAACCCAACGTAAGTGAATTATTGATTGAACTTCAAAGAATTAAAGACGCAAAATCTTTTTCAGAAGACCAGCAATAGCAATAAGATAAAATGAAGAATAATAAGTATGTCTCAGACAAGAATCATATTAATCACATAAATTACTTAAAAAGTTAACAACAAAAGAGAAATGTTTTGTAACAATACACAATTTAGAATAAAAATCCAAATAAATTTATTGAAGCACCTTATAATGTAAAGGTAAATGTGAAGTGGGATAATATCAAAAGAAATGAGTGGTAAATACTTTAAAGATCCCAAGACATTAAAAATTAGACCTACATTAATATGGGAGGTGAGCAAAGATTGTTTAGCAATCATAATAGTAATAATATTTTGTATAATTAATTGAGATAAATTGAGAGAGCTTCATATTAATATACAAACAAATCCTTAGCAGAAAAAGAAAAAGAATACATTTAGGAATAGTTAGAGTCCTTTTCAAAATCAAATTATTTTAAAAAGGTATCACAGTTAGTGGATCAATAATAACAGAAAAATATATTATAAGATTCTAACCAAGAAGATATAAAAACTAAGGAAAATTCAATTGAGTATTTATATGAATAAAGTTTAAAAAATAACCTAAAGGTATTTGATACTACTGTAAGCATTAAACTTTATTAGGATTAGGAATATAATATAATTATACCATTAAAAGTAAAATCATCTTATTCTATTTCCTATCTTCTGACATTGGTTTTCGATTTCATTGAAGAAAAATATAATATAGATCCCTAAACTTTAGATATTTATAATAGCAATTACGTGTTATATTAACCAGTCTTAGTAGAGCATCTGCTATAAGTAAGAAAGAATAGTTTAATATCAGATATAGAAGACATAGAGACAAACTAACAAGTACTGATATATAAATTTAATATTAAAATTTTTTAAATTTTATTTTAATTAATAGGCATAAATAGGGCATTTTGAAGTATTATATCTTGATCCTGAAGAAATAGACGAAGTATAAAATGAAGATGATATGGAGGAGGAAGAATACGAAGATGAAGATTATTATTTTGATGACAATAGCAATTAAGATTTTTCTTATCTTCCAATTATACCTGAAGGCTACTACAGCGAGCCAAACCTTAAAGAATTAATTACAAAATCTCACGACCAACTCAGACACTTTAAAAATTTTAAAATTGGAAATAAATTTGCAGAAGTGTGCTTTGAAGGCGAAATCGATTTGATTTAGCGTGATTTTTCAAAAGAAATACTAATCAAAGAAAATGAGGTTATCGTTTACCCTTTTAAGCCTGAAGACTAGCCTCCTATTATGCCAGGTTATGGAATAAACGTTCAGTCAACTATAAAAATATTTAAAGCAGCTAAAATGTTGCTCTAAAATGAAAAATTCGACATTTAAAAAATAGAAAGAAGATTAAAAAAAATGGCAAATAGCAAAAATATGGAGATAGTTGAACCATATAATCCAAATACTGATTCATTTACAGTAAGAGTATTACATTTTTGATAAACTATCGTTTTAATTATTTATAACGGATATAAAAATTTAAATATCTATCTATATCTATCAATAAATTATTCAATCAATAAATTTATATTTGCATAAAATATTTTTTTTTACAAGAATTTTAAAATGAGTATTTATTTGTTTATATTTATTTATTTATTTTTATGATTTTACTAAGAAAACAAATCAATTTTTTATTTAAGATTTTTTATCAAATTATTTTAAAATGTTTGTTTGAAATTTTAGAATTTATATTTATTTTTACTTTTTAATTATTTCTAATAGTTCAAATATTTTTATAGTTTATTTCTAATTATTTACTTATTGTGGAATAGTTTTCTTCAAAACTATTTTCAACACCATATTTTTAGTTATTTTCAAGATCTAAATTTTTAATTTATTCACTTTCTAGCTCACTATTATCATTTTCTCTCCTTAAATAAGAATTATGAAGAATCTTTTAGTGTTAATAATTTTGCTATTCAATTAGGTGAGGCAAAACAGATTATGTTTTTATTTATTCTTCCTAAGACTAATGTATCAAAGAATTAAATAAACCTTTTGAATCACTATTCTTTAAGAAAGTATTTAATCTATGTTAAGAAAAATGAGATGGGTCGTTTGCTTATTATTAGTTTTGTATATGTGATAAACCCTTTGGTATATTTTAGAAAATTTCTCTGCTCTAAAAATTATCGCTGTCTTCTTAAAAGCTATCAATGCTGCAACAATCAATAGATTTAGATGATATTATTTATTTATTAAAGTTTAAATTATTAATTAGTTACTTGGGTTAATTTTACTAAAATTATTATTAATATTTTTATAGATCTATTAATTCTCCACTGCTATTTTCTTGAGTGGTTAATTTTTTTTGATTTATTTATTTTAAAACATTTTCTTTTTCATTTTTCTAATCATGTTTGTTTTCATTTTATTTTATATTGTTAGGCGAACCCAAATTTTTATCTTATGAAGTGTCTTAAGTTATGTTAAAGTCTCCCTTTTTAGGAATATAATTGAAGAACTGACTCATTTTATTATTTTTATCGTTTTCTAAAAATTTAGGGTTTTCACTTTTGTTTGGAGAGATATCCCTATAATTTTTGCTTTCATTTTCGTTACTGTTAAAGGATGAGGAATTAGCCTATTCAGAAATAACTTCCTAAAATGGTTTCTGGTTATATTTTTTTTCTGAGAACCAAATTAGGCCAAATGAAGTAGGTTATTACACTTGAGACAAGCTAGGTATAAAATTTTATCTGGTTACACTATGATTATTAAAATTAAAGGAATTATCTGAAATTGACCTATTATTATTGTCATTTAAAGACTCATTAACACCATCTTACGGATCTTACAGGTTTAGATGAAAATAAATTTCAACATTTTGATCTTCAGTTAATTTAAATGATATCTTATTTTAAGGGTTTATTAATCTTAGTAGATGCTTACATATTTTAATTTCAACTACTTATTAATAATGATCTTCATTATCATCGTATAGCTCTGCAAAATTCAGAAGAGAAAGATTTATGCTAGATACTGGCTTAAAAGTAATAGAAAAGCAAATCAGATTACTTGAATTTTAAGTTTCATTTGCTTTTATTGTAATGCTAGATTGAAAAAGACTAGATTATATGCAATAATTTATTAAATTGTAAAATATTTAATTTAAAACTCTTTCATCTGTCAGAAGATACTTTCTTTGTAAGGTATTAGATATATTTATTTCTATATTTTTCTACTATGTCTCTAATTATTTTTAGAAGATTCTCTTCATCCCATAAAGCTCCTCGAGTATATTTATTTTTTAAATAGATTCTTTATATATTTACTTTTTTCTATTCAGCCATTCTAAAATTTTTAATTGAAAAAATTAAATTTCAAATAAATTTTATATTTCTTACTTAATAAGATTAAAATTAATTACCGAAAATATTATATATATTTTGCTTGATAGCATAGGCTGAATAAAGTAGAGAGTTCATGGTCTTGCTTTCCTCCTCAAAATAAATCTGCAAGTTATTTGAACTTAAATTCTATTTTTGATGGGTCATCTACAAGATTTATTTAATTACTTTATAGCTGTTTACAGATAAATAATTTAGATTAAGAAACTACTGGTCTAATATTTTATTTGTCCTCTTATTTTCTTCTACACTTTATTAATATTTTTCTCTGTACGCATCTTTTTGGATAGAAATTACTATAAAATAGTCATTAAGAAAGAAAGAGAGAATCTTGATAGAAAATTTTTTATTTTATATAGGCACATATTACTCATCTATCATTTATCCTTAAAACGATTCTACCTCTTCACTCTCTTCTTAAACATCTTCATAAAACTATTCAAAATTCTAAGAAAAAACACCCTGTTTTTATGAAGGGTTCTCTTTCTCAGAATACTTTGCATGCATATCTGTAGATTAATTTTAATTATTTGTCTACGATTATCCTTTAACGTTGAAGAATTAAAAAGTACTTTTTTCTAGTCCTCCACCTGAAATTGATGTAATCCTTCTTTATAATTAAGTAAGACTATTTTATTTTTTAAACTTCTAGAAAGACTTTATCTCATTTTTTTAAACATGGTTACTCACTAACTTTTAATTGCTCATTTTTAATTTCCTAAAAGAGTTAATATCTTTTTCATTTTTAAAAATAGCTTGCTCATTATTTTATGCACTTACCAAATCTTAAAATACATTATTCGATGATTAATTTTTGTCCTTGTTTTTTTATTTTAATGTTTGTTTGAAGCTGTTTCCCTTATTAGATTTATTTTCATTTTATAAATTTTTAAACTCTTTATTCATTTTTTATTAAATTTGACCACTAAGCGTATTTGACCATTCAGGTTTTTTACATTTCTTTAATTACTATTTTACTTCTTAAGCATTTTAATTATTATGCAAGACCATTGAATTACAAAAATCATGAAACTCTTAATTATTTTAAAGCCCAAATTGCAATTTAGATCTTTTGTTTTAAGAGTATAGCTCAAATTCATTATATTTCTAATTATATTTGCAAATGATTAAAGAACTTGGAAGTAGGTTATCAACCAAATAATCTCTTATTAGCCCTTGCTTATGATCTAAAAAAGCAATCCTTTTTTATTTATCTTCTGAATATATCTATAATTTTCAATTATTTAAAATTAAATTAATAAATCCCAAACTTTAGAATATTTGTAGTATAATTTTGTAATAGAAATAATTACCTTATATATTAGAGCAAGTATTACAGAAACAATTTATATTACATCCAAAATAGGGTTTTTAAAGACAAAAATAATCAGGCAGACAAACAAAATAATAATAATTGAAAATTTTAGTAAAAAACTAGAGCCTATTAGCAAAATTATAAAGTTAATTGCATAAATAAACCCTTATTAATTAGGGCGTAAACTGGATTAATTTTAAAAGTAGTCTATTAAAATATTATCTTAGTAACTCCATATCATAAGGCTTATATAAATTGCTAAACTGAGGGTAATTGAGTAGTTAAAAGTCTAAATCCTTAGACAGCATACTAAATAACATGCAAATCCAGTAATTAATTCAAGTAAATGGTAAATATATATCTTAGAGTGAATGCTAGAAGCATATTGCAGTAAAATAAGCTAAATAATAGAATAAATTACCACTGCACTTGTTTATACTTTTAATATTTTTAAACCATTTAACTTTTCTTTTTTCCCGTACTCATTTTCTAAGATAGAAGATTTAATGTTTAAAGACCATATATTCATAATTATTTGTTAAATCTACTTACTTACTTTATTCGTTAATCTTTAATAATTTTGATAAAAAATATATTTTTATTGACAATCATATAATTGACTAAATTAATATTGATTACTATTATTTCAATAAATAAATAATTAATTAGTTGATTCCTAAATTACAAATAATTTTGCTTAAAAATAGATTTAAATAAGCTTAAATATAACTAATTTTATTTCAACAAAAACAATAAAATAAATTTAACTTTGCTAGGTTATTTTTTCATTCATAATAAAATTATTTTTGATCAATTTACATTTTTAAAATAAATAAATAAATTTAATATTTTTAGATTATCAAGGATTTAAATTTACTTACATTTTTTAATTAATATTTTTCTCAAAAAATATGTTTTTTTTTTTATAGATTTACATTATTTTAAAAATAAGTTAATGAATTAATTTTATTCATAAACGCATAAATAAGTTAGTAAGTCAGCATTAATTAATTTTTAGAATACTTTTTGAAAATATATTTTTTTAAATTTAAAAAATGCTTTACAATATTTTATCATTTTAATGTGTTTGCTTTCACAATTATTTTTATTAAAGATAATTCTAATATTATTATACAAAGGTTTCTTATTTTTTACTTTCTACACATCTTTAATCACGAATAGATCTAACTAATTGTATCGCATCAGACCATTTATTTTTAATTTTAAATCTTAGTAATAAACAAGAAGCGATCAATCCAGCCCTACCAATGCCACCTCTGCAATGGCACAATACATTTTTATTTTATTTCATCTCATTTATTATAAATTAAATCACCTCTTAATCAAATTGGTCCATACTTTTACATTCTGGAACGCTCATTTCTATTATTGGATATTATATAAAAGTTATTCCTTTTTCTTAGCATATTTTTTGGTATTGCTTTACATCAACGCCTATTGATCTCAATTCATAGTCATTTAAAAGACAAATTATTGTTTTTACATTATCTTATGAAGAAAATTATTCTACATCTACCCTTAAATCTCTGTCATGTACTTTCCCATCTCTACCTTTAGCTAATTTCTTCCCTGGACAATGGCACAACCCAAATTTTGATGCCAATAAAGTAGTTTTATCTTATTAATTAATTTCCTTCACATCAGATTCTTATTTTTCAAATTCATTTTATTGTGTATATTAAGTTGCATCTATTATCCAGCTTATTTTTATTTATTTGATTTAAATTGCGCTTTCTTGCTTTGTATTCTGTTTTTGATTGCTTAGTTGTAACTTTCTCATCAGCAAATTGATAATAAATTACAAATTAATAAGTAAGTTTAATTAAATATTGAAATTTGGTTGGAAGAAATGATAAATTTAATATGAATCTCAATCGGTAGATTACTTCAGATTAGTTAATATCAAATTTTTTCATTATTGTAAGAAAGAATCCTAACAACACCTGTATAGAAAAAATGATTAAATTCTATATAATATTAATATAATTATATAAAAATATTAGATTTTTTTTTGTTATTATCAATTTCCTTTTATTTATATTAACTTATTGCTTTCTTAAATAAATTATAAATTTTATTTTACTGAGTAAATTTTTAAATTTAAATTTTCACTATAACTTCCCTAATATAAGAACTCCTTTTATTAAAAAATTAAGTAATTACAATTTTTAAATTAATAAACTGACGTTTAAAATTAAATAAATTTATTAACATATATTTTTACTGAATATTTTAAACTTTTAGTATTTTCAAAAATTAAAGAGATTCAATATAACCTACTAAAATTCTGTTAAATAGTGAAATTAAAAGGAATTTTAGGATTTAAAAAATATAAAAATAATTATTAAAATATTATTTATTCACAGTAATTGAGTTAAAACAATAACAAGCCGATGTACATTAGATACTTTTAGCATAAATTATTCTTGTAATAAATAGTATAAAAGTTTTTATAAATTGAAATGCAAATAAATTATAAAAATATAAATTACTTTTAATTATTTCTTAAAGTGATCAATTAATTATTTTGCACTAGTAGAAAATTAATTGGCTAGTTATTAGTTTATATTTCAAAATCTAATTTTTAGGTATAACCTCCCTGATACAAAAAAATCAAATAATAAATTGTAAAAAAATGCTCAAAGCACTATTTTATTACTGAAAAATCAACTTTAATCATTTGTATATATTAATAAATAAATAAATTGATTTATTTTCTGTCAAATAATTAAAAATAATATACGCAAGTCAATAAAATACATTAGTTACTATTCAAAAATAATAAATTATAAATTATAAAAGATAAAAATTAGATATAAGGAGCTATCTGATAAAAAGCAATAGCTCAAATAATTTACCCAATATGAAGAAAACCTTTAAAGAAAATTCCTAATTAAAAATTGATTTATTTATTAATAAAATGTAAGCTCCCTATTTTGAATAAAAGTATAGTGATTTAAGTACTTTAAATCTTTTAAAGTTAAGAAGGTATCAAATTTATCAATCTAAAATTGACTTATTTAAAATTAGAATTAAGACTAATACTATTTACTGATGGTGCTAAAATGTATTGATTACAATGTAAATTAAGAATATTTAATATTGGCCTATCGAATGTTTAATTCTTTCTTTAAAATTTATTATTTTTCTTATGTAAACTTCCTGGTGATATCATCAGATTTGCATAGCTATTAAGTTAATTACTAATTTTGAAGAGATAACATACTCATATTAAATTTATAAGAAAATCTTCTAATAGAAGTATAAATAATATAAAAACAAAAAAAATAAATAAAACAAAATCTAATAATTTTAAGTAAATAAATCTATTAAATGAGTACTCAAATATCAAAGTGTATAGGTTTTGAAGAATAAGGAGGTTCTTTAAAATTGACAGAAATCTCTCTCCCTACTGTAGGACCTAGAGATTTAGTTGTTCGTGTTGAAGCTGTTTCTATGAATCCTATTGATTTTAAAAAGAAAGATTACGGAGTTGCTCTTGGACCCGTTTCTGTTGATAACCCTTGTGTATTAGGATTTGATGCTTCAGGAGTAGTTGTTTAGGTAAACATTTCATTTCAAAAAATTATTTGCTTATTTAAAATATTTTATTAAATAGACTGGCGAAAAAGTAACCTTATTCAAAGTCGGAGATGAAGTTATGTATGCTGGAGATATTACAAAGTAAGGCTCAAATTCACAATTACAAGTAATTGATGAAAGAATAGTAGGAAAAAAGCCTAATAATCTTAATTGGGCTGAAGCTGCTTCTATACCTTTAGTACACTTAACAGTTTATGAATCTTTAGCTGAGCATTTAGAAATAAAGGAATAAAATAAAGATGAAAATAAGAACAAAACTATATTAATTGTAGGTGGAGCTGGTGGTGTTGGAAGCGCTGCTATTTAATAAGCTAAAAATATTTTTAATCTTAAGGTTATTGCTACTGCATCAAGACCTGAATCTGTAGATTACTGCAAAAAATAAGGAGCTGATATTGTAATTAACCATAAAAACTCATTGATTGAAGAATTAAAGGCACTAGAAATAACTGGAGTAGACTATATTTTTAATACTTCTGATATGACTCCTTTCTACTTTGATCAATTTACTGCTCTTATTAATCCTTTTGGAGGAATTGTTGGTATTTCTGGATTCTTAGAGCCCTTAATTATGGCTCCCCTTTTCTTAAAAAGAGTCAAAGTCTCCTGTGAATGCATGTTTGTGAGATCCTTGTATGGAAAAAACTAAGAAATTTAAAATAAAATATTAAATAAAATATGCTTAGAATTGGAAAACAGAAATATAACTCACAATCTTGAAGTATTAAAAGACTTCAATATTGAAAACCTTACAGAAGGTCACAATGTCTGTAAGAGTGGAGTAAATATTGGTAAAATAGCTTATTAAGATGTTTAAAAGTTCTTTAATAACTGATTGAGTATAAATATAATTAGCATAATTTAAGCATTTTAATTTAATTTATTAATTTATATATTTATTAATGAAAGTAAGTAAATTTATTTATTTTATAATAAATCAATTCAAAAATTCATTTAAGAATTTTTTATTTTTTTGATAGTTTATTTTTATATTTTAATTTATTGGATATGAATCTTTTGATATTCTAATTAGCTATTTATAATAAATTAAGTATGCAAGCAAATAATATTCCAAAAAAAGTTATTTAAATTCATTAAACATAAATAAAGTAAAGAATTAGAGTAAAAATTGTAATAAATCAGAAATTATTTTTAAATGCTAAACTTTTAACTTTTGTTGCTATTATGAGATATATTATTAGCAATCTTTAAAAAATTAAAACCTAAAAGTAGAATTAATATTGAATTAATTATTTAAATATTAAATAATAGCAAAATTATTTATCTAAGAATCTTTCTCAAATTTTTGAATATTTTAAACATAATAATTTTTTTTATATCATAAATAACTATTTTAATAAAATTTAATTTAAAGTATTGAATTTTATATTAAAATTTTCTTATTAATTGATAAAAATAATAACTTGAAAAAAAAAATTTTAAAATAATTTTAAATAATGAAAAATAAATATAAAGTAATAAAGGAATTAGAAAAAAAGATTCTACTTTCTTAAGAGATTTGATTTCTCTTGAAAATAAGAACCCAGATTAAAACCTTTCAACAATAAGTGGGACTCCATACGATTAGGTACAAAGTCTCATATTTGATAAATATGAACACAAATGAATTACATTTTTAAATAATTTAATAATAGATTTATTATTTTTTTCAAATAAATTCATCCTTTCTATTTTATCACTATTTATATCTAATATTAAGAGTTCTATGTTATAATAATTTAAAATATTTTTAAGTAACTCATTAATTTACAAATCTTCCCATAAGTCTATCTCTGTTATGCATAAAATGAATTTTTTATAAACAAGAGCATCATTTTATTCACCAATTTTTTCACATACTTACTTATTTTAGCATAGAAATTAAAATGGAATTATTTATTCAATTAAACTGAAAATAGAAAATAAAAGAGAAGGTCTTTGATGAAATGCTTATCGATAATCTTCAATTAATAGCTTTAATTAAAGTTTTATCCATCTAATTTAGCTGAAATTCAAAGATTGTTTATTAATAGGAGCCAACACTTACTCTAAAATTTCTGTAATTATAGAAACTGAAATTTTATCGAATTTACTGGATGTGATATCCTCAAATATAATATCTGTGAGTTCTTAAACTACTTCAATTTATTCTCTTCTATATATGTCTATAATTATAGACACATCAAAATAAATATTCGAATTTAAAATCTTTTTTAATTCTTCAAATTCTTTTGAGATTATATTTTAGCTTTAGAAGCACTATTCCAGTAGCCCCATTGTTTAATAGCGAAAGTATGGAAAATAAATTTGATAATCTTCAAACAATTAGGTCAATATCTCTCCAGCATCATAAAATTATTCTTTTTTTATCAGCAATAACGCTTCTTAATTTATAGCGAAACTTTAAAGAATGTCTAAAGGTATATTGTATTCATATTCATCTCTCTTCATTAACTAGTAGAATTAATTTATAGAATCATTGTTCATTAGATTGTATTCAGACTGTTCTTTAAAATCGTCAATATGCTTGGTTTGTCTATTTTATTGATGATTTTAATTTTATTAAGGAATTTATTGAAATGAGTCTTCTTAAGCAGATACATCTTTCTCTACTAACATTTAATCAGATTTAATTTAGAAATTATTTGTGTGATTTAAATTTAATGTATTATCATGGTTAATGTTTTTGATAGTCTCTTCATTAAATTATCTTTAGAACATAATACTCGTCCTATTTTCAAATGACTATGCATGGCAAATTTATTAATTTTTAAAAAAATCGTTTCTCCCTGTCGAAAGTAGTAAATGGTTTTAGCTAGGTGCTTGAAGTAATGTGTCTCTCTAACTTAAATATTAATTTCTAAACGAATCTTAATTATTTTTATAGGTATTTACATTTCCTAAGCTTGTAATATCGCCTTATAATTAAGATATTGAGTTATTAGAAGTTTATTTGAGTTGACTTATTTAGTTGACATCTTATTTACATTTACTAATATTTTCTTGTTCAACAGCTTAAGCGAAGAAGCTATTTCCACTTTTCCTTGCTATTCTACAATCACTAAAAATATTTTCGTTTTCTATGATACGTTCACTACTTTAAATCTGCTTAGCTGATCCTTGTAATAACTTGTTAAATTTATCATCTTATTCAACCATATTATTAAATTAATTTTTAGTTTAAAGATTAGCATTTAATGAGGTCTAATAACTCTGTGAATATTAAGAATTAGGTGGAGCTAAAAAATTTTATGAAGAAATATTCTTATTTGGTATTCTTAGCTGCTGCTGCTGCTGTTCTTAATTTTTAGAACTAAATAGTTTCGTAGAAACTTTTTATAGTGCTTTTGATTTTAAATTTATGATTTTTTCTCTAATTACTTTGACTATTTTCTTGCTTATCACAAATCGATTATCCATAATTTATTTTGTTCCTTAATTAGCTTAGTGAATAATTTGAGATGATGTTTCATTGATTTACATTATTTAATTTGTAGGCCCTTATTTACTAATATTTTTCAAACTAGTTTGCCTTTTATAATTATTTGGTACAGAATATTATGCTGATTATTTTCTGTTGTTAGGAGTATAACCATTAGAAAGTGTATGTAAGTTAGTAGCAGACTAATTATTTTAACTTACATATATTTACTTAATAAGTTAGCTTGTTTTAATTATCAATTTATAAGCTTGCTTTAATTAGTTAAACATCATCTTTCCTTTAGATAACTCAATTTAGAGTATGGCCCTTATGGTATTTTTCAATTTTAGTCTTTTAGCAGTTTTCAGTAATCCTTTCATCACTTATATATAATCTTACCAACATTACGAATTACTACTTTACTAACTATACATTTACAACGCTTTTGAATATGACCAAGTTCTATCAAATTTTAATTTTTTAATTTCTTTTTTTTAAATTTATAATAAAATATTTTAGTTTTCTTCTTTCTGTTCTTTCTATTAAGGGATTTTATCTACAATTTCATCATAAACTCCTAATTCATAATTAGCCATAATAATTGCTTATTCATATGCTTCTAAAGCCTCCTAGTATCTTTCGCTATTAAAATGAATGTTTCCTATATTCATATAGCAAATTCCTATTGCTCTTTTATCATTTTATTTCTTAAAAAAACTGCACGCTTTTATCCATTAAAGTAAGCTTTTCCTGTTAATTAATTAAAAATAATTTTTAATAAAGATCATACTCATCTAAACTAAATAATCAATTTATACCCATAATTTATTTTGTAATACTCATAATTAGAATAGCGTACCATTTAAAACATACTTCTAAACGAATTATATAAGGTTATTGTATCTTTTGATGTTAGAAAGTGTTCAAGTGAATCATCTGATTCTTCAGCTAACATTTACTAACCGTAATAAGAAAACGAAGAACCATTTTATGATGAATGGTCGGCATCCTTCAAAGATTTGGATTCACTTTCTTAAAATATTTCAATATATAGCAAATCTTAAGCCTTTATAGATGAAAACAAAATTAAAAATTTGTCTATGGGCGAATGCAGTCGATAGGATATTTTACAAGAGTAAAAGTAGATGAAAATGGTACCTACTAATGAAGAAATCACTATTAGGATAATAAATGTTATTTATAATTTTTAAATAAAATCCGTCAAAATGTTGTAAGACTTAAGTACGTCTGCCTTGCTTAAAACTTGAAATATCTTTTTTTTATATATTAATATAAATAAATATTTTAATAAAATTAATTATGCTTACAAATAAAGGATTGTTAAGCGTATTAGGAGTATTAACTTCAAAGTAGCGATATTAATCTGACAAAGGAATTTAGCCTTATAAGGTTAAATTTGAAATATAATTTGTGTAATATATTTTATCAATTATTGTTACTGGCGAAACAATTGCTGTATAGCCTTTATCTAGCTGGACAACTATCAAATTTTGATCTGAAGCAAAATTATATGAAGAATAGTTTTATTATAAATTTTAAATGAGCATTGTGATATTTGAAGGAACAAGAAAGTAATAAGGGTTTTCATTTTAATCATTTATATTAAACTGTGTAAATGTACGATTATTTTTAAAGAAGAGAGCTACTTATCTTGTGTCTTTATGGATTGTAAAAAAGATGGAGTTTGCTGTACTAACATTATACATGATATCATTAAATGACTATAAATTTAATCTTCCACACACAGAACCTAAAAATCCTTTCTCTCTATCTAAAATTTAAGAACAAACCCCAGTCCCATAATAACTTATTTCAGTAGTGTTATACTTTTACGATGGATCTAAAATAATTCCAAAAGACTGTTTCGAATTCACATACCAAGATCTACACCTTGAGTCATATACTTGAGAATTGTAATTGCATGTTTAATTAGCCGAAAACATGAAATTCCTGTTCATGCTTGAAGGTATTTTTTGAAAGTATCCATTAGAATCATAAGCTCTAAATATATCAATCAAAGCAAATTTAGGTATTTTAGATTTAGTATCTAGTTCAATAAATGATCTTTAAATTCCATCCAATCTAGATTGCTCAAGCATATACCTAATCGACTCCTCATCTAAATCTGTTTAGTCCTCTATATTTCCAAGAAACCTTTTAAAAAATATATTATATGAATTTATATAATAAATTAAAATCTTATAAGGGTCAGATAAATTGTTAAAAACATGTAGATGATCGCATATTAAGAAGTTAAGTAAGTTCATGTTTTATTTACTTAATAAACAATATTATAGTAAATAATTTATTAAATTACCATGATGAGGCATATAGATTGTTTTCATTTATGATGTCAACATATTTTTTTGGAAGAGTCTTTAATTTTATTTTCATATTTGATACAGTCAATGGCTTGTATAAATTATTAAATTTAATTTTATTATTGAGTGCTTTTAAGGTCACAGCTACTATGGTTTATATTTATTAATAGATATTTTAATGATTTAAATCTAAATGCAATTTAATTGCTTTTTGGATTTATTTCAGCTGATTAATCTCATTAGTATAATATTAGTCGCTATATTAATTCATAATTTTTCCAATTTGATCTTGTATAAAATATATTTAGTAAATTCCTGATAGAAGTATGACTAAGCATGGCACAAAAATCAAAAAGATAATTTATTGCTAGAATTTCATTAATATATATTTTTAAATTTGTTGTATTAGTCAAAATGACTAATTATGATTTTACAGCAAAGATCTCTCTTCAATTTAAAGTAGAATTATTAGAGTTATAGATTGATATTTATTTAGAGTATATATTTATTTACTTTTATAATTAACTTATTTGATTTTTTTCTTTGTTTTTAACAGTAATTTAGCATCAAAAATAAATTGAATACAATTAATTTATCACTCCATCAATTAATTCAGTGTTTTCTATAAAAATACAAAAAATAAATACCAAATTTATTTGTTAATTCCTTATACATAACTTACTCTAAAAAACAAATAAATATCAACTAAATGTTATTTAATTTTTTCTAAATTTTTGTTTTTCACTTGCTTTACAGATATTTTAGAGAGTTACTCATTATTTAATAATAAATGATTCGTTTATGAATTATAAATATGAAAGCCAAAAATTTTCCATTTTCTTTAAATTTAATTATTTTTATTTTATTTCTCAAATTTAAAGTTAAATTTTTTTTATTTTTTATCATTTTCTTTATTTTTTCTTGTTGAACTCTTTTTTATCCTTTCTTTTAGTAATAGATGGCTAATTAGTTGAGGATTAATTAAGATTGTGAACTATAGCAAGATATTTATCAACTTCCTATAAAAAGGTTTTCATCATATCAGCTATTGTTTCCTTATCATTCATAAGTAACTGTTAAAGCTTCTATTTTTTCTTTTCCTTTAATTTTTCTAAGTCACCCTAGTTAACTAGAATCCATCTATCAAACTTATTTAGCTAATCTAAGCAGTCAGAGTGATAAACAATTTATTTGTTAAATATATGATACACTAAATACTAATTATTTTATATTATTTCAAAATAATTTTTATGCAAATTACTTTAAGAAAAAAATAAATTACAAAAATATCTTCTTCTCTATGAAACAAATATCTAGCAAATATTTTTTTAAAATTGTTTTTTGCCTATAAAGTTTTTGCCTTTTGCCTATTCAAATACTCTTAATATTAGAAAGCCTACTATGTTTTGATTGAACCATCATAATATTACTATTTTAGCTGCTCTTGTTCAATATCTTATCTTACATTTTTTAACTATATTTTTAAATCTTCACCTTGATCCTCATAGAATTTAATTAATTCTTTAGCTCTTTCTCCAAACGATAAACTTTTAGTAGGCTCAGTGAGCTTTTTAATCAAATTTTTTTTGTGTTCGTCTGTTTCTTATTCCAAATCAAAATATGACTATAAAAAATAGAATTTTTTTAATAATTAAACAAATAAAAAATCATTAAATGATTACAGATTCGTTAAAAATAACGTTTTAGAAAAATGCTCCGCTATAGAACTAATTACTCATGCGATTTATAATATCAGGAAGATAAGAATCAATACTTTAATCTAAAATACGGAAAGAAATGATATTTCTATTATTTTTATCAGTCACTCTAATTCTTTATACTTTGTTTTCCAATATTTCAAAAAATTTAGGTTCTTTTGTTGCTAAAGCTAATGAAAAGTGACGTGTTTTAGATTATCGGTAATTCTAATTTTCTATTGAGCTACCTTTTATAAGCTCATTATCTAAAGCATTAAATAAAGGTTTCTATTTTTTTAATGTTAAATTTTCTTTAGCTTATTTCTAACTATTAGATTTATTTTCAGTATTATGTTAGTCATCTTCTTCCTAATCATCCTCTTCACTATCATTGTCACTATCTTCTTCATCACTTTCTCCATTATTATTATCATCTTCATCACTGTCTGTAAAATTTAGATCTATGTCTTCATCATTTTGGTTTTTTCTCTTTTACCCCTAATAGTCATCGTCATCTTCTTCTTCATCCTCTTCATCTCCACTTTAATTATCTTCGTGTTCATTGTTATCTTCTTTTTCACTATTCCTTTACTACTACTAAGTATGCTATATCTATTCAACTGAAAAATCATCTTAATCTTAGTTAGAATTTTATTTGCCAGAGTTTTATTTTTCAATATCGAAATCTATTTAACTCTACATTGATGATTTATTTTGATCATTAATTGATTAGTTCATATTTGACTTTTTTAATGCAATTAATTACGGATTTGATTATCCAGATATCTATTTTTATAAGCCTTTAATCTAAGGAGATCCCTTTTTAGATTCTTAATCTTCTCTTTGCTTACTAATTTTTTCATCTCTTTACTATATAAACTATATGGCTGTCAATTCCTTTTCCTTTTCATACCTTTTAGTTGCTGCTTCACTAAATTTTTTTTTGATTTCGTCTTTCTAATCTTGGCTGTAAAAATATTATTCACATGCTGAGTTAACTTTCTCTGAAAATTCACATGACTTATCATAGATAAATTTTTAGTTTTCACATAAAGTTTTTATGAATTTTTTTATTTATCTCCCATTTTAGCTTCTTTTATTTATTAATCTTATAATATCTTCTTCAAGCCATTCTCCATCATAATTATTAGTAAGTTAGAAAAATCCGCATAATCTCTGAAAAAAAGACTATTTTTTCTAATTTTCTTCTTTTTCTTCGCTTTACTAAGTGTTAAATGTATTATGTTTCTCATTAGTTTAAGAAACTGTCTTTTAAGATTCTAAATCATAAGCTTTAAAACTTTTTTTAGATTTTGTTGTTTCTTTTTACATTTAATATTTAAATCAAACTAAAGATATCAAATATTTTTAAATTTTAATTAATTTTCACATAAAAACCAAATAATAAATAATAATAATAATAATAATAATAGTCAGCAATTAATTCTAAAAAATTTTACTGCTTTTTTATGGCTAAAATAAAATATTAATTTTCTAATTAAAATTTAAATCTAAAATATTCGTTTACTGATTTTTTAATTAAATTTATAATATTTATGAATTACTTCAACTTAATAGTATTTTATTCAATAAGCAAATATTATAAATAATTTATAAATCTTATTAAAATTATGTCAAATATTATTTAATTAATTTAACTCTATTTTAGTAAAAAATTTAAGATTTAGTGGTGGGAAATCTATACTATTTATTTCTTTAACAGCTATTTTTTGTATTTTATAATAAATTTTAATTTTTGTGATCAAGAAAGAAATATTAATTTACAAACTAAATTTTATAGATATTAATTAATATTTTGCAGTATAACTTAGTTCAATAAATAAGTTTTTATATATTATTTTTACTTAGTTAAATAATTAATTTAGCAAATATGAAAGGTCTAAAGCTTTAGCTAAAAAAAATATAAGGATTCGAATAACAACAAAATTAATTACAAGATGAATTCAAGAATTCTTAATAAGGAGATAATTAGGGAGAAGATCTTAATAATATCTCTGATATTTCAAATTCAATGATAAAATCTACTAGAAATCGTAGTAGTACAATGGAAATCATAGAAGAAGTTGAGACTAGAAGAGAGCAGCTTTTAAAAAAATCAATTTAAAATTTGACAGAAAGAGAAGAAGATAATGATACTGATAATGATGAGGATGATTTTAGCGAAGACACATATTAAAAATATAGTAACAGCGCTCCTGAAAAAGGACTAAGATCAAAAGAAAAGCAACAAGAAGGAAGTGAAGGAGAAAGTTAAGATTCTTGTAGTGAAAATTCTTCTCCTGTAAGTGCAAGACTAGACTCTCCTCTTAAAAAAGCAACTGTATAAAAAAAAAGAATGAGTATAATTGATGAGTGCTTAGATCAAATAAGAAAACGAAGGGATTTAATTGCAGCCAAGTTAATTTCAAACACATACGAATTAGATGAGGATTTATTAGATTCATCAGATCTAAGTGATTTAGATTAATAAAAAGATGAAAGCAAATTTAATCTTAGTCAAAAGTTCAATAGTGGAAATACAAATAAAACACCGAGAGAAAAAGATATATAAACAAATGAATAAGAAAATAAATATCAAAAAGAAGGAAACTTATAAAATATTAAAACTTCTGAAGATTCTTAAAGTATTTCCAATAGTTTATATAGTAGCAACAACAATAATACAAATAACAATAATAATACTAGTAATAATAATAACAATAATAACTGTAGCAAATTAAATGAAAATGTACCAATAATTTCTATAGAAAAGCTTGATTCAATTATTAATCCTATTTAAGGAATATCTCCTTCCTCAAAAAATGTTTCTCCTAGAAAAGCTTAATAGCCTATAAAATAGTCTTAAGTTGGAAATTTAAATAATATAAAATAAAGCACGGTAAAATAAAGCTAGTTTTTAGGTATGAGCAGAAATTTTGGAGGTTCTAAAAGATTTGATCTAAGAAAATCTAGTATGTACCAAAATATTGGAGGTTTGGCTCAAAGCAGAATGATAAATGCAACATCAAGCAATTTAAAAAGGAGCAGTGTATTTTGTTTTGAAGGATTTTAAGATAGATAATTTGCAAGATAATTACAAAAGGTAAGAAATATACTAAATTATTATAATTCTATTAAAATTTAATTTAAAATAGATTTAAGAAGATGAAGATAAAAGCTTAGTAAGGTAATTTGAGAAGTTTATAGAGCAAATTAAGAAAGAAAAAGAGACATATATTTAAAAAATAAAATAAAAAAGAGATAACATAAAAGACTTTTTTAAAGAAAATACCAATTAATTAAAATTATAATAATAAAATGGATAAGATAAAGATACTTCTAAAAAAATAAAGAATAACAGCTTTTATAAAGTATTTACTAAAGATAATGAAGATTCAGACAAACCTGAATTTGCATAATCAATTAATTTATAAGAAATAAAAAACAGTAAAAATGAGAGTGATTTAATGAACCAATATAAAATCAATTTTTAAGATTATGAAGATTTAAATATCTATGAGCTATTAGAAAAGATAGAAGAAGAATTTCTTAGCAAGAAGTAAATGGATCCATAAATGAGTTAATTCCTTAGAGAAAGCATGATGATGAGTACTCTTGGTGGTTAAAGTTTTGCCTTTGGAGAAAATATGGACAAGACCTTTTTTCCTCTTGTTGTAACAGAGCAAGACTATTAAAATTTTGAATTGAAGAAGTAATTAGATGAAATGGGAGAAAAAATTAAACACAAAAATCTTCTCAAATTAGAGTAATTACTCGATAAGTAGAAGAGGGATTTAAAGGATTTAGAAATAGAGTATTGCAAGCTTTAAATTGATTATAAAATTTTTTAATAAAATGAGTAAATTAAAGAATAAATTAAGAAAGAACACCTTTAAGACAAAAGAAAAAAAAAATAAATTGCTAAATTGGTGTAGTCATAAATTTTGAATTAGAGTTTAGGTTAGTTAGATGAATCCAGTGAAAACAGCAGTGATGAAGATAATAATTTATTATCTAATTAAAGTAATAGTATCCTCAACTGTACAATAGCTATGAGTAATTAAAATTTTGAAGAAAGGCAAAAAAATGTAATAGAAATTTTTAACGAGTTATGTGCTGAGTATGGTTTTTTAAAGGAAAATCTATCGAAAATTAAATAAAATTTTAATATTAAGTATTAAGAATGTCTTGATAAGTTTACTTTTTTATAAAATGTAAACAATAACATAGATCAAGTCCTTGAGTATAATTAAAGTATTTTCTAATTTTCTTAAAAAAGTAAGACAGTAGTATCTAAATAATAACCATAAAATGAATAAGATAATGAAGATTAACTTGCTTAACTAGTAAATTAAATTTAGAATTTAGAATTGGCAATTTAAAATAGGAAAAATGAATCAGATATAGAGTTTTAATTTAAAAAAACTAAAAAAATAAATCAGCTTTTATCATATAAAATTAAATTAGAAAAGCTTTAGTATCAAAGGGACTTTGAAGGATTGCTGATTGATATCAGTGAAAATTCTGAGACTTTGTTTAAAGAAAAGTAGTTCCTATAAGATTCACTTAAAAATTTAAAATAAAAATTTGAAGAAATGAAAGAATATAATACAATATACAAAGATTAAATTATATCAAAGCAACTTAATGATATTGCTTAGCTAAAAGTTGAGATTGAAAATAATAATTTAGTTCAACGTGATTTATCTTAAAAATATGATCAATATAATTAGGTTATAAACAATCTTTTTTAATAGAAAAATTTTAATAATACTTCTTAGTTTTTACAAAATAATTTAGAAAGAGTCTCCTACGATTTATAATAGTAAAAATTATTTTTAGTAGAGGAAATACGTAAAGCAAAGCTTTCAAATAATAAATTAGAAAATGAAATAAATGATTTACAATTTAACTAACTGAGCAGTGTCTTAATATAGCAAAATATTTATTTAGAGCAACTTAAAAAATCTAACCACATTTTAATTTGAGTAAATGATCTAAACCATTATAATTCATATTCATTTATTAAATTAATTTCTTTTCATTCATAAAAAAAGAAAAAATAGATTATTTATTTAAAAATTTTAGTGTTTTTTTTGTATTTTATATAAATTTATTTAGAGTTTAATATATAAATTAACAAAATTATTAATAAACTCACAAATTATTATTCATTTTATTTAAATTATTTTAATTACTTCCATATAATTTTATCATAGCACTATGATTCAGTAATTTTTGTGTGTCACCCTGATCAGGCATTTCGGTTCATATAAATCCTAATATGCCAAAAGAAGACAAAGAATTAAAGTCAAATATTGAATTTTAGATATCTAGCATCATATATAAATTTTAGACACATCCATAAATTTTTGAATTGCCGTCAACACCTTTTCAAAAAATATTTTGCTTGCTAATTTTTGTTTTCACTTTTTGATTAAACATAAATAATTCTAATTAAAATTTATATAATAATACATAAAATATATTATTAGTTGAAATTAAATTTTAATTAAATACTTTATAAAAAAATATTAGGAATTTTTTTAAGTGAAATTAATGCAAAATTAATTAATAATTTAATTAATTAATTCTGATTATATTTTTATTTTTTTATATTGAGTTTTCATTTTTAAAAAATATTGTTTTATGCTAAATAATATTCTATTTAACATGGAAAGATTTTTTATTTTACTTACTTTGTTTCTATAATATCCTCAACATTTTATGAGATGTGATACATTAAAGATTAAAAAAAAGCTATTTTTAAAAGCATCATACAAAAAACTCGCAATTATTATCAGAATAAAAAGTTTTATTGATTGATTGAAAGAACAAATTATTAAAAGTAAGAATAGATGTCTACAACTATCAAAAAAAAAGTTTTTAACTAAAATCAAATTCTCAATTAATTAAGAAGCTTTAGTGGTAAAGTTAAAGAAATAGATGAAGTCATCACTTTGTATGAATAAGGCATGACTTACTTTAACAATTAATCTAAAAAATTTTTTTAGTTTGGAGCCAATGAAATTATATAGAGAGATGATTACAGATTAGAACTTGATTCAAATGAAAACTATTTTAACAAAAGTCCTTCAATGAGTTAAGACATGTATGATACCCAAAACCAATTATAGGAAAGATCAAAGTCATTAAGTTAAAACTATTAAAAAAAAGATAGCACACCTCCTTAGCAGTATTAATAATAAAATCCAGGATCATAGAATACTATTTTCTAGTTAAAATAAAAAGTAAAATAATTAGAATAGTAAGGCAATTAGCTAAGAGAGCAAAATGAATGTCTATCTGCTGATCTAAAAGTTAAATCCCACGATCTTGAGGAGTTAAAAAACTAATTAGATATTTTAGTAGAGCAAAATTCTAAGCAAAAGCAAAATATTTATGAAAAAGATGATTTGATTGCTAAGCAGGCAGCAGAAATAAAAAAGCTTAATGAAATAGAAATTAAGCATGTAGAAGCTATACAAACTATAAAAGATTAATTAGAAAAAAAAATAGAATAAATTACTATAGTTGAAGCAGATAGAAATCAATTATTAGAAAGATATTTACTTGAAAAAACATAGTTTGCAGAAAAAATGAATTAATTAAATACTTTGTAGGAAGAACTTAATTACAAGATGAGTAAGCTATCAGAGGATGAAGAATACCTCATTAAACGTAAATTAAATTTTTAAACGGAAATTTAGAAGAGTGGTATAAAAATGCCTACATTAGCACCAACTATTGATGAATCAAAGATTAATCTTTAATAGAGTGAAGTTCCTTCGAAACCTACTAAAGTTCTATTAAAATAGCATAAAAACGAGATATATTGCATTGGTTAGTCTTTAAATGGATCATTAATTGCATCGTGTGGTGGAGATAATTTTATTAAGCTATATGATCCACTTAGTATGAATCAGTAAGGATAGTTACAGTCTCCAAGAGATGATATATTATTTCTTCATTTGAATTTTGCTCCTTTTTCAGAGCTTATACTAGCAGGTCTCACCGATAAAACAATGTAACTTTTTAATTACTCTACAAGCAAGCTTAAATCTACATTCTAAGGACATAATGAAAGAGTTAATGTTGTTTCATTTACTTCAGAAAAAGAAAAAGTAGTAAGTGGTTCTACAGACAGAAGTTTGAAGATTTGGGATGTAAATAAAGTTTCTTAAATTAAAAGTATTTTGTGTGGATCAATTATGAGAGCTATTGATTACTTTTAAAGCGAGCCTCATATTGTTTCTGGTCATAATGATGGTTCAATACGTTTATATTCTATTCGTGACTCTAATAACACAAAGCCAGTGTATAATGTATAGGGTGTATTTGAAAACGGAGTTACATGTGTTAAAATTTCTAATTGTCAGAATTATATCTTAGCTTCAAGTGCTGAAGGGTTTACCTTAAAAGTAGTTGATTTACGTAAAAATTAGGTTGTCAAAACATTTGAAAATCAATAGTACTTTAATAATCATGAGTTTAACAAATGTTGCTTTGGACCTGATGATAAGTATATTATTGCAGGAAGTTCAGACAGCTCTATTATCATGTTTAATTTCAAAGATGGTACTAAAAAATCAGTTCTTAAAAATTAGAATCACTAAGGTGTTATTGTTGCAGTGGACTATCATAATGTTTCTGGTAATTTGTATTCTGGTGATAGCAGAGGAAACCTACTTATATGGAATTGATATCAATTTGAAAAATAAAGTTAATTCGTTACTAAAAAACAATTAATCTAAATTTTAAACATGCATACTACAAAAATAATAATATTAATAATAATGTATATCAGTAAAAATAAATCTATTGACCTGTCCTGTTTGTTTTTAATTAATAACATTTATTAATGAATGAATAATATAATTTATTATGTCTAATATTGAAAAAAATTTAATTAAGCTTAGATATTCATTAAATAATTTTTTTCTAAACAACTTTTCAAACTATTTATTAAGTTTAACAAAAAAAGTATATATAAATATATAGAAGTAAAGCTTTAAGTATGGGAAAAGAGAGATTAAGTAATATTATTATTGAATTTCAAAGAAACTAGTTATATAAATATTATCTATAAATTTACTTATAAAATTATTTTATCAAGATAGGTACTTCAGGTGCTGGTGTTTCACACTCCATATGGAATAAAATTGCAAATCAACCTGATGATCCTGATAATAAAAAAGTTTAGAATACATCAAGTTTACTTTATTAGCATGCAGATGAAAAGGCGAAGAGTATTTTGGATCTGGCTATATCTCATCAAGTAACAGTTAAGCCAGGGGCTTGCAAAAAATGTGGACATAGTAATTAAATCTATTAAATTTTGATATAATAGTAAGATTAATCATAATTTCATTAAAAATTAGTCGGCCACCTCACCTATTAATGCATGAACTTGCTTTCAAAAGGCTTTTAAATCGATAAATATAAAGTAAAATAGGATTATTCAAAGAAAATATTTTATAATAAACAATAATTAATTAATAAAGGAAGAAAAGTAGTAAGAAAGTGCTGAAGAATAATAAAAAGAAATGCTTGAAAAGCTTAGATAGCAAAAAGAATAGTGGAAAAGGGCTAAGGAAGAAAAGAAAAGAATGAAGAAAGAATAGAAAAAAAAATCAAAGAAAAGCAAAAAAGATAAAAAGTAAAATATTTTGATTAACTATAAAAATTATTTTAGCAAAAAAATTAATGATTACAAAAATCTAGAAAAAAAAAGAAAAGAAGTAAATCCTCTTCTGATTCTGATTCAGAATCCTCACGCTCAAGTAGTAGAAGCAGATCTGCATCCTCTGAAAATTCGATAAAATCAGATAGTTTGAGTGATGATGAAAGATAAAAATCAAGCAAAAAAAGTAAGAAAAATAAGTCTGAAAAGAGGGAATAAAACTCTTCGAGAAGCAGAAGTAGATCTCAATCAAAATCTCCTAAAAAGAGTGGAAAGAAAATAAAGAAAGATAAAAAGTGATAAAATAATATGGCAAACGACTAACTCTTTTAAATAATTTCAAAAATCAATAATTATTTATTATTAAATTTGTAAATTGATATATACTCCATAACATCTTTATTTTACATATAATACTATTGTAATAACCTTTATATAAATCAATCAATTAATTTATCTTTTTGCTAATCATCCTTAAGCGTCAAAGGAGTCTACAGATAATAAAATAGATTTTTTCTCTTTGTCTCCAAAAATCTAAAAATTTTAAATATTATTGAATTGAAGAAATATTTTTCAGTAAATTGATTGATTACACAATACAAATCGCCAATCTTCTCGAAAGGAGAAGGAATAAATCTATCTCTTAAAAGAATGTAAGAATCTTGAATCTTTTCAATAAAATGAAATTTATGTAATTTTGCTCTCATCTTAAAGCTTAATGAAAAATTTTAATAATTTATACAATTTATTTCTAATCTTCTGTAGGATTTTTGAGCGCTTTTAAAATCATTCTTTATATAATTCCTCTGATTTCTTATATTGTCTATGTTGGCTAAACTTCAATTGTTTCATATTTATTCAAATCTCTAATTTTAATAACTTTAAGCGAGACCCAAACATCTAGTTTTATTTTGTTCTTTCTAACTATAATGACCAAAAATTATTTAAATTGATGTAGAACATTGCTAAAAATAACTATATACAATCATCATGAAGCTAGTCATCTATTTCCTTTTAAAAATTTATTTACGACTCAACTGGCTATATTGACATATTTTTTTTATGAAAAAATTAAAAGTTTATATCAAAAATTCTGATAATTAATTTTATAAAAATATTTATTGAAGTAAAAAACAAAGTCGACCTGTATGTACACTTACTTTTCCAAACAAAATCAAATATTTTTTTGTTTTTATAATAAAATTATTTCAGGTTTGTTAAAAATAATTTAATCAAAAATATGTAATAGATTTTGTATTTTTATCAGAAAATAAACTAATTTCATTATTTTTTAAAGATCAGATCATATTCTGATTTGATTTGAGTGAGTAGGTATATTAGAAGATATTCTGATTTATAATTAGAAACAAATTATAAATTATTCTGACAAAACTTTAATTAAGACTTTATAAAATTACTTATAAAAAAGATACAATTTATTCTTGTAAAAATAAAAAAGGAATTAAAAATGTCAGAAGTGTCTCTCCTTCTTAAAAATATTGCGAAGGAAATAGGAAAAGATGAAAAAATCGTTTAGCCATTTATTAACATGTACATTTTTAGTTTAATTAATATTCTTTTAAATGAATGCACTGAAAAAGAAAAAATATATTTATTTAAATTAGATTAGAGGATAATTTTTATGATACCATAGAATCAATTAAAGATCTTAAAACAGAAGACTATGAAAAATGGAAATTCCCTAAGCGTATAAGTGATTTGATAATTTAAAAAATATAAGAAACATTATAGGGTAAACCTCAATAAGGGCAGTAATCTGTCTAATCTAATGTCCAATAACAATAAACTTAGCAAAGTAACTAAGTCGTTACTTAATAATCTGAAATGGTTTCTGAACCATCAAAACAAGAATTAATTGTTCAAAAGCTTCAAGATTTGTAAAAAAGTATATCAACTACACAGCGTTATATTGACTTATTAAATTTTGTTAAGAAAATCATCTCAAATATAGCTGCAAATCCTAAAGAATAAAAATTCAGAAGAATCAAGCAATCCAACCAACACTTTTAAATAAACTTTTTGCCTAATAAAGAGGCATTAGAATTCATGTATTTAAACAATTTTAAGCTTGATGAAGAAGGTATATTCTTAGCAGATTAAGATTTAGATATAGAAACTTTGAATTTATCAATTATCAATATTGATAATGCTTTAATAGAAGCAACTCCTTCGAATTTCAATCCTTATTAAACTTATACTTCTGGCAATGAAGTACTTTGTGCTAGAAATTTAGCATAAAAAGAAGGATTTGTAAATTACTATGAAGAACTTTAGAAGCTAAAGGCTAAAAGATTAGTAAAATAGTGAATTAAAATAATTGAAATAAATTAAACTTGTTGTTTTATAATAAATAAATAAAGTAAGTAATGTCATAGCCAGTTTCTGATAGAAAAACTAGAGTGTTTATTCAAAATCAAAATTGTAAATATTTAATTTCTTAATATGTAAGTCAATTTGTTATCTTACTAATACCATTAAAAAAGAATCCAGATAAATGGAAATGTAAAATGAAGAAGTTGAAGAGAATTAATTACTCAGAGAATTTTCTGATTAATTAAAAAAAATGATTTAAGTAAATAAATTTTTATGGAAATATACTTAACATGTAATAATATTTTAAATTAATTAGAATTTAGACAAGCAGCAATTCTCATCGAAAAGTAAGCAAGAATATGAAAAATTGCTAAAAGATCCTGTTTACACAAAATCATTAATAAGAATTAAATTTCCTTAAAATGTTATTCTAGAAGGAAACTTTAGTCCTATGGAAACTATCAAGCATGTCATTGATTTTGTTGCCTTAGTAATCACTATTTATTTATTTTAATTATTTTAAAAATCATTTTTTAAAGAATTTAGAAAATCCAGAAGTACCATTCTACTTATTTTAATCTCCTCCTCGTCAAGTATTTGATAAAAGATTCCATCAAAAGACTCTTGATGAAATGGGATGCTTACCAGGAGCTGTTTTTTACTTTGCAATTGACAATGATCCAGAATTCTAAAAGAAATTCTATTTAAAAACAGAATTCAAATAATATTTATGAAAAATTACAGATATAAAAAACTAATGAAATTGTTTACATCTTTTATTTTTTTAAATAATCTTTTCAAATTAAAAATAATTTTATTAAGTAAATAAAATAAATTATAAAACTAATTAATATATAATTGAATAAAAAGAAAGTAAATGTTTTTTATTATTTTATTGCTAATTCTCATTTATTCCATTTTTGATTTAAAAAAGCAATTTTCAAAATTATGAATATATACATTTATAAATTTTTGTAATTTATCAAATAGTTTATATGCTTATGATATTAATTCTTTAAATGACCTTTGTACTTAATCAAAGAAAAAATCGATCGTTGATACTCAAATAAATAACAAAAATAATAAAATTTAATACTCGAAAAAAGTTTTATATTTAAAAAAAATTTAATTTAAATATTTTAAGGAAATAAGCATCTCTTTTCTCTAATTCTAAAATTATTTTGCTATAAAAAATGTATTAAACATATGTATGATTTGATTCTAAAAACATCTAATTAAATTTAGTCAAATATAAATTCAATTTTCCCAAAATAAAATGTTGTTTTAATATGATAACATATTTTGGTTAATTTGGTTTTCAATAATTTTTAATTTGTTTTTTATATTAAAATAAACAAAAATATTTTTAAATAATAATTTGAATGAAAAACTTTAGATTATTAGATAGTTTTCAAGAACTAAGTCTATATAGAAGAGAAACTTGTTTGCTTATTCTGTTATTGAGTGGCTATAAAGATAAATTTGAAATGAATATAATTAATTAAATGTAAATATTAGAAATAATTTGATAAGTTATGTTTGGGTAATTAAGCAAAAGTATTGGTGATTTTTAAGAATTATTAATTATTATACAATCAATTTGTGGCCATTATGTAAAAAGTTTTTCTATTAAAGTGTATATATTATATGCAATCTAATAGAAATAATGTAAAATAATAATTTTAGTTTTTTCTCCACCAATAACACTAGTTTGATATTATTTTAAATACAAAAAATTTGGTTTTTATTTGAATATTTATAATTTAAAAATCATTAGTAAAAATATACAAAATGAAATTTAATACTTGTTTATTTGTTGATCAATACTGAATTGTAAAATTTTAATGGACGAATTTTGAGTATGTTTGAAATAATTTATTAATTTTATAGCCAGCAAAAAAAATTTCTTTGATGATATTTAAAATAAACTGGACATATTTAAAATTGCAACAATAATTAGATTTTTATTATTTATTTTATTTTTAATAAAAGATCTTCTATGGTATTTATGAGTTTAAATCAGAAGTAAATAATGCTGCGCTCAGTTAATAAGGCTTAAGTATTTTACGTAAGCAATTTAGGGAGAAAAAAAGTTTAATTACGTAATAATGTAAATGTAATTCCAAAAATTATAAATGCAAGAAATAGATATCTAAATATCCAATAACTTGAAATCAACTATTTAATTTGTTTACTCTGTATAATTGATTTTTAGGAAAAGCAATATAATTACAATATAAAATTGAAATTGATTATTTGTTATACTTAAAAAAGTATCTGTCATAAAAATTATAAACACATAAACTTAAAAAAATAATAATTCTTTAAAAATAGAACCATTAATTTAAAATACTGAAATTATATAAAAAAACAATCAAACAAATATCTTTTGGAAAATTATAAATTCCATTTACATGAATTCAACACTAACTATAAAGAATAACCAAAGTCATATTTATTAAACAAAGACTTAGAAGGCCTTTTCTACTTCTTCCTCAGTCTTTTTTGATAAGAGATCTCTTGTAAAGTCATTGAATCAGTATTAAAATATCTTACCTCTACATCATGAATCTCCAGTTAATTCAATTATGATAGACTAAACGCAATAAAACTTTTAGAAATTATAAAATAAACAATTGTCACAAATACATCCTCTTCTTAGCAGCCTTAATAGTCCATAAAATTAAATAAATTAAGGACTATTTTCTGCTCCTATTAGTCCTAAAAAACAAAAAGAGCGCATAGATTTTTAGACTTATGCTCAAGTTAAATAAATTTAATAACAGATGCTGTAAAAGTCTTAATCTCTCACTTCATCACCTTCAAGTTAAAGTGCTAGAAACTATAATCTAAAAAAATCAAGCCTATTTGCTCCTTAAATTTCCATTTAGTAATCAAAATTAGAGAAAATTATTTAGAAAGGTGAAAAATCGCTCAATCATTTTCAAAATAAAAATAAATAAGCTTTGTTTGAAAAAAATATAGCAATACCGAATGTTTTAAGTGAACCAACAAAAATAAATTATTTATTCAATGATATCCATATAATGAATAAGCAAAAAGAAGCTGATGATTTATATTACGGGGATAGATTTGATTCTTAATAATAGCAATAATCGCCTAAAGTTCAATTTATTAGATAAAGCACATCACAAAGCTAAAAAAGAAAAGAAGGTTTTATGAATTCTCCTTCATTGCCTAATTTGATAGAAAGTCTAGTTCAGTTTCAATCTTCTATAACCCCCAAAAAAAAAGAAGTAGAAACATCAGCAATCAAAAGAATTTTTGAAAAAAAAGAAAAAAAATCTCCTTCAATAACAGCTATCTAATACTTAGAATCACCAAAATAGAATGAATAAAGCTCCCCTTAAAAATAAATGTCAAACATTAATAATAATAATCTTGTTGTTAAAATTAATCAATAAAACTTGTAAAAATCATAAAATAATTCATTTGGAGAAACTGGCTAAAAATAAGTTATTATAGATATCAATAATTAAGTTAATTAAGATGAAAAATCATACTTTAATAAAAAAAAAATAAGCTGGTCAGACCAGCTTTACATTAATACTAAGAAAAATACCTTTAATTAAAATTAAACTAAATAAGAAAATATTGATGTGGAGCAGTTTAGCCCTATAACATAAAACATATAAACTCCATTGAATCAGTCTCCTCTTTTAAACAGATAAACAAAGAGTTTAATAAATTTTGAAAAAATATCTCCAATCAAGTAAAATGAGGGAAGTAATCATAATACTGCAAACCATAAGTAACACCTCTTCAAAGAGTAGGTTAAACTGTAAATGAGCTAAATAGAAGTTGATCCAAGAGATACAGAAATAGATCGCAATTTTAAAAGATTTAAAATTATTGAGGATCTCTAAAAGATTCGCATTCAAGAAAAGATTAACTAGTTCAAAATTGGTGATAATATAGATAAAAAATAAATCCTAAAGAAAAACGCAAGTAAAGTACTTATATAAACCCAAACAGAACTTCCCCCTTGCATTTTTAACACTAAATGTAACTCCTCTTTGACTTTAATAAATAACCTTTAAAGCAATATTAACTGTAATCCACATACTTAATAAAGATAATAAAAAGAAAAAGAGTAAAATGAATTAACTCAAGAAGAAGATATAGAATAATGTAATTAAGCAGATTAAACCTAGAATAATTTATCTAAAAACCAAATTCAAGCTCCGCCCTCATTAATAAATATAGAGAGCGGTATAATTCAAAATACTGTAAATGAATCAGAAGTTACTCCTTCTATTGAAAGCATTGAGAAGAATACATTCGGGAGTTACATTAAAAGTAACATGAACATCAATCTTTAGGGGCTTAGCTAATAAAATATTGAAGATGATGTTGACACACCTTTAATGCTTCAAAGCCATTCAAGCAGTCTACTCCAAAAAAATCACAACAATTCAGTTGATCATAAGCAAATTAATGGAAACAATGCTCCTGATCTTGGTAAATTTATCGCTACTCCTTCTACTCAAACTTCTTCAAGAGAGATCTTTAATTCAATTTCTTTTTCTTAAATAGAACCTAAAATGATGCTAAGAAAGTAGGTGACTTTGAAATTAAAGACAATTTAAAATCAGGATCTAGGAGACTCTCAGAATAATTTTGAGAGTCTTATAAAAGGTCATCTAAGTGATAATTCTTTTTCCACTAATTCCCCTAGATCACCTTATTTGAGAAAATAATATAAATGTAAGAATTTTTAATTAAATTTATAAATTCGCATGATCAAAATTTTTCTAACATAGAATGGATAATATGCTTTCTAACTTACATATTTTAATTTTATAGTTTATTATGAAATTTTTTGATTACAAATTACTTTTATTTTAATTAAATTACAAATCAATTTTGAAAAAAAGACTGGACAAGCAATATTGATAGTAATAATTTTTTTACCACTATTTTATCACCTGGCTGTGTTTTTTATCAATTCTTTTCAAATACCTTTAAATCTTACATATACTTTAAATTATTTAAATTATAGAGTCGATTAGAAAGAGTGCATTTACATCCAATTTGAATACTCCAAAAAGTAGTGCAAGAAGAAACACCAAATTACTAACTATTAATCCAAAGCTTAACTCAAATGAATAAATAAATTTTTTGGATGCCATATTTAACGAAGATGATATTAAAATACTGCACGAGCTAAGCTTTTATATATCTGATTTAATGAAAGCTTTAAAATAAGACATATCTTTATAACTCAAAAATGATATTTACTATTTTTGTACTCCTGATTTTGATTAGTTTATATTTTCTATTTCTTAATTTATTCAGTACATTTGTACCTAAACTCAGTAAGATAGAAACAATCATTACATATGCCCGTTTAAGCTTAATGACAGTATCGTAGAACAACTTCTATATTTATTCATAAACAAGCTATCTGAGATAAGTAAATTATTTTGTTACACTTTTCAGTAAATTTAATTTTCTTTTTTGTTTGAGTTACTTAAATTATTCGCTCTTTTAAGTACCATAAATTTTTTTTGTATTACTTGTAATTAATAATATAAAAACCATACATTTATATTTACTATTATACCTGACTTTGATTAATAATTATTTTTTTTACCATTAGATTTAGGCGAAAAATACATTGATATTTTTAGAAATGCTTTTAATAAGCATAAATAACTAGTATTAGCCTCTAATCTTTCGTAAAAGCTAGGTGGCGAAATGTAAAAGAAAAGAATTATAACCGAAGTAATTGACTACTAAATGTAAAATAGCGTTAACTCTATCTATGAAAGATATCAAAAGGATGATTTAATACAATCCCAGCTGAAGACATTTGACTTAATACTAAAGAGTAGCTGTGAAGAAGTTTCTGAACAAGATTGGAAAGATGTTAAATATTATAATGCTGTTGACATATTTGAAAGTAAGAAGGCATTCATAAATGTATTGAGTCGTCACAAAAATTTTTATGACGAAGAATTCTGCTACGAGTTAATTGAATAAATAGAAAGATGCAGAGATAACATCTCTCATAGTCTCTCTATACATAGATTTGGAAATGACTAAAAATTCATTAAAAGTTTAAAAGAATTTATTGTAAAAATATAATTCATTTAAAAGCTAGGAAATTTTGAGAAAGAAACAATCATAAACACTATAATTAATTATTTCTTTTCCCCAAACGTGACATCTTAATAATTTATAAGTGTTTTTAAATAGCATTAATTGTAATTAAATAAATCACAATTCTCAGAAATTTAGGAATTGTTAATAAATCATCTAAGAGTTGAATAAGAATATAATGAAAATCTAGACTATAAGCATTAATTCTAGTACAAAATACAAAAGATAAATTGGTAAATTTAAAAAAGTCCTCTGAATACTTTAGGCGATCTTACTTCTTTCTTTTAATTCTTCAACTCATGGATAGATTAGTAGATATCTTAGAAACGCAATCTAAAAGGGTTTGAGCCATATGAAGTCAGGTCTACAGAAAATTTTGAATGTATTCTTAAATTTTATTACAATACACACGAAGTTTTCAATGTTAAAGATATTTAATTTTCCCTTAATCTACCCATTTTCGAAACAGAAACTCTAATAAAATTCTGGTTAAAGGGTATCAAGCATACACTTATATAACACTGTGGCTTACAAAAAAGTGAAGCAATTATCTTTAGAGATGAAATTTCAAAACTTATGTTAAATTAAGGAAATTAATAAATAATTAAAAGGTTAAACACTTAAAATTCTTTTAAAAATGCAATTTCTAATATATCAAATTGATAAAATAAAATAAAATCATTTAATTTTATTTTATTATTATTAACTATTATTTTATAGTTTAAACAAAATTAAAAATAATAAAATAATTGTTATTCATTTTATAATTTATACTCAAATAATAATGTAATGTACAGCTTTCATGTTTGTGAAATCATTTTGTAATTAATTTATTTATTAGAAAAAATTTAAACAAAATCTTTAATTTTTTAGCTGCTCTAATATACTAAAAATAAAGTGCTATTATAATATTATTTAATGTATCTTCAAAGTATCCTTCCATATTTGTTTATTGAAGAATAAAATTTTGGAAATTGTTAATTTACTTAACAAACATTAGATAATTAAAAATATATATTCGTTATAGAAAATGAATGTTTGTTTGTTTGTTTCCAAACAAATAAATGATGGATAGATGGATGTATCTTTTAAAAATTTTGTATATTGAAAAAGCAAAAAACACATTAAAATAAATTCTGTGTGTTGCGCATGTATTTAAATAAATTGTTTGAAAATGCATTTTTCATATTAAATTAATTAAGAATGGTGTTTTTAATTATCAGAAATTTAAATATTTTGCATGAAAAATACAAAACCAGTATTTTCTATCCACTAAACAAACTAAATTATTAAATATAAAATAATTAAAGCTAAACAGATAGATCTATTTTATAACGATCATATCGAAATGAGAAATAAAAATAATTCTAATGTGGCTTAATTCATAACAGGAGATTTCTCTCAATATGCACGAAGCTGCGCAGCTCTTTCTACTGAAAAATAAATTGATTTTTAGACAATGAGATACAAGGATACAAGTCCTTTGAATATTAAAGCTAAGGCTGTTTAACAATATTAACAAACTCAAAACTAAGCAATACAATTAAAATCAAATAATTCAAACAGAGGTTTATAATTTTATTTAAGCATGAATAATTAAACTTTAGATGGTAGAATTAGTAGACTTTAAAATGATTAAAAAGCTGGATTGGATTAGTAAGCCCAGAAATCTGCTTAAGATAAAAACTAAAGTATAAAAAGTTTAGACACACTTAAAAGAAGAGTATTAGATACCACTTTAAAAGTTGATAAAGAAAATATATTCAACTTGATAAGTTATCCTTAAACGACTTAAGCTAGAAATTAAACTTTACGAATATTTAGACATCAAGAAAAAAATATTTTTTAAGATGATAAGCATGCTACTTAAAATCGCTAATTCACAGAGGATGCTCTTTTTTAAGAGGAAGTCCATAAAGGATCTTCTATAAAAGCATAATAAGCTAAGGTGGGATTATAAACAGATGCTCTTAACTAAGAATAAAATCATTATGAAGGTTAATTATAGTAGGCTTCAGAAAGCACAAAAAACGTTTTAAATACTTCTTTATCTCTAAATAGCAGATTAGGCAGAAAGCGAAATAATGTTATGGAAGTTTAGTGTTTAAGTTAGTTAAATAATTATTAAAGTGATATTCATGGATACTAAACTATTAGAAATAGGTAAAAAGTTAGTAGGAAAAGTGAAGGACCTTTAATTTAATACTAGCAATGCGAATAATTAAAGGTATAATCGAGACATTCATTCTAAATTGGTTAATAAAATAATGATATGTCTAATGATGATACCTCTACAGCCTAGTTCTCTTAAAAAATTACATCTAACACAACCAATAAGCAAATTTCAAATCAACTCTTAGAGCAAAACTATTCGTTATAAAACAAAACTTTTCTTTTTCCCCTAAACTAACAAAATATTTATCCTTAGGCATTTAATGCTAAATCTTAAGAGAGGATATAGAACTAAAATGGAATTAAGAATTAATCACTTAAGTTTTAAGTAAATAGTGAAAGAAATATATGCCCTAATTTAAAAAACTTAAGTTTAAAAAGGGAATAAAACAAATACAACTTTGATTCTTTTAAGATGATATCACAAGATAACTCTAGATTGAATAAAAATAATTAAGAAATTATGATAAAAAGTGAAGTTTGTTAAACTAAACTTAGTAACAATTAAAGTAACTAAGAGTAAAATTAGAATGTATAAATAAAGTCAAAAGAATGTTTACCATTAGAGATAATCAATAAAAACAATAATATACACCACGAAGAATGGAACAACAACTTTTTCCACTTAAATTCTAAAAATTACAACGAACTTTTAAAGTGTCAATTAAAGACAGCCAGCAATTTTAACAATATCAATAAAGATAATTAAGATTAATTAAAAAAAACTAAAATATTTTTTTCTTCTAAGCAGCATAAAAAATTCGAACCCTCCTAAAATAATTTTATTGAAAATAAATAATTACATAACTCTCCTCCATAAGATGTTGTAATACCTACTTCTCCACTAGCTTCCTAAGACTTAAATAAAATTTCTCAAAAATATACCAAAAAAAAAGAAAATTAAAATGTTAATTTTAATAGTCAAAGGAGATACTAAGGATAGAATAGAGAGGCGAAAAAACAGAATAGAAGAGGTTCAAGCTTAATGGAGTAGCTAGAATACGAATACAACAACTCTTACTACAATTAAAATTTTAATTCTTAATAATCATAAATTAATCTTTAAAATTAAAATATGAGCACCTTAATTTAAAATAATGTAATAAACTCTTCTCCTTTGATTTAAATAAACTAAACTCCCTCTTAGAGTTTTAGTATTTCACTCAGTAACAACAATAATAATAATAATAAGATTATGAAGAAGCACAACTAGCATACTTCTTAGCTTTTTTCATAAATATCTACATTTACAAATTTAAATATATGTAATTTTTTTTTTTTCATTCTTTTTTGAAATTTATTTTATACTAATTTTAAAAGTGGAATAGGAAGAAGATTAAGGTAATGAGTCAATAAAATAGCTAGGATTATAAAAAACGCCTTCAATAATTTTAGCAACTCCTTCTTTAAGCAAATATGGTTCTATGAATTTCGATTAACAGCCATAAAATAATATGAATTGTAAGGAGATTAATAATTATTTTGTAGATATGAAAAAATTACTCAACGAGTAAATAAAGCTTGATTAACAGTTTTAAACAATGATTGAATAAAAACTACTAATTAATGTTGATTAGTTTCTTTATTTCTTAAGCCATTTTTGGAAGTTTTGTATTGAGAATTTTGATAATTGTTAGAAAGACTTCGCAATTTTCAAAATAGAAGAATAGTATCTCTAAAAAATAAACGATATAATGAACAATTTCTTAAATTAACAATACAATTTAAGTAAAGAGAAAATATCTATATTTATGAGCTCATTTTACTTTCATAGCTAGAGGTTGATTTTACCTAAGAATTTATTTGAGCATATTGGTAAGTTTAAAATTAATTTATATTTAATAAATAAAAAAATTTTTATTAATAAAGGAGGTTAGAATTAAGCCCAAAAATTAATAAATAAAATCATAAATCACTTAAAGTTTGACATTTCATTTGGTGTGCAATTTGCAAAAATTTTAAGTGAGATAGATCCTATTAAGGCAGGTGAAGTTTTTTGTTCATTTTTGAAGGATGATATTGAAGGTATAAAAGAAGCTATTATCTATGCTAATTAGTAGCTTAGTATAACATAGGTTGAATTTTTCCTAATAAAATAAACAATATATCATGTTCTAAAGTCTGAATAACTCTTAAGAAAAGATCATAAAATGAATATCATAGAGAAATTTGAAAAACTAAGAGCATTCATTCTCTAAGATCATACATAACTTAATCTTTTGTAAAATTAAAATATACACGAAGCCCTGATGATTAAAATTAGAAATTCTAGATAAGTTTTTAAGAAATTTAAAAATAAAGAGAGACAAGCCATTGTAGATTTTGCTTAATTTACTTTTTCTATGATATTTGGAAGAACAACAATATAAGAATATATTGAAAAGCTAAAATTTGAAATATTTTTTTAACCATGCTAAGCATAGTAATAAATTACAGACTAATTATTAGAAGAATTTGAGTAAGTTAAAGATAAAAACGAAGAAGAAGATTGGTAGTTAAGATTATTAAGTTTTGTAAATGAAATAGAAGAATTAGTTATAGAATCTGTCAATGATTTTATGGATTTATCTTCAATTTATAACACAGAAAAGCATATCAAATTAAAATTTTAGTTTATTAAAGAAAGTATTAACAAATCATTTTTATCAGTTGTTAATAAAGGAAGTACTTTAATTAAGGAGTTAAGATTTTGGGCTGTGACTAATTTTAAAAAATATTTAAAAAATATTGAAATGACAGAAGGAGAAAACAGTAGATTAGATATAATGGACTCTATCTTGAAGTTTTATTTCTACAGAAAATCGGATGTTTTCTCATTTTATGATGTTCCTATAGCTATTAATTACTTCCCAATAACAAAAAATGCAGTAGAGTATTGGTTAATTGGTTTGAAAGCTATACTGAATGAAAACAGATTTGGATTAAGTTAATCTGAAATAGATACTATCATAAATTAAATTTAGTCATTGTTTAGTGTAAGATGGGTAAAGAAAAAAAACTAACTATTTTTTATACAAACATCATAAATATGATCTAATTAATATAACTAATATTATTTTATTATTTATTTATTAATTAATTATTTATTCAAATAAATAAAATTAAGTAATTTTCTCTATCAAATTAAATTTTTCTAAAATTCTAAAGTTTTAACTTTAGATCTAAACTAAATTAATATTTTTTATTTTTCAAGTCTTGTAATTGTAAATAAATTATAAAAAACTAGTAATTAAATTTATAAATTTGCAAGATAAATAATAAATAAATGTGATAAAAAATAAAAATGAGATGTAATTAAGTGCAATATTAAATTTATATATATTTTTTTATTAGAATTATCAAAAAACCTATTTTAAAATTTAAAAATATAAACTTGCGAAAGATGTTTCCATAATATTATATTATTTAAAAATTAATGGTAATGATATTTTGATTTTATATTTTCTTATCACTTAGAAAAAATTGGGTAACATTGTTTCTTACAATTTCAGATTACAACAATATCCCTAAATTTTAAAAATAAGTGATAATGTGTGTAAATAAATTAGTTGTATCTAAAATAAAAAAATTAATTGCCTTTTATAATTTTTATTGGTTGCTATGTTGAGTAATAAAGAAATACTTAATTTTTTTAAGTGAGAAATAAATCGAATGATTAAGAAACTTATATTACATATTGAAAATGTAAATAAATACAAATAAATTAATAATTTTAATTTCATTTTTTTTAATGTATTTCTAAGAAGAATTTAGTAATACATAAACAGATCAATAAAAATGTAAGGAAATAAACCAATTTTCAAAAAATAAAAATGGAATATAGTGTTTAAATAAAACTTAAGAGAGCCATATTATCTATCTATCAATTTTTAATTTTTTTTATTTTCATTACTATGTTTATGGCTTTGGGCTTGGAAAATAAATATTAGTTAGTTTTGCATTTATTTTTTTCAAAGGGATGGACGAGCTTTGTTCTTTTTGTCTTTTTCAATGTCATTTACAAGTTTACATACCTAAATAGTTTCTTGAACAATCTTATTTACTTCAACAGGAGGCACATTTCTGTGAAGAGGAAGATAAATAATCTTTTAGAAGAAATCTTTAGTTTTAGAAGGATACTTGTATTAACTACCAATAGGACTTTCTACTAAGTCAAGTTGTGTTGCACCTAAGTAGGCATCTACTCCTCTTGCATTCAAAATTTCAAAAACTAACTTAGGATTTTCAGTGATAATAGGATAGAGCCAAAAAGTACGATTTTTGCAAGCACGACCAGGGACAGAAACTCCATTTGAAGTGAAATCAGTTTATGCATTTCTAAGCTTACGGATTTGCATTTAGTAAGTAACAGCATCATAATCACGAAGACGGAAGTAGAGAAGAGCCATCATTGCAGTAGGCATTTAAAGACGGAATGTATCAAGGAAATTCTCTTTTGGTTAGAATCCACGAACCATTGAAACGAATTTACTCTTGTAATCTATTCCTAGACCGCTAAGGACTGGACGGAAAATAGAATTAAAGAATGGAATATTTAAACCTAAATAAACAGGAATATTTTTTAAGATTTTTTTTAAAAAGAATGAGTTTGGCATGAAAGGATAGGTTGCTAGTATATCTTTACATTTACGATACATAACTTCTTGATTACGTAGTACAGCTATGCCACCTCCGTAAGCAGTAAAGGGCTTAATAGAACCAAATGAAAATAGACTGCAGTCAGCTTTGTCGCTTCCGTTATCGTTAATATCTGCAAATGATTCTGCTTAGTCTTCAAATATGAAGCATCCACGAGAATGAGCGTAATCATATAATTCATCTGCATCAAACTTGGCTCCATATAAGAAACTAACCATTACAACTTTAGTTCTCTCTGTGAAAGCTTTTTTGAAATCTTCTAATGATGGTCCTAAAGTATCATCTGCTATATCTACTGGAACGGGAACTAATCCATGGTTACGAATGACCTTAACCATATCAGGAATGTTAATTGCTGTCATTAATACTTCAGATCCCAAGGGGAGATTGAGAACTTATAGGACTAAATCAAAAGCTGTACGTACGGAAGCACAAAGTAACATTTTTTCTTCCATACCTTTGGGAGGATTACTTTTTAAGAATAGGTTCTACAAAAGCATTTCTAACAAAGGTCTATCAGCGGGAGTAACCAATTATGTCAAGGCTTAGAACATGTAGTTCCAGTTGATGTCTAGGTAGATGGCTGAATAAGGTATAAGAGGGGCTTTTTTGTATGTTTACATTTTTGGCTTATTCTAATAGAAAAATTATTTAAGTAGCTAGTATTAGACCTATTTTAATATTGATCTTCTATTTATTTGCTTAATTAAAGAAGATTTTATATTTTAAAGTTAATCTTTTTTTTTTATTTTTTTGTTTAAACAATTATTTTGTTTTTGATAACTATTAATATTTAAAATTAGGAGTATATATACCGCTACTAACATTTTTGAATCAATTTACTAATACCAAAAGGTGAAACTTAGTTAATTTAGCTGTATTACCAAACATCTATTTACTTTTGAGTGAGGTCATATTAAAATTGAGTTAAGAAAAATGATAGAAATTTGGAATAAATTGATTTGTGCTGATAAAAATCGAATATATTTAAGTACGATTAAATCAATTTTTAAATTGGCTTATATAAAATTAAGTAAATTAGAATCTTTAGAAATAATTAAACTTTGTTTTATATCAACAATTACACAAAAATAATTCAGATAAAATATTTTAATGACAGAGAAATTCTATTGAAAAATAAAAAATATGTGAATTATTCATTAAAATAAAATAATATCCTAAAAATTAAGTAAATTGATTGACAAAATGTTAAAATTAGAAAATTGTTAAATTTATTTGTCATTTGTTTTTAATCGTTTGATATTTTATTAAATTTTAATTAATTGGTTTTCGATAATTATATCGCATCTATATTCTTTTAATTGGATATTATTCATCTAAAAATGACGCTCTTTCCTGTATACTTAAAGAGAATGAAAGAAATTTCATCTGATATATTCTTTGAGTTAAGTTTTTAAGTATTTTCAATTTTTATGTCATCAGAATCAATTCAGATATTTCTTTGAAACTTCGAGAATGAATTCCAAACTGATAAAACACTTTGCTCGTTTCATTTTACAATTTATGTATATATATTCCTCAAATAAGATATATGATCTTTAAAATTATTTGGTATTTGCTTTTCAAAAACTTAAAAACAAAAAAAATAATTTATAATTTATAATTTTGAAATTAGGTTTTAAAAAATAACTAAGAATTTTTGTTAAATAAATTGTTTAATAAATAAATATTTTCAAAAAAACCTGTTTAATTGTATTTATTTCATTAGAATATTCATTAATAGGGTTTAATATTAAAATTTAACTTTTTCCTGATTTGAAAAATTATAAAATATCTCTATTTTTTTTAAATTATAAATAAATTTTCATTTGTAAAACTAAAAAACAATAAAATTATTCACAAAAATGAATGCACTTGTTTTAACTAAGCTAATAATTGAAAAAATAAACCATATATGCTAAAAGGAAAATTATATTTTGAGTAACTTTTATTAAGTGAAAAATAAATAACAATAATCTACATTTCGTTTACAATTTTTTAATATATATTTTTATTTATAAATTATTTTGAAGGTGATTAACTAAATATTAGCTGAATTTTATTTATTATAAGTTAGTTTATATATTAATATATTTTTTTTTCAGTGTTTTAATATTCCAATATACATTTTTTACTTGTTTTCCATTTTTCTCAATCTATCTGCCTAGACCATTTTTTTAGATTCAAAATCAGCCTTTAGTTAGATAAGTTGCTAAGATAGTCCTTCTTAAATACTTTCTTTCTATTTCTTGGCTAATAGCTGGTTATTAGCCTCTTATCTGTGACAAGCCTTATTTATATTAATATCACTTTTTATCTTATTGTTTTCGATTTCCATGTTTTTGATGATATTAGTAAATTCATCATAAGTATTAGATATTTCAGTTTGTCTATTTTAAATTTATTTTGATAATTCCTCCAACTCGTCTTGTAGAGAATCAATTTCTTTCTCATATTATTTTTATACTCCTACCTAATGGTTAATCTGCTCGCTGCACTAAATTTATCTCTATATCAGAGGAGTTATTTCCTTTTCAAGGTTTCCACATTCCTCTAGCATAGCTTTTTCTTAGTCTTTTAAAATGTCCCTTTCTTGTTTTTTAGCTGACACTATTTCATACCCTTTATCTAGCAGGTCATCTACAGTATTAATAAGAGCCTCATCGAGATATAATGCAGCTTTGTTTTTAAAAATGGTGCTCATATTAACTCTTGGAACACTTTTTTATGTTTTGTTAAAAATGCGAGTTCCAAATAAAAAGCTAGAGGAAGTACAAAAACTGGATTTTGAAAAAACTGAAAAGCGACGAGATCCACCATGTTCATCTATAGTTGCTGAAGAGTTCTACTTTTAAAGTTGATTTTGCTTATAAGGAGTTACTTCACCTTCAGAAACATGTAGGGAGCTTTATTTTAATCCAGTTCTGTTTAATTGTGTCTATGAGTTATATAAACTATTATTTTATCCGCATCCTGTATCTAAAGTAGCTCCCTGGCTAGAGAAAATATTTGAGAATTCTCCTTTTTTATTTTTAGATGCTTAATTATTCTCTTAGCTCTTTGGATCATAGTTTGCATTTTATTATTCTTTTATTTTCTATTCCTAAAACTATCTCTACAAAGTTCCAGCCATATTTGCTTTTGGTGAAGACTGAGAAAGCGAATTTAAAGCTTGTGTAAAATTGGAAGATTTTAAAATTCCGCTAGGATTATTTTGCTGTTATTATGGCTAGCAATTAGAAGGAGAATTTACAGTGCTTGTTTTTTTGGAGCCGTTTAAATCAATAGATTTATGAGGCATGGCCTAAATGCTGTATGGTGACAATGACTTAAATTTTTTATCTTACTTCATATTTTAAACTGATTTTGTAGTCTCGATATTTTCTTTATTCATTTACAATAAATTTTGATGTACTAGTAATTTTATTTGATGTTAATTTTTATAATTTTATAAAAATATATAATTTGATTAATGAGGGTATTTAATCATCAACACATATATAATTAATTTATGCAAAAAAACCCATTACATAAATAAATTTTATAATTAAATATATTAATAGACTTGAAAAGTTTTAACATACCTGAAATATAAAAGTAGAAATAAAATAAAAGTAATTATCTTCTTAATCAATAAATAAATAAATAAATAAAATAAAATCAATAAATTAAAAAGTTAGCTTGATTTCTAGTTAGCTATTTTTTAATAAATAAAAAAATATTTATTGTTGAAAAAATTAACTTAGTTTTCTACAAAAAGCTTCTAATACTTCTTCATAAAAAGCTTTTTAAAATTTTTATTTAATATTAACCAACACCGACAGACAAAAAAAATGATAAATAAAACAATTATTTTGAATATAATATTATTTTTTCAACTTTTTTTAATACTCGTAGAAGGAAGAAAGTTTTTTGAATGTGTTTCATTTTATGTATGTTAATTAATATTATTATTGCTACTGTTGTTATTGAAACCCATTTGATAATTTGGCTTAGTTATTACATCAATCAAGTGTTGAGAGAATTCTTTTTTGGAGTTGTATTTCCTGAGTTATTTTAAAATAAAAGTTTTATTTTTTTAAAATATTAAATTTAAGTATTATTTTAAATTAACGTTATGATAATACTTTTTTAATCAAAAAGAAAGTAAGTTTTAAATCTTTTTTAATAAAATACTTTGGTCTAAATTGATACTCACCACTAAAAATACTATCTGTAATTTAACCATATTTTTCTTCTAAACTTCTTTAAATTTTATTTTTTCTCGCATAGTAGAGAGATTCTACTCTTAATTTATTAATTTAATCATTTAACACTCCTCTACTCTCTAAATCTAAATTTAAAAATATTTTCAAAATCAAAAAAGATAATCTAAAATTTACTATTTGAAAACTTTTTAAAATATTCCTATAATTGTTTGATAGATTCTTTAGCCACATTTTTTATTTACTCAGCCTAATGAGGTTAAGCATTAAAGTAGCACTAATAATTACTATTATTTACAGATTTTTTAGATACATTATTTTCTAAAGAATTCAGTCTTGACCTATTCTATTACATTTCTTGAATACTTTTGTTAATTGAGCTATCTTTATTCATTGTTTCTTTATTTTTTTTTGCAAGGTAAAAGGATTACAAAACATTACTCATTTTTTTCTCTATTTTCACATTCTAAAACCTATCCTAAAATTCACTATTTAAAATTAAATAAGTAAGATCTCATTTCAATTAAAAGAAATTATTTTCTCACTTAAATTTTGTTTATTAGGTTTGTTTTCTAAAATCGATTTCATTTTCATACTCAATCATTTTCTCTAATTCAATTTCTTGAAAGGCAGGCTTCGAAAAAAGCTAAGTTTTTCTTTAATAAAAAGTTTATTTATTAAATGACCCATGGGTTAACTTAAAGATATTTACTTTATTGAATCTTTTTTCTAAATATAATCTTTTCCATAATCATCTTTATTTAAACAAATAAAATTTTTAAAATGGTTTAATGTTTGGTAATTTAAAATTAATATAATGCTATAAGTATTATATTTAAATAATACGTACGTTACTCCGATTTTTTCCTAAGGTCTCTCAAATAATAATTCAGAATATCATTCCTGTCTTTATTTTTCTTTATAACTTAGCTAAAAGTGTCTTCAGGATTAATTTTGCATTTCTTTTTACATAATTCAAGTTAATCTTATTCAATCGATGATTAATTTTTAGATAAACTATTGTTATTTTCAAGTTAATCTACATATGAGCTTTTTGATCGTTTTTAAACATTATAATTTCCTATTAATTAAGGCTTTTAGTAGTGATCTAGACTATAATTTTTCATAATTGTAGTTTTATTTAAAGGGGAACTTTAATTTGTAGAAATTTTATCTCCAAGCGAGCTAAATTGCTAAGATTACTAATTCATCAAAAGGTCATTATTTCTTCTTTCCATTATACCTAACTTTTATTTATGTTTAAATTTATTTTTATATTTAAATTATGATTTATCATAAGTATATATTTTACTGTAATATCCTTGCTTTTATTTTTCGGAGTGGTATAGGCACTATTATCATATGGTATATATAACTTTTAATTGCTTTCCATCCTACTTGGTGAATTTTTACTTTTATTTCAATATTTATTAGTTTTCATTTTTTACATTTAATATGGAATTCAAATGTACGATGTTAAATAAATAGATGTAGAGGGTAAGTAAATAGTATCAACCCGTTTTTTATTGGTATCCGATCTAAGGGTAGATTGATTTCCAAAATCTTAGGATAATCTAAAATTATTAGATTTCTCAAACTCATCTTATAATCGAGGTCTCTGTTTCTATTAGAAACAGTAAATTGATTAATTAGTTTATTTTGAATATTAATAATACTTATATTAAGCTACTGATTGCGTTATGAAGAACTCCAATTTATTTATTTTCTCTATTTTAATTGATACTGATGTAGTTTTTGTATTCATCAGGGTGTATTTTTTTATCAAACGCAAATGTAAGTGGAATAGCTTCAACTTTATGTCCTTGTAATCAGTATAAATAAATGGTAATTTAATTTTAAAAGAAATTATATTGATACTTTTGTAGCTTTTATCTGTAGAACTCATATGCCTTCTGCTAAATTCTAAATTTTTAATATTAAATAAAATATATCGTCCAGCAAATATAATTAACACAATTGATTAAGTAGAATTTAACTTTGATAATTATTCATTCAGCAAAGCAAATAGAGTTAGCTGAATATTTTTACAATTTTTAAATAATTTAATTTTCCGAAATATAAAAGTATTTAAAAATCTTCTATCATACATACATACATAAATAACTAACTAATTTTATAAAACAAGTTGAATTGTTGAAAAATTTTATTTTATATTTAAATTTAAAGGCATCTGAAAAGCAAATAAAAATATTTGCTTTTTTTAATTTTAAGAATAAAAATGCTTTTAATGGAGTTTCAATATTATCTTGATTGATTTTAAAAATTATTAAAAACTACATAACAAAGAAATATGTACTTTTCAAATTATATGTGAAATGAAAGTATGCAAAGTTATGAATATTTTAAACTATTTTTAAAGTTAATATTTTATAGAATTTCTTTCATCTTTTATAAATTCTATTTTAAATTATTAAAATTTCAGCAAGCAAGCAAGCATAAAAAATAGCTCTTTCAAAGAGGTTGATTAATTAAGTATTCAATATTTCTAGCAATTTGAGGTTCCCATTTGTCACCATTTTCTAATAATTTATATTTATCGTAGAATAAATCTTCATGCAAGTAAGCAGTCTATTCATAGTTAGGACCCTAAAATATTTAAAAATAACTTAATAAATTGCAAGCAAACATATTTTTAAATTTACTTCAACAATAGCATCAACAGGGCAAGCTTCTTAACAGAAACCACAATAAATACACTTAGTCATATCGATATCGTATCTAACTGTACGTCTATTATTAAAGAGAAGATAATTTAAAAAAATAAGAATTTATTCTACACTTGATTATAAATAAAATTTTAGATATTTTAAAATTAAATATTTTTTTGAATGTTTCATTCAGCTTTTTTATTTTTAGCTAATATGCCTTTTTTGCTTAATATTTTTTTGATAAACTAAACTTTAAAATACCTGGAACCATCAGGTCTAGGTTCAGTTTCGATAGTGATAGCTCTAGCAGGGCAAGCACTTTGACAGAGTTTGCAAGCAATACATCTAAATTTTATAAAAATATAAGATAAAATTTTATGCAAAGACTTTTACAAAATATCTTATTTAAGATTATATTTTAAAATCTAATATTTATTGCAATTTTTTTATCTAAACAAACAAAATAGTCTTAAAACTCTTCAATATAAATTCCTAATCCATTTCTTTTTAGATTAATTTTTATTAACTAACTATAGCTAATATTTATTTATATCCTATGCAATTTATTTTATGTAGTATCTCCAGTTAGTTTTAATTTAAATACTATTTACCTTTCTTCACCGGTAGGATATCTACGGAGAGCGTGTTCACCTCTGAATAATGGTGAAAGAGGACCCTTTTCGAAGGGATAGTTAATGGTCCATTCAGGTTCAAATGAATAAACAATACCGCAGAACCAGAAGTGATAGAAATATTCAGGACAAATAATATTTTAATAAGATGATTCCCAAACATCTGTGAAATCCAATTCATCAGGTTTGTCTCTTCCATAAAGACGAATATCATCCTTCAAATCCTCATCAATATCTAAAATGGGATCATAGAAAGTTTTATTGTGATGCTTTGCTTCAACGCTAGTATTAGGTGCTTCTTCATGAATATTACTTCTCTAAATATAACCTAAGTTGTACCAATAAAATATAATTTAGTTATTTCGATTTAAGCATATTTTCATTTGCGTTCAGAGATTAAATATTCTTTCATCAATTTAACAGAGATATCTGCTAATAAAATCTAGATATAATAGGGGATTAATTAACATTTAAGATAAATGGGTGCATTTGATATCAAATCTTGAATTGCTATTTAATAAATTTCATACTAAAGTTCATTTTGAGATTCTTGTGCATTTGCACTTTGTGGTAATTGGTTAATAATCTCTTCAACATTTTCCTAAATACTTCTTTTGAATTATTTCTTTTGTTTGCTTGTTTATTTGTTTGAAGCCTATCTATCTTCTTTTCTTGCTTTTAATTTATAATTTATTTTCTTTCTTCTTTCTGTAAAGGTGCTGCTAGCTAGAAGTCTTAGATTTCTTTTGATTCTTATCTAAATTGATTCTTCCTTGTCAAATTGCATATAATTAAGCAATCAACCAAACAATTAAGCAATCAAGCATGGCATTATTCATTCACTCCATATTTATTTTTTGTTATTAATAATAATCTTTTTTTACTTTAGTATTAAAATTACTTGTTATGCATATAAGCCTATTTGCTTGCTTGTATTCATTCATACATTATTTATCTTTTTATTTTTAAAATAAAAGAGAAAGATAAAAAAAATAAAGAGTGTATTTGCTGCTCAATAAAAACTACCAACTTTAAAAACATAATAAAAATTATTTAACCACTTTATAAAAATTTTTTTTTTTTTGTTTTAAATTTAATTTCTTCATTTTTATTGAAGTAAAATAATTTTATATAATATTAAATCTTAAATTCTAAATAAAAAAACATATTCATTAATAAAATCATTAAAGTTATATTTTTATTATGGGAAGATTTTAAACTATGCAAGAAGTTTGAAAAAGTAAATTGAAAAACTAAAATGGAAACTTGTCTATTTATAAGTGAGAATGTTATTAAATATTTGAAATATATTGCTATGCTCGGAGAGTTTGAATAAATAATAAATTATTTTCTTGAATGTATTTAATTATAAATTAATTAATTAATTAAAGTAAATTAATCAAAAATAAAGGTTAAAAAATTAGTAAATCAAAAGGTTTGTTTTAAAGAATCCATTATTATTTAAAATTATTATGAGTGATAAATAAAAAAAAAAAGAAGATGGAGAACTTTCTGGTGAAGAGGATGAGTACAAATCTCCTAAATAGAAAAAATCTGATAAAGACGATAGAAAAAAATCAAAAAGAAGCTCTCGTTCACACAGTAGTAGACGCACAAACGATAAAATTAGCGATTCTACTAAGTCTAACAAGAAGGATAAGGATCATAAAGATTCAAGTAGAAGACGTTCAAAATCAAGAAGTAAAGATCGTAAAGATTAATAAAAGCGCAAGTATTCAAGGTCTCGTTCTCGTTCATACCCAAATGATCGTAATGGTACAAAGTAAAGACATTTAGACAATCTTTATTAGAGAACATAAATTAAAAATGGAAAATGTAACTAAATATATGGTTCTTAGAAACGTAACACCAAATTTTCTAATGATAAATTTTTGTTTTCTAATTCAAAAAATCTATCAGAAGCTTTTTATATTGATTCTTATTTTTATTCGTTAAACAGTTCTAAGAAAGATAAGGACAGAGATAATGCAAAGGAAAAGGATAGAAAGCGTAGTAAATCTCCTACTAAAGATAAAGATAGAAAAAATGATCGTAAAAGAAGTAAATCACCTAGGAGTAGTAATAATGGTAAAAGAAAAAGCAGTCGCTCTAAATCCCCAAAAAGAGAAGACAGTCGTAGAGACAAAGATTCCAAATCAGGCTATAGAGATAATGAAAAGAAATCAAATTATGGTAGTAATAGGGATAGAGAATCAAGAAGATCAGAAGAAAATAATACAAGAGAAAGCAAATAGTTGACTTTAGAGGAAGAAGAAGAACGAAACGATAGATATTATAATGATTTTGATGATAGCGACTCAGATTACTATCAAAGAGTAAACGATCGTAAATATAAGTCAAGTAGACGCAGTAAGTCTAGGAGTAAAAATAGAGATCGTAAAAAATCAAAAAGCAAAGGTAGAAAAGATGATAAAAACAAAGATAAGGATAAAGAAAGAAGTAAAAATAGTGGAAATGGGGATAATAGCAAATCATCTAAAGATAAAAAGGAAGAAGAGGCTAAAAAAGCTTAACAACCTGAGACTATTGATGACGATGAGGACCTCAATATGGAAATAGAAGATTCTGATGATGAGAGAGAGAGAAAGAAACAAGAGTTTCTTAACATGATAAAGGTTCAAGGAATGTAGATGTAAAAGCAAGAAGCTAGCCAAACTTTCAGTAAGGAAAATAATCAGAATAACTAAACACAAAATAAAAATGATCAAGATGTTGTTGATGATAAATTGAAAGTTAAGGATTCAGAAAACCTTGAAAATTAAAACTTCGCAGACGAAAATAGCGAAGAGTAGCTTTTCGATGATACAGGTTTGAATCCAAATGATGTTTTAGATGATGACGACGTCAATATTGCAAATACAATTAACGATGATTACAAAGAGGAAGTTGATGAATCTCATTCATTGACACATCGCCATAGTATCGATAAAGCATAACTAGACCATTTAAAATTTCTTGAAGATATGCGTAATTAAGAGATAAAGGGAGGTATCCCAGATATGCCAGAATAACCAATTTTGAAGCAAAAAAGAAAAAGTATTAATAGTGAAAAGCTTGAAGGTAAATTTAGTAACAATGATTAATTAGATGAAGAGAATAAATTACATAAGCTTGATGATTAAGAAGATTCAGAAGAGGAAACGGATATGTTTGGTGATGACATCGACAAAATCATTAACAAATCAAATGATGGAAAACTTCAAATTGTTAAAGGAGCTAATGCAGAATGTGATGATGAATAAAACTATTTCAAAATATTAATTGGAGAGGTTCTTAATGGAAAATACAGAGTCATTCAAAAATGTGGTAAAGGTGTTTTTGCTAATGTGTGTAAAGCTGAGTAACTCGATAATGGAAAAATGGTTGCTATTAAAATTTTACGTAGCAATGAGATTATGCGTGATAGTGGAGAGCGTGAAAAAGAAATTATTTAAAAGTTAAATTTAAATGATAAAAATGACAGAAAGCACATCGTTCGTCTTAAAAACGTTTTTGAGCACCAAAAGCATATGTGCCTTGTTTTTGAGTGTTTTGCTATGAATCTTCGTGATGCTTTAAAAGAATATGGCAAAGGAAAAGGTTTTAGTTTAGACGTTGTGCGCTCATACGCTTACTAAATCTTTGTAGCACTTACTCATTTAAAGAAAAATAATTATATTCATGCAGATCTTAAACCAGACAATTTACTTATTTCAGAAGATACAAAAACTTTAAAAATGTGTGATTTTGGTACAGCCTTACCAATAGAAGAAAATGGTATCATTAAGTATCTTCAAAGTCGTTTCTATCGTGCTCCAGAGGTATTAATTGGTTATCCTCCATACAATTAGATAGACGTATGGAGTGTTGGTGTGACTTTGTATGAAATATATACTCAAAAGATATTGTTTGATGGATCAACAAATAATGAAATGCTAAAATTAATTATGGATTCAAGAGGTAAATTTAACAAAAAAATGCTTTAAAATGGCAAATACGTTGAAGAATACTTTGACTAAAACTATAATTTCAAGTACACATATGTAGATAAACAAACAAATTAAAAATATACTACTATAATTACATATGGTGATATCCCTAAAAAAGATATTTACAGATTACTTTAAGAAAATAAAGATGGAATTAATTTAGAAAACTAAAAGAAACTCTCTCAGTTTAAAGATTTTTTAGATAAGTGTCTTTAACTAGATCCTAAAAACAGAATAACTCCTGAAGAAGCACTTGAACACCCTTTCCTTAAATTAAATACTACTAACCCTACAAAGCCTAAATGATTGATTTATTTCATTGCTTTGTGTTTTTATTATAATTTTTAAAACGTAAAATAAACAAAAAATTATTATTTCTAACCAAAAAAATATACATTCTTTCTTTCATTCATTATACATGATTAATTCCAAAAAAAAACTACAAAAATGAATCTAAATTTTTGATAAACTAAAATATGATACAAGTATATTTATTATATTTATATTTTATTTGAGGTGAGTAATTAATTATTTTCATATTAATTCTACTAAAACAAATTAATATTTATTCATTCATTTATTTATTTTGACTTTCTAATAACAAAAATAATTCATAATCAAAAGATATAAATATTTATTTTAAAATTTTTTTTAACTTACTAACTAACTATAAAGCAGACTTATTTTCAACATTCCACTATTTTTTCAAATTTATCAAAGAGAAATATATAAAATTAGCTAAAATATATGAAGATTTACAGAATTTACACTAATTTAGTTCGTTTATTTTAATACCATCGAGTAAAAATTTTCTAATTTATTTCTACTTTTAAACTATGATTTTTAAATAGGTTGATGAGCCTCATTATTCAGCTATAAATATTTTATAAAAATCTTTAAATATTCCATATTCTTAAGTTGATACTAAACAGACTATGTTTTCAAATTGTTCATCTTATTATTACTTGAAATAGATTTAAAGTATGTAATTTACTTTTAATGATTTTTTTATATATTATGATAAAATATATTTTCTTCAAATAGAGATGTACTTCAAAAGAAGGGCTATGATGCCAATCCAATATGTTATTGGAGAATGGGAATTTAGAGACTTATTGTTAAAAATGAAACCACCTGTATTAATACCAAGGAATGAGACAAGTTATCTTGTTGAGTTAGTAAATAAATTGTCAAAATAGAAGTAAAAATGCTAATTTCTAGAAATTGGTATAGGTACAGGAGCAATAAGTCTATCTCTATTAAAAGTAGTTAATATTTATTTTAAAAAAACTAAAATATTCAAATGAAATAAATTATTTGCAAAAGGAAAATAGTTAATTTACAGGAATTGCTATTGATAAGCAGAAGTTTTGCATTGAATTAGCAAAATAAAATCTCAATCTAAATAAAATAGATCCATAGAGACTTTAGCTTATTCATCTAGAATGTTTAAAATTTTTCTAAAACAATCTAAATTAAAATCCTGATTAATAATTTGACTTTATTGTAAGTAATCCTCCTTATATTCCAACTAGTTAGGTTTAAAATTTAGACAAGCAAGTGAGGTGATTAATTAATTTTTAGCTTCAAAAAAATTATTGTAACATATTTTAAAAAGAAAATTTGAAGATAAAGTTGCACTTGATGGTGGAAGTGATGGATTAGATATAGTAAAGTAAATATTAGACTATGGGTACTAGATCTTAAAATAGGGAGGATATATAGCTTTAGAAGTAGATGTTACTCACAATTTACTATTACAGTAATACTTTGAAAAGAATACATATGGATGGAAAGATAAATATAAAAAAGCATAGTTTTTCAAAGATTAGTATGAAAGAGACAGATTTTGTGTATTCTTTAAATGATTTTATTCTTTTTTTTACTGTAAATAAAAAATGTGTAAATAAATAATTGTTGTTCATCGATTTTTACAACTTAGATGTATTTGTTAATTTATTTATAAAATTTTAAAAGATTTTGTTGATGATAATTAATTAATAATTAATTAATTAATATTTTTTATTAATCATCAAAAATATTAAATTAGAACTATCTAAGATTTGATAAAAAATTCATAAATATTTCAAAAAGCTTAATAATCAAGAATATGTACGCTTAAACACTCTCTGAAGCTTTAACTTTGAATGAAATTATTTTTTTAAAAAGTAAATATGGTCTAATTTAGCAAAATTTGCTATCGTTTATATATAATTAATTTAAAAATTAGAGTAAATTTGGTGGACTGGCTGTACTGAAACACCATTTATATGTCGTGGAGGAGTTTATAATAAAAATAGCTATCTTTTAGGTAAATTGGTTTGATGATATATGCATTATTTATTCATAAAAGAAAGCTAAGTTGTAGCTATTTTAAATTAACATAATAGTGATCACAGATACACGTAATGTATGGGTAACAAAGGCAGATGATTAACAGATTATAGATGAGAAAGATAAATTTAACTAATCAATAAAGATAAAATTTGAAGATATTTTGAATACTCTTGATACTCCACTCAGATTTGGTAGAAGCAATACTTAATTTACAAAGCTATAATTCAGAAAAAATAGAGAAGAAGATCTAATTTTCTTAATGGAATTTTAAGTAGGAATTTATCCTTTCAAATGGGAGTTCTTTTTAACAAAGATGGATGATAGCGAAATTTTTAATATTTTAGCTGATGATTTATTAAATCCTATGGCTAAAACAATAATGTCTCTTGAAAAAAGAGGAAACTTGTATAAATAAAAATGTATTCAAATAGAAAAAGAGTTGTTAAGACGCTTAAGCGAAAAGGAGAGAAATACATATCTTTCCTCCATTGATAAAGATAATGAGGAAGTTTGGTCAAATTTCTTAATAGTAGATGTAAATGAAAAAAATAAATTACTATTTATCATACAAACTCTATTTGTTGGGTTGGTCAAAAATTTGACCTTTATCTTATACCCTCCCTTATTTAATCAACATAATTAATTAATCCTAACCTATTGTTTAAAAAGATATTTTTAATTTAAAGTCTTAAGATGATAAACTGACAAATTTTGACTTTGGTCCAGCCGCTTAATTCTTTCTGTCAAATCACAACTCCAAAAATTTAAGTAGTCATTTTCAGTAAAAAAGCTAATAACTTACTTATTTTTTAATATTAATATTAGTTTAAGATTAAGAAAATAAAAAAATTACAGCCAATTAGTAAAATGATATAATGGACAACAACGAAGACTTAAAAAGAATGAAATTAATTTAAGATTATTTTAGCACCTTTGAAGAATAGCCTTTGCCAAATGCTTATTTAAGACCAGATTCTAAAAAGAAATTTAAATAATAAGAAGAAAACAACTAATTAAAATACAAATAATAATAGCTAGGTATATTACTTACAACTAGGCTTTTTAATTTTTAAATTAAAATATAACTAAAGGAATCAAAGTCAATTATGAAGAATAAAATGAAAATAAAATTGCTAATGAGTAAGTATAAATATAAATTTAACAGAATGTTCAAAAAGAAGAAAAGAAAAAGAAAAAGCGTTTAGATTTCTTATGAATTCTTAAAAAATTAAATCAATTTAAAAATTTTATTTATTTAACTTTCATAAAATTTTGTTTTAATTTTGCATAATGAAGTAGTTAATTATACAAAGTTTTTAAATTTTAATTTTTAGATGTATAATAGACTAATTATTTTAATGGCTGTGAAAAATTATTTGAAAAGATAAAATATGTCTGTTATTAAAAACAATCATAAGATTATGTAGTGAATTATTACTTACTATATTGGTTTAAATCACAATTAAATTAATAAAAATATCATTCATTTATTCATAATAATATAAAATAGTTTATTCAACTTTTCAAAAGCTAAATAAAATATTAATTACTGTATGTTTTCTAAGTTAAGTTGGGACCAAAAAAATAAAAACTCAAAGCCCACCTAAACCTTAATCCATTCTTAACTTAAAAATACCTTAAGTTAATTACAATATTAACTTAGAAAACAGACGGTTTATAGAAAATTGTTTATTTTTTTTAATAAAGAAAAGCTTTTAATAATTTTATTTATTTATTTAAAGGAATTTTATAAGTTAATAAAATATAGATTTAATCAATAAATTTACTATTCATTGATTAAGTAAGCATTATAAAATAATTATTTATTTTTTTAATTAAATTCATATAAATTAATTATAAAAACCAGAAATATTAAATATAAATAGTTCATTCAATTATTTATTCGTTCAAATTTTAATTTAATTAATTCATCCATCCATCAAATAAAACTCAATTGACATTTATTTTTAAATTTAACTTTCAGTTAGTTCCATTGGTATTTGTATTTACTGCATTATTTTAAATAGGAGTTTAAGGATAGAACATAGGCATAGCATACATAGGAACCATTTAAGGAGTTTGTGCTTATTATGTATTACCATTTTCAGCAGGTTTATCAGCGTTCACTGGAGGATAAAAGAAAGGAGGGTACTTTTAAATTATTTTTTTTAAAATTTTGATAAGTTTAATTTTATATTTAAAAAATATCTACATAAAGAGGAGCTCCTTATTATTAAGGTGTTATTGGCATCATCATAGGATATTGAATAGGAGTGCTAGGTAATTAAGGAACTGAGCTATCAGTGCTTGCATTTTAAACAGGTTAAGGGGCAGGAATGTAACAAATATAGTAACCACCTTGGGGCATTTAAGGTAATTATGGGAATTATGCAGGTTGTGGAATCATTGGAGGAATACCAGACTATGGGAAAAAGCTTGGGAAATATTATTGAGGTTAAGGTTGCTATTATTATTACTACTACTACTATTATTATTACTATTCTTATTATTACACTCCATTTTATTATTACACTTAAGATTAAAACTTTTGTTCTTACTTTTCTTCAACTTTTTAAGTAACAGCTGGTAATTTTTATGCCTAAGTAGTAGGTTCTGTTCTTTATGATACTTAACTTGATCTAGGAGTAAGTGCTTTTTCATTTAAAGGAGCTTATTTCAAATTTTCTTGTTATTTTTCAACTGCTCTATAATTTAAGTAAAACAAATTTAAAAAAAATAAAAAAATTGTGATTTTAATATTACGAATTTTTATTTGCATTTTAATGGTGTTGTTCTTGGTTTTGGTTGTGATGATGATTGTTGGTATGCTTATGGTTTTCTTATTTTGGCTATTATACTTATTTACTTGCTTCTTATGCTTAAGTAGTAGTTCTACTAGATGTTGTTGCAGTAATGGTAGTGGTAGAAGTATTGTTTTTCTAAGAAGTGGTGTTTTAATTAACAACAGGAGCAACAGTTGCCTTATTTTAAGCACTGACATTAGAAGTATTTTATTAAGGCTAGGGCTGAGGTTAAGTAGGAGGTTAAGATTATTGTACAACTGGGGTTGTTTTAGCAGGAGGGCACACAGCTAAATCTTTATTAGTAGCTTCTTAAGAAGGTTGAGTGACATGATGAGCAGATGCAGCAACAGTTTTTTATTCTTTTTTAACTTCATATACAGTATGATTAACTGCAGTATTATTTGAATGAGCCTTTTACTATTCTACTTTTTTATCTTCATTTACATGATGATCTTAGTTAGAATTTTATACTGTTTTTTAAGATTCTTGAACCTAATGGCTATGAGTATGATTTTTATGATTGTGAGAGTGGTTATGATTATGGTTATGGTTATGATTGTGATTGTGGCCGTGATTATGATTTTTGTTTGAATTGTTGTTCACACTAGTTTTATCGTGAGTATGACTGCCATTATTTTATGTAGTTTATACATTCTACTAATTGACTTGACCTGTTTATTGCACTTCTTATTATTATTACTGTTCAACATCAGCCTTACGAACATAAATAAATTCTTATTCCCTTTTATTTTTGCGGTTATTTTTGTGGAAATTATTTTCCTTGCTGTTTTAGCGTTGCTATTAATGTTGTTAATTAAAACGAGTTCTGTTTTAATGTCTTTGCTCTTTTCTGAAATTATTTCTATCATCGACATTGTTGGACTCTTATCTCTAGGAATGATGATTATTTTCTTCTTGCCCATCTTATTATTATTACTACTTTCTCAATCTTCTATTTTGTCTTCCTAAATTAAAAAAAATAAAACAATAAATAATTTGTTTACATTATCTATTATCAAAAATTATAATAAAGAAAAATAGAAAGAAAGAAAGAAATAAACAAATAATTTAAAAATTTAAAAAAAAGAAATTATTTAATTAAATAATTAATTAATTTTCCTTTTAAACACTCCTTTTGACTACTAACATTTTAATGATTTATGATTTATAAAAAAGTATTTACTTTAAGAATTATCAGCTCCATCTTATTCAATGCCATCGTGATTTTCTGTTTACTCACCATTATGATTTGAGTTATTAACTCTATTCTATCTTCTTTCTCTCTTTTCTAAAGAGTGTCTCTTTGGTCTTAAATTAGAGTGAACTCTTTCCTTTCTTTGTAAGCTAGTTTACTTTGCTTCTCTTTCAGACTATTTATTAGGTTACTAGCGAGATTAACTTTGATTTTTCCATTCTAATTCTTGATTTTCAAGGAAACGCTTATATTGAACATCGATATGAGCTTTTGTAATCTTATGATCAAAGCTATACTTTTTGCAGATATTCCAAACACTGTATACATTCTAAAATAATATTAAACTTAATAAAATTGAATTAAACTAAAAATAATAATTTTATTCTTTTCTTTTTTTGCCTTAAATATATTATAGCTGAGTATAATAAAAAGTAATTTACCAAGTAGTCCTTGTATAATTCATATAATTCACTTATCATTTTCTTTTCCTCTTCAGTTAAAAATTCCTTTTATCTTTCATATTCTTCTTCAAGAGCACATGAGTATTTTTTAACTGTCTATTAGTTTTCATCTTCACTATCATGACTAACCTTCTATGTTTTAGCAAAGTTGCTACCCATACGATTGATCTTCTCTTAGATATTCATTTTCCTACCAAAATTATCTCTATTTTAAAATTGCTTTTTTTAAAGATTTTTTTTTACTTTTTATTAAAGTTTTTTATATATTTTTTTTTCAAAAAGATACAAGATTCTTCTTTTCTTCTCTAAATGAAAAAATTTTAATAGATTTTAGTAAGATAAATATTGTTGCTACTTGGCTATTTTTTAAAACAAAATTTAGAGGAAAAGAATTTTAAAAGATTTACAATAAATATTTTTTTTTCTGATTTGAGACAAGTGCCTTAAATAAAAAATAGAAGCAGTTTTGGAATAGGCTGATTTTTGATAGATGATTTAACAAAAAATAAAAATATTTTTTTTAATTTTTTTACCAATATATTTAAATAAAGATATTTATTTACTTATTTTAATAGCATATAGCAAATAAGCTTAAACTTACTCAAAAAATGTTATTCTTCATTTTAAAAATTTTATTTTAAATATAAATAGCACTCATAATATTAGGGAGATTTTAAAAAAGCGGGAAAATAATTCTATTTTAAAGAGCTTTGAAACTAAAAATTGTTCCTTTTTTTAACTCATATTTGAGTATTAAGCAAAAAATAATCTGTTTTGAAAAAGTTTTTATTTTGAATTATAAATATTTATTGAAATATATCTTTCTTTGTTTAATTTAAGACGGCAAAATTTGGATGATTGGATTGATATTATTATAGTTTCAAATAAATATAATTAAATATAAATAACAATTAACACAATTCTATTTAATTTGAATTTTTTACTATATTTTAATATGACTTTAACAGCAGAAAATTTGATTAACACCATCCATTAAATAATAAATGACTTGAAATAAGATATTTTTTAAAGATTTAATTACAATTTAGATGAGAATTTGACATATTTAGATTTGACCAGGAATTTAATTCTTTTAGAAAACGTTTTCAGTGAAGAGTCTATCAAAAGAAGTTAAGAATTGCAGAGTCGTTTATCTTAATAGTATTATCATCATCACCACCATCACTCTCAGAGTTCAATAATTAATAGATCATATAATTAAAGCACTTAAAATCCTATTAACATATAAAATTAGTAGGATGAGTTTTAGGCAAATTAAAGTTATTCTCATTACACTCCTGTTTAATATTAAAAAGTTCAGGAGTTAGACTCGTCAAAAGATTCTATTCCTTAGTTCCATAAGCAGCTACTGAGGGAATATAAAAATTCAATGGATTAACTAAAAAAATAAAATAAAATTATTAGAACTTTAGTTCAGGAAAACTCCTCTAAAAACTCTAATTTTAGATCAATTGATTACTATGATTAAGATTATCTACGCAAAGACAACTATGTAAACACTTTTGAAACTAATCTAAATAATTAATCTAGTACTGATGAACATATAAGACACCATTCTAAAAGTTATAATACTTTAAATAGAAGCTAGGATGATGTATATAAGAGCAGAGGGTATAAAATAAGAAGCTCAGCAAAAAAACAATATTTAAAGGCAGAAAAAGAGTTGTAAGATTTGTAAGGAATTAGAGAAAAAGAAATTTAAAAAATAAAATAAATTGAAAGGGCAATAAGGAAAAGAGAGGAAATAGCTGCCCCTAAAAATATAACCACATCAGAAATGGAATAAATTGAATATGTTAAAGGTCAAAAAAAACTAAAAGACAAGCAGTATATTTCAAAGATAAATGAGTAAATTTCAAAATTAGACAAAGAAATAAGATAAATTACTTCATATATTTAAGATTGCATATTAAAAGAGCAATGAAAAAAATACCTAAAATATAAAAGATTTTCTTAAAAATTGAAAATTATCCAGTATTTATTAATCTAACTATTTATATATTTATATATTAGTCAATCTAAAACTTTACTACCATCTGTTAATTGATGAAAAAATGAATAAAAATATTTATCAAATATATCACTCTTGTTTTTTTTAATGTTAATTATTATAATTTAAATAAAATTGCTTTAAAATCATAAACTTAAATTCTAAAATAATTTTTAGAGACTATAAGTAGTAATTTACTGTCTTCAAAATAAAAAATGTATAAATAAATTATTTTTGACAATAATATTTTCAAAATCAATAAATAAAATTTAAAATATCATCAAAAGAAAAACTGTAAAACATTTTTAAATTTTTAGTTATGTTAAAATCAATCAAGATACATTTTTTAATATAAATTTATTTTTTACTTTTACTGGATGAATAGATATGCAAATCAACTAATATAAAGCATCAAATTTTAATTGTTATATTATAGAATTATTTTAATAATTATTTGCTCAAATTTTAAAAATTTTAATATTTATTTGTATTTGATAATAGCTTTTAAAATAAAAACATTTTTTGATAAGAATTTTTATCAAGAATTTTTTGATGTTGCTTTTTCTTTTCCTAATTCTATTAAGTATTCTAAAAGCGTGTAATCCTCCATGTATTTAGAGTTTGGATAATCCATAACAAGCTTCAAAAAAATTGAAGCATTCTTTTATTTGTAAAGATCAAAAACTTATTAGATTTATTTTGTAGTTTGTTCATCTTAAAAAGTACATATTATCATTTTTTTATTTGATCTACTGGATGCTATCCACTGAATTGCAAATTTTAAATCAAATACACCTAGAAATGCACCACATCCCCATTTACCAGTTGAAATTGTTTTTAATTAATCTTCTTATTTAAATCCCATATACGATTTATTAAGCTCTCTGCTAACATTTACTTCAGAAAATTAATTGTCAGAGCTATTGAAACATAGTGCATCTATAGCTAATATCGTTTAAGGGTTGTTTCTTTTCTACTTTTAAATCTTAGAATTTCCCATTTTAACGAATCTAAATGAATTACTATAACCTTAATAATCAGAATACTATTTAATTCCTTTCATTATAATTACTTCATTTGCTTCCATAGATTAATCAAAAACTAGCAAGCTTACTAACATTTCAGGACATACACAAAATCTTATTTCTTCTTAAACCAATCCATTACCTAAAATACCTCCCCCTATATCACAATTTGCAAAATCTACTTGAAGGGTACCTGGAAAGTCTTCGATTAGCTTATCATCTGTTAGTTAAACATTTTTTAACTTAATAGCCTTTAATTTGTCAACCCAATTTTCATAATCTTCTAATTGACCACAATTAATTCTTTAGAAGATAACCACCTCTTTAGATTCTTTTTCCGAAAAGTCTAAAGCTTGCTTCAAGTATTCATAAAAGCATTTTATTTTTTCTTATCTGCGTATGTTAATTTATTACACTAGGTCTTTGAGGTATATTAATCTAAAATCTTTATATATTTTTCTGTCTTAGTCTTTGAGTATACATAAAAACATACAGCTAACATAGTAAGATATTTCTTCTCTAGAGAAAGCAGCTTCATAAATCTTAGATTCTTTTGGAATCTAATTTTTTAATTACTTCTTTTTAATTTTTAGAACAAGCTAGCATATTTTAGGAATGAACTATTCCAAGAAATATGTTTGCTCTTCTTTATCAAGCTATTCAAATACAGCTTTTAGGTTAAAATACTTCTCATCGTTTTAGTTTTTACTGTCTCTCAATATTTCTAAAATAGACTCTAGAGATTAAAAGCTATCTAGTTTTTATTTTCCTGAGCTTAAATCTTAGAGAGTTTTTTTTTAAATTATCCAAAGTTCACTATTTTTTTATGGTAATGGAAATTAATAATCTTAGATTTTTTTATTTTCTTATTTTTCCGCTTCGATCATATTTTTTAATTTTTCTAATTTTAATTAATTTTTTTTTATGAAATTTATTATTTCTTTATTTCAAACAAAAAATAATTTTTAGGAAACAGAATTACTTTAACTAATTTTAACAATATTTAGTGATAAAATAGTTTAAATTTCACTTAAAGACTAATAATATAACCCATTATCCTTAGAAGGAAATAAAAATAATAGTTAACAAAAAATTTCATACAGTTTTAAGCTTAAAACTTTTAAGATTTATAGTTGGTTATATAAATTTATCAATTAAAATATAAATAACTTAAAATTTTTTATGATTTAAACATTTTTCTAATAAATACTTTTAAAATCTGAAGATTTTTAAAAATTAATTTGAAATGGAAATAGTGAGGGAAGAGGAAGAAAGAGTGAGTTATCATCTAAAAATAAAAGGTAAAGAAATTTATTGCTCTTAACTTAAATTATAATAATTAATTATTTATTATTCACTTTAATTTCACTAATTATATTTTAAAATAAAATATAAAAAATTTCAAAATAAAAATATCAATCAATCAATCAGTTAAGTAAGTTTGTTAGCTAAATAAATAAATATTCATTTATAGAATAAAAATATTTTTCAACCATTTCTGAAAACATCAACATTTATTTAAGCCATCTATCTGCCATCTTAGTGTAAAGTGGCAAATAATTTATCACCGTTTTCAACAGGAGCTAATTTAGGTGTGCCTGTTAAAATTAAGTCTCCTGGATTTAAAGTCATGTATTAGCTTACATACTAGATAATATCATCAATCTATAATATTAGATAGAATTAAATCTTATTTTATTTACTAAATATAATAAATACCTTGAAGTACATATTTTTAGTATTGTCATCGACTTCACTTTTCTAGTTTATTTAGAGTTTTAAGTTAATATTATGAGGATCTTTAATATCTTTTTTCTCAATAAAATCGCTAATTGGTAAAAATCCATCTTGGCCTTTGCCTGTTTTGATAAATAAATAAATTAATTTCATTTTAACTTAATTAATAATAATTACCAATATCCCAAGGGAAACCATTTTTGCGATTAGCTTTTTACATATCCCAATCTGTCATATCTAGGCACAAAAAGTATCCTCCGATATAATCAAAGGCCTACTGTTTAGCTATGTTTTTTCCAGATTTACCAATCATCACTCCTAATTCAATTTCATAATTTATTTAGTTTTTAGAATTTAATATAAGATTCTCTCCCTTGTATAAAATAGAAGAGTGAGGCTTTGTAAATATAAGTGGTTAAGCTGGGACGTCTTTTTATCCAGGTGGAATATAGTTTTAAGCTAAGGCTAATATTTTGGGATTGATTCTCTTAGTGGCTTGAGTAAATATTCTTTCCATTTCCAACTAGCTTATCTAAATTATTTTTGATGTATTTTTATTTATAATAAATCTTATCTTGTTCAATTTTTGTGAATATTTAATAACTAAAAACACATCTTTAATATATCATCATAATCATACTAAAAATATATCTTTATGAGTCACAAATTCTAAATTTTGCATAATAATTTTATAATCAAGATTAAATAATCATTTGTTTACAATTATCTTATTTATTCTACTCGTAATTCATACTCTTTTACAAATGAAGTTTGAATGACGCTTTTATTATTAATTTAAATACAATAGAAATAATAATAATGAAATATTAAGTTTTAATAGTCAAAATGTAATAAAAATTAAATTATTAAATAATATGACATTTTATTAACTTTGAAATCAAAAAAAGCTAAGTAAGCAAACAAATATAAGATTTTATCTAAATTTTTTGTTCTATTGAATTATGAAATTAAATCAATTTTTAAATTTAATAGATTTTTTATTTTTATAAAAATGTTAAAATAATCACCAAAATATTTTATTTATTATTTTTTTAATCTAAATAAAATTTATTTTATCAATGACTAACAATTATTAGAAATTTAAACTTCTTTTATAAAGATTTATATTCTACCTTATGAACATTTTTCTATTACTTAAATAACCTTATTAGGTAATAAATACGTGTTAATATTGTATTCTTTGTAGATTAGGAAGCATAAACATAATAGTTTATAATCAAAAATAAATAAGAGGTAAATTTGTAAACAAATAAACAATATCTGATAAAAAAAAATAAGCACAAATTAATTTGAAAAGGAATAAAAGAAAATATAGATTGCAATAGTTATTGAGAGAGTAAAAGAGATTTAAAATGAATTAATTTATCAGCTTGGATAATCCAAAATAATAATATTCATCGTTTTTAATCTTAAGCTTGATATAGTTTTCATAATTTCTTATTTTTATTTTTTTGATAGTGCTAGGAAAATTTACTGTATCAATAGGTTTGCTGATATTCTATTATATTTTAACTTCAAGTTAAAAAATGCTAATTTGGAGTACTTTATCTAAACTTCCTACTAGTAATGTTAAAGTAACTAAAAGGCACTTTCTGTTATTTGCACTTCTCATAGATTTTAGAGAAGCATATAAGTTTGATTAATGTAAAAGAATGAAACTCAAATAATTTTGGATGATTATTTATATTATATAGTTCTGCAGTAGCTATATATTTTTATTTTTTTTCCTCAAATTTGATTTTTGTTAGTTCTTAAATTTTGATTTCTAAATGGATGATTCTAAGAAAAAATTAATTCTATTCCTATAAAGTATATATATAGTATTAGGCTTAACTTATGCGAATATGATTCTATCATGCTATTTCTCTGCTAATTATAACTATCCTATTTCTCCTTTTAGAAAACTAATCTAAGCTGTTTACATATTTAGTTCTATTTTTTCTTATATCTATCTATTTATCTAAGTAGGATATGAAAATGTTTACTCTATTATAACTTTTTTTGTCTTAAGATTTGCATTTATAATAGCCTACTCATATGTAATCCCAAAATATAATATTTACTCTCGTTTGAAGTTTTAATTACTTTTTCCTTTTCTCACTACAGATAGATAGATTCAATTTGTTAGAAATATACTCAGAGCTTATATAATATTTGGTTTAAATGTTGACATATCTCCGACTATGATGAGATTTTCTAATGTTTATGATAGGATGACTATTTAACCTATTTTTATTATAATTAGAATATATAATACTCTTGAAATCTTAGCTTTGTTAGTATACAATATTTATTTTAATAGTACAACTATTACTTAAGCTGATTTCTTTTAAGTTTCTTTAGCTATCACATCAGTATATTTGTTATTTAATTTAATCTACTTTATTTTACAATTTATAATGAGATTTAAAAATTGCTATCCAACACTCTATTTAAAAGCTTTACCAGAAGTTAACTTAAATGAAAACAACAATATTTAAGATAATGATATAAATCAATCTTTAATTTAACAACAATTTGGTAGTCAAGATAAAGAATTAGATAAAATAAAATAAACTTATAAAACAAATAAACATTTTGTGTAGCTATAAATCGTTACTACAGAATAAAACCTGGGTAAAAGATAAACTTAAGAAGAGTTAATAGACATATTAACTGAATTTCTAACTCTTAAATAACAAAAATCTTTAATTTTAATACAAGATGATATAATTACCTTAGATATAAATAAAAATCGTTGCTATATTTATTTAAATAATTTAACTTCACAAATTTTCACCGAGTGTTTAATGAGCTGTGATAAAATAAATATAAATAATCTCATTTTAAATTTTAAAGATAAAATATCCTAAAAGAATAAATTAAAGTTAATAAAAGCAATTATCACTCACTTATATTCAATACAATAAATTGAATTTGATACTAATGAAATAAACATATAACTTGAGAAAGGCTTTTATACATAAATTATTAGTTTTTACAATTAATATTTGAATGATTATCTTCAAATTATTGCTTTCTATCAATAAATATCTTCATTATAAATATATAATCCTTTTCATATTATTTATGATTTATACGAAGAAATTTTAAATTGAAATCTTGTGTATCAAATAAATCTCAACAAAATATAATAGAATGTATTAGATATTATAAATTCAATAGAAAAAAAATGGATTCAAATATTCGAAAGTGACTATTAATGAGCTTATCATTTAAAATGCTAAAAAATATAAAAGATATATAAAATATATTGATTGGTTGATAAATTGTTAAAATTTTTATGAATATTTAAAGTTAATTATTTTCCTCTTAAATCTATAATTATTTGTTTTTATTTAAAAAGTTTTAAAAAAGTAAAAATAAAAAAAGATTTAAATTTTTTAACAAATTTAATTTAAATTATTGTAAAACTTTATTGATTAATTTTTTTCATAAATATTTTTCTTATCAAATTTTGCTTTTAATTATTTAATTAATTTTTTATAAAAACAGTATTTGTTATTTTTTAAGAGGTATTATCAAGTGTTATTTTTAAATTTTTGTATTATCATCGCTAAGTAAAAATTATTTAATTTAAAGAAATAAAATGTATTATTATGAATTGATAAATTTTTTATAGTTAAGAAGATTTGTTTTTATATAATTTTTAAGTTTATTTTCAATTTTATGATAAAAAATAAAAAGGAATTTTGCTTTTAAAAACTTTAATAATACTTTTTAAAAAAACAATAGAATTAAATGAATGATTATTTTAGATTCAAATAAAATAGTTTCTTTCTCATTCATTATTATTTCTGTAAACTAAAAGATTTTCATCTAAATTTTTTTGGTGGTTTCGTCATTAATTGATTATTAAATAAATTAATTTTGGGTATAAAAAATAAATAAATAACATTGATTAAAACTAAAGAAGAATAGTAAATAATGAACTAAAGCGACTAGTTTTTGATGAAACCTTTTAGCTTTCCATTAATTTCTTTTTTACGTAGTTTGACAATAATCTCGATAATTGTTGTATCTATAATGCTGTATAAAAATCTAGGTTATTATATTGGATCTTTAATATACTTTTGTTACTTGTTACAGGCTATTTAATTTTGGATATCGCAAATTAGATATCTAAATATAGCTAAATATTAGATAACACTTTACTCTCTTATTGTATTTGATTTACCTTTAGCTATTTAAATTTAAAATAGCTCAGATTTATCTCTAAAAAAAAAGAAGTATTTAAGCTAAAATTACAAATATTTAGATATCACTCCTATTATATTTTTGTACACTTTAGTCTTATTTAATGTACTCTTTGATGAAAAAAACATACTTAGTAATTCTTTTATTTTTTTTTGTATTTTGATCAACTTTAGTAGATATAATGCAATAACATTGATTTATCATTACAATACTGATAGCTTGTCAATATTCTAAAAAGCAGCTGTATTTATTTATTAGTTAAGTTATCTTCAAATATCTGTATTTGCTTTTGCTTACGCAACTAGTGTATAAACAATTCTGATTTCTTACACAATGTTATGCACAAGAATATTTATTATGTTTTTCATTCCTTTCATATTAAAATGCTGTAACAAAACGATACCTAAGTATATTTCTAAATTAGGTTCTGGCTCTAATATTGTTTCAGATTCTCTTTTATATTACACAATCTTCATACTGCAATTTGAGTTTGCTGGGTTTCTATTTTTGATGACTCCTATTATAAATAATTATTCATCAAAAATGGCTTTGATTTTATAATAAAATATCATTTATTTCTATAAATATGCTCAAGCTATAGAAATGATTATTTTCTATTCTATGTATTTTAGTTTAAATATAGATAAATATTAGGAAATGTATGAAAGGAATCCTATTTTTTGTATAAGTATATTGATATCAATAGCTATTTATGGAACTATTACCTTAGCTGACATACTAAATATTGCATATAGCTATATTTCTTGTAAAAAATGCATCATACTATAAGTAATTAAAGAGTAACTGAATTCAAATAGTTTACAATCATAATCAATATTATCAACATTATAAGATTGTTAGAATGAAGATAATGTTCTTCACTTCAAAACATAGCTAGAAAAAATACCTAAAAACAGAAGCCTTCATTTAATTGTATTTAACATTAACCATTAGTTTGAATATCACCAAATAGATTAAAAAACAAGAGTACAAATGATTAAATATATACTATAATCTTAGTAAAAAACTAATATAATTGTATCTCAATTCAATGATTTTGTAATATGGTAAAGATCTTCCAATTCAGTTATATTTAAAATGACCAATTCAGTAGCTACTGATTTATCTTTAGCTCTAAATGAAGTCGGATAAATTCGATCTAAATTTTTTACTTTTAAATTCTATGAAAAAATGAATAGAATAAATGCTTTATAAGTTTAAAGGTCTTTAGTAAATCATATTGATTCTGTCTAAATTTAATTAAAAAAGTATAAATTTTTTTTCCAATAAGAGGAGAGATAAACATTAGGTCTCTTTAAGTATATTTCAAAGATTCAGCTGAGAGTACTTGCAGCATAGATATAATTTATTGCATTCTAAAAAGCATAAAGCAAATATTTACTAAACAATCCTCATTAAATATATTATGATTTATATGAAAAGCTAAGCTGAAAAATGTTAAATTTTCTATAAAAAGTTAGTTAATTATTTAAATATAGTTTCTTAAAAAAATTTTTTATGTCTTTATTAAATAATCCTAAAAAAATTTGCTAATTCAAAAATTTTTTTTTGAGCTATTTTGATTCATTTTATTAAAAATAATACCTAAAAATATAAAAACTTGAAAATATATTTCAAATGAACATACTGTAAAAATAGAATTTTAATTTATTTTTGTATTAAAAGACAAAAATGATATTGAAATGAACTCACCTAAAAATTTATAAATAGAATTTCCAAAATTAAAAAAAAGATTGCTAAAATAGAAACAGATGGATTTAAAACTCTGTTTAAAAATAAATTTATATATTTCTGATATTAGTAGTATTTTAATTTAAAATTTTTGATTATGAGTTATAAAAGCATTGCAAAATAATATAAATTAAATAAATAAATAAATAAATAATTCCTTGATTAATTAGATATGTGCAAGATTTTTAATTTAAAAATTCTATAATAAATTAGATTTTTTATTGATATTTATTAACAACATTTAAGAATATAAAATATTAATTTAAAATATTTATAAAACTCTTTTTCAATTTTTAAAAATTTATTCGCTTTGCATTTAATTAATTATCATTTTTTATCATATCACAATAAAGGTAGGCCTAATTTAGCTCTTTCCTAATTCCAAAATTCTATTGAGTTTTTATCAGGTTGTTTTTATCTTCTAGGTTCATTTGACGAGGACCTTGATCTTGATTTTGATCTTCTATCTCTATTCGGTCCTCCCTTTATTACACTACGCCAAGATCTATGCTTATGACTTTTCTTTTTTCTATCCCTTGAATTAGATCTTGAATTAGACCTAGAAGAACTAAGTTTTCTATGTTTCTTCTTTTTCTTTTTCTTTTCTTAGCTTTTATCTCTATCTGAATATTCCTATTACTCATCTCCTTTACTTTAATTATTACTTATTACTTCGCCTTCTTATTATTTTTATTCTTCTTCTATTTCCATTTATTTTCTTAGCTCTTCTTCTTCCCTTTCAATTTCTTATTGTAATAACTGAGGAATAGCTCTTGGCTATAAAGTTCCATTTTCTTCTAAAACTCTTCTTTTTTATATATTAGGAAGTAAGGTATCTAAATATACTTCTTAGTTTATTAAGCTTTCAACAAACTCATCCATATGAATTATTTTAAAAGATCCATCTAAATCTCTGAATCTCAATTTCCTATAATCTGCATAAAGTGGTTCTAAAATTTTGTAAATATCTTCTGAAGAAGCTACTAAACGAATATAAAAGCATCCTAAAGCAGTCAAATATTTGTAATCTTCTTAGTTAATATATTCCATAACTTCAGCCTTCTCAGGACTGATTTATAGTAACTTTAATGATAGCATTAAAAATTTAGATGGCTTTCTATTGCCACCATAAGTGCCTCCTACATAATCTAATTCCAATGCTTCGTCAATTATTGATGCTGCTGTTAAACCTGGTAGTTTTTCTTTCCAATATCTATTTTAATATATCTTATTTCTTATAACAGCCTCTATAAGGTTTTAAGGGTTTTAACCTCTAACAGAAAGTGCTGCTGCTTATGTTTTATTTGACATTAAAAATACCTAATGAATGATATTGATAAATACTTAAAAAATAAAAAATAAATAAAAATAAATAAATAAGTAATCTAAGCTTTTTAACCAATCTTTAAAAGCTAAATTAGTTTTTGATAGATGCTTAATATTTAATTTGATAAAATATTAAAATTTAGAATTATTTATTTATTTAAATTTATCAAGATCAGCTAGTTTTTTTTCAGAAATATTCATATTTATTTTTGAATGCTTTATACTTTTATAAAAACAATTTTTTTACAAAAGAAAGAAATATTTATAAATTAAAGTAGTTAAAATAAATACATAAAATAAACTCATGTATATTAAAGTGCATTTAAATTAATTTTAAATTTGGTCTCTAATTAATTTTTATGTATTTTATCATTTAGTAAGGTCTTTAGTTATTTATAATAAGGAATAAGATAATAAAAATTTCACTTTTAATCGCTAACACATGCTTTACAATATATTTTATTAAATAGTATTACTAAATCTGTTTTCTACTCACATTTCTTACAATAAATAAGTTTATTCTTACTTGTCTAAGCTATCCTACTGTTGCTTAGTAGTTCTTTGTTGCAAAATTAACATTTGATAATTTATCTAGTTTTAAAGCAAGGATAACAGATTTCGTAATTAACTTTACAGCATGTTATTGATTTTATAACCACATCGTTATACCCAGCATGATCACATGGTAAAAATACATCATTATTTTGTTATTACTTCTATATTTTTGGTTCCTTTTTCGAACCATCACTGATTATTGAAGGGGGATTAGGTGTCAAAGAAAAATTTTACTGCTTTTGTAGTTTATCACTATGTAAATTATAGAAGTTACTTTTAAAATTTATACCCTCACCTTGGAATGTATAGTTAGAAGAATCATCTGTAGATTTCATATGCATTTAGCTTTACATATTAGGAGTATCTGTTTATGTATCTTAAGTATTAGATTTTAATTTTAACTCTTTGTGATCTTCTTAATAGAGTTACGTTTCATTTTATTATGTTTATCTTTTTACAAATAAATTCTAATTAAAAGTATCTCCATCTCTTTAAGAAAAAAGCTTTTCATTTGAAGACCCCATATTATCAATTTTTTTACCATCACTTTATAGAAGCTAGCTTGTGTTTTATCCTTTAAGTTGAGATTGAGATTGAGAAATAATAGAATCAAAAAGGACTAAATGATTTTGTTATTGATTATTATTTACTTTAGAAACAAGATTTTCTTAATTTTCTTAGTGATTTAAAATAGATGATACTGAGGAAATTCTACCTATTTTGGTTTAATATAGAGTTTGTAAATTAATATATGATTCTCTAACTTTAACTGCTTGATTGCTTTAGTCTTTTAGGAATTTTTCATATTCTGCCATCAATTATATGTAGTACTATCTTAAATTTTGTTAAATGCCTGGTTATTTAATGAGAAGCTCTAAATCATCATGATATTACTAATGGTTGTTGAATAAGCTCAAAGAAGGAAAATAGTCAAGACATGTTTCTCTATCAAAAACTAAATCATAATGCCCATCATTCAGTAAAATGTATATATTACCTTGAGCTGGTTAGTTCACGTTAGGCTGATAGATTACTTTTTCATTAAATTCAAAATTACCAAATTTATCTTTCTAAAGCTAAATTATCTATATAGGATGTCTAAATATTTCAGTACTTAAACTGATTGCATGGTATTCAGCATCTTCTTTATAAGTACATAATTTTATACGAGTCTATTCAATATCCTCTTAAATTAAGTATTCTTGATAAACTTGATGGGTTCCATATTTTTCTAGGGCATATAAGATCATAGAGCGGCAAAGTGCAACAAGAGAGTAATCAAAATCATGGTCACTTGATATACTATCAAACATTTTCATTAAAAATAAAGATATTTCTTCCTTTGTTGTTGCCTACATACGTTCTATCAGAAGAAGCAAAAATTGTTACATAAGAATAATTTTTACGTTATCTCTATCACTTCTTGTCTAACCCTAATATTCTAAATCAATTAATGGATGCTTATTGTTATAAATATCGATTATTAGCTATTCAAATTAATCAAGTGTATCATATTTGCTTAATAGAATGACTAAATAATTTACAATAAGTGCTCTATAAAAACAATTTCCATCTCCACGGACACCAATATAAACAGGAAATATTTAGGCACGAGAGCACCCCGCAACCCTTTTTTGTAAATTGTTTTTATATTTATGGATAAAAAAATCACCCAAGTTTTCAGCACTTTATAATCCAGATATCTCTCTATTTATCCTTTAAATGAAAACCCTTTCTTATTCCACCAAATATTTCTAAATCAATGATTAAAACATTTACAGTTTTTATGGTTAATTTTAGTAAAACTTGTTCAAGCTTAGTAAAGCTTCATCTTTATTAAAACTGGCAGCTATTGCTTACTATGTTCCAACAGAAGGATAGAAATAACCTGTAATTGATTAAAACATGGATGGGTCATATTTAAATAGTGATTCTTTTCTTCCATTATCAGATCTGTAGTAATCAGCATCCCTTTGCTAATTATTATTACTAAAATCATTATATTAGCTATATAGTTTGCATTTATTACTATCTCTTTGATAGCTTGAGACTATTAGATTATTGCTGTTCTCATCTTAAAGTTATTCAGTTTCATCTAAACATAGTATAGCTTCATCTTTATGTTCATAACTTGCATCTGGTTTTTACTAGTTTTTGTAATTAAAATTTCCTGATTTAGTTTTTATTTTACTTGGATGATAATTAATCGTTTAAGGAACTATATTATTTAATGGATTGTTAGAATTGTTCATATTTGTATCATCATCAAAATCATACTAATTTAAATTTTGCTTGACATCTTCATCTGGATTGAAAGCTTGTTGATTATTCATTTGCTTTTATTAGCTTTGTTACTTATAAAAATATCCCGATGATTATTCTCTTTGAGATTCAGTCGGATTAATAAGAGGATAATTGCTTGTATTAAATGAGTGACTTTATCTTTAATTATCAGGTAGCTGATAGTTCCTGCTAGAATTGTTGATTTAAAAAGTCATATCTTTATTATTTAAATTACTTTAAGAAATTTTGGAATCAAGATTGATAATACTTCCCTATATCTTTACAGGTAATGATACTGGGATGTTACTTACTTACAAATCTTCTAAGTTTGGATCATTTGAATCTTATTTATTCTGTGAAAACCTCAGCTACTCTTTATTATGGAATATATTAAGAATTTATTATTGTTTTTAAAAATACAAAAATTGAATATAAAGATAGTATCACCTTAGATCGGAGTTTAATTTCTTATAGGTGTTTCATATCTATATTAGCTTCCATTTTATCCACTATTTTCTATTTTAAAAAGCAAAAATCTTAATAAATTTCAATATTAATTTCAAGTGCTCTAAATTGAAATAGAGAATTAAAATTTCTTTACAATGTTACCTTATTGTTGTAATATCTATTAATTTGATTATCTTATCTGAGATTCATTTTTCTTTTGCGTTTCTGGGTTGGGCGTGTAAATATTATAGCCCATTTATTAACTTGGATTCTATTAATAATTACTTTATTTATAAAATTATGTTTGATTGTTTTCAGGAGGATAATCCTTGTAAATGTTATGGCTTTAAGTTAAATTTAACTACTGTTATTAAAATCTATCTTGATTATAATCCTATTAGATCCTATCATTTTTTTACTTCTAATTATTATATTAACTGGAAAATAAAAATAATTTAAAGTATTTAGCTAATACTAATAAAAAATGGTACTTATTTATCTAAGCATTAGGAGTTTATTGAATAAATTAGTTATTTTTTGTATCATCCCATTGTGAGTAGAGCCCTTACTAACTTTGCTAATATTAATATTGTTGATTACTACTATAGTATTCTTAGTCAAAACCTTATGGCGTTCTATTATTTTAAATGTTTCTAATTTCAGACATTCCTCCTGGCGTTTATCCGTACACTTAGCTTCCTTTAGCAAACATTTAATTACTTGTTTAGTTATTTTACTCATTTATTTTCAAATTAGACTATCTATTGTTTAAATTATTTTATTAAGTAGACTACTAAATCATACGTCAATTTTCAATATAATCTAATTCAAATTAAGAAGCTATTGAATTTCTTAGCTAACTATTCTATTACAATTAATTTTAATGGAAGACACTTTGTATTTAATGCTCTATTGAACTAAATAAATCTTTATGCAAATCAATACTAAATTCCTTTTTAAATTAAAGTTGGTTTATTTTATTGATTAAATTTTAATAAATATCTATAATAACAATCAATCATAAATTACGATTGAATTATAAAATTAATTAATTAATAATTTCTGAATCTGTATTGCATCATAACATTTTTTCAGTAATTTTATATGATGAAAGTAAAAGTGATAAAATTTATGAATTTTTTGTTGATAATTTCATATTATTTAAGTACTTAAATTTTAGTTAATATTTGAGAAATTCATTTTAGCAAAAGTATTTGAAAAAAATTCTAAAAACTGATACCGTTTATATTGCCATACTTCTCTTCAAAAACAATAAATTCTTTTTGATATTGAAAGCTTTTTTTGTTTTTATTGATGATTGCTGATAAAAATCTTTATAAATAATTACTTTTATAATTCTTAATTGATTTGAATTGAGAAATAATAAATTTTTCTGATAACAAATGAAAATAAATAATTAAAAGTGATATTTTTCATATAGATTGCACAATTAAATTAAAAGTAATAAAATCAGAAAGATACATTTGTAAGTCAAGTTGATATTTTAGGATAAGAAAATAGAACTCATAAAATAATTATTAAAATAGTAAAATGATATTTCACGAAGATATTATCAATTTAGGAGAAAAGCCATATGAGTATAAAGATTTTTTTACTATGGACTCTAAAATATAAGAAGATAATATAAAGTTAAGTTATTTTCACAGTGCAGTAGCTAAGTATGGTGGTCCAATAGCTCTCATGAGAAATAAAAATAAAATTGTTCCTAACTTAAAAACTTCTGTTTTGAATAATGAACTATGTTTTTTAACATCCGATGGTGTTATTTTTAATCATATAAAATTTGATTATCAAGGTAGAGATGTAGTTTGTTTTGATTTCCTATAAAATGAATTGCTTTTAATTCTTACTAGCAATCCTCCTGTGTATTACTTAGTTGACCCATTCAGGAATGAATAAAATCTTAAACCCTATAATTTGGATACAAAGTTTCAAAGTAACATCTATCAAGCAAAGGTAGATAAAATACATAAAGTTTTATTTCAATAATACCATCAGTTTAATTTTTAAATTTTTATCAATTTACTGCATATTGGCTACTTTTATAATTATTATATTATTTAAAACAAAAAGGCTTTCGGTAATGGATTTGCATTTTGTGCAAAAATAACCAATTAAAACTAACCAGAAGAAGTAAGGTTCTTTTATGTTGATAATTTGCATATGCAAACAAGAGACAAAATTATTCCAGAAAAAGCTTTCTATAAATCTGGAATTAAAGAAATGCCAAGAGATTGGATTATAATGACAAAGGATTAATCTGAATTAAAAACACTAGAAATATAAATGACTCACCCTGAAAGCGGTGTTATTAGCCTAACTGAAACTAATCGTAAATTATATTACCAGATTCCTGACGTAAATCAATCAGATAAAGCTTCAGCTTAACCTAAATAAGTCTCTAGTAGTCTTCCTCCTATTAAAAATATACAATTTATAGCTTTGTCACCTAGCAATTCTTTGATAGCTTACTTATAGTAATTAAAAATATTTAGAATCAGCAATTAAAATAAATTTTCAAAAAATATTGTAAAATAGGGAAGTTGGAAATGGAAAAATTAAGCTTAGTGTACTTTCAAATGATTACGAAGCTAAGAGATATACAGTTTGTGATGTTGACTTAAAAGGACTTAAATTGCCAAATACTATTTCTTCCAAGGAATCATAATTGCAGATGATGTGGTGTGGTGATGACTGCTGTGTATTATAAATAGATTAATCTATTCTTATGATAGGGCCAGATGTTACAGAAATCATTTAAATTAATGAAGATTTTATCATGTCGAAGGAAGTAGATGGAATAAGAATCATAACAAAGAAAGGTGATAAATTGCTCCGTTCATTACCAGATGCTTTTTTAAATGTATATCCTGAGTACATATCAAATTGGGATTCATAAAAACCTGTAACTTATATTCTATTTAAAATATTTCATAATATCCACAATAAAAAATATATTATTAGGCAGCTAAATTACTTCAAAATTATTTGAATTTGAAATCAAAGCAACCTTTCGATGACTCAGATCTTAGAAGCAACCCAGCTTAACTTAGATAAGCAGTAAAAGATTGTATGACAGTAGCTGCATTTATTACAGATGAAGAGAAATAAAAAGATCTTCTAAAAGCAGCATCTTATGGAAAGACTTATTTGGGACCAGATGCGATTAACCATGATGAATTTGGGCTTTTGTGTCAAAAATTAAGGGTTGTTTATAATTTTAGAGAAGTGAGTATCAAACGTATGATAACTTGTGCATAGGTATAACTTTCTCATTATATTTTTATTGAATGATAAAATAAATAAATCATAAATCATAAAGGTTAATAATCTGCTCTCAGGAGACTTGTAATAACAATTGATAAATATAATGCTTAGATACGATTATCATGAATTAGCCTTTAATGTATGTAATTAACTTGATTTTAAGCCAAAAGTTAGAACTTATATTTTTGAGCATTGGGCTGAAAGGGTCATTGAAAAGAGTTCTGCTGCAGCAAGATAGCATGAACAAAGAAACAGTAATGATTTAGGAGGCATAGGAGGAAATAAAGATTCATGGAATTCTATGTAATATAATGCCGATAATGAGGATAACAGAGTAGCTGAAAAAATCATAAGCAAGCTTAGAAATGAAAAGAATGTTTCATTTGTAAATATAGCTAAGAGAGCTACAAAAGAGTGTAGATAAAATTTAGCAATGAAACTACTTTACTAGGAGCCATCTGCATTCAAAAGAGTTCCAGTTTTGATTTGGATGGGGAAAAACTGCTTAGAATTTGAATCAAATGCCCTAACTTAAAGTGGATTAGACAGAAATGAAATTGAAGAAAAGCTTAAATCTAAGGAATGGAAAGAAGATGTTTAAACTAGGTAAGCACGTCATTATGAAAATGCGCTCTAATAGGCACTTTAAAGTCGCGATAGTGAATTAATTTATATGTGCTTAAAAGAAATGGATACATACATGAAAAATGAAACTTTAAAGTTCCACGTGTTAAAAAGTGAATAAATTTATGCTAACCATTATAAAAACTATTTAAAAAACAGTTCTTCTTAGTCTAAACAAGAAAGATATAAAAATTTTATAAATTATTGTAATAATGATTAAGGTTTAGAAAAAGTAAGCTACTTCATCAAGAATAGCTTTTAAACTAACTATAAGAAGTCTACAAAAGAAAATTTGATAAACAGACATGAAAATTTAAGACAAGCTTTAAAAGAAATTAATTAAAAGAAAATAGATGATAACTTTTTAGGATAAGCACTATTAAAAGAAATTTAAAGTTTGGAATATATACTGGGCAGTCCTACAGATGAATTGAACAAACACTTCATAGATGAAATTTTAGAATGGACAGTCAATAAGAGCTTATCAGACACTTTAGCACGTGATGCCAAATCAATCAAAGATAAAATAAAAGACTTTAATGTTTCTTAAAAGCGTACAGATTTTTTAAAAGTTCGTAATTTAATAAAAGAGAAGGATTATGAGTAGCTTGAATTTTTCTTGGTTAAAGAAGTTAATAAAAAGAACGTTGTTATTCCCTACGAATTGGTTGCCGATTTACTAATAAAAGAAGGAGCAAAAGACTAAGCAGTTCGTTTGATATTAAATATTCCAAAAATGGAAGAAAGAGTTACTATCCTTCTCAAAATCGATGAGGCAAAGCGTGCCGTGTAAGATGTAATCAATTCAAGAAAAAATTTAGACTTACTTGAAATGATTAGAGAACAGTGTAGAGATCCTAGTGTGATTAGTTACATGGAAAATTAACTTTAATCAGCTGGTCTTAGAAAATGAAATAAATTTATTATTTGCAGAAACATTAATATTCAATATTTTGTATTTAGCTAATATACAGACAAACTAAAAATAAATATTTTTTTTTTCACCTTAGAATATTTAAATTTTTTCAACATATGCTATCTTAATTAAAAATAATACATTTTTTTTTGAATTTTGTATTATTTTTATATTAATAATAACTTGGTATTATTTAAAATTAGAATCTATATTGTATGACAATTCAGTTTGGTATTTATTTATTGTTTTTTAATTAATTTAAGTATTTTCAGTTTAAGAAATTTAATCATATCTTTTTTTCAAAATTATATTAACATAGGAGACCCATCAAATATTATTAATTATAAAATTCAAGTTTAAATATCTTTATCTCGTAAGTATTATTGCCAGGGTAGCAATACCTGTGTCTATATGTGGCATAAACAATGTAGGTTGTGATAGATAGGATATGAGAGTTTGATGAGACAGTTTGCTAAGAGTGTGCCCGCTCCAAACAATGAGTTGCTATGGTGGTAACCTAGTAATAGGACTCCACCAGGGCATTAAAGAGCTAAGGAAACGCCTCAGGCTGGCAACAGAACAGGGAAAACTTGCCGCTTGTTGTGGTGGAAGGATAACATACTCATTAACTGTCAAACTAATCGTTCTACTATCAAAGCCAGACATTGCTTTTTTTATATATATTAATATATTAAAAATTTCTTAAATAATGAGAAAATTTTATATTTTTCCTCCTTCAAATTATAATTTTTTTCTATTACAAAGAGTAAATTTTAGTAATATTTTAATCAAATTAAAATAAGATCTTTAAAAAAATGAAATATTTTGAATGACTTTTATGATTTTTACTTTTTACAAAAGCGAATTAAAAAGTAAGGATAATAATAGATTTTTAAATTAAATTTGATAAGATTTAATTCGCTTAACTAGATACGTACCGTGATAATTATAATAAAACATTAAGCTGAGATTAAATAATTTATCATAAATAAATAATTAAATACAATTTGTTTGGATTGTGAAAAAATAATAAAACAAAGTATTAATTTCTTCACTCAATTTTCAAAGTAAACTGATAAATTTGAATAATTATAAAATAAGAGATTTTTGTTTAAAGTTAATAAATTAAATAAAGAATAACAAATTCAAAGATCTACTAATTAAATACTTTGTATAATAGTGAGCAAGGGCAAGGAATAGGTTAGATATCAACAAATTAATATGAGTAAGTTACCAGATCTAGAAAAAATAGAAAAAAAAGAATCTTCTGAGGAGATTATGACGGAGTCAATTAAAGTTACTTATAAGTACAAAGAAAATGATCCTAATTATATGGGTGACAAAATTGGAACAGATAGGAATTTAATACATGGCCCTATAAAAAATAGAGGAATAACAGATTGCATTTGTTCATTATTATTTATTGGGTTTTTAGTTGGCTTATTTTTTTCTTCTATTTACTCATTCTCTGAAGGTTCAACTACTTCCTATGCGCTTCCTTATGACACAGATGGTAAGAGATAAAAATATAAATAAATCATATTCTTATTTTGAAAAATATTTAATTAACCTCAAAATAGGTAATGTATGCGGAAAATCATCTGGCTTTCAAAATTATAAATATATTTTTCTGTTGGATCCTTAGTCTGGTGATTATAGTAAATCCGTATGTGTATCATCTTGCCCTACCAAGACTTAGGAATAAGATATAGTAGAATTTAAGTGCAAATAAAATTCACAAATCTAAATTGATAGCAACAATGGATTATGTAAATTATCGTCAGCTAAATTCTTTAACACAACAAAATGTAAATTTTTATAAAATTGAGTTGCAACGATACATTCTAATCAATTAATTATTTTCAATAGATGTAACAGCTTGTATCCCTGATGACGAGGCTTTAAAGGCAAAAACATAAAGCTATCTTTAACCTTCATAAACTTTCTAATAACATATGGCTGACTTATAAGCTTCATGGCCTGTTATGCTAGGATCAATTTTTATTTCTCTAGCCATAGGGTAAAAAATTCAAATTTTTTTATCCTAAAAAAAAAGGATTTTAATTTAAATTATTTTTTTAAATAGTTATATTTATTTATTCATGATGAAAAAATTCAGTGGATGCTTAACTTGGTTCTGTATAATTACTGTTATATCTTCCTTTTTTGTAGTAGGAGGTTTAATGGTTTCAAACGATACTATTGGGTAATTTTATTTTTTCAATTTATTTTTGTTAAAAATATAATATTATAATAAGAATTATAAGCTCTGGTACAGTTGACAGCAACTAAAAGGAAGGAATTAAAGTCCTTGGTAGTTTTTGTATCATATTTGGAATAGTAAGTTTACTATATGTTCTCTGTAAATGTAAGCAAATCAGAATGGGAATCGCTTTAGTTGATGTCTCTTCCGATTACACAACAGATGTTTGCACTTCATAACTTATTCCTTTTGTAATGTGGTTTATCTATGTTTTGTGCCTCGTATTTTTGTTACTAGCAGGAGTTTATGCATATGGCATAGGTGAAGAATCTGACTAACCACAAAACCCTTTCAATAAGTATATCTATAACTCAAATAGATATTTAATTCTATTTTATATTTTTGGACTGATTTGGATTAGTGAATTTCTATCTATTTATGCCTATTTTTTAGTGTCTTCTTCTGCTCAACAGTGGTATTTTAAAAGATCTTATTAAAGTCTGCTAAAATCACCAGTCAAGTAAACAAATTTTAAGAATTAAAAAATAGTAAAAAGTGTGTTTTATGTAAAAATTAGGTAAGCAGTGAAGCTTGGATTCTATCATCTAGGAACTTTGGCATATGCTTCATTGGTGTTGCCTCTCTATACAATAGCTAATTTTATTTTTGAAATTTTTTATGTAAACAATTAAACTTTACTTTAAATACTAATTTAATTGGTTTATTAATAAAATAATAAGCTATTAAATTTGGGCTAGTAAGAAATCAAAATTAAAATTTTTTTTTTTTTAAATTAGGGATGCGGTAAGGGGATTTAAAGTAAAGAAACAGAAAGAAAAAGAGCTTAGAGTTAATACGACGCAGAGTGGGAAAATAATTCTAAAGATTAAATAGATAAGGTTTCTAATTGCTGTGTATCTTGCTCGAATTTGTATGAAGGAAGATTTAGGTTTGTTAAAAAAGAAGGAATTATTTAGGTTTTAAAATTATTTTTTGTACAAATATACAAATTATTTAAAAATTTTTATCAAAAAAGACTGCCCTTACTGGAAGAGATTTTAAAAAGGCTTGTCATGAAAGCTTTTATTTAATGAAAAGAAATGAAAAGTATTTTAAGAGTTTGCAAGGATTAGGATCTTTGATGCTACTTCTTGGTAAGTGCTTTATTTGTTGCTCAAGTACCTTTTTATGCTATCTTATTTTGAGTGATAGCGAGACTTATAAAAAAGAACTATATAGTCCAGTTTTACCTACTGTTTTAATAACATATATTACATTTACAATTGGAAATATATTCGTCACTGTTTACAGTTCTTCTTCTGATAGCATATTGTAATCTTTTTGTGTAGATGAAGAATTACATAACGAAATGAAAGAATCAACAGGCAACACACCTCAAAAGCTTCTTTAATTTCTTGATAAATATACTGATATTATTAAAGATTAAAAGTCTGAGAAAATATGATAGTAGCTCTTATTATTTTTATTAATTTTAAAATTGAAAATAATTATTTATTATTATTATCATCAAAAGTTTTGTTGTTAGCAACATAATTTATTTTGTTTTGATTTATCACTGGATATGAAAAGTATATTAATGTTAAAAATATATTCAATTTTTTTATGAGCAGCTTATAAAAATCAATTAACTTTACATTTTAATGAGCTTTTAATTAATACATGCAGTTATTTTAATTTATTTAATATGATGCTATTTTATTTATCAAATTATGCATGGGAAATTATTGTTAGCACAAGCTGAATATGTATTTAAAAAATTCTTTATATGTTAAAATTATCTAAAATAATAAAATCAAAATCTAATAAATTGAGATATTTTAAGAGTTAAATGCTTAATTTTTAGGTATCTACAGTTATTTTCTATTTTTAATGGAAACTATAAAAAAAATAAATCTCAGATAAGAAATTATTAGACGGATAGAAAGTCCATAAAAGCTTTTCTAATTCATAAATGAATAATAAAAGAAGAGTATCAATCAAAAACCTATAATTATTTAAAAAATTAATGGAAAATAAAATAATCCGACAATCGATAGTAAAATAAGAAGCTAAAAAATAAATAGAATAAATTATTTATTTATTTATTTTAAAAAAAGTTAATTTTTTTAAGGAATTCTCTACCTTTCAATCAAAATGTGAAATAAAAATTAGGTTATTAAAGAGTTAATAAGCTTATGTTGAGAATATAAATATAGCAAATAAAGACTTATTATAATATGTAATTGTTATTGCATATTTTTTTTTAATTAAGGATAAAAAGTAATTATTTATTTATTAACATAATTAAAAGTAATAAAAAACAAGAAATAACACTGATTTACCTATATATATATATATTAAATAAAAAGAAAACATCAATAAATTGCAAAGAAGTAAAGTTGAAAGCTCACTAAAATGCCTAGAAAAAGATGGTAAGACATGCCTGATAGGACTATTGTTAGTAATTGTCCTGAGCATGTTAAATTTTGTAATAATAGTATCTCAACCACAAAGTACACTCTCTTCACTTTTATTCCCATGAATCTAGTTGAGTAATTTAGTAAGTTAGCAAATGTCTACTTTTTATTTATTGGAATGATGCAAATGATAAATGAAATATCTATTTCGAATGGTTAGCCGGTTATATATGTTCCGCTTTTTGTTGTTTTGATGATATCTGGAATTAAAGATCTATTTGAAGATATGAAAAGGAACAAGTCAGATTAAGAAGAGAATCAAAGATTGGTAAATTTTTGTTTCAACTTAAAATCTAATTTCCTCCAATTAGCAATTAAGTTTATTTAGATGCATAAGGAGGAATTTATTCATAAATTCATTTATTTATATGATATTTCTACGAAAAAATTACTTTTTTAATAATATTTGGCAATTTATTAATAGGTATGGACTTATAGAAATGGCATGTGGATAAGAGTATATTGGTAGAGTTTATTAGTAGGAGAAATAGTAAAAGTAGAAAAAAACTAACTCTTTCCTGCAGATATTTTATGTATGTATACAACTGATTCTAAGGGCCTTTGCTATGTAGAAACTAAAAACCTAGATGGCGAAACCAATTTGAAGCGCAAAATATCGAATAAATCTTTATAGCAATTAGGAGAAGCTGCTATTCTACATTAAAAATTTACTTTTAATTGTGAAAAACCAAACCCCTACTTATATAAATTTTAAGGAAACATGGAAATAACAGATGGTTACGATTAATAGTAGAAAATATCCCTAGATTACAACAATTTTATACTTAGAGGATGCTCTCTGAAAAATACAGACTATGTAATTGGCTTGGTTTCTTATACTGGAAGAGATTCTAAAATAATGATGAATACAGTAAACGCAAGATCAAAGAGATCTCATATAGAAAAAAAAATGAATGTTTTTATTAGTTTGGTCTTCTTGCTTTAAATAGTAGTATGCTTGTCATTTGCATTAGGTGCTGCAATTTGGTTTAATTAAAATAAATCAAGCCTCATTTTTATGCTTGGAGTCAGTAGTACAGCAGAAATAGACAACAGTTTTGGTTATTTATTAGTTGTGCAGTGGGGTGCTTGGATTCTTATATTTACTAACTTTGTTCCTATCAGTAACTTACTTTTAGTTATTAATTTAAATCATTCAAATTTGAATGAATGCTGTGTTACATTATTATTTTATAATTAATTAAATTAAAAGAAATCATAAAATTCTTTTTTCTTCAAATTTAATTAAATTCATTTGCACACATACACTCAAGCAAATAAACAAATATTGGCTATTTTATTAATTCTAATTTTATTCGTTTCTTGCTGACTCTATTCTTTTCTGGCTTTTTTTTTATTTTTATTAAAAATCAAATTAACTTCAATTTTTTTTTTTGAAAAATATTAATAGGCTTAATTGTAACCTTGGAAATGGTGAAATTTATGTAAGGAATCAGAATTACATAAGATCCAAATACATATTCAAAAACTTATGATATTCAGTGCACTGTGTAATGCAGTGGATTGAATGAAGAATTAGGATAAGTAGAGTATGTTTTTTCTGATAAAACTGGAACATTAACAAGCAACACGATGAAATATAAATGCTTAACAGTGAATGGCGTATCTTATGGTGAGTAAGATAATATGACTGAATAAGAGTTGATAGATAAGCCTAATGTAACAAATGTTAAATTTTTAGATAAAAAGTTATTTGAAGACATGTAAGGTAAAAAAGCTATGGGTTCAGAATAGCAACAACATCTTTTTACAGCTTTAAAAGTACTCTCTGCTTGCCATACTGTGATTACAGAAAAGACATCAGAAGGAATAGAATACAATGCTTCCTCACCAGATGAGCTGGCACTTATAAATTTTGCTAAATTTTGTGGATTCGAGTATCTTGGAATTGACGAAGACAGTGTTATGAGAATTAAGTAAGAAAATATAATGCACAGATTTAAGGTATTGAATGTATTAGACTTTAATTCAGTAAGAAAGCGCATGAGTATTATTGTGGAAGATTCTAATGGCAAGATTTTCTTGTTTTGTAAAGGTGCAGACAGTGTCTTACAAAAGCTACTTGACTAAAAATTAAATGAAGATCATATAATAGAGTAGACATGGATTAACTTAGAAAGGTATTTATTTATTTATTTATAATAAATAATTACCAATTTTTTTATTTCTAATTAATTTAAAAATATAATTTTATTAGGTATGCATCTGTTGGTCTCCGTACTCTTGTTTTAGCATAAAAAGAAATTTAAAAAGATGAGTACCATTTATGGAATGAACAGTACTAAGTAGCATGCTGCAGCCTTAAAGACAGAGAAGAAGAAATGGAAAGGTTACAAAAAAAGATAGAAAAAAATCTTATCTTAGTAGGAGCTACTGCGATAGAAGATTAATTACAAGACGAAGTTTCTTCAACTATCTAGCTTATGAAGAAAGCTGGAATAAAAGTAAGATAATTATATAAATATAGATTTAGATTAATATTTAATAAATCATAAAAGGTTTGGGTGCTGACAGGAGATAAAGTTGAAACAGCAGTTAATATAGGCTACGCTTGCTCACTTTTGAATGATTAGTTAAGGAGAATTCTTGTTGATGGTTATAGTTTAGAAGAAGTATAAAAATCTTTACAGGCAGCTTACAAGTCTATCCTAAATGAAGTTGAAAATCATAACTAAACTATCCTTTAAAGCAATAGAAAAAAGTCATAAAAGAACGAAATGATAAAGAACTTTAGTTTAGATCTCGCTCTAATCCTGACAGGAGATGCTTTGATACACTGTACAGAAAATAAAGAGAATAATGAAACTCTAATGAAAATATCAGAACATTGTAAAGTAGTTCTTGCTTGTAGAGTTTCGCCTAAACAGAAGTAAGAAATTGTGCATTTAGTTAGAGTTGCTAAACCAGAGTCAACAACTTTAGCAATTGGAGATGGAGCTAATGATGTGAATATGATAAGTGCTGCTCATGTTGGTGTTGGCATTAGAGGAAAAGAAGGATAACAAGCAGCTAGAGCAAGCGATTTTGCTGTTGGAGAATTTAAAATATTAAAATCCTTACTTTTTAATCATGGAAGAGAATCTTATAGAAAAAATTCAACTTTGATATGCTACAATTTTTACAAAAATATGCTATTAGTCTTACCATAGTGGTGGTATGCCTTCATTAGTGGGTATTCGGGTTCTTCCATGTATGACCCTTGGATTTATTAACTTTATAATATGTGTTACACTTCTCTTCCAATTGTTGGTAAATAATAAATAAATTAACTTATTAATTCCTTTATTATTGAATAAGCTTTTAATAAATCAAAATAGAATTATTATTAATATTCAATTTATAAAAAAACAAATTTAATATTATTTATAATAAAGTATATGCTATTTTTGACCAAGAGTTTAGTGATGAATATTTGGTTGAAAATCCTGATCTTTATGTCCAAGGTATAAAAGGTTTACTTTTTAATCAAAGAGAATACTGGCTTTGGATAATAAATGGATCTTGGCATGCTTTCTTAAGTTGTTTCATAAGCTTTGTAGGTTTAGATGGAACATTTTAGGTTAATGGAAAAGATTTCTTTTTCTAAGCCACAGGAACTGTTACTTTCGGAGCTACTGTCTTCATTGGAAATTTAAAAGTTTATATTTTCAGCAACACTTACAACCCAGCTTTATTGATAAGTGTTTTTGGAAGTATTATCTTCTATATTTCAAATCATGGGCTGGCAAGCTATTTCTATGTCACATCTGATATATTCAATACTTTTTCAAACACTTATTCAAGCCCTTACTTTTGGTTTTGTTCAATAATAATTATAGGAATCGCTACTATATTTGATTCTACTGATAGAAGATGGGAATATTTTAGCTAAGTACTTAAAAGACAAGATGAAAAGAAATTAGCTTTACTTAATGAGGCTCTAACATATTAATAAAATGAAGGATTAAATCTTGAAGGTTCAAAAAGTAATTCAGCAGAAAATAAAAATTATTAACAAGAAAACAGAGACGAGATTATAACGTGTGTTGGGATGCTCAAAAATGGATACTAAACTTAAGAACCAATAAATCTAAAGTAGCACAAGCCTCTATATGGAGAAGAAGAAAAGGTGCCTTCCAGCGAATCTCTTAGCAATCCTCCTTATCCAAATAAATCCGCTAAGACTGTATCTAACCATTAAAATTCCCACATGAATTCTAATTATCTTACTAGCACTAAGCCATACACAGGATATGCTTTTTCTCAAATAGAGCCCATCACAGAAGCTTAATAAAAGTATACTTACTGAATTTACTAAATATTTAGTTTTTTATTACTAAATATAATAAATAAAAAAAACTTAAACTCACTCATAGTCAGTCATATTTCATTTGATTATATTTAGCTTTTTCATTTTGAATGAGCAATTTTAGAATTGCATTAATTTATTTTTGATAAATTATTGAAGATTTATTAAAAATGAATAAGTACCTTCAATCTTATTGCTTATCTTTCTTGAGCAAACTTAAATAATTTTCTTAAATATATAATTCTAATATACTTTTTTGTAAAACAAAAATCCATACTTAAATAATAAAATAATTATAGATAAATAAATAAATAACTAAAATATAAAAAGGTTAAGAATATTCAATTAAAAACATCTTCTAAATCATCAAAAATATTACTATGTTTTTGTTCTTTGATTTATACACACTATATATTTGCTACTTTGAACCTTATCGAATTTTATAAAATCAAATTTTTTATTAAAAAGTAATTTTTTTATATTTATTATATGCTCTGCTTATTTCTTTTTAAAATTAATATTTTATATTTTTATCTTCAAATAAATTATTATTATTTAAGTTATAATTAGTAAATAAAGTACATATTAAGGCAGTTGTAGATATTTTATTTTTTTTAAAGTTTAAATAAAAATTAGTGTTTTCAATATTTATTTTTTTTAAAAGATAAAACCTAAGTTTATTAATTTAATATCAGAATAATTGTATTTTAATAAATTCATTATTCTTTTTTTGATCTAAAAGTGAAATTCCAGTATGTGTTTTAAAATTTGTTAATCATGATTGTTAAATATATTAAATTGTCTTTTCTTTGAAATATTTTCATAAGCTTTTAAATAAACTTGATTATTTAGCTATTTTAAAGTTGATACAATTATAAAAATATTCATTTTTTTAAGATAAAGTTAAAAAATAAATTATAAAGAAAAAAGCCTCATTTTTGAAGAAAAAAATAATTTACTTGCTTTCTGATTTTTAAAAATATTATATTTTTTCTATTATAATCTAAATTAATTTTCTCTAAAATTGCTAATCAAAAGTTTATTTAGAAGCTTAATAAATATTTAAATGTTTTTAATACAATGTAACTATATAAAAATATTTTTTATCTCATTAAAAAGGTGTTTTCTAAAATATAATTTAATATTCTAAAATTTATTATCAATTATATATTAAAAAGCTTTCTTTAAATATTCTAGTAATACTCAATCAAATATTCTTCATTCTAGAAATATCTATAAAAATATATCTTAAGAAAGTTTAGAAATTTCTAAAAACTCCAAAATATTCTATTTCAAATTTATTTATGAATAATAAATAAATAAAATGGAAAAAAAAATTATTAATCTTCTATTTAAGGATTAAATTTAGAATAAAATAAATTTTAGAAACTAATTTAAATATTTTTAATATTAAAATATAAAATTTTAGTAAAAGAATTATGTATAAAACGATAGTGCATCATTTATTTATTCACTTCCTCTAGCAGAAAAAAGAATTTTTATTAAAATAGACATTATTAGAAAAGAAAATTATTAATTCTTTTATCACGTCTGATAAGCAAACCTAATAGACTATTTATTTATTTATTTAATCAGAAATGTATTTTATTTTATTGGCTATTAAATAATTTTGATTTCAAAATATAACTATAATTTATAAATTATCAAAAACAATCTATAAATTGTAAAAAATGAGGGTCTTCTTTATATTTAGCAAACTTATAAAATGATCGATGTAAATATATTGTAATCAATTACTACTGGTTCTTTAGAAACCTAAATTTACGAAGTTTACTTGAGCAAATCTTCCTAAAGTACAAATCAAAACAATAAATTTTTTTTAAACGCTCAAGAGGGTTATTACATTGGTAAATCTATTTCAAAATCTTGCAACTTCTCCTTAAAGCTACTTGATAATGAAATTAATATTTTAAAAGAGCTCAATAATGATTATATCATTAAGGCTATTGGGTTACATGAAACTTAATAAAGTAAAATGTTAGTTTTAGAAAGCTATTATTGTGATTTAAGTGATTTCATAGCTTAAAATTCTACTCCTCTTCCTACTTTTAGCTTATTCGATTTGAGATATATGATATCTGATATTGCAAAAGGTTTAGAATATTTACACTCAAAGCAAATATCGCATAATGACATCAAACCATCTAACATATTGCTTGATGAAAGTTGCAATGTAGTACTTAGTGATTTCGGTACAGCCTCAATGTCAGAAGGCCAATCTTCAGAGCACTTAAATTATATTACTTCTATTATGAATAAGACTTATCTAGCACCTGAAATCAATGGCTTGGCTGAATAAAAAATTATTCATTTTAATCCTTTTAAATCAGATATTTTTTCTTTTGGATTAACTATCTTTTCTTTAATGTTTGGTGGGCAATTACCTTATGAATCAGATTAATACAGAAATTATGACAAAAAGTTTAAACTCTTACACAGCAATCCTGATCTCTTTTTTGCTAGATAAGAATATGAATAATACATCTAATATTGGAAGTAATAAAAAGAATTCAAATATTCTTTATTCGTAGAATTCATTCAAAGTATTCTTAATCCTGATCCTCTCAAAAGAATGACAGCTAGTTAAGTTTTAGACCACTAATGGCTTGAAAACTTTTGAAATTTACCCTTTAAAACAAAAAATTGTGCATATCTTTTCAATAATTTCCTTAACAAATAATTATATTTTTAAGTTAACAAATTGTTATTTATTTAATTTATCTTCATTTTTTTAATTCTAATAAAGTGTACTTACTTGTTGTATATTCTTAGTGTCTAATAATTTTTTTAATAAAGATAATTCAATGAAAAATTAGGTTCAAAGCTATATTTATTCCATACTATATATAAAACTATTTTAAATATATAAACAAAATATATTTAAATATAATTGAATTTTGATTTAATTAAAATAAAAAATTAAATATTTTTAAAAATGCTTTATTTTACATCATATTAACCAGCTGCTCAAGCTAATTCTTAAGATATTTAGTTAGTAGTAATTAATCCTTACTCTTAGAATTTATATGACTTTGATAATGATTTGCAAAAGGCGCTTGACAATATAAATAAACAAAAATTGAATTCAGAATAAAAAGTAAATTAAGTAGATAATTAATAATATCAGATTGTTTTAGAAATAGAAAAAATTAAATATAGAATTGATTCCTAAAAGCGTCTTTTAAAACTTTTAGATATTTTTAAGAAAAACAGTTTTCCTTTCACTTTGAGAATTGTTTTAAATGGAGAACAAGTCATTTAGGAAGATGAAATCAATATCCTTAAAGAAGTTTTGTAAACAAAATCTTGTTTCACATAAGTTGAAATCTGGGTGAATTAGATAGACAATTAATATGATTGGAATTTGATTGATCTCCTTTAGTTTAAATAAGTTGGGACATTAATACTTAGAATAGATAAATATTGTTTGCAGTCTCTAAGATCGCTATCTTAGTATTCTCATAAAATTAGGGTGCTATCTAAAGCAAAATTTATTCTTAAAGAGGATATTCCTTTCAAACTCTTTGAAATTTTTGCATGGCCTGCTAAAATATAATTAGAAATTGAAGAGTCATAAAGACAATATTCTACTTTAAAGCTCAATTTTTTGTCTCACTTAAAGTATATTAATTAGCTAGAAATAACTTATATTGACAACACAAGTTATTCCACACAAAGTATAGTTTTGCCAATTCTAACTAGTTAGATATCCTAAATTTAAAAAGTAGATAGAATAAACTTTTTTTATCAAGAGCAATTCTCTTCTTCATTGCATCCAAGCATTTTACAAAAAGTACTAGATAATAGAAATTTAGTTGATTTTTCACTATTTCTACCTTATGAAAGATACTTAACATAAACAACTAAATTTTAAAAGTTTAGTGCAGAAAAGGAATTTTACCAAACCTTATCTACAAGAAACCTGCTCGATATTTCCCTTACGATAACTGTAAACTAAATAATATAGCTTTTTGAAATATTCAAGAGGCAGTAAAGCTATGTCAAGCTTGTGATTAAAGTAATACCTAATTAGTTTAACTTATATCCCTAAACATTTTCAAAGGAAAAAGATGATGAAATCAATATGATAAATGTTCTAAATTAATAGTAAGTTGAATAAGTGAGTATTAATAACCTAACTCTTGCTTGTAGTTAGAGCTTTAGCTACGATAATAGAAAAACTTTTTATAATAGGTTTGCAATTTTGTGCATTTATATTTTAAGTTCTAAAATAACTAAGCTGAACCTGAGCATTCAGTCTATTATGGAAGGAGACTTAGAAAAACTTTCAAAAAAAATTAGAATAAACAACCAATTAAAACACTTTTAAATAAAATTTGAACAAAAAGTAGTTTTCAATACGAATACAATTATGCATCTTGCAAATTCAAATATACAAACAATGAGTTGCTTTGTAAATAAAAATAGCTATCAATTCTTTTATCAGCTATTTTTAAATCTAAAATCGCTTTAAGCTTTACATCTTAAAATTGATTAAATCCCAAATATAAATGACAAATTTTTTGGATTGAATATTCCTTATATTTATCTGCAAGTCAATTAATAACTGAATCCAAAGTAAAAAATGGCAATATTTATGAATAAAAATATATTCTTATTTTTCAACACTTCTGAAGGACAAAAACGAACCATTTTTTCTTAAATTTATTATAATAATATTTCTTTGCTATTCTCCCTAAATGCTATAAATAAGAAATGCTTGTTTTCTGCTGAAAAATAGATTTTTAAAACTTCTTTGCTTGAATTGCTTTAACAATGATAAAGTTTTTAAATATAGAAATTCCTAAACTGTATCTCATAATGACTACTTATTAATTAATTATTGATCTAAGTATATGTATATTTATTTATTTATTGATTTATGTTGCTGATTTTGAGTAAATGTTAGAACAATTTTCAAAAACTCTAATATTTAGTTAAGCAGATAATTTAAATAGTGGACCATCATTATAAATTTTTGTATCTTCAGAATATAAATCTAATATTTTTTATAAATTTTTTAGATAGATCACTTGGCAATCTATAAATTATAAAAACCTAATTATCATAAAATTTGATTCACATATCTACCTCTTTAATTTCAAAAAATAAATAAAGCAAAACAAAATATAAATAAACACATAACCAAAAAATGTCAGGCTGGGACGATTTTTAAGAACTTCCTCAATAACCAAATCAAAAGAATAATCAAAATAGGAACCAAAATAATTAAAACAAAAATAACTACAACAATAACAATCGTAATTCTAATAATAACAACAATAGAAACTATAACAACAATATCAGCTCTTAGCAAAATTAAGGAAGCAATCAAGGATACAAATAATAGCAAAAGCCCGTTTATGTTGAAAGTAATTAATTTTTATACTAAAATATTTTATTAATGATTTGAAAAATAACTTTTCTTAATATAGAACAAGAAGATTAACCAAGAAGATTTTAGTTTTTTAATAGCAGCAAAAATAAACCTGATTAACAAAAAGATAACATACCTTAGGATTAAGTAGAGGAGAAAAAAGTTAACTCAGAAAATACCCAAGTTGAAAGCTCTAGTTAAAAGTAAGTTTCCTAGTTGCCTACATTATCATCTGTTTAATAGTAGTAGTAGCAATAGCCATAATAGTAGTAATAGCAACAGTAAGCTACTAAAGTATACGAAGTAGTAAATGCTAACTACAATGCTCCTCATAAAATCCTAATCAGATCAAAAGAAGGAATTTATGAGACAAGTTGTTATTCTTAATCTATGATTAATGAAAAAAAGGTTTTAACAGGACCAGCAGATTTTATGTGTCTATCAAAAGACGAGCAATATATTTTAGTAACTTTAGATACAGTAGTTAAGGTCATTAAAATTAGCGACAACTCAGTTGTTAGCTAAAGAGAATTTGTTTCTATCAAACACACTAATCTTTCTTAGAACAATAAATACATTTAGGTTTTGGACAGAATTGACAACAACAAATACACTTCATATGTCTTCTCCTTCCCCGATTTTAAGCTTGTATAATCTTATACATTTGCCAAAAAATTATTAAATATTTTAATATTTGATATTTTTTTTCAGCTAGACAACAAATTACTTACTATATTTTTAAAAATAGTTGAAAGAATTCAATGAGAAGAGATACATTAAGGAAAACGCTCCTTATGTTAAATTTAATAAATAAGAGACAAAAGCTTTTTATTACAATTACTCCACTGGGTTCATTGAAGTATATGAAACACCTGATTTTTCCAAAATTGTTTAGTAAGCAGAAATGTAAAACTTAGATTTCTTCTAAGTATCACCTGAACATGATTTTATTGTTGGTTGTTTCCTTGAAGTAAATAATATTTGAACTCATTAATTAATATATTAACTGATTGTTTATAGCATATGGTAGGTTATGAAAAGACTCAAGCTAAATTATAATTTTATAACTTGGAAAAAGATAAGAGAGAAAAAGTGAAAAATATTGAAAAAGCTTAAGAAATTAATATAAAATGGTCACCTGATGGTAACAATTGTATATTGACTACTTAAACAATTCACGATTCTACAGGTAATACTTATTATGGTTAAACTGCCTTGTGGAGATATCAATTTGGTAAAAAATACCTTCACCAAATTCCAACTATTGATGTAATACATTTTCATATTTGCTTAACTTAATGAAATTCATTTTAAATTTATTAATTAATTTTTTAAAAATTATTTTAAATTATTTTAGGGCCCTGTCCATGATGTTGATTGGCATCCTAACGGAGAATAGTTTATTGCTATTGTTGGTTATATGCCTGCAAAGCCTATTCTTTACAATCTCCGTTGCGAGCCCTTATTTTCATTTGGTACAATGCACAGAAATACTATTCGTTTCTAGCCATAAGGAAGATTTGTACTTTTTGGTGGTTTTGGTAATATTTCTGGTGATGTTGATGTTTGGGAGTTAAATTCATTAGAAAAATTAGCTAAATTTAATTCAAATACCTCAGCTTCTATCGAATGGTCATTAGATGGAAAACACGTATTTATTAAAATTTCTTCAATATTTAATAATAAATATTTTTTTTATTAATGAATAATCAGATTTTGACTGGAGTTCTTACCCCAAGATTAAGAGTTGACAATAACTTTAAATTATTTAAATGGAATGGTGAACTCATTAATACTTGTAATTTCTCTCATACTGAATTGTATGAAGTTGTTTGGAAAAAGAATTAACAGTATACTGATATGACACCTATTCCTGAAAACGAAATTACTAATGAATTGAACAAACAGAGACAAATCACTAAATCTTAAACCAGTAAGAGACCTTTATTCGGAGGTGGATCATTTGCCGAAAGTCTTAGAAATGAAAGAGGTGAAGAAGGCCCAAAGAAGTTAACTGGAGAAGAAGAGTGGGTGATAAAGGCAAAAAATGAAGCCAAAAAAAATAATAAATGATTTTATTAATTTGAAAATAATATTTTTTATTATAATATTTAATTAATTTTAATTCGTATTTATAATTTCCTATCATTGGTTTTAGTCTTTAATTTAATTGAAATATCTAGTCGATAAATAATTTATAGTTATAGTAAAATTAATGCTAGAACTAAAGTTTGCAAATGAATAAATAAATAAGCAAGCTAATGGCATCAAAATAAAAACAAAAAATTTATTCTTATAAGAGAAAATTATTTTATCACATTTTTATGAAAAATTTAGTTAAAAAAAATTAATATTTTAATAAGATGTTTGCTAAAAAAATAAAACTTTATGAATTTAAACATATCAAAAATCTTAAGATTTGATTTATTTATTATCAATAGAAGAATCTAAAAGATTTTTAGTAAAAATAAATAATAAAATAATCATAGAAATCAATCAAAAAGGATAAAATTCATAGAATTAATTAATTTGTTTTGTTAGTTGCTTTTGATTTTTTTAATATTTTTGAATTTGTGTTTTTTGTTTCAATAAGTAGGACTATAATCATTAATTAAAATATAAGATAGTTAATAATTTTTCTAACTTTAGCCAACTTTAATTAAACCAAATATATAGTATAAATGGGAATAAAAGGAGTAGTTTTAATAGGAGGACCTTATAAAAGTAATTAGTTAGCACCCTTTACTAGCAGTTAGCCCGCTCCATTATTTCCAAGTAATTTTAGAAAAAATATTTGTGATGATTAATGATTATTATATTTGAATTAAGCAATGTTTGTAATATTATAATTGTAAACAGTTTTACTCATATAACTCTTATAAATAAGTTGCAGGAGTAGAATTGATATATCACCATATTTTTGCATTGTCTTAACTTAAATCGATCACACATATTTACCTGATTGGACTGTATACCTAAAATTAAATTTAGTAGTTTATCTTAAAATGCAGAGCAGAATACAAAAATATATCATTTGAGTAATAATTAATATTTTAATGCAAGTTGAGAATAAAATAATAATTTTTATATCTATTATATAGATATCTTTATGAAGAAGAAGAAAAAGGTACAGCAGGCAGTCTTTATTAATTTAAAAACAATTTATTTTGCAAAGAAACGTAAAATTTTATTTAATTATTTAGGTTAAATACTAATTTATCTGCTCTTAAAGTTTATATTAATGCCTACCATACAAATAATTTTATAATTTAATTAAAATTTATTTTTTTAGAGCGAAAAAAATTTATTAAATTAAAAGAATATGTATGTTTTTTAACTTACAAATTTTAAAAAAGAGAAAGTGTCATTCTAATAAATGGAGATATTGCACATAATATAAACCTTTAAGATTTCGTTGATTTTCATAAATCCCTGAAAAACTCTGCATGCACAATCGGAGCTAAACAAAAAGAAGAGCATGAAGACCTATAAAAATATGGCTGTATTATTAAAAATGAATAAACTAAATGTAATTTATTTAATCAAACATATTTAAATTTATAAACATTGTTTTTTTTATTTATTATATTAGAGCTTGTTCATTATGTAGAAAAACCAGATAATTATGTCTCTGAGTTTCTTATAAATACTGGAATTTATATACTTTCCCCTCTTTTTAGTTAGATATTAGATTATTCTAAGTAAATTAGAAATAGCTCTCTTTTATAAATGTATCCTGAGCATCTCTTATAAAAGCTGTATATCAAAACAAATTATTCTAATTTAAGTAATTAATCATGAAATATAATTAATTAATTAGACACTCTCCTTTATAAAACAATAAGTGGCTTAGCTTAGAAAGTGATGTAATTTCAACTAATATTACAAGTGGATAAATATATGTCTATGAAATTCCTTAGCAAAAGAACTTCTTTTGGACACAAGTTAAATCTCCTATGTAATTTAATTAGAAATTTAGAATATCTAATATATCAATTATTTCTATTTTTAGAGATGTACTTAGGGCTTAAAAGTTTTTATTAAATACATTGAACGTAAACTGCTAAATTTGGAATAAAAGTTATCATTAAAACTGGGAACATAGATAAGAAAGTGTCTTAATTGATACTTTATCATCAATAGATTAATCTGCTGATATAGGCCCTAATGTAGTTATATGTACAGGAGTTACAATCGGAAAAGGTGTTAGAATAAAAAACTCTATTATTTTAGAGGGTTCAATCATAAAAGTAATTATCTAAAATTTTAATATATTCTAAAGATTTAAATATTATAGGATCACAGTTTTATAAGCGACAGTATTATAGGATGGCATAGTGAATTAGGGTATTGGAGCAGAGTAGAAGGCACTCCTGATGAAAAAGTTACTATATTAGGATGTGGTGTTAAGGTAGGTAATGAAGTTTCAATAAGAAACTGTGTTGTTTTAAAATAATAGTATTTATCTAGAAATTATAATGATTAATATATTATTTGCTGAAAAAACTATTAATGAATGTGCTAAGAATAAATAATAAGGATTTAAATAGATTCCATTGAACAATTTTTTTTTGATAAAAACAAGAGAAAATAGAAATTAATTGTACATAATCTTAATAAAATATATCTTAACCTATTTAAATAATAATAAAATGCAATAAAACTTACTATAATTTATATCATATTAATATTTACAGTAATTAATTAATTAAATTTAAATTAATTTTCTAAATTTTGAATTCATCAAATACAAAAGAAAACTTTTGTTACTTTTATATGAAATTCACTTTTTTTTGTATTATTTTTGTAAGATGTTAATTTAAAGTAATAATAATAAAAATATTAAATTAAAAAAATTAATTGTATCCTATACAATAATAACCCACTAAAAATTATATTTTTAGTTTTGAGTGGTTAAAGAATTATTTTTATGGTTTAAATAAAAAAAAATGTATTTCTCATTCAATTCTCAAGATTTTGAAAATGGCTAGGATTTATAAAAATTATTTAACAAATCAAATATTAAAACTTTATGCAGGTTTTAGTGAAATCCTTTTAAATATTATTAAAACATTTACATATTGTGGATATTATTATTTATTATTATTACTATTAAAGTTTTAAACACAAAGCATATTTTAGAATCAGAAATTAGCTTAACTAATTATTAGAATTTTAATAATTAGCATGAGGTTTTGTAAAATTGTTGTATTCAAGATAAGATTTAGCGGCAAATTATTATAAAAATTTGAATTTTTAATATAAAAAAAGAAATAATATTTCAAACAATAAGTTAATAATTAAAAGATACTCACTATTAATTTATATTATAATTAATTATTAAATACTGCGCAAAATAAACAAATTACTATCTTTTGTAAAAATAAATGAGCATTAAATCAATATCTATAGAAAAATTTAAAAGTTACTCTAACTGCAAGATAGAAGGACTCTCTGACAATATAAATATTCTGTATGGCAAGAATGGTTCTGGAAAATCTAATTTGTTGGCTGGTACATAAAAAATATTACTTAGAAATTTAGCTTTTAATATATTTTTTTTGCTAAAATTAGCTTTATCATTTATAAGTTCTGATTAGTACGATAGAGCTGATCGAGCATAATTAATGAAAGTAATATATATTTTCATAAATAAATTCTAAATTAAGAACTAACCTATTTTTATTTTATATAGAATTATAAAGAAGGTGATCCTAAGGTCGAAATAGAGTTAGATAATTTAGTTAAAATAGATAAAAAAGATATGGAAGATGAGCCAAAAGCACAAAAAGTTATTCCTGTACTCTTTTTTATGAGTTTTATTAATTTAATTATTTTGTATTATTGTTCAAATTGATGAAAAATGTTAATTTTTATTTAATATTCTTATTTAGACCAGCGGTGATAGTGTTTTATTAAGTAGAACTTTAGAGTAAAGGGAGAATGTTTATAGGGTAGATGATAGAGTTGTTAATTTAAATTAGTTTAATAATATTTTTGAGTGCTTTGGTCTTTCAAGAAAGAATCCTTTTACAATAGTTGCATAAAATAGAATTTAAGAAATATCAAACATGAGTGATTCAGAAATCTATAAGTTGTTACAGCAAGTAGCTGGAATAGAAGCTTTTATGAATAAATAAGAAAAAGCAGAAGAGCTTTTCGAAAAAGCTTGTAATTTTTTATTTTAATACTAAATAATAATATGAAGGAAATATAATTTTAAAGAGAGAGAAAAGGAAGGCATAGATTAATCCTTACAAGAAATAGAAGATAAAATAAGCTAGTTAAGTGGTGAGAAAGAATAGTATGCACAAAATTAAGAATAGGAAATTATTATATAAAGGTATAAAAAACATTATTGCCTTTGAAAATATAAATATGTTTTTTTAATATTTTATTAGCTTGTAATCTATCTATTATGATAAATTGAAAGAAGAGCTTTAAAAGAAGAAATTAGAATGCAACAAAGAAATCAATAATCAAAAATTGTAAGAAGAGAAGTAAAAGCTTCAGGATTTATAAAATTAGAAAGAAGCTAAAAATGAAGAACTATTAAGATTTAAAGAAAAATTGCAAAGATTAACAGTTATAGAAGAGCAAGTAAAATCAGATTAAATGAATCTTTAAAACAAAGTCAACAGTCTTGAGTAGAATATCTAAAAATTAAAATCAATAAAAACTAACAAAGATGAAAAAGAAATTGAAGCAAGATTAAAAGAAGTTAATATTTAATGCACTAAATTATAAAAAGATCTTGATGAAGTCATTGATAAAATAACAAATGAAAAAGATGGGTAAATAAATCATTTTAATATGAATAAAAAAATTTTTATTGATGTTTAATTTTGATAAAGGATTGACACCAAGCAGTAAGAATATGAGCAATTAGTCTTAAGAGAAAAGTTTAAAACTTAGTAAGAAAAGCAAAGCTATTTTAATCAGAGAATCCAAGACATTAAACAAAGTATTAGTGAAAAATCATAAACTTAACAGAATCTTAAAGAGAAAGTGAAAAAATCTGAATAAAGACTAAACTTAGTTAATTAAGAAATTGAAAAATTGTAAAATCAAATAAATAGTTTTTAAACTGAATCCAATAAGGCACAAAAAACTATAAATGGTAATTAATTAATTAAAATATTTAAATTATTTTTATTAACTTAAAATTAGATAAAAAGAATTAAATCTAAAAATTGAGACAAGAGTAGCTTGAAAAGAGAAAGACAATTAATGATAAAAAAATAGAGTTGGAAGATTTAAACAACTAAATAAAAAAGAGAGTTGATGATATACAAAAGTAGTTGAAATCAGGATTAATCCAAGCAATTGAGCAAATCGAGGAATCAATATAAAAAGAAGGTATTTAGGGATATAAAGGACTGCTTATAGATCATCTTTAATTTAATTCTGCACTTACTTATGCATATGATATTGCTCAAAAAGGTATTTCACATTTTTTATTTTTCTTGCAAATATTTATTTTTTTATAAACTTATTGCTAGGAAAATTATTTTCTTTGATAGTCGATAATCAAAATACTGCCTCTTTAATAATTGATATTGTTAAGAAATTGAAGATTAAAACATCAAATTTAAATATTATTCCCCTAGATTGGGTTGAAGATGATATTGATGATGAAAAAGAAAACTAAATTGCAGGATTCGGATTTTAAAAGCTATTTGATACTAGGTATGTTAAGGCAAAAGGAGATCATGCAGATGATATAAAAAGGTTAGCTAAGAATATTTTTGAAAAATATGGTGTAATTAAAGAGTATGAACATGCCCTAGAGGTAGCATCTTAATTTAAAGTAAACTGCATTACAGAGAAGAGATAAATTGTTTATAGTGGAGGTTTTATTTCTCATGTTGGTTTTTGTACTGTGGCTAAAGTAGATAAAATAACACTTTACAATGAATACAAAAGCTTTAAAGCTAAGAAAGATGCTATTGCTAAAGAAATAGAGCAACTAGAGAAGTCTATGAATGATATTTAATTGTAATAAAATGATATAAATTCAAATGTAAGCAAAGAATAAGCTAGCTTAGCAAAATAGAGTAACACTATATTTATGAATCGTTAACTAATTAAATCATCTGAAGTAGAGAAAAAAGTATTGACTGATGAGTTAAACGAAACAAATTAACTCCTATAGTCTTTTTCTTAATAACTTAAAGATTTAGAATAAGAGAAAATAGGTTTAGAAAATACTAGCAAATCCTCTAAATTTGAACCCTTGAATTAAGAGGACAAGTAAAAAATGTATAAACTATAAGAAGAAATTAAGTCTAAAACTACTGTTTTGTAAAAATCTCTGAAAGAAAAGTAAAATGTAGAAAAAGAGTATAACAAGTATAGAAATGAAGAATAATAGCTAACTAATCATTTATCCCAATTATCAGAAGGTGGTGGTATGAAAGATGGTGAAGTCTTATTTTAAAGCATTGATCAAAGAATAAGTTCTTCAGAGTAAGACCTCAAACATCAAGAAAGTATTCTCAAAGCTTAAAAAGCAATTGTGGAAAAAGCTACACAAAGTAAGAAAACACTCGAAGAATAAATAAAAAAGATTGAGGGAGAAAGCTAAGATAAGCTGAAAGAGCAAATTCAAAGCTAGTAAGAACTTTGCAATAATTTAGAATAATAAATCAGTGCTTTACTTCTCCGTAAACAACAATATATTTCAAAAGAGTACGAAATAGATTAAAAAAAGGAATTACTAGTAGTAAGCCCTGATTTTATCCAAAAAAATTCTCATCTTTCTAAAGATAATTTAAAAGATAAGCTGAATAGAATTACTTAATAAACAACCATTAAGAAATACACAGCAAAAGATAAAATTCTATTTGAAAAATTAAAAGATTTGGACGAGAAATATGAAGAATACAAATCCAAATACACTGAATTAACAAAAAATGAAGAATAAGCCAAAAATCTAATTGATTAATTTAAATCAAAATGTGAATAAACTATTAAAATGGCATTTTCTAAGTTTGAGCATTATATGAAAAATTATTTCAAATAAATATCTTCTGCAGGTACAATAGACGTTAAACTTATGCATAATCATGAAATCAGTATATCAGTTGCTTTTAAATAAACTACAAATGGTATTTTTAAAGCATCAAAAAAAAGTATTTAACAAAATATTTATTATATTAGAAACAAAAAAGACAAATAGAAAAGAGCTAAGTGGAGGAGAAAAGAGTTGTCTTGCTATTCTTATTTTAATGGCTCTATAGAGATGTGATCCAGCTCCATACTATATATTTGATGAATTTGATGCAGCATTAGACGCTGGTTATATTAGACCTATTGCAAAGATGTAAGTTAATTTTTAATTAAGTATTAAATTAATAACACATACTTATTTATTTATTTACTATTACGCAAAAGAATATCTGAAAATAGCTAAAAGTCTTAATTTTTAATTGTTTCACACAAGTTTGAATTTTTATAAGCTTTACAACAAGAAAATTGTAAGTGCTTCTAGGTAAATATTGAATTTCAATTACTCTATTAAAATTAATTTAAATAATAGATATCACTAAAAGACAAAATAAGCGAGATAGAAGAGAAGACTTTATCAGCTGCAATAAATTTTGTTAAAAATGGTTGAAAATGTGTTAAAAAGATAAATAGTTTTTCCAAAAATTAGTCTCCATATAATTAATTATAAATTAAAATATTTTTCCATATATTTATTAACTGTATGTAATTTTAATCTAAATCATCAAATAGAGCATTCATTTTTTTTTTTAGCTTACAAAATTTGTGGCTTATAATTCAATCTTATTTATTTAATTAATTTTAATTAAGAAGCTGCTTAATTTTCTTGTGTTTATTTATGATTGATACTAGTTTTCTTATTATCTTCTTAATTAAGTATGCTTGCATTGGTTTTTAGCAAATAAATAACCTGATTTATTTAAAATTAATTGATCATAATTTTTTACTCTTTTAATCCATAAAAGAATCAATAGATTATAATATAATTTATATTTATTTCAAAAATTAATTAAAAAGAAAATGATTGTCTTAAGTGCAATTAAGAGTATCGATATATTTGGGAGACCAATATGTCTAAATTACAAATCACGTGATTATTTTAGGTCTTACTTTGGAGGATTCACTACACTTGCTCTTATAGCCTTCTTAATATATTATTCAAGAAATGGTATGATAAGAAAAAATTATAAATTGTATTTTTCATTTTTTTCAATTAGTGTTTAATTTTAACTTAATATTTAATTCATTCTTTCATTATTTTTTTTCATTTATATATTAATAATTTTAGGTTTAGAAAATGTATTACAGAGATAAAGTGTAAATTATAATCTAGTAACTTCTAAATCAGATAATCCAGATTTAATTTAACTAAGTTCAAACTAATTCATGTTTGCTATCAGGATTCAACAAACTAACTTCTTGAAAAACCCTTTTCTTAATTTAACAGTTCTTTAAACGTACTTTTTTATATAAATAATTTCTTAAGTTATTTGTTTTAAAAGTAATTAAACAATAGATTCTCAAGGAAATAGCACTAGAACTCATTCTATAATCAGGATGGTACCATGTACTTTAGAGCATTGGCAAAACTTTCTTGATCCTGAAGATGGTGATTTTCAAACTATTTTAAATAGATACAGCATAAATGATGCTTTATGTCCATCGTAAAAAATATATAAATATTTTTCATTTGAATTAAAACACTGAAATTTTAATAAAATCACATAAATACTTAAGTATTTTTATAATCTTACTTTGATAAGTCTTTCTTCTAACTGGCTTCTACTGTTTTGAAAGCATAAGCAGCGTTACAATGATTTACTAACTTATTTGTGTTTATTACTCTTAAATTATTCAAAAATAAGATTTTTTTAAAAAAGAAATCTCAGCAGTTTATTTATTTAATTAAATAATTTCCCACCTTAAATTATTAGCTATTAAAAATTGATTGATGAAATATTACTTAATTAGTTTGAAGGAATTTGCTATTAATTCAGGCTAAATTTATTTTTACTTTAATTTTAAATTAATTCTTGAAACAATTTTTCTTTATTTTACCATTTTTATTATTTTAAAAAATAAAGTATTGAAGACAGTAAGCTAATCTATGTCTAAGGAACCTATTTTAATGTAAATTTTAACTATTTAAGGATTGCGTTTACTACCTGTACAAGCAACATTACAAATTGCAAAACAGATGCGTAACTGTAAGCTTAAATTAATTCGGCTGGGTAAATAAGGGCCTAGATTTTCTTTCCCTCAGTTACAATTAATCCAAGCTAAGAGAAGTATTATAAAAAATCAATCGATGATAGCTATTAATATACTTTTATTCCTAATACCAATGTTGTAACTTCTGATATTTTTGTTTAAGTAACAAGTTTAAAAATGAACTAATTAATTATAATCTTATTCAATTTAAAGAAAAGCTTTATACAGACTGATGAATCTCTTATCAGCTCCTCTAGTGAAAGTAGTAAGAGATTAGATATATTCACAAACATAGAGAATAGGTTCAATCTTTAGTATTAATAAGGAAAAAAGAATGGAGATTAAGCAGTTTTCTACTTAAGAAGAAGTCTAATTACTTACAATTATGATAGATCTTTTAAAAGCCTTTAGTCCTTTCTTTCAGAACTGGGAGGTATTGCTTAAGTCTTTATATCAGCTCTTAGTATTTTTTTCTTCATGTTTTATGGTACACTCTTTAAAGTTTAACTCATAAATGAACTATATGACATAGATCTGAAGAGTAAATAATACATAAAAAGTGATAAATAGTTAGTTTCAAATAACGAAACAGATGGGTAAAACAAAATACCCTTGTCTAGCCAGAAAAAAAATAATATTAATAACCAAGAGATTCGATCTTCTTTTAAAAAATAACATACGAATATATTTAATTTTGAGGATGAGAATTAAATTGCATAGACAACTGAAAAACGTCATCAAAATGATGCAAATTAAAATTAATCACCTGATATTATTATACAATAGCACAAAAACTCAATAAAATATAATAATTAAATATAATCTGATTAAGAAACAATTGAACATCAGCTTTTTAGCAGTAGAAAAACTTTAGAATCTACAGAAAAAACTAATTTACTTTGGGTAAAATTTAACAATATGTTAAATTAATACCAAAAAGTTAAATTATCTTTTAAGCTTTTTCTTCATTTGCTAACATGCAAAAAATACTTTAAAGACAATTTATTTCCACTATTTTCCAAATCTCTTGTTCACATAAACGAAGATCTAGACATTTCAACTATTTTGTATAAACTCTAAGAGATAGAAAAGCTAAAAACTATTTTATTAGATGAAAATTAAAGAAATCTATTTTCCTTTTTCCCAAAACCTCTAATTAAGCTAAATGAGCCTCTGTAAAGAAAGTAATCATATCATGGCTCGCCAAAATAAGTTCTGAGTTTATGGAAATCTAAAATTTAAGAAGATCTCAAATAATCCTAAAAAATCAATGAAACTCCAGCCAATAAGTTGAGAAAAAGGTCAACAATAGTAAAAAAAGAAGAAATAAATTAATAGCATTTATTTACTGCTCCAAAACACTTTACAGAGTTAGAAAGCTTCCGTTTGTTATATTAGGCTTATTTATAAATAATTTTATGCTAGGAGCCTGCATCTTAAAATTTAAAGTAATTAAATAGATTAAATAAACTAATTATTCAATTTTAAAATTCCTTTCATCTATAATATTTTATTTAAATTCTACTTTGAATTTTTTGACCCGTTTTAAAATTAATTTTTAATTTAAAAAGAATTAATGAGAGATTAATTGCTTCTCTAGGATAAGACCTTCTGGATATATTTAAAATATAAAATGAGGAAAACCAATCTAAGTTTCAATCTATTTTAAAATCTCCGTCAAAATCTCCCAATTTTAGATAAATGTAAAGAAAGCTGTTTAGAAATTTTTCTTCTAAAATAACTGATTCAATATCTATACCTGACGATGAATATGATATAAATGAATAGAAAGAAATAAAAATAGTAGATACTAATTACAACAATGAAAATAAATATTCAGAATAATTTAATGCGACAAATTAAAACAATTTTATAACAAATTTTTATTCTGATCAAAACAATAAAACAGAAGCAATATTTTCAAACTAAGATACTTAATAAAACCTAAATTAAAATAATGAACATAAAGGAAAAAGCAAATAAATATTTTAACTTAAGGATATTTATGCATTCAAAAATAAAAGTAATAGTAAGAATACTGAGCAAGAGCAATGAAAGAAACAAAATAATTAAGAATATTGTTTTGGATTTAATTATTTATATAATTATAATATTTTATGTTCACATTTTATTATTTATTTTGTTAGAAAATTTAGACTATTATTTTTAATTAATAAATTAAGTTTAAATTATTTTTAAAATGATAATTTTCTTAATAACATATATATATAATTATTGTTAAAAATATTTAATGAAAGAAACTCTAACTACTTATTTATATAATAATATTAACCATAGTATTTTTTAATACAATTGAGAGCATCTAATTTGATTTTAATAAATATTTGTTAAAAATTTTGGTCATTTTTATTAAAATTATATGACCTCAAAAGTGCTAATGGAAAACTAAATACAGTATTTTGTTTATTAACACCTTGATAATTAATTTATAAAAAATAAATTAATTGATAATTTTTAAATTAAAAGAGTTAATTAGCATTACAAATATTTCTTTCAAATAAAATATAGTTTTAAAAAATTAAGAAAGGAAAAATTGATTTCTAAAATAAGCGAACTCAATAAAAGACTTTACATTATTTGTTTCCTTTTTTAAAATGTTTGTAAAGCGTAATTATATGTATGCATAAAATTTGTTGACCTTAAAAAAAATAAAATAGCCTTTTTCTTATAAAAATAAAGCAAAATAAATTATTTTAGTGTTCGTATATAAAAAAAATATATTTAAAAATAAATAAATAAATAAATGGAATTTGAATAAATTAATTTAGAAATTAATTAAGTAAATACAAGAAATATATTTTGATTTATGATTAATTAAACAAAATTTTCAATATAATAAATATATAAAATTTATATTTTATTTTTATTGGCATATATATTCATTAAAATTCATTCATTTATTTTTAAATTTTGATATTTTCTAAAATAGTTTCTCTATATTTTTTCATATCTTCTCTCAGTTAATCTATATATTTAATTCTCTCAGGTTTCTCGTTTAGTATGAAATTATCATTATTGTTTATAATCTAACTAAATATTTAGATCTCAGACTCAAGTTTTTAAAAGTTTTTTTAAAGCTTATCTTCTTATTTATAATCTTCTTCATAGAATGTATTGAAGGCCTCTTCTATTTTTTATCTCTATTCCTTTTCTTAACTTACATATTCATTGATTTATTTTTTTTTTTGCTTTAAATTATTTTCATTATCCATGTATAAACATATTTAATATAATAAATTAGATAATTTTTCATCACATTTTTCTAATTAAAATGTGAATGAAATTTTATTTTCTTTATATTTTTCAATATTTTGATCATGATTTAGATTTCTGTTAATATCATATGCTAAATTAAATAAACAATAACTTTTACCTTCAATTTTATTATTTTTTAATATAATATTTTCTTTAGCTAGTAATTCCAAATCCTCACGAAAATATTTTACTATCTCTTAAAATTACTTTTCATATTTTTATATAACAAAATTTTTCATAAAAGTCAAAATTTCTAGTTTTTTGTCTGTTCTATGAGAAATTTATGGCCTAACCAATTTTTTAACATCATCTTATAAATTTATTCCTCTCTCTGAAGAATCTTCAAATGAAATTAATCCTGGAAATATCAAAAAGCTATAAATATTTTTATATTTAAGTTTTATAATTTTATTGAAATTATATGAGCATATATATTATTCTTGTTAAAAAAAGAAAATCATTTGCTGTAAAAGTGAGTTATATTGTTTTATTTGGTCTTCTTCACTTTGCTGGAAGTAATCTATTACCTCGTAAAAGTTTAAATCTATAATATGTCTCACAAGCTTATCAGAAACTTCTATTTTTGAAAATAAATAGGGATATTATTTTTAAACTTCTTCAGATTATTTCAATGCTAAAAACTCTCTCTTTAGGGTTTCAAATGCAACGATGCCAAATGAACCTTATTTGCTTGTATTTTCATGAATATGGTATTCAATAGTAATTTGCTGTTAGCTTTATTAGTAATATACTTTTAAAAACCACATCTCAAAAATAAGTGTGCATCCTGTTTGTGAATTATTCATTTCAATATTGCTTTTTATAATCTTTTAATTATTTTTTCTTTGTTTATTAATTATTTTTCAATTAAATTAATTATTAATTTTAAAAGATATTTTTCAGCAAAATTGAAATAAATAAAAATAAATTATCATATTCTAATTGCCATCAAAGCTCATTTTTTATCAACTAACATCAGATAGGAAAAATATTCTGATTGAAATTATTTAAGTTTGAAAAAAAAAAATTCATATCTTAATTTAATTATAAAAAATTATTTTTTTAAATTGTTTTATCAAATAATAATTTTTTTTAGTCCAATACATTTTTAATAAAAAATATTTGTGTTTGTTGCTGTTTAAAATCAAACAGCTATTGATTATACTTGAATGAAACAGAACATTCTTTTGAAAAAACATAGAAAAAATCATTTAATATTTAAAGCTTTAGAAAATGAAGAAGAATCTGAAAGGTTTAGTAGGTTATTTAGCCCCTTAAAACTATGAAATGAATCTATAAAAAGAGCTATAATATAAAAAAATTAAAATAGAAAAATAGCATGGAAGACTTTTTATTGCAGAAAGTAGTCAGGATGAGAATATTAAAGTTTATTGGTAGTAGAACATTTGGCAAGATTTGTTTGAGTTAAAAATAGACTCTATAAAATAGTGTGCTTCTTAGCTGAAGTAATAATCAAATTGGTGGTATCATTACTCTCCAATATTAAGATTAAGATGCAAATTAATCTAGGATCATCTTCCTCATATAAAAACTGAAGAGTTCATTTTTCCAATATAAAGAAATATGAATTCATTAGGGGGATTTACTCTTCTAGAAAAAAATCTAGCTTTATACAGCCCTTTAACAAGTAGCAAATTTGCTAATGGAGAGATTCATTTTTAAGAAGATAAAGTTAATCCTCCCAACAGAGCCTATCTAAAACTTTGGGAGGTATTTACTATTATAAATAAATACCCTCAAAATAACTAATTTGTGATTGAATTAGGATCCTCTCCTGGAGGTTGGACTTGGGTAATTTAATAATTTGGAGCTAAAATCCTATCATGCGATAAATCTTTGTTAGATCCCAAACTGTTAAAATATGATAAATTGCAATTTATATAACAGGATGCGTTTAAAATTCTACCTGATAACTTTAAAGAAGAAATAGACTGGCTATTGAGCGATCTAATTTGTTATCCAACAAAATTGCTTTAATACATAAAAATATGGATAAGTAGTAATAAAGTAAATAACATGGTTTGTACTATAAAATTTTAAGGAGATATTGATTTTGAAATAATAGAAGAATTTGCCTCAATACCAAATTCTTAGATTTTTCATCTTACATATAATAAAAATGAGCTAACTTTTGTTTGGTAAAAAAACAAACAAAATTGATTTATTTTTTAATAAACAAATAAAAATATATTTAAATGATTATTTTATTATTTATGAACAAATTTACAATTCATAAAACTTTTCAACAAACTTTTGCATAATTTTTCAATATTTAAAAAAGATTTATAATATTTATGAATCGTCCTAATTTAGATAATAACTTGAGCTAATAAGTGAAATAAAATTAATTATTTGTAAATAATAGATTGATTTCATACACTCACATATATTTAATTTGTATGATATTTTTTTGCCTATAAATCGCTCAGATATCGTATATATCATCATATTCGTCTCTTGTTAGTTCAATTACTGCTTGGCACATATCTGCTAGCTTTTATTGAAATTAATTTTACTTTTAAATAAATAATAAAATTGTTTAATTTTTACTTTGAATTAAGATTCGTTGCTAGTTTTTTATAAAAGCAGATCCAAGCACTAATTTGCTTACTTACTTAAATTTTTATGACTGATTAGTATATTGTAAACAGATGAAATAATGTCCTAATTTCAATTAAAAACCAATTAATTAGAAAAAAAATGAAGAAAGAAAAAAAAAATCACTTATATAGCAGGAGGTGTAATTCTAACAATAAATATTTAAGCTTGATTTATCTTAAAATTCTAAATTTAGGTATCTAGCTTCAGGTCAGATACACTAAGAGGCACTCCAGTTATACTAAATATGATTATTTTTATTAATATTAGTTTATAATATATTCTAAGTAATTTACACAAAAATCATTCTTAAGTATGTTGGTATCACATAAGAGAAATAGTAATTTAAATCTTAACAGAATATTCTGATTAGAATTTCACACTTTTTAATAATTTTAATACTTATAATATAATAGTTAATCATTTTTTTACAAGAATTAAGTGTTGGTGAGGATTGATTGCTGTAATTTCATTATATTATATTTCTTTTAGCTGTTACTATTATTCACTTGTTTCTTATAAAGTTTTTTAATATTTTTCCTAAATATTTTATTTTTTAATAGATTATATTTAATAGTGATTCTTATAAATTTTATTTACATGAAATGAAGTTAATTCTTTAAATGAGTTTAAGTCTTAAGCCTGATTTAACTTTTTAGCATTTTCTATCTCAAAGTTATAAATTTTTATTAGAAGACCTGCCACCACTTGTATTAAATTTAAAATTAAAATAATTAATATGCAATTTTTTAAAATGTTTGTTTACAATTGATATCTATCTTTTAACCATCTTAACTCTTTTCCTTCATACTAAACTCTTCATAGTATTTTATTATATAAATCGACATTAAAATTGGAATCAAACTCTTTACAAACAGCTGCATAAAAACTCTTTTTTTGTTATCATACGCAATCAGTATTAAATCAAAAGTAAAACCTACCCATATTTAATTCTATATGCATTTAAATATGAATAAATAATATATTTAATTGAAATATTCTCACCTAAAGGATGAATTAATTTTGAAAAATATTAAAAAGCTAAGATGAGATAGCCTCGTCTTTAAAAGCTTCTTCACTTTAATCAATATTTTGCTAAATATTTTTATATTTCAAAACATTTTCAAAATAAATTATACTAAAATAAATATACACTTAAGGATTTGAAGAAATTTGGAGAGTTTTTCTCAAGTATTTCATCTATTTTTTACTAAGATTGTTGCTATTAAACAGATTTTATAAAATTAGCTACTACTGATTTAACTTGATTATTCATTTTTATGTAATTTATATCTAATAAATAATGTAATTATTTCAAATCATATTACTGAAATATCTAAAATGCATATATTTAAAATATCTTTTTTAATTAAAATAAGAATCTATGATCTATCAATTTGATTAATAAAATCGAAATAACAAAAATTGAATGTATGTAATGTTATATAATATTTCTTATTATTATTATTATTATACCATTTATATCAAAAAATTTTAACATCAAAATATCTTATAAAATAATAATAATATTTTTTGCGTATTATAAAGAATAAATTATTTATTTACTGTAAACATTTTTAAACAAATACATTAAGTTATTTCTATACTATAAACTGGTAGTACGAAATTATGCAAATAGGCATCAATTTTTTTGTTTTTTTAAAGGAGTTAATTATGATTTGATATAGTGTAATATTTAATAAAAAATATACTTTTGATCAAACTTATAAAAATGAATTGTTAACTATTTAATAGATAGAAATTAGGTAATTCGATATTTTTAGACTTTAAAGATATAGAAAATTTGGAATCAAGCAACTTAGAAATGCTTCTTCGTATTTTTGAAAAAATTATTTTAACCTTATTTTAAGAAGAAATCCTCCGTCCTAAGATAATTTAATCAGATCATGGCAAAAATTTTGCATATTTACTTTCAAATGGAGTTTGCATTATGATATATACCTGGGAATAATAAAAAAATTTAGCAATAAGTTATTACGATCCTACAACTAAATCTGATTAAAATGCTAAGCTATTAGAAGAAGCTGCTTGTGAGTGGCTTGGCTGGCAAAACTGTACATCAAATATTTCATTAACTAGAGGTGAAAAATGTAAACTAATATGTAATGAAAGTGAAAATAAGAGTGAAATCTTGTTTAACTCTAAATTAATTTATAGGGAAATGACACCTTATTAAGAGCTCAGGGTTTATGATACTTTATAAATGGGCAGAATATTATTATTAGATGATATGGTACAAATTACTTAAGAGGTAGAAGATAATTATACTATTGATATGGTAGCAGGAGTAGTTAATAAAAATCAAAACAAAATATATGACCATATTTTGATTATTGGTGGTGGCGACATGCTTATTGCTAACTATTTGCTTGAGAAGTTTAGCGATGTTGTATAAAAAATTACAATTTGTGAAATTGATCAACGAGTAATTGAGGTTGTTAAAACTTACTTCTTTGACTCTAATTTAGTAAATGAAAGTATTGAAAAAGGTAAATTAAATATTGTGTATTAAGATGGATCTTTGTATGCCAAAGAGTTAGCAGACCAAGGAAAATAAGTTGACGGTGTTATTATAGATTGCACTGATTTTCTTCCAGAAGGTGGAGTATCTAGCTCATTATTTACAGAAGAATTTTACATAAATATAACAAAATGTTTAAAAAATGGGTGTTTCTTTTCTTAACAACTTTCTTACAATGAAATGATTCCAGTATCCAAGGCAAAATGGGATAAGTTAGGTTTAACAAATTACAATATTATTTTAAGTAAGACTCCTGAATATGGAGAAAATTTACCTATCGCTTATGTTTAAAAAACATAGTGATGGAAGGATATCAATAATTAATTAATTAATTTCATTTATAAAAATATAATCAAATAGATATCTATAAAATGTTTTATTTAATGTTTTTCTTGTTATCACATCATATTTTTAATTTAAATTGTAATATTATAGCTTTTAAATGAAAGTAAGCAAAGAAATAATAATACTAATATGAATCCATCCAAATTGTATATGTTTATATTTTTAAAGAGTATCTATCCGATTGCTATGTTTAGTGAGCAAAGGAATTATGTCTTTTGAAAATTTGCATAGTGTGAAGATAATTAATTGAATTGAAAGATTTTTTGCTGTTTATATTCGTTAGAGTTTGAAAAATCAAAACAATAATAAAATTAACAAAAAAGCATACAAAACAAAGCAAAAACTAAAAATTTTTCTTAATAAAGAAAAAATACCAATCTTTTTATCAATCAATTCATCCTATCTACCTTAAGATAATAATAGAAATTCTCTTGATATATATATCTATATTAAAGATTAAAGAGTATTAAAACATTTGTCAAATTACATGTAAGTCAGTAAGCAAAAATCCACTCTAGATAACTCATTTACTTCATAGGTCTCCTAGCAATCTTCGTAATAAACTCAAAGTAATTTATTGCATAATAATAAAAATGATATTTCTAATTTTCTAAAATTTATTTAATTTTATTTTAAATTTTATCAAAGGGAGGCCACCTCTTACTTCTTTGAAATTCAATGAAATAAACACTACGCCTTAAAAAGAATTAATAAATTTAGATAAAAATGAAAAGAAAAGTGACTTGAAATAACAAAAAAATTAATAGTAAAACTCTAATCCTTAAACATTTAGCAGCAACAAGAAGCCTTAAAAAAAATAAATAATTGAAACGGATTTGGTCATACAAGAATTTGAGAAGCTTAAGCTCAAGACTTTATAAAAAATTTAAAAGAATTAAATCACTCAAGTAGGAACAGATCCTAGGGCTTTGAGAGATCAAATTTATGAATAAATATTCCTATTAGTATCAGAAAATTTAAAGTAAAGTAAGATTATAGACTCAAAAAAATTAGGTTACGATTGTAGCTGCCAAAAAGATTAAAATAATAGTATCAATGATATATCTCTTTCTATTAGTAACTTTTCATCTGTAGCTAATGTTCCTGATCATTTGTAGATAAGTTAAATTTTTGAAGACTCAAATAAAGAATAACAATATTAATAAGAGATTAGCAAGCTTTAAGAAGAAAATAGCTTACTGTTTAGACAAAAGGAATTAGAATTTATTCTTTCTTAGAATATGATTTAGTAAATGAAAAAGTAAGCTGTTACATCTAGCCTCGACTATCAATTATAACTTCAACAGCAAGATATTTTGATGAAAAAAATTACCTAATAAATATCACAAAGCAACAGCCAATCATATTCTCAGTATATTGATGATATTTTTGATAAGAATGTTCCAGTAAACACCAATAACTATTTTTAGTAAAAAAAATAATCTAACAATGATAATTTAGAATGCTAAAAAGAAGAAAAATCTATTTCTTAATAGAATAAAAATGTTTCTTCACAACTATAGCAATAAAACTAAAAAGCAAGTAGATCTTCTTCATAAAATGGCAGTCCAAATTCAAAGTAGAATTATTTTATTTTTGGCTTTATTTAAAATTTTTTTAAAAAGCATTTAAGTAAAGTAATAAATTGATGGCAATCATTTGGAACAAATTATCGAATAGCATGAAATAGAAATAAATAAATTTGTGTAAGAAATAAGAGAGGGCTTGAGTGAATTGCTAAATATTAATTTCACTAGGAATGCTGAGTTTGATTTTAAATGTAGTATCCAAGAGCTGCTAAATAAGTAAGATTATTAAGAAAAGCTGCAATAACAGCAATAAATCGCTTGGAGACAGCTAAAAAGTGTATTCTAAAAATAATAAATTGATACTACATTTTCAACTTGGGACACAAGAAAATCGTGGTAAATAAATAAATAAAATTCATTTTGATAAAGTAAAATATTAATTTTAAAATAAGTGATTCGAGTCAGATTGAGGGAAGTATGTGTAGAGATAAGATCTAGACTTAACAGAAATTGTATGAAAATTAAAACTATTTATAGTCATAAGACCAGTAGTAGAAAAGTTTGGAAAGTGAAGTTTAAATTAGATTAAATGATATATATCATAAAGAAAATGCTTTGAAAAGAAGATTAGCTCTATTGAAAAAGAAAGAGCTTTGTCTAAGCTAAAACCAAAAAAAACTATAAACAAGGCTATCACAATTTTAATAAGAGGTAAATAATTAATGAAAATTACTATAATAATCTTTTTATGTAGAAAAATAAAATTATTAAACAAATAAATGCATTTTACGTGAATGATCTTTTAATAATTTAGAGTAAATTACTAGAAGAGAAATAAAAGATTCAAATGAATAATGAATAATAATTAAATCAACTGTGGTAAGATTTCTTTAAAGAAGCAGAAAGAATATTTTAACAAATATACTAACCATCTAACGAGAACAATACAACACAATAAGCAATTATAAGTATATAAAAAGTCTAAAATATGGTCTAAGGATACATCAGCAAAACGAATAAAGACAAGCAAATATTAGAAAAGGAAAGAGATATGGTAAAATAAATAAGAAGAGATTTAGAAGCGAAAGAAAAAGAGCTTTAATTAGAGAAACTGGAATTTGATTTGCTATCCTAAAAGGGTAATCAATATAATGATATTTAAAGTAAGTATTCTTCTATATAATAATGAATGAATGATATGAGAGCAAATTTATAATTTAGTTCAATTAATTAATTAATAAAATAAATGAATAACTCACAAACTAACTAACCCCACCTTTAAATATGTTTGTTCTAATAAATAAAGTAAAATGTAGAATATATTTATTTTTCTATTTGTATAAAACTTACTCGGTATTCCCCTTAAATTAAAAATATTCTTTATTTATGTTTAAAATTTTAAAATAGATTAAATTTTTAAAGACTTCTTCATTAGCATCTTAAATTGTCTACCAAAGTATGTTATGTGTTTTTTCTTAAATAAAATAAAGCTTATATTAAAGTCATTCTATTTCATTATTTAAATACATAAATAAATATTTTTTTCTCTTCAAAAATATTAAAGTAGATCAATTTTCTTTATGTTTTTATAACTATAATTAATACATTAAAATCAATGTAAAAAAATAGCAAACACATAACTTAAACAAAGTTAAAATATTTTTTCCTATTTTTATATATTTTAATGTTTTTATCTTCACCTGTTTATTGGCAGAGATTTTAATGTATTAAGGTAAATGTGCTGTCATAACACTATTTATAGATTTCTATATTATCGAGAGAATTTTTATTTTGACATTATCAGAAGAAGAATTAGTATATCTTTAACAAATAATAGATAATTTCAAATTCAAAGAAATGCTTTTAGACTTATAAAATTTTTAGTAGTTTTTTTTTAAAAAGTAAGTTAAGATTTAATTAGGAATCAAATGCAATTTAGATCTTAAAAATATGTCTTAATTATATTTTGGTTTTACTTTATCAACTTTTGTATGGAGATTTATATAAATACTTGAAAAACAGGAATAAAAATATCAAAGACGAAAATAAATCAAATAAAATATTGAACTGTTTTAAATTTAGTCACTAATTTATGTATGAATGGATGGATGTATTTCAGCTATATAACAAAATAGCTAAGTAAAATATATCAACTAGACTCTATTTATTAATTTAACTTTATCATATTTAATAAAATTTATTTTAAGTCTATCAAATATTCCTCTAGTATTTTTCAACTTTTAAAAAAAATATTTTTGCAAATAATTCCATCAGTAAATACTTAAAAAATATATTTACATAGAATTAATTAAATTTAATTTATTAAAACTGCTTTGCGATTTTTATTTCTTCACTATGAGGTTAGACTGAAGGAAATATTAGTGTTTCCATTTTAAATTATTTACATTCAAATTAACTTGATACAATTTTTATTCAAATTATAATGGTAAAATATTTGTTATTGTAACTCGAATATCATCTCTTGAATCAAAAGTTTTTTTTGTGAGAAATTATTATAATATCTTAAAATGAAAGTATGAGTGAATATATATGTTTATAAAATAGATACCTATTTACTAAAAATATAAGGCTAACTAAAGTAACTAGACTATCATTTTGTTTAAATAAATAATATCTGTTAAGCTTAAGCTAAAATAGCTATATAAAGGGGAATTAAAGAAATAAAAAAATTAATCAAAATAGACCACTTAATCTATTTGCTGATTTTTTGTTTTATCTAATAGGTGCTATAGAGCGAAGGTAAAGAGTCGAAAAAAAATTAACAATATTCTGAAAAAAAAAAAAAAGATAACACTTCAAGTAAAAAATTTTTTTTTCCTCTCTTTATTTGAAAAATAATCAATCACAAAACCTAAATTTTATTATTAATTTTTAAAAGGAAATCTTCCAAAATACAAAATCCTCAAACAAAAAGCAAACTATCCTTGCTAAATTTTTACCATCTCTTTTATTCATTCAAAAAGAATTTAAAAGTCTCCAAGACTGAGAAAAATCATCACAAACAACATAGTTGCGCACTTCTTTTATCTAAATCCAAAGCGCAAGCCTCCTTGATAAAACAAACATTCAACTTCATTACTTATCCACTTTAAAATTTAAATCTGATAATTAAAATTACAAAAAATGACTGATCTATATCATGGAAATTCACCTGAACACTTTTTGAGTACTTGTGGAAGCGACAATTTTGATTCTATTGTAGCTAACTCAATCTCAGATAAAAACTGCACCCTTAAAGCCAAGCAAATGTCATAGAGCTCTTTGTCATCTGTCTCAACTTCATCATCTTCCTTATCACAATCTTCAATTATTGCTTAAAAGCCTTTAAACGCTGCTAAATATTAGCAAATTATTGAACAATTTGACAAGCTAGAGAACAGCAATAAATCTAAATCAAGTTCTAAAAGCTCTATTTCATCTTCTTAAATTTCTTAAAAGAAGATTAATGTTATTAAATTGACTGATTGGGTAGTCAACGACCTTTGGAAGGATGCCTTTGAGCTCTACTAATTGTAGAATGAAGACGCTGAATACCTTGAGAATTGCTCCTTTTATTTAGAAGAAAACAAGCGCATTAAAATCTCATTTGCTTCTTATGTTAAAAGACTTAAAGAACTAACTGAATGTTCTGATAATTGTTTCATTCTTGCCTTGTTACTCTTCGATAGACTAAACAAGAAGAAGAAATTAAACTATAGTCGCATCAATGTTCACAAGTAATTTATTATTTTAATAAAATTTCATTTTAGTTTTTAAAATTTTACACATCTATGCTTTTCCATTTATTTTTATTGAGGATAAATTTCATACGATCTGATTAGAACTAATAAAATATTCTTCCTGGTTGATTTTTGCTACTGAAGCTCATTCAAGCTAAATAGAAATTTTAAGAGATGAAAAAAATATTAAATTCTGGACTTTAAAATTAAATGAATTTCGAATGAGAAGGAGTGGAAGAGAGAATAAATAAACTCGTGACTGAGCAAGGAAGGAATGAGGAGAAATAGGCGAAATTAACTGCACACTCGAAAAAGAAATTTTCTGTTAATTGAGAGGAGTTATTAATTGATTGATTAGTTAGTTAGTTAGTTAGTTATAGAACTTAAAGTAAGTAGATGTTTCAAAAAAAATCAAAGAGAGTGCATCTGCAAATTTTTGAAAAACCCCCCTTACTAAAAAAATGGATACTTTTATAATTTCCACTCAATTAATCAATATTTCTCCGCTAAAAAATAAAAACGTATGATTGATTGATTATTCTTATATAAAAGAGAGCTATCTCTCACTCTATTTTTCGCTACATCCTTCTATTCCAATATCAAAAACTTATAAAAATAAATAGATTATCCCTCTGTATTTAACCTAAAAAATTAATTATAGAGCCATTAACTTCACAATAAAAGCATAGATAACAAATATACAAATAAACAAACAATTCTATTTTTCTTAACCATTAAATTAATCAATTTCTTATTATTAATATAGACTTATGGCCATATGCCTTTGGTTGAGTGTCAAGTTCTATGAAGACATCAATTTCACTGATGCTTACTATGCACAAAAGATTGCTGGTATTCCTCTTGAGGAGCTCATTTCTCTTTAATTCGAACTTCTCGAGCTTTTGAATTATAGATTATTCATTTCACCTCAAAGATTCAACCACTTCATGAAGCTCATCAACTCTCTCATTCAATCTGGAGCTGTTAATGCTTGAATATCTTCTCTCAACAACTTTATCCTTTCTATTGTTATTTATGCTCAATTCCAAGAAATTCAAAGCACCTATATATAACTTAATATGGAAATTAATAGCAATAATTACAATGTCTTAATCTTAATGGTCTAAGTAAAGAAATGAATAATTTTAAGAAGAAAAAAGGTATCACATCACATTCAGTCAGTCAGTATGTTATCTTGCAGATAAATCAACCAAATTTGAGTTAATTTTTTAAGCGTTTCAACGTATTGTTTCTTTAATTAGTTTCATCGCTTAGTAATATCATCAGTGTGATTTTATTTATTAACTTTTTCAATAATACTGGGTCTTACTTAGAATTGTTAATAAATCACTCTGATCGATTATTATGGTTAGCTTGTTTTCATGTTGGTAAATGTTTTTTACGTTTTGAAAACAATTAAAGAAAAATTAACTCACTTAATCACTCACACACAATTCACTCACTCACTCACTCACTCTTGCCATTTCAAATTGAAGAACATCATTTTTCTTAAAAATTGTCAAATTTTTGTTAATAAATATATTTAAACCTAACTAAATTGTTAATAAAACTCTTGTACATAGTTGAAAACTAGCCTTAATATTTTCACGCTTGAAAAAAGCTAAGCTTCTGTGAATAGTTAGTTCACTTATATGTTGCCTTGCAATTTAAATGTTTGAAACTTGTTTATAAATGTTTAAATTAAGCTAGTTAATTGTTATTAATAGTCCATTTATCTATAGTATTTTAATATTAAAACAAACTAGTTGATGCAAATTTCATTTACATTAACTAGCAGTTTTATCCAATCATGTAAATAAATTATTGAATGATCATCTATAAAATTACTAATATTTCAACAAAACCTTATCCCTCTTTGCAATCCCTTCCATCATTCTTTCAATAAAAATTAAATATTGAAGTTAAGGGCCTCAAAAATGTGCTGTTGAAATCATAGGTCTCAATAACAAACGAGTCTTGGAATGAAAGCATGCTAATAACACTAAGAAAAAAGAATAATGAAAAATAAATAATTTTAATCAAATACATTATTTAAAAACGAGAATAATTGATAATTTTTTAATATAAATTGTTAAATTGAGTTATAATTGAATAATATATAAAATAAATATATAAATTTAATTATTTAGTAATTGTATATATTCTTAGAAAATCCATCCATATCTATCTATATTTTACAATATTTAAATAAACAATAATTTATCTTTTATCTAAATAACTAAGAGTCATTCATTAATTACGTTTGCATGCTGTTTCCAAAGGCCTTTTAAGGAGTATTTATAGTCTTTATTAATCATTAAAATAAAATAAAAAATTAGCTACAATATTTCAAGTAAGATAGGTATTGATTGAGCTTTAATCTGATCTTATTGTTTGTTTTTTAAAAATTCAATTTTTTAATTGATCATCTAAAATAAATTTAGTTAGTAAAATGATAAAAATAATTTTCATTTTATTTTAAATTAAAACAGCCGTTTTATAAAATTCAAAATTAAGTAAGAACAGAATTTATCAGCCAATCATTTATAAAAAAATGATCAACTTTCGAATTTTTGAAAAAATATATCAAAAAAATTAATGTCTCTAAAAATTTTAAAATATAATGGAGTAATTAATTTTCCAACACAAATTAATTATTATTTCAAAAAGAAGTCTTTAAAAGATATTAAAAAAAAATAGATAAATTGATAAAAAACAAAATAATAAAATTTTCTTCATTTAACAAATTTTAAAATATAAAAAATAAAGAATATAAATAATTAAATCTATCTAGTAGATTCTACTATTATAAATAACAAATTTAAAAAAAAAAATTACAATAAAGTGCTACTTGTATTTCTTTAATTATCAAGTTATATTTTATTTTATTAATTAGAATTGACAAACCTTATTTTATAATTGAAAAAAAAACTAATTATTATTTCCTTATTTAACACACTAAAATAAATATTGAAAAAATTATTTTAATTTATAATAATAAAATTAAGATTAATATTCACAGATCTATTTTAGTAATAAATATCATCTTTTTTTAATTTTCTTATTCAGCTATTTTTATTTTTATGAAGAAAACTGATCAGCAAAGGTTTTTTGTTTCTAGGTTTTTAATTTCGAGTTATTTGATTTTATAATCTTAACATTAAGTTAGATTTTCAATTTAATTTATTATTCAATACAATTTTTAATAAGCAATTTATATCAAGAAATTTAAACATCAATATTTATTTTAAATTTTAATTATTGAAATTATTCATTTTTTATGTTTGAATTATAAATTGATTTATTTTTTTGGTTTTTTAATGTTATAATACCGAAATTATGATGAAAATACAAAAGTAAAAATATACTGTAATAAATATTTGGATTTTTATTTATGAAACATCTACAAAGAACTTTTTAAAAAGGTATTAAAACAAGGAAAAAAAAAAAATGCTTTTCAAATACTTAAATTAGTGAGAATATAGTATATTTACTTAGATATTAATTAATTCTTAAAAAGTTTATTGTTTTTTTATTTCGCTTTGGTATTTCTGTTTTATTTTAATTTAATATATAAATGAAGTAAGTATGTATTAACTTTTAATTGGTTTTGTATGTTAATTTTAAATAAATTTTATGATATACTATAATATATTAATAGTTGAATAATGTATCTACAGGTTGCTATTTCATTTGAATTCTAATGCTAGAGAATTTATTTATATAATTTTTTAAGGAGAAAATTGATCACTTGGAATTCTTTTTGGCTTTTCTGTCTTGGAATTACCAATAATTTGGTTATAAGTTTTATCAGGTTTTTATCTTTTTTGTACAAAATCTTTTAGAATTAAATATGAAGGAGGTGGATTCATTTTTTATGGTGAGACTGGTTAGCACAATCCTGCTCCACTATAATATTTTTCAGTCTAATTTTATTAGTTCTAGAATTTAGATTTTGGGTTTTTAGGAGATTGAAAATTGTTATCATAAAAGCTAACTGTCATTGGAGCTAAGGTGGTTTCATAGTTTTTATAATCATAGAAGCTCGGAACCAAGCCTTAGTCTAATAAAACTTGGTTTTTTGTGGTAGTATCATAAAATATATTTTATTTAGAAGATGAATTCTTAGATGTAAAAGGATATTATTATAATGACTATATATATAAAAAATCTTCGCCTTTTAATCCTATTGTTTTCTAAAAATCCTCTTAAACACTTTAAACTCGTTTTCTGCAACTTGTAAAAATGTGTCCTTTGGGGGATTGTTTACTTTACTACTGATTACCGTTTTACGAACCTTGCTGACTTGAAATGGTATTGCCTATACTAAAATTATAGCAGTCAGAATCAAATTATATGTGTTTATTTTAACTTGACTGGCTACTGCCAATATTTAATTTATCATTACATTATAAAAAATCTATATTAAATGATGTATTCAAAGATAACTATCTTTTTTCTGATATTTTTTCACAAGTGCTTTACACATAAGATTTTAATTAATTGAAAGGGTTGTTTGGTAAATAAGGATTATACTGAGATTCTTAAGCAGATACTCCTCTTTTATGTGGGAACTCTATTTTTCTTTTCCTAAATTATAAAATATTCTATTAATGGTTTTTTATTAATGGAATTTATCTAAAGACTCTTTAATCTCTGTTTGATTCTGTATATTCTTTTTCTTCTTAGTTATCTTCTAATGTATTATTTTTATATTTCTCTGTTGTATTATTTTTTATTTTGAGTCTACTTAAAATTATTTTTTTATTTTTGCTATTAGCTTCTCTATTAATTCTTTCCTTGTAATATGAAATTCCATCAAATGTCTAAGCCTCGATATCTATATCTTAGTATTCTGTTATACTACCATTAAAATCTTAAGTATTTGAACCTAGTAATTATTCTTTAACTAAAGTATTCGATATTGGAATAAGTGTACTACTATTTACTTATGAAGAACTTAATTAATTCTAGCTATCCAATGAAAAACCACAGTAAAATGGTGATGTCTAATTAAAATAGTGCTTATCTCCTTCTTCAGATTTATTTATATCTATAGGTGATTCATTCGTCAATGATAGCTTATGAGAGAATTTTCTCTTACATGATGAATTATTTTCTTAAGAGCTACTTAACGAAAGATCATAATTTAAGTTAAATATTTTTTGAGTAGCTTAAGTTGCTGTAGATTATCTCGAAAAAATTTATTCATAGTTGTTCCCATTCTATTAATTTAATAGGTTAGATATATCTCCATTAATATTTTTATTTAAATTAAGCTAAATTTCAGTAGCTGTCTTTTAATCAGACTACTCTTATTAGGAATGTATTGTACTCATGTGTGTTTCAGCATCGTCTGATGGAATAATATTTTGAGTTAGAGATATCCCTTGGATGTCTTAACTATATTTATTTATCTCATTAAATATCTTTGATTAATTCAGCCCATTATATTAGGTTACATTATAGTCTTTACGCGATTTACCCATTTTCAAAGGAGAAATTTGTTTAATTTCAATAAACTTGAAAAAATCACTATCTTCTAAATTCACCTTTACTTTTTAAGCCTACTTTTTAGCTTATACTAATTCCTGCTACTTACTAACTAATTAAGTGCTTGTGAGATTTGCTTTTTATTGAAAAGTTTCATTTTAATCCTCCTGCTGTGTTCTTTTTCTGAAGATAGGTGAAAATCTTTTTGCTTGTCTTTGTGAGTTTACAAAAGTTTTATTTTTATTATAATTTTTTAGAAATGGATTATTTTCAGGCTTATCTCTTAATGGTGAGAGCGGAGGCTTAAAATCATCTGGCTATGAAATATTATTTTCTTTTGCTCTGCAATCAGATTTTTCTATAAACTCACTTCTGATTGCAGTAAATAGATTTTAAACCTTCATGAGATATATAGAAAAGTGAGTTAGTTAAAAAACCTTTATTTAAAATTGCAAATAAATTATCTTGATAACTCTTTTTTTTACTTCTATTAATTCTTTCTTATACATCTTATTTGTAATAAGATAAAATCAAAGATTTTTAGATAATACAGATCCTAATATTTTAATAATTAAATTTTGTGGACTATATTATTCAATCAAGAGAAAAATGCAAACCAAAGTAATCCAAATGTATTTTAGCCATGTATTTTTTATTTAATCTAACATTATGTTCTTCATTTATTTTTAATAAAGCTGAAAAAACAAAAAACAAAATATTTAATGTAAATTAAATTATTTTTAAATAGTTTATTATTTTAATTTTTAAAATAAGTCATTTAAGATTTAATTTGTTAATGTAAATAAACAACTAAAATAAACTATGATAATTTTGTTTAATTTTATAATTAAAAATTGATTAATCTATCTATCTATTTTTATTTGTAACCTAAAATTTATTTTTGTTTAAAAATATTTATTATTTTACCAAAAATTATTTAAATTACTTTGTTAGATTTAAAAAATTAAATCAAAATAGATAATATTAATATTTTGCATTTTCAGAAAACATCTTTTACAAGCACTTTTTTTTAATGTATAATCTTAAATTTTGATTAAAACGGCTATATGGGATAATAAATCTATTCTTTTTATTAATCATTTGTTTTTTATTATTATTTTAAATGTTGTAAGTTTTTAATAAGATTCTGTTACTGCTATTGATTTAATTATTTATTTTACGAATTTTACTTTGTTTATTCTTACTATTCTTGCTGGAGTTGTAAAGGATTTATTCCTTAGTTAGATGATCTTGTTGTAACTATTGGAGCTACATTTATGCTCGAAGCAGCAGCCATACTTTATTTTAGAACAATATTTGTAAAGTGGGAATTCTTTGTATAGGTTAATAGTTAGTTTGTGTTTTAATATTCAATATATGGTGAACTATTCTATTTGACCCAACAATCCATTTATTTTTTTAAATTTATGTCTTTTATCACTTTTTGAGATAGTTCACTAAAAGAAGACTAAGATTTAGATAAAGATCTTCCAGATTTATAGCTTATTATAACTTTCTTAGCTTTTTTTAAAGGTGAAATTTACAGGCTATCAGAATAGTTAGAGTGATTGGTTGTTGGAGTTGACTCTTTATATAGAGTTGAATTGCTAAAATTGGTATTATATGCTGTACTCTGATTAATTCCAATCATACTGCCAAAGCTCATACTCCTTTTGCTTTCTTTTTAAGCTGACTAACATCTGAATTATGGATTTTACTAATTACAATTTATATTATTCTTTTTAATTCTCTCAAACATGTACCTATTTTCTCGAGGATGGAGTACAATCGAAGGATATTCTTCATCTAAAAAATTTTTTTTCTCATGAGCAAGATTAATTAAAGGTTCTGATTTTCTATTTTTTTATATTTCTTATGATTAATTTCTTTTTGTCCTATTATCAGTAGTATTAATTGTACTTGGCCTATTTAAATTAGAAGAACCTCCAAAGTGGCTCAAATACATTTGAGCTATCTAAGATTTCATAGATTTGTTAAAATTAGTTAATGGAATGTATGGTACAATTTTAATTAGAGATTTATTTTCAATAGAGCCGTTAAGTTCAACATTTTGTTTCATAGAAAAGAATATCTTAATTGATTGATATATATGATATTTCTTAATTGAAATTATTTAGGAGTGTAATATATATTTATATTTTTGTTAACACTTTTATTGTAAGTGAAGATTATTTTCTAATTTCATTTAATTTTTATGTAATATAGATAAAAAAAGTAAAGTTGGAAAATACTTATCACAATATTTGTAAAGAAAATACAAAAAGTAATTAAATTAATGGTTCTAATTAGCCCTTTTTTTATATTATTTTAAGGTTATTTACTTACTTAATTAATCCACTAAAATACTCTCAAATACTTACTTTTCGGTACAAATTTAAAATACATTTTTAATAAAAGTCTAAAAATATTTTTTATATTTATAAATCTAACTGATCTAATATATAAATAAAGTAAGTCATAAATCATCACTATCTTCTCTTAAATACTATTTTTTATTATTTCCTTAGACTTGACAATATGGGAATTGAAAATTTAAAATCTAATTTATTTATTTTTAACATAATAAATTTAATGAATAAAATTTTCTTTTTTAAATAAAATATTTATTAAAATAATCAGTTTTATATTTGATTTCCAGATGAAATAAAATTTAGCTTTACTTATTCAACAAATAAGATATTTTAAATTTAATTAAATTAGAAATATTAAGGAATAAATATATTACCTTTTTTATAAATTATATACAATTTAATAAACTTATTTATATATGCTTTGTTATGTCGATTAAATATGTTTGTTTTTTTAAATTTTGTTATGATTTGGTTTTTATAATTTGTTTATTTTGTTATTTTTGTTAATACTTTACTATAAATTCAATATATTTCGTATATTTTTATTGGTTTTAATTTTTTACTAGGAAATACCTTTGGGTAAAATTAATTTAGGATTTCTGTTCTTTAGAAATAAGGAGCTTATGTTACAGCAGTTTCATTGTTAAGTTAGCTCATATGAAGGAACTCAAATTTTGGATTTATTTTTTTGTAGGGAAAATATTACAAGTTTTATTACTGTTAGTTTACATTCTAATCAGTATTTTGATGGCTATTATTTAATTGGTTTTTACAATCTTTTGTTTAAGAATCTGGAAATTTAGAATCTTTAAGAGGAAATAATGATAAATAATTTTATTGGTAATTACTTTGCAAATTATTTTAAGAATCATTCCTCTATTTGGTATTTTATCTACTATATGGGCTAGCAGCTAACTTGCGTGGTCTGAATTTTTAATGATGATTTTCAAACATGATCGGTGAGAGTTACTGCTATTTAAAAGATGGAGTTTCGATTTCTAATATTCTAGGAGATACAATTTAAGATTTTTTTATATTTTGACTTTCATTTTATATGACAGCTGATAATTAATGGTAATCTTGGCTGCTATTAACTAATTCTTTTAACAAAAAATCTTATTTTTCATACAATTTTGATTTTTCTATAGCATTAATGTTATCATTACAGTTGTTTAAGGGTGAAGTAGATTTTTTACTATATATTACTTTCTTTTTCTTTCCTTAATCTTTTTCATATTTACTATTATTAAATGGTAACTAATTTAAAATGGTTGATTAATCTAAAGATCTTTCTATTCCTGCATTTCTACCTTCTAAAACAAAAGTATCTTAAAGTGTATACATTCTTTGTCTCTAGGTTTCTTTGGTTTGTTTCATAGAACTTTTTATTTTATTTAGTGAATAGTTGGTTTAAAATCTTCCTCTAGAGCTGCTTACATCATCTCTATAATTGATGAATCGTATATCAGAAGGGTGAGAAGCAGTTGCGGTTCTTCTGATTATTTATCTCTAAAAATTTACTGCTGCATCAGTGCTAACATTTATATTTTATTATTTTTAAGGAGTATATGATAGATGTGTAGTTTCATTGCTCCTATTCTAATACTTTAAAACTCTTTATTTAGAATAGAAAGCCCTTGTTAAAAACTTGCTTTATGCATTAGGATTATTTTCATTTGAATTTAAGACACTTTATCTCAACTCAGAGTAGTTTCTACTCCTACTTTTAAAATCTTTTAAAATATTTTGCTGAATATCACTGTAGTTAAGCAGAAGATCACCCTCTGATTCATTAGTTATCAGATCCTAATGAAAACTGTTTGATATATTGACAGTAGCATTTCTCTATCTCATTGATTGTTAATTTAAAGTAGTTTTTCTGTTTGACTGTAAAAACTCTTAATTGACATTCATATTATCTAAATAAATAGGTAAACTTTATTCTTGGTTTTAAATCATTTTTAACCTATCAATAACTTTTAATTAATTATTTGATTGTTTGATATTATATTGTTTCGCAATTTAAATGAATCCTTTATTTATTATTTAGGTTTCTGAATTTTTAATTAAAATTCAAAGTAATAAACCTTCATAAAATCTTAATTTACGAAAAGTAATAAAGCTTTATAGCCAATAATAGAATCTAATCAAAATTATTTAATTTGAAGCAAGTGATGAAATCTTTTATTTAAAAAAAAAAGTAAACTAAATTTGTTACTTAAGCTCTCTACTATACTTAAAAGTTTTTTATCTATTTATAAAACCAGAAAAGGTGTATTAAAAATCTATGATAAATTTATTTTCAAAAATGAAATAATATTAAAAAATATTGGGATAATTAATATGAATAATCTATCATAAATTAAACTTTTAGTCTTTATGTGAAGCTATATTTTGACTATTGTTTTATTTTAATTTTGATTTCAAGCTTTTAATCTATTCAATTTAATGTAAGGTTAAATTGTATATGCACTGAATGCTTAACTTAAAATCAGCTGCGTAGCACTTAGTGTAAATTCTTTTATACTAAATAAAATTTCTCTCTTATTTTATTTTTTTCCAAGATCCTCTAAGTTTGTTTTATAGACTAAATTATTTGAAGAGGGATTCATTTACAATAAATAACTTTAAAATATATCCAATAAAATAAATCTTATTTTATTGGAGATATTTAGCTCTATTTATATCTTATAATGTATCAATATGAAATTCTTCCAATTAAAAGTTTAATAAAAAAAGTAAAATATGATCCTCATTTTTAATTCTAAAATTAGATCATTTTTTTACTATTTACTATTATTTATTATTGGTTTTTTTATAAAAATTCTCATTCTGATTTAGTAAAATTTCTATCATTTTAACTGAAATTAAAATATTATTTTAATACAAAGTTTATTATTAATTTTATATAATAACATTTTAATATAAATTTAATTTTACAAATTTGTTAAACAATTATTTTAATTTATAATACAAATATTTTTTATTAAAATTTCTTTAGAAAAATTTTTTAAACAAATTTTGATTATTAATTTTTATCTTGATTGACTTATTTATTTACAAAATAAAATCTATCTAAATATTTTGTGAAAATATCTTTTCTGTTCTAAAATTAGCAAAACTTTTTGTTCCTCAAGTATTTATTATCCATTTACTTCTTACCGAAAAATATTTTGGTAATATTGATTTGAAACTTTTATAATTTAAGTCAAATATTCTCATCTTAATTTTATTAAAGAGATGGAGCAGTGACTTTTATTGTAAAGCTGTTTTTGTCACCTTGTATTAAATTAGAATAGTTTTGTCTTGAAATAATTGATTTGGCCTCTTAGTAAAAGTTACTTATATCTTATATACTGTCAGGTGAATAAGAGGTACGAATCGCTTTGTTGTAATTGTAAACTGAAAGCACTTTCATTTTTTAAGCAAGCCTATCAATTTTAGGTGGAGTTTCTAAGATTTTTTAATTATTTTTAATAGATTGCTTTAGTTTTATGCTTTGGTATTTATACATTTTTGGTAAATATCTATTTTAATTTAATGCTTAATACTCTGAATTTATGTTACATTCTATTTCATGTATTTAATTATTTTCTTCTTATTTTTAAATTAGATTACAATCTTCAATTATTTTTTTGTTTTTTGTAAGTTAATCTGGAGCTTAAAATTATTGAATACTAGAATTATTTTATAGTTTTGTAGTTGCTGTTGTGGTTGTTGTTTGGGTAATGTCATAGCAAGTTTCTAGACAAGAAAAACTGTTTTACTCGCCCTCACTCTTACTGCTGTCAAGATATTGATTTTCTGTTTTAATCTTTTTTTATGAGTCTAGTTAAGCAAAGGGGTTTTATTGTGATATTTGTTCTCTCACTTGTTAATGGTAATAAAGATTATTTTTATTCCTCACTCTTGCATCAGGGCAGGTTAAAATAATTTTATTTTTGGGTTAACTAGCTAGTTATTGACATAAAGCATTTGATTAAAGCTAGCAATCCATAGTTTAGCTTATTAATTGAAGGTTTATATCTTTTTTATTTTATATTGATGGGAAGACGCTTTAGTTTTGATAAACTACACCTTAAGATTTCGATTAGCACCTAGATAAAGAGCGATATGTACTTGACATTTCACTATCTCTCTCTAAATTTCTTTGAAATGGCTAATTCATCTTTTTCTAGCTAACAACTATCTTTCTAATTCTCATTCCTTACTAATTAGAATTTATACTTTCAGAAGCTTATTAATCTGTTTTAATACTTTCATGGGTTTATTAATTTTACTTGTTTTATTTTTAATAGGATGAAAGACAAGATGGTAAAGATGTCCTTACCCTAGGCTACTAAATTCCTTTTTATATAACTATAAAAGAAGCATTTAACTCTTCTTAGACCTAGTTTTAGTTAGTTCTACTTTAAAAATTTCTTTTGTTCTTCATCTGAGGAGAAGTAGGAGAAGAAAGCAGGCTTTTATTTTTGGTTTAGATTTTCTGATTGTACCTTGAAGATTCGCTTAAAAGTCTCCCATTTTTCTACTAAATTATAGAACTGTTGCGACGATATTTTATGGAATATTTATTGGTTTTTTCTGGGCTAGAAATTTATGAGGATTAGTCAGGTTCAGTCTTAATATAATTTGATAATTTATTTTTTATTATTATAGATTTTAGCTCGTTTATTTTAGATAAATTTTCTATCGAAGTATTCAAAATTTGCTTATTTACACATTCATTTTATTATAGGTTTACCTAAATATCTTTACTTTCCAGTTATACCATTATAGACTTCTTTTTAATAATTAGATTCTTTTTTGTGAGATTATTTAAGTATTTATTTTATTTGTTCCTTTTTATTATTTTGTTAAGGTTTATTAAAAATGAGTAATTTAATTTATTGCAAACAGCTTATTTAATTTTACATAAAATCTTTTAATTTTATATTTTTTTAGAAGATGTACTAAGAATATAAAAAAAATGTAATAAATATACTTTTATAAATTAAGTAAATCAAAATTTGCATTGCTAAATTATGTAAATCAAAAAAATAAATTCCTATAAAAGTGTTTCTATTACTAACATTTTAGGTAAATTTTTTATTACTGTCTTTTACTTATATTAAATAATTTTTCAAAATTTAATCTTACATTATTAAATTTAATATATTCCATTCGATCTCTCAAGCTTACTTACTTAAGTAAATTCTATTGGAATAGAATAATTTTATTAATAATTAATTTATTATCAATATTTTATATACTTATTCTTTCTTTATCCAATAATTTAATTTTCATAAAAATTTAATTTAATTAGAACTAATAAAATAATTTTTAATCAAAATATATCAGATTTAGATTTTTACTTAATTTGGTTATTTTATATTTATTTGAACTCTAAAGTATTGAGAATTAGATTAATAATATTTAAGAAATAGTTGATGTGCAAAAAAATACTTTCAAAATAAAATTAAAAATCTGAACTTACAAAATTTGTTTCAAAATTAATGAACATAAGCCAAGAGCTGATCTATTTGTAATTTTTTTATTTGTACTTAAAATATTTGAAAATTAATTTAATCTATTGAGAAATAATGAAAAAAATTTTATTTTTAATTTCAAAAAGTTGTTAAAAAATAATTATTAATTTGTAATTTTTATCATCAAATAACTTATTACTATTATCTTTGTCAAATTAAAAACCGTTTAAATTAACAAGTATTCTTTTTATTTTTTTTTAATTTACTCACTTTTGTGTGTACTTATTTACTTGATTTTAATTATGTTTTACCTCTAAATATTTAGTAGATGCTTAGAAGATTTCTAATTTTAATTAAATTGGATTAAAGTATGAATTTTAAAAAAAAATATATCAACTATCATGTTCCCATTTTAGAGATTTAAAAATTTAAATCAGATATTTTTTTTCAAAAAACATAATTAATAGATAATCTCTTTGAGTGAGTTTTCCCTACTACCTTTTAAAAGATCAGAAAATCTAATTATCTTAATTGTGTTATCTTCCTGTTTGAAAGTCTACAAATGAAAATTATGCTCTAATTTGAATAATTTGCTTTTGAAGAAATTTGTTTAATAAAAATTCAGAAAATAAAAGATATTGATTACACAGAGTTAAATTTCTCTGGAAAAATTTTAAATAAATATCTTTTGAAACAAAAATTAATCATTAGCTGTATAAAGCTACTCTCTAATTGCCATAAAATCCTAAAAGGTGTGATATTGAAATCAAAGTGTTTTTAATATATTTTTTTAGGTGTCAATTTTAAATTTTCTGAGTTTGGTAAGTAGGTATACAAAAAAAATTTAGTTAGAAATCATTCATTTTTACAACATTTTTAATTTTTTTCTATAAATGACTAATCTTTATTGAGAAAGTTTTGAATTTTGTCATAATTTTATATTTATTTTTGAATGCAAATAAATTAGTTTCAAATAAATAACTTCAATTTATTTTCTCACTTTCTTATTTCTTAATTAAAAATATTGCATCTAATCACGAAGTGCATCAGCCTTTTAAGCTTACGTTTTTCTCTATGAAAATATTCAACATCGATTTTTAAGACTACCAGATATTTTTATAAATTTACTACTAAAATTTAAAAATAGATTGATGATTTGGCTATACGAGTTTAATTAAATTAATTAGGTAATTGGAAATCATCTCGCTAATTTTAAGAATTGCTAAAGGTCGGCTAGTAAAATTTTGTTATTAAAATTTAAATTAAAAAGAGAGAAAGAATGAGTATAGCTTACATATAATTTATTACATTCTTATATTCAAACTGTTTTTACTCGTTATTTCAGTTTTAAAAATTGAAAAACTACATTTTTACAAATTTAGCATTTATATTTATTTAGAAAACACTAAATATTATTTTAAAACTTTATTTAAATATGGCCATTAAGCAGTATAGAAGCTAAATAATTAGGAAGGCCTATGATTTGAAAGTAATATTTCTTCTTATTTTAAACCCTAAATTTACAAAGATCTTTGAAGGGGATATCATAAATATATAAATAGAAAAATAAATATTTTTCAACTAAGAGATTCATTTTTATCCTCTTTTGCTAAATAGCAACAATTTAAGTTACCTAAATATTTTCGTTACAGGTTATGAGCAATAAAATTAAGACTGTTTTGATGATCTTATTTTTATCACATTTCTGTTTTTTATTGAGGTTTCAAAACTTGAATTTTTTGTGTAATAAATAAGGAGTATTTCAAAATTCAATCTTGATTAACTCTAAAAATAAATATATTAAATCCTTTAAATTAAATCTGCTTGCTTCGATGATGATTGATGGTCATATCAATTAAAACATAAATGATAGCATAAAAATATGATCATTTTTATTTATTTGAAAATAATTAAGAATTTTGCTAATTTATCTTATATTTGAAGCTTACAAAAATAAAATCTTTTTAATTTTAATAAAAACATCAAATTAAGTCATTTATGTTGGAAATTTAATTTATTAAAAGTATTTTATTTTTACAGCATAAAAGTTTTATAGATAATAAAATGTTGATTGAAATTTTGAAGATACGCATACAGAATGCTAAATTTTAATAACTTATGAAGAGATAAAAGTAAAACTCAATTTAAAATTTTAAGGAAATATAAGTAAGAACTATAACACACACATATTTAAAAACAGTATGTTAATTAATTAATAATGGATCTAAAATAAAAAAAGTTCTTTATTTCTTAAAAAGGAAACATTGCTCTTAAATACATGGCTATTTTAACAAAAATTAGGGTGATACAAATAATTTCCATCAAAATTGATAAACTAAAAGATGAATTTGAGAGGATAATTACGTCACAATTTAATCAATAAATTTAATATTATTATTTGATAAATATTGTTAATTAAAATCAAATATATGTTAAGAAAATTCAACTATCTCCCTCCCATTCTCTTATTTTTTATGGCTATAATACTCAAAAAGAAGATTCAAGCAATAACACTCACATTTTCATATTTTTATTATTGAAGGTTATGTTAAAGTAACATAAAAAGCTTTTTTATTATCGGATTATTCTAAATATATTTACCATGCTTAAAAGCGTTTGATAATATTCTAATCATATTAACTGTAAAGTGTATACTTATGTATAATTAATGCATTTTCAAGAGAGCAAGAAAGCGAGAAGAGATTAAATCAAATGTTTTTACAAAAAATTGTTCTAGCTCAATTATATGCTCTTATAGATTCCTTAACTTTAATAATGATTTGATTATATTCGTTATCATATGAAAATTCAAATAAATATTTGTAGAATTATATGCAGAGATTATGTAAATAATCTATTTGCTTTGTTTTTTTTTTAAATTGTATGTAGAAAAAAGAAGGAGATGATTTTTATGATAATAATTGCAAAAGGCTTCAAAATATGATAAAAATTTCAATTAGCAAAACCAAATTAATTTACGAAGATATTTCATAAAAAAAATTCTGTAAGCAGGAACAAGTTATGTTAAATTTGAAATGACTGTAAATTAAATTGGATTTAACTATTTTAAAATGAAGTCATTTTTTTTGAAATTTCAAAAAGAAGTAATACGGAGAATAATCAGACTTTGAGAATGTAGCCTTATATCTTATTATCTTAGAGGAAGAAGAAGTGGTAATGTGTATTTTTAAAAATATATATTGATTATAGATTAACTTTAAGAAGAGTTCCATCTTATAAAGAAATATTTGTGAGTGTTGCGAAGTTATGTTAAATTTGCAATGACAGTAAATTAAATTTGATTAAATATTTAAAAAATGAAAGTTTTTTATTTGAATAGCTCAAAAAATAGTAAGACAACAAATAATCAGAATTTCATAGAATAACATTAATATCTAATTACCATAGTCTAACAAGAAAAATCAAACCATATATTTGGGCATATATTTTGATTTTTAATTTTAGAAAAATATCCCAAATTTTTGTCACTTAATCTATCTAATTAATCTTGCATAACAAATAAAATTAATAAGAAAAATTAAAAAAAGATTTATCTTTATTAATAGAATTGGGGAATCTTTTAAATATTTAGTGAAAGGATAATTGAAGATTGTTAATACTGAAAGCATTTTTTTTAACATAAAATTAAAATTTCTAAAAAAAAATCTTTGATGTTTATTTTTACTAAAACACAAATAAGATTGTCACAATAATAATTACTTTTAATAGAACTGGAAGGTAATTAACTAATTTTGAATAAAATAATCGCATAATGTAAATTAAATATAGAATTTCTATTATAATAAGGAAGAGGGGAATTCTTTCTATCAAACGAATTTTCTAATTTTTTAAAAAAAGCAAAAGAAAGAAAATTGAAATTACTCTATTGAAGTAATATTTGTAAAATTACGAATTATAAAAGACTAATTAATTATTTAGTCAATAAGTGGTTCCTTTGTTTGCTTTTATGTAGAAATATTTAATTAAAAGTATAACTAAATAAATAAGCGGGTAGGTAACATTAAATTTTAGGTTATTTTGGATTTTTTATTTAAATGAACTGAAAAATAAAGTAAATAAATAAATACTGGTTTTTTGCTTGAAAGAAAAATACATTTTAATTAAAAAGAAACAAACATAGAATATATATTTGTATGAAAAAATTATAACAAATACTTTTATTTTATGTTTATATAAAAATATGCAACAAAAAATGATCTAAGCCACAAATTAACAAAATAAAGCTAAAAGGAATATTTATTTCATTATTTTCAGGGATTGTTAAATAATTTTGTGGTTACTGAGTGTAAATACTTTGGGTGATTCTTATCAATCAATCAATTTATCAATTTTAAGTTTCTATTTAATTAATTATCATTTATTAAACATATCAAAAAGATAATTAGAAAATTTTATCAAGAATCAAATACTTTATTTATTTGATATCTACAAAGCGATTGATTGATTGATTAATTAATTGGATGAGTGAAATAAAAATTTCTTAGCTTGCAAAAAGCGAACATAAATAAATATTTATTTATTTGATTGGCTTTGTCATACACCGAATATAAAAGTATTAATTCTTAAATGAAATAAATCTAAAATTCTTATTTTTGCGATTATTTTTAGAGTAACTAGTCTCTTTCTATTTTCAAGGATGGCGAAATTAATTTTCTCGAAAATTTCAGTTAAACATTGTACAGATTTTCTGAGCACTAGATTTAAAAATTTACAATTTTTCTTAAATGAAGCTATATTCATAAAAGAAGTAAAAAGCATTTTAGGAGCCTTAATTAAACTTATAAAAAGTATTTAAAATGCTTAATAATATTGAAATATTTGCTATTGTTTATTCAACTATTTTCCCTTAGGGGTGAGATAAAATTTTAGTTTTTTATCTTTTTTTAACATATCTTAATTAATATACTACTTTTGTATAAACCAGAGAAATTATAAAAGAAGAAAGGCGAGCGATAAAGTATTTGCTTGGTTCAAAAAAATAACATATGCAATCACTTTTATAATCTAACAATAAAAGAACAGGAGATATTTTAAAATTTTATTTAATATGTCCTGTAAATGAAAATAGATAGATAAATAGATATAGATTCTTTGTGACTAATACCGCATTATCTTAATTTTATAATTACTTACTTAATAATTTTCTTTTTTATTGAAATCATATCCAAGGAGGGCCGGTCGTAATTTGAATAATTTTTGAGTATTAATCAATATTCTTTTTATAATTGTAAGAAAAAATTTTAGATAATAATTAAACTTTGGTGGCTTTTTATTTGTAATTAAAAGAATGAAAGGGATCTATACTTGATTTATCAAAAACAAAAAAAACATAAAAAATTCAAATAAGCATAAAAAATCTAAAAAAATAAAAATACCTCTGAAATTTGTTAATTAGCTCTTAATCAAAAGAGTATAAAGAAAAGAACTACTTTAATCATTCTATCAAAACAAATTAATAATATATATTTACATAACCTCTTACAAATAAAAATGGACAGCAAAATTGACCAAGGCATATCTTATAACTTCGCCAATATTGCTCTTTATCAACAATTGTTGAATTAAAAAAATCAAGCTTAAGCTATTTCCACTATCTCACATTCAAATTACCAATAAGGAAAACAGTTTGAGTCTAATTCTTCATCCTCGGTAAACAACTCTCATTTACAAAATGCAAGTGATAATATAACATGCCCAGTTCTTTTTAATTTGGTACCTAATTAACAAAGCTTGATTAAGGATAACTCAGGTATGCATCTTTTAGCTCAAATTCAATAGCAAAATTCTTCAGATTAGCCGAATATTTTGCAAATTTAATAACTTTCTTAAACTAAAAATATTTTACCTAGTGAAGTGCCTTATGCTTTAATCAGAAACAATTTCATGTAACCAGTTTTATAATTATAAATGGCATAGTAATAACCACTTCTTCTCGGAGTATAAGACCAATTATCTGCCTTGCCCTTAATTTAACCAGCCTAACTAGCTAATACAAAATAAGACATTTACAATATAAATAATTTACTTCAAAAACTAAATATATAAAATGAACCTTCTAACAATCCATAATAAAATTTATTAATTTTTTAATAACCTGCTATGTTGCTATAATCTCAGCAGCAGTAGCAATAATTCTTTCAAAACCCTCAACTCTTAGCACATGCCAATTTGTTGAATACTTCTAATAATAATTTAATTGGCTAAACTATCTAATCTAATAACGAACAAAAGATAAATAAAGATTTAAACCAAATTTCTGCAAAAATGAATGACCAGTTATTATTGGTTAATAACCAAAATTAATAAATGAATCAATTCTAACAATTAAATAGCCAATTGTTTGCAAATTAGATGATCCTGCCTGCTGAAAACTAATCTATGTATTTTAACAAAATTCCACTCAATCATTTAGAGTTGAATTAGTAAGCTCTAATTTCTTAGCAACTTTAGTAATAATTAATAATGTAAAAAAATATGGGAGCAAATGCGTAAATATTGTTAGCCAGCTCAAATGAACTAATGTAATTGCAAAATTAAGAAAGCTAAAACTAGCTATAAAATGAACAAAATAGATAAAATCTTCAAAATTATAAAAGCCTCTTACCTCCCCTTAAAAATGTGAATCTTCAGGACAAAACGATTTAAGGGATAACTCCTTTTTAAAATTCTGAAGATATTTCTTCTTCCACAACAATTAGTAATTCTCAAAAAGGATTAATACTTAATAATCAATATAGCAATACTCTTTCACCTTAAAGAGCATCTAATCCTTCAATTCAATCTATCCAACAGTCTTCTTCCCTTACTCACATAAACCACGGAGAGAAGACAGAGGACTGCTCAAATATATTCAGTACTGGCAAGGTAATAGCCAGCCTCAAAGACATCGATCAAAATGATTTAACATTCAGCCATAACCCTTAAATCTTCTTATCATAAAAGTTACTTCCAGTTCAGATGAAAAATGATTCACAAAATAATAAAATTGTTGCAAACCAAAGAACCAGTAATGAAATTTATAGTAATTTAAAAAATAATCTCCTAAATAAATCTCTCATCCAAAATATAAATTAATAAGATAGCGTTGAGGATTTAAAATATGGGCAGAACAAAGGGTTCTAAAAATAAAAATCTACTGGCGATAGAGAAAAAAATGGAACTTTTAATAGAGTTCTGCATTCAAGTTAATCATCTTCAAGCAGCACTCCTCTTAAATCTAAAACATCCAAGAAAGAAGAGAAGAACCTTAGAAAATAGCATGTAAAAATGTACTAAAACCCTTTAAATAGCGAATTTATTTAAAGCTAGCTATCAAGCTGTTTAAGCGATAACAATAGTAAAGAATCAAAAGACAATAAGTAAGCTAAAACACGCAATAATGAAGATCCCTACAAAAATTATGGTTATGACTCATAAATAAAAAATTAATTGCGCAAACAAGTTCTTAAATGCTTCTTTAAAAATGTTTCTACCTACGTTGATAAATTTGAGTCATAAATTGCTCATCAATTCCCAAACCTAGAAAAAAATGCACTTAAATCACTATGCAAATACTGGTCACAATTTGACAACCCAACTAAGAGAGAAAACCTGAAAAACGATGAGTACAAATCTCTCTGCTAAACTTTAGGTATTAACAGTGAAATAAAACCTCTTGGACAAAAGTCCATCAAGGAAGTCTTCTGCCTTAAAAATGATTTTAGTGAAGGCTTGAAGTATCTATTCACAAGCTTCAACGAAGATTTATCGCTCCATTCAAAGAAGCAAAAGCAAAAGAAAATGAAAGAATTGTATATCGAAACCTCTGAAGAGATTCTCGACGATATCCTTGGTAGATAAAGAAAGAAAAAGGATGCTTAGAATGGATAATAAAATAAAGATACTAATTGAGCACATAAATAAAATAGACGCTTTTAAGGCTGCAAAATGCTCCTTAAAAAAGCAATGTACTCTAACTCACTTCTAAAAAGCATATTTTTTTATTTATATTAATCACCTAAAATTATCGGAATATAAAATTGTATTTTCAGCCTATTAATTCTTTCTATTCATCTACTTTGCAGATGAAAAAGGCAAAGAAAATCTAAAGAAAAAATAATTGGTGATAAATTAAAATACATAAAATTAAGCTACAGACGCTTTATCTTAATATTCCCACCCCTCAATATTAAAAAACAAAACCAAGAAATCAAACAAACAAACCTTATTTTCAAATATTTAATAACAGACAATTAATTATAGCAAGTAAAATCAATAAATATATTATCTCACGCACATACACATACACATACCTTCCTCTAACACTTTCTCTTATTCACCGCATCCTCACCACCAAACAATTTCTTCATATAAACTTACTCACTCACTCTTTTTCATTAAACATAACCATTAAGTTAATATATTATGACTGATACATCAATTTAAATTTAATATATATAATTTGTTTATATAAAATATTTAATTCTATTTTGTAATTTATACTTTTGTATTATAAAAAACTCCTAATTGTTTTTACTTCCTCCAAATTATCTTTTTTCTCTATTCATATATCTAATAGAGATATTTCAATATTATGTCAATCACTTTCTATTTAATTTAATCTAAAGTATTGCGCGTTAAAAACAATACATTTCGTCCATAATACAGCAAGCAATTAAAATATTGTTGCAAAAATTTAAGATCAAATATTTTTTGAAAATTCAAAAAAAAAGTTTTTGAATGTTTGTTCTCTTTCTTTCATAAACCGCTTATGAAAAGATAAAATTTTAATTTCGTTTACAACTTGATTTTTTTTTTCTTGATGTTAAAAAAGCAAGGTAAGAAATAATCAATTATTTATTTAATCAGGATTTTATGATTAGTATCGAAAAAAATTTTTATTTATGAAGAGGATGATAATTAATAGATAAAAGAAAAAATTTCCCCAAATCTTTATACGAATAATATATTGGCGATAGATAGACGATAATGTCTCTACTAATTAAGGATGATGAATAAATTAATTAAATTAAAGAATAATGATCATAAATTAAAAAATATTCTTTTACTTTACTATCGCAAGTCAAGATAAATAATTCTGCATAGTATCAAATCAATATATCATCCAATTTATTTTCAGTAAAAAAATTATAATTTTTTAAATTTCAAATACATGTAATTATAATTTTAATCATTAAGACTACAAATCTATTTATTTTTTGCTATTAGCTATGACAATTCTGGTGAAAGCTTTGATTTTTGATTTTTCCTAAATTTTCCAAATTTAAAAGAATTTACTTACAACAACATTTACCCGTTTAACTTTTTTTTAAATAATTCCTTTTTTAAGGTAACATCGAATATTGTCCATGAATAATGAAGAATAAATACATAATTTTAATAAGGGATCAAAAGTAACTTGCTATAAATCCCTCCTAAGTCTAAAAATATTAAGAAAGATATCATAAGCAGATAAAAAATACCATTCTTAACTTTAGGGTATATAATACACTAACCTTAAAATTATTAATTGATGTAATATTAAAAAATAAATATTTAAATGAGTAGCTAGGAGTATAGCAAATAAAATACTTTGAAGCAAAAAAATATAGATATAAAGATATTCATTTATTTTCTCGTACATGATTTAATACATCTTAACAAATAATTTTATTGAATAATTTGTTGCAATCAATATCTGTATATATGTATCTATCTTTTTTTCTTTAAAAGAGATAGAAAAGCAAGTAAAAAAGGTAAACATTATTAATTACTATTTCGCAAATCAAATTTTCTTTTTTTCGAAAAATATAAAAGTCTCTTTTTACAATAAAAAATCTTATTTCTAATACTAACTATCACAAAATTTCATGTTACTGAAATGTATGAGTTATCATCACACTTACTTGTCTATTTTTTTTACCCATTTGAAAAGCAATTCATTTACTGTTCAACCAATCGAAAAATATGAGAAAAGGCCGTAAAAGTGAATTTATTTCTTTAATTACTAACTTCTATAAAAAATAACCAATAATATGATAATATAGATTAAATGTATATCAGCCTAATTTATTAATTTAATTTTTTTCCTTGCCTATTTTTTAAGCATTCCAACCGCTGTATCTTATTTATTATAATAACTTTGTGGGTTTAACTAGATTTAAAGAGCTGATTAAAATTTGGTAATTGAGATTGATTAATAGATATAAAATTTATAATTAGCACAGATAATAAGAAACATTTATTAGTACTACATATCTAATTTCTATGAAATTTACAAAATTTTTAACCTTTTTATCTTTCTAACCTATATCTCTAAAGATTACAGAGATTACTAATTATTAAAACTAACTTTTATTTATGAATATATATACATATATTTATTTTCTTGATGTGTGCAGCTTAAAATACACGGATTGCTTTTTAATTTTATATTTTATCTTTTTATTTTTTTAATTTTAAAGTTTTTTTGTTCATCAACAATAGCATTACATATATCTATTATAAGATATAACTAATATTGTATAAGAAAACTTTCAAAACTTCTATTTGCAAAAAACTAAGATAAATAAATCCAATTAATTAGCTAATAATCTGAGAAAGAATATAATTTTTTTTTTTAAAGAAATATCACTTTCATTGAATTCTAAGTATTCTTAAAAGAAATTCTATATTGAAAATTTATTTTTTTCAGACCAAACTCAAAATTTGCTATGCTAGGCATTTTTGCTTTAATTTATAATTTCAGCTAAGACTTTTTTTATTCAAGTTTCTCATAAAATTGATCCATTAAATTATGGTTTATAAAAAAACTTATAAATCAAAAGTGCTAGTTATATATTTCTGTTTTTTTTTCTTCTTTCATTAATAAGAAAATCTATTCACTTCTTCAAAATAAAATACAAATTTTAGTTATAAATTTATTTTTCTTTTTTTTGAATTGGAAAATCTTAAGCAGAATATTGACAGTAAATCTCAAATTTGTTAAATATTCAATTCAAATATGAAAATACTATGAATTTTATTATCTTTTAACTTACTACTTTTTACACGTCTAACTATTCTTAGTTTAGTTTGTAAAAAATGATAGCTGGTTATATTTTACTTTTCTATTTTCAAAATTTGCTCAATCAAAATTAAGAATTTAGTTAAGAATTTAAAATGATATCAGCTAAGACATTTCTTGAAATGTAAAGCTAATACAATAACACAAAAAATATATTAGAAAATTTGTTTTGTTTATATGCGATTTATTTTTTAAAAACAAGTATTTATTTAGATTTTCTTTTCATAAATATCTCTTTATTGCTTATAAAATTTAAATATAAACAATTTTAAGAACAAATTTTTTTCGTAGATTTAAAAAGGAAAGAAAAGCAGCTACTTTTTGATCATATATTTTATTTTAAAATCATATTTTTATTCCTACTAAAAGAAAATTTAACTAATAAAAAATTAAATACTTATTTATTTACTTATTATGTTTGAAATAAAATGTTAAATACATTTTTTTTGGCGTGATTGAAAAAACAAATTAGAATTATAAAATTTTGGATTTTAATTTTATTTACAAAGAAACAAATATTTAGAAAATTTAACTTAATTATTCCAAAAATTTATCAAAAAAAAAATGATTTTTAAAATTAATTTTGAAAAATATAAACCTAATTAATTAATTAGAATTTATTTTTCTTATTATTTAAATGATAATTAATTCTTGAAGTATAGATAACTTACTATAATTTTATAGTCATTATTAATTATTCAAAGATAATTAATTTCATTAAAAATATCCAGTTAAATACATATTTAAAAAATATCTATCTATCTATCTATAATTTAGTAGGTACAAAAACAAAGTATTAAAATATTATAGAAATGAATTCATCGACAATAAACAGATCTTAGTATGGAAATTTAAGCATTCAAGTATAAATAAAATCTACTTTATAAAGCTAGCAAAGTTATTTTATCGCTAATATATTCATTAATAATAAAGAGTAATGGCTTAAAAAATAGACCTCTAAGTGCGGCAACATTTAAAGGAATTTACAGCAAGAAGCCAAAAGATTCTAAGTTAAATATTGATTCTTTTATGAATACTCATGCAGGGTAAATATAAAAAAAGTTAAACTCACTTAGAAAATATATTTTATAAATATTAGCTCTATAATTAACCCTAATTCTTTGAATGACGACTAATCTGTGAATTAAGATACAGATAGGTAAAATTTAAGCATTGTTATGAAAAATTTTAAAATAAAATAATATAAGATTTAATAGAAATAATGTATACCATGAGATAGTTAAAAAAAGACCTTAAATTGCTAAAGTAGATAAGGTAATCTATAATTAAATTGATTTTTCTTCTCTTTAAATATAACGTTGCATTATTTGTAATTAATTCATAAATTAAGCAGCAAAAAAATTGTTAATGAAATGTATTTATCATTATGATTATAGGAAAAATTATATGAAGAATCAATACAGCTAAATAGATAAGTTGAGAAGCTAAGAAATGATTAATAGTAGCTTCTTAAAGAATTATAAAGGGTAGAAAATGAAAAAATAAAGTATCAAAAGCTAATATCAGAAGTAGAAACATATGTAGACAAGAAGAAGGGCCAAAAGATATCTTTAAAGGAGGTTTAATATTTATTAAATGATTAATTAATTTAGAAATGATTTACATAACCAAACATATTTTTTAAGCTTAGGCTTTCTTTGTTGTAAAATATTTTTTATACAAAAGAGTTGGCTTGTTATAAACTTAAAAAAGTAGTTACAAAACCTTAAAAATGACATTCAGTATAAAAAAAGTGTTGTCATAGATTTAAAAAGAGATCCTTTTACCACTTAAAAATAAGAACATGAGATATTTGTCAAAGTTTATCAGGAAATCGCTGAGTAGTATAGAGTAAAAACTAAGCAATTATAAAAGTAAAATAGCTAAAAAGTAACAAATAATAAAGTGGATAATGCTACAGATAATAACTAAGAAGCCACCGACAAGTAAAATACATTAAATAATTGACATTTAATAATGTTATTTGCTAGTTCTTTTAATAGCAATTCTAACTCTTCAGAAGTTAAAGCTATTGAATTAGAATGTGAATTTAAAATACTGCAAAATTAAAATGAAGAATTTGAAGTATAAAATATTTTTCTTATTATAATTTGTTGTAAATAATCATAATTTTTTTGTATACAAAGTGCCAATAGAGTATTATTGAGCGTAAAGTTGCCCATACACTAATATAGCTTAGTTAATGTAAAGAAGAATTAAAGGAAAAAGAGAAAGATATAGAATATTTAAAGGAAGAAATTCAAAGGATGATTGAAAAGGAAAAAAAAAACAAAGAAATAAACTCAAAAATAAATACTTTTAAACTAAAAAATTAAAATAAAAATGGAGAAGAAATTAGATAAAGGTAATTCATATTTATTTATTAACTTGTGTGAATAAAATTTCAATATAAAAATATAGAAAAAATTCAGAGCTAGAAAGAATGAAAGACCCAAGCTACTAACTATTAAAAGAAAAAGATATTTAAATCGAAGAAAACTATAAAAAGATTACATAATTGAAGCAAACACTACAAGAAATTACAAATTTTGAAATAAATTCGAAAAATGAGCTAAACGATGAGCTTAATCACTTGAAATAAGTTTTCAATACTCTTGAAGCAAAATATGAACAACTAAATTAAGAAGCTGACGAATTCAATAACTAAATACCTCTAGAAAATTTCCCTAAACTTGGTTATCAATTTCAAATAACGAATAATATTTTGCAAAAATAAGATGGAAAACCATAAGTAAAAGTACCTAAAGTTACATCGTTTGACATCAAAGTGATAGGTAAGTTTAGAGATTATTAAATATTTTAATTTGAATACTTAAATATATTAAAAAAGCTCATGAAATTAAACTCAGACTTACATTAAAAGCTATACCTATAGTAGAGGCTGTTAAAAAGTTGTTTAGCCAAGAAGTTAGGAAAAATTCTCATGTCACAATTGACGAAATGAGAGAAAGATTATAAATGTAAAATATACTTGAAAAATAATAAACTAATTTTAATAATATGCCTTAAAAATAGGTCTCCTTTTTCAATAAAAGTTTATGATGAAGCATTGCTTTTTGCTCGTTATTTAGTTGAAGATAATTAAGAAGAATTTTTATACTTAGATTTAAATAGGTCAAGTAACTACAGGGTCATAAGAAGTATTTTCAAAACCTCAATAGGATAAATAAATATAATAGATGAAGAGACTGAAAAAATAAAGTGGAAATAGTTGTCATTAAAAATTACACAGTTCTAACAAGGACTTTAAGAAACTTCAAATATGTATTCAAAAACAGGGATATTAAGTAGTGAATATGTCTAAAGATGTCTGGAAGAAACACTAAATGAAATAGATCAAGAAGAAATTGTAATTTTTAAATTAATTTATATAATTAAATTTGACAAAAAATAAAATAAATAAAAGGATTATGTGCTAATGAGGATGTTTGAAGCTACCAACAATTACAAGCGTTTAAATATGGAACTCATGTTTGAAATATTTAATGTTAATAATTGGAAATCTAGAAGCTAAAGAAAAGAGCTTTACTAAGTCTATTTGGAAGATGGCGTTTAAATAGATGATGAAATTGATAGATTCCCTACTGAAATAAATAATAGTATGATGTCAAATTAAAATGAAAATGAAGTTAGTCCTAATAATTTAAATAATATGATCATTCCTCTTTCACAATTTAAGTATTTATGATATAATATACTAATTTATGTTATATTTAAAATAACTTTAGATTTTCAAAAAATATTTTGTATATTAGCTAGAATTTATTTTAAAAAAAGTAAATATTATGTTTTTGATATAGATTTAATCAAAATAAATTTATTTATTTATTTGTTTAGTCTAAATATATTTTATTTTCAATTTAAACTTCTAAAAAGTTAAAATATCTACCACTTTAATTTTTCTAATTTAAAACCTTTTCTAAAAATTCCTAGTTTGATAATAATAAGAAACATTAAAATGAGTTGTTTGGGTAAATCAATTTACTTGATTTTGCTTATTAGTGGAGTATTTGTTTTATGGCTTTGTTATCATAACATATTAAATTAGGTTTTAGAGATTATAATTAAATGTCCTATTAAATTTTTATTTCTTTTAATTAATTTTGTAAAAGTTAATTACTATAAAATTTTTTAAATCTATTAATTTTTTATAACCATAAAATTTAAAGCATGTTATATTAAATAAGCAGAAAATGCATTTAGTTAAATTCTGCTTAGACTAATCTTCAAAAAAAGTTTGAAATAAAATGTAAATTAATTTGTTTTACCACTAAGCAAGTTAATAACAAGAAAATCTAAAAGAATGTTTGGACTTATAAATTGTTGTGAAAATAATTTAATTATGTAATTAATATGTGCAAATATTATCATTCGTTCGTTAAATCAAAAAACTAAAAAAAATAAAGAAAATAAACAAAGCATATATTTATTTGTTTAAAAATTAAAAAAATAGAAAGCAACAAATCGTATTTTTAAGCAAGTTTAGTTTGATATCAAACATATTTTATATAAAGCCATAACATTAGGATATAGTAAATGATGAATTACATGAAAAAGAAGTACATATTTAGTTGATTCATTTCTCAAATGGTAATATCAATCTATCAATTATTTTATTTAAAAGGTTTTCAAAGAGCAAAGAAGATTATGAATCCACTAATTCTGAAAATTCATAAACTACCAGTAACACTTATCATTAAAATGGCAAAAAACATACAAAAAAATAATAGCAATTAGCTAAGCCACCTATGCAAAACAATATCCCATCCTTTATTACACAAGTCACTAGAGAGTATAAATTTAGTTTCTTTAAGATTTAAAATTTCATACTTATCTCCTGCATTGTTTTTGATTTTTAATAGTTACTTGCTTTTTATGTAAAAATTTTTTTGTATTATATTAGCGGTAAACCTATGCAATTCTACCCTTAAAATGATAATAACGAATCTCCTGAAGTTCAAGAAACAAAAAAGATTTCATTTTTAGAAAGGTTGTGCAGCTGTTTTAAGTAAAATTATTATGCTTTTGAAACCGCCATACAGTTTTAAATAGAATTTTGTCTTTTTATAAATAATAGAACTAAATAATAATAAATATCGGAAGAAGATGAAGTGAGCCAAATAGAATAGGAAAGTAGTCAAAAATCTACAGATTAATAATAAATGTAAAAATAAGATAACTAAGAAGTCTAATAATAACAATAATAGCAATAGCAGTAATAAAAATAAAGAGCACCTCTTTAGACAAGTCTTCCAAAAGTAATATAGCCTCAAGATCCTAAGTTTCAAGTAATCTTAATTTAAATACCTAGAGTTAAATAAATGTGTTTTGAAGCATATTAACAATCAAAAAATTCAGTTTAAGTTATAGTTTTAGTGTTTAACGATTACATAGGTTATTTGAAAAACAAAATATATAAAAAATAATAGGGTAAAAAGTCTCTAATAATTGATTTAGATGAAACTTTAGTGCATAGCTCTTTTACAGTTATTCAAAATGCAGATTTTACTTTACAAGTAATAAATTAGCTTTTTTATTATCTTTAGAATTTAGCTAGTAAACGTTTATTATTTTTTTAAAATAATTCAGATTACAGTTTAAAACATGCCTTTTATTGTCTACGTCAAGAAAAGACCTGGTTGTGAATTCTTTTTGGAAGAATTGAGTAAATATTATGAATTAATAATCTACACTGCAAGTCTCTCAGAGGTAATTAATTTATTTATTTATTTATTTTCTTTTTTAAAAATTTGAAATAAATTCTTTTTATTTCTTTAAAATAATTCACCAAAAAAAATTTATAATAATCTACATTATTCAAAAGTATGCCGATCCTGTTATGGACAGAATAGATAAGAATGGTGTATGCTCTTTAAGATTATTTAGAGAAAACTGTACACTTTACAATGGAGTATTTGTTAAGGATTTATCATTAATGCAAAGAGATTTAAAAGATCTCATTATCATCGATGTACTTTTATAATTATTTTTACCATCTTAAAACTGAAAACAAATTAAAAAAAAGAACTCTGAAACATCCTTTTTGTTTTAACCTGCTAATGCAGTGCATATAAAGTCTTTTTTTGATGATATGAAAGACAGAGAACTCTATAGATTAATACCTATGCTTATTTTCTTATCAAATGTATTAGCATAATTACTTTATAGTTTAACTCATTTGTTTAAATTATTTAATTCATACTTAGAGCTTTGATGTGCGTCATGTTGGTAACTGGTGGAGAGAATTTGAGCAAAACGATTTTATTGACTACAGAGATAAAAAGAATAGATTGTAAAGATTAGATAAGTAAAGACTGTTGGAGGAGTTAGGAGATTTGAGATAAAGAGACTTATAAATGGAAGCTGAGTCTATGTATGATAATAGCAGCTAGTTAATGATGAACTAAGGAAGAGAATCATTTACAGTTTCTCCTAAAAATAGTGTTTCTTCATAATAACAATTATTTAATGGAAAAAAATATGAAAATGATAAAAGACAGGAAAAGTATAAAAAAAATTTTACTTAAAAGAAGCCTCTTATGATAGAAGTACCTGAAGCAGAAGAAGAAGATAATTTGCCAGCTGCTAGAAATAAAAATAATAAAGATATAAATTAAAATATTGAGTTAGAATCAGTTAGAAACAAATTATTAGCAAGTCCTGATAGCTAATATTAAGAATCAGTAAGTTCAACTAAGAATGGATACAAATAAACTGCTTTCAAATTCAATGAATATGAAGATTACAATAAACGTATTAAAGAAGAAGATCCTTACAATTTTAAGACTTAGCCAGATGCTATTGAGGAAAATAGTGAATCATATAAAGAAATGAAATAGATTTTTGATAACATCCGTTATTGCACAAATACTATGAATGTAAACTCTCCAGTATCTAAAGAAAGATTCATACAACTTCTAGATAATAATAGCTACAGAAAAAAAACAGAGAAACATTCACAACAAAATGATTAAGAAGCTCATTACTTTGCTTCTCCAAAAAAGTAGTAGATAATGATAAAAAAAGTAGAAAGCGTAAAAAATGATTAAGATGGTTTGATGAGCTAACTAAGCTACAAACCTGACATCTAAGATGAAGAGTAAGACGAACTTACAAATAAAGATAGTGATGATATAGCTATTATCAACAAAGAAGAATAAGAAGACAATAGCTAAAACTGAAAAAATAATTATATAGCCAATAACTTTCTTAATTAAAAATTTATCAATTAGGAGAAGAAGTATAATTTATAAGTAATATTAATAACCACCTAAGGTAAAGAATGCAACTTGGCTTAATTGCTTGTTAACACTAACATAATTAACAACCAATAACCAAAATATATAAACCGAATCTAACTAAATAAACAATAAAAAATATAGTTAATTAAAAATTATTAAAATTTTAAAAATTATTCGATTTGTCTCACAGATTCATTTAAGTACACAATATATTTATTTAAATCTAGTTGAGATAATTTTGATTATTTTAGCAATTAATATGTCTTCCGTAAATTTAATAAAAACTTAAAAAAGTGATTTTTTCTGATAAAAAATAATAAAAGACCCAGAAATAAAATAATTTAATAATATAAAATTGTTTAGATTAAGTAAAATAAAAAGATATTAACTAGCTATTTATTTCATTTAAAAATTTATTTATATAAAACAAACTGTAATTTTTATTAAAGATAAATTTCTTTTTAAGTCTTAAAGGTTGTCCTATCTATCTATGTATTCAAATATTTTATTTATTGTAAAATTTTAATTAATTGTTTTAAAAGAAATTTATTTTTTAAATTGGAAATTCTTTTTTAATAATTAATTAAATCTTTATCTAAAAAGGTAAATATGTCTTTTTAAAACAAATAAAATCTTTGAAAACTCACCTTTCAAAATTGATAAGTTTTGTTTAAGATAAAAATAAATCAAACAATTTATTATTATTATTTTTAATAGTATTTAAATATGAGCACAAAAAATTAGATTTTGTAAAAATATTGAATTTTTTTATAACAAATTTGATTTAAATTTAATTTTTTAGAGTAATTAATTTAAAAATATTAACTATATACTCGTCTATTTTCGATAAATAGTATTTATGATAAATAGCTAAATAATTTATGTTTTTGATGATTTTGTACAAATTTTTATAAAAAGAAAGTTTAGATAGCTAAAACAATTAATTTCTTTAGAAATTTTTTATTTTACATTTGTTTAAGTTTATAAAAAATATAAATAAATAAATAATTAATTGTTTTATTCATTAAATAGAATTCTTTTTATCCATTTATTATTGGTTAACCATGTTAGTTTTTTGATTGAGCTTTTTCTCTTACTTTATGAAATCATTTCCAAAAGTATAATCTTCATTGAAATACTTTTCATCATCATCTTGATCGTCTATTAGATTCTCTTACTTTTATACAACATTCTTTTAAATTATTGTTCTTTCCATTATAGTTCTTCCCTTTCTTCTGTTATTTAAATTATTTTCTCTCTCTTTTAATTTTTAATTTAGACTTTCAACATTTTGCTTTTGTTACTATTACTGTATTTATCTACTTCTATTTTATTTAATTCCTTTTTCAATTTCTAAAACTCTTTTAGCATTTTCCTCGCTTTCATTAATATAATTTTCTCTATACTTTGTAATACTCTCTAACTTCTTTTCTATTATCTAAATTATATTTTAAATGAAAATTCCAAAAAAATTAATAAAGGAATAAAAGTAATTTTTTTTTTTACATGCATCTAATTTCTCATCTCTTTTGTATCTATATTCTAATTTGAGAGTATAGATAAAAGATCAATATTTTAAATCGTATCACTGGCTCCCTTCGATACTTTATTTTCAGCTTCTTCTATACATTTGACAATTTAATAAATTTTTTCTCCAATTTTTTGCATATCTAAGTCTTCTCCTTCAGAAATTTATACTTTACTAACATTGAACTTTTTTAAACTTATCAAATTTTATCTCCTTCTTTAAGCAATCTATTAAAGCTAAATAAATATCTTGAAATTAAATTTATAAAATTACTTCTCTTTATTTTTCTAGCTCTTTTATTCTCTCTCTATTTTCATTCTTTTTTTATTCTAGTTTAACCTCCAATCTATTTTTTTCTTTCTTTTTATTTTCGTATTCTTCTTCAGACTCATTGTTGTTTTAACAATAATATAAATTTTTCTCTTAAATATGATTTAAAATATCTTTGAGTTATGCAGGAGTAAATGGAATAACATAAATTGATTTAGTGTTATTTAAAGCACTAGCCTATTAAGAATTTTCTGCTGCAGCTGCTCCTGCTGCCTAATTTGGTTATGTAAGATATAAAAAATCATTTCCATCTTTACTATTTCCTTATTTTTACTTGTTTTTATCATCTAGATAATTGTTATCTGAGCCATATATTTCTTAGTATTTTACCTATCATAAAAAAGAAATTTATTTTTTAATTTTGTAGATTAAATCTAGTTAAAAAAAAGTTACATACTTTAATTTTATCTACAAATTGCTTATATGTTAAAAGAGTTTTATATTCTTCTTCTTTTCTTGATATTTTTTATTCTATTCTTTCAACTTCTCCTTAAAGCTAATTCCATTTTTCCTTATTTTTTTCTTTTTCTTTCTATTATCTTTCTGCTTCCTAATCATTTTAAATTGAAGTTTATATTTAAACTTAACCCATAAATAAAAATCTAAACCTTTTAAGCTTCATTTGCATCACTTTCTACCTCCTTAATGAATTAATTAACCATAGTCCAATCATTTTCGAAATACTTATTTATTTTTTAATTAAAATGCATTTAAGAAGCAAAAATTAATTGAATTAAATTTTACAAATTTTCTTGCTTTTAAAGACTCTTTTTCATTTTTAATAAAATCTTCAAGTCTTTCAGTCTCTTCCTTTTTATTATAGATATTCATATTTGAAAGACATATTTCCCTCTTTTTTTTGATAAACTCTGCTATTGTTTCTCTTTTTTCTTTAAGTATGTTATTGATTCTATTGATTTATTTTCTAATATCATTGTCTGAGCTATCCCTACATTTTTATTTTTGAAGTTAATAATATATATCAATCACTAAATACTCAAAAAACTACCATATTAAAACGCTTTTTGCCTTTCTTTTTTCATCTTCTCTTTTTTAATCTCTTGCTAAGGTTTCTTCTCTAGCCTTAGCCATTTTTTCAGCTATTTATTTAATTATATTTTTAATCAATATATTTTTAATTAATATGAAAATATACCTTCCTCATCCAGTGCTCTTATAATACCAAATTTCTTGGATATTTTAGTTTTAGAATATAATCTTTCGCTTATTTCCATATCAGCTACTCTTTCCTTATATATTGTAAATAAAATGCTTAATATTTAAGCTAATTTTTCTGAATTTAATAAATCATGATGAATATTTATCTATTGATTGTACCTTTTATTCCTAAACTTCAAGTTTTTGAACTAACTATATTAAATAACGTATTAATATTTTAGGTTTCCATTTTTATATTGAAAGATACTCTTTTAGGATTGGTTTCTAAAGAAAATGGGTTATCTACTAAAAGTGTTTTTTCAGTCATTTTAAATTAATGCTTAAATAGTTAGTTAGTAATTCTTGTTATCTTTGAAAGTTATAATTTAAAATTGTAAATAATAAATCAGAAATAATAATATTTATCACAAAAATACAAAATAAATGATAATAATCAATTAAAAATTAAGTTTCAAATCAACAAAAAAATGAAAATTTTGTTTTTTTAATAATTAAAAATTATTTTATATAAAAATTTATTATTTTATGTTAAAAAATAAAATTATTTAATTATATTTTAGCACTTTATTGAATGCAACTTCACTAAAAAGATCTGGAATAGCTAAAACAGTTTTATTTGAAAAGAAAATAGTTAAGTATATAAAAGCCTATTATTAAATATTAATGTTTCATAATACATTCAATTTATTTTAAATGGTTTTAAAATATATTATTAATTTTGTTCTGGCTGGATTTAGTAAATAACTTCTACTTAATTAGAATTAAAAGCTTCTTAAAATTTAAACAACTATTTATGTTAAATAAACATAAAAACCTATTTCAGTTAATAAATATTATCATTTCATATTAAATTTATCTGATATTTAAAATTTTAAGCCATAATGATTTGATATGGATATAATATCTTTCGATGTAGTTAATAGGTAACTTAATATTGGATTCTTTTTAATAAAAATGTAAAGGAATCTATATATCCTAAAAAAATGATAAACTAATTATATATTATTAAATTTTTCAGGATTACTTTAGAAATAATTTAAGTTTTAATATTGAATTTAATTATTTTAAAAATATTTTATCTAGATATATCAAATAAATCCTTCAATTCGAATTTTTTATATTAAATTTTGAGAAATTATTTTCTTCTTTTTAAAAATTTCAAATAATATTTCATTTTGAAAAGAATAGATTTTGATATACAAAAATTACTATATCTTAAAACATATTTTTTGATAGTTGTACTTATATACCTACCTGTCTTTAATTTAACTTTAATTATTTGCAAAAAAATAAAAAACTACATAAATAATAAAATTAATAAATTTTTGAAAATTAAAAACTTAGCTTTATACTTACTTACAATAGTCCAAAATAACAATGTCAAGCAAAGAGCCCTCAAAGAAGGAGAATTTATGGAACAACATCTTAAATGAAACAGGATAAAAGAATAAATTTTAAAATAAGTAGGTTCTTGTATTAGGAACTAGAGGAACAGGCAAAAGAACTTTAATAGATTCGCTACACGAAATTTCTTAAACAATTTACCCAAAAATAAGTAATGATGCTAACATTTTTTTATTTGAAAGTTACTTAATATCTCAAAAAGAACAACTTGATGAGCATTTAATCTATGATTAATTAACATTATAAAAAAGGCAATAAATTTAATTAATTAAATATGTTTATTTAGGATCAAATGAAATGCAAAGCGGTAAACTTAGAATAGCAGGATCTGTATCTGCATTAGATTATGTTTATTTAAACGTCAAGAATTTAGACGATTAAGATGAAGGTATATATTAAATAGTATAATTGCAATATCAAAGAACTATTTTCTAATATAATATTTAGATACTATGGCTAAATTAGGATTCTATATAATTGATGAAGAAACTTAAAGGTAATTGCAATTCATCATTTTTATTTTCTCCAAATAAATTTTTGCGCAATACAAATCGAAAAATTTAAATTTATTTATAAAAATTTAGCCAGTTGCTGCCTATTGTATTGAAATAAAATACTGTAAAGGACACATTAATAACTATTATGCTTGATCTATCAGAAGTAATTTAAAATCTTAATGCATGTTGATTGAACAAATTTATTTTTATAATTTTATCATGAAAACTTATTTAGTATTTTATATGAAAAAATTATTTAAGCCTTGGACTTTTATGGAACAACTGGATAAATGGATAGAAATGATTACAAATCACTTACAATCTTTATAAATAAATCTTGAAACATTAGATTAAATGAGAGCTAAAGGTATTTTATTACTAAATTCAAAAATTATAGTAAAAAGCAAACATTATATTAGTGGAGAAGCTGTTTAGAGACTACAAAGAACCTGTTTTGGACTCTGATGGAAAATTAGTAAAATCAGATACCTAAATTTCTCCTGAAGAAGAAGCAGAGTTAATTAAACTTAAAGTAAAATCTTAATTTATTAAACTTATAAACTAAATTTATTCAAATAAAGAGTAGTGTCCCTCTTCCAGAAGGCTCTCTTACATCTAACTTAGGTATTCCTATAGTCATATTAGCAAATAAGGTATATTTTCTAAAGTTTACAAAGAAACTTATCGTTTTTTAAACTAAATAAAGTCTGATTTGATTGCTTAGAGCAATGATCAATAAAGCTAAATTGTCTTATATTATTTAAGAAAGTATTGCCTTTAATGTATATAAATTTTAATAGTATTTTGATATCATATAATAATTTTGATAATTAAAGATGGTGCAAGTTTAGTCTTTACCTCTAGCAAAAACTAAGAAAGCTTAGAAATTTATTATGAATATATGCTTCATACATTATATGGTTTTAAAAACAAAAATAAGTCAGAAATATATACAATTGACTCTATTTTCATACCTTCTGGTTCAGATAACTTAAATCTTTTAAAGTATATCCTTTTATTTTAATTTTTGTGTAAATAGTTATTAATTAATTTCTTTTTATAGGTAGAGTAACTCAACTATTTTTGAATAATGCGACTCTAAACCTTATGAGGAACTAGTTAAAAGACCTACTAGTAAGAATCAAAGATAGGAGGAAGTTGTTTGCGAAGATGAACAAGAATTTTTAAAGAATTTAGTTAATGATAAGTCCAATCCTGAACCTATATAAAGTGCTAAATCTTCAATTTCTGCTATTCTTTAATCAGGCACAAGTTCGACTTCTACAAGAACAGTAAATCCTCCTATAGTAGGGAACTAAGGTACTACAAGTGTTGCTAAATTCTACTAGACTCTACTTAACTAGCCAAATGATGTAAATAATTAAATATTTTAAAAAGATAATAATCCTTTATTTTAATTATTTTAAATAGGCTAGAAGACTCAGAGAAAATGCTGAAAGAGACTTACAACAAAGAGTTGGAAATAGTACAAATAATTATTTTAGAAACGACGAAATTTAGTAGGTCAAAGATATTATAAAAAAGCAAAATTGAATAAATAAATAAATATTAAAAAATGCATTTCACATATTTAGTAAAATGCTTTTAAAATTTATTAATAAAAAACTATTTATTTATTTTTACATGTTTCAATATTAAATTCATGCAAAAAAAAAAATTTTAATGGTACTATATTTTTTAACATTATTATTTATTTAAAAACACATTTTATTTACTGGCATATAAGTTTTTCTTATTCACAAAAGAATTTTTAAAACTTTAAAAGCTAAACTAAGAATTATCAAAAGAAAATAAAAATAAAAAAATATATTTTTTCTATATTATTTTTTAGTAAAATTTGCATACCTAATCACTTATTTGCAAATATTTCTGATCAAGATTATTTTAAATTGTCTCAATTTTAGAATTTCATGATTAGGTGATTAATTAATTAATTAATTAGCTTTAAATTAAATTATATTTTTAGTGTTAAGGGAAGCCAGTTTAAATTGATGATAACTTTACAAATTAATATTATTAATAAATATTAAATAAATAATAACAGAATTTAAAAAAGGCAATATATAAATATTACAAAAAATTTACAGAAGTAGAATTATCCAATAAAATACTTAAATAAGCACACTGTATAGCAAGTATGAAGAATACATAAATTTAAGATAATATGATGAATTTTAAATTTATCATAGTAGGTGATTCAGGTATACATTTTGAATTACTTTTTTCTAATTTATGATCAATCAGCTGATCATACTTTTCCTTTTGATTGTAGCTTATTAAATGTACCAAAATAAAAGGTGTTGGAAAGTCATGCATGTTAATAAGATATTCTAAGAATGATTTTGTCACTGATTATAATGCTACAATAGGAGTTGAATTCTAATCAAAAATTGTAAAAATAAATGACGCAAGCGTGAAACTTTAAATCTGGGATACTGCTGGACAAGAATCATTTAGATCTATTGTTAAATCTTTTTACAAAAAAACAGTTGGAGTTCTTTTAGTATATAATATAGCAAAGTAAGCATTCAAACTATTTTGATTAAGCAATGTTAATAAAATACTTTAAATTTATTAAAGTAAAGAATCATTTTAATCTATAAAACATTGGTTAACTGAAGCTAAAGAAAATTCTGAAGAATCAGCTATATTTGTGCTCGTTGGAGCATAGTCAGATAGAGAAAAAGAGTAATATTATACAATAAATATTATCTTTTAATAAAAGTTTTTGTATAAAAAGTCGTAAAATTTCTAGGGAAGAAGCTGAATAATTTTAAAAAGCTAATTAAATAGATTTATTCTTTGAAGTATCTTCAAAAAATAATAGTTTTATTGATGAAGTAAATTATTTTACTATAAAAATTATTAATAATGCTCTTTTTAATTTAAATTACAGTGTTTCGAAAAGACAGCATATGCTGCATTTATGAAATAAGTAAACCAATAATTAAAGAAAAGCTTTTAGGGTAGCTCTTTTATTAGTAATAATGGTAATATTCGCTCACATAATTAATCAGTTCCAATAAAAGAATAAAGTAGAAGATCAAGCAATAAGAGTGGATGTTGTTGATTAATTTCAAAAGTTATGATAGTTAAAATGCAAAAAAAAACACAAATTTCAAGTAATTCTTGAAATTTGAGTTTATTTGTTCAATTAATTAGTTAAAAATAGTAAAATGAAAAAATACTTAGAATAAATAAATAAATAGATACAAAAAAATATTTATTTATTATTTAAAGATCCTAATCGCTATAAAATACTTAATATTTTAATAAATCTGTATATAAAAATTATTTATATTTGTCTTAATAATTTATCAAATTATAATTAACAAATTTTAAAATTGTAATTAGCAATATCTCTTTTCTTAATCATTTTTATGCTCTTTTTTTTTAAAGGTTTTATAAGAGAAAGTAGCATTTAGTTAGTCTTAGTGAATCAAAAACTATTAATAAAATAGAAAAAATTATTTAAAAAATTTAACTTTTACAAATTCTATCCAATGTTTCTAAAAATTCATGCCACTATATTTTAATATAGAGATTCTAAATCAAAAACTATTAAATTCAATAGTAAATAGTAGTGGCAATATCAATCATTTTTACTTTTGAAACACTGAATATATGCTTTACACAATTTAATAGAAATTTTAAAATAATAAATGAAAGAATGAATGAATTAACAGACTTTGAGTTACAATAAATAGATTGATAAACACTTTTAATATTAAGAATAGTTTATTTACTTATTTTAATTAGTTATTATAAATTTTTCAACAAGACAAGAAAGTTATTTGGTCACTTTAATGATCAAGAGAGTAAAAGAAGAAAAATTAGTGAGGAAATTCTAGTATGTAGGAGCTATCAAGTCTGCAACTTACATTTAAATCTATATTAAAGAATTCTACTGTATATAAGAAAGGTATATATTTTATTAAAATAGTGTTTTTTTCTTAGATGATAAAGTTAGCTGCTCTATCTTTTTGCTTATATTTATTTTCAGACTTTTCTTTTTTTTTAATATCACCCTACTTATTCACCATAAAATCCATTGAATTTTAAAGCTAAGAATCACTTATTCCCATAATAATATTTCCCTAAAGTTTATCTATTCTAATTTTAAACATCTAAAGTACAGGCGAATGCACATAAAATGGTCTGTTAAGGAAGAAATGCAAAAAGTCCTTCTTCTTTTTTTGTTCATTAAATGAATCTTTTTCAAGTATGGCTTAGTTTCCTAAGAACTTAAAATTATTAGTGAAAACAGTTTGGAATGAAAAGTTATTAATGTTATCAGGAATACCCATTTAAATGGTATTTAGCTGAAGCCTTAATAACTAAACTTCAGTCGCTAATTAATCTACTTTAGATATTAAGTTAATCGATTTTTTATCTTTTTCCACTATTTATAACTGGAGGCATTTCATTTCTGTATGTGCTTCGAAAAAAACTCTTCTTGGCTATTCGAATTAACATTTTTCGCATTTTTCATTGATTTCCTTACAAGTAGAAATGTGCTCATCTATGTTTTTCTTGATTATTACCTCTTTGCATCCATCACATTTGACACCTTCATATGGACATTTGAGACAATGTTTCTCATAAGAATCATAAGGTAATATTTCAGGACATCCGTTTTCGTTATAGAAACACTTAATTTTCATACTTCCTAGTAATTTATTGACTAATGGAATGTTGGTACCTTTAAATATTTGCTTACAATGAGGACATGTTTATCTATTTAAAACATTCGGATTATTTGATAAAATTTATAATTGTTGTTGCTACTATTAAATTTATTACAACTACATCTAACTTTAATTCTATATGCCTTGCTATAATTACTGTTATACATGATACATTAGCTAAGATCCTCCAGCTACACGATCTTGATTTTATTATTAAAATGAAATTATATTTGCATGAGTATCTTATTCTTATGAGACTTGGGCTTGCTAACTAGGAAAAGGTTGTGAATTAAATAAAAAAGGATCATCATCCTCATCATCTTCGTGACTAGATCTTCCTAATTTAACAAAATAAATTATTCATGATAAGTAATTAATTAATAAAGAAATAAAATTTGAAATAACTTACTGTTGTTGGATTAATTTTAAGCTACGTTAAAAATATTATTTTAAGGGTTATTGAAATTATTTGCTTCTCTGAATATGTTAATGTTATTATTAAAGATATTTTATATTATATTATTGGTGCTTTCTCCATTATTGTTTGCAATATTATTATTTAAAGGCATGCTATTACTTCCACTTTAATTCACTCTCAAAGCTGGTTTTGGAGTTATCCATTAATTTATGCATGCTTTACAAAATGATTATGTACAACCAGAACAAGAAATAGGTTTAAACAAAATATTCATACAAATTGGGCAAGTTAACACATCTAACTCATTTTTAGCTTCGACAACTTAACTTCTCAAAATACTCTAATCTATAAATTATTCGCTGGATAACTTTTTTTTTTCTTCATCTTTTTCGCTGAAATACCCAAAAGTAATATCTTTAGAGCTCTCATTGCTAACTTTTTACTCTTCTGTGTTCATTATAACGAGTTGTCCTTCCTAATAATAAATTACTAATTTCAAAGTTTTTGTATCACTTTTAATTAAAAAAATATATATATGTGAGTTTGAAAAATTATAAATTTTACCTTTTTTTTGAGACTTACTTAACTCACATACATGTATATACAAATCTATTGTATAAAGAGTTAATATAATAATTTCTAAGTAATTTTATTAATATACATACACTCAATCACTCACTTTTTTTAATATAATCAACAAATCTATTTATATGGGTTATTTTCCATAATTTTAATAAATTTATAAATTAAATCTTGTATATATAAATAAATATCTTGTTTCAAAAAGAAAGAAGTATGTATTTTTTCTAATTATCTTCTAAATTAAAGAAAAATATTCCAAAATATTCTAATTAATAATTAGTATGAAAAGAATTTCAGCAAATTTCAAAATATTTTAAAAAATAAAATATAAAAGTTTTAACTTATTAGAAATAAAATAATTTATTAAGATTATTTCCTTATTCAATTTTCTGATTTTTCTATTTTAATTTTCTTTTTTTCTAATTTCACATGCTCCTTATTTTTCTTTCCTCCTTCTTATCCTTTATTTTTTTTCTCAGCTTTCTATTATAAAAAAATTATAATATTATTAAAAAGAAAATGGACCAATTTAAATAATTATTTTATTTAAAATTTATAAAATATATTTTCATACTTTCTTTGATAGCTTCTCTCTTTTTTTGTTTTAGATGTCACCGTTAAATGCAATATTTCTTATTTTTCTCTACTCGTTTTAATCTTTTTCTGATTTCTATATTTTTAAGTATAAAATAAAATAAAAATATTGCTGTAAGTAGAAATTACCTTAACATAGAAATCTGAGATTTCAGCAAAATTAATAGCATATCCCTTCACAATAAAATACAAATAATATCTAAAGGGCGATATTTTTTTCTAAAACTTGAAAATAACATAAGCAATTAATAAAAATAATATCTCTACGAGAAAAATATCAACTACAGCAGAGATTGCAAAGCGAACCAACACTGGACCATAATCTTTTATATAGCGCTTTTACCCAAACAATATCAACAGAATACTATCTCCTATAAAGATTAAAACTGAAATCACTAAGAGTCCTATTCTATACCTAGAATTAAATGCTTAAGCAAAATGCAGCGAGCCTCCTCTCAAAGAAGAATACTTTAATGACTATGAAGCTTGAAAGAAAAAAAAGTTATACAACGAATAAAAAAACTAAGTGATAGCAGGAGCGACTAATATTGTGATGAAATAAGCTTCTACATTATTTAAGTCGTTTGTAATTGTGCTGCAAGCACCTAAACTTAAAAATACAATATTAAATTACAAAATAATAAGTAGTTTACTACTTAATAGCTTATTTTGCTTAACAAAAATAGAAATCAATGGGTGATGGTTATACCAATTAAACTAGTTCAAAGGATTCTTTATAAAAATAACCTAATTACCATTGTCTTAACTTAAATTTCTATCTTGATTTTTACTATTTTTTTAAATTTATATCATGTTTTATTTCATGAAAAAATCTTATTCATTCCAAATTTCTGCTATTGCATTTTTTTCTATTACAGAATCTTGGATTCCTTAGCTGTTTTTATTGGTATTTGATTTTGGACTTCGTCTTGAATATATGCTCAGAACACTATCCTTACGCTTATTAGACCTTTAAACTTCATTTATCTACTAATTCTTTTTAAAATTTGAGCTAGAAAGTTGCTAATTCTCATTTTAACTTATCTGTTTAAGTCTTTTCTCTGCAAAAGATCCAAAACCAATATCTTCTTTGTCGCTTTAATACTTTTTTAGCTTGATCTTATCAATAAACTAAACTAAATCTTCATTTTTATTTTTGATTTCATTTTATTATCTGTTGTTGGGTGTATCCAAGTTATTAGACTAATAAAGCAAGTTCATGTCTTTTTTAATTTTATTTAGCAAAGCTAAGTCTCTATTATTTTCATCTTCTTCAGTTTTTCCGATAGTGTTTAATCCTAGTTCAATATCGTTTTAATCACTATTTTTATCTTACTTACCCTCTTTTTTATTTTCTTTTTCTTTTTTTTTCTACTCTCTCTCCTACTTTTCTTTTTTTTCAGCTTCATCTTTTTTAATTCTTTAGATAATAAACTAAATCATATTCTGTATGATTTAAGTAACCTAAAATTTAATTAGAAGAACCAGTGTTAGTAAGACTAATAACCAAACCAATACGAAATATAAACCAAATGGTGTTTAAAAGTTATCTGGATATTTAAAAGGAATTATCCCTGGGAATTGAAGATGATTCAGTATTACAATATTTTAATTCTAAATTTCGACAAAAGAATCAATATAGTAAGGATTCTTATTAGCATTCTGTAGATTTAAAGATTAAATTAAGTCTTATTTTAACCAATCCTAAAAGGATTAACTTTTTTATCCTGGTTAAGTTGGAACGTAAGTAACTATTTAAACTTCAGATTAAGGAAGTATCTAAGAAAGTGATTTTGTATCAATTACTTTACTAGAGTAATTTGGAGTATGATCAGCTTTCCTAACAGCAAATCGACTTAGATGATAAGTTTAGCACACAATAGTGTTATTATTTACTACTTTTATTAAATTAATTCCATTATTAGACCATTGATTTGTATTCTCATCAAAATAAACACATTCAAATAACGAAGAGGTAATTTTAGAAGTTTCATTCATTATTAAAGGAGCTTAGAGGGTTAACTAAATTTAAAAGGGCTATTACATGTTACTGTATTTGATCTTTTACTAGCTTTCATCAGAAAATAGATCAATATCATAAATAGGAGACAATAAGATTGAATAAGTATCAGATTTAAATTGTGGTAAAAAAGGATTAACTCTTTAAATAATTGTAAGTTTATTCCAATCTAAAACAACTTCTGGTGGTATATTAATACTTATACTATCATAAGTTACCATCAAATATGTTTATTATTTATTTTATTAACTTATTTTTTTATCATTTATCCTAGATAACTATAATGTAACTAAGTTTACCTTACAGAAATTACCTATTAGGGTTAAAGTCTATCCTAAATAGGAGTTATTTGAGAAATAAATACCCCAAGTATCTTTAAGCATATTAAGTTAATTTATAATTATTGTTCTGGCAGTTGCTGAATCAAAGGAAGAAACCATAATATTTAACTACAAATCTTCCATAATAATAAATATATCTTGAACAAAATCAAGTATTTAACTTTAATTTTTTGTTTATGAAATCAGAGCTAAGTATTGAATGACAGATGCAAAAAATAAGTTTGAGTTGCTAAGGTTTAAGTTATAACTTAGTAATTTTCTGATTAAAGGCACATAACTCATAGAAACATTATTAGTATTTGATACAATCTATTGCTAGATACCATTGATAATATAGTTTTGTAATAAATTAGAAACTCTTATTAGCAATTAAACTTAGGTGTCTATTGAACTATACTAGCAAAAAACACCTACATACTAATCTTAACATTTACAATAGATACTATTTTACGAATCTGTGCTTAAATTACAATTTTAAAAAAAGTTCATCCAAATTTTATTTGCTTATTGTATTGTTGGGGGATTTGATTAATAATTTATTTCCATATCTAATGAATTTTAAATCAGCTAAAATGCTAATTAATCTGCTGCTGTTTATTTAATCACATGGTCTAATGAATAGGCCATTTAAACCCATTGGCTAATTTATATTTAACTAGGGTTTTTCTCAGCTTAACTTATAATACTTTGAATTTACTAATTTAATTGTTATAAACCTTAAGTAAAAGCAGGTATGGTTAAGTTTTGGAATAAAATAGCAAAATCTTACTGCTTTTTTTGTTAAACTGTATCACTGCTTGATGAATTACCCCTAATTATTAAAGAGCACATAAAATTTTGGTCAACATTTAAAACAGGGAAGAAGTATTTATCAGTAGAAGATTAATAACTGTCATCTATAAGAACATTTGATTATCCATTTTATGGCTGCATTAAATTAACTAAAACTTCATCAAACAAAAGCAAATTCTCATATGAAACCAAATATATGCTATTAACTATTTTAATTCTTTCACACTAAATTCTATAAATAAGCTGTGGTCTGGATGTATCAAAATATCCCATAGAAAAAGAATAAAAATTGTTAAAAACACTATTTGCATCTTAATATGCTTAATTAACAGTAAATTTTCCACCTAGCATTTCTCTTTTTACTAAAACAACTACACTTTAGTCAAAAATAACATTATTTGGTAGGGTGACTTCTAATTAAAAGATATGTTTCTAGTTTCCTCTTAAATATTTTTAACTGATTAGTAAAATGAGATTATATTTAAACACAAAATTGTTAGTTCCTGTAAAAAGTTATTGTATAGTTTAATCTGTCGAGCTAATTAATTTCCATTCTATGCTTATTATCTTTCCTGGATCTATATTAACTAAAACACCTTCTATTTCAAGGTCTAAAAAGGGAGAAACACCTTATTTTGAAAGAACATCTGAATTTAGAATTTATACGCTTTGATAAGATGTAGCAATGCATCTATTTGTACCGCTTTAAACGATGAATCCAAAAGGGCATTATTTTAAGCATTAATTAATATAAAGTACTTAGCTCTATATACAAGATGAACAGTTTATTTAGCATATTTAACACGAAGTTTTTTGAGTATCGAGTACATATCCATTCAAACATATGTTGTTACAAATATTTGTACCTTCATGCATTAAATTTCCAAAGCTACAAGTGATGCAAGAAGAATTTGTAGGCCCATTACAAGTAGAACACCTTTAATCACATAATGTGCAAACATTATTTATCAAATCTGTAAAATATCCATCTGGGCATTTATTTGTGCAAATTTTTTAGTTTGTTGTAATATCTGTATAAGAATAGAACGAACAATTACTAGTGCATTATTTTAGGTTCTGATTTAAATATTCAGTTTATTAACATTTATCGACGCACTGCATTTTTATAAAATTGCTAAATAAGTTTGCAGGACAAGCACTTAAGCAACTTGAGTTATATAAAAAATACTATGGATTCGAACAACTCACACACACTGCAAGTTATCTTACGCCATCTATTTAACACTTTGAGCATCCAGCCTATAAATTATAAAAATAAAAAGATATTTTGTGGTTAATTTATAAATGAATAAATAAATCATTACTATTTGACATTAGCATATTGAATTTTTATCTGGCACTAATTGATATGGACAACTAATATAGCATTAATTATTATAAAAGAAATACCCTTAAACGCAGCTTTGACATTAGTTTTGAGCATTTGAAAGGCAAGTTAAGCAACCCTAATAGCAGTTATCACATCTACCTGATAGATCACTTGGACTCTATTTCAAGACATAATATTTTGGTGGACAAGAAGTACAACTTGTAGGTTATCCATCTATGCAAGTATTGCAGCTACTATCGCAGTTAAAGCATTAATTATTTTTACTATACTACTATTAATTACACTATTTACATTATATTTAACTTGGATCAGATTTATAATAACCATTTGAGCATGTATCACAGACTTGTGTTAATTTATTAGTTATTTAATCTTGTTATGAATGGCATAATTAACAACTTTAACTACACTGAATGCATTTTATTATACTACTTTAATTGTAGTAATACCCATTTACACATTTGGTGCACTCAAAAATAGAGGGCCCGCTGCAAGTTGAGCATGGAGTCTTTATTTATAAAATTGATTTATATTATTAAATAAATTAATCATATTTACCTAGCAAGATTTACAAGAATTTGAGATATTATCTTAATAAAAACCTGATGGACAGCTATCAGAACTTTTAATGCATTTGTTAGTGGCTTAATTTAAAAAATACCCACTAAAACAGCTTAGGCATGAAGTGCTTGAGGTTCCACATGTAAGACATGAAGGATCACATGGAATACAGCTGTTATTTGATAAGAAATAACCACTTATGCAAGATAAACATTGTTACTAATTACTGGTTAAGCAACTTTTACAAAGGGGATAACAACTAGAACAAAGCTGTTTAAGATCATCAGTATAGTATCCTCCTAAAGCTAAGCATTAGCTTGAAGTCAAACATGAATTATTTAAAAGGTAATTACCAGCAGTACAAGAGTAACATTAATTTACATTTGGTCCATAACAAGAGCTACATCGGCTATCACATTGCTAACAAGTACTATTATTAGGGTCAGAGGGATTAACATATAGATAATAATTGTTAGTACATGCCATGCACCTATTATCTGAGTAGCAAAATAAGCACTTAGATTTATTACAATCAACACAAGTAGAAGGATTAGTGCTTACATATTAGTTCTATAAGCAAGATCTTACACAGCTTACTTTTTATTAAGATATTAATAATTTCTTTTTGAAAATGTTTAATAATATATTTTTATATTGTAAGTATTGAAAAAAAATTTTTTACTTGAACCATCTCCATTTTAAGTGAGTATAAAATTTGTAGCACACCTGGTACAATTTTAGCTATTTGTACAAATTAGGCAATTATCTGAGCACTAGTTGCATGTTTTGTATATTATATCTATAAAATATCCAGCAGAGCATATAGAACATGAAGTGGGGCCAGTACACTACGTACAGTTATCAATATTACATTAAATACAAAGTCTTGAATCTGTTTCTTTATAATAACCAGGTTAACAAGAAGCAACACAAAAAGAAGGTTAATTATTTATAGCTGGCATTAAATAATTATTTATACTACATTTAGCACAAGAGTTTGCATCGTTACATAATAAACAATTAGAACTGCAAGTAAAACATAAATTTGTATTAGGGTCTAGGTAGTATCCATCTAAACAAGAACTGCACTAAACAAATTTAGAGCCTTATTAAGAACACTTTAAGCATCCTTATGGGCAAGTAGTGCAGGTTAAATCAGGTAATTGATAATATCCGTCAACTGGAGGACAATAAGGTAAACATAATCCTGATTAAGAATCCAATCTGAAACCATTTTGGCAAGATGAACATACTGTTTGATTTAAGCAAGTTAAGCAATTTTAAATTGATTAAGAGCATTATTAGCAAGTTCCATCTGTAAATAGATAATAAGTGTTGTTTATGCATTAAGTACAAGAATTTTAATTGCAAGTCAAGCAATTTGTTGGACATTTTTAACAATAATATTTAACATAATTAGGAAATGTTTAATTGCTACAAATAGATTAAGAAGACATTTTAAAACAAGTTTATCCATCTTAAAAATATCCTGCTGCACAATTATTGCATACTTATTATCCAGCCAAACAGCCCAGACAGTTTGAGGAAGTAGGCCCAGTGCAAAGTTTGCATGCAGGATCGCAAGGCATACATACCTGTTATTGTGTATTCTGTTAAGTAGACATATAATAACCATTTTTGCATGTTGTACATTGAGTGGAATTTTAGCAAGAAGCACAATTCAAATTGCTTGGGCAAATTACACAAACATTTTATGAATTTTAATAGTAACCCTAAGGACACTGAGTCAGGCATTAATTATTATAAAATACTAAAGAAGAAATACATTAAGTGCACTGATTAGAGAGACTTCCAGAGCAATTCAAACAACTGCCATGACAATTTTGGCATATCAATTTATCTTTTATTTAAACGTTTCATAAGAGTTAGAATATTTTTAAAATTTATTTTATTCATGAATGATAAATTTTCATTAAAAATATATGATAGATAAATCTACAAATAATTCAAAATATTTAAAATTCTATAAAATTTATTTTTTTTAAGATTAAAAAATGGTAAAGATGCATTTTTTATAGTTTTATGTAAGCGATTGAAAAATATTATTTAAAAAAAATAGAATAAAATTTTTAATTACTATTTGACTAAACTATGAAGTATGAGTCATTGCACTAAAAACATCCATTTTCATTACACCTGCTACAATTATTTGGGCAAGAAATTTTCTTGCATTAGCTATCAAAGTAATATCCAGAAGGGAATTAGCATTAGTATGACTGTAAGCAAGGACTAAGTTTGATAATACAACTAGTGCAAGTAGATGGATCTTGGCTTGTACAGTTTTAACAATTATAGGGACATGGTAGACAAGTTTAAGTTACTGAATCTAAAAAATAACCAGAAATACCTAATTTTTATTAATAAATTTGTAAGATTTATTTTTTTTAAAAAAAAAACTACATGACTAGCAAGTAGTCCCATTTTTGCAAGTTTAACAATATTATAAGCATTTTTGACATTAGGAAAATGTTCCTGAAACAGAAAAATATCCTGAGGGACATGTTTATAAGCATTATCCATCTAACAAAAAATAATTTGGCTGACATCCATTATAGCACTAATACTAATTTAAGCAATTAATACAGTTAGAAGGACATTATTGACATTTATTTGAAGTAAAATCTAAGTAGAATCCTTAATTGCAATTTTGTTAACACATATTTCCTTCTATTAAATTTAAAATAAAAACGTCAAATTTTGTTTGTTTTTTTATAAATAAATCACTTACAAATAACCATATTATTAGGACAAGAGCTTACGCAAGAATTATTGTTCAAATAAAATCCAGTCATACAATCTGTGCAAAAAGAGCTTTAATTTATACAATTGAAACATGGTTAACTGCAATTCACGCATTACCCATTCTGAAAAAACTAGCCAGGCGAGCAAACCGCCAAATTTCTTTTCTTTATCTAGTTAAAGTGCTATTATATTTTTGTAGGATTTTAATTAAATTACTTTATCTAATCCTCTCCTTCATTAAAGCAATCATCAATAGATTAACAATATTAGCACCCATTTTAGCATTTTATACATTATTTTTCAGATTAGCTATCTAAAAAATATCCTTTTTAACATTTCAAGCATTTTTTTGGGTTAAATTGATCAAACTCTAAGCATTAAGATTGTTTTTAATTGTTAACTTATTCTTTCTCAAAAGAAAGAATTTAGTTAAATTAACTGTAATCACTGTGCGTAGTATTAATTCCTAAAGCATAAATACATCTTTAAATGTTTAAAAAACTTTGCAAAAAAATGAATAAAGTTGCATATTTTTTAGCTTTGCTCTTAATAAGCATTTTATATTTATTTATATTTCAATTTAGCTGATTTGTTATAATTAATTAATTAATTAAATTCTAAATAAATATTTGTGATATAATATTTTATACCAAAAGAGAAAAACATATAGGGGTATACTTTCAAAAAAATGGAGGATGGGCAAATTAACCTTCCCCATAACATTTTATTTTTTTGATTTCTTAATTCAAAATAAAAAATTTAATTTATAACAAATTATATTTTGTTTTTTATAATATTTATTTTTTTATATGTTGATTAAACCCTTTTTTACGAGTTTTATATACAATTAAGATTACTATTACTTATCTATAAATACCATAAACAAACAAATCCTTAAAAATTTCAGCAAAGTAAAATACTTTATATTTACTTTAAATTTATTTCATTTAATTTAAATTATATTTTAATTTCTAATGGTTAATATTTATATTCAATTTTCTTAAAAAACAAACTGCTAAATAGATATCATACTTTATCTTTTGTAGTTAGGTAAGGTTGAAAAAATAGCATCTAAATTTAATAAAGACTCTTTTTTTGAAAGTTTATTCAAGACTGCTTGACACAAAATTGTACATTAAAATATGATTAATATTTTGAAATAATTTTTTTAATTCAAATTAAAAAATTTTTTTAAAGTATGCTTACTTTTTTGAATGATTGAATAAGCTTACTTATCTATGGATTTTATGAGAATTGATGTTATTAATTACAAATGTTTACAAAAAAATTTTAATTGATAATATACAAATGTAAAATTTATCTCAAATAAGTTCTATTAAAAAAATTGCATTTCATTTTATTTATGTTTTACTAATATTTACTGACCTATTATCTCTATCTACCCTTGATAATACCTTAGTTCTTTCAGCTTTTGTCATTTGTTTGGTGCTAAACAATGTAAGCATTTCGTTTTTCTTTTTTTTCTTAAAACCTCATTTAAATTTAATTACATTTGAAAAATTATTCCATTTGAAATATGAATTGTAGGATTTCATGCTGTCAAATTCAAGGATTAATGAGAATTTATACTAATTATCTTCAGAATAACGATTATATTCATCATCTTATTATACAAATCTTCTGTTAGTATTGACACATTTTTTAATTGTTTTATCTCAACAGATAGCACTTATATCAAACTCTTTGAAAAACTTAATAAGATATTAAAAATTAATTTCTCAACAATAAGTTAATTATTTAAAACACAAAAAAAATAATAAAAGAGAAAAAAAAATGAAAAATTTTTGAAGTGTAAATCTGATTCAAAAAATCTTAATTTTGTTTTTTTTGAAAGATAAAATTATTTTTTATTAAATATAATAAAAGAATGAAGCTGTAGCATAAACAAAATTAATTTAAAAGCATAAATATTAAATAATATATCATATGTCACCATCTGTATCAACAGACATGGTTATACTTTAAATTAAGGATTAGCTTTATTTAAAATATTAAAAAGTTTAGATACTAAAAATAATAATAATTTGAATGAAAAGTTAATAAATTAATCATAAACGAGTAATTCAAATTTTTGGATTAAGCCTTGTAAGATTATTTTAATAAATTTAGCATTGCAAAAAAAAATATTATGTATCTTACTAAAGTGGAATAAAAAAATTTAATTCAAAAATTTCTTATGATTAATTTATTTTTGTTAATATTTTTTGGCTAATTATGATAAAATATATTTTTATTTTTATCTTTTGCCTTTTAAATATTTTCGATAGTATTTCTTTCTTTCTTCTTTATAATAATTTTGCTATTTAAATTGACATTTTAAAATTAATTAAATTTTATATCTTCACAATAAAAAATCATTCTTAATAATTTGTTAATTATTTAGTAAAAGATGTTAAATCATAATATCAATGAAAGTTTTAATATGAAATTACTTTTGATCAATTTTTAGTCTTTTGGTCTTAGTAGAGCGTGTACAGGGCTTTGAAAGAAACAAGTTAATCAAGGATATATCTGTAATACTTGTTTTAGCTATATAGAAAAAAGAATATATAAATAATAAAGCATTAAAATATAGCATGATTAAAAATTTATTTTTAAGAATTTATTAGCAAAAGTATATAATTTACGTGTAGAAATTTAAAAAATTAGACAAATTGTGAGTTTATTAATCATTTATTTATTCTACTGAATATTCGTTACGTGTTAAAATTTAAAGTGTTAATTATTTATTTAAATCCTTTGATTATTTTTAATTTATAATTTAAAAAAAGAGATAAAAAAATTATATCTACTAGTTTATTAAATTATTATGACAAGTATACAATATTTAACTACTTAAGAAGATGACACTCTTTAAAAGGTATTTGCTATTATTTTTAGTGCATCCTAAATTTCAAATTTAGTCGCATTAATAATTCTTCCTAATGATAAGCTTGCCTTTTTTAAAATAATACTCACATTAACTTTGATCTTTAACTTGACGATCAAATAAAATAATTATACATTCTTTAAAAAAGTTTTAGATTTGTTTGGATTATAAGAGACTGTTAACATATTTAAAAATTAGGGGAATACTATTATAAGATTTACAGAATTATATTCATAAATTTCTCTGGATAAATTAAAATTGAAAACATTACTGCCTTTTGGTTCTTTGCTTATTAACTACTATTTTGTATGCAAAGATTAAGTAATAATTGCTAATTATGACTATCAATATTTGATAAATATGTGTCTATTTTTGAATTCAATAATAATTAGCTGCTTTTTTATGCATTTAATTTCTAACAGTCATAGTTATTTTTATGATTAGCATATAATTATAATTCTTTCTATTATTTCTCACTTAGGCTTAACTAACTTGAGTTTGCTTTAGAATAGCCTTCTTTTGGTTTTTACAATTAGAGTTACTAGTCTAATAATTTAATATTTAATAATAATATTAAATGACAAACATCCTTACAAGATAGATTGCAAGTATATTTTTTTAGACTTGACTTTAAAGAATTTAGCCTTCTATCCATAAAATTATGGACCCTTTTTTAAATTAGGATATTTTAAATATGGCTATATAAATTATAACGAATTTGACGAAATAGCAAAAACTCATTCTTTTTAGATTCTATTTTTCTTAAGGGCAGTGGCCTATTTAGAGATGTTAGCCTTCCTAATTTTAAATATCTTATAGCAATCAGAAAAGTAAGAATAAGGGTTAATTGCTATTAAAATAATAACCTATACTTCATTTATTTTTTATTCAATCATCACAATAATTTACTTTATTTAATAATTAAAAAAAATAATCAATAAAAAATTTGAATACCTTACTATTAATTATTCGACTCCATCAGAGATATTAAGATTAATAAATGATAAAAACTCCATAAACTTTTTATATATTCAAAGAGTTATTTAAGAAAACCAGTAAATATAATAAAGAATAAATTATTAGCCATTAGAAAATCAAGAAGTTAAATACTAAAATTTAATAAAATAACTGTTTTAATTCATTTACTAACAATAACACAAATTGATAGAATAAAGGATAGAAATTCCAAATTTGTTTACTCTAAAATATAATTGTGTTTACTTAAACTCTGAACATTTTTTATCTCATTACTTAAATCATATTAGATAATCAAAAATTTCTTCAAAAAAAAAGATAATTCTGACAAATTTAAAGAGAAAATAATTTAATTACTAGTTAAATTAAGCACTCCTCGATAGGGTTTTTAATTTGGGTTTAGATTCTAATTTCTTTAGGTTTGGAACAGAGACAACAAGTTCATAATTTATAATGTATTAATATATATCTCAGTTATCGCAACTAATAGCGTTTAGAAAATATATTTAACCTAATATGGTTATGAATCCTGCATAATTGACTTACGACTTATTTGAGTGAAAAGCAAATAAATAAATAAATGAATGAATGAATAATTAATTATCTGCCTAAAATTATTAAATGATTAATTTACTTCTAAATCGAAAATATATTTAAATATATTTTACACAAATAAAGAGAAAAGCAAATTAAAATTAAAATTTTTACCATTCATAATAATTAATTTTAATAAAATTAAATATTTAAATTGCTTGTATTGTTTTGTTAATTGAATGTAATAATATAATTATAATTCTTATAATTTAGAGTGAGAAGTAGAGAAATATTTTATTACTTGAAATTATAATTTGATTAGTTTATTTATCAATTGAAAAATAAAATAAAATAAAATAAACTAATTTTAGAAATATTTAAAATATTAATTTTAACATAGTTTAATTTTTTAAAAGCAATTATTTTAAATAATTTAAACTTTAAAACTTTATTAAAAAAAAAATAATTAAAGTCATATAATTTTTAGCGAAAATTAAACAATATTTATTAACTTAAAATTATTAATTAATAAATAAATTAATTTGTTTATTAAAAATTTAATTATTTTAGATAAAGTCTTAAAAAATAAATATTAATTTATTTAACTTTAATTACCTACAATAATTTATTTAAATAAGGTTAGACTTTAATATGATTATTAGGAATAATAATATTATTAAAAATTTTAATAATTTTGAGTGAAAGTAGATAAATTTTTATTTATTTATTTAATTATTTAAAATGGAATAATTTTATTTTTTTTGTTCAAAAATAAAATATAATAACATAAAATATTTTAGGTTAATATGTAGAAAAAAAATGTTACTTTTTCTAGCTTATAATTATCAGGATAAATATTTAAATAAATTTAAAACTTAAAATGAAAAATAATACTTATAAATCATATATTTTTCTATGAAAAATAAAACAATTTTTATTAGTTTACATACAAATATTAATTGATTAATTAGATGAAAAATACTATATATAATACAGATATTTTAGATAAATATAAAGGAAAATAAATGATAATCTAATTTTATTTTTAATTATCAACATTAATTTTTTTAAATAAAGTAAAATTAGAAAATACTTTTTTTTTAATTTATTTATTTATTATTTATTAGATGAATATTATTTTTAAAAATTCTTATTATTTTAATTTTTGTTTTGATTAAATCTGATCCTAAATTTTTAATTTATATTAAAATATTAAACATGTTTGGTAATTAATTCACTTTTATTAATTTTAGTTCTATCTGTAGCTTGGTGACATGTCTCTAATTATCTTATTTTATACTTTTGCAATATCTTTTTTTATAAGATCTAAAACTTCTATATCATTATTTAATTTTTCTATTTTATTATCAATAGTCAATATGTCTTTTTAAAAGTCTTAACTTTTATTTTTTTCTCTTTGCATTTTTTCTTGCTTATTAATCACAACAAATGAAGCTGATTTTTTTCTACTATCTATTTTAATTGGTGATTTTTCATTTTGTTTGGTATCATTTTTATTAGAATTTTTATCTGAATTAGATCCGTTGGAGGATATCAAGTGAGGTGAAGTAGGTTTCCATGTTGGCTTGTTTTTAGTTTGTATGTCGCTTTTAGGGCTTTTAGAAGTAGAATTTTACTCCTTTTATTTAAGCTTATCTGACTATATGTTAATAACAAGAGGTTTGTTTTAATTTGCTAATTAAGATCTCCCTTTCTTTTTCTTTGCAGATAAATCTATTGTTATGTGGACAGGTTCATCATTATCATCACTATCTGTGTGCTGAGGTTATTGCTGCATTTTTTATACAGTTACATTTTAGCTATTTAAAGGATCTTTTCTATATTTATTATTATTTATATTATTTTCTTCATCACTATTATCTTCTTCATCATCTTCTTCTTTAACTTCTTTTTATTATTATGACTAAATATCTTAAAATAATTCATCGTGTGGTTAATATCTTGAAGCAAGTTGCTTGTAAAATCCTTTTAATTGCGATTATCTTTCAAGATCTCCAAAAAAAGCTGTTTATCTACAAGGAGCAGCTGCAAAATCAGGATCTTCAAAGCTCTACTAGTTAGTAATCTATATTCCACCACTTAATTCACCAAATGTGTCCTTTTTTTTTAGTTCTGGCATTTCTTATTGATTCTAATTAGATTCTTATTGAGCTATCCATCCAAAATAGGCTGTAGGTCTTACTTTTCCTTCTTGTATATCTTAATTATTTATTTCATCTTAAACTTTAATTGAGGGCTCTTTATTTTTCTTTTAAATGTAAATTTATGATGGAGACTACTACTCCATTGAATAGTCTTCGTTTTCATAGCTATTTAAATGCTCATTTCTATTTTAAACTTAATTTTGCTCTATATTTTAGATTTCTTGATTATTTTATTAGGAATTTAACTCCTCGAAAATTGTAGCTAACTCATACTTTAAAAATGATTCTTCTAATATATTTGCATCAACCTAATTATGGTAATATTAGTCTAATTTAATTGGCTTATACTTATTAATAATATTTACGTTCAAGGTTTACACTAGATGGATGTATTTAGTTATAAAGTTTACTGATTTCACTATTGATTCAGGATTTTTATTTACCTAGAATCCATCTTACCTTGTCTTTATTAATATTTTGAATATAATTATCATTTAAAAGCAAAATTTTACATTTCTATGAGCCCTTGAAAGTCTTAATTTTTATTTTTCTTTATCAAGTTCGCAAAAGGAATTATCATTTAACATTGATGATTGTAAAGACTACGAAGGCGAAGAAACTGTGGACGCTTTTGGACCGTATAAAGAAAATACATTCCTTGGCTAATTTTTATTGAATAGATCAGAGTTTGATTACTTATTACCCATTTATACTTTTGATCAAATAATTAATTAATATTAAAAATTTAACAAAATTTATAATTTTAAATATGTTGATAATTAATTAGTTTTTTAAAAGTAATTTACAAAACCTTTTAATAAAAAAACATAAATAGATTCCACACAAGCAGAGTATTAAATTTTATTTTAAAAAAACTATGAAGTAAATGAAAATATTTGAAACAAGTAAGCTTCATCTAAATTGAAGAAAAACAAAATATTATCATTTCTTAAATTTAATTTTTATATTTCAACTATTATTTCTACATCCATTTTTATGTATTTAGCTATTTGGTTATTTTATTTATGTCCAAAAGAATTTTTCCCAAGATTTATTTAAATACTTAGTTTTATAAATTAAACTCTTACCTTTAACCTCACTCTTTTCAGTTCATAATAAAAAGAGAGAATACTATAAAAATGTAAAAAAAATTTGAGGATTTTTCAACTTTTCGTAAAAATTGAAAGGTCTGCAAACCCTAATTTGACAATTATTAAAATAAAAAATTAGAAATTATGGTAACCCTAGCAGCTCAAAATGTAGTTCGAAATGAGGTTTTACTTTAATTATGACTAAAATGAGTTACTTTTGATAATATTTTCTTTTTTATTTTGAAAATTTTTAATACTTTAGCAAATTTTCAATGGTATTCAAAGTAAAATTGTTAAAAAATAATTTATAAGTGTAAAACTTACACAATTTATAAAGAAAAATTGTTATTATTTTTTATTATTAAAGTTGAATATAATATTTGACCTAATAAGCAAATATTTTTTAGAATAAGATAAAAAATATTCTATAAAAATAAATTAAGCATATCAATTTAGATTTTATGAATTTAGTTATTTAATTTTATATTATTTGATACTAAATTTAAAATAAATTAATATATAAACAAATAAATGAATTATGTAAAGTTTATTTTTCAGCTTTTTTTAATATTTTATATGGTCTATGTTTGTTATTTGGTAGAAGCTTCGATTTTTTTGTGCTTAATGTAGTCATAGTAAAGCTTACCAAGAGTAAAATGAAGAATTGTTGCCGATATAGCTCCTAAAGCGAGATAAAATGATAGAGGTTTTTTCCAGCACAAAATAGGGTAAATAGGTTCCCAAAGCAGAGTAATAGAAACATTGTAAGATAAATAAATAAACATAAAAGCAAATAAATAAATTTAGTGTCTTTTGTAGAACTTAATATTGTTAAATATCTTATCAAAAATAAGAACAGCATACATACCTCCGTGCTCCGAAATAGTTTAGTAAAAGAATGCAAAATCTCTTGTTCTTTTTACTGTAGCGTAGATAGCGGTCCAATATAATCCAAAAATAACTAATTATATTGAAAAGCCTATTTCAAATAGAATGTGAGCAACTTTCCAATATTTTTACTCAAATTCTTTATCTTTCATTATACGTGTAGCTAAATAAAAGTAAGAAATGTTAATAAAAAGTCCCCAGTTTGTTAAGTAGAGCAGGTTTTCGAAGAATGCATATTTATACTCTGTTAATCCTATTAAAAAGACAGAAATAGAATACAAAAGAAAGATGTATCTAATTATATATAATTTGTTGTTTGATATCAAATGCGAACCAGATACAGACGCTTCCATTTTTATGTCCTTCCATAAAAATGTATTTAACCTTTCATATAAATTTCCTTGATTTACAATTTCTTTTTTTTCTGTCATTTTTTTAATTACAAATCTTTTTATTTTTTATAAATATAAATATTCTTAAATATTAATCACTTTTTCTAAATTTAATACATACATTTATTTTGAGTAAAAATAAAAGAATTCTCTCAATTTCTGATAATCAATTCTAACTATAATTTATATCAAATTGTATCTATTTGATAAGAAACCTAATATCTACATTAGGTATATCTTATCATTAATAGAACTATGATTAATAATCAAAACATTTAATTTTAGCTGTATTTCAAATATTATTTTGGCATAAAATAATCATTCCTTTAGATTATAAACCATTTTTCAATTTATTTTATCTTATTGGATCCACTGTTAATTTAAATTTAATAAAACATTTTTTGTAAAAAAATACTAAAAAAATTTTAATAAACATTTATTGTAGTTCTTTTGAATGTATGGAATTTAAATATTTTTTGGATTTATTTTAATTGAAAAAATATAAATTCAAATAAGTAATCTTTTATAGTAAAAAAATTTACTCTAAATATCAGGTAGTTGTTTACATAATAAGGAATATTAAAAGATAAATTTTATAACTTACAAATTTTAGAAAAAATCAAGAATTTAATCTAAGTCTGTTTGTTTTCTTGCTAGTTTTTACTAAAAATTATAAGGTGAAAAAATATACATATAATCTATAAGTTGAGAATTATTAATTTTAATTTTTTTATACAATCGCATTTTTATTTCTTAAAAAAATATAGTTTTTTTATGATTAAAGGCAGATGCTTGTAATTAAATATATTTGCTCTAATTTATTTAGTGCAAAATTAAACTTTTTAATTTTATTAAATCTTTATTTAAAAATAGAAATGTAGATTAACCAATCTATCTATCCATCGATCGATCCATACTGTGTTTACAGTTTAATTTTACAAATAATTTTATAGGAATATTTACATGAAATTTTATAAAATAAATTAATTCAAAAAACATTATAAAGTTGCTTAACTTCAGAAATTTCATCATTTTTCATTTCATAAAGAGAGTGGATTCTCTATAATTCATTTAATAGCTGAATCATTTCATTTTCATTAGTGCATTCACTTATTTTAGATTTTAGACTGACTATTTGTTTATGGAGATTTAGTGACTCTTGTTATAAAATTCTCAATTAAATCATAATTTATTCTTTGTCATTTAATTGATCTTCAATCTTTTATTTTTAGCTCTGTGAATCATGAGCATTTTTTTCGTAAGAATCTAATTTGTCATAGGTATATAAATTTCCCTAAGATGCATAGTCATTGAAATCAGTAACTTCAACTTAATTGTTCACTTATAAAAAATGTTTATATTACTCTTCACTTTAATTATTGTTATGTAAAAGCTCTAGTTTTTTTTAAAGAGGAGACAGTAAATTGTTTTTTTTATCTTCCTTTACTTCTTTATACTGCTAAATTATTTAATTTTACTGGTCATGCACTTAAACTTTCTCAGGCTTTTTTTAGATTCCATTTGCTCCTTAGTTTGTTCTTTATTTCTAACTTTACAAGTATAAAATATATTCTTTCAAGTCATTGATTTCTTCATCTTATTTTTTGATGATTTAAATTTAATTTTCTGACTTTTCTCTTAGCTGCTTAGTAATATCTGAATATTTTGAAAGCTGGGGCGTTACTTGTTTGATTTCGTTTACAATTTAAATTCTTTCCTCTTCTGATTTTTATAGAGTATCTATGAGCTATTATATTTAATTTTGATACTTTTCTATTGAAGAATTTTGTGTTTATAATTGTTCTTTCATTTCTTTATTTTCTTTTTACAGTTTTTCAATTAAGATGTCTTTTTCTTTTGCTTCATCTATGGCTTTTTAAAGTAATTTTTAATGTTGTGCTGCTTCTGAATTTTAAGTTAGTTTTTTAATTTCTTCCTTCAGATCTTTATCAATAAGATCATCAATATTACTCTAATTAATTGGTGAGAAAGAAGTATTTTTATTATAGTTTTTCATATATGAAGTGTCTCCTTCTTTTAAGTTAAATCCTAAGATGATTTCTTTCTATCTTTACTACGAAGTTTTGAAATCTGCTGATTTAGGAGTAAGAGTTTACTGAGGATTTACTCCTATTTATTATAAATCAAGGTTTACTTTTTATTAAGCAACCTAATATTCTCTTTCTACAGATTCAGTATCTAGAGAAAGAGGTTTTTTATTTTATGCTTTATCTAAACTAATTTCATTTCTTTATTTTTCTTTAGGTTATTACTGAACTTAATTTTAGTTTTATGTTTGATATTGCTGAATCAGCATGTTGTAGTATTCTAATTACTCTTTATGCTCATTACTTGCAGTTTAGTAAAAAGGAAATCTTTACTAAATTTTTTAGTAGGTGTTTTACCCATTAATTTGAATACTTTGGTTAGAATTATTTAATCCTTTTGAAAGAGGAGAGATATTCACTCCTAACTTCTTCTAGTGTATGATTTAGTATTTATCATTGTCATCAAATTGTTTAAGTAAATCTATAAAACTATTTGAATTTTAGAACTTACTTGAGTTTAGCTAATCTTATGAGTTAAGATTATTTATCAAACCGCTTTCTTAAGAAACTTAAATATTATTTAATCCGTTTAGATTATTCTTACCATTAAAATTTTAAGCTAATTAGCTAGAATTTTATCCATTTGTTTTTGTAGAAAAGCCTTCATCTTTATTTCCAATTGCTAACTCGGATTCATTTTATTTTTAAGAAAGAAAGTTCTACTAATTTTAGTTTGCTGCCATTTAATTTTTAAAAATATTCTATTTCTATTCAATTTATTTATCTTGTTACTGCAAAAAATTAAAATCTATCTTTCTTGAATCACAAGTTGAGTAGTTGGGTTAATTATTTGATGAAATATTTTTCTTGTAAGCTTAAGGAGATTTATCATTGTAGTGAGCGCTTTTATAATCCTGAACTTAATTTAATTATAGAGGTTGAGTTTTATTATTTTTATCAGCAGCTTCTTGTAAATTATTAAAATTTTAGTTTTAAGAATCTTCTTTAAAGAATTCTACATTTAACTTTTATAAAGGAGGTTATCTCTGCTGATGAGTAGTTGAAGAAGGCTATATGCTATTATTCATCTTTTTTACAATATTTTAATTACCATTTGACTTATTTTAATTAATTTATTCTTAATATGGATTTTAAAATTAAATATCATTTAGCTAAATGGGTGCAACTTACTATATTTATTCTTTTTAAAATGGATGTGAACCTAAATAAGGAGTGTTAAACTAATTAGAATTAGACTTTGAGCCCCTAGTCACTTCATCATTTTGCTTTTCTATTAATTCAAAACTCTTCTCTTCATATCTATGCTGCAAAGTGTTGTTGTGATGATGATTTTATTACTTCAAATTTGATTGATCAAAATTATTTTCTAAATTGTTAAAAGCAGCATTTGCATTTTGCTATGATTAGCTTTATTAATTATCTGGTTTAATTGATTTATCTTACTGAGCCTACTTTTACTTCTAATTTACCGAGTTTGATTTTTAAGATTAAGTATTCTCTTATTAGAATGAACTGCTTGGACTGCTATCTCCTCCATCTTATATCAAAATTGCTGGTCTTTTTAATGACCAAGTAATAATACTTCCTTCAATATCACCAGATGCAAAACTTGTTTCAGATAATTTACATATTGCATTAACTCTGCAGTCGTGTTTCTCAATTATAAAACTCTCTTACTGATTGTGAATATTTAAAATTTTAATACAACTACCATCACCAATTACAAGCTCATTCTAATTAATAATGCAAGCAGCATATATTGGGTTAATTAATTAAATAACTCGATATTACTAAAAAGAATGTATATTCCAAATTCTTATCGTTTTATCACTGCTACCAGATATCAAGAAATAATTTTATAAATTTTAATCATCATTTCTCTAGTCTTTTTATCCATTAATTGAATAGCTTTCCAAGTAGTACACACTTTTTTCTTTCTCATGCCCTATCAATTCTCCTTTTAATTCAAATTTTTCACTATCCCAAACTTTGATTTCTCCAAACTCTCCAGCTGTAAAAAAAATATTTGGAATTTAATTTATTTTATGCATAACATTGACACTGCCTCTGTGACCCTTGGGATTTTCGTCGTGGTTTCTGATGTAGTACATCAGATTTGTGTTATTTATAATATTAATATTTCCATAGCAATCACCAGCAAATATAGTTTTATTTTTGAAAATCAATAAGCTATACAGTTTATTTTTGCAAGGAATAACTCCATCAATTTTTCTGCTTTACCAATCTATAATTATTACATAATTTTCACTAGTTCCGACTAGCAAATTGTCTTCACAAACAAAATATCTACAACATCCATCACAATCTAAGTTATTAAGAAGAGTTTAACCCTTCCAGTCCCATATCCTAATAGTTTTATCAACAGAACTGCTAGCTAGACAACTATTATTTAATCTACATAAAGTGTATATTCCGTCTTTATGAGCAAGATCTCCATTATTTTAATAAATTACTCGACTCTCAAGCTTAGTAATGTTCTTGATAACTGACTTTTCTGTTATTAAAATAATTAATTAGATGAATAAATTTATTAATAATTAGAATTTATTTCTTAATCATATGAAATAAAAATAATCTAAAAATATAGTTAGTAAAAAACAAACCATAAACTTAATTAGATTTACAAAATTAATTTTTTATCAGATTTAATACAAATCTAAATTGTTAAATTTAATTTATCCTAACTAAATATTTTTTATTAACGAATTCTTTTATGATTTAAAAGTAATAAAACTACCTTCCTATAATATTACATTCTCATCATCTATTGATTCACTGTTAGTAATTATTCTTTTCATAAATTATAAGTGCTGTTATTATAGGAGAATAGCTTTTAAATTTGTTAGTCCACACTTTACTACCAAGCCAATAATAAATAACCCAATAAAAGGATCATTTGCGACTACAGGAATTCCAAAAAATTCATTTAATTTATCTTCACAAGTCTTGTTTGAAATATTTTTCGTAATGACAATAGTATCGTCAACAATATCTGAAATATACTATTATTAAACACTGTAAGGTATAGATACAGTCTTTTTTTTGTTTTGTAAATCATATTGCTCATAGTAGATTTTATCCAAATAAGTTATCACTCCTAAAAATCCTAATTATTCACCTAAATTTATTCTTAATTTGAATACTATCAAAAAGTAGTTTTCTATTTCTTTTTGCTCATAGCTTTCAATTTCATAGCTTTAATGATCTTTTATAAGCTGAAATTTTAATTGAGATGGTCTATACTTAATATCTATCTTTCTAATTGATACCAAATAATGATGAGAAATTAAGCTTGCTAAACATAAAACATTCTTTTCAAAAATAATTTCGCCAATTAAAGCACCTCCATTGTTTGTTTGATTTTAATTACTTGAATTTTTTTCATTAAAGCTAAATAATTACTCTCCTTTCCATCCTTTTTTTTTAATATCTTCAATAAAATCTAAATGATCATTTGAACTATTTTTAATGTTGAATCCTCTAAGCTAACTTTGCTGCAAATTTTTATTTTTAGTTGAAACCTACTATTGGTTTTAAAACTCTACCTTGCTCATAACTCTGACTGCTTGCTTAATTTTAATTATTTGTTGTAACTACAATAAAGTATTAACTTTTACAAATACTATCAAAAAAAATTAAATCTAGTATCTACAAATTTGATTCTGCCTGTTATCAACTTGAATAAATTTCAAAAAATAACAACAAAAATAATTAAATAATTTATTAAAGCATCAATCTTAACCATAAATAACCAAGCTACTTACTGTTATTACTATACCTATTAATAAATGAAATATTAAATTTAATATATTTTGCACATAATTTATAAACATAAATAATTTATAATTTTTAAAAACTAAATTAACTACTTTTCATTAAATTTATTAAATAAAATATATTCAAAATTTATTTTAATCTGTAAATTTATTTAATAATTAAATAAACAAATATAGTTAGTTATTGGTGTTTCAATTTTTATTTATTTAGGTAAAGAAAACTCTAATAGTCCAAAAAATAAAATAAAATCTTTAATTTCTCTTAAATTTTTACATTTTATTTGTTTGGATAATCACAGAATTTTTAAAATCTAAAATTTATTTATTTAATTAAATTTATTATTATAACCGGTTAAAAAGTTTACTTATTATTTGTTTACTTTAAGAGATAATATTTTAAAGAAAAGAAAAAATGGGAAATTTATAATTCAAATATTCTTTTGTCATATTCTAAAGTTTATTATCTTGAAATAATTTTTAAAATAATAAACAAGTAAATTTTTTTATATTCTGTTCAAAAAAATTTATTTTAATATGTTTTTTAATGATTTCAAAAATTTTGGTAATTATTAAATATTTTAATTCAGTGTTTAATTTTTATTTTATTGAAATATTCATGTTTTTAGAGTTGATAATTTATGATATTGTTAAAAAAAACAAATAAATATTTACTTTTATGAGAATAATAGTTAAAAATTAAGCACAACTTACTTTTTAAATCTGTTGTTTAGGTTTTTTTAAATTCATTTTTTTTATTTATTGAATTTAAATTATTCATAAATAATAGGTAATAACTTTTAGAAAACATTTAAATTTAAGAATTATTATATTGATAGCATTTTATATTTAAAAGGAATAAAATTACTTTAACTATTAGAAACTAAAAGTTGATTTTATCTGCTGTTTGATACCACTTTTTTACAAATAATTTGAAGCTTCTGCAGATTTGTAAAGTAATTAAAAACTAAGGATAGAAAAAATTTAATTTTACAAATATCAATGCTTATAAAAATCATAAATTAGTTATGCCTATATATAAAATATAATAAATAACAATTATTTGGATAATTAAAAGATAAAATAAATTAATATAAAATCTAAATTTTAAGTAAAATTATTTTTAAATTTATATTATTGTTGATTGAAGTATTTAAATTTTAGAAATTAATTTTCTTTTATTTAATTTATTTGGTATATACTTAAAAAGATAAAAAATATGAATTTAAAGAAACATTTCAATTTTAGTAAATATATATTTTGAGTATATTCTTTATATTATTAGTAAACAACATATAAGCCTTAGTTGTATTTATGTTAATTTGTTCATGTTTGGCGTCTATTTCTTTTTTTCAATTTTTTATCAATTGCTTTTAATTTTCTTAATAGCATTTAGTTCAGATATCAAATTCTTCAGAAACTTCAAATTCTGAATATTATACTCTTCTTTCTTCAACTCTTTCGAACTTTTCTCCTCTTTGATGTTTTCCTTTGTGTTCTTCTCTTCTATCATTCTTATCCTCTCTGTCTTAATTATGACGTCTATCTCTTCTTTCTTCATGATTTCTTTTTTATCTGTCTTCTCCAGATTTTTCATCTCTGGGATGTCTATTACCTCTTCTTTCTTCAGAGTGTTATCCTCTTCTTTCTTCAGAGTGTTATCCTCTTCTTTCTTCAAAGTTGTTTTATCTTTCATCTCTTCTCTTATCTTAGTTTCTTTCATTGTCATGTTTTCCAAGCTTTAATTACTTTTATCCATTCTATTATTCTTCACTTTGAGATTCACTGCTAGATTCTGATTCACTGCTAGATTTTGATTCATCTCTTTTCTTATTTTAAAGGAATCCTTTTTCCTTACGTCTTTATTCTTCTCTGTGTTTTCTGCAAAGCTTCTTCAAAAGTTCTGGATTAATATTATTAGCTTCAGCAAAGGATCTCATTTAGTTCTTGATTTCTTCCATAGAAATTCCTGATTGCTTTAATTCCTTAAATTTGTTTTTAATGAGATTAATTTATTCAGGAGTTAGCTAGATCTCATTTTCTCCTTCTTCACTGGATTATTCTCTGTGCTTATTTTGATGGCGTCTCATAATATGTTTTTTAATAGAATTAATGTTAATGCCATTCTATTCAGCAAATTATTTGATTTCAGATTTAATCTCTTCAAAGCTCAAATTTTGTGATTTTAATTACATGAATTTTTATTTAAGAATATCCTTTTATTCTTCAGTTAATTCAGGAGCATTTTCAATATCAATTTTCTTTTATTTCCATTGATAGACTTTAGTTAATTTTTCAATGTCTAAGTTGTTATTTTTAGCGAACTCTTCCAAATCTTATTGAGAAATATTTTCTTAAGATAAGAAATCTTTAACTTTATCGTGTATAAAAGAAGATGCATTTTCTATCATCTTCTATCTCATATCGAATTTAGCAATAGTGAATGCTAAAACAAGAGCAATTATTATTAGTTTTTTGTTCATTTTTAATGAGTGATTTTTAAATTTTGTTTATTTTTAATTAATTATTATTTTAATTACTATTTTATTCAAGACTTTTTTAAAGTGAGAGAGTTTGAAAATCAGGAATGAGATTACAGCTCTTTTTTTTAATTCAGGTGGAAAATTCTATCTTTTTTCTTATTATAAAAAGTCTTGCTAACTAATACCGGTTTTAATTTAAAAGTAAAATTTTAATTTTAAAATTAAAATGTTCGTGATTAATCAGATAATTTACTCATCTTATCAATCAATCTACGTTATTACTGCGTTAAATTAATTAATTAACGCAAATCAAAAGGCATTCATTCGTTCAATTTCGAAATATTTTTAAAATTTAAAATTGGCTTCATAAACAAATAAATGTAAACTATTATCAATACTTAATAATAAATAACAATAGCACTGATCTATTTTTGAAAATCTATTTTAATTTTGATTTTGCTGTGCTTTTATTCTGAATTCAAACAAAAAATTTTTAATTAAGTGAAAAAAACTAATATGTATAATGATTGAATGATGAGTTTTTTTCTAAGAGAAAAATAAATTGAAAATTTTTATTTTGTTAAATTTAAAAGTGAGTTTAAGATAATACAAAAGAATCAATGTAGGATTTCATCTATAAAATTTTATTTGAAAGTAAAAAATAAAAAATATTAAATTTTGTTACAAAATTTAATAGAAAATTTATAATATTTCTAACTTTTAAATTATAATATAATAGCGAGATTTATATTAATATTGTATCAATTTAATTTTTTTTTTAATTTAGATTTATTTAATTATTTTTATTATATTATATTTTTTATCTATGATTGATTACTTACTTACTACAAAAATATAAATAAAAATAAGAAGATAGATAGATAGATTATTTGTCTAAAATATACTTTTTGGGCTCATTATACAAAATTTTGTGAGAGAAATTAATAGAAGAAACATACATTTTAAGACATACTATTCATAAAGTTTAATACCATAGATATTACCAAATCATGTATTTTCTTTCTGCTTGATTAAAATATTATTTTATTTCTCAGGATAAAAAAAATTTTACAATATTTGAAAAATAATTAGAAAATACAAGAATAAAATAATTCTGCTTTGAATAAAATACTAAAAAAACAATTTATAGAATCACTAAAATATTAATAATTTGTTACTTAATTTATTAGAAAATTTTTATATCGTCTATTTTATAATTTATTATATACATCAAAATAATTCAAATATAAGTCTCCGCATAAATAAATTTTCTCACCAAGTATTATTTTTAATTGATAAATTTAATTGTAAAAATTATCAACTCTAATTAGCTTTATAAGATGATAATTGAATGTCTCTTTTCCTGAATCAAAAAACATAAAACTATTTATTTTTTCATTTGAAATTTTTTATATAAAACAATTAATAAAAATTGAATAAAATGAAATTCATGCTTTAAGTGAGTTATTGAGTTTAAGTAGTCTAAATTTTTGTATTTCTAGTAAATTTATTTTTAATTCTTAATTGACTTCTTTTTTAAAAAAGTAATAAAATTAATAAAAATATAATCTCTCAGTATTTTTATTATAATTATTTGTTTGTTAAACTTTAGAAATTATTTTTCTATTTATTTGGTAATAAAAATAATTAAAAAAAGTAATTCTACTAATTTAATTTAGTAAAGCTAACCAAAATTTATTTAACGTTAATTGAAAATACATTCTAATTAATATTGTTTTATAATATTTACTTAAATGTTTTACTCATGACATACACACATACAAATATATTTTTTTAATTTTGTAATTTTGTTATGTAAATCTAAATTCATGATCTTAGTTTGTAATTATTCTCAAAAATCACCATAAGAATCAATTTTATTAAATATTTTTAAGCTGAATAAATCTCTATAAATAACAAAGTGATCAAATTCTTCTTTAAATCTATAAAGAAGTAAATAGGAGAAAGTTTATAAAACTCCAAATTATAAAAGCTACTTATCATATTATTATTTTATATCAGAATTCTTTTGAATAAAATTATTTAAATGTTGAGTAGATTTCAAAGTTAATAGTAAAACCCTCAAAATAATTAGTAGGATAATAACATTTCATTTATCTCATATGAAAATGAGAGAGTAAGCATTTCTCAAAAAAACCTTGATAATACTATAGATTATAAATCTAAATATTTACAAAAAAAATCAAGGAGTGAAAATTATTTTCCTCCACAGAATTTTCTCTAAAATTTTTACTCTTAAACATCTTTAAAACACTATTTTATTTAAGAACATTATGCTTTTTTTTTGATAAAAAGCAATTTGAAATTATTTTAAGATTATATTTTTTAAAAGGTAGCTGTAAGAAGAAATTTTTTGGAAAACCTTAAGGTGTCTCTTCACGAATCGTTTGTTACTAATATAGGATTAGTTTGCCTTTCTAGTTTGAAAATTACAGCAATCATTTTAGTTTTTATCTTAGAAAAAATACCAAAACTTGAAAACGGAAACCAAGATTTTTAAATAAATGAGAAGCAATTATAAGGAGTGTATGAGATTAAGCTGTGGCTAATATTTATGATTGCATATGATGGACTGAATATATTTTACTTATTTTATACAATTTACATAATTGGTAAATACAATAAAGCTGCTTATAGGAGAGGGTAAGGAGAAAATTCCTTATAAGATGGATAAATAATTTATAATGATCAGCAGAGCTCTGCATATTTGCAAACTAATTAGATGATACAATCGTAAATAAGTCTTGATATGGAATAAAATTTATATTAAAATGGTCAAAATGATATGATTAATGAACCTTTAAATGAGTACTACTATCAATAATATAGCTCGCCTTTATCAATTAACCACCAAATAAACTTTTTAGAATTAGCAAGTAATAGGAATAAAGTATTAAAGTACAGCTCTCTAGCAACAAAAATGTAATAAATAATGATCTCATCAATAATAAATTTTTTCATTAATTAAAAATAGATCTTACTTAGTCTTGTTCTTATTGGGAAACTATTTTGCATATATTAATAAAAGCTGTTCTAGTTAGTTCCCTTACCATTATTATCTACTCTTATGGCTTGTGGCACTAGTAATATTAATTTTATTCTAGGTTTGTAATAAATCTTTCTAATACTAAAATAAAAGGGATATTTTTCATTTGGAATATAAATTTTACTCTTGCTTTCAATCTGTTTGTGCTTTCCATTAACATTATTCCTTTATGTTTTGATGAGAAATAGAACTAACTCTTCAATTCCGGCAAACAATGTAAAATAATAATATAATTAATAATTTGGCTAAATAATAATATTTATATCAATAGGAAATTATAAAAAGACTATAACCATAAAAATACAAAGACAAAATAAACAATTCAGAATTTGATACATAAAAAGAATGTTGCATTTGTCTGGTAGATTATTAATCTGACGATTTAATCATAAGTTTACCTTGCAGTAAATTGTAAGCCTTAAATATTCTAAATGTTTCTTTCATGTTAAAATTTTTTTTTTTTTAATTAGGCATCATTATCATTATGATTGTGTTGTTAAGTGGTTAAATATCAGTGGAGTCTGTCCTATATGCAAGAAACCTTTGGAGTAATATGTTTAAGAATTAGAAGAAGTAAAGCAAAACTACCAATTCTATTGATATTGTATAAAATAATAAAATGAATAGATTTTAATAAGGATTTAATAAAAAATAAATAAAATATTATGATATAAAAATGGAAATTTTTAAAATAAAAATACAAAATTGTATATATAACTCACTTAATAGAGCATAAATTAATAAATAAATAAAATATAAAATAAATGTAAATAAAATATAATTAAATATTTAAATTAATATAATTAATTTGTAAATACATTTAAATTTAATAAGTATTTTGTATTTAATTTTGCCATACTTTACATTTCCTTCCTTTATATTTATGATGTGTTGTCTAAAAGTGATTTACTATTTGTGGATTTTTTCTTAATGCAAAAAACCTTTGAACAATCAATCTAATATTTATGAGAGAAAATAAAGCTTTCAATCCAATTGATTTTAGGAGAAATGTTTTAAGTAAATAGATAATTTTAGATAAAAAATAAAAAAAGTAATAAAACGATTTGACATAAGATATCAAAGAATTTTTATAACTAATAGTATAAAATGTATATATTGCTAACTTAATTGTGAATTAATAAGTTAAATGTAAATATATAATAAATAAACACAATATCTACTAAATTCTAAATATATTTTATTAAATTATTGTTTTGTATTCAATTTTGTTATATTTTTCTTAATTTTGATTTTTTATCTATCTATCTCATTTTTCCTTTAAAGTTAAAACTCATTTTTTTAAAAATTTTATTAAAAGGTTTGTATGTATGTATGTTTATTATTTGTTTGATTGTTATTAATATATTCATATTTAAAATGTTTATAGCATGTTCTATCTAATTATTTATAATCGATACTAAATATATTCTTTCTCATTATAATTATTATTACAAGGAATCTTTTTGTCACGATTTAGCTTACTCTTACTTACTTCACTTTAAAAAATAGTTAATTTTTCATTCACAACATTTTTTATCTTTTTCTTTATTCTTTTTTTTATTATGTTAATTACCATTTAATAGGATTGAGGCTGTATTACCTTCTGGATCTATTCCTTAAGCAATCAAAGTTAAATACAACTCCTCATTTGCTCTAAAAACCTTTGTTGCAAGATGAATAAAGCATTCACTTATATTTATATTTGTAAGAGAGCTTGTTTCAAAATATTCAAACTAAAAATCATATTTATCTAAAAATTCATTGATCATATCCCTATTTACTACAATTTAATCTGTTAAATCACATTTCGTTCCTATTAAGGCAATTTAAAAGCCTTCATTTATATTAGCTTTAATGAGCTACATCCATTTTTCTAAAGTTTAAAATGTTTTTGCGTTAGTTAAATCAAAAACTAAAAGAATTCCCTATGAGTCTTTGTAAAGATTAAATGTGATGCTTCTATATCTTTCTTAACCTGCTGTATCCCAGACAGATAGTTAAACTTTTTTATTATCAATTTCTATCATTTTAATTGCATAATCCATTCCTTAAGTTGTTTAGAGAATTAGTTTTATTTTCATGATTTAATTTGATTCAATAATGAAAATTTACCTGTTGATGAGCTTGTTGGTATAAATTCATTTTGAGCAAATCTATTTAATAGAGCAGTTTTCCCTACAGAAGATTCTCCTAATATCAAAAGTTTAACTTTTTTAGTCTAAGACTTCATATTTAAATAAACTTAAATTGAAGATATGCTTTGAATTTTAATAACCTCAAACTTGCTATTAATTAATTTTAATTATTTTAGATATATATATCACTTAATAATCGAAGGTACATTTGAATAATTCTTGATGTGTTTGAGTATAATTTTCTGATAAGGAATTAACCAAATTTAAAGTATTAATTTCTATTGTAATTATACATTATCATGAAGAAGATGTCAGTTTATTTACAAATAAAATCTTTAAAAGATCATTGATAAATTATTTTTTAGAGATATTTTATTTTGAGAAAAAAAACTAAAAAATTGGCTTTTAGAAAAATTTTATTAAATATATTTTTTCTTTAAAGTAAAAATATTAAATCTCAAAATTAAAATATTGCTAATCCAGGTATTATAATATGATGAACTGGATAGCATCAATAAATAAATAAGACTAGTTTAGATTGAAAATGTATTTATTAAAAATTTAAAAATGTAAAATTAATTAAAAAATGTCAAGTAAAAAAGTAAAAATGTATGTGTATTACTGTCTGCAGATTAAAAAAGATTTTTTTGAACATTACAATTTTTTAAAGGTCGAAATGCACAATAAATATATATTTTATAGTTTTAATTTTGTAATACAATAACTCTTTTTTATATTTTTATTAATAATTGAATATTATTTAATTAGTTTTTAAATAGATAATATCTAAAAAAAAGGAGATTTTATTGAAAATTAACAAGCTTTAAAAGAAACATTTTTTATAAAATAGTTTAAAAATAATTAATTATTTATAAATCTATCATTTAGATTTAATAAATTTTTGGAAAGAAAAAGAATTATTTTTTATTAAATATATTAAAAAAAAGGTAAATTTTTTTTAGATTTTAAATGCAATTTACATTAAAGCTTATAGATTAATGTCAATTAACGAGTATGTATAAAATATTAAATATTGTAAACATAAATATGTAAATGTAATATCAATTCCTTCTACATATTTTTGGTTGTGAAAACAAATTGCCTTTATTTTAATTATTAAAATCAATACAAATTAGAATTGAAAACTTAAAACAAAAAGTAAAAAAAAGCTTTAATAGATAATAATTAGTAAAAATGGTTAAAAACCTTAAAGAAGAAATCGTTTTTAAAAATTATTTCAACACTCGGTTTGAAAATAATAAAATTCAATAAATTTATGATAATTAGTTGATTCCTTAAAATAAGTAGAATTGCACTTTGTTTTTTATTGCTTCATTAACTATAATAATACCTTTAGTAATTTATCATTTTTTTTTTGTAGAGAATTACAAATTCGCTGTCTTCGCTCTTATTATCTGGGTGACTCTGTTTTTATTGTATTTAGGATAAATTTATGTGAAATTCTTAACTAATAAAATAGAAATAATTCTATTTTTCTAAATTTTAGTATCTGAATTGAGCTTTATTTTTGGATCAAAATGGAAATAGTAAATTGACCAGTAAAACATAAGTGATACCTAATTCTTGAACGGAATGATGACTGGTATAATAATGTTAATTAATCAATATGTTTAATCTCATACTATTTTGAAAATATTAAACAACCTTATAGTGATTATAGTATTACTTATTATAAATTCTGCTGCTTTATATATAAGAATTTCTTTACTATCTATTATCATTTCTATTTCTATTACTGTACACTTTAAGGATAAATAAAATAAATTGAAATTCTTTGATTATTTTAAAAAACACTAAGAATTAAAAGGATGGTAGAAGTTTCTTTCTGAAGAGCTTCCCTAAAGTGTATTCCTAGTAACTAAAAACTAAGAAAAATAAATATTAAATGATAAAAAATTAAATATTCAAAATGAAAGTTCAGAGACAAAAAACCTTTAAAATAATAAAAACTCAGTTTCAGATAACGAAAATGCTCATAGCAAAATATAAGATCATATTTAAACTAATAAAAAAAATGAGATTTAATTTTCTTAAATTGCTAAAGTAAATTCTATATACAACAAAAATTAAACTGAAAGATCTCAAACTTTATATAACTTTGCTTTTATGAATAACAGATGCTCTCAGTTTATTTTTGGTAATAAAGACCAATAATCTGATACTAAAGCAGACTTAATTAATGGAATAAATAATAGTAGCAAATAAACTGAGCAACATTAACAATAAATAATTAATTCTGATGAAGTTGCTTAAAATTTAAAGCAATAGTTGCAAAAGCTAATCATTTTAAGAAAAAAAGAACAAGTGTCTAGTATATAATAAGAATCTCTTCATAGTTATATTTTAAAATGTGATAACTAATCTTCATCTTTAAGAAAATTCTCAAAAAAGAAATCTCAACATATTCTATCAATAGAAAAAGAAAGAATTTCACTTGACTAACTGATAAATGAATATTTTGAAGGTCAAAGTACTAATTATTATTCATATGATAAATAAAGAGTATCCTCAAAATATAATTTAAAAAGCTAAAGGTCTTAAAATAATGATTAAAATGAAATAAATTCAGAAGATTCTTAACTCTTATGTAAGTTTAAACCTGTTTTAATTGAACATTAGGTTAATTGTTAGCATTTTCTTCCAAACAAATACTTTGATTTAAAAATTTATGAATGTAACTATAATGATAAATAATCTTTAATGATTATTATGGATGATATAAGTGAAAAAGTTATGGAAGAAAGATTAAGAGATGTTGAAAATTATAAAGAAAAGCTTTTATCTATGATAACTCATAACTTAAAAACTCCTCTAAATGGTATCATATGTATTTTAGGTAATTATTTCTTTGTAATTATTTTCTAATTTTAATTTTAATTAATTTATTCACACAGAAAGTATTGTCTTACAATAGCAGAATGCTCATATAGATTAATAAAATTTAAATGCTGTTCTTTAGAGCTCTAAATTGCTTTCCTATATGATAAATGACTTGATAGATTATAGTTGCATTATAAAAGGAAATTTATCTTTAAATCCAAAATTTTTTAGCATTTAAGAGTCAATAAATGCTTTGACACAACTATTTCAAGATTAAATGCAATATAAAAATATCAAATTAATTGTAAATATGGAAAAAAGCATACAAGATATCATAATCTTTAATGACTAATAAAGATTTATGCAAATTCTTGTTAACTTAATATCTAACTCTTTAAAATATACCTTTTAAGGAAACATTTGTTTATCATTAGAGAACTGTTAAGATTCAGAAAGTATTTAAATAATTGTATCAGATACTGGAATTGGAATGAGAGAAAGTACTGTAAAGAAGCTAAATTTATTTTCTGAAAGCATTCAAAGCGAATTTGATTACTAATCAGGTTATTTATTTATCTATAAAATTACTTTCACAATAATTAATTATAATTTTTATTTACCTAATTATTTGTTTGTTTATTAATTTATAGGCCTAGGACTTGGATTATAGCTTATTAACAATTTGATATAAAAAATTGGACCTACATAAAGTTTAAAAGTAAAGAAAAATTCACAAGATGGAGGTACAATAGTTAAATTTTCTGTTTACAAAGATATTGTAAAAAAGTAAAGTCTATATAGTGCCTAAATGATATCTTTTGACTCTAAATAATCTCCTAAGTGTAATAAGGAAACTCTTTAAATATCGTACAATATTTAAAATGAAGCAGAGGAATTTAAATCTACAGAATAAAAAGAGAATGTTAGATCTCATATAAAAAGAGAAATGAAAAAATCTTTTAGCTAATTGTCAATATTATCACTAGCAAAAAGCTAATAGTGTTCAATAGCTGAAGATAAAAATTAAATAAATTATATGAACATTTTATAAGAATAGTTATGCAATAAAAAAATAATGATTGTGGACGATACTGTTTTTAACATCCTTGCTATGAAAATTCTTTTCAAAAATATTTCTAATTTAGTCATAAATGAAGCTTATAATGGTGAGTAAGCAGTCAATTTATTTAAATCAGCTATATAATAAGAAGAATTTAAATAATCTACAAATTTATTTATTCCTGATATTATATTTATGGATATAAACATGCCAATTAAGGATGGTATTTAAGCTACTAAAGAAATTAATGAGCTTGCATTAGTTCATAAAATCCAAGTTAAAATTATTACTGTTTCAGCATTTGATTAAGAAAGTGATAGAGAAAATTTTTTAATAGCAGGATCACATTATCATATTGCAAAGCCTATAAAAATAGAATCTCTAGTAGAAGGTCTTCACTATATTGGATACTGAAGATCAATCAACTTAATTTATTTTATTTTTAAAAATCAAATATATAATTTTAACCAATTTAATAATTAAAATATTTATTTAATAAATTAATTAACTAAGAGATTGATTTTAAATTTACACAAAAGTTAAATAGTTTAAATTAAAAACCTAAGTATTAAAAATCATTTTAAAAATATTGACAAATATCAACTTTATTATATTTAAATATATTTATTTAAAAAAATTGCTTGATTTAACATAAAAATTGTAAAAATTGAATCGTTTTTTTTGTTTGTTTGTTTGATTTATGTTAATAATTTCATTAAATATTAAATAATTAAAAAATACATATTAATATTAACATAAATCATTTAATTTTCTTCAGTAGTTTAAGAATTATTAGATATTAATAGTACTAACCATTATAATTTCAGAGGTAATTAAGTTTAAGCTTGAATATGTTGAATAAGTTTTTCATTAGTATTTGATTAAATATTTTTAAGCAAAAATGTGTGTGATGTATTAGCATGCATTATTACAATATATTATATCAAATATTTATTTTCTTTGATATAGCTTTTAAAATAATAATCTTTTTTTACTATTTAATTTATAGTCGATCATTTTACCCATTAATTTTTGTTTTTATGTTCTTATAATACTTATTAGAGAACCATTTAAACAACATTTTTATCCAAAGAAGGTTCTTTTTGATAGAAAGCTGAGTTATGACAAGCAATTATAAATTTTTCTATTTCTCTAGCTGAAAATCCTTCTGTTTATTCAGCTATAGAACGTAAAAACTATTCATCAATATTATGGTCTTACTTAATAATTTTAGGTCTAAAAATCAAACTTGATGGTTTCCACCAGATATTTTTTATCTCATTTAATAGTGAAAATTTATAATCAAAGTACTTTGAAAAAAATAAGTTGAGTAACCTAAATCTTTCATCTGCAGATGGAAGAGGAAAGTATAAATAGTTATCAACTCTATCATTTAATGCTTTATCTATGATTTCAGGATAGTTAGTAGCTACTACAAACATTACATTTTTACTAGGTGTACCTGTTCTATATAAGAAAGTATTAATGCAGTTTCTAACATTCTCACTCATACTTTTATCGTCTCTGTTTCTAAAAAAGGCATCACCTTCATCAATAAATATTATTATACCTCTTGAAGATTTTTCAGCCCAGTCAAAAACTTTATTTATTGCCTCTACAGCATTTTCTTTCAATGGAGCTATATCACTACCAGCCATAATTGCATAATCCATATCTTTTTAATTAAAAAGAATATTTATAAAAAAATTATTTTAATTATTATTTATTTATTTGTTTTTTACTTGATGAATATGCCAGTTTTTTTGCAAAAAGAGTTTTTCCTGTTCCAGGTGGACCATAAATAAGCATATTTCTAAGTGGAGCCAGATTTCTCTTTTTGTTCAAAATTGAATATGAAATAGATTGTAATTAGCCTTCAAGGTGTTAAGGCAACACAATATTAGAAAATATGTTATCTTACAAACTTTTATTTGATTTGAAAGAATTTATAAACCTTAAAGATTGACCAGATATTAAATTTTTTGTAGTTGGTCTTGATGTTTCTCTAACTAATGAAGGCTATACTAATCTCATTTCTAAAAATTTAGAGGCTAAGTTTATACTTGATTTAGATAAATAGAAAGCTAAGGATATCAAACCTGTATATATACCAATAGTGATAGCAAATCCTTTGTTTTTTTATATGTATTCAATACCATGAGCGAAGTTATCAAATGTAATTGCTGCAAGCTCTTTTAGAGTTTATCTTCTTTCCTCTTCTTTTTTGATAATTTCTTTAACCTTCAGATCAAAATTTTATCTATAAGCTTAGGATTTAGCTTTTGCCAAAAGCTCAGCCTTCTTTTCTTCAAGCTTTAGCTATTCTTTCATTTACTTCTCCATTGACTATAATTTTATCTCCTCTTATCTCCTTATTGATTCTTCCTTAAAATTATAAGAATAGAATTCATTAATAAATAGTAAAATCATAAAAATTATCAATTTTAATATTTATTTTACAGTTGTCCTATTAATTTCTTCCTATCTCTTTTACTTTTCAACTAGCTATTCTGTAAATCTCTTTCTTTCCAATTTATCTCTGTATTCTTCCAAATTTTTTTTTTACTCTTTCTCATGAGTACTTGTTCTCCTAGCTTCTTCCTGTCTTATTTTAATTGTTTCGCCCTTTTCCCTCCTTTATAAATTACATTAATTTTATGAAATAATTCGTTTAAATTGAATAAATAGAATACTCTAATTCAGCTTATCTTTAAAATGCTAACGCTCTCTCCTACTCAATTATACCTTGGTAAATAAGCTTAGCATTAGGACTTTTTTATATTTCTCTAATTGCCTAAAATAAAATATAATTTATAAAACTAATTTATTTTAGTATTTATACTAATTACTTCAGCAGCCCTTTCAAGACTATTAGGATCTAGGTTTAATGACATTAAAAAATAACTAAAGATTTTAATTTAAAAATATTAATTAATACACAATTATTAATTTATAATTTTTTGAATCTTCGCGTTTAACAGAAATTAAACAATAATTCTGATTATTCTGGAATATACTAAATAGATAGATATATACTAAATAACATAAACCACAAATATTTAATTCAAATGAATAATATTTAAAAGTAGATTTTTTTTAATTTTAAGAATTAATACAAAAGTAAGTAACTATGAATAAAATATAATAAATCAAATTTATGATTATTATATACTTTTAACTATATCCTCAAATATTTTAACTCTCAACTCTCTGCTTACATTGTTGATTTTGTTATGTTCGCTCATATACTAAAAGAATTGATCTTTGGAAAAAAAAAAAAAATTAAAAATAAACTTTTAAAATGTTAAATTTACTTGGAATGATGTTAAACACCATTATGATTTCTTTCAAAGATTGTATGATAAAAGTATATTCTTTTGATTGCACCTGATTAATAGTTAGATAATTATTTTAAAACTAAAGGTAAAAAGTAATTATTAGATACATTAAATCCTGAGTAAAGGAGAAGGATAGCAATATAGGCAAATTCTGTAAGCTTAAAATTATCAAATTAAGACTACTCACTGCTTGCTTCTAAATTAAAAGCTTCTACTACATCATTTATTTTATCAAGTAAAGTTTCTGTTTGAATAAATATAAATAAATTCACTATTAAAAAATCAATAAAAATTTTTACTCTTTTTATCATTTTAAATAGCATTTAGCAAATTTAAATAATCAAATTATACTAATTAGTACTTTTTCAATAATTCTAACTTTCTAATATATTAGGATTATCTACTATCATTGTCTGGTAGTTATAAAGGATTTTAACTTTCTTTCAAATAATCTATATTTCTTTGTAAAGCTCTAAAAAGAAATAGACAAGATTGATCAAAAGGATTTTATGGTAAAGATTCTGAATAGGGAATATTATTAAGATTAACGATAGGTCTATTTTACAATTAAAATAGAACGTATAAATTAGGGAAATACTGAGATAATAGGGAGGCTATATCATCATTAAACTCTTAAAAATCGCTAAATAATCTAAAATTTGATATTTCTTCATATTTATTTGGTAAGCTGTAATTATGTTTTTCATATTCTATAAATTTAGCAATAAAACCACTTACTTCGTTTTAGTTAGATTTTAGATATTCTTTTAATTACTGAAGTCCAGAATTAAAGTTAAAATATATTAAATACAAATCATCTTTTAAATTATTATTTAAACACAAAGTAAATGCGATATCAAGCAGTTGATATTCGATGAGCAGCTATAAAATTTTATCTTTAACTTAGTACTTATTCATAGAAACGGTTTCCTTAATACAAAAATCGCAGATGTTTTAAAGCTAAGTTTCCAACTAATATCCTAATGTATTCTGAGATGCATTCAAAAGTCTTAGAGATTTTTCTATAAAAATTATTGCTTAATTTACTAGAATATTCTCAATACCACCAGCATTTTATTCTTAATTAATATCTTCCATAATTCCTTATTCTTATATTAATTCAAGTCTGTTTAATTCTAATTATTAGCGATCTTCTAGTATGACATTAATAGACTTGTTCCAAATCTATTTCAAAAAGAAATAAAATTAATAAATTTACTTATTATTTCATCATTTTATTTTTACAAATTTTATATAAATTTTTAATTTATTTATCTTAAATGAAAAAATTTAAAAAAATTAACTAAATTTTTTTATAAAAATTATAACAAACAATTTCCTTTAGATGTTAAAGGATATTTGGATAGTTAATTCATTTATTTATGAAATTTAAACAAAGTATAAAAATATTTTAACAACCTACTTAATTATAATTTTTTTACAAAAATTAAATAAAGATTAATTAATAAAAAATGTTTACCTCATAGTAGGCCTTGATATCATCCTAATAAGAGTTTGATTTTAAAATAGAATTAATCAAAATATCATTTAAAATTGTAAAAATGAACTCAATATTATCAAGATTAATGTATAATCTGTCAATAGACTTTTGTTAATCGTCGTCTTAAATAATCTTATTAGTTAAAGCAGCTTCAAAAATCTCTTCAAAGAATTCAAGTCTAAAATTTCCTGAAATTTAGAGTTAACGAATTTGCAAAGCGATGGATGCTTTGACTATGGAATCAATGCATGCATTTATAATTCTAGGAAACTAATTTAATGATCTTAAATCTGAATTTTCAACAAATTATTTAAAATGATAAATCTTTTGAAGTTTTTTATTAATTTCATAGAGAATAATATCATTATCAATACTAAACATCTCTTCTTAGTTAAATTTTTAATTTGATTTTCTTCTATCGTTCTCTTTACAGCTTACTGCTAATACAATATTACGTGTCTTTTCCTTTTTCATCTCTTAAATAATTAAATACAAAGTCTACAACACTGTATTCGGATTTGTTTTCTTCAGGTAGACATTGAGTTATTTTATTTTCTCTTCCTATTTTTAATTTTTTAAATCTTTAATTTTGAAGCAATATGTTTGTTTAAACTTACAATTTTTATATTTTGTTGAAAAATACTAAGCAAGTTGAAAAAGTTATCAGGATTGCATCCAGCAGGCACTATGTAATTATTTTATTCTTATATTCTTTTTTCTTCCAAGATTTCGTTTTTCAAATTGTAAATATCAGCCTCATCAGTGTTCTATTTAAATTCCAAAATAAAACAATTAATATAAATTATAAATAAATATATTTTTATACCATTATCTAATTGATTTCTTTAAGTCCTTCATTTGAACTAATTAAATATATGCCAATAGTATTAAGACCTTTAGATATTCCTCCTATTCCCTTTTTAAAAAGTATTTTTACATAAATTTATTTTATGTGAAATTATTTACATTTATTTGATCATCAACATATAGTTAATCATGGATCAATTCTTATCCTTTTCTGACCAATGATCCAAATTGCTAGGTTTCTTAACTGAAGGCTACGTAATAAAGCAAATCTATTTTAAATTATTTTGAATGAAATTTTTTGATTTATTTTTATAAAAAGCCATTATTACTTAATTTTTTAGAAGGATCATACAATTTACCATTAAAAGCTTACAAATTTTATGAATTAAACTCCTTCAAAATTGTAGAAGTAGTCTCAGTTCCTTAGTTTTTTAGTTTTATCTATTTTTAAGCAAATTTAAGATAAATATTATAAAAATTTAGCGTTTTTATACTTCATACAACACAAGCACTTGCTCACTGTTAAGAAATTGTAAAGAAGTTAAGCAATTAACAGTTAGCTCATCTTCTACATATTAAAACTGCAAATCAATTAAAGAGAATTTGTTTTTATCTAATTGCTATTGTTGCTATTATGTTAAAGTTTGGCTAAATTTTTCATGATTTATTATAATGTCATTTATAGCACCAGAGTATATTTCCTATATAAGCAATAAAATAAATTAAATGCATTCTGTTAATAATTAAAATTTAATACTTTCTGATTCTGAATTCTCATCTCTCCTTAAAAGTAATCAAGGTTCAGACTACTAAAGGATATTCTTCCATTAAAAAAGTAGCACATTTCTAGGAAGCACCCAGTATGCAATCTCTATGAATAAATACACCTTACTTTAGCATTTTCATCAGTCTATTGGGAACCAATACTAATAAAAGATTTTATTTTCCCAAATAACTTTTTTATAATTAAAGAGCAATTTTTAAAACCTAATATCTTAAAATATTTATAAATGAACTTACTGTTTGATTTGGATGAGAGATTTTCTTGCTGGTGAGAGTTAAGGATTGCTTGCAAACTTGAACAAAATATATATTCCCATAATTAGTTATCAAAAACACTACATAAAGTGATAACTATTATAATAAAAATAGAATTAAAATTATTTAAGGACTTTAAAGCTATATTTTTTACAATCTGAAGTACTTCACCAACTTAAACAATGCGTTCATCTGATTTATTTTCAACTATGGTGAATCTTTAAGTTGAATAATTTTTATTGAAAAGTGGGTATAAGTAGCACTACTTATCATCAAATATCAAAGCATAATTCTATCTTTTGTTATCCCTATTTATCAAATTTGTTGATTATTGTCCTTAAAAATCATAAATTAACTAAAGAAATAACCATTTACATTTATATTATCTTTATATGCTCTGGGTCCTTTATGTTTGAAACTTTGAATTCGCAATTCTATTAGAAAGAAGAATCATTAAATATCAATTTATATTTAATGAAATTAAATTTTTGTACTGGTAAATTAGGAATATTTTCTTCTAAGTATTCAAAAAATGAGATTGTGTTACTGTCATTTTAAATTACCCAAAATAATTTAGAATTCTAATCAAAACCAACTTTCATAAATGAATCCCCTTTTTTAAATTAAGCAAGTATTAAAATCTTTATTAAGATTATACTTAAAAAATTGCGATAATTATCAAATAATTAACTAACTATTTACTTGGTGCCATATTTTTAAAGATATTAATGCACATCTATTAAGCATCAAATATATTCTTTTAATGGGTCATCAAGTTTCTTATACTATTTTGGTCTAGCTTATTTTTTAAGTTGTAATTCGAATTATAGCTTCTATTTGTTAAATCCATTTCAAAATATTTTAGATATTATTAAAAACTTATGAATATTTTTTTTATAATATATGTATCTAAAAATATATCAATTTTGAATTTTATTTATTGCTTTATAAATTTAAATTATGTTGCTAAATCAATTTTGTTATTAATTAAATATCTTAATAATTATTAACTATTATTTTATTACTACGAGTAAATATATCCTTTAATTTGTATATATTTTATAACTCTACCAAGCTATATAACTTGATTTTAGCTACTCCTCCACATTTTAATCAATCTTAAAAATTATAAAATTAGATAAATCATGCTCTGTTTAAGTAAAAAATAATTTTTTTGTTTAACTCATAATAACACTGACATTTACATGAAACATATACATAAAATTTTTAAAAAAAGTAGACTTAAAATTAAAAAATTAAAATTTTTGAGTGAAAGTAACTAGATCTTTCTTTTTATTTACAAAATCCTACTTAGCTTTTAAACAGTTTAGTTCACCTATTTGGTCTTTTAATTACCATAAATCTTCTATTATGAAGTAATAAAATTAAATTTTAATAGAATAAAAAATGTAGAAATATTGATTGACAATCATATAATAAAATGAATTTTTTAAGTAAGCGACTATTTAGATTAAATAAATCTATACTGAATACATTCAAACATTGAAAATAACAGATAGATTTACATAAGCATAAATTAATAAATTTAAAAGTTTGAAATATTAGGGAGAATGATTGATTGATTGATTGTTAAGATATTATTTATATTGTTAGAAATTGATAAATAGTAATTATTATTAAAATATTTTAGGCTCAAAATTTATTAAAACTTGAATCACTCATCATCAGATTCACTCTCTGCTGAGTACTATTTTAATAATTTAACTTATTTTTTACTATTTTTATCTTAAGAACCTTTCTTTATTTTTTTTGTCTTTTCAGGTTCAGTAGCAGCTGATTTCTTTTTCTAAATTATTAATTTATTAAAAAATCAATATATTTTCAAACAAAATTCTAATTTTACCTTATAAACAGGTTCTTCATCAGAAGAGGAGCTACAACTACTGAATAAATGTTCATATTTATTTTATTTTTTAGTTTATTTTTTAGTAGAAACAACCTTTTTGGCTTTCTTTTGTTTCTTTGACTTTTCTTCATCAGAAGATGATTAATCACTTGTATTTTCAGTGTCTTCATTCTAATTATAAAATATTAATATTAAAGCTCAATTTACAAAAGGGATTAAAATTATACTTTTATAATTCCAACAGTTTTCACAGCATTATTGTAATGGTTCTCCCACCAGGTATCATTCCATTCAAACTTCTTTTTATTTTCATCAACACCAAGCTATTTTAAGATAAAAATATTAGAATAAAAATCTGCTAACATCAAAATGATAGATAGGTATAAGTCTCTTAAAAATACTAGAAAGTATTTTCAGAGTTTTTAATAAAATTTAAAAATCTTACTCCAAGACCTTCTTCTCTCTTTTTGATCTAGATGCATTCAGTTTAACCTTATTGTTCTTTACCAAGACCGTTTCCTCTTTAAATAAATGAATAATAAAATTATTAAATTTCTATCTCGTTATAAACTAATATAATGATTATACTTCCATCCCATCTTTTAAAGCATCTTTAAACCGAAATCGCATTCAAATTTTTTGTTAGAAACACCAGTTCCTTTTTTATAGATATAATTTATAATTTCAAATACTCTGTAAAGATTATAATGCATACCTTCTAATATTCTATCTCTGAATTTCTTTGACATTTTTATGTTATATTATGAGGTATTTCAAGGATAAATATACTTTTGATTTATTTATTTTTTAGCTAGATGAGAGAGCTATTGATTAAAAACTTTTCTTATTAATTATTTTTTAATTCAAACAAGCTTAGGATTCTTTATAAAGAATGGTAAATCTATAACAAATATAAAAAAGAAGATCAAAGTTAATTAAATTAAGGTGAATAAATGAATTTCATTCTATAAATTAATTAATCTATTTGATTAATCTAACAATTATGTCTTAATAATACAAAATAATTTATTTTTAAATTTCTACTTTTGTATTTTTGATTTTTCACCTAAAAAAAATAAATTATAAATTAAATAAATATATCTTTGTTAAAAACTTATAAATATTCTTATAAATTTTACTAACATAATACTTATTAATAATTCTTCCTCTTTTTATTTTTATTAATTTTATATTAGCAATTAAATTAAATAAAACCAACTTATTTTTGAGCTAGCAAAACGCTTTTTCAGTCAATGCTTTAAAATTTTATTTGCAAATTATTTTATAAAATTTTATTTATTTTTATTAGAATATTTATTTATTGAGCTTTAATAAATTTTTATCAGATTTTATATTTGATAAAGTAATGATATACTTACAATTTTATATATTCCTTATTCAAAGATATTTATTTATTACTATTTTTAAAAATCATTTTATAAATATTTTTTAGATTATATTTTTTCTATATTTATTTTTTTAATTGTAATTATTCTTATACTGGTCTTTTATTTTATTTGAAGCTAATTTAATACTTAAAAAAAAATTCTTCTTATTTTAAGATTTAAATGTGTTTATTTTTTATTCAATTTGGTATAATTAGTTTTAATTTCATTTTTTATGTATTAAGTTTAAAAAATATTTTCTTTTTGTTTTTTAATTAATAATAAAATATTATTTTAATTTTAATTTAAAGTTGTATGTCATTTTAATTTTATTATTGCATTAATATATATATTATTATATTATTTTTATTGAATAAATCTATAAATAAATTTATATTTATGATCAGATTTTAATTTCAATGATAATAGCATTCAAACATTTAAATCAATAAAACAAAAAATTAAAGTTATAAATAAAAAAATTCTTTTTCATTATAAGTGAATGGATAAATTTAGGATTAGGTCAAACGATAAAAGCGGAATCATATTTGATATAGGTATAGCTTATACGAAGATAGGCTTTACTGGCGATAATGGACCTATAAGAATAATAAGAACTCCTAGTGAGTTATTTTCAGAATTCAAAGACAAAATTCCAATATTAAAAAATAAGAAATAGCCTTAAGACTTCATTTAGGCTTTTGAAGAAGGTGAATAAAGACTTAATGAATCTTAGATAGAAGGAAATAATTAATTACCACTTTAAAAATCAGAAACATAGCAAATATACGAACAAGAAACATTTATAGCAAACAGTTTATAAAATATATAAAATCTAAATGAGAAAATAGATATATTCCTGAATCATTTATTTTATTATGAACTTTTATAAAAGTTAACTAACAAAATTATTTACATATGCAAAAACCATTTAATTCCTCATGAATTTTATGATAAATTAGGGACAATCCTCTTTAATAAATATGAAATAACAAAAATTTAGTTTGTTTTAAACAACAGCTTACCTCTCTACATAACTGGATAACTATCAGGGTTGGTAGTTGAATGTGGATATTATGACACTTAAATTACTCCCATTTATGAAGGATATCCTTTAATGAATTGCCTAATAACTTCAAAGTGCGGAGGTTATCTCATAAATAAATTTTTAAAGAATTATTTGCTCAAAGATAACTCAAATATCAATTTCTAAAACATAGATTTTTTACAGTTAGAGGATATTAAATTTAAATATTGCAAACTTTTACTTAAAAATCAAGAAGATTAATATAGCATCAATGAAGAAATGATACAAAAGGCTAAGCAAACCTTAATTCCAACTAGTTTGATTGCAAGCTAGATAGAATAGTAGACTTAGCTTGAAAAATCATAAAAATCAAATTAAATTCACTAACAAAAAATTTAACTAAGTTATTACACATCTACTAAATCATTAAGTTAAGGTTTATTTGGAAATGTAGATTCTGATGAACCAAATATAGCTTATTCTATTTTATAAGCCCTCTAAAAATGTGACCCTTCAGTAGCCATTAAAGTAAGTAAAAATATAATAATATCAGGAGGTGTAGCATCTACAAGAGGATTTTATGAAAGATTAAGATAAGAAATATTATTTCAGATAGAAAACAACCCCTAAGTATAAGATTTAAAATATTTAAAGAAGTATTTATCGTTTACAAGAATAAATTATCCACCAAATACCTTACCTTGGATAGGAGCTTCTATTATAAACCAACTAAATCCAAATGAAAAATACTGCATAACAGTTGAAAAATTTAGATAAAATAGCTCACAGATACCAGATATATTTGGTAACGATTATGTTTATATGCTCAACTAAAATTCAAAAGATTAGGAGCAAGGCAATGAAGCAGATGATATTATTTGATAAAAACTTGCAAAAATCATTAATAAGTTTCATTTTAATTTAAATGAGTTTGTTAAAATACTATTTTAATTTATTATTTATTTGTTTTTGTTTAAATTAAAAGTCGTTTAAAAATTTTATAAATTTGTTAACTTCTTTCTCATTAATTTACCAAAATTATAAATAAAACACAATTTTTAAAGATTTTTTTTTTCATTCAATTTTATTTAAAATATTAAAAAAAACATTTTTAATTAAAAATATGGTTGCTATTTGTACTATTTTAGTGTTTTAGACACGCTTTTTAAAAGTTAAAATTAATTTTAAATTTGTAAGTGAATGATATAATCTTCCATTTTATAATAAGTAAGATATGGTTGATCAAAATATTGTTTAAATTCAGAAGATAGATAGATAGATAGCTAAATAGATACATATTAAGAGTAAAATCAAGAAAAAGGAAAAGTCGAAAAAAGAAATCAAATTAATATCTTTTTGACTTTTCTAAGAAAGAATATTCATTTTCAATAAATATATAAATAAATAATTTAATTAATTAATTATGGCGATTGTGAATCTTATGTATTTCTTTATTAAAACTCATACAAACAACTAAGAGTATAATATTTAATATTAAAGAAAAAGAAGGTATATGCAACTATTCGAGTTGAAAATTCTTAATTGAAAAGGATTGTGTACATTAATTAAATCAAATACATACAAAAAATAAAAATAAAAGGAATACTTGTTAATTAAGACAAGAGAAAAAACAAAAAAAAGTGAAATAAAAAAATTAATTAAAAAATTTGTATAAATTTTCATAAGAGCATTTAAAGAAGAAAATGTTTTCCAAAACCCTTGCTCACGTTACCCGTAGCTGCAACAAACTCAACCAAGGTACAATTCTTGATTTTTCAAAAGTACAAAGAGCGATTAAAGGAAAAAGAAAAACAAGAGTATTTAGTAGAATCGAAAGCGTAGCTGAGCTGCATTTTTTAGGAAGTTTAGGATATGAGAATAAGATAATTAAAAAGCCAAATGGAAATTAAGAAATTGATTAAGTTTCCTTTAAACGCTTATCTCTTAAGATTCTACAAATAGGAATACTCATTAAATGAATTAGCTTGTATTAAACATTGAGAGTATCTTGCAGTAGCAAATTATGTGCATAAAAAAGGAGTGATATATCTAAATAAGTGCTTTTTGGAACATATGTTCATTTTTCTTCCTTAAAAAATACATCTTTAGATATATTCTTTGCTTTTTGATTGTATTTAATCAAAAAATAGCTTTTATTTATTTTATATGCATGCAAACACATACATCGAAAAGAAGAAGAAAAAAGAAATAAGAAAACTCTTTGATACTCTTAACTAATTCACAAATAGATTTAAATTACCTTCCAATTTTATAATGAAATACTGAAATTTTTCTATTAATATAGTTTAAGCTTACAACTTCGGTGTTTTGAGTGAATACAATCAAAGATTAAGCAAAAAGCTCCACAAGGGTCACTTGGTCGAAGATAAGCCCACATTCTTCGTTACCTCATCTAGACCTGGTAACTTTGGTGATCACATTGATTTCAAGGTTAACATTGATAACTGGTTTGATGAAAATAGGTACAATTTTTAAACAAGAAATGAATTTATCTTCTCAAGAAATTTAAAAGCCATTCATAGCTTTCAATGCTAAAAAAAAACAAAGAAATTAAGCTTAAAAAGCAATCTTTGAAATATTTTCTGGAATTGAGATATTTCTAATCTAAATAATTAGCTTGAAATATAAAAAATGAAAAGAGCGAAAATCAATTTTTAGCAAATCAAATATCAAATATAGAAACATTTTTTAACTTTTATAGAGTCCACAATGAACACGAAACTGATATCAGAAGAACCTAGATTTACACTTTGAATGCTATCTATTATGGTGGTTTACTTTCTTTTGCTAGACTTTATGCCATGGGTGTCATCGGTCGTCTTAACGGTTGGAAGAGATACGAAAGAGATACTTACTCTGAAGTTGATATTGGTGCTCTCCCTCCTGGTGAAGTCATGCAAATGGGTAAACGCCTTACACATTTTTCTTTCTAATATGAAAAAGATACGAAAAGATATTTTCTTAAAGTTTATATAAAATAGCTATTGCATTAGATTAAAAAATAAAAAGGATAAAATAACTAGCTTTTTGAAAAATTGTGTTGTCAATTAATAAGTCATAATGTATTAAGATTTTCAATCAAAATAAACAGAAAATAAATTGAAAAATCTTTATATTTATTTAAATCTTTCTTAAAATCATTTCAAAAGAGAATAATTTCAAACTGAAAAAAATTTATAATCAATGATTAAGAAATATTTTAAATTTTAGAAAAAACAAAATATTCTAAATAAATAGTTTTTGATTCTAACTCACTAACTTATTTAACAAATTTTAATATAAAATAGTCTGGAATGGTACTCCCATTTTCATTAGAAGACTTACTAGTAATGAAGTTAAGGAAGAAAATGAATTACCTTCTAACACTCTTTTGGATAAGGATAAAGAAGTTATTCTTTCTGATGCTGGTAACACTAAGGTTATCGTCGTCTCTGCTGTCTGCACTCACTTGGGTTGCATTCCTATTCCTTATCTTGGTGCTTATAAGGGTTATGTAAGTTTAAATCCATAATATAAATTATTAACTTTTTAAAATTAAAATATCATCATAAAATTCATGAAAAAATCTGTCAAAATCAGATAGATATTGAATATTTAAATTAAATTTAATTTAAGGGTAAAAATTGATTAATAAAATTCCATTTATTTGATATAAAAAATAAAAATCCCAATAGCGAACAATTTGATATTAGTAAAAATGTTAATCCAGCATACATACTAACCTAAATTATAATAACTTTATTAAAAAAATATTAAAAAAATATTTAAATTTAAATAGGTCTGCATTTGCCACGGTTCAGTCTACGATAAATTTGCTAGAGTTAGATAAGGTCCTGCTTTGCTCAACCTTCCCGCCATTAACAACTCCATTCACGATGAAGGTACTTTGGTCTGTATGGAACAACTTAAGTTCCCCCACGAACCTTCTCAAAGATTCTGGGCTTGATCCTAAAAATTAAAAATAAATATTTTATTAATAGGCATTTTAAGAAGCCTCTAAATTTATATATTTCGTACATTGCCTGTTTTCTATTTTAAGTAAAAAACATTTTAATTTTTGCTTCAAAATGATTGGCAATTAAAAAATCAACAGTTAAAAAATCTTCTGATTACAAAATAAATTTTCACTTTAACTATTTATTTATTTCGTTTTATAAGATATAACAAGTGATTTTAATTAAAATATATTTAAATGATGGAATAAATTAATTAAGTGAAATTTAAAAAGAAAGTAAAGATTAATATATTCAAAATATAAAAACAAAGATAATATAAAATATGTAGCACAATTTAATGAATGAGTTAGTTATATATATAACAGCTATTTATATCAATTTAATACATTTTACATATATAGTATGTATTTTTGTGAATTTTTGAGTGTATATGGGTGGGTGAGGAAAGTTTAATTTAATCATTTATTTAGTAATTCGTTAGTTAGTTTTTAGTTATAATTTGAAGAAGATAAAATATTTGCAATATAAAATATTGTTTTTTTTTTTGCTTTTTTTCTTGAAAATGAAATAGATTGTATTTTAAAAAATGTTTTTTTCTAAAAATTTATTTTATTTATTTATTTATTTATTTGTTCGATTCTTTATGGTAATTAAATTTATATGTGCTATTATACTGTAAATCTAAATTGAAAATGCATTAAATGGATAGATAGATGAGTAGATGAATAATTGAAGTAGGTGTTGCTTGTAATCCAAGATTTAAAATAATGATTCTTTTATTCAATCAAAATTTATTATTATATAAGGTTGTTTGTTATATGCTTTTTTATCAGTTCATACAGAATTTATCAAGTAAGTTATTATCATTGAGAAGACATTAGCTCTCCTCTAATGTAGTGGCTAACTTTTGAAGTTTTTAAACTTTTACTTTAGCATTATTTTCTTTTTATATTTTCTCTATCTTTCTTTTTTCAGCCTCTTCTCTGTTCATTTCTCCAAGTAAATCTACTCTCCATAGATTAGGCATACCTGGTATATGAGTAGTTTATCTTCTACCAGAAGTATTTCTTTTTAGTATTATTTCTAACTTTTACTTTTCTTGTTCTTATTTTTTTACTTATTTTTCTGATTCAAGCTCTGCTTCTTATTGCTCTTACTCTAAATAAGAAAGAAGAGGAGCTTCTTACTTCTTTATTTTATCCCATTAAATTCCTTTTTTATAAGTTTAATTATAAATCTTAGATAATTAAATAAGTTTTACCTTAGAAGAATTTATGTTATTTTATTTCTTAAGATCCGTTAGCTCCAAGACGTTTCTTATAGTCATGATTAAGCAATTTCTTTATCAGATCTTAAGCTTCAGGAGTCATTTCATCTTCTCCATAGCCTTTTAATAAATAAAATTTTTTAAAAATAAATAAATATTTGAATATATTTTAATTTTACCAACATCTGGCCATTCTATATGACCCTTCTTTATGTTACTGAATATTTTTTCAACTGATTCATCATTGAATGGTCTATTTCAATTAAATTTAATTTAAAATACTTATATACTAAATTTTCAAATTAATTTACGGTATGCCTGCTATAAATTCATAAACCATGACTCCTAAACTCCACCAATCTATTGATTAGTTGTTTGTAGATTCCCCATTAATTACTTCTGGAGGTATATAATCAGGAGTACCAACAACTCTATTTTTTTTCATGATTCCACCAGGCCTAATACTATTTTATAGATCACAACCTGGATTTTGTTTTAGTTATACTATAAAATTTTCGTTTTTGAGACCTTCAATACCAAAATCTTATCTGAGTTATTCATACATTTTTTGCTTTTTTACTTCAGGATCAGTTTCATCAATAACTTTTTTATTCAATTTATTTGTCAAACCTACCTCTGACAATCCAAAATCTGCTAATTTAATATGTCCATTCTTATCTAGTAAGACATTTTCTGGTTTAAGATCTCTATGGATAATACCCTTTGAGTGTAGGTACTCTATAGCAAGTATTATTTCAGCAAGATAGAACTTTGCTATCGATTCATCCAAACGGCCATACCATCTGAGAATTTAACCGAAATCTCCTCCGCTCATATAATCAAGTACAAAACATAAATAATTATCATATTAAAATGAATAAAGTGCCTTAACAACATGATCACCAGTTAAAATTGCAAATACGTTAGTTTCTGCACGCAGGTTATCTTATTAGTTACGATCCATCTATATTTTTTTTATTAAAATTAATATTAAATGTTGATAAATTGAATTTACTTATTATGAACAATCTATAATTTTAAGAGCATATTCATCTTTTGTTGTTTTCTTATTAACTAACCAAACAGCCCCAAATGCACCTACTCCGAGAAGTCTTTTAAACTCAAAATCTTTAAGTCCAAGGTTCATGATATTCTATTGAGTGAATGTGATATCATCAGCATTGAAATGCTTTACATCGGAATCAGAGTAACATTTAACAATTGTAGGTAATCCGTCATCACTTGATTCTGATTAGCTTTACTATATATAATCTTTTTCTAATTCTTTCTACATTCTTATTTAATTATATTTTTCTATAGCTTATTCTAAAACATCATCAACCCTAAAGTTCTATTGCATTTTAGAATATTTGCTAGTAAGATTTAGACCAAGAGTTCCTTATTATTTGCTTCCATAAGATAAACCTGTTATTTATGTTGAATTGCTCAGATCAGGAATGCTTTACTTTGCTTTTTTTTACTTTTAAGTAACCTTATTTTTTTTCTACTTTTTTTCAATATCATAAATCGAATTTTGCTTCTTATTTTGATAGTCTCGTTCTTATTTTTATTAAATTTTTAAATAAAATTATTAGCCTTTTAAAAAAAATTTTACCAGAAGAATCAGAAAAGTAATCACTTGAAGAGGAAGAATCAAAAGAATTTAGTTAATTTTTTTATTTTTCTGTTTTCTTTTTCAACATTTGCTTGGCCATATTTCTATTTATAAGAGGTTTTTAAGAGTGAATGTCATGGAGAAGAGGCATGACTTAATATCTACATGGAGATTTAAGGTAGTTGCTAGGGATACGAGGGTTTTTGTATGAGCTAATAAGTTTATTGTGTTAGTCATACCTAATCAATGCAGAACCAGGTTAATTTTAGAAAATTTTCTTCTTATTTGGTGAAGGATTTTGTTTTATTCTGTTAGGGGAACCTTCGTCATCAGCTTCTATTTATTTTAACTTTGTAATTTCTTTATTATTAATAACTGTGTTAAAGTTTTGATTCAAATCATTGTTTTAATTTTCATAGTCTTATTAAATTTCATCAAAATAGTTAATATTTTTTCTATCAGTTTACACAGTTAGATAATTCATACCTTAAACAAAGCGAGATTTCTAAGTTTAATTACCATTATAAGAATTTTATAATTCTGGGCTAATATTGTCCTCAGAATCATTTATTGAATAAGATCCAGACTTATAATCTTAATTAGTATTTTAAAGTAAATTTTAATAAAATTGTGTTTTTTTATATGTAGATTCTTTATTGTTTAAAGTACTTTCGTTATTTGGAGGGATGCTTTCAAATGTATTTTCAGAAGCAATTTAAGTTGATAAATCACTATTTAAGTTATCCCTATTGTTAGCAAAATTAACTCTTTTAATTTATTTTGAAGAATTTTGTTAAGGAATTTTAGTATTTTAAAAGGAATTTTAAGGAATATTTAAAGAGTTGTATTCATATTATTTCATTTAAGGAGCATCTTTACTTAAATTGCTATTTTATTCTTAGTTAATCTGATAAGCATATTGATTGAATTCTCCACTTGTTTATTAATCAGTGTTTAAACTATTGCTATTTTATCCTCTAAACTAAAACTTTATTTCGTTCAATAAAGATGATCTCCTTTTCTTAGCTTCTTTAGCCTATTAAGTTAGCATTTTTTAATCACTATCTTTAAGCTTATAAATTTTTCTTTAAAGCACTATTCTTTCCTTTTTTTATTTAAGAAGAATTAAAATTTTTTTAAAAAATTTACAAATTACATTTAATTAGTTTATCATTTTTTTAACTATCGACACTGCTTCTGTTTCGCTAATAATTTCTGGAAGAGAGTACTTTAAACTAGTTTAAGTTTTTATATCATCTATTTATTTAATTATATATTTGTTTTTTAGTAAAATAAAATTAAAAATAATGTTTAAAAAAATTAAAATTATTTACTGTTTAATTCTAAAAGTTCAACTCTCTTTGATATTTTTTCTCCATATTAAATTATATAATTTAAGGCAGAATTAATGTTTTTAAGAAGCTTTGAAGAAACTCCTACAAATATTTAGACATTTTTATTGCTTCCATGATTCTATGAACTTTCATTATCTTCTTAGGGCTATTTTATGTCTAAACTAGATATGTTATCTAAATCATTAGGAAGCATAGTTTATGCACGCTTTATTTACCCAAACTTACTTGTCTTTTAAGCAGGTGTAGTGGTAGAAGAATAAGGATATTATTATTAACTATTTTAGCTAGATCCTTAAGAATTTCGAATGTCTCCTTTAGATGATTGGAAAGATCCTCTTTTTTAACGAATTAAAATGTCTTCTTCTGTTTGAGAAAGCATCAAATCGTTGAGTTTTGAAATACTAAATTAGCTGGCGTTATTTATAAATTAATTCTAATTACTATTGCTTCTGCTGCGTTCTTAATTAGATTTATCTATAGATCCTCTTCTAGATACTAAAAGAGAAGACTAAACAGTTTTCATTTCTTCTTCTAAGTGTTGAAGTCTATTATGAATTGGTATTAATGCTTCCAAACTTTTCAGTGCTTTGCTTTCTTCTTCCAAAATACGTTATACAACATCATAACTCTCTTTACTTGTGCTGCTTAGTTAATCTAATTAATCTAGTTAGCTCTTATTTGAAGATCTTTTTAAGATTTTTTAATTTAAAGAAAACTAATTATCTCCTTCCGATTACTTTTTTTTTTTAGAAGAACTTGGAGACTAATTTGAAGATTAAAGCATTGATGAAGCATCTGAGTACTTTATTGATTATAGACTAGAGGTTTTTGAAGATGATGTAGGAGATGCTAGAATAACTTCATCAGGTGAATAATTTTATTTAACTTGGTTATTACTCTAACTTTCTTATTACTGAACTTTAGATATGCTCCCTTTATTTGATGGTGGCTAACCAAATGACTACTGCTTCTATCTTATTCCACTATTATTCATTTATCGAGATTGATTTTGCTAATCGCTACACATTGATTTTCTGTATGAACCCATGGCATACTGAGTTGGGAATATGCATGATCCTTCTTCGTTATCCTCTTCCTAAACTTACTTAGAGTATAATAAATTTAATTTTTCTTCTAATTTTTATTTTTTTATCTCATCTAAGAAAATGTCTCCTCGAATATTTTCAAATTTAGGATGCTATTCTGTAGTAGCTTCTTAACTTTCCACTAAATTTAACAAATCAACATCAAATTATTTATCTCTTTCATCTAATATTTTTGTCTAAGAGTTGGCATCAAAATTTTAAATTTGTTATTTCAGATTGGTATAATCAAATTATTATTGTTATTTGTAAAGATTCAAAAGAACTTATTACTAATTTAAATACTTCATTTCATTTACTTGAGCTAATTCCTTACTATTTAATAGAATATCAGAATCATCTATTATGTCTGGCTTCAAGTTATGAAATAAGAAAGGACTTGCGAGCTAATCTTAGCCACCTGATATAGACATATTGCTATTACTAGTATTGATAGGATTGTTATTTATATTAGCATTAATTTATCCGTTTGAATAAGTTTAAGAACCTGAACTCTATTGAATCAATGCTGGCAAAACATTGTTATTTTAAGAAGAAGTTAAGCTTATTTGCTTAGGAGTTGCTCTATTTTGGTTAAAAATAAAAAAATGAGGCCCATTATCTTTTGGAGGAGTAGTCAATTCTTCACTCTTAAGAATAGCGTTTAGAGGAGAATAATTAGGTCTTCCAATCAACAAAGATCCATTTAGAGGAGATTTTGATACCAGCCTATTTTAAAAAAAACCTCCTGTTTATTATTATTGTTGCTGCTATTAAAAATCACTTTAAGACTCCTGAATCTTGAGTTTTATACCAAATAATTAATCTTCACTTGTGCTTAAATTATTTTAAATTAATACTGGAACTTGATAGTTTTATGGAGATATATTCAGCTATTAATCATCACTATTAATGAAAACAACTTGACCAACTTAATTTGTAGGAGTGAAGTTTGTATTGCTTGTTGTGGTATGGCCTATACCAAAAAAATCTGATTTAAAATTGACAGATCCACCTTGAGCTGATTTATTGCTTTAAGGTTGAACATTTGCTATATTGTTAGAAATCAAATCAAGATTTTTTTCTGAATATGTATCATAAAGCCCCTCTATTAAATCAGATATTTTTCTTTAAATTTTTTTAGGAGGAGGTAATAACTCTTTGTTTGATTTATTTTTTGAGTCTGAAGTATTTTTATCAATGCTTAGCTTATTGCGTTGAGTAATATTCTGTGAATCTTGATTGTTAATATCTTGTTCTTAGACTTCTTATTCTTCTTACATTAAGCTACTACCTGATTATTTCCCCTTTTTTTAACATTTTTCATTTGCTCTATTAGCACTATCTGTGATTCTTTTTTTAAGATTAGGAGATTTTTCAAAAGGATCTTCTGATATTATATCTAGCTCATTTGAGATACGTATTGGTTCAATCTAAGTTGAACTTTATTTCTTTTTTATTATTTCCTGAGAAAAACTTTCTACATTCATAGAGTCTGGAGCCAGTTTTTCATTTTTTAGGCTTTTTGGAGATTGTGTAACACTATCTCTGAGTTTTTTTATTGAATTTAAATTTACTTCATTAACTTAATTTCTATTCTCATTAGTATCATTAGATAGACTATCCTCTTCATGGATCTTAATATGTTATATATTTTAATAATCATCTGCACTTTCAGAAGAACTATTTATCTATCTTGAATCTCCTCCTATAATATTATCTAAATGAAGAATATTTACAGAGTTTTAATTGCTATTAAAGTTCTTAGTTTAACTGTTATAAGTCATACTATTCTATCTTGATTCAAATCTGCTATCTACCTCTAATATTGTGGTAAATTTTGAGTCTTCTTTTATCGCCTCATCTATCCTTGGTAAGCCATTTTCATTATAGTCCTTTATAATAGTATTTGAAGTTGGTATTTAAACAGTTTCAACATATTTATTTGAATTTTAATAATTTATTTTATCATCGTTCTATTCTTGACCATTTACAAATTAACTGCTTTAGTTTTGAATATATTTTAAACTACAATCGTCAGAAGAACCAGTATTTATTTAGATTTAAATAGTCTTATTACTATTTTTATTCGAGCCATTACTACTCTAAACTCCCAATAATCCTTAGCTATTTAATTAATTTAATAAATTATTAGGATTGACAGAAGTGCTACTTTATAGGTTTTGTACTTTATTTTAAATAAGATTAATTTGATAATTGCTTTCTACTTTTTCAATGCTTAGTCCTTAAATACCAGTACTATTGCTATTTTATGTATTTTATGGGTTAATCCCAACAGATGATTAAAATTTAGAACTCAAAACGTTTGATTCTTCAATAACTTCAGGTAGTTGTAAATATTTCATTTCAAAAATATTTTTTTTTTTTGTATCTATTTTCTCGATTTCATTTTGCTATTTCCTTTTTTGAATGACTTAACTGATTTAAAAATCAGCATCATCTTCATCTACATCAAAATTTTAGAATTGATTATCAATTAAGCTTCTTGGGGTCCTATTGTCATTATTTTTATTCATTAAATTGATATTATTTAAGTGTTCATCAAATCTCCGTTCTAAGTCTTCATAGCTATGGTCTTTATATTTAAATTTCTTTGACTATTCTTCTTCAGAAGAGTCAAAATCATTGCTTTTTTTTGTTTATTAAAAACATCTATCGCTATTATGTATACATTCCTTATCCTATAAACGAGGATATTTTTTACTTTAAAAACTAGCTTATCTTTCTCTTTGGTTTTCAATTAGAGCAGCACTTTTTCCTTAAATTTATTACATAAAAAACTTACTAATTTCTTTTAAATTTGATAATTAAATTACCTTATTAAAAAGAATATATGCCTACATCTTTAAGAGAATTAATAGTTATTAAATTATTTGTATTAGTAAGAGAAGGTGAGTCTAATGAATAGTTAATACTTTCTTCTGACTGAATTTTATTTTTGAAATTTAGCATCTATTCAGAATTTAATGAACTGCAGCGCTTATATTTTTTAGAATTTACAAGTGATTAAAAATTTTTTGGAATTTATCCAGTGTTTTTTTTAGTATTATCACTTGATTTTCCATCATCACTTGTTTCTTATTGATATTTTCTAATGTGAAAAATTCCTGTTCCTCTTCTTTTATTTCTATTAAATTTTAATAAATTACTGTTAAAACCACAGGTTTGAGTTAATTTAACCCTAAGGAATAAGCTAAATAAGTAAGGAATAGGAAAATAAATAAATAAAGAAAGAAAGAAAGAAAACAGTAAATTACTTTTATAAATATTTTTAGGTATTATATTTTTATTAAACCTTATAAGCCTCTTCACTTATTTATTTTAAATTAATATCTAATTCTATGATTTGTTTTCTTATTTCTGCCATTTTTTAGCAATTTTCAGTATGTTCATTAATAATATGAACATCAAATGCTTTATCACAAATTCTACAAGTAATCATCTCAGATTCGTTTATTTATATTTCTTATAACTTTTAAGTGTAATCTTAAATCCACATGACAATTCTTTTTTTAAAAAATTGTCTTAGTATTTTCTTTTCTTTTAATAAAATATCCTATTTTATGAAACCATCAAACACAAATTCATCTATTTTCATTAGATTATCTGTATATTCTGGATTTTATCTAATTTATTTTCTTTTGTTTATTAATTTATTTGCTTCTAACGTACCTACTTTTTTTTCTACTTGTTTAATCTCAATCGTATCTTCTTCTGAAAATTCTTCTCTTGCTTTTATATGAAATTGAAAAATATTTAGTTTTTTTTTTTAAATTATAAAATTAATTTTAATTACTGATCAAGACATACATCTGATAAAAGTATATCAGTTTAGCAATTGAGAATCGTAAGAGATTTATTATATCTATTAAGAACCTATTCAATATTTGAAAATAATTTGATGAAAAGCTGTGCTAATAAAAAGAGAGCTTTAAAGTAGAATAATTAAAAATAGTTCTACTAATTTCAATCAACCAAGATAGAAAATAAAAAGTTTTTTATTTTTGTAATAAAATGTATTTACTCAACTTGCTTCACAGCTAAATCTTAAAAAGATGATTTATCAAAAGAGTATTTGCTACTATTAATTCTATTTCTTATTGTATTATCTATTTCTGTATGTGATTTCATAAGATTAGTATTTAATTTACTAGTGCTTAACTCTGTTGCAGGTTTTTCCATTATTTCTTGCATTATTTAATTCTCAATCTAAAATAAATCTGTTTATTAATTTTAAAATAATTTTTATCCTAATTCTTTTCTTAAACTAAAAAAATATATATTTCAACAAAAAGAAACATCAGCTTTTAGCTTCTATAAATTCCATTTACAAATTCTTAAAATTTATTTAAAATAAAACAAATGCAAAAACCTTCTGCCATTTGACTCTAAGTATAATTCAGAATTTTAGTGTGTGGAGTATGATAGTAATTCATACAAATATTCAAGAGATCTTCCAACATTAAACGCTTTTATTTTCAAATAAATATTTTAATTGCAGGTAGTTTAAAATCGAAAGTCAAATTAAATAAAGGGAATTATTAAGTATTTTAGCATGCTTTATTGCATTTATTTGCTAATATTGCGCTACAAATATTTAAGATCATCTATATTTTGGATTAACAATTAAATAATTAAATATTACTATGGTCTGTTAGCTCTTCTTTGCTATATATTGCCTATAGATCAAAGGTATTAGATTTTTAATATTCTCTTTTGACTGCTAGCACAGATCTTTAAACATTCTACCAAAATTTAATGAATCTTAAGTAGTAAAAAAATCCCTTTAAAGATCATCACTTAAACTATACGATCTTAATCTTGCCTTTTTAATTATACTATTTTAAAACCTAATTTTTTTTATTGAACTAGTTTCAGTATCTTAGTCTCCTTCAATATTGACTAATGATGGTGCAGACATCTTAATATAACTATCTTCCTATATATCTGTTATTTCCTGCAAATAATCAAATTGAGAGCAATTTTACCTGTTAAAATAATTTATTAATATTTTAAACTTTAACTATTTAGTTATTAATAAAGCTTACTACTTTTAGTATTTTAAATGATCTGTGCCAAAATGAGTTAAGGATAACCTATTCATACTCCTGGAGTCAAATGCAGTTTAACTCTACTATGGAATTATGATGCTACTTCTCCCACTTCTTAAATTATTTGTACTATCAAACCAGAATATTCTTTTATCCATTTAATTAATACAGCTCTTTTTTTTTTCATCATGATCCCAAATAATTGAATCATTTTTTGTGCCATAATACCTATGATAGGAACATCCGCATATTGGTAAAACTGAATCGTCTTCAATGCGAATAAATTTAAAATGCATAGCACTTTTTAAAACTAAACCTTGCTAATATAATGCTTTTCAATTTACTCAGATTTTGTAATTTAGTTTTTTAAATTCTAAGGTTTTAACCTTTACTCTCTAAGCTTTTATATGAGCACTTTATATTATTCTGATTTCTTTTTATTTCTTTAAGTTTTATTTGAATGCTTTTTAATTTAATATATTGAAAATTTCAAGCATCTGTTTATCTGAAATAGATAATCCAATTACAATTTCATTTATTTATTTATTCACTTAATCGAATTAAGTTAAAATCAAAAAAGCTAAAGACTTTAAATATTTCCTATCCATTTGCTTTTTTCTTCAAAACTATAGATTTTGTTTCTAACTCTTTACTATTACAATGCTGTTTATATTAAAACCATTCTCTTTGATAATAAAAAACACATTCTTACTGTTTTTTTTGCTAAATTTAATTAAAAAAATGTTAAGTTATACCAACTCTATTATAGAAATTTTAAAAAATCTAAATATAAAAAAAAACCAAAATAAACTAATATCCATCTATCTTTATAGAGCTTATTCAAAATGTAATGAAAATGAAATAAAAATTTTATTAAAATATTTAATCTTTTAATTTTTTTATTATGAAAACCATCTTAAAACCCACTTAAATGAGATAACTTCTTATAAGTAAATTGATTTTTTTCATAATAATACTTATTTGTATTAATAATTAAAATTAATTAAATTCAATGATAAATCGTTTTCACTGTTATTTAATTTAAAGTATTGTAAAATCTAAATAGATTATTTTATAAATTTGATAGAAAACTTAAGAAAAAATTTTTAGTAATTTTATGAAAATTAACTTTAAATTAATTAAATGAATGAATAAAGAGTATATACAAAATTAACATCTCAATAAATGCATGGGTTAATTATATTTATTTAAAAATATTATTTTTATTTATTTAATTCATTATAAAAACTTAATAACTAACTTATCATAAATAATTAGCAAAAGGTTGTAGTTATTATTATTGTTAGTATATCTGTTATTGCTATTATTATTACATATTTATTTTCTGTTTTTAGTTTTGCATCATTTAAAACATTTAAATTTATTAAGAAGAAAATTAAGGTTTTTGATAAGACATGCTCATAGTTCTGCCTCCCTATTGGTTTCTGTTATGATAAATTTACTATTTCTTTAGTTAACTTTTTAAATTTTGCTAGTTTTATTAGCTGATTATATTGTTTGCCATTTTCAAATTTTAATTTTATTTATTCATTCTATTTTTATTTTAATAAAAAAAATTTAAAAATATTTTCATATTTGTATAAAATTAATTTATTACTCATAGGTCGGATGATATTGCAGTTTCATCATTTAATATACATGATCTTCATCTAGGCTTCCAACTCCTTTTTTATATGAGCAACTTGTTGCTGCTAGTTAGCCTATTCCTTTTGTATTCTAATCTATATGATCACGATGAGTACTGTATTTAAAATTACTATTATCGTAAGTATTAAATATTTTGTTGCTTTGATAATCATAATATTAATTCTACCCATCTTAACCTAAATCAAGATCAGATTGTATTGGAAGAGTTAAAGCTTCTAATTATCCTTTGTTTTAATTTTCTATATTTATAGCCGAATTATCTTCATTAATTTAATTATCAGTGTCTAAATTAAAATTATCACTAAGATCCATATCTTCTCCATCTTATTCATAGTCGTCCTCTTACATTACATTACTAGCTTATTGTTTGTATCCAAGTTAATTATTTGAAGTTAATTATTGATTTGTCTCAAAGAGATGTATACAATTATTTTAATATTTTTATTGATGCATAGAGTTCACTCTTGCTCCGCCTGTTTATGCAGGAATACCTGACTAAATGTGGATGCTTGGTGAAGGTTAATTTAAATTTATTATATCTGTAGTATTATCAGTGAGATCATCCCTCACTATCATATTATGATTATCTTAGTAAATATCAGGACCTGATACATCTAAATTTTAATTACTATCATCTAGATTAAAATCTTTACATTCAAGTTCATCAAACTCATTTTATTGTATATTATGTAAACCACCTCCGAATGCAGGACCATTAAATCTTTCTGCTATTAAAGGTAATTCTTAGATATTTTATTATAAATTAATTTAGTTTGAAAAATTTTAAGGTTAACCCTAATTAACATAAATAGGATCTACCATCTTTAAATCTTAGTCAACTATTCTACTAATTGCTGTTTATTCACCATCATATACTTATTACTAATTAACTACTAAGCTACTTAGAGAAGGAGGATCATTGCTATTAGAATATAATTATGGCACACTATTTTAGTATTATTTCCCATTTATGTAATTGTTATGAGGGTCATTCAAAATTTTGTAAGAATTTTAGTAAGGTCTTTAGTATTATTATGAAATCGCTTAATTGTTGATTCCAAACTTTTAATTATTTTAGAGAGACCTATTTTCTTGAATATTATACTATTGCAAGAAAGATTTTTTTTAAGTTTAGTTTTTTTATTAAGTAATATTATTATCTGCCTTGTTTAACAAATTACTGTTTTCCAAGTTGTTGCTTCTCCTAATTTTTTTTTAAAAAAATATTTTTTAAATCATTATTTAAAATAAAAATTTACGCTAATAAAGCTTTTTTCAAAGTAAATTTAGTGTTTTCGTGCTCAATTTTTTCTTTTGCATATTATTCCTTAGTGTGGTGTAGTTTATAATTTGTGGATAAAAGTAGAGTTTTAGTTTCACTGTTTTCTTTGGCCAGTTATTAAATTTTCTAATTTATTAATAAATAAATATACATTTGAGCTCATGAATAATATATTAATAATTTACTTTTTTATATTCACTATCTTTGTTTTTTAATTTGCTTAAATCATTGATCAAAATTTTTCTACTTGTTTCAGTTTCCTTTAGTTTTTCCTCTAATTGCTCAAGTTATTACTTTAATCTTTAATTTTCTTTGAATAACTCTAAATTAGTATTTGATTATTATGAAATTTTAACTGACTTTTCACCTTCTTAGAGAGCGCTATTAAAATAATCTATATAAATATTAAGAGAGTTCAAAAAATCACTATTTTAAGCCTCTTCTTTTCCTTGATTGTTTTCATTATCTAAATAATATTATAAAGAAGCAAATAAATAAAACTATTAAATTATCAATAATTAACTTACATGGTAATTGCTCTTCAAACTATTTTTAGAAACTCATTGTTGAGTTCATATTTGAGTTGTTCATCACATTATTAGAATTGTAGTTTATCATGATATTTGATTAATTATTTATACTTGATACATTATGAGATAGATTTTGTATGTTAGAAATATTACTTATGTTAAATTAACTAGAGTCAAGATTGTTGAATTATGCAGTTGGGCTAATATTGCCAAGTGAATTATTTAATATGGTTGATGACTAAGAGTTGAATAATGAAGACTCCTTTTTTTAGTGGTTTTGAGTTTAGCTTTATTGAGATTAGTGCTGATGTATCTATGTATGAGATTATCTTTTACTTGTAATAGGGTTATCTCTATTAATTGATGAGAGATGATGATTTTAATGTTAATTTGAGCTAGAATTATTAATCAATTACTGCTCATTTGAGTGTGAAGGAGAAGTATTAAAATGATTAGAATGAAAAATTTGCTAAGATTAGGCTGGCTATGTGAGTACTTGACTTGTATTGTTCGAATTTTTTAAGTCTGATTAATTACTTAAAACGCTGATATTTTATATTTTTTCTTAGTGAGTGTTATTATTTCTTTATGTTTATGCTACTTATATTTAATGAGATGGTTAACTATTGGAGCTCAAAGTCCCTTAGTAGCTGTTATTTCTAAAAAATTAATCAAATAGTTTTGGTTATGAATTTCCTAAAGTTTTTCTTTGAGTAAGTTTATCATCTTAATTGGTTTATTACTCATTTACCTATTAAGAGTTATTTTCTATTTATATAGATTCGTCTTCCTATTACTTTTCAGCAACATTTTTTGCCTAAGAGTTTACTGATGAATTTTAATTTAATCTCACAGTATCATTACTATTTTATTGCTGATATTATTAACTTTATGAGCTTTTGAGTTATTGCTTAGTCTTTTATTACTTCATAATCAGTTCTTGTTATTATTACATTTATTACATTTAATGAAAATTTTTCATAAATGGTGGGATTGGTGTTTTACCTATTACATTCTTTTACTTTAATTTTGTAGGATCTTCAACATGCTTCTTTTGCTTAATCATTTAATCAATATAGTCTTAATTGCTTTAATAAGCAGCATCGCTTGGTTAACTTTTTTTTTCTTAATTCTAAATTTATTGTTATAACTACTGTGACTGATTTTAAGCTTAGAAGGAATTTTAATTATCTTGTTTGGAATCATTTTATATTACATTTAATTCAGGTTTAAGTTAAATATTTTAATTTTAGTTGTCATATTATTATGTTGAGTTCTATTTATATTAAAATTCTTGTATATTTTTCTAATTTAATTAGAAAGACTATTATTGTTATTATTTCAGAGATTATACAGGCTATTATTAGTTTTAATTTCCTTGCCCTGCAGAGGCTTAATTATGAATACCTTTATTATTACCAATCTAATTTTATTGAGGCTCTTATTGGCTATTTACTATTTAGCCATTTTAATTATAATTTATTTAATTTGTTTTTTTTTCCTACAAGAAGTTAGTATTATCTACTTATTATACTCTTATTTATGAACTAGCTTGTTAAGTATCTTAATTGCGATACAAATTTCCTAAATCTTTATCAATATCCACATTTGAATTGTTTCTTTTTTGGTTTCTCAATTCTAAATATTTTAATAAAGTAAAAAGTGAAGCCTCTATATGGTAATTAAATTATAATGTAATCGTTAATTGTTTAATTACAAACGATTTAATATAATTATTTTTTTAATATGAAAATTTTACTTGCATAGTTAAGAGAAGTACTTTTAGGAGTTGCCATTTTTAATACAGAAATCGGAATGATTTTAATTAAGGTGGTTGCTTATCCTATTCTGCTTTTTATATCGCTTACTTTATTTTTTACTGGTAGATCTCCAAATATTCTTTCAAATTAGTATTAAAAATTGATCGATAAATCAAAGAATACTTTTGAGTTTAGTTTATTAATTTTTCAATCTTCTTTTCTTAGTTTTTCTTTATTTAAAAGCATATATTCGTTGATAATATCACAAATTATCCATCCAAACATATACTATTTAATTATTATCTGATTCATCTATTTATTTAATTTTATAGTAAAAAAACTAAAATACCAACGAACTATTTTCTCATAGTTTCTAAGTTAATCAAAAAAATAATCTTTAAACTATTTTACTATATAATTAATTTAACATTTTATTTCTATTTTAATTAAAAATTTTAGAAATAAAATTTGTAAAAAAATAAAATAAAGAAAAAAGTTTGATTTTTAAAAGTTTTTTATATATTTTTAAAATTATTCAAGCTTAATATCTTATTTTGTAATAGATCATTAAGATTTTTAGATAATTAAACAATAGAAAATATTTGAAATAGAATAAAATTCAAGTAAATATAAAAAGCAAGTCCAAAAAAATTAAAAATTATTTAAAAGGTGAATTTTTTAAATTAATTTATAAAATAAAAAAATGAATTTATTTTTTTAGAGTAACATTTTGATTATATCAGCTAAAAAAGAAATTAATATGAATTAAAAATTGATATAAAAAAGTGAGTCTTAATCAAACATAATTTATTTTTAGAATATTTTTTTTAAATTCCATAATACAAATTTATTTTTTTATTAAACTTTTTTTGAAAAATGAATTTTACTTATTAGCTGATAAATAAATTGGTAAAATCAAAGAAAAATTACCAAATTAAAAATTACTTTAAAATATTTTGAAATAACTCAATAATAAATGCGAATATAAATTTTATAATAAAAATACTTATTTTTGAAAATTATTTTTATAAAAATATATTATTATTATAAATGGTTTATTTACCATGAAATTAATTTATTGATACAAGCTAAATATTAGTTTAAAAAATGAATTCAAATAAAGATAAAAATTTATTTTAAAATATTTTTTTAAATTGTTCAAATAATAAAAATTAATTTAATTTTTTAATAAATAAATAAATATATTTTTTTATTATAACATTAAATTTTACTTATTTTCTTTTTATGTATTGACACAAACTATAAATTTTTTCTATTTTAATAAAAAATTATCAAAAAATATTATCTTTAAACAATTTATTCTTTGAAGCAAAGCTTTAATGATCAGATAAACTAAAATTCAATATTATATCATTAAAAATTAGTTTGATTCACTTAATTAGAGTATATTTTATTTATTCCATTACTTTATGCTTTTTCATCTGTTTCACTGAGAACACTATCAGTCATTTTGATTTTTGGTTTGCTATTGATGTCATCATAATCTTGCAATGAGTTTTTCTCTCTAACTGAGAGGGATTTTTATTTAATCTTTTCAAGTTCATTGATTTAAACTATTTGGATAGAATTTACATCCTCAACAAAGTTTCTTTATAAATTATATTGCATTTATTAATCATTTTATCCACTTCCTTTAAATGAAGGAGGATAAATTTTTACTTCAACTAAATCAATAGGATTGCTCATTCCAAATAAAATTTTAGACCTTTCTAAGACCTGACCTGTTTTATTTTATTATCCTTATCTATATTAAGTAAAATCCATGTTTGCGATTTGGCTATAAGGAGCTTAACATATGACTACGTTTCCTAATCTTCCTTCAATCATTTTTCTTATACACTATTTTTATATATTATTTCCTTTTCAATGCTTTTATATGAAAATTATATGATATAAATTAACTATACTTTTGATTGTTGTAATTAGCAATTAAAAAGCAGCATATAATTAAATACATTCATATTAATAGATATATTTTAAAAAAATTCTGATGAAATTAGGTAAATTTCAGATTAATAATAATAATTAATTGATTAGAATACATTCCTAAAATTATGTAAATAAGATAAATAATTATTCTAATATTAAAATGAACACTGTAAATATATAACAATAATTAAAATGTGCTTAATTCGTATAATAATTAATTAATTCTTATAATTTATTATTACTAATAAATTATTTTATTTTTCAGTCTTTCATGATAAAATTATCAATAACTAGACCACTTAAAGACGATAATAGTACACCTGTATCATTAAAAATAGAACAAATATTCATAGCAAGTTCTTTTTCGTTTCTGTCTATTTCTTAATGATTTAATAACAAATAATTGACATTTACATATGAAGCTCCTCCCATTAATCCTACAAAAATCATGCATGGAATTTATACTCCCATAGGTACTGATTTGTTTACTGCAAAGAAAATCCAAAGTCCAAAGTTACCAAGTTAAGCTGCAGTAAAGATAAATACTTTTCTGATTTTTATGAGATATAAAGATGATCTACTAATGAATACACCAATTTAGTAGCAAAAACAAAGGATAACAAAACCCTAATTTAAAAACAAATTAATTTTCTGTTGTATAATGATATTTATCAAAATTACATTTTTTTCTAAGAATCCATTAAAGTCATCAGAGTATTAATCACTATCTAATTATGGATGTGCTCTTTCTGCCCATACTGTTTCAATGACGTATTCGAGATAATAAACTAATCCAAGATTTACTGCTAGAGTCCACATTTTTGGCATCACTGATTTGATATTTTGAATAGACAACTTCTTATTGTTTTTAGCATCATCATCTTCTGATTCTTTAATAGTGATTGATTTATTTTCATTTTGTTGTTCAGAAAGTTCTTCTTCTGTCATAAATTAACAGAAAAAAAATAAATAAAAATATTACTTTCAATTAATTATTATTGTGATTCCTCACCTTATTGGCTTTCACTGCAATTGCTTTCTGAACCTACTTGATTAGACTTATAGAATTTTCTCTTTCTATTGTCATACCATAAGAAACATAACCAATAGCTTGCCTCAATAGGAATCATGATTAAAAATATCTATCGTAAAATATTAATTTAAATATTAGATATATTTTATTATTTAATTAATATTTATTACGATGTAAAGATCTAAATTAACAGCCTTCAAAATAAGAAGTAATCCTGAACCGAAAGGACCAGCAAAACCTGTACCACTACTCCATCCAGCTACAAGTCTTGAAGGAAACACTTTTAAGTAACCTTTTTTGAATAATTTATAAGTTAATCACAGTATAAAAATGAATTAATTCTACCTAACATTACAGATTCACCAAATGCCTACATGGTACCGCACATTACCGATCCAACTAAGCATGTATAGAAACCCCATTTGCCATTAGCTTTTGAAGAAAAAGCAATAATTATATAGGCGCCAATAGATAATACAATGCAAACAAATATTCTCTTCTTATGAGAGATTTTAATGAAGAATTTTGAATTGATTGAACGCATAACACCAGATAAAACAATCAATGATCTTTTTTTAAAGAAAAAAATTGAAAATCAGCTTGAGAGTGAGTAATAGATAATATTTACAATTAAAAGAGTGTCATAAAGTTTTTCATATCAAACTTATTTGCTATATCTTAAGCAGCTGTACCAACTAAAACATACCCTGTATTATTAATTATACCAATCAAGAAGAGCATGAAAAGATACATTTTTTCATTTTATTCAACATTTAATTCCTAATAATAAATAAATTTATTTAACTTTATAACTGGAATCAATATTTCATATGCTTGCGAGTAAAATAAAATGTAAATTACTAAGTCATCTTTTGTTTCAACTTAGCTGCTGACAACAATATCTACTTTTTAGAATTCTTTATCAGAATTTTTTCTTTGATTTACCTACATTTTTATTTTGTAATTTCACAGTTTAATTTAAAAATTAAGCAATTAAATAAATTATTTTGTGTAAAATTGAAGGCTAAAAACTTTTTGAAAGAGCTAATAAGTAAAAAGTGTAGTAAATATAATATAGAATTGAAATCTACAAATTTTTAATTTTTCAATATATAAAATTAATGTTATTTTCCTTATGAATACTATTCAAAATATTGCATTAATTTTGGTTGCTTAAATATATTTTTTGCATCATAATAGTTTTTTGGTCAGGTAAATTTTATTTTCTCTTAAAAATACAACAAAAAATATTACTTGAAAAATTTTACACTAAATTTCAAAAGATTAATCAATATATCATACTTATAAACAAATATTTTAGATTTCCAAATTATTTTTGTCATAAATATCTCCTAAATCAAGAAACTTTTAGAAAATACTTTTTTTATCAATAATCTAAATATGAAAATATTATATTTTCATTTAAGATAAAATTTATTTTATTTAAGAGCTCATTCATACACACAATAAAGATAAAATAAAAAATTTACTTTTACACTTTTAAATTTATACTTTTTAATTATATTAAATAACTCTGTTTACACATCAATATATTATCTATTTATCACTCTAAATTTTAAAAAATAATAAAAAAGTTCAAATATATCTTATTCTTTTATAAATAAAATTACTTTTTTTCTGAAGCATTCCTCCACTCACAAATCCACTTCTGAATTATTATTACATGCCTTTTTTCATCTGATCTCTAAAATTTTCCATTATACTCTCTCTAGACTATCTCTAAGGCACTTAATTTTATACTGGCTAATTTTACTGCTATTACTATTGTTAACTACTAGAACTGTTTGAAGTAATTGAAGATTTTTAATTTTAAGCCTGCTATATTTAAATACGAACAAACTGTAATTAGTCTTATATTTGCTAAAATATTATTTCTTTCTCATTAATTTATAATTATTACAATTGTGCTTGTATGTTAAACTATTCTTAAGTTATTTTTCCTGTTTGTAGCAGCTACTCTTAATACTCTCTAACTATTTTTTAAGTCTATATTGCCTTTTCTTTTTCTTTTAATAATTTTTGCTCTTCTTATTCAAGTAGATCTTTTTAGCTAATCAACTATTCTAAATCAAATAATGGAGGAGGTGGTGCTTGAGTTTGTGATATTTTTTGTTTTTTAATATCCTAATCAACATCAGCCTTAATTTAGTCTTTTATACTTAGTTCATCTTCTTGCTTGTAGCCAAGTCCATGTTTTGTGTTTCTTTATCTAGAAAGAGCTTATTTTAATAGCTTAGAAGAATCTTTTCCCTTGGCAAAGTCAACACCTAGCTTTGTAGCCAAGCGCTATGCTTTAAATTAATCATCATTCATGGCTACTTCTTCTAAATTAGGTGGGACAGGCTAACCGCTTATTTCCATAACTTTTAGCATATCTGATGCGAATTTACTTTCACTCATTAATATCAGACTATATGCAGTGCCATCTCTAAATATAAATAAATAATATTAATTTTAAATAATAATAATAAAATAATTTATTTTTTATTCTTAATTTAAATGCACAAATAATTTATTTATTTATTTATCTATTACGTTGCTCCTGCTCTTCCTGTTCTACCAATACGGTGGATATAAGTATCAGTATCTTGAGGTAAATCATAATTAATTACTGTTTTTATTTCAGGTATATCCAAACCACGAGAAGCAACATCAGTTGCTATTAATAGGTTTTTAGCTGCTTTAAATTTATTAATTATATCAGTTCTTTCACTTTGTATTTTATCACCGTGTAATACAAGTGCTTCTAAGTACAACCTCTATTTAATCAGTTCTGATAATTTATTACAATTAGTAATGTGATTAACAAAAATTAAAACTTTTCCTTTTTACAAACACAAGTTTAAATTATTTAAAATCCATTAATCTTTAAAATTTGAATCCTTAAATATGATTGGCTCCTATCTTATATCTTCATTTGCTTAATTTTCTCCACCTATCTTAATAGTAACAGGATTTCTTAACACATCCATAACTAAATTTTATATTTTTTTTTTCAGAGTAGCAGTAAACAGTAAAGTTTAACGGTCTGGTCTTATCTATTGCATTATTGAACGAATCTACTTTTCAAAACCCATACTAAACATTTTATCAGCTTCATCAATAACTACGTAAGTGCACCTTCTTAGATTTGTTGCTTTCTTTTGAATCATCTCCATAAGTCTACCAGGTGTTGCTATTAGAATTTCGACACCAGCTTTAAGCATCTTCCATTATTCATGTTTATTCTCTCCACCTAAAAGAGCTCCAACTCTAAAAAGTTTAATAAAACGATTTTCATAAAAAATTAATTATAAATAGATTTTTTACGATATGTTATAAATTTTTGCATATCTTTTCGACTCAGTATAGACTTATTGGCAAAGTTCTCTTGTTGGTGCTAATATTAACCCAATAGGGCCTTCATTTTTTTCTAATTCTCTCTAAATTAAAAATAATAAGATAACTAACTGCATTGATTTGCAAATTGCTTTACTTAATCAAGGATATGAATTAAAAGAGGCCAAAGATAAGAAACAGTTTTTCCTGAACCTGTTTTAGCAACACCAACTATGTCTCTACCACTTAATCCGCAAGGTAGAGCCTTTATAATAAATAAATTGAATATGAAATAATTGAATAGAAACTAGCATACTTGACATTGAATTTAAGTAGGTTTTTCAAATCCTAATTTTGTGATTTATCTCATTAACTCTTCGTCAAATCCTAAATGACCAAAACTTACAATAGGCTTTGGTGGTCTGACTCCACTAACCTTTATTTCAAATTCTTTTCTTTATTATAATAATTATTTAACATGGTATAAGATTAAAATTTAAACAAACTACCTTATTTTTTCAACTTACTATTCTGTAAGCTTTGTAATATCAGGATGTTCTTAATAAAAATTTTTAGTAAAAGCTTCATATTTAATTGAAGAGTGATCTACTTATTCTAGGAGCTAAAAGTTTTTTTTCTTCATTTCTTTAACCTTATTAAAGTCTACTTCTCTTTTTATTTTGTAGAATATTAAAAGATTAAATTTATTTAAATTTAAAATAATCAAGAAGTGTACCCATCACTATCTAAGAAATCGTATTAATTGTTATTATCCTCATCTTCTTCTTCATAATCATCTTCGCTATTATCATTACTACTATTTTCATTTTTGTCTTTTTATTTTTTGCTTTTTTTATTTGGATTCATTTCTTTTGTTTTATAAAAGAATTTGAAAAACTAAACATTTTTAATAAAAATTATACTATCAGCCTCTTAAATAAGTTTCTTTTTAATGCTATCCATATAAGTATCTAAATGATCATCTTCATCTAATCTTTCACCAGCTTTCTAAAAATTAAAAATTTAAAATCTTTGTCAAAGTTTATTGAAATACTCTTTTGGTATTTAAATTTAGTAAATCTGGGTTTTCCTTTTTTTATATTGTTTCTTTTATATCTTTATCGGCTTATTCTTCTATTCCTTTCATAAAGGCATCAAGTTCATCTTCTTCATCATCTCCATCATTATTGTTTTCATTATTTTATTGTTGCTCATCATCTTCTTCATCAAAATACTTATCTTATCTCAAATCTTCAGTAAGTTGCTTTATTAATTTATCATTAAAAAAATCTATCATTTTTCCTTTAAAATTTTTACTCTTTTTTTTCTCCAATCTCCCATTTTTAGTTTAGAAGCTATTTAATGTACTTATTTTAAATTTTTAGTTTATTATTTCAAGATATTTTTTAATAGACGATTTTTTTTATAATTTAAACATATTAATGATAAAAATACTAAAAATCTGATAAACTATCAGATAAAAATTTAAAAAGATTTCTATAAATAAAATAAATGGAAAGTTTTGTAAATAAAATAAAATATCTACTGGTTACTCCTAGGCTAATTTATTGAGCAAACAAATTCTATTTTTAATAAATTAATTTTTTTTTAGATTATTATTAAAAACTAAAGGAAATGCTTTTTGAATAAAATTTTTAAACAACACAAAAAGATACTAATACAAAAATAAAAAAAAGATATCTTTCAAATAATAAAAATTTAAATATTGTAGTTACTTTAGTATTAAATAAACAATAAATTTTTAATTAAACTAGTTTATCAATATTAAAAATCTAAAATAATCAATTATATAAATCGTAAATTACATATAAAGGATTCAATTACATAAACTTATAAAGAGTTTTGTAAAAAAGAGTCATAGAAACTCTAATAGAAAAGAAAATATAAAAATAGTAATCTATCGTTTCTTCTTTCAAAATTTTTATGTCATAAGTTGAAGTTGTGAAAGACTAAATATATTCATTTGAAGAAATCAAGTAAGCTAATTCAAAACAAATTTATTTTGTCATTCTTTTTTTCATAAAAAAGTAATTTATTTATTCTAAGGGAACTACTTTAATTTTTTACCATAGTTGGTACTGCTTCTCTAGTTAATTAATATAATCCATGAAAATTTCAATACAGTATGCTCCTTTTACATGATTTTCTATTTATAAATCAGTTATTTTATGATAATCTATTAGAGACTCTATAGCAAATATTTCAAAATCTTCACCATGGCCATTTAAAAGCCAGCATAAAGACACTAAATTATCCAAAGTAATACATTTTTCCATAACTCTTTTAAATTCATCATAGGAATCGAATTGCTGCTAAAAATTAAATCCAAATGATCCCTCTTTCAAATTAGTTAATTAACCAATATTATCAGCTAAAATTGTATAAATCTTTTTATTTTAGATTTAAAGACTAAAATTTACTTTAACAGATTCAGCTAATTTGTTTTTACAAATAAAAGAAATAATATTTTCTTAATCTTCAGCGCTTAAAATGCAAATTCTTGAATTTAAATTAAGATTAATTTTAATTAGATTACTAGCTTCTTACATGGATATTATTATTTATGAAAGCTACAAAACAGAATCATAATTATAACCCTGAAATTCATTAATAAATTCGACAGAGGAAGGGAGAAAATGAAATAGATTCTTAGAAATATATTTATGTTTATTATACATATTTGCATTAGATTAAAAGCAATTACAATATATTCTTTAGTTCTTTGCCAAATATAGCTTAGATATAACTGATAATATACTTTAATTTATACTTGAGGATGTCAATTCAATATTTATAAACTTTAGATTTGTTTAATTTGATAAAAAAATATATAAATTTTATTCATCTAAATATTACTAGCTTTCAATGATATTAAGATTCTACAAAACTGGAAAAACTAAACTAGCATTGGCTTATGCAATTTTCAATAACTAAAACAAATTTAAAGTGATTTCATTGATACTTAATTAGTTTTGAATAATTATTTACATTATGTCTTAATATTTATTTTAATTAGAATTAAATTGTACATGAAAGTGCATTTTATTTATATTTTAGAAATTTTACTATTTTATTTTATCAATAAATTCGTAATCACTAATGTATATTTCTAAGAATTAGCAATTTGATAAATCTTCTTCATTAAATAAATCAAAGCAATTAGAGCTGAAAGAAAGCTAATTAAGGGAATTGCTTATTTAAAATTTTGTAGATTTTTTTTAATTGTGTTCTTCTTATTCTTCAATTTCTTCTATAAAGTCTAATTGAACAGAAAAACTCCTTAAACTTGAATTTTATAAAACAGAATTCAGCTCAGCCACCTTATTGATTGACATACATTTTAAGTTTAGGCTGAGAGATTATAAATTATTTATTATCTAGGAATTAAGCTAATAGAGTAGATAAAGATCATGAGCTTTCAATGAGGTTAATGAAGTTAATTCAGATTGTATTTATAATAATTCTTTAGAAAGATCAGCTTTTTGAATTTTTGAAACATCTAAAAATTAATATATTCTAAACTTTTGTATACTTTCTTCTTGGGTATTAAAAATCAAAGATGGGTAATAAGTGATTTATTCTCTTAAATCTAATAAAGCACGTAGAAGTAAAAAAAAATCAGTTTCTGACTCTATTAGAATTTAGTCATCATAACCATCCCATTTCATTAAAGTCTTTGCATACTTTTCAATTTAGTATTCAGCCCAACGATTGTTCCTGTAAGACTTAGTAATTATCTTGTAAATCAACTCATAATAATTTTCTCTTGAAACAGATTTGTCTAGATAAGAGTCGTAAATTTTCTCCATATCTGATATAAAAAATAAGGTATTATTTATTTCAATATTTAACATCAATATTTGATATACTGATTTACTAAGTAAAATTATAAATATTTTTATTAAATTTTAATTCAATCTAAAAGTTAATTTATAAGCTTAACTAATAAAATTAATAGGCAGGCAAAACTATTTTTTACAAAATATAAAATGTTTTTTCCTGAGTAAAATATTATTTTCATTTTATATTTATTTGTCATTAATTGATAAAAATTTGACTATTTGATTTCTCAGAATTTTTTTTGATAAATAAATCCTTCCTTCGTTTTTATTTAATAATTTACTTATTTTTAATTGATAAATAATTATTATTAAAATATTTTTCATTTAAAAATTACTCAAATCTAAGACTAAGCCAATCAAAAAGATTAATAAAAAAATCATTTTATTCATTTAAGTATTTTGTTATACTATTGTACTTTTAATACAGATATTTATTTGATTAATAGAATTATGAACTAAAGTTTGAATAAGATAAAGAAATAGATCAAAAAATTAGATGATCAAAAAATAGGCAAGCGTGGTTTATTAACTATTGAAATCTTTTGTGAAGATATTTGAAAAAAAAAAAATGAATAGAAAAAGCTTAATTCAATTAAGTAATAGGGTAATTGATATATTTCTTATGAATACTTTATATTTTAATTGAAAAAGATATCAGAAAGGTAAAAAGAAGTGAAATCAGCAGTCATAAATACATACATAAATTTTTGTTTTGGATAAGCAGCAAGCAGTATGTTTTTATACATTTTGTTAATTACTTTTTTATAAATGAATAAATTAAGATATTATCATCATAAGCAAAGATCTTTGTTATTATTTAGATTAGCTGCTTTATTCGGAAAATTTATCATGAATGAAATAAATAAAATTTCTTTAGATTATCTCTAAAATAATATTTGAAAAAGAAAAAGTAAAATTCATAAGAAATTTATAAAAATAAAAGAGGTATACAAATGTAAGAAGACGTTGATTAGGAGAGACTATTAGATTAGGCTCGTTAAAAAGTAAAAGAATAAGCTTACTTTATGAAAAAAGCATTGGATCAAGTCAATTTAAGGGATGGCTTGAGACACGCTTCCACCATGTTAGAAGAATTAGGTGTTAGGGAATAGGTTTAATTAAATCCAAAAAACTATTACATAGTGTTTATGCAAATTTTTGATGAGCTCCGTACTTTAGAATAATATTTTAAAGAAGAATACAGAAGAGGCCGTAAAATGATGGATTTGTATGAGTCTGTTTAGCATGCTACTAAGTTAATTCCTAGACTTTATCTTTTAATCACAGTTGGTTCTGTTTATATTCAAACTCATGAAGTAGGTGCCAAGGAAATTCTTCTCGATTTGTTAGAAATGATTAAAGCAGTTCAACATCCTACAAGAGGTCTATTTTTACGTTATTATTTCCTTAAAATGTGCAAAGATCGTCTCCCCGATAAGGACTCTGAATATTTTGGGTAACTTATTTTTCATAAAATTAAAATCTACATTTTAACATTTAGTGATTTTAGATGAAATTTTTACTGTTTATTATATAAAAATTTACAACTTTTTAAAGATTGTTGCCATTAAACATACTTTCAATTTCATTTTTATTCAGCTAAGTATTATAATAGTATTTAAAATGAAGATTGAATAATTTAGAAATCATAAATATTCTTTTAAAAACGTTAAACAGTAAAAGAAATAAATATTGCTAATGAAATATTTCAAAAATGAAAAAATTGATTTTTTTATGAAAGTAAAGTAATTTTTAATAATATTTTTATAAAACTTAGAGAAGGCGGTGATGTTGATGATTGCATTAACATTATTACTAGAAATCTTAATGAAATGAATAAGTTGTGGATCAGAATGAGCGGAAAGTCTAGAGATAAACCAAGAAGAGAAAAGGAAAGAGTAGACTTAAAGATTACAGTAGGTGAAAATATTCATAGATTGAGCAGCTTGGAAGGTGTAAATAGTGAAATTTATTAAACTACCGTTTTACCTAAATTACTTGATTTGATTGTTAGCTCTAAGGATGCTATTTCTTAAAATTATTTGATAGATTGCGTTATCTCTTGTTTCCCTGATGAGTATCACTTGATAACCCTTCACGATATTTTAGGTGTTTGTACTACCCAACTTGAGCCTAAAGTTGACATCAAGTCAATCTTCATATCCTTGATGGATCGTTTGGCTGAATATGCTCTCCGTTCAGAAGACGTTTAGGCTACTTTCAACTCTGATAACCACATTTATTCTATGTTCAAAAATAACATTGACAATGTAATTAATTAAACTAATCAGTCATTATTTTATTTAGAATATTTATCAAATAAACTAACTTAATATTCTAAAAGCTATTTCATAATCCTTAAAAAAATATATTTATAAAATAGTTGGTTGAAAGATCTAGCAGTACTGAATTTAAAAATGTTTTAGATTTAATGGTTGCATTTTTGAAGTTCTCTTTGAGATGTTATTCATCAAACGGCGATTATGTTAACTAAATTTTAAAAAGCTGTGTTAAGATTTGTGAAAAGTAACATGAATAGGATTTCTAAGATGATTGCTTAAAGAATATTGTCAAATTTTTGACCATGCCCCTTGAAACTATGTCCTTAACAATTCTCACTATGGATGAATATCCCAACTTGATGAAGTACTTACCTTTCTCTAAAAGACGTTAAGTCGCTTAAAAGATTACCTAAGTAAATAATTTTGAAAATTAAATAATTTAAACAATTAATATATAAATTTTTAGGCAGTTGTTAGCTTAAAGAGAAACATTAATGATTAGAAAATTGCAGAATAATTAGTTCTCTTTATCCATCCCTTATTAGTAACTGAAAAAGACTATATTGAAGTTTCCTAAAATGATTTTGAAGAAGAATAAAATTTAGTTTGCAAAATGCTTCATCTTGTTCATCATGATGACGCTTAAGAGTATTGGAATATTTTAAGACTCTTCTTTGATAACTTCTAAAAAGGAGAAATTAAGAGATAGAAATTCACTTATCCTACCATGTTCTACGCTCTTGCCAAATTCACTCGCTCAGTCTATGAAAAGAACTAACAAAATGAAGTCCTCAATTACAATAACATTTTTGAGATTATGAAGTAATTGATTGAAACTTTAGCTTAGGAATATCACTCACTTGCCCTCAAGCTCTACATTTAGTTCATTTTAATTATAAATGAATTCGACCATGAAAAAACTGTAATAATTTCTTAGACATATTATTTTAATTTGACAAAAATTACTTAAAAAGCTTGATGAATTCACATATGATATTGCTACAACAGCTTTAACTATTTATCAAGACGATCTAGGTGATGCTGATATTAAGCTCTAAGCAATTTAGGTAATTAGTGGTGCCCTTAACAAAGTCTCATGCTTAAGTGAAGAAAACTATGACACTCTTTCATCAAACACCACCTAATATTCTGCCAAGTTACTTAAAAAGCAAGATTAGGTTCTCTCAATATTAAATTGCACTCATCTCTTCCATGGTGAACTTATTGTAATCAAAATTTATTATTAATTTTTAATTATACATTCTTTTTTTATTAAATTAGAAAGATGAAGAATCTGTTAAGAAATGTTTAAAGAAAGCTATTAAAATAGCTTAAACTTTACTTAAAACCTAAAATAAGAGTATTAACTTGTATATTTATATCTTGAATCGTTACTTCGTATTCTGGAATTATGTTCAAGTAAGCAATCAATTTATTTTAAAAATTTACTAACCTAAAATAAAAAAATAAAATTAGTTTGATGCAGCAGAGGTTCAAGAGCTTATTAATATTATCAATGAAAAAATTGGAACTTTAGAAAAATCAGCTGAAACTGATGCTCTCTAAAAATATTGGAGAAATACAGTATAATATATTAAATCAAAGTAAGAATAAAATATAGCTGGATTCGCTGAGCTTCATGTTTGAAAAATACTTTTAAACTTAAGAATTAGTTTAAGTTAAACAAAAATAAAATATTCTCAGAAGTAGTAATAAATTGACTTTTTAAATGCATTACTAGTTGAAAAAATATGTTTAAATTATATACTGATAATAAATTTTATAGTTGTGATTATTATGAAAAGTTAAATACAAATTCTAAATTTCAAAAAAGATTAAAGAGATAGATTATATAAAAAAATAAATTAACTTTATTATATTTGTTTTAATTCTTTATTAATTTTCTAATCTAAATTTTTAATTTTTTTATAATTCAAACATTTAAGAAATTGGTGAAAAATAAATAGTCATTTTAAAAATTATTTGATTATTAGACTAATTTTGGAGTGTTAAGCTTTCATAAATCTAAATCATATTATTTTGTTTAAAAATTATTAAATTCAATTATTAAAACAAATATAATTTAGATTTAAAAATATTATTTCAATGTTTAATTTTCAAATAATTTAAATTGGAATATTTTAAAGATATATTAATTTTACATAAACTATAATAGTTAAATTGACTCAATAAAAAATAAATAAAATGAAAACAAACTTTTTCAAAATTATTTTAAAGTTTTATTTTTACTAAAAAAAACTAAAAAATATTTCTGATATTATAAAAATTAAATTTTTAAGCAATAATTTTCTTATCTGATATTTTTTTGGTTGGTGATCAATAACTTTATTACATAGCTGATTGGTTTCTTAATTATAAAATCTACAATTTATATCAAAATTTTAAAAACAATTTTCTTAATTATACAAAGCGACAATTAGATTAAGCTCTATATAATACAAAAAATGTTTATTTTTTAAAAATTTGTTAATAAAAAAAGCGCGCCTACTAATCAAAAAGATATAAACGATAGTCAAGAATCTTAAGAAAATAATAAGAAATAGTTTAGCTAAAAAATATAGCTTCCTCTAAGGAAAGCTTTATTTCCAACTTTTTATTCAAACTAGCCCACTATATAAAATATTTATTAGGATGGAGTTAAAATTTTATAAAAGTTATAAGAAATAATTGAATAGATATAAAGTAATAAGCTATTATGCTCCTAAGAAAATGTTAAAAAATTATGGAAAGAAATTGACCAAGTATTTTAAAAATTAGAAGGCACTTAACTGAGCAATTAGATAAAATTAATATTTTATTAGTATATCTATAAAACTCTTAATATTTAAGAATAAGCTATAGATTTCATTTCTGATGAGCTAAAGTGCTATGATAAAGAGAAATATAGCTTAATTTAGTTTTTTATTTAATGGTAATAATAATATTGTAAGCATTACACTGAGGAGTGTACTTTATCACTAAACAGAGGACTAAATATATTAAAGAATTTTATAGATTAGATTGATTCTTCTTTTGAGATATGCTGTTTTTTGAATTTTTATTCATAAGATATACTTACTCCACTAGGGTTTTAGCAAAATGATATGCAACAACTACATTAAAAAATAAAAATTGAAAATTAAATATAGGAATAAACAATAGTTAATATATTAGAAACTGTGCTTTTTATCTATAATTTGTAACTTTATTTGCCCTCATAGTTAGTTAAATAGAATTTTCCTTATCTTATTTATAACAAAAATCTCTTTTAGTAAAAATAGTCTTAGCAGATTAATTCTAATAAACCTGATTAATTAAGTAAAATAAATGAGGAATGTGACAAAAATAAGTTAATCCAATCAACTTTGAAGCTTACGAAAGATTCATATTCTGATGATAAAAATTCTATCTAACAAATATCTAAAGAATGGGATAAATAATAAAATAGTATAGGTGACGAGCAAATTCATGAAAGTTATGAAGATATTTAATTAAATTAAAGCTTTGATGATGCTTAGAGTAATATAGTTCAACCAATATCTTTTGTATTATGGCAAGAATATGAAATTATAAAAAGATTTACTAATTATATTGATTTTATTTAATTATTCATTGAGAAAGTTATTGTTTTTAATTAATAAGATGAATGTACTTCAAATGTCTCATTAAAATCCTCCTCAAGGTAGTCTATATGTTAAGATTAGCAAAATGATATACTAAAGGCATAAATATTAATAAAGAGTTATTTTTATTTATAAGAAAATTAAAAAATCGGATTAATAAACTTGTTAAATTAAGTTTTAGATAACTTAAAAACAGATCTAAATTTTAATAAACTAAAGCATTTAACATAATTAATATTATTTTTTATCACTAGTGATGAAGTGGAAAGCAACCATAAAAAAATTATTTTTTCAAATAAGCTAAGTTAGGAGCTGTTAATCCATTTTCAAAAATCTGAATAAAAGAAGATTCTTAATCATTAAAATATTATTTAAAGCGAATTAATCTCTAATTACCAACCCCTACTTGATTTTTAACAATGTGTTATTAAAAATGGTAAAACTAAAAAAGTTCATATAAATTCGAAATCAAAGATAAACATAAATGTCGATATCTTTGAAAAGCTTTCTATTGTCAATCTTTCAATAGGAATATTAAATAAAGATATTAAGCTCTGCATAAAATATCTAGGGCCTTTAGATACGCCTGAAAAGATTAATCCTATCGAGTTAATTAGAACTGGCAAAATAAATTAAGCACCATATCGGATTAATTTTTTGGCAGAGTAAGAAGGCATTTATTGCATTGAATTTATTAATTCTTATTCCTGGTTTGCAAGCAAAGAAATAGAGTATAGAATTAATATTCTAACACCTTTTTAAGTAATTAAAAATTTTAATTAATAATAAATTAATTTTTTTTTTTAATTTGTAAATCAATTTTCTTAACAATTTTTTGAAATTTATTTTAACATTTCATTTGAATGTATCAATTAAAAATTCATTATTATATAATTAATGATAATAGGTTGGCTTAAACTAATCGAGTTCATTGACAAAAACTATATTTCCTATAGCTTCAAAACCCTTCCATTAGAAAGCAGTGGAGCATTTCTAAGAGAACTAAAAAATATTTAATCAAGCAACTGATTAAGCTTTACTTGTTTTGAATTAAAATATGCTAACAATTTTATATAAGACAAATAATAATTAGAAATTTAGTAACATTATAGAAATTTTTAAAAGTAATGAAAATTAAAATATATTTGAAACCCTTGAACCTTAAGTAATTAGCTCATTATGTAGCATAATAAATTAAATTTATTAATAAGATTCAAAAATATACTTCAATAAAAACTCTAAAAATAAGTTAGTTTTGTATATTATTGTAGACAATGAAGAATAAATAGAATATTTTAACAGAGACTCTTTGTTTTAGCTTACTGTTTTACACAATTTTCCAGTCTCTGAGATAATTATTGAATCTTATCCTAATATTTTTATCTAGATGTTTTTAATGTAAATTTTTTCATTTTAAAATTATCTTCTAATCTATTTATTAAAGGTAAAAAGGTATAATTTATAAGTAAAAAATAATACTTTATTGGTAATATAATAACAATCTTTATAAATCTAATAATTATGAATGTGCTCAGCTAGTTGAAAATAATTTTGATGAGGTATACTAGATCTCATATGACTAAATTTCGTAGAATTAGGTCTTAATAATAACAAAATCAAACTTTGAAGAAATTAATTAATCAGATCAAATATTAAGAGTAAAAAATGAATTATAATAACACAACTTTATTTTATAAATTAATAACTTATTTTAATGAAAAAATGAAAAATGAAAATTTGATATTTATTTATTCTTACAAAATTTATTTATGATAATTTTATAGAGTATTAAATAAATACTTTATGGTGTAAATTATGAATAATTAGTGGTATCAAGCCTTTGTTATATTTGCTTTCATAAAATAATTATCTTAATAGCTATATATATTTTTTTATAATTTTTAAATAATTTTTTTTATCAAATAAACTTTTTTAAATAATTTGAATAATTAAAATATTAGCATCTAAGTAGACAGTTTTTTTTTAGAAATCAAGATACTTTTAGCTTTATTGTAAATATGTTAGTTATAGATTCAATCAGTTTTCTATTCTCTATTTCTAAAGTTTATATAATTTATTAATCTAAACTATATTTTTACTAAATTTCTTGCAATTTTAAAGTTAAGGTCTTAATTTAAGTATTCATATCATCCATTTTTTATTATTGAAATTCTAATTCAAATTCTTTTTATGTCAAATTCTATTTTAATTACTATTAAAAATTATTAGTTAGTTATTTCATTTTTTAATATATTGTTTACTTTCACTTCTAACTTCAATTATTCATTAATTTTTTCAATCTTTGTATTGAGTTCATGGTCATTATTTTATTTCAGCTAATGTAAATTTAAAATAAAATTAAAAATTGAATATTTTAAAATAATTATTTTACTTAATTATTTTGCTTTAATTTGTTGGAGTTAAGATTACAAGTTGAAGATGAAGATCTTTAATTTTCATGAGATTTTTTACTTAAATCTAAATACGTGGCACTAGCTAGACAGTTTAGTTGTCTAATAGTCTTGTTAGGATCCTAGCTATTTTCATTTATACTATTAAGTGTAGTTTCAGGGCTCAATTATTCTTTAACTTCTCTTATCTAATTCTTTTTTAATAAAAAATTAACTTTCAATATTTAAGGAGTATTTTAAATAATATTTACTGAAAGTTTATCGTACTCTAAATTATTATAAAAATTTATATTTTTATTCGATGACGAGGATAAGTTATATTTTTTCTGATCTTAGGTATTTATATTAAACTCACTTACCTCGTTTCTATAGCTGTTATCTCTCGTAAAGTTATTCATAAAAACATTGCTATTCAAGCTTTATTTGATATTTTCTAAAATTTTTTTTAATTGAAGTTGTTATTCATACTAACAATTTTAACATTTTATTGATATGCATTCATATTGAACTTTTTATTAAATGTGCTATGAAGGATTCGCTTTAAACATACTCCTTGAAATTTTTTCATCCAAAATACTATCATCAATATGCTCTTCTACACTTAATGAATTCTCAGTTCCATTATTTAATTTATTATTATTATTTTTATTAAAATCATAATTTTTATTATTTTCTTATTAGAATTCTTCTAATTTATAACGGAATTTTTGTTTGTTATTAAGTGGAGTGCTTTCTTCGTTAATTTATATTTTTGACTCAGATGTATTTAAAATATTTTCAGAATCATTAACTAATTATTTAAGTTCTTAAATTCTACTTTCATACTAGTTTGGTGTCATTTTATTTTAAACCTATCGCTCTGCTTATTGATTATAGCTATAATAATTCTCTTAATCTATACTCTCTAATTTAAGTTAATTATTTAAATTTTTACGAGGTAATTATTAATGAGATTAATCATTTTTCATGATAAGACTGGAAAAATTACATTAAGGAGTTTCCAGATTATTTTAATTTGATATTTTATATCTAATAGTTGAATCTGGAGGAGTCACATTTCTCAAATTATTTTTCTTATCACTATTTCTTTTTAACAAACTATTGGTTGAGATGTTATCAGTTGACTTATTATTTTTGTTGTAGTTATTATTGTCGTATTATATTTTTGTAAAAAATTTTTACTTTGGTGTTTCAGCTGCTAGATCTAATTCGTTTGTTTATGGAAAGTTATTTAATTAAACTCCGTTTTGAAAGCTTTGTTAGTTACTTTAAGAGTTTTAAGTGTGATTTTGTTACTACTGCAATATGGATTGAAATGTCTAAGGTTCTTTATTTTTTATAAATTATGTATTTTTAGTCATATATTGGCTTGCTTAATTTTTAGATGTTTACTATTAACTTGACTCGAAGTCTAAATAGCTATTTTTTTAATTTTATTGAGGTAGTTAAATTTTATCCCTTGGAGTATTTTAGAAGGATTATTAATTAGAGGCTAACTTACAACCAAGCATAGTATTAGTTTGAAAATTTTAAAGATCTATATTATTAGATACTGGTTATTAGTTCTTTTCATTATTTTGATTCTAGTTATTTGCTTAGTTTTGATTAGTAAATAGCCATCTATTTGATACTTGCTATTATTAATACCTTTATTATTCTTGCTAATTTGTATATTGCTTGTTGCTTAAGTAAGATGCTGATTAAGAATTAATTTACTACTACTAATTATTCACTAGATTTGTATTTTTTGAGTAATTATAATTACTTTACTCTATTTGTTATTCACTCTAAGCACTATTTTTTAAAAGGAGGTTATTTCTAACTAAATTTGATATACTTTAACTTTAAGTATTCTTTTTTTTATTGCTCTAATCTTATTAAATAGAAGTTTAACTAGGTGGAAGAGGGCAATTTTTTTAGCTTCTTTATTATATATTATTTTATGTATTTGAAAAAACCTTTTATTCTTCTTACAAATAGCTATTGTTAAATGATTTCCCTTATTTTTAATCTATTTAATTTTATGAAAAATGTTAGATGTTTTATTTGCTTTGGTTCGATAGAGGCTGATTATATTGCATGTAACCACTTCTTTCTTCTTAATTTGACCTTGTAGAACTGGCTTAACATTGTTGTGATACTTAATTTACATAATTTAAATTCTATATGTGTTTCTGAAAATCATTAAAAGTCATAACATTCTTAGATTAAAATGTATCAGGTTTTTTTAGCATATTTATTTACTATTAATTAATCGTAGTTTGATTTAAACTAAGTTATTTTTGAGGTTAACGCGAATTTAAAGACTAAGAATTAACCCCATTTCTTTCTTTAGCTTCTTATTACCTATTAAAATTTTAGTGCATATCCAAAAAATACGATTTTATTTTATATTTACTTTAAATTATTGAATGATTGATGTTATTTGTTTAAGTAAAAAAAATTTTTTATAGTTAAATCAATCAAATATTAAATAATTATGTTTAATAGTAATTAAGAAATAATCAACACATTTAACAACAGGATAACTCTTCAAAAAAAAAAAAGCTAAATTTTATCGTTAATTTTTGAAATAAACAAAAATATCAAAAATCAAATTTTTTAGAAATATTAAAGAAATTAGAATACTAGAATAAAATAATTAATTTATAATATTTAGAAAAATGTACAAAAATAGAGGAATTTCTAATGAGCTTTCTCAAAAAAGTTTAGTTGAAAAATATTCTTGCATTATTGAAGAAATATAAAAAAAATAAAACCATCTACATATTTTAGATAATTACTCTCCTATTCTCATTTCGAAACAAAAAATTAAATTTTAAGAGGAAGATGAATTTAACAATTCATAAATTAGTTAAGTCAGTTAAAACTGCTCAATTATGTAATAAAGATAGTATTAAGATTAAAGCTTAAATTAAAATAGTTATATTGATAATGAACTCAATGCAATATTTCATTAAGCTAAAAAAAATAGAGATTTTGGGAATACTTTTACTCTATCAAATACAGGATATTCTTTGAAAAATTCTAGATAAGAACTGATGAACAGTTAAATAAATTCATAAAGAAGTTTACGCTGTTCTAAAAGCCTTCATTAATAAAGCTAGAATGAAATAGAGCTTAAAAATAATTCTCCTAAATATTAGTTTTATAAGCATTCTTATAGTAGGAGTAGAAGCAATAAAAAAATAAATACAATAAAAGAATCTTAAGTGACTGTATAAAATTTGAGATAATATTAATAGTCTCAAGATAATTAAAATTACTACTTCGATCAATTGCCAAACAAACAGAATAAAAAGATTAATATCTATAATAGTTAGTAGCAAAAATAAAGTTAAATAGCTATAAAAGATAATAGATAACCAAATGAAGAGCTACAATATACTTATGATAAAATAAAAATATTAAAGAAAAGTTATTAGAAGAATGAATAAATTAGTTATTAAAATCAACTGTTAATAAAAAGCTTGAATGATACAAAAGAAATTTTAGATAATGCCAGAATAAGTAATGAGTAAGAGGACTTTTAATTTTAAAGCTAAAAATTGAATAGCAAGAATGTTATTTTTGACAGGTAACTAGAGTCAAACTCAAAACATAACATTGAAAATAAAGAAAATGAAGGAGCAAATTATTACAATTTAGCTCATAAAAATAATTTTCTTAAAATAGGAAATTAACTTTGTTATTAAAAAATATCAGATTCAAAAAACTATTAGCTAGGTTAAATAAAATAAAATAATGATAGTATTATTGAATTTGACCCACATTAAGATACATAGTAATCTAAGTATGGTCTTATTAAACACAAAGAATAGTTTTATAAATCTAGGAAATTTAAAACAAATTCACAATAGTTTGTAGAAGTAGAGATTGTTATGCCTACTGAAAAGTGTAATAAATCTTCTGTGATACATCATCATGATAATACAAATTAAAAGTAAATATAAAAATGATATTTATAAAAATTAAAGTAATAAAAAATAAAATATAGCATTTTTAGTCAGTAATAAGCAGATTGTTCAGATTTATAGGAAGTGAAGAAAAGACTATTTGATTCAAATAAATAAAAATGTAGCTCAGATTCTAAAATAATACTAAGTATATAATAAAAATAAATGTGTAAATTTAATTTTATAAAATGTTAAAATTCTTTAAAAATTTTTTTATTTCAAAAGTTTTCAAGCTGCTACAAAAAAAGCTAATCAAAACAACTTAATTTTATTTTTCAAAATGGAATTAAGTAATTTCAAAACCAAAGAAGATAATTTAAAAGTTGACTGGAATAATCTAACTAAGCTTTAAGCTAAATGAAATTTTTATTCGAAAAGTATAACAAAATTAGTCTATTTTCCTAAACAAATTAAATGACCGTGCCTTTTTAATTTAGTTAAATGTAATCTTTACAATCTTAAAATATTAATAAATTAATTTTTTTTTTAAATAAAAAACAGAAATAGAGTAAAATTAATAACTTGCTCAGAAAAATTTTAAACAGAAAAGAGTAAAGATAAAAATTAGCTTAATTAGTGAAATATTTTGAGAGATGGAGAGTAAATATAATAGATTATCTTTTGATAAGCAAACATTTATCAAGAAATGATAATACAAAAATTTAAAGCATACCTAATTCTCACTTTACAAGTTAAAGTACATAAAATAATATGATTGATCGATATTGTGTAAGCACAGCTTAAACCTTTAGAGAGTAAAGTAATTCAAATTATATAGATTTAGGATTATTTTGCTCATCTAAGACCATAAATTCAATATAAATAAAGTAAAGATCTGAATCCTTATTATCATTTAACAAATCTACAGAATCTTTACAAAATACATCATAATAGACATAAGTAAATATACCTTAATTTTGGCATTCCCACCAATAAATAAAATAATAAAAGTGAAAGCATATATAAAAATAGTCAAGTTTTGTTATTAGTGATATTTTACAAAAAATATTTAAATATTTCATTATGTTTATTAAATAATAATTATTTATAATTTGTTTATGAATACAAATTTATATATTTATTGAAAAAACTAACGATTTCATAATTAATCATTATCAATCATCCCTGTTGTGCATTAAAAGTCTTTATTTTCCCCTTTTTCATCTTTGATTTTTTCAATTAAATTTTTATTTTTTTTTGATTTTATTTTTTTATTCTTTTATGAAATCTCAATATCGTTTGAAGAGTTAATTTTAGAGTTCTTTTAATCTTACTAATTATTCTAAATTTGATTTTAATTTTAAATAATATATTTTCCTGAGTTATCTTCTGAAATTGAATTTTGACTAAATGACCTTTTGTGTTTTCTAACTTAACTTTATTAAAGTTTAGCCAAATTTTAAATTCCATCTTTATCATCAATTTTATCTATATTTGTTAGTTCTATTAATTAAATTGGTTTTTAATCAACTTAATCAGAAGATGGATTATATTTGATTATTTTTTTATTTTTTATAGCTAAATCTAAGCTTACTTAATTCTATATAAAGGGGAACGATTTGTTAAAACCCTCAATTAAAGGAGAAAACGATTTAGATTTAGAAGAAACTGATGATTTTCTATTTGCTTCTATATCAGCACTCATGTTTTCATTTAGTGAATCAAAAGAAAGAATTTCTGCTCTAGCTATATACTCGCTATCTCTGTAAGAAGGTTTTTCTATTTATATTTCATTTCTTTCAAGTCTATTAGATAAACTAAATTAATTGAAAACATCTTATTGATCTTAAATTTCTTGGTTCTATTCACTTTAATTTACAATATTTAAATTTCTAACTTCAATATATTTTTAGCTATTTTAGGATTATATTTATATAACTTATTGAGGTTAAGTTTCATTAATTTATAAGCTTATCGAATTATTTGGCTATTGATTCAAATCATTTTCTGTCATTATATTTTAATTAGTATTTGTTGATAAATCTTCAAGCTCTATTAAACATTATTTCATATTTTATGATACATTTTATGAATAGGTTGTGTCTATTGAATAGCTTATGACTGATGGCTTTTAAGCTTGTATAATATATTTTTATTTGGATTATTTGCTTATATTTGAGAACCCTAGAAGGCTATTGGCTATAGAGCGAGCCCTACTTTCTTTTTGCATTTTAAGTTAAATACGTTAACATAGGTAATCAACATATATTTTCCTTAACAATTACTTAGGTATTAACTTTTTAAAAATTTTAATTCTTGTAAATGTAAGCCTTGCCCTCACCATAAAATTTCTAAAAAAGTAAGAACTTTTGATCAATCTTGCTAATACTAGAATGAAAAATGCAACATTTACTGCAATCAGTACAGAAAAGGATACTATAGTTGTATAATATTAATTTCTATTTTCAACTATAAGTATAACCATCAACAATGAAATCCATCCTATTATAGTACTTTCATTATCCATTCTACCCATCATTTCTACTCTATATGGGCTCATACGATTTTAAAGTAAGAAATATACTATAAGAACAAATATTATCTATTTAAAAAAAAATATAAATAAGCTTAAACATTTTAAATTAAAAGAATAAAATTTTTTCTAAAGTAGTAAAGGTTTCTTACAAATACTGCTCTGTTAGTAGGGTAATCATAGAAAACAGATGCACATGTGTAAATAAGAAGCTTCATGATAGATTTCACTAATTCCCAATAAAATGTAATTTTCTTATAGTGGCCAATTTGATAAGAGTATTAATGATGCTAACCAATTTTCTTATGATAATTTATTCTATAATAAATGAAAAATGGCAATATTAAGTTCATAATAACCATAATAGGAATAACTATGAAAATTCCTTTTTAGTATGTAGAACTGTTACATTCTACTCTAAGATCACCTTTTAAGTATTAACCATTTATAATTTATCTACATGTTATAAGATCAATTGATATTAAAAACAAGGTAGGCTAAAATAGATTTAAGTTCACTAACATGCTTGTGCTGTTAAAGTAAAGCTACCTCTTCTAATTATTTCTAAAAACCTTTTGAGAATAAATTATAATCTATTTAAAATAAAAATTCACAAGAAAATTATTTATTTTACTTTAATTGAGAAGTAATACATTATTAAATTAACAAATATGTAAAGTAAAAACATAGCCAGAACTTTTGAGTAAGCATTTGATATACCTAAACTTTTTGATAAAGGATAAAGCAAACAAGAAAATGATTAAATCATTGTGTCAGGTGGAGAGCCTGATATTGAGATTGCATCCTCTAAAAACTTAGGGAAATAAAAATCAAATGACTTGATTACAATCATAATTTAGAAGTGATGTAGGATGATTTTAATACAGTTTGAAACCTCATCACCTTATTCAACTTTAATAAATTTATAAAGATCTCTATTAACTTTTTAGTTTAGCTTTATAAATTTATTCATCGTTTGATGGATATTCCTTATTAATATTTTTTTTAACATTGAGTGCATTAAAATGAAGACTAAAATTATCGAGTATAAAATATATGAGAGTATTAATAAGGATGTAAATGTCAAATTAAGTCGATATTCTGGACATAGCTAGCAATAAATATTAGATTTGACATAACTCTATGAATCATCACATGTTTCGCATTAAGGACCAATATATCCAATTTAGCATAATTAATTTCCTATTTCAATATTTATTATTAATTAATTAATTTTCATTTTTTTATAAAATTACCATATGAATAACCTCCTATGCAAGCTTGTGGGTTTATTTTACATTAACTATACTCTAATTCTAATACATTTTAGCTTCTCCAATACCCCTAATTTACTTATATAGTATTACCTCCTTAGCAAACAACACCACCATCAATAGGGCAGGGAATACAACTTGTTACACCTTTTTATGGTTAAACAAGACTGTAATAACCTTCTTTACAAGTATAGCAACTATACAAATTAGATAAAGCCTAAGATTAGTAAATCTCACCTTCTAGACAACCTCTAAAATTCAGATAAAGCGTAAATGAATAAGAATATGAATATTGACCATTCTATGCAACTTATATTGCATTTGTTGTAACCTAAATAAAAAGGAAAATATATTATTATTAAAAAAACAAAATATTTATTTAGAAAATAATAAAATTATTAATAAAATACTGTGACTGCTTAAGTGGTATTTGGTAAAGAAGTTAAAATCAATTCATCAAATTAAAAGCTATTAGTTTTAGGATCATAGCTGGCAGTGTCTTTTCCAGTGATATCAACTTTGTCACTGCCAACAAGAGTTACAGTATAATTTATTATATTGCTTTAATCGTTTGCTTAATAGAGACTTTGCAAGTTAATTATATCAAGATTTTCAGTTACAGCATAAAAGTAAATTATTCCAGGATATTTATCCCCGCTTTTTATATCTTGAATTATGCAGGAAGTTTTTTAATCAGAACAATAATATGTGGAATTATCCAATCTCATCACTAAATATGAAGGATATGACAGTAATTTATCTCCATTATTAATTGCTTTATTATTTATAAAAATTGAGTTGGCTAAGAATTGTTGAATAGATTAGCTTGATGTCCCTTAATATCTCAAACAAGCACCATACTCAGCAGTGTTATTCACAAAAGCAATATTTGATACCTTAGTATATATGTTTTACATACTTGTGCTATCTACTAAAAAGAGGGCACCTCCTTATATAGCTGATGATCCTGTAAAATTAACATTTTAAAGGTAAAATTATGGGGTATAAAGTTTTCCTTCTTCTTCAGTTTAAGAGTCATCTAAGTAGATAGTTCCTCCTACCCAGTCTGCTTTGCATTAATTAAAATTAGTTTTTTTAATTGTCAAAATCTAAAATGAGTTTGTTGCTCCTATCGCACCTCCTAAGAAAGAATGAATATTTGTAAAATTTGATTGCTAAACTGTTATATTTGAAAATAAATTTAAAAGCAGTCCACCAAAACATAGATTGCTACAATTAACATTTGTTGCATTCATTTAATTAATCTAAAGCTGTGTTTTTTATTATGCTACGATTGGTGATGTATACCAGCTTGGTTTCTTCAATAGCAAGTTAGTGTTATTAATATTTGGAGTTGTTGATTTTAATTTTCTATAATTTTCATTTAAATTTGCTTTAACACTAGGAATTAGATATTAGTACTGATTATCAATAAAATATTGAATTTATTATTAATCTTAAATAATTAAATTATCATCAGACTCTTTACTTTAAATATTCCTTAAAATTGTGGTACTATTATTTTTTCCTAAAGTAATATCATTATTTATTGCAGTCATATTTAAATTAAATATTGTTAAATTACTCAATAAAGAATTTGTATTTTCTATTGACAAAAGATAAACTTAGCTCAAAACAATATTTGTTAGAGATGAATTGGTTATTTAGAATTTTTAAACATTAAATATACGAATAATTGAATAGTTTTCTTACATTTAGGCTACCATATTATCTATCACTAATGAGTTGAATATCAAATTATTTATCCCATCAAAAAAGAATTAAATTTAAGAGACTTAAGGTAAGCCATTCTAATTTTATAATGTATTATCAATATTTAGTGATGAATCAATAAGCTAAAGGTTAATCTAATTTAATTAATCTTTGATATATAAGATATTATGATTAGCTACAACATACCTTTACTTTGTGATAGCAGGTATTTAAGGCCCAAATTTGGCCTAAATCTTTAATTAAATTGAAACAAATTAAATAGAAGAAATATATCCCGAATTTAACAAAATTTATGTTGATTGAGTTATCACTACAATAGGGTAGCTTGTGTTTTCTTTATCTATCTAATTAGAATAATCTACACCTTAAATTTGAGAATTTTAAATAATTATTTGCTTAATAGGGATATATTAAATCCATCTTAAAAACGTTCCATCATATTAATTATTAGGATCAAGCATGAAATAAATTTCTTTTGGATAATTTACACTAAATTAAAATTCATAAAGTCTTTTCATTATATAAGCTAAAGAAGGTTTTGTTGAAATAAATCCTGATTATTTATCTAGATTAGTATTAATAATATTGTATGTATGTGTGCAAATAAGCTTCGTATTAGCATTATCTGATTTTTGATAAGCAAATGTTACAGAGTTTAATAAATTAGTATCCCAAATAAGAATAGACCTTATATCAAAATTCAAATCAAAGCCTGATAGGGAATTATAAGTATTATAATAATGTATGGTCCAATCACATCTATATCCTGAATTATACTGTAAATTACAAGACATTAGTTTCTTTTTTAAATTATCTTGAATTGCAATGAAAGTATATTGATTTTGAGAATCTGAGAAAACTTTAGTTGTATCAACTGCAGAATCAATATCGTATGTAATAGAATCGATCTAGTAGAACTTTAGAGATATATTATATCTAACAATATTCAATATACTATATTATGCAAAGTAATGAACTAATATGTCATATTGCTTAACATATTTTATCTAATCAAATTTAGTATAAATAGGATCTATAGTTTTATCTCCATTATAGGGATCTAAAACTATTATTCTTTTATCATCAGAGTTATTTTATAATGAAAAGTATACCAGTCTTGTAGATATAACTACCATTAAAGCAATTTAGCTAGGGTTATCTGAATCTTTGATAGGCTAGATGGATCTAATTACGAGGGGACGTAAATTTAATAAATCTTTATCTTATATTAATTAAAGTGAATTATTTAACTAAGTTAAATCCATCAATTCTATTTATGTTTGAGAATAAAAAACAATATACTTAGTGCCTGCCAAATGCTATATATTTATAAAATCCTAAACAATGTTAGGAGTTATGATCTGCTTATTAACGCTTCCATCTTAATTTAAAGTTTGGTATTATATTATTAACTCTTTTTATACAGAGCATACTATTAGTTTACTATCGTCAGAAACTTAATATAAGGCATATTTAGATGTATCTTCGCATTAAACTGGTAGATAATTATTTTGAATTGCGTTATTTTCTATATTCCACTCCTATATGTTAATAAAAAAAGTAGTTGTTTGTTGATAATTTGTGTAGTAATAGCTTGCTAGAATTAAAATATTGCTATCAAATTTAGAGAATTTAGATTCTTGTAAAATACTTCTTAATCCTCCAAATAGCAGTATAGAATTGCTTAGCTAGCTTGTAATTTTATTATTTAAGTCAACACTCATAATCTGAAATAGACTTTAACATTTATTTCTGGTAGCTAAATTCTAATTTTACTAATCAGGGTCATCTTCTAAAAAAAGAGAAACTCCTACAAAACTCTAGCTATTTTAACTGCTTTACAAAAGCATGTGAAATTTACATGAAATTTATGGATCTGTTTAAACAACTTAATTAACAATTTTATTTTAGTTAAGATCCCATATATTTAGCTAAGAAGATACACTCACTGGTTTGTTAACTAAAATGATAGCTCTATTATCATCTATTTACAAATATTAACTAAAGTTAAAGATATCCTAACTAACTTACTATGAATATATGATTTAAATTGGATCATTTTAATTTTAAGAAATTAAACTCGATAATTTAATTGATTTTATTTATATGCCATTTGAATATACTAAGGAATCTAATTTATAAATTTATATTAAGTTCCAAGAACTATCAATTCCTAAATCATTAGTTATGCTTTTTTTGGATATTAATTACCAATTACCTATATCTGAATCAAAAGCTAAGCTGTTAAGTCTTTAATATATGTATTAGAAATTTTTATCATTTAAGATTATAGCTTTAGCATCAACACTTAAGTGTAAAATATCTATGTCAAATAAATTAAATTGTGGTAACTAACTGCTTTAATTTATTATTTCTGATTTTTACACACTTTAAAAGATATTATTAACTCCTCTTATGTAAAGAGCTCTTATAGTATTTGTTTATTTCTATTGGTAAATTAGGTTTAAAATTTTAACATTAGGTTATTCATCTTTAGTGCCATCACTATAAAGAGAAGAATAAGTAGGATATTATTTTGAAATTACATCACCTAAATTGTATTCATATGAAATAAAGCACTCCAAATTTTGAGCCTCAAAAAGCTATTCTTACTGAGCTTGATCAATATCAATAATAGTATACTACTTGCCCATAGTTATAATCCAAAGCTTAACCATGTCATCGCTTACAGTTAATATAATATCTGAATCACAAGTTACTATTCTTGTTATCATTTATTATACTTAATTTGTGTTTGTGTCTATATTCTATTCTAAAACACTAATTAGCTGTCCTAATCCATTCATACTATAAGTATATAATCCTAAATTATTAAACTTGGCAACTCCCAAAATCACTAAAATATCAACTTAGTCTATAGAAATAACTGGAAAAACTCTTCTTTTTATTAGGTATTTATCATAATTTTACTAGATTTTTTATGCAAATTTTTAAGAAAACCATAATGCTCTAGAGTTTGTTATCTCAAACATATTTTCTAAAACAGGGCACTTCATTTTATATTAAATACACTTTAGTGTAATTGGATCCTCAACAGAACCCTCTTTACATTCACACAACGGAGGTAAAAGTCTGTCAGTTGGGCATTCTGTGCACTAACTTTCACTTAAGACACATTTTGAACAACGGGGACTACAACTATTGCATTAAAAATCACTTTCATAATATCCTAAGTTATTTAAATTATATATTACAATTTAAGTTTAAAACCAAGATGAAATAATTAAAGAAATTTAAATTTAATTTGCTTATATTTAATATAATAATTGATTTTGGTACCATCTCTGCAATCACATTTAGGAGGCTCCTTTCTATAAAGAGAGCAAGTTTGGCAAAAATCTTTTGAATCTTTGCATGTATCACATTATTTTTCGCATTAGTCACAAGTAAACTGCTATTTGTTCTAAAAAAATCCTTGAGGACACTAAGAAACACAACTTATACCATATCTGTAGTAAGGCTATAATGGATTATTGGTATTGCATCTATTGCAATTAGAGTTTCCTGGACCATAGCAACCTATACATGACTAATCACACTAAACACATGATTTATTTTAACCATCATCATAGAACTAGTCTATACACAAGCATTATCCCTAAGAGTTAACTTAACTACTTCTATAAAATAGTTAACCAGGGCATTAGGTGCAAGCAAACTTACTATTTGATTAACAATTTAAGCAACTATAATGACATGCTAATAATAAAAAAGATTAAAATTTTTAAAAATAAAAAAAAAGATATCACCTCCACAAATTTCAGTTCCTGATTCAAAATATCCTTGTGAGCAAATACATTAGAACTAATTTTGATTTAAAATTCTGAATTAAGTTTATTCATAGCATGAAGTGCACTTATCTCCTTAATCAATACATGTTTTACAGTAACTACTGCATTCTTTTTAAAATTAAAAAAAAATTATTTTATATTTAAAATTATTAAGTCACATAATTAATATTTATACATAAGCATTATCTATTATTTCCATCTTAGTACCATCCATCTTTGCATTTACAATATCCATTTTAATCAATATATCTTTAATCTGATTAATTGCATGAGGTGCAAATAAATCCATGACCAGACTAGTTTGCAACGCAAGTTTGACAATATTAATTTTAATCATAGCATTCTTTTTAATTTTAATTTTTTTTTTTAATTTAAATTAATTATTAATCTTTATTAAATTACATTAACATTAAGTATCGAATCCATCATCATAATATCCACTTTAACACAAACATTTAAAAACAGATAAATTAGAGTCACTTGGGTATCTATAAGCTCCAGAATCGCATTTTGTGCAAGATGTTTTACTCCCTAAACAGGCTTTACAAGTGTAATCGCATTCTTAATGAATAATTGAAACAATATAAATTGGTATGTTTTAATTAATTTAAAAGTTTAATTACTTTTGCACTATTTTGTTCCATCATCAAAATATCCTTCTTTGCAAACGCATTATCCATTTATTAGCTATCTCATATCTGAATCATCACATGATTAGCAATTATTATTTAAAGCTCCATTGCATGAACCACAAGAATAATCACATGCTTAGTTATTTTTTAAAATTATTAAAAAACTTTTTTAATGAACAATCAAATATTATACCTTAGCAATTAGGAGAATCCAAAACTTCATAAAAATAGGGTTTGCACACACATTTTTTATTTGGAGCATCAAGTTGCCTATTCTAAATTATTCCGTCACAAAGTGAGCATACGTTTTTAGAAGTACAAGTGACACATGTAGCATCACATTCTATTTTAAATTAAAAATAAATGAATTCGAAAATTTAAAAAATATTACATTCACAATTTATTTAATTAGGAACTTCATAATATCCATTCTAGCATAGACATTATTAATTTTAAACTGTCCTGTGAGTTTTGGCTGTGTTACAATCAATACAATCACTTTTACTTGAACACTCTTCACATTCAGGATTGCATTCTATCACAATTAAAATTTGATACGATAAAAGATTTCATAAAAAATATTACTTAAGCATTGCTTTGTTATTTAATCCTCATAATACCCTCTTTAACATATGCACTTTTTAATTCCGCTTGCTGGGTCTACAAAAATAATTCTAAATTAATTTTATAGATTGCATGCTGGGTCATTCGGATTCTGAGAGCATTAATTAGCGTAACAAGAGTCGCATGATGTATTATTTGAACATGTATAGCAAGAAGGAAGACATTCTAAAAAAATCTTTAATAAGAATAATATTTAAAAATTTAAAAAAATTACATGCACAAAGAGGATTATTTGTGCCACTGTCATAATATCCAGTTTAGCAAGGACAAATAAATTCATTTTATTAATTAGGATCAATTGTTTAAACACGATAACTATTTAATGCACATTAAGTACAATTACTTGAATTCAAGCATTTACTGCATGTATAATTGCATTCTTAAAAATAAATAAAATTAAAAATTGTTTAAAAAAAATGAATTTACTTGAACATACTGTTTATCCAGAGTCATAGTATCCATCTTAACATGGACATAAGTTTTAATTTATTTAGTCAACTCTGAATGTATTGCTTAATTGGCATGAAGTACATTTAGAACCTATTTAGTTAAGAAACAGTTTAAAATCTTTTCAAAAATTTTAAAATTATTTTACTATTATTGACACATCCTAAACATGTATAGCTACAGGGAGAGCACTATTTTTTAGGACTCCCATTCAATTCATACACTTCATAGTAACCTTACATACATACACATGCATTGTTAACTAAAACTCTAAAATCATTTGGGTTGCAAGAGTTAATACAATTATTAGAAGTTCCTATGCATTCATCGCAAGTTATGGAACATTATTAACATTACGTATTCCCATTATCGAAATATCCTTTAAAGCACGGGCATTAGTAATTTTAAGATTAATCATATCTGTAGTACAATTTTGGGTCATAGCATAATGTGCATCTATCTTTTTTAATTTAACATGTTTTACAAGAGTGATCACACTATACACACTAATTATTCAAGCTTGGATCATCTTCACCCTCATCTACATACCCATCCAAGCAAGGACAAGTATCTGAATTTATTGATTTTATTAAAAAACAAATTTTAGTAAGATTTATATGGATTCAAAATTACTTGCAAAAGGCTAAGTTATTCTATAGTTTTCAACAGTGCATGTAATGCATTAATTTTTTTTTGGCCCAAAGCATGTAGCACAAGAATGATGGCAAGGAATACATTAATCATCTTAATTAGCTTAAACCAAGTTAAAATAACCGTCTTTGCAAGTGCATACACCTTAAAATTATTAAGATATTATAAAATAAAAATAAAAAAGATAAAATAAAAATACCTTGATTTAAATTCCTCAAATTAGACTTACAGGAAGTGCATTAATATAACTCTGGTCCATAGCATGTCTGACAAGTATTATGACATTTCTAAGAGCATATTTGCTAATTAAATTAATCATAATATCCATCTATACAAATACAAGTCATTGCTTTAGTTTAGGGATCAATAATTGCTAAAAATTTAAAAGAAATTAATCTTTAATTATTAATTATGTTCATCTAAATACTTACCTTATCTATTATTTTACAACGAGCAAGAAGCGCATTAACTAGCTAAAGGACCTTTACATGTTTGACAAGAATAGTGGCAAGATCTACACACTTATTAGGAATCTTCATAAAATGAAGGATTACACAAACAGTTTCCAGCTTTAATTCCATTTAAAATAAATATAGATACAATTTAGTAGTAATTAAAATTTACATTGAGTATCTAAAAATCTGTTTTAATTCTAATCACAAGTTAAGCATTAGCTTGAGTTTGGTTAGCATATTTAGCAAGAGTAGTGACATCTAATACATTCTCTAGTTTTAGGATCTTCATAAAATAGATTGCTTATACAAATACACTTTTCTAAATATATTTATTTATCAGTTTATTGGATATTATTAATATAAATTACTGCTCAAGGGATCAAGTTATCTGTTGCTTGGACATTATTTACATTAATTACTATCAGGGCCAACACATGTTTTGCATGTAAAATCACATTATTCACATTATTATGTCTAAGGATTATCATAATACCCATCTTGACAAAGGCATTAAGAATCTTTATGACAAAAAAAATTTATTTAAGTTAATTAAATTAAAAATTATTTTCTATTTATTTTTTAATACCTGATAGGTTTCTCATTCTTACGCATGATGTACAAGTATTGTAATCAGAGCAAGTTTGGCATGAATATTAGCATTTTGTGCACTTTTTTTAAATTTAATCATCATATAAACCTGGAATACACTAGCATTAGTTAAATCCGTTAGTATCTAATGAATTTTATAAAAATTATTAATACATTAATTATTTAATAATAAATTACCTTTTATTAATTATCTATCTATCGCACATGATAAACAATTTTAAGAATCACTACACGTTTAACACTAGTATTAGCATTATAAGCACTTCAAAGTCTTTGGATCAAGATAGTATCCATCTTAACAAATGCACTTAACTAAGAATAAATAAAAAATTCTTATCAAATAAAAAAAATAGCATAATAAATTACAATTAGAAAATGTGAATAAATCTGGACATGTGTAACAATTATTATTTTATCCGCCAAAGCACGTCTTGCATGTTTGATCACATTTACCACAAGTTTAATCAATAGAATTTTCATAATATCCTGAATTCACATCGCATGGGCATGTTTCTTAAAAATTAGAAAATTTTAAAAATAAATAATGATATTTTTTTGGATGAATTACAGTCTTATTTCGAATGATCTATTCTATTTAAATTTACATCACATGATGTACAATAGTTTGGTGAATTAATACATGTTTTGCAAGTGTAATCGCACTGTCCACATAATTATTAATCTGTTCCAACTTTAAATATTTTAGTTATTTTATTTTTATAATTAATTTTATATCTTTTGAATATTTTTACTATTGTTTCTGATAATATATCTTCCATCAATACATGTGAGACAATCCTTACCGTTTGAAGTATTACCTCTACATGTTTAACAATAGTTATGGCAATCTTAACATTAGCCTAAGTCGTAATCAAAGTATTATTTATTTAGACACACTAGCAAGCCTTTTTTTTAAAACTTAAATATTTTATTTAAAAGAAAAAAATTTTACTTGGTGAAGTACAAACATTATCAGATGCTATACACTACTTATTTTAATTTTCACATGTCCCCTTTTTACAAATACATTAATTTTATATTAATTGTCTTTAAGATTGACAATTTAAACATTGATTATATCCATCTCCAAAGCATGTTAAACACTATCCATAGCAACAATAACTATTATTATTTTGATCAATGTAATAATTTCTATTTTGTGAGCATGATGTACATTAATTATTATTTGGTCCTGAGCATTCCAAACAAGATTCATGACAAGGCTTGCAAATATCTAGTAAATTTATTAATTAAGCATTAATTAGTAAATTTCATAAATCTTAATCTTACTGTTTTCTAAATAGAACCCAATTTTGCAGCTTGTGCATTATAATGAAGAATATATACATGTTTAGCAATTATTATCACATGGTTTACAGCCATAATCATTTTAGATATACTAAAAAAATTATCCTGGTTAGCAACTTATTATTTCTAATTATAAAAAAAATTGAAAATCTAATTTAAGGATATAATCAATTACAGGGGAAAATGCAAACGTTTTAGCTTTATTTACATTAAAAAGTATCCTAATCTTCACATGTACCTTAATTACAAATACAATATCCAGAATATAAGAATCTTTCACTTTGACATTAATTGCAGTTATTGATTCCATTTCCTTTTTTATTAAATAAAAAAATTAGTGTAAAAAAAATTATTTTTTTTTTTGATACCAGTGCATTCCTAACAAGATTAATGACACTATAAACAGCTTGAATCTATAATTAAAATAATTGAATTAATAATAAAATATTAGTAGAAGAAAGTTGATACTATCACTACTATAATATCCTGAAGCACATGTTATGCATTATTTTGATGAGCTTTTACAAGCTAAGCAAGACTTATCACAATCTTGACAATTAAGATTTTAATAATCGAAATATTGTCTTTCACTACATTTTATTTAATCTAATTAGTTTATTTATGTATTGAATTAGTGAAGATATATGGAATATTAATATTAATTACTTGGTTTTTAACAAATAATATTTTAATCTAGACTCTAACAGACATTATTTAAATCAGGGCAGTAATCTTACTTACAAATGCAAATATTGTTAAATATTATTCCGTTTGTATCTACACATTTACTACAAACTCCATTATCGCCACATAAAGCACAAGTTGGATCACATTAAATGCATTTTCCATTGTCTTTTAAAATTCAAATTTATAATTAAACGAAAGTATATTTATTTTATAATTACTCAGATAATAACCATCAGTGCATTTGGAGCATAAATTTTAACCTGTGCACTCCAAACAATTATCAGTACATTAAATGCAAGAAGGTTATTCTTTTAAATAATTATTTTTATTAAATAATAAATTAAAAAAATACTTTTTTAAATTTATAATTTTTGTGTAAAATATTTTTATTTTTATACTTTAATTATCTTAATAAAAGCCTGTGGCACATTAGATGCACTAATTTGATGAATTTTTGCAAATTTAGCAAGATTTATCGCAATTTTGACAATTTAGGTTTTAATAATCGAAATATTATCTTTCTCCACATTTTATTTAGTCTAATTAGTTTATTTTTAAAACAAAAGAGTGAATATTTGTGGATTTTAAATTAATTATTACTTGGTTATTAACAGATAATATTTTAATCCAGACTCTGACAGATTTTATTTCCATCAGGGCAGTAGTCTTATTTACAAATGCAAACATTGTTAAATATTATTCCATTTGTATCTACACATTAACTACAAACTCCATTATCTCCACATAAAGAACATGTTGGATCACATTAACTGCATTTTCCATTGTCTTTTAAAATTCAAATTTATTATTAAAGGAAAGTATATTTGTTTTATAATTACTCAGATAATAACCATCAGCACATTTTGAACATGAACCTTAACCTGTGCACTCCAAACATTAATCAGAACATTTAATGCAAGAATTTTATTCTTTTAAATATTTATTTTAGTAAAATAGTAAATGAATAATTTCTTAAATTTATATTATTTGTGTATAATGTTTTTGAATTTAATACTTGGATTATCTTAGTAATAGCCTTTAGCACATTAGATGCACTAACTTGATGAATTTTTGCAAGTTAAACAGGATTTATCGCAATTTTAACAATTAAGATTTTAGTAATCAAAATATTGACTTTCATTACATTTTATTTAGTCTAATTAGTTTATTTATAAATTGAAATAGTAAATATACATATAATTTCAATTAAAAATTACATGGTTATTAACAAACGATATTTTAATCCAGACTCTGACAGATTTTATTTCCATCAGGGCAGTAATCTTACTTACAAATGCAAATATTATTAAATATTATTCCGTTTGTATCTGCACATTTACTACAAACTCCTTTATCTCCGCATAAAGCACATGTTTAATCACATTAAATGCATTTTCCATTATCTTTTATATTTCAAATTTTTTAATAAAGGATAATCTTTTATTTCAAAATTACTTGGATAATAACCATCAGAACATTTGGAGCATAAATCTTAACCTGTGCACTCCAAACAATTATCAGAACATTAAATGCAAGAATTTTATTCTTTTAAATATTTATTTTAGTAAAATAAATAGAAATTAATTATTTCTTAAATTTATATTATTTGAGTAAAAGATTTTTGAATTTAATACTTGGATTATCTTAGTAATAGCCTTTAGCACATTAGATGCACTAACTTGATGAATTTTTGCAAGTTAAACAGGATTTATCGCAATTTTAACAATTAAGATTTTAGTAATCAAAATATTGACTATCACCACATTTTATTTAGACTAATTAGTTTATTTATAAATTGAAATAATAAATATAAATGGAATTTTAATTAATAATTACATGGTTATTAACAAATAATATTTTAATCCAGACTCTGACAGGCTTTATTTCCATCAGGGCAGTAATCTTACTTACAAATACAAATACTATTAAATATTATTCCATTTGTATCTACACATTTACTACAAACTCCTTTATCTCCGCATAAAGCACATGTTTAATCACATTAAATACATTTTCCATTATCTTTTATATTTCAAATTTATAAATAAAATGTAATATTTTATTTCAAAATTACTCAGATAATAACCATCAGCACATTTTGAGCATGAATCTTAACCTGTGCACTCCAAACAATTATCAGAACATTAAATGCAAGAAGATTATTCTTTTAAATAATTTATTTAATTAAATTTAAAAATTTAATTGTTCTTAAAGTTTTAATAGAAACGAAATTAATTATATTTGATTTTCCATAAATATTTTTACTTTTCTTAAAAATAATAATTAATTTAAAATTATTCTTTTAATACTCTAATGTTAAATAGAATTCATCATTAAAATTTTATTTCTTATCAATTTATAATATTTTAAAAATAGTAATCTTTAATTTAAATACATAGATAGTAGTTATTTTTGCAAGTGCAGCAATTATTAGGCTAATCTCCATAGCATGTTTCACAATTATTATCACATGAAATACATTTTCTTTGGGTGAAATCAATATATTAATATTATCCGCATATTTCATCTATTTTTATATAAAGTATTTTATATAAGTATTTTTTCAATAAAAAGGAATAAAATATGGTATTACTTTTATTCAGTTCGCATTCTCTATCTTGATAGCTTTGACAAGTCTAGTCTAATTAATAATATTTTTCCTAGCAAATGCATATTTATTTGTCTAAATAGTCTTTTTAGTTTAAGGTTTAATTATTATTAACAAAATTGATCTTTGTAATTTACTCGTAAATTATGATTATTGTGAATCAATGCATTCGCATCCATTCTGGTCAGTGTTGCTACAATCAGAATAATGTTTGTCTAATTATTTTAAATGATTTTTTCATAGATTTATCATTAAATAGTTTTATTTATTTGTTAATAAATTATATTTAACCCATATTTATTTGAGTTAGTATAATAGTCTTGATATTTCAAGATGAAAAAAAATGTAGGATCATTTAAAATTAGCAGTAAAGTAATTAGCTTTAAATACCTTATGATTTAATTTATAATATGACCAAGAAAAGATTAATACAAGTGTAAATTCCAATCATGTTATTTAAAATTATAACTTAAATACTTATTAATTATTTTCTAATTTATAAATTATGTTAATATTAGATTATTTTACTATGTTAATTCTTCTATCCAAATAATTACTCTATCGAAATTCTTACTAAATGTAATAAAAGATTATATAAAATTAACACGAATTATAAAATTGAGAAATAACAATTTTACTATAAAATTAAGAATATTATGTCACAACAAAAACTCAATGTAAATAATAAGTTCAATACAATCAACATTTTTTTCAATCAAAAATATTTCAATTTTAGCAATTCATAAAATTAAGTGTTTGGAAAGGAAAATATTTATTAAATAATTTTACCAATAAAATTAATTCTTAACAAATGAAAATTATTTTTTTTTATTAATTATTTTACTTTCATATTTATCATTTGCCAAATTTGAAATTTAATCAATTTTAATATACTTATATTTTGAAAGAATATATATATGAATTATTATTTAGAAAAATAGATTATATCCCTTTTACAAGTTAAAACTTAAAAACAATTAATACTATTATTAATAAAGCTTAGCTTTTTATTGAATAATTTTCTATAAAAATCATTATTAAGTTTTAGAATAAATTCAATTCTTAGCATGAACATTTTTCCAGTATTTAGAGGTGACATCAGATTCATGACTGGGTTTCATGGTAGCAGCACCAGGTTTCCAAGAAGCAGGGCAGACTTCACCGTGTTTATCAGCATATTAGAAAGCCTAAACTAAACGCAAGTATTCTTCAACGTTTCTACCGACTGGGAGATCGTTAACTGAAGTGTGACGTAAAACTTGCTTGTCATCGATGATGAAAGAGCCTCTTAAGGCAATACCACCTTCAGTCAAAACACCATAATCTCTAGAGATGTTTTTAGTTAAGTCTGAAAGGAGACTAATTTACAAATCTTCTCCCAAACCACCTTCTGATCTAGGTCTTTAAACGTAAGCTTAATGAGTGTAGTGACTATCAATAGAGCAACCAATAACTTCACAGTTAGTTTCGTTGAACTTCTTAGCATGGTTGGAGAATTGAATAATTTCAGTAGGGCAAACAAAAGTAAAATCTAAAGGATAGAAGAACAATAATAAATATTTGCCTTTGTAATCTTCTAAGGAAACTTGCTTGAAAGATTTGCTCTTGGGACAGTAAGCAGCACCCTTGAAGTGGGGAGCAGCCTTTTGGACGAAAGCTTTAATAGAGTTCATTTCTTATTTTTGAGGGAATTAAATTTTAATATTAAAGATTTTTTTTAATTTTTGTTTTTTATAAATAAAAAAAGATTTCTTATTGTATTTATTCCAAAAATGAGTGTTTAAAAGATATATAAGCAATCTAATCTTTTGAAATAATCTTAATTATTTCAAGCTACAATATTACATAATAAAAACTTTATAATTTAAGAATAGGGAATCTAAAAACTGAAAAATTGAAGTGAAATATGAGAAAATACTCAATTTTTTCTCAAAGAAATCTATGAAAATTCCTTATTTTAATATGTATCTAATTTTTTATTGAATGAAGTCATAATTTTTTTTTTTTTCATTTTTGTTTCGTATCATTTGATTTATAAAATAAAATTTTTACTAGTTTAACATTTTCATAAAAATTTTATTGAATTACTTGGTTAAATTACAATCATAATAAATTTAAGTCAGTTTTTGTTCATGAATGCCATTTTAAATAAAATAATTATTTATATTTTTTATTTATGCTTTTTTTATAAGATATACATTCTTATTTGTATATTATATTTTATAATTTGAATTTAATATAAATTATTTTAACAATTAGTATAAATCAACTAAATAGATAACATAAAAGCTAGCTATATGTAATTTATATAATTTATTTTTTGTATTACATCAATTTACTAATAATTTTAAGCAATTTAATATTATAAATTAGTAATTTAAATCTATATATAACATTAAATTCATTGAACCTAATAGTGAACCCAAATAAAGAGGATCAGTAAATATATCATAAAAATTTTAGTAATTTTCTAATAAATTTAATTTTCTGTGATCTCATATATTTAATTCTAAAATATTTTATTCAAAAAATGAATATAATAGAATAATCAGAATATTGGACTATATTTTGATAATCTTATTTATGTTAAAAATTTATAATCTAAAAAATTTGTAAATTTTCTAAAAATTAAACAAAATTTAAAGCTAAACAACCTTTTTTAGTAAATAAAAAGAAAGCATTAATATGAAAAAAAATAAATTAAAAATAAATAATGATTAATTATTTTGCCAAATAGATATCATAAATTAAAACATTAGTTAATATTATGAAAATATCCATTTTTAAATATGTAATATAAATTATTTTTTTGGAAGTTTTTGATTTTTTATGGATTCTAAATTTATGCTATTTGTCAAATATTATTTATTAGAAAAATATTAGATAAAATAATAAAAGGTAACTAATAAGTATGATATATATCTTAATACATAAAATTATTTTAGATATATAATATAAAATACAAAAAATTATCATATTCTCTCATTATTTTAGGCTTTTAACAAGGAACCCTAACCAGCTTACTAAGCTAAATTAGATTTTAGACTTGTATAATCATCTATCTTATTTGATCCGTATTATTATTTTGATGCATAAGGCCCTTGATTTTCTGGCACTATTTTACCTTCTACTATATTTCTGCATCTTTCAAGAATCATTTTATTTAACATATCATTTTCTTCAACTAAGGAGTTATCATATCTAGGGATATCAGAAGACTATAAATTTATATTTTGAACTGAAGAATACCTTTATATAGAAGGTTGAATATACTAATTTCTAGGATTAATTTAATTTTGAGCTGGTTATTATGGTAATGGGGGTAAGTAATGACCAGGTTATCTTTTTACAGTATTAGATAAATTATTATTTTCGTCTTATTCTTATTAGCTATCGTAATAAGGTAAACTATTAAGACTTGAATTTTTTTTCAATAAATTCTATTAGCTGGAGCTACTAGTCAATCCAGTAGTAATAGAATTATTCTTTGATTAATAGCGTTCCACATATTAATTACTACTTTAAGCATTAGTATTACTGCTTAATCCATATTAATTTGCTGAATAAGATTGTAATCTAGATATTATTTCTGCCTTTTCTTACAAAAGGGATTGCATTCTTTAGTGTTCTCTTTACAAGAACTGCATTTCTCTTTCTTTCTCACTCTTGAGATTATGAATAGTTCTTTCACTCTATTAAGCAATAGTATGTATTTATCTTTCATATTAGTTAGCTACTTGCTCTTTTTCCTAAATTGTCATATAAAAAAAATAAAAATTATAATTTTAAATTTGTAATAAATTTTTATTACATTTAATAGATCTTAATATCTAATACGTTATCTATCAAGCTCACGTTTATGGGCATCTAAATCTAATTTTATGGCGTTATTTTCTTCTTCTAGCTATCTCATTGCTGATTTTAAATTTGTCAAAGTTATATTTATTTAGTATGTATGAGCTTAGACTTCTTAATTAATTCTTTCTTCGTAATTAATACAAGTTTGTTAAAATGCTTTTTCTTTAATGTCCAATTAATCTAATAATTAAGCATTTAAGGCTTCCAACTCCTATAATTTAACAAAATTATCTTTTTTGTTGCTTATTTCAACCTTCAAATTTTGAATCTATTCAAAATATTATTCTTTCTCTTAATCTATTTAAGAGTTTAATTCTTGAATGTTTTTTTCGAATTAGAATTTCATTTGGTCAAATTCTTATCTCATATTTTCTTTTTCTTGTTCAATTTAGCTAATTATTTAGTCCTACTCTTGAATTTTTTAACAATTAACGTCCTGTTATTTTAGTTATTCAATCTCAAACTAATGGTTAGATTCTAATCTCTTGATTTCTAAAATTAATTGCTCGTTTTCAGATTGATAGCTTTTAAAAAGATAAAAATATGATTTAATAAAATTATAAGAAAACAAACAAAATTTTACACTAATTTGTCTTATTCGATTGTTTATATTAATTAAGTAATGTAATGATCTTTTTAATCTAATTTTTCTAAAAGTAGTGTTGAGTTTGCAACAGCTTTTTCAAGCTCTTAAATTTTTAAAAGGTGAGTCTCATTGATTTAGAGATATTCTTAGTTCATTTTTTATGATTATTCTGTCATTTGTTAATATTTTTCAACAAGTTATTCTTATTCATATTTGTTTTCTAATATTTCGACCTACCTTTCTTCCATTTCTTTAATTTTGATTTTTAATAACTTATTTTCTTCAGTAAGATACAATCTTTCTGTTTAATTGGACTCTAATTGAGGCTGTTAGCTATTAAGTTTATCTTCCAAATCTTTATTTATAGCTTCTAAAGACTTAATTTATTCTAATCTTTCTGCTAAAAGAGTGTTAAGTTACTAAACATCAACAATTAATCTCTCACATTTCAATTCTATTTCATTAATCCTAGAGATAGCTTATAATTTATCATTTTCTAATTTTTGAATATCATTGTTCACCATTTAAGAAACTTGCAAGCTTTCATTTCTCTAGTTTGATAATTCTAATTAAAGGTTACTCTTTTCAGATTAAATGATCTAAATTTCCTTTCTAAGCTATTCTTCCAAAAGCTTTTTATCAAGATTAGATGTTTGTATAATTTTTTCAATTTTTTCTAGGCTTTAGCTATGAGCCTAAGAGAGTTATTCTCTTGCTGTTGCATCATGAGAAGCTAAAGTTTAAACTAATTTTCTATTTTCTTCTTAAAAGCTGAAAAGTTTATCCTCCAATTCTTTTATTCTACTCTCTTAACGCTTAATTATTTCTTCAGATGCTAGCAAATTAGCTTCTTCAATAACTTTCTTTTGAATTTATTAAGTTGTAACATTTTGGTTAGTAATTATTATTTCTTGGTTTTATAAAGTCATTTTTCTTAACAAATTCTATTCTCTTTCATAAAACTATTTCTCCTTTGCTATGAATTCGCTTCTGCGTTCTTCGTACTCGATTTCTTGGCGCATTATTTGATCACGTAACTAACGAATTTCTTTGTCTCTATTTTCTAATGCTAAATCATACTTTCGTTTTTAGTCATCTACATCTAAACGGTGAGTATTTATAGCAGAATCTCTTCCTTGCTTTAATAGCTTGTTTTCTTTCATTAGACTTTCGTTATATTCAATTAATTTTTCATTTTCAGTTATGAGAAAGAGCATTTTTTACTATATTTCTAAAAATTGTTTATGATCATGCAAATTATTGCCATTAGAGTCATTAAAGATTTTCATGAATTAATATTTGTTTAAGCTGTTATCAGATGTTTATGTATATTAGTAGTTATTAGTGTTTAAATTATGAGCACTGAGAGAGTCATCTTAGTGCAAAAAATCTCCTAAATGTTATTAAATAGAACTAAAGCTACTATTTGCATTATTTGTAGTATGATTAATTGCATTTTAGCCACTCTAAATTTATAAAATCTATTGATTTAATGAATACTCTGTGTTTTTGGTGAGTTTATTGTCATTGATGCTTGTTGCTGTTGCTGCTGTATTAAAATTTTTACTTGAATAATCTTTATTAATAGGACTTTAGCTGATGTTAGATAAATTTGTTATGCTGTTTCTCAATTTGTTTTCTTTTATTATAATTTGCTTTGATTGTTAATTTTTAGTATTTTCACTTAAAATAATGTGATTAACTTAAGAAGGAATTATTTGTATAGGAACTCCGATTTAATTATCAACTTATTTGTTTGTTTGAGGAAAATAGATAGATTATTTTTAATTTTTTGTTGAAGTTGACTCACTTACTATACTGCTCTTCATGGAAACTAAAGAATTTTTCATTGGTGATAGCTTTAAATCATAGTAAATATATTATTTATTGAAATTTTTATATAAAATAGTATACTTTTGGTGATAGCTAATTGACATTTATTGAATTGTTTAAACTTTTTCTAACAAACGATGAATTTTCAGATAAAAGTCTTTCACCTTATGTAGTTTATTGCTTGTCTTTTTATTGGTGATTATTCAATCTTAAATCATTACTTGAATAATTTTTAGACAGTTTAGCTAATACATCGATGCTAGGTTTATCTGCTTACTATGTTGATTAAATATTTAGCTTGCTAATAGAATCAATTTAAACAACAGGTGATGTAAATTCTGCTTAAATAGGTTCTCCAAATTTTTTTTCTGCTGTTTAATAATTGTAATCGTAATCATTAAAGTCACTTAATGAATATCCTTTGTTAGTAGGCGATGTAAAGACTACAGAATTATTATTTACAGTTGGATTCATTGGCTCAATAAAACTTTCAACTAGCTTTGATCCTTTTCTTATATTTATTTAATTTTTTTACAAAATAATTTAAAATTGGAATCTTTTGATAGATAAAAATTGTGATAAATTAATTTAAAAAAAACTTGGATCATTTACGCAAAACTATTATTTATAAGTTTTTATCTTTTGATTTTTTTGCACAACCACTATTTTTCTTATTTATTTTTTTGAATTTTAAAATAGTTGAAAATTTTTCTTTTTTCATTAATTTTAAAAATTTTAGTTAAAATCTTAACAAAAGCTAAAAGCTGTTTAAAAAATAATTGAATATATTAAATAGCAAAGTTTTATTATAAAGCAAATCTATTTTAATTTTTTTTAGTAAAATAGTTTAAAAAAAAATAAAAATAATTAAAAGACAAACAATATGTAAAACATTTAGATATGAAATAACTAATCACATTTTAGTATAATAATTGCTATTAAGCATTTTACTTGTATAATTTGTAGCATCTATAATATCTAATTATATTATGATAAATAGAGATAAATATAAATATCTTAATTGAAATATAAGGTTAGTCCTTGTATAGTAGAAATTTAATTTAAACTAAAAACTTTTTTCAAAAATTTAGCTCTTTTTTGAGAGTTATATGAATAGTAGATCTAATTTTGATATCCATTTATTCTTCTTCACTTGCATCTTCATCTGAAACCTTTTTTTCCTTTATTAAAGCAATTTAAATTTATAAACTAAACGATTATTTGATTTATACTGGTAAATGATCTATTATTGTGTTAGCGCTACCTGTTTCTATTTCAGTTGTTATGTCAGAGTAATACTCTCTCATATGCAAAGCTATTTATACGCATTTCGGTATACTCGCAGTCATTCCATGTATGATAATAGTTTTTGCTCTAAATAATTTTTTTAAAAAGCCTAAAATATTTTCTAAAAAAATAATGAAATTATACCCATCTTTAATCAATTTATGAATTCTTTTTATATAAATGCTTATGTGAGTTTCATTTTTAACATACAATTCATTTAAATTAGCCTTAGAATGAAGAGCTTTTCTTTTTATAAATGGCTTAAAATTATTTTTATTTTTTTTATTTTCTTAAGTTGTTTTTGTAGCTGAATTTTCACTATTTTTAATTTCTATCTCCTACTCCATTTAATATTTACTTATAAAAATTTATGCAATACTAATCAATAACAAAAATCTAATTAAAAAACAAATAAAAACAGAAAAATTAAACTAAGATATATTTTTTTATCAAAAAGCATTTTTTAAATTAAAAGACTAAACTATAATAAAAAAGCTATTATAAAGAACAAATCTATTTTCTTTTTAAATAATTTTTAAGACATATTAAAATTCGAATAAATATATTAATGGATACGTTGTAGCCTAGTAAAAATAGCTCATAATCAATTTAATGTAAAGAAGATTAGTAAAGTAATTCTAGCAAGCAGTTAATTATTGAAGATTAGAGTTATACAAAAAGATAAAGTAACTTTATTTATTTTTGAGTTTAAGCTACTTTGCTGTAAAAATCATAAAATATATAAAATCTAACAGAAATAATCAGAGCAGTTTTGGATTCTTTCTTAAGAGGATGCTTATTAGGGAATTTAATAGATATTTACAGACAGAAAGAAAGCGAGTTGTAAGATGAAGTATTCAAACAAATAATTGCAGGAGATCTAAAGCAGGTTCTTAAATAATTTGGAAGTTAGTAGAAATACGATATAACATGGCACTATTTATTCTTTGCTGAAATCTATTCTTTGTTAGAATATGATCCGATTTTAAGCCCTGAACCTTTGAATTTTAGTGTCTACATGAAATATATTCTAGTTATGTATAATTTGAGCAATAATAACATAAAGCAATAACTCTAAAGTATTATGCCTTAAAACATTACTATACCACAAAATGAAACACCCTGTGGATCAGATAAATACAAGTAATCATTGTAATTGTGGATATAAAATAATAACTAAATAAAAGAAGGTATCTTTAAATAGTTTGATAACAAAATCATCTGTCTCAAGTTTACTTTGTCTTAAATAATTCCTTTATTATTTATCTATTCTACTAACTCACTCAAATTACCAGTAGAAAAAGTTAGGGCTTATATCAAAAATTTTGGTTTTGAAGAAGTAAATAAATATAAAAAAATTAATAAATTTTAAATAAACATAAAATTTGTAAAATTATTTTTTCATATTTTTTCATTCAAACATAAAATTTAATATTAAGAAAAAAATATTTTAATTTAACAGGAATAGTAAGCTGCTTTAATTTTTTACTTCGTTTTTATGAATAAATTATTGAAGTATTATCTCAAAGAAAATAGTATAATTAAAGCAATCAATAAAATCAAAACAAAATTGAAAGGTAAAAAATCATATTTAGATAATAAAGAAAAAGAAGTTCTTCTGTAATGTGAGAAAAAGATTGAAATACTAAAAAAATTATAAAAAGATCCAAAATTTATAAATATAAGTTAATCCTCTCAACAAACTTTATTAGATGATTACTCTGTAAAAGTTTAACTAATAAAATATGATTAATCGTACAAAAATTTTTAGTCGCTTTTGGTAGATGTAATTGTACAGCTAATAGCATATATAGGTATTCTTGATCACGATTCGATTATATTTAAAATACAAAAATTGAACTACGAATAGAGCTCAATACCTGCTCTACTTCTCTCTTTTCCAGTATTAGCAATTGGATATCCTGATAATTATATTAACCAACTTAACGATCTAATATATAGAACTAGTAACTAAGATTGTTTACTAAATTATTTAAACCCAGATCCTTGGTTTTCAACTTAAATCTCTAACTAAATATTTACTGAATTTGTAAATCTTTTTTGTGAAAAATTCTATAGAAATTCTAAGTGATTTTATTACATAATAATTGTCATAAAACTCATTAATCTAAATTATTCTTTTAATATCTATTGAATTTGTGATAATATTTAACTTATTTTATATGTTGAAGTAAAACATAAAATTGTAAATAAACTTGGTTAATTTTAAATACTAAATATTTTTAAGGTTAAGTTTAAAATTTCGATATCAACAAAGCACTTCGATAATAAGTTTAAATTTAATTTCCATACATTCATTCTGAATTTTTAACTTTAACCTATTAATTTTGTTATAAATATTAATAAGATAGTAGGAAGTATTATATAATTACGTTCTAAGGGGCTGTTATTTGCTTTTTAGAAGGAGTTATTAGCACCAGTCCAATAAAAGTAAAGAAAATAGAAACAATAAAAATAATTAAAACAGTTGGAATCATATAAGCGTAGTCTCTATGAGGAAAGTAGCTCTAAACTTTATGGTTTGCATCAATAAAAGGCTATTTATAAATATTTAAAAAATTTTCAATTATTATAAAATTTTAAACTTAGCACAATTTTTTTACTGTTATCAAGACCCATACTAAATAATAAATATAGAATGAAGTAACTGTGGCCAAGCCTATTTTTCCTATTGTTTAAATTTGCATTTTTGTTTTCTACAAAATTTTAAAATTCTAAGTATAAAAAGTAATTAATCACTAAAAATTTAATAAATTATATCTATCTTCATAAAAAAAAAATTTTTTTGAATTTAATATCTCAGAAATCAAAAGAAACTTGCCACCTAAAAGTATCATTTTATTGTAGAAATATACTTATTTTTTGATTTAATTATTAAAAATGTTAAAACTAGTAAAATTTAAAACTATAAAATAATATTAATTTAGAAGAAACAAATAAAAGAAAATTAAAAAAAAATATACATTTTTGTAAATTTTTAATAACAAAAGTTTGATGATTAATTAGGTTGAAATAATAATAATGTTTATATTAAATTATAATAAAATGAAATGATGATATCATATTAATACTGTATAAATTAGAATATATTTTAGAAATTTATTTATTTACAGAAATCAAATGTGATTGATTTTTTTATATTATATTAATTTATAATCATTAATTAGTACTTTTTTAGTTTATTAATTAATTAGTTAGTTTATTAATTTAAATGATTCTAACATCGAGATGTTATCTTATTCTGTAGAAATATTTATTTCTTCAGCTTTTATATACATTTTTCAATTCTTTCAGTTATCCAATAAATTTTATTCATCATAGAAATCTCTATTTTCAATCATAATTACTATTTAATTTTTAAATTTAATTTAATAATAAATAAAATAAACCAAAATAATATTACATACTTTTCTTTTGAAATTCCATAATCAGATTATTATTTTTATCCGTAATTTTTCATTATCGGAGTTATAGATTTCTTAAAAATTAAATTGTTATTTCCCATTTTAGATGGAGAAAAATCATTTGACATATTTTTCTTTTCAGCAAGTATTGAACTGCCATTTAAACTTTTTTTATCAGAAAAATCATCTGCCATTCTAATTTCTTAATCAGCCTCTACAATAAATATATTAATTAATAAATAAATATTTGATTTGAAAATAAAAAAAATAATTTACATTGAAGCATATGAAGCTATGAAATTGCCTTAGACATTTCTTATTTTAGATCATGGACTATGTTTGTGATGTTTTAAGATTTGTCTTATACTTTTTAGATGATAGAATCTTTTATTATAATTTATATTATTAAATGTTTTTGAATAAAAAAATAAGTTTAGATACCAAAATTTTTGTTAGTGTTAGAGGTTTAGTTAGTGTCAAAATTCAAGCTAATTTCATTTGAGTTATATTTTAATTCCTACATGCCCTTTTTTAATTCAGGTCTTAAAAAAAATAATTTTTACATAACTTTTCTTCAATTTAACTAATTAAATACCTATAATTGTTCTACATTTTTAACTAATTCATTTATTATCCTATATTTTAATTTTTATTTTATTAACTAATTTGGTTTGAGTTCTTTTTTTATGGACTGCTTCTATTGCTAGATGAACTTTCTACTCTTTTTTCATCTTTTATTTAAAAATATAAATAATTTCTTGTTACACAATAAATTTTTTTACCATTATAGTTCTTTATGGGTGACTTTGAAGTAGGTCTTATCTACATATTTGAGCTACCATTGTTTTAGTAAGTATTTGGATTTCTTTTTATTTCATTCATTTTATTTAGGGTTTCAAGCTTATTTTTAAAATAGATAAATTAAAAAAAATGTTTGAATTTTTTTGTTTTATTTATTACATCATCTTTAATAGAAAGTAAAGATGCATCATACATTTAATTATTTCCATTTAATGATATATTTGCTTTATCCTATTCAAAAAATTAATAAAATTAATATTTTACAAAAGTAATAAAAAATAAATACATTTCCATTGTTTTTCTAAGCTTAATTTTCCATAAAATCATCTTTATTGTTAACCATAGCAAATGCATTTTCTTTTTTTAGGTAAAATTATTAATTACATTTAAAGATTATTTTATTTCTATTTACTAATAGACTCAAATTTGGATTCGCTTATATTATTCAAGTTTTCTTAGTAATATTATTTACTTCCCTGATATTCCATTTAATTTGCATTTGATGGTATAAATGAAATGTTTGAGGATGAATTATCTTCTGATTCTCTTTTCTTTTGTAAGTATAATTTAAATATGGATTTAATTAAAACTTATTAAAATTATAATTAACATACTTAATTATTGGATGAAGCCTTTGATGTATTAGATGTCTTCTTTTAAATTGCTGATACCATATTTATCATTCTGTTAACAAATTCATCATCAGGAGTTGGAGTTGATGAATCCATTTCGTTTCCATTAAATTCATTGTTAAAATCTTCTAATCTGTAATTTTATAATTTAAATATATCTTTTTTATTTCAAAAATTTTAATTTTACTATTTTCCTTCATCATTTTTTAAATCGTTAAAAAGCTTCAAAGATTAGTTATCAGGTGAATTATAAGCAAAAAACATTTCTAATTTCTTTTCTATTTCTTTTCTTTTGATTCTTTATAGTAATTTGTTGTGATCAAGCTTATTAAAATTAATATTGTCTGCAAATTCTGAAATAGATCCCTCGTCTTCGCCAGCCTTCCAGAATTGATTTATTCTTATACTCATATTTTCGCTGTGATTACTATTTAAACTATTGAAATTGTTATTATTAATTATGTTGGCATTTCCTTGTCCATTTTATTATTATTTGAGCTCTTTAAATATAGAGAGATTTTCGAAAATTGAATTATCATCACATTCTATCTCTTATTTAAGTTTATCATTTCCTCTGTTTCCTTCGACAAATCTCACCTTTTTATCTATTGATGAGTTACTCATTTTTTTAAATTATTAAGAGACTGCATTCAAAGATGAACCCATGCTTCCACTTTAAAGACTTTATCTGTTTTATTAATGAATTAGTTATCTTGATTATTAAGATAAATTATTCATAGAGCTTTGATCTTCAATAGTAGAATTTCTACTCAAAGAATTAGAAACTTCACTGATAGGAGTGCCATTCCTCATCGCGGAAATCATTTGCCTTAATTCTTCATTTTCTTTCTTAAGCTGTATATTTTCTAACTCCAAGTCATATTAGGTTGAATTTTTTTTTAAAGACTTCTCCATTTCTTCTCTTAAAAACCTTTCTCTTGCATATGCTTTAGAAAGTTCTGCATATTCTTCATAATCAATCATTCTCTTATTTTAAGCTATTTTGTCTGCCCTAAGATTTCTGCCATCCAAAACTGCTCTTTTAGCACGATTTGCAAACTATTTATAAAATATTCAATATGAGTTTTAGACTAAAATTTAATTACTTGTAAAGTGGAGAAAGTTTCTGATGATGAGCTCATTGAAGGAGATATACAAACTATAAAAGTTATTTTTCCGTTTCCTGATAAAGAATCACTTAAGACTCTAGTTAGTTTAGAATTACGGAAAGGTATATGAGTACGATTTTTATCAATCAAAGCAGATATACAATGTCCTAAAGTACTTAATGAACCATTAATACAAGTTAATTCATCTATTCTCGTTTGCTTTTCTTCTATTGAAATATCGTGAGGAATTTTAAATTTTTCACTACCTGCCAAATCAACAATTCTAAGCTATATTTTAAAAAAATGCTTACATTAATATCTTTAATACTTTTTTTTTACAATAGATTCAATGACAATTTCATCTTCATATGTCTCATTTTTAATCTTAATTTTTTGTTATAATAAAATCTAAAAGATAGAATGAGAACGAGAAGATTTCGAGTTAGCCATAGTAGATCCTGTTGCTCTGTTCCTTAACCCTACCATCAATATATCTAATGCTTAGTCTATATTTTATATTTCTACTGTAATTAAATCTGGTATTTAAACATCTCCATTCTTTGATTCCCTAATTTCCAGCCCGTCCTTCTAATCTCTTCCGTTAAATAAATCATATATCTTTTCATTATAGACTTCAAAAAAGCTAATATACAACCTATAATCTTCTTGATCTCTTTTGCTGAGTTCTGACAAGATTTAATATAGAGAACGAGGAAGGATACCTCTTTCCTAACCTTATAAATAAGAGAGTATTTTTTCATTATTTAATTAAGAAGGGTTTTCACTATGATCTCCTAAAATAGTGTAAGTTTTACCAGCACCTGTCTAACCACTATTAGTTATATCATGTAATTAATTAAAATTTTAAAATATTTATAAAATAAATAAATAAATAGATATTATTAACAGAAATAAAGTAAATTTATTTTTGCAATAAAAGTTTTTTTAACTACTTATAAAAATAGAAAAATTTGTAAATTTATTTACTAAGCAAAAATTGTATTGTTGGTTCCATTTAAAAAAGAAAGAATAGATTCTTAAGTAAGATTGTAGACGTCATCCTGATTTGAAGCTGAAGGTAAAATGCTATTAAATTTCATATGTAAACTATTGCCAGGTCTCATAATCTTCAAAGTAGAATCCTTTTATAAAAAATTTTTCATTAATCATTTTTGATCTCAGTTGAAAAAAAACTATAGAAAATATCTTAAAACCATATATTTTAATCTTCTTATTTTAATTGGCTTTTAACTAAATTATTTTAAAATTCTAATGCTGTTTTTCAAATAAATATTTATTAATCGTTTTGATTTATTACATCAACTTAACGTATAAATTGTTCTTGAAGTTCATTTGTTAATGTTGGACGAATACGGATTATTATAGAAACTTTGTCCTTAAGTTCTGTCTCATCTACTTGGTTTTACTAAAGAAGACCCTAGCCTTTTTTTTGTAGGGTTCTATCTGGAGTAGCTATTTGAGATCTATTATTTCCATTCTTATTTTTATAACAAAAATGATTAATTAACTTTGATTTATCGCAATTAAAAATTACAGATTAACGTAATTTAATAGGGCTCTTTGATTGGTTGCGCATTTTTTTTTACAATTAAATGATGTAAGCTTATATGTAATCCTAATTATATCACTATGAATTTTCTTAATCTTTTGATGCTTGCTTTTATATATTGTTGAATAATTTTTTCTTTTGATATTTGATAAAATTTGTATTCTGTTATGCTTATTTCTTCTTAATTCAAACTTATATTTTTTTTAATAACTATAATCACTCTCTAAGATCTAATAAAGAAGCTTTATTTCTTCAAATATATACTTTTGATTATAATTAATATCATTCATTTTAATAAATTAGTAAATATTGTCTAATTTCTAATTCATAGATAGAATCCACAATTCATTCATATACGTTAAAAACTAATTTAGTTGTTAATAATCAAAATTAAATTTCATATATGAAAGTAAAGTTGAACATTTACTTATTTATTTATTTATTAATTAATTAATTAACTTAGGTTTACAAATACATATCAAAACTTTTTTAGACATTAAATTTTATTTTATTTTAAAAATATAAAAAATAAAAAAAAACATATTAAAAATGTCCAGCTTTATTTTAAATAAAATTAAAACACCACAAAAATAAATTTATATAAAATATTCTTAATAGTAAATTAAAGTAAATTTTTAGCTTTTTTTTAGAATAGTGATATTGAATATATTAATATTTTTTTAATATCAATTAAGAGCTATAGATTTGATTGATATGCTGATAGATTTTTTAGTTATTTATTTAAATTGAAATTTTACATAAATTAATCAACTGGATAATATTTGATTTTGTTAAAAGGAATATTTATATTCTTAAATAAAAACAATAACTTTTAGTTTTTTATATTCTTGCAAAATTAAAAAATAGCGTAAACTTTTTTAAAATGTACAACAATCCTCATGCCTAATTACCAGTAAGCAATTCTATTATTAATTTAACAAATTATATTAAACTTTATACAAATATTTAAAGCAATAAACACAAAATATTATTTTAAAAATAATTTATTTATAATTAGTTTTATAATTCAATGCCTAATTCTTACTCTTAAATAGTAGCAAGTAGTATTCCTGTTTATCCTCCTACATATTAAACACAAGGTATTTCAGGTATCAATTAAATGACTTAATAGAGTATACCTCCACAAAATTTATAAATGAATCCAAACTCATCTTAAACAGCTTAACCCCCTCCAATGGTTGTAAATCCTATAGCTGCTCCTATAACATCTGCAATGAGAATATAAGCAGCAAAAAGCTCTAGAATTTCTTGGAGAAACGTTCACGATCTAGATATTGAAGCATTGAAAAAATCTAATGATATTGAAACTCTTGAATCTTATTTACCTAATCTTTTAGATTCTATTGTAACTTAAGAAGAGTATGAAAAGCTTAAACCAGAAGCTTTGGTCAATCTTCTTTAAATATGTTAGATGAGCTTATAGTATTTTGATTATACTCAAGACTATCTTGAAAATCTTTCAAATGAAACTTAAGATGAAATTAATAAAATTTATAAGAAAGTAACTTAAAAAATATTAAATTTTCTTTTATTTAATGGCGCTTTATATTGTAGGTTGAGGATGATAAAAAAATATTGAAAAAGAGCAAAAAGGAAATAGAGAAAATGAAAAGTGAAATTGAAATCAAAAAAGAAGCAATTAGAAAGTATAAAGATTTTTTAAAGTAAAGACCCTAATATAAATGCCATATTTGCATAAATAAAGTAAGTTTCTTTAAATTAAAATACATACCTTTATGAGTTTTATTTTATTAAATTTAGTTTTTTGCAAATGAAGACTACTTAGATGCACATATTAAAAGAAGACATGCCCATGTTTTACCTATGAATGCTAACCATCCTAATTTTGCTGTTATGTAAAATATGGTTTTCGCCTAATAATTATAGCAAGAACGTTTAGAATTTGAAAGATAATAAAAGCTCCTTCTTAAAAATGAAAAATTCTAAAAAGACGATGTAGTCGATAAATTAGAATTAATTCTTTAGAAGAATAGATAAGAATAGGCTGAGTTATAGTTAGAAATGTAAAGGAGACTTAGGGATATTGAGTCTTAGTAAAATGAAGTAATAAATAAAAAATAATAAGAAAATGAATTTCAAAGATAGTAAATCGTTGACTTGATGAAAAATATGAATAAGATACATGATGTAAATTATTTTATTAAAAATTTATAATTTATCAATCAAATTTTTAAACATAGGAAATAACAAACTTAAAATATAGAGAAGTTGTTATATAGTAGTCTAGTCAAAATGAATAAAGAGAATCACAACTCTAAGAACTTTATAAAAAATAAAATGAATTATTTGAGAATAATTAAAAGCTTAAATTATAATAAATAGCTTTAGAAGCTCAAAAAGAAAAATAATTATTAGAAGAAAAGTAAAAATTAGAATAGTTAAAAAAGAAAAATTCTCAAAAGAGTGACTAACAAAATAATAATGATGATTTAATAAAATAGTTAATTGGAGATGATAATTACAGCAAAAGAGTATAAAGTAACATTAGTGATAAGTAATAAGTACCTAGTGAGATTAAATAGATAACTAAATAAATCTCAGAAATAAGGGGTATTAAAAATGGAAATTAGATTGATAAAGAAATCATAGAAGATTTAGATGGTATTTACTTAGGAAATCCTGATAAAAATAACTAAAAGAAATAATAAAATGAAAAATAATAGCAACCAAATAAATTTGTAAATATTTTATTTAAAACCATTCCGAAATAATAATTTCTGAATATATATAGAATAGCATAGCTTCTAATATGATTTTACAAGGGCATCCTGTGTATAATTAGAAATAAAATACTAAGGAAGAAGATGACATATCAGAAGAGGGTGAAATTTAAGATGATTTTTATCACTCAGAAGATGATGTAGAAAACTCATATGAATCAAATGAAAATGATATCGTAAATAAATATATTTAAAAAGAATCATATTATAATAATTTTTAAATTTTAAAAAGTCTAAAGATAAAGAATTTAATAATTAATGTGAAGAGGAAAAAGAAACAATGGAATTAAATTTAAAATAAAAAAATTAGACTGATAAGACTAAGCAGCTTGAGTAACTTGACTAACAAATAAATAAAAAACTTAGAGAATAAGGAATTAATTAGCCAATATAGAATTTACAAAATCTCCCTACTGTAAAAATTTAGTAATTTACCAATAAACTTAAAAATTTAAATAATAATAACAGAAATAAGTTGAAACAATTTTAGAGTAAGTTCGAAATCCTGACAAAGTTCCCCCAACAAACAATTTATATAAAAATGATGACTTTGATGATGATTTTGAATAAAGCAAAGGCAATAATTAAGGAATAAATTAATCTGGAAAAGGAGTTTTGCATAGCAGCAGGTAAAATTTTACATTTAAAAAATTATCTAATGAAATTTTAATACAGGAAAAATTAGCAATTAGAAGAAAGTTCTTAAAATTATGACGAATCAGGTTATTATAATGGATCTAAAGGCAGGACATATGAACTGTAATATAATTATTTTATAAATATGTTTTATATATTTATCTAAATTAATTAAGGCAAGCAAATCCAACTTCACTTAATAAGCAACTTCAATCCTTCGGAGACTCATATACAGAAACTTTGTATTAAAATAAAAATCAAAAGAAATTCGCATATGAAGACTCAGGTTTGTTTATTTATTAGATAAATTTAAAATATATTTTTTATATTTATAAATAGATGAATTTTGAGTCAGATTTTTCGAGGAAAAAATTTATTTTTTTAAACAGATTTTATAAAATAAATTATAAAATTTATCTCTATATTATTATCATTGTATCTAATATTTTAAAAAATATTATTTATCGTGTCTTTATTATAAATTTAATCAAATTACTTTTATGAAAAAATTTAAAAACATTAAATCAAGCTTTTTAACTTTTTTTTAGAATATCTTTCTAAAATTTTAATTTATATGAAATAATTTTCTATTTTTCAAAATGACAATAAAATATTTTGTTTTATTCTTACACTAATATTTTAAAAGCATTGGCACGCAATTCTTTTCTGAACAGGTTTTTTATATCCTTGATATATAATATCTTTAATAAAACTTATGTATAATTTTTATACTAAAATTTATTTTTATAAAAAAATAGAGAATTTTTTTAATTTAAAAAAAATGATTTTTTATAAAGAGTAAAGAAAATTTTGTTAAATTTTGGTTAAACATTATTCAGATGCTTCCATTTTTTTTAGGGAGTTTGTATTTTTCAAATTAGGTAAGAAGTAATAAAACTTTTAGCTTAAATAGTTTATATAATCAAAAAAAAAAACGAACTACTTGCAATTAATTTGTTTATAGCTATAGTTAAAATACTTAAGATAAAAGCAGATTATATAATTTTCATTAATAATTTCTTATGTTTGTTATTAGTTGAGAGAAGACTCTTTAGGATAATATTTTTTTGAAATTTAGATTGTATTATATATTTAATCTATAATTTTTGGTGAAAAAATATATATATATTTTATAAATTCAAAGAGTTATAGTAATTAAATAGTTTATAGCTCAAACATATAAAAATGGATAGTAATAGCTCAGAGGTAGCTTAAAGAAATATATAGACTGGTAAAAAAACTCTGCATTTCGGAGCAATGGTATACATTTGCTTTGAAAATGAAAGAGGAGAGGAGTTTTTTACAACAGCAGAAGGTTTTACAAAAAATAAAATTAGGCTTAAATAAACTCAAACAATGGAGAAAGATGCAAACTTTACTTCAGGACTTTTTAAAATATTGCCCCCATTTTATGATAATGAGTATATTAAAACAAAGCAAGTTTCTGATCAAAAGAAGCAAGAAAAAAAAGAAAAGAAAAGATCTTTTAATCGTAGAGGTAATCAACATTTTAGCTGTATATTAAGTCTATAAATAATTTAAAAATAAAATTGTATCAATGACCAAAAGAAGTCATAATTAGCAGCAAATTACATTTATTACAAAAATAAAATCTATCATAAGAACCAATTCATTATTGAGAGTGTTGATCTTTTATTTAATAAAAAATAGCTGCAAGATAAGAAATACCTAAATAGATAAAATTAATGGAAGAAGAAGCTCAATTAAATTATGACTAATATGAAAAGCTTAAAGGAACACCTGTTTTATATGGTCAGACAATTCAATTATTGCACCATAATTCAAATAAATATCTATAATTCGATTAGAAGAGTGTTTCAGATTTTGAGAGCGATAATCTGAAGTAAGATTTCATTTGTATTATTAATAAAAAAACTTTGATTTGAGTATAATAACTTTGCAGTTAATTTTGAAAAAGAGTTAGATAATAAATAATATTAATATCAATCAACGTTTAAAAAACTTATTTTATATCATTATTAATGCTTATAATATATAAAAATATTATAAAAAAACTTTAAAGAGTAAGTTTAAATGAAGAGTATTCTGAGGAAACATAATTTAGAATATTACCTTGTTTTAGTTATTAACAAGAAAGTTAAGGACTGATCTTCGATCAAGATACTGTATATGTTGTTAGTACTATAGATTCTAGAAATAGTGTTGGTGATCCATATCTTCATGCATCTAAGGATATTGGAGAATCTCAAGATTAAAATAAACCAAAGAAAAAAGAAATGAATGTCTCCACTGACAAAAAATCTTAATGGAAGTAAATCCAATTAAAATTAATCATTATAAAATCTAATATTTATGATAAAAAGAATAAGAATATTCTGTGATTACAATGATGAAAGAAATGGCATGCTTTCAGTTTGTGACATTATTTGGATTAATTACTCTGAAAAAGATGTAGATTGAATTTTATGATAAAAATTAATAGCTTTAAAATACTTTAAAATAAATAGCTAAACTTGTTAGTGTAGAAGATAACTGAAAATGAAAAAGAAGAAAAGTATCTGTTGAGGTTTGAAGATTGTGATTCAACTGAGAAGTATAAAAAATTCGTAGGTAATTCAAATGGTATGTTTGTTATTGAAAGCTAAAATATGATGCAAGGAGGATTAGTTGAATGGGATAACATGTATAGATTAAGACATCTCACAACAAATTAATATCTTTCTTTGGTAGTTATGGGAACAAATGAGGTTGTGTAAGATGATAGATGTTTAGTGTTATAAACAGATCCTGAAAAGGCGAGCTATTTCAAATTTGAATTGATTTATTCTACATTAATTTCAAGAAATCGCAAAAATTTAACTAAATACATGCAAAAGGTAAAATAATTATGCTTTTTTCTATTATAAATCTAATCTAAATATAGGACTCTTACTTTAGAATGTCTGTCAAAGCATCTTCTAGGGGAATAAAAGGAGAGGATGAAGAAGTTTTCTGGTTGAAGACAGCTGACTCCGATGAGTTTAGAGAATCTGTGAGAGGTAAATAAATTAAATTAAATAGCTAATTTAAATTATTAAAATTTTCATAGAATACCAAGATGTTATGAATTTGAACTCTACTGAAAAATAAATTTTCCCTGCTTTTTCGACTATTAAAAAGGAGGAAAATGTATTTAAATTGAATAAAGCAAGCTCTAACGAAGTCAGAATGACTGAATTCTTGCTTTCCTGCAGAAGGACTATTAAAAAAACATTTATGTATTTGGATCCAGAAGTAATAACTTAAATATATAATTTAAATATTAATTAACCTACTTAATAAATAGTACATATCATACATAGACTAGGGAAAATTCTAACAAAAATATAAAAAATTCCTTGTAATGGTTGGTAGGTTAGACAGATGCTTGGTGGATTTAAATAGATTTTGCCACAATAAGCTCCGTGCTTACTTATATATTGATCAAGAATATGGTTAAATTAACAGTTTTATTTAGAATGTTCTCAGAGAATAATTATTTATTGAATTACTTGTATCTCTACTTGCACTCGCATTCCCAACTGTTGAAACTTTGAATGAAATTAAAAAGTTTGAGGAGTAGAAAAATAGAAAACTTAAATTAGATAGCACAGAAGCTCGCTTAATTGAGCAAGATAAGAGTAAAAAATAATTTTAAATGTCATAAAATTAATGTTTAAATTTGTTAAAAAAAATAGGTGTTGCATTCAACCTTGAAATTTAGGAAGAATTTGTTATGAAGAAAAAAAGAGTTTGCACATTCATTTACAAATTACTTTCTAGTATTTGTTCTTAAAACAGAAAAAACTAAGAGAAAACTTCACAGTTCTTACCTCTTTTTGCTATGCAATCTAAATACATCCCTGGTTGTATGGAATGCATATTTTCTATCATTAAAGATTATGGTGATTTACTCTAAAATTAGCTTCAAACTGATTTAAATATTAATAATATCCCTTCTTCTGATAAATAGAAATAAATTGTAACTAGAAAATTCTACACCAACAGCTCAGATATTTAAAAGGTAAATTAAATCATTTAAATAATTTTATCTATTTTTATTTTTACTTTATAGATTAGCTTAAAGTATGAAAGAAATTATAAAGATGTTACACGCTTCCTTAAGATAAACCCTTAGTTCTTTAAGTTAGATGAAAGATGGGATATGTTTGAGTTCTTCTGCTACTAGTTAATTGAAACTACAGATTTCAACACTAAAAGATCCCTTTTAAAATTTTTAGGATTTGCTTCAACAGATAAAGGAGATGGTGTTAATGAAAATTAAGAACTGATTTATTAATATTTAATTCCTGATAATGAAGAATATATGTATGATAAAGGTTATCTAATCAGTATTAAAAGTGAGGGTCCAGAACTTTTAGTTACACACGAATAACGCAAGTTAGTTGATATTGTTAAGAAACAAAGTTACAATGTTTCTAAAAAAATGGTAACCCTAGAGTAAGAAATATAATTATTTTCAATTTTAAACAATTCTAATTCATCAACCTATAAAAATTCATTTTATATAAATTTTATTTTTTTTTAGATTAAACTAAAATAACAAAAAAACTGATGATGAGATATTGAGCTTTTTCAATGATTAAATGGAATTTTATTCAAGTATGTGCAATAAGAGAAATAACACTTGGAAAAAGTTTGTAGACAAAAGTTGTAAGTTTGAGTCATTAGTTGACACTATTATTGAAGAGAAGATCACATATGATATTAGAGCTATCATTTGCTAGCTACTCAATAAAGTAAATAATAAACAATTCATTCATAATTTTACAATTTTTTTTTTCTTTAAAATTAGCTTTATGTAGATTAAGAGCCAAAAAGATTAAAATATTTACCTGAACTTTGCAAAACTTTAGAATAAAGAAATATATAAGATTGGAATGAGGAATAAATTAAAGAGAAAGAAATAGATCAAGAGGATAATTAAATAAAAGAAAAGTTGATAAATTATATTAAAGCTAAGGCATAAATAATAGAAGACATTTCTGATGAAATTAAGCTTGATAAATAGTCAGCAACTGTTTTATAAGAAATAAATTTAAAAGTTCATTAAAAGTGCAACGATGTTTATAATAATCTTACTTATGAAATAGTTAAGATGTTAAGATTAATGATTGATTTTGGAAAATATAATATTCATGATGATATTAGTAAATTTGCCAAAATGAAAGAAAAATATGAAATGCAATCAGCTGAATTCTTTAAAATCATTTCAAATATATTAAGTATATTTGAGTTTGATAAAACATTCCCTGAAGCTCGTAAAATTCTTTTAAAGAAAAGAGAAGAGGAAAAGTAATAGGCCTAAAATAAGCTTTAAGAGTAGGGTGTTAAGACTTTGAAAAAAATTTTTAATTTCGCTATTGATATTGTTGGTATTTCATAAAGCAGCGATTTAAGCAAAAAGAAGAAGAAGAAATAAACGTACTAATTTATTTTTTAATTAATTTATTATTTAACTTATTCTAAAAAATGACAATATTTTTTTTAAAAATAGAAATTTCGAAATAATGACTGATGATATAAATATTTCTGATAGTTTCCTTAAGCAAACAGATGTTTTGAAAAAGATTTTACAAAGATTCTTTAGCGATAATTAAGATGACGTTGAGTTCAAAATTAAATAGGAAATTTGTGAAATTTTAAAATAATTCCTTAATTACAAACAAGACTACATGCTTAATAGATTAAAATACTAGTTTAGCTATTTAGTAACAGAAAAGCTTGATACTGTTAATAAATTAAAAGGAACCTAAGACGAGTAGGCTATTAGCTAAACTCTCAAAGAATTTAAAGATACTATTTAAAATAGCATAGACGCATTCATACCTAGTGTACTTTTAACTGGAACTGAAGTAGATAAAAAACAAGAATTTGAAAAGTAGTTCTTATCTATGAACTTAAATAACATCAATTCCAATACTTTCTCACCTCTTAACTTTGGTAATAAAGCAGGAAAAGAGGCAAAGGACGGAGATATTATTAATATTAATAAAATTCTTGGCTTTTAGATTTTGCCAAGTTTGATACTTCTTTTCTGCTTTACTTAGAATTACTAAATGGAAGAAAAGCTTCTTTAAATTACCACTCGTTTTTATAATTAAAGATAAGAGTTTGCAACTCTCGCATCTCAACTGCTTATTCTTTTTGATTAGGAAAACTAGTAAGTATTAGAATTCACAAGAAGCATCATAACTAGTAGATTAGACAAAAATGTAAATGAATCTGAAACTTGGATGAAATAACTTGAAGAGAAAGAAAACATGAAAATATTAAAACAAACCATTAAAGATATTTAATTTTTTGCAGATATTCTTTGTATGGGAACTAAGCCAGATGTTTAAATCGATAATAAAACTGGAGCTAAGTAATACACCACTTTACAAGCAGACTTAGTAAAGTCCAACGATATAGTAATTGGATCAATGGATGGACAAAAAAAATAAAATGGTAAAGACTTTTTAAATAAAAATAATTTAAATAAATATTTTAAAAATAGGATAATTAGAAATGGATCCAATCAGATAAGACATATTTTATCACAACAAAGTTCATATTTTAGCTATTAGCTTAATTAAAGATTCAATTTATTTGTTAGAAGAATTGGAATAATAATGCAATCACCCTGGAAATAGGGATAGCTAAAGTAAGGCATCTAAGATTTACAATGAAATGAAAACTTTATTCAAAACTTGTATGACATTCTTAAGGAATTTCGTCTAAAAAAATAGCGTCAATCAAAATCTTTTAAGTGAATATTTGGAGAAATTGCATAAGGCTTTGCCTTTTGAGATTGGTTTAATGGAGTTATATTGGGAAATATTCAGAGACAATAAAAAGATTTGTTTAGAAAATCAAGAAAAAATAGCTGAGGATTTTATAAGTCTGATCTAAAAGAATGGTAGACAAGCTAAATATCTTGAATTCTTTATCATTATTTAAAAGGCTAATGAAGAGCATTTAATTAAAAATTAAAAGTTTGTCCTCAACTTGTTTTTGAATGATAAATACAAAAAAGATCTTTTGTATTTAGCAGATACAGAAAAGCTGTCATTCGAGTTCAGATAAATACATCCAAATGTAAACTATTTTTATTTATTAATAATTGGATTTAGCTTAATTAAAAAAATTAGGATGAACCTTACATGTATCACTCTAAATTATTATAAGTTTTGGGTATGACAACAATAGGAAAAGAAGGTATGTATATGAGTGAATAAAAGTTAAGATCTTAAATAACATTAAGGTATGTTTTCGATTTACTTAGTACTGTAGATAATATGACTGATTGCAAAGAAGAAGATTTCTTTAATGATATGTCAGGCGGAATAGAAGAAGAATAGTACAATTTATTTGACAATAAAAATTAAGGAAATAAAGAAGTGATTGTTAATATTGACAAAAAAGAAGATATGAATGATTCTTAATCTAAACAATCTTTAGAAATAGAGAAGTATGATAAATTTGAAGAAAACTAAATGCCAAACAATCCAGCTGACACAAGAATGCATCATAAACAAGGCAATCTCTACCAAAGTGTTGATCCTCAAAAAATAATTTTACTCAAAGTTCCTTTATTAAATTATATTTACTACACTTTTTTGGAAAGTGAAAAAATTTCTGATGAATTTAATAAATATATTGCAGATTTTATCGATTACATTCGTTTTGAGGTTAATCGTATCAACTTTTCAAAAGATTTCAGTGAGCAATATTATGAGTATTTGAATGCATTTTTGTTTATATTGTGTGCTTACAAAAAAGCATTTGCAAATACTATGCACTAAACTAACATAAAGCCAGATGTAAACCAAAAAGATAGTGACGTGCATAATATCAATAAAGAATTAGCAAATTTAACTAAGGCTATATTGGGTAAACAAATGATATTCTTGAAAAAGGAGGATGAATTTGAAAACTTTGCATTCAAAAATGAATAAATAACCTTAGAAAAATTCTAGAAATATAAGTAAAGATGGAAAATATTTAGATCTCTTGTGGAAGGATAGAGATCTAAAGCTAACAAATTCGAAGAAGAAAATGAAAAGCTCGAGTAATTAGAGTTGTAAAACTAATAAAGTAGTTTGGTCCGTAAAAAGACAGACAAAAAAATTGTTTAAAATAAAAGTGAAAATTTAGGAAATAAACTACTAAAGTAGATGGACTTCTTGGGTTTAGGTAAAAAAGAAGTCATCGAAATAGATCCAGAATGCACTGTAAAAAAAAATTTTTTTTTAAATGTAAATATTTTTTACTTATTAAATTATAATAAAAAATTCAGCTCTTCAAGAATTTAAATCATGACCATGTAATTTGGTAAAGACTTTGGAGTGTGTTCCTTGATTAATTCTTAAATTCAGCTCATCTTAAATAGTAAATCGATACTGAGCATACTATTTTCGCATAAGCTCTTGATTAAGTTGAAAATATTTTTAAAGAATCACCTGTTGTAAGTGAAGTTATCAATAAGAATGAAATTTTCAAGAAGCTTATCAAATATCTATAAAAGTCGTATAAAGAGTAAAATGAAATATAAACTTTTAGGTTGATTCTTTGCGCTTTAAGAAACTTCATTCAGCCACCTGAAGATGAAGAAAAAGTAATAAATTGTTAATATTAAATTTTTCATTAAAAACATTTTTAATAAATATAAGGAGCTAGACTAAAAGCAGGAATAAGAAAAGCAAGAAGAAATGGAGAATAACTAAAATTTCTTAAACTAAAATAATGCAACTTACATGCTTATGAGTTTGTTAAGTGATCATAGCAACCCAAAATAGAATGATGCTGTTTTTGCAGATTTAATTCATTTTGGTATTGTGTTACTTGAAGATGGTAATAATGAAGTCTAAAAGAGTGTTTACACTTACTTTATGAATTTTACTTCTAGCGAAGTATTCTTTAAGAGAATCCATACTATTTTAACAGATGAAATAATTCGCTTAAAAAGAGATATAGTAGATAATTCACAAGAAAATATTTATTATTTCTAAAAGTAAAATGATATAGTTTATAGTATTCTAAGATTCTTACAGCTCTTTGCAGAAGGCCACAATTTAGATCTTTAAAAGTACATGCGCTTACAGACTTAGAATTATCACAATTTTGACTTAATTGAAGTCATTATTGAACTATTAAATAACTATTTCAAAAAGAAATGCATTAGGTATATTAAGAATATGACTCAATGTTTCGATACATTGACTGAGTACATTTAAGGTCCTTGTAAAGAAAACTAACATGCTCTTATTCAAGATAATTTCTTAGATTTAGCCTCTAGTTTGTTTGGTATAGATGAAATTATGGATGAACTAAATTATTAGATATAAAAAGTAAATAAATATTATTGAGTGTAGCTGCAAATTATTAAATATTTAATAATTTATTTTATTTAGGAAAAGGAAAATGAAAAGAAAGAAGAAAGTGATATTGATGAAAAAATTTAAATTAATAAGATTGATGATAAGAATAGTGATTAGCTGCCCAGGTGGGAAGTAGCTAAATTAAAATATAAGTGTTCTATAACTTTAATATCTTTACTTGAGGCGAGATCCAAAGAAGATGATATTGTCCCACGTATGATGAAAACACTAAATATCGATATTATTAGAAGAAATATTACAGATATTTATAACTAATTTGTTGATATTGGCAAAGGTGAATATGTTAGCGATGTTTTCAACCACTTCGAATTGGTAAATTTTTTATTGGATATTATTTTTTTTAATTTGTATAATTTATTTTTGTTAATAGGAACCAACTGAAGAGAGCAGTGAATAAGAAAAGAATCAAGCAAGTTTCATTATAGAAACAGGATTCAACTTGTTTATACTATTAAGCACCTTTAAGGAAGTAAGTAAAGATGAAGAGGATCAGATAATGAAAAAGAAAAGAAAAAAGAAAGAAGGTAAAGAGGAAGAAAATCTGCTAAAGAATAATATCATTAGTGAAGTATTATAGATGGTTTTTAATTTTATTGCATCTTTAAAGAATACAGTACAGGAGTAAGCCAATAATTTAAATAACTTGATGAAGACTAAACAAAAAGAAAATTGGCATGATAAAAAAATGAAAATAAAGTAAAATAGAGATTAGTAATCAGATACAGCATTGAAATTTTTCGAGAAGCACACCTTACACATAGAAGTTTTAAGAGAAAATGATAACTAGCTGGAAAAAGCATATTTCTACTTACCTTATTTCTGTTAAGATTTAGATAAAGATACTAAAACTAATTTCAATAGAAATGCTAACAGAATTTCTGTTAAAGCAAAAGTTACCTCTTTGGCTAGTTAATCTGATGATCTAATTTAAAAAATGAGACACAATTACTAGCTTCACAAGTGGCTTGAAAAAGTTTAATTCCTTTTGATGCTTAAAGAAAAAATTGGTCTCTTAAGAAATTTAGCTTTCCTTCTTGCTATAGCAATTAACTTAATGGTCTTATTTTCATTTGAAAGAGTTTAATGTAAAAAATATTATCATTTAACACAAATTATAAAGTATTTATTTCATTATTTTTATAACAACAATAGAAAGTGATGGTTCTGTCTAGTCGGTCAATCTTCGTAATATTTTTTTAAGAAATAAATAAATAATTATATTTTTAAAATACTTAATAAAAAATCAGATACCGAATCAGCTATTTAAATTTTAGGAGTTATACTGATTGTTTTGAGTGTTATTGTCGTTCTTTATTTCCTTGCATTAAATGCGCCGCTATTGATTATGAAAGCGTGGGAGGGATTTGTAATTTATTTTTTTAATATGAGTTTATTTTAATATGAATTTTTTCAATATAGGAGAAATACTCACTGATAGAATATACTTATAGAATGTTGCTAACAGTTTATAACTTGTTATCAGATTTTTATGTCCTTTATTATGTAATCTATGGTTTAACAGCTATTGTTGGTACGATTGTTAGTCCGTTCTTTTTCTTCTTCCACTTGTTTGATGTCTTAGTACGTTTCCCTGATTTATTAAATGTAGTAAAAGCAGTTTGGATCCCTAAAAAGGCTATCCTTTTCACATATTTCTTGTTCTTAGTGCTGATGTATGTTTTTACTTTGTTTGGTTATTACTGGTTATATGAGTCTTATCCTGGAGATTTTTGTGAAAGTACATTTGTTTGTTTACTCACTGCTATAGATAGATCATTTAAATTTGATGGTGGTCTCGGTGGATATCTCAATCCAACTACATAACAAGACAGCACTGGTTACTTCTTAGTGAGATTCTTCTTTGATAACCTTTATTACATCCTCCTTATGATTATTATGATTAACATTGTATCAGGTAATATTTTATTTTGCTTTTTAAAATTAATACTTTACAATAAAAAAAACTTACTTTTTATTATTTATAGGTATTATTATTGATTAGTTTGGTGAGGGTAGAGATGAACTGAGAGTTTATAATTAAGATCTAATATATAAATGTTTTATTTGTGGTTTTTCAAATGAGGAAATAGAAAAGAATTCAGATTAAAATTAAGATTTTAAATCTCATATCAAGGTACAACTCAATTTAATTTGGTTGGCTTTAAAAATAAATTATTTTAACTTTAAAAAAATAGGAAGATCATTATATGTGGAATTATCTTTATTACATAGCTTATCTTAAAGATAAAACAAAAACTGAATACACAGGTATTGAAAGTTATGTTGCTGATAAGTTAGCTAAAAAAGAAATTACCTGGTTCCCAACTAATAGGTAATTTAAATTTTGTGAAATTAAATTTTAATTCAATTTATTTATTTATTTATTATAAAATAGAGCTTTATGCATGAGCAAGAATGTTTCTGTAAAGTAAAACTAAGAAATATTTACATAACTCTAAGATATCGCTAAATCAGTAATTAAAATTATTTTTAGCTTCTACTATTAACTTTTTTTTACTTTTTAACAGTAAGATAAAATAAGACAAACATTAGATTAAGTAAACACAACTTTAGACTAATTCTAAGTTGATAATTAGGGAGAAGTTTTAAAAAATTAGCATAAAAAAAAAGATGAAATCCTTCCTTAAATTTTAAATTGAAAAAATAATACTTTATCTTGTTTTTAGTGAATTTTAAAATATTCATTACATATATATTTTTTAAAAGGTAATCCTATTACTTAATTTTAAACAAATACTATTTTATTAATAAGTAATGACAATTTATTTGATTTTTAAAGCTAGCGTTTAAGTTGTATACAAAAAGTAAAACACGTAATCCATATTTTAATATAAAATTAAATTTTTATAAATTTATTAAATTGAAATGAGATCAATATTTTTAGCAGTTAGAAATTATTTATTTATTTATTTTAAGTGAATAAGGAATAAAAACTATAATTATATTTTTTTAATATTATTTATTAGTATTAAGAATAAGAAAGGAGTAATTTTTAACATCAAAACTTTTTATTTTTGGAAAAAAGGAATATTTTTTAATTTTGAAAATTTTTATTTTTTCGAAATTAATTTTTTAATGATTCAAATAAATCTATCTTGATTATCTTATTTTATATTTTGAAATAATGAAGTTTATTTGTAATACTTTGTTTATTATTATCAAGGAATTAAATCAAAAAATCAATTATTTCTTAATATTCTTTATATTAAGCTGCATATGATTAAGTTAGCTGTCGTCATTCTATTTATAATTTTTAAAGAAATAAATTTTAATATTTTAAATAAAATAATTTGCTAATCAAATAAAATACTTCGTTTTTTTCATTTAGAATGGAAATATCATCTCCGTTATCATCTATTTCTAAAGGCTAATCTGCATCAATTTAATTTAGATTTTTAGAAAATTATTGCAAATGATTAAATGAATCTACAGATGTGTTAACTTGTAATTTTGAAAGAACTGTTTTAGGGCCAAATGATTAATTTAATTTTGCTACATTTTGTTAGACATTTTTATCGTTTAATAATTTTTCGCTATTTATTTATCTACCTGTATAAATGCTTTGAACTTTCTAATTTTATTGCTGTTAATGGGCTAGATTATTAATTTCATTTAATTAGATGTTATATAAGGCATCTTATTTATAAAGGATATAAAATATATCTTCATGTTCTAATTTATTAGAATCTTGCTAATTTTATGTTTTCAAACTTTAGAGTCGCTCATAGCTTACTCTATCAGTATTAAGAGACTAATTATTATCTGAAAGAAATGCTAATGTATTTTGATTAGCCTCATCAAAAAGCTTCCTGTTTATTTGCTAACAACCGCTTTAATTTTAATGCTACTAATTAGATAGTAATTAAAACTATTCTTAGTTTGAGCCTTCAAGATTGTTATTAAATTGATTGGTTTTACCACTAAAATTGCTTACATAATTCTAGTTATGACTTTTTAAGTTGCTACTTAACAAATTCTTATTTGGACTTGCGAAAATATTATTAGAATTATTAAAAAATACAATCTAACACTCTTCATTTTCAGCTTATTTATTTTCTTCATGATTATCATTTAAGTTATTATGTAAAATCAATTCACCATCCTCTGAGTGCTTTGTATCATTAGATGTGTACCCATAATAAGAAAAGTCTAAGAATTCCTAATCTTAAATAAAAGGTCCACTCTTTCCATTCAAAATTTATGTGTTGTTTAAACTATCTACACTAAAATGGTTAGGGTTTATATTCATACTTAAATTATTATTGTAGCAAGAAGTTGAATATCCATTATTAAAAGATTATTCATAAGTAAAAGATGAGTTAAAGTTTCCATTATTATCAATAAAATGCGTTTTTCCTTCATCATTTCCCTAAGCTGAATCTTCACCAATTGTGAATTTATTTTTAAATGAATTCTACCTATTAAAATCAGTGAAAGAATTTATTTGCATCTTATGGCTAGATCTATATAATTTTTATTGTAAATAATTATCATATTAGGCATTTCCTTCTTAGATTAGAGATTCGTTTTCCCCAACTGCTCCTTCATCTATATTAAGCATATTTATTCTTGGAATTATAGGAGGATCAAACTTTAAAGATCTTATTTTGTCAAAATTGATCTTTTTGCACCACGGATGCTTACGTATTTCACTTATACCACTTTTGGCACCTAATCTTTTTGTTGGATCTTTTATCATTAGTTATTTAATAAAATCCTAAAGCTAAGAGGAAAATTATTTAGGAGGAAATTTAACTTCTTTTGTTAAGGCTTTTTCTAGTAGGTCAGTTTTGTTATCAGAACTAAAAGGTGGAATTCCTGCAACTAGTTCATATAACAAAACTCCAAGTGAATAATAATCTACTGCAAAAGTATGACCTTTTTTTTATATCATTTCTGGTGCCATGTACTCATGGGATCCACAGAAAGTATAATTTAGTTAATCCTTTGATTTCAAAACCTTACTTAAGCCAAAATCAGCTAATTTAACATAACCATTCATATCAAGCAAAATATTTTCTGGTTTTAAATCTCTGTAAATTATATTTTTAGAATGAAGAAACTCTATCCCTTCTAAAATTTAAGCAAAAAGTATTCCTGCTTATTCTTCTTTGAATCTTCTTTCTTAATTTAAGTGATAGAAAAGTTCTCCACCTGGGCAATACTCTAGAACGAAAATTAATTTCTCTCTCTTAGTTAAAAATATTATTAGATTAATATGATATATCGTTATTTGAAATTATTTAATTTTAGTTTAGGGGTAAATTAGTATAACCAAGTAATAAGAAAAGATTTAAATAAAAATAAAATTATTAAACTCATTCTAGAGTTTATTTAAAGCCAGACAATACAATTTTTGTTTTAAAAAATTATAAAGAGAAAATAGCTTTAAATTAATAATTTTTTTAAAATTAGCGTTTATGAGTGTGTACTGAAAATATTTAAATACACTACATAATTCAATTAATTATTTTCGTTAGAATAATATCAGAAAATTTTAAAATATTACAGTTTAGAAAGCAAAGAAAAATTAAACTATGAATGGATTATCTTTAAGTGCAATCATAGTATTTTTCTCATTGTAGACGTACAACTTTCTTCTTTTTTTAATTAGTGTCTTCTTTTTTATGACTTTAAGTGCTACGAATTGACCATTGTCTTTTCTTCTTGCTATTTTAAAAAATAAATTTAAAAAGTAGAATAGTTATTTCATTTGAATAAATATCATTTTATCAAAAGTGACTGACTTAATTAACAAATTAGTTCAAGCGTATATATTTATTTATGTTCTATACATACGATGAAAAACAAAATTCCATCTTAATTGTAAAAATAAATGAATTACCTAAATAAACTTCACTAAATCCTCCTAATCCAATTTTCTTTAGAACATCAAAATGCTTTAAAGTTATCCTGTTACCATCATCAAATTTATATGATCGATCTTTTTAAAAAATAATGAATTTTATGAAATATGTGAATACAAATGAAATGGAAATGAATTTCAAAATTTTAGTAAATTAAAATCATTGAGTTTGACAAATTCATAATTTCAACATAATGCTTTCTTTATTAAATTAAATTTAAAATAATTTTCATGTTAATTTAACTTGCACACTGGTATTTTTTGGATAAAAATTTTCAATTTGAACGTGCTTAACAATTAAAAAATTAATGCTAAGTAGCTGTCTTTAAATACCTGCATAATATGGCTTTAATATTTATCCATCCTTGACATACTTTAAAGGTCTCTCAAATTATGATAAATAAAAATCTGTAGAGATATCTTGCTTATCAGTAATTAGAGCTACTATTGATGATGTATCTTCAATAATATCTAAATATTTATCTTAATGCTAATGTATTTTGCGAATAGCTTCAGATAAAAGCCAACCACAAGTTAAATTATTCTCATCGTTTACATCATACACTATTTATATTAATTTTTTGTTTGATAGCTGGACATATATCTTTTTCTCTACTAACCCAAGCACTCCGCTTTTTTTCCTTTACTCTTCATATAATGTTTGAGAAATTTTTAAGAATGACATTTTTAATATAAATTGATTCCAGCTTTCCTATATATATATATTTATTTAATAAGTTTATTTCCAAAGTCAATATAATCAATAATTTATCTTATTAATCCAATTAATTAAAGATAAGTCTATTAAATACATATAGATATTTACTATTATTGATGGTCTGCAAATAACTAAAAGTTATTTTGTTTATTTTTAGTTATAAACAAAAGATAAAGTTAGGTTATTTTGTTTGCAATTATAAAGTCAAATACTTTCATTTTTAAAATTAGTCAAGTAGGAATGCTTGATAACTTTAGTTTATAAATTCTTTTAAACATTTTTAAATAAAGCAAATTCATTTTTGCTTCAAATTAATCAAAAGTTCTAAACTTTTTTCGTTTTATAGGATAAAAAATTGTGTAATATCTTTAAATAAAAATATGTTTCATGTTATTTGAATTATCCAATTTACTTTATAATAAATTAAATTAATAAAAATTAATTTTTATTCTTTTTTAAAAAAATAATTTGAAGAAAAATTGAAATAATAAAAAATTTTAAATTATTTTTTTATTTATTATAAAAAATCATAATCTAATTAATAACACTCAAAATACTTCTTTTTATCTGTTAAATTCAATTATAAATAACAGCTAGTAATTAAAATCTAACATAATTAGAAATATTATCTAAATAAGAAAAAATAAATAAATAATTTGATAGAATGCAAATTAAGAATTTATATTTTTTAGATTTTATTAAATTAATTCATAAAATATCAATTATAAACTAAATAGCTATATAACATCAGTAATAAGATGAACTAAAAATAGAACAGAGAGATTAGGGAAATCTTTATCGCAAACGAAGAAAAAAACACTTAGATAGGTGAATAAAATAATCTAGAAAATAAAGACCAATGTGAAATCATATAAGATCTTGGAATTCCCAGTAAAATATTAAAAAAATTTGTTTTAAAAGCGATAAAAGCTCAACAACAAAAATAAAAACAACTCTAAATATTTTGCAAAAATGAGAGATTAAGATGACTTTCAACAATAACATTAACGCATATAAATCTCAATAAGCGATAAAAAGAATGATGAGTAAGTCTCCATTAATGTTTTTAATAAAAAAAATAAAAAAGGTTAAGAAGTTATCGAGTAAAAATCTAGCGAGTTTCATGCCACAGTCAATTTATTTAAAGGCTTAGTAGGAATTGGAATTTTATCTCTGCCAATAGGCTTTTATAAAAGCGGATGGCTAGCAGGGCTCATTATACTACCATTATGTGGGATAGCTATGCTTTATTTGAGTTAATAAATGATGAGCGTAGCTGATAAAACTCACTCTAAGGCAAAAAATATTACTGAATTCTGTGCAGACATGTTAGGAAAAAGATCGATAACTTTTGTAAATGTCTGCTTATTTGGCATTCAACTTGGGGTGTGCATATCTTACGTTATCTTCTTCACATCTTATTTCAAAAAGAGCTTCTGTCATACTATGGGTGAGACAAGCTATGCTTGTGAATCTAGAATTCCCTCTTTATTGGTTGCTTTGGTTATACTCTTACCTTGCATTTTCATAAGACATATGGATAAACTCAAGCAATGGAGTATGAGTGCTAATGTTTTCATTCTGTGTTCTCTCTTAATAATTTCGCTTTACTGTGGATATAATTTAAAATAAAATGGTTTACCAGAGATTCAATAATTTAACTTTAGCTCAATGGGTGATTCAGTAGGAATTTTCATTTTTACATTTGAAGGTGTGGGTCTCTATTTTGATGTTAGGTATTAATTGTTGATATTTTCTTAACTTACTTTTCTTTTTAAGTCGATATCTAATTTATTACTTAACTGTTGTTGAAAATAATGAAAAAAATAAAAATATTTTTCCATCAACTTTAAAAAAAAAATATTTTATTTTAAATTTCATCATTTTGTTTTTATAAAAATATTTTGTAAATTAATTTTATTAAAAATAATTAAAAAAACTAATTTTAATAAAAATACTTCAAATGAATAAATAAAAATGAAAGATTAAATCTTTAAGTGATTTTTATCAAAAATATTTGCTTTTTTTAAAATTTTTTCTAATATAAAAGACATTCAATGTAAGAGCCTAAAAGATTTTTTGTGGTTTTAAATTATGTAATATACTTTGCCTTGATACTCTACACTTCGTTTGGAATACTAGGATACTTAACATTCGGTAGTAAAGTTAAAGACATTATTTTATTCAATTTCGATTTAACCAATCCTGTGCTTTTTGTTGTTCAAATTCTTTATTGCATTTCTCTAATTCTATCATACCCTATTCAGATTTTCCCTTGTGTAAATCTTGTTGAACATAAAATTTTAAAGAAGTTTTGTGCAAAATAATTCGCTATTTTGGAAGAGGAAAGGCAAAGAAAAATTACTGAAGTTAATTAGTATTTAATTTCAGAGACGGATGACAAATAATCTTAGATTCCATAAAAATTACCAACTCTTGGGAAAAAAAAAAATAAAGCTTTTTCTTTTACTGCTTCTTCAGGTAGAGAAAGATCTAACTCTTTAAATAACAGATAAATAGTAAGTGCAGGTGAATAGACAGATGACGAAAATAAACTTGAAGAGATAAGATATAGGTAGAGACATTAGTTTTATAGTACATTCTTAGAATAAGAAGAAACTATGGAAATATAAGATTATGATTAGCTCAGTGAAGTTTTTCTTGATGAAGATGATGAAAGTCGTTTCTTAAAGTACAGCTGCTTAGTTCGTATAGGATTTCTAGCATTTGTATTTTTAATGGCCATGTCAATAGATAGAATATCAATATTCATTAATTTTATTGGTTCTATTTGTGGAACAGCGCTTTGTTATTTCATTCCAGTAATAATTATTTATAAGAATGAGCCAGAACTTCCTTTCTGGAAATCACTTGTTAACTGGTTTATCTTTCTAATAGCATTCGCTTGTGGAGTATTTGGAGCATACTCAAGTCTTATCCTATTTGTTAAAGATTTTGGCCAAGATATTTGAAAAAAAACCTTTCTTACTAATTAAACAAATATGCATAATATAAAAAATATAAAAGAATTTTTTAAGAATAGAAAACTATAAGATAATATTGAATTCACGTTTGAGAAATACTTAAACTTTATAATTAATTTTAATATTGATAAATATTTTATTTATGTTGAGATTAAAAAATAAATAATCTTACCCCTTCAATGGTTTGTAAATAAAATACTACAGAAATACTATTTTTAGATTAATTAATTTGAATTTGTTATAGTTATTGATACTAAAAATATCTTTTTAGTATTCTTAATTTGGTAAATTAATAAAATTTGTCGATTTTATACTTTATTACCTTTTTTGCGTTTATCATCAGATTAAAACAATCAATATTTATTTCTGTCTATTATATTTCATTCAGTAGTGAGCGGTAAAAATATAATGTTATCAGATTGTATTTTTTCAAAAATATCTTAGAAATTTTTCAAACTAAATAATAAATTAAAATTTTTAATAAATATTTTTAATAGAAATTATTTTCTTTTTTTGAAACTATTTTATTTAGTTTGGTGCAAAAAAAACATTATTTATTTATTTATTGGTTTTTTGTTATTGCTTTATTATTTGCTTTTATTAAACATATTAAAAAAAGCATAAATAAATCTTATTTATTGCTTATTTATTTTTAATTGTTCTTCATATTATACATATTAAATATTTGATGTCAAAGCCAAAAATAGAAGACTAAGCACAAAATAATTCTTCCAAACAAAAATAATACGAGGATTTTGATAAAAGTGAATATGACTAAGAATCCAAAGAAGCTATTCGGTTAGTGTTCTAAAAATTTGATAGAGATGGAAGCGGCGATATTCAATTTGATGAAATAGGAAATTTGGCAAAAGAATTAGGATTAAAAATAAAAAATGAAGATATATAGCAAGTAAATTGATTAGATTAAACTAAAAAAATTTATCTAAAGCACTTACTTGATTTTTGAATAGCATTTTGCAAATATAATTTGATAGAAATGGTGTTTTTATAAACTTAGATATTTTAAGATTTAGATTAGAACTCTGATAAAAAGATCAGTTTTGATGAATTTTGGGCTTGGTGGTCAAGTGGCAAACCAAATAAATTAGAGAAGCTCGTATATTATAAGTTGAAAGGGATGAAGCTATTAAAAAAAGCTCATACTGAATTTACAAGAATGGGATCATCTCTTGATTCAAAATATGATAAGAGTATTGATACGCATTATATAGCTTTAAATTATGGATCTTCAAAAGGAGAGCTCTCTGCACATATAAATTTATATATTTAGCATAGCAAAAAGTAAGAAAAAGAATGAATAAAAATTTATTTTTTTTAATTATCGTTTTTGTTTTGGTGATTATAAATCCATAAATTACTTAAATATTTAATGATACTTATTTAAATTCATTTTAATTATAAAGCTAAGAAGTGAGAGAGTAAGCCCTGAAAGGAATTAAATTAAAAGATGATACATAACAATCTGCCTTTGGTATTGTAATGAGAATGAAATCAAAATCTCCAAAGGAAGGAAGAAAAATACTTTTGAATTTGCTTATTGATGTCAAAAGAATTATTGGACTTTTAAATGGGCCACAAATGGGAAAATTAATAGAACCTTTTGAGTTTGAGACATTTGACGTAGATGATGAGATAGTCTTATTTATAAATTTTAAAAAAAGCACCTTAGAAAGTTTAATTATGCATGACCTAATTAAAGGAATTTATTAGATAGGAGAAAAATCAAATGCTCATTTAGAAATACATCTTGGTATTAAAAACTCTTTGAAGAAAATAATTGAAGAGCCTAATATAAAATTTGTAAATTGGTTATTTGAGGGGTTTTTAGCTGAAGCAAAGTTAACGATGGACAGCTAACTTCTAAAGAATATAAGAAAACTCATAATAACTATCTTTTCTTTACGAAATATGAATAACCCTGATGGATAATCTTTAGTGTCATTTATTTCAATAATGACTTTATTGAGCAGTTCGAAATTTCACATAACTTTTAAAGTAAGCAGGCATTTTATTAAAAAATATAAATAATTTAAATATTAGTTCTAAATTTACAATGTACTTTTACAATATTTTCAAAATCTAACAAACATTTTATTATTATTTAAATTGCTATTAAATTTAATGGAAAATAATAAATTATTAAGGATATGGATAACATTAAAACTTTCTTTGAAGGATTGGGGCTTACATAGCTTTCTGAAGATGCACCAAGCTGCTTTGACCTGTTTAAAGAATTATTACAAGATATTTCTCTAGATAAAATAATTGCTGAAAATAGCTCGTATCCCTTCCTTAAAAAATTAATAAACTTCCTTAATGATCAAGTTAGTGGAAAAGGCTTTAATATATTTTTATGCTTTGATATTGCAGTGCTGCACGCTGAATTTAACTTTGAAGGATTAGGGGATATAATTTAAAAGTTATTATTTCCAAGTAGTAACTCTTGATACTTTTATAATTTGTATTTTGTAAGATAAATTTATAAAATAATCATTTAAGTTACTGGTAAATTTTTTGAATTTTAGACTTTTTTATCTAAGACTAAAATAATATAATTAAATACATACATATAAGATTAAATAATAAAATTATTGGCTTTTAACTAAGATAATCGTTCAAATAATAAGATCTTTGATTTTAATTATTTTTGTTTGAAAAAATTAGTCCAGTTAATAAAATCAATTAGTTATGAATTTATTTGTAAATTTTTGAATAACATTATAAAAATTAAGAAGGTAAAAAATTAAATTTAAGGTCTAGAAAAGATTGGGTAAACATTTATTTTATTAAAGCAAATGAATAATAAAATAATAACAAATAATAAATTAAGTTAATAGAGACATACATCGATCGGTTGATTAATATATCGCTTGAATGTAATTTTTTCTTAAACTAGAAACTCAAAAAATATTTTCAACAAATATTTGAATTCATCAGAAACTTTTATAAATAAATAAAAGTTTAAATGAGAAGGTTGTTAAGGTTATTTATTTTAAAAATAAATTTTAAAGAATAATTTAATTAAAATTGAATACACTAATATAAATATTTACATAAAGATTTTAATTATTGATTAAAGAAGTTATTTTTTATTTATATATTTTTTATTTTTTAGAAAGTTTTTATAATATGGTTATTGTTTTTGTTAGTAAGTAGGTTTTTTTTCAGAATGATAAAGCTTAGAAAACAGTAGCATTGATTTTGCTAGGGTCTTTTTCGGGTTTTTATTTGTTTTATATTTTAGGGAAAATGTAATTGACATAATTGTTCCATGAGGTGGCTGATAGGTTGGCAAATGGAGCTCTTAGGTAAGGGGGAATAAATAAGTGGTTAAGTGTGCATAAGAGGGGCCATACCTAATAGTAATTTTTAAGAGAAAAATCAACTTTAGTTTAGAATGCACTTTTAATTGATTAGACGTTTTAATTATAAAGTAGATTGAAACCACTGTGATATAGAATTTGCATCATTGGGAAGCAAACAACATAGTCAGTGGTAATCTTTACAAATAATTATTTGAAGTTAACTTTCTTAGTAACAGGATCAATCAATGTTGGTGTAGCTGGTTTACCGATAGTAGCTTGAATAATTTTGGGTTAAAGCTTGGTAAACCATATGAAGAGCCAAGGAGCAGCGGCGAATCCAACTGAGAAGTTGATGCCAATTTTTTTTAAGTCATATTTTTCTCTCTTTTCAATGAATGTTTGATTCATGAGGTCAAATGATGAGAGAATGGTTCCAGCAGTCATCATTCTGCTGAAATAAGGATGAGTTTCTAAGCATCTCTTGTACCAGTTAATCATTATTAATAATTTATTTTAGGGCAATTAAAATTTGTCCTTTGTAGTTTAATTAGTTTTTGTGTTTGACTCTTAGTTTTTATTAATATTTTTTTTAATTAAATTATTATTAAATCTCTTGATTGTTTGTTACTTTTCAAATTTAAAGAATTAAGTCATCTATTACATTTAATTTTATTTTAGAGCTAGTGAATTTATGTCTGATACATTATTAAGCTTATAAATTTTCTTCTATTTCATAATTTTGATACTACCCGTTGATTGATTATCTAACTAACTATCTATCTATCGCTCACCTAACTTTGTGATTTTAATTATTTGTAATTTTTAAAGTAAATCTAAAAAATTTGTTAACTTTTAAAACTCATATCTATTATCATTTATTGTTACTTTTACACTTTAGAAATTATGCACATATAAATCTTACAGCCATTAATTCAAAGCACTTCACATTGAAACCTAAACAAATTGATTTATATAAAGGTTAAAATACTATCAATTAATACCAAGAGGTGAAATTAAAATTGATCTAATATGCAGTTCTATAATATTGTTATTTAATAATCAATTTTTTTGCTGAAAACACAGCCAGTGCTAAATTAACGCTTTAAGAATCCAATGAGGGAGATATATAATTTTGTATGACTCAGTAGAAATTTAGCTGCAGTTTGGTGCGAAATTATTAGATAAACTGAATAAAATAACTAACTAACTAATTAATAAGCAATTAATCGCGAAATCGTTCAATAAATTGACTGTCTATACCAAATATTTCTTAATTTCAAATTTTTAATTACTTTCGCATCAAAATAGAAAAAGGGTAGAATAGTCAAGTACTATAAAGACAAAATACTTCCAAAACTCATTAATTGAGTATAAATTTAAAAGGTATTAGAATTAATTTTTAATGGAATATCTCTATTTGATTGTTAATGCAGATTTTTCACTTTTGTTTACAATTTTTTATTTATTTCAATAAAATTAAGCAAGAATACTTTTTTTTTACAATTCCAAAAGCTGCTGAAAAATATTATTTTTTTAAAACAGTTTAGCTTACTTTTGTTTTTTTTCATTTTTGCGATTTTACCTATACGAACCTCAAACAAATTATAAATTGAAGGAGAAGTAGAGAAAGAAAAAAAAAAGGTAAATTTCCTATGAATTTTATTGAGCATTAATTATTTCAAAATAAATAAATGAAATTAAAGAGTGCTAATCTGTTACTCAGATTTAAGTAACCAGAATTTTTGATTTTTATACTTAACTCAAATAAATGTTTGCTTACGTACTTAAATTATTTGGTAATTAAATAAGCCTTCTTATTCTTGCCTTCCTTGTTTTTATTATTCAAATTTTTTTAATTTAAAAAAGAAAATTTATAAAATAAAGTTTTCTACTATATAAATAATATTTAATATTTTATAGAATACATCAATAAAATGATAATATATTCTAGATACATATCTATTATATGATAGACATTGAATTTTTTAAATTAAAAAACAACATTCAGATGTTTTTATCCCCTTTTTTCATTTTTTCTTTTTTTTTTAGATTTTATCAAAGTTTTAAAATATTTTGATTATAAACAATATTATTAATTTAAAGCTAAATTTTTTAAAAGATGGAATAGTAAAATATAAATCAATTAAAATAGTGATTATATCCATATAGAATTTTATGAAATCGACTACAAAAACAATTTCATTTGTATTTTGATTTGAAAACAACATTATTATTAATGTTATCAAGTTTTCAAGCTTATATATGTTAGTGTAAGTAATAATTTCTTAATAAAAAAAACAATTTAAAAAGAATACAAATTAAAATCTGCTATAAGAAATACTTAATTAATTTATATTTGCAAATGTAAACGTCAGTAAATTACATATTATGTTAATAGATAGATACAGCCTTTATTATAATATTTTTTCTTCTTCTTCAAAACTATTAACATTTTCTCACCCGTTAATAAAATGACACTAATAATCTTTTAAAAGTTCTATTCTACTTCGAATTTTTACCATTATTTATACTAAATTTAATAGATTACTATGAAATACTTAGTACTTGAAATCATTCATTTTACTTTTCATAATATTTTTTAATCCAGTTTTGAAGTGTTTAGTAGCATATTTAATACTTCGCCAAAAAGTTCTTTGGTATTATTTTTTTTTCCTGGTAAAATGTTTTCGATGTAATTTCTTTCACAATTTCTATTTTTTATTCAACAGTATACCTCTTCTTAAATTACCTTTTTAACTTTTCTGACTCAATAGAATTAATATTCTTTTACTAACCATCCTTCTCTTCCTCTTCCTCCTAAAAATAAAATTTTTATTTTTGAATTTTTTACTCATAAATAAATTCATAAATACTTTAAAATTTTTATCTCGAACATCTTCGGCATCTCCTTAATCCTAAAATAATTCTAATAAATAAAACTTATTATATGCTAAATCTAAGTTACTGTAGGTGTTTCAAATAAATTTGAGTAGTCATTTTTTATTCTAGCTTATTTGATAGTCTAAAATTCATTTTACTGAACTATCTATTAAATTATTATAAGTTTAATCCTCTTGAAATTATCGAAATTTTTTATAATATAAAAATGAGCTAGTATTATTATAGAACATTTTAAAAAGTGAATTTAAATTTTGATTTTCTTATTATCATTTGTTCTTATAATTGTAAATCACCCATTTTTGTATTGTTGTGTAATAATAAAATCGAGTTGAGACGTAATATATTTCTAAAATTTTATAAAATTTTGCAACATTATAAAAAATTTATTACAATATTGCTACTTGGTGTGATAGTCTCTTAAAATATTTAATCAGTATTTATCTAACTCAACTTTTTAAGATTTAGATGTATTTCATCATCAAATTTTTCTTCATTATTTTAGCAATTATTAACCTGTCATATAAAAAATTAAAAATCATTTCTAAATAATTCATTAAAGCAAAATTTTAGTTATTATTAACTTTATTGCTATTTTATTGTTCATAATAAAATTTTTTTTTAAAAACAAAGAATATCTATTTTTTTTTAATTAAGAATAAAAATATTACACTTCCAGGATTCGAACCTTAAATTTATTGAGGGCAAGGGTCAAAGTAATTATCGAAAATAGCTTTCTATATATCATTCAGATAACTAATTTCATGCTATTCAGTTTAAATATTTTCTTTTGCAAAGTTATTTTGAATACAGCTATTTAACCTCGTTTAATACTCATTCATTTAGTTTTCAAATATTTTTGCTTACAAGGCTATGAATTTCAAATCAATGCAGACAAGTTCGACCATATTTTTAAATTAAGAACTTTTTTAAGATACTTATGACTCTGTTTTAAAGCTTTATTCTAACAATTTCTACATATCACTTTAAACTTTTAGTATTGCTCTCATCAAATCCTCTACTTTATCATCGAAGCCTTAAAAACACTCTTGTAGAAAAATCCCTCTATTTTAGTAAGTTGAATCCAAAATTTTCACTATATTTTCACCTTTAAATGTTTCTTTTTGATCGCCAGTTTTACCTTTTTTTTAATTTTCCATGGTTGACTTTTTTATTGGTAATGTTGCCTAAAAATTTCCTTCCATTTTATTGATTTTATTTGAAACTTGTTAATATTATTTTTAAAATTAATTTTTATAAATATTATAAATTATAAATTATTTATTTAAAATAAGTTCATATTTTTTAGCTTTAAAATTCATTCTATATTTTGTTTTTAGATTTTATTTTATAATTAAAATTTTTAAAAATTAGAACAAGAATTTTTTAAAATAGTAAAAATTATTATTTCCCCTAATTTAATATTATCTAATAATTAAAATATTTTTTTTTTTATTCAAATTAAATTAAAAAATATTTCCAAGAATTATTTTAGATGCTTAAATTAAATCAGATGAATTTTCAAAATAAATATCTTGTAATTTTGCTTCTAAATTTTGGTAAAAAATGTATATTGGGTGTCTTTTTTTTTAAATTGAGTATTTTGTATTTTATTAAAAGATAATTAGGTAATGAGTAATAGTGGTAGTTTGAAGTAAGTTATTTGCAAGTTAAATTTTAATTTTTCAAATAAAAATGATTAAGTTGTTATTTTAATTTGGGAAATTCGTTTAACTATTTAAAAAAAATAGAAAACTCAATAAAGTCTCAAAAAATAAATTAAAATTAATTTATTAAGAAAAAATTTTGATTTGTCAAAAATATTTTAATTTTTAAACGATAAAATCATTTTTCAAGTGTAATAATGAAGCTTAAGATATTCTTAAAAACTGAGTGATTATTATATTGATTTGATTAAAGAATATATTGATTGTAACTAAGATTAAATTAGCAACAAATAATTACCAAGAAATTAATAAATTTAAGTATAAAGAATTAATGTTATAGATGATAAAAGAAGAAGCAAAATAAATAAACTCAAATACGCTTTCTTTTATTCAGTAAAGAAATCAAGATTAAAGCTATTTTGGTTAATAGCAAAACATAGACATAGGTCCATGGAACTCTTAAACAGAGAATTTTAATTAAATATTAGATATTGAACTATCTTTGAGTAAATATAATTAGGGATTTTACTAAAAAAATGGAATTAAAAGTAAGAAAAGGGTTGCAAAAAAAAATAATAAAAGAAGCTTAAGCTAAATGGAAAATTAAGAATATAAAAGAGTTTAAGATCTAATAAAAGATGAAGTTTAAAGATAAGAAAGCAACATTATTAAAACATAAGAGAATACAAATTAAAAATAGTTATTAACGCATAAATTAGATTATGAAATAGGATTATAACCTTTATAAAGAGGGGTTAATGCAAACTAGAATTTAGAAGATTAAAAGACATAAAACAAAGAATAGGTAAAATTAGATATAAAATATAGCTTTTTAAAGCCAATTACTGATAAATACTTAAACTATGGCAGAAGGAGAAGTACTAAATTAGTCTATTAAAAGCCTTATACTTAAGAAGAAGAAATATGTCAAATACATACTGAACCTTCTTAATAATTATTTAAAAGCATATAATTTAAAAATGAAAAATTATTTTAATCATAAATTACATAAAATATTCTTGATCTAAAAAATTCTTAAGACTCTATAAAATTCAAATAGCTATAAAAAATTAGATATTTTACGCCTAGTTAAGAAAACACTAATTTTCCAAATAATTATTTATAGTTAAATAATAATGAAAATTAAAGACTCAAAACAGTAAACTGTAATTACAATTTCAGGACAAATAGCTAAAGAAGAAAGCAATCTCTGTAAACACAAACAATAGAAAATGGATATAGTCTTTGCATTACTTAGGAAAATCAAAAAAATCATAGCTTGTCTTCATTATCTTTAAGTGATAGTTCAAAAAATTAAGACATATTAATCACAGCCGCAGATGTTTCGATTTGTTAAAATCAGAAAGATCATTTAAAAGAATAATTGATAAAGCAAACGCAAGATAATATCTAGCTTTTATAATCAACGCCTACAAAAATAGGTAATCTATTTTAAGTTAGCTCCAAATATAATAAATACAAAAAAATAGATTAAAAGCAAAATGATCATGTTAAATATAATTTAGATAATCAAAAATATAACATTCATGAAATTAATTAAGATTTCTGTAACAAGCGCTATAGCTAAAATTAAAAAATAGTTTTAAATAACTTTAATAAAAAAAATGAAATTTAATAATAGCAGAGTTAAAAACCTCCTCAATCTGTTCTTATAAGTGTAAAAGAATAAAATTAAAATTGGAAGTAAGAAGATATAGACTCTGAGAATATAATTAAAGTCTCTCGCAATTAATATTAAAATATTAATAATAAAAATAATATATTAAATTAATAATAAACATAATAAAATGAAAAAAGAATAATATTAAGAGACATGGTAATTGCTACTAATATCTAGACTAAGAATATTAATAGATTTTCTAAAAATGTGAGAGAGGATTTCGAAAAAGATTAAATAAGTTTTTAATAAAATTAGGATACAAATATTTAATAAAAAAAAGGTATTTAACCTTGCTTCGTTGACTTGAGCTCATAAAAAACAAATAGCATTTAATAATTTTCTAACTTTAATTCCTTATAAAATTAGTTGTAATAGACAATTTAAATTGCAAAAGATAAATGTGATAATAGAAATAATAAAGAAAAATCAATTGATTTGGAAAAATAAATATTTTAGACCGAATTAAATAATTTTTAACTGTATAATAATTAGCTTAATCACAAGAGTTTAGATCTATCTGTAGCTTTAAATAAGCAAGAATAGGATTAAAGATAAAATACATGTTTAATTTATAGAAAAGCACCATGTTCAAAAAATTAACTAAAATTTGATTGTAATATTAGCTAGAGTCCTGTTTAACATAATAATAAAAGAAATTAATAATTGGATTTAGAATCTAAAAGCTTGCTTAGAAGTAGCTGTCATGATATTTATCATAAATAATTTGGAGGTTAATTTTCAATCTAAAATAATAAATCTAAAAGAAGTACTTCTACTCCTAAATAAACTGAAATGCTTTTTGAATACATTAAAATTCATAAAAAAGAATAAATAGACTTAAACAATGAAAAAATAAAAAAATAGAATGAGTCAAATTAGCTTTAGCAAGCAAGAAAGAGCATAAATCCTTAAATTGATTTTAATCATTTACCTAAAATAAAATATGAAAATACTACAATAAATAATTAAGATTGATTGATTGATAGATATTTCACTTTTTAAATAAAAAGAAAATTAATTTATTAATAATTTTTGTTTCAACTAAATAAATTTCTCAAATTAGGAGAAAATATTTAATTTATAATATTGTACCTATATTGTTTTTCACCTATTCTAACAAAATTATAATAACATAAGCAATTTTCAGTTAGTTATTATTTACCATAAAATTAATATCTTAACAGCTATTTCATTAATTCTAGATCAAATTCTATTCAAATATTTAAATAAAAAAAATAAAAAAATAATTAAACAGTCAATATTATGTTAAATATTATTTTTTTATTAGATTATCTCTATTAAAATATTTAATATTTTTAATTTTATAGAAATGCGATTTGATAAGTGTTTGTTTGACTACTTATTGCATTTTTTTGAATTAAATTTTACTAAAATAAAAATTAAAAATTTGCAAAAAAATTATTTATTTATTTATTTAAATTAATTAATTTTATATAATATTATTTAAATTCTCTTAATAAATTAGTTATCATTTATTTATGATTATCTAAAATATTTTCATGATGATTGGTTATTTACTGAAATTTGATTATTACTATTCTTGTTAGGTGACTCAGATTATGAGTCATTTATCATATTTTTGTTACTATTATTATTTATATTAATTTTATTCATTTCAGATGATTAGTACATTTTTTCTGTTTATTAGTCATCATCATTTTCTTTTAACTAAGAGAATTTTTTAGTGATTCTTTAAATTTCATCTTCTTTATTATTTTATTATGCTTTTTATTTTGAAAGATCTATTTATTAATCTTCATCTTCTATGTTTTCAATATTTTATTACTTATTTTTTATCTCCTCCAATCTGGGTACTTTTTAAATCTAAATTACTTACTCTACTGAATGAATCAACATTTCTATATTAGAAAGTTGTGGTATAATAGATATCTCGACTATTTCATTACAAAAATAGGTAACTTCATCTTTTATCCTTTAAACAGAAAGCCTATTACTGTCAGAAGAGGTTAACAGCTAAATAAATGTATAAATGTAAATTTCAATAAAATCATTAATAATCATTTCAAAAATATATTTCAGCTCACTTGTGTTTAATATTTCCTCTAAGACGTTATACATTGAGCGAATACTATCAACAATACGTGCAGTTTGAGCAAGAGGAACATTTATTTTTTCTTAGGGTTTATGCCAACCAAGCAAATTTACCTATGATGCAGATTTTTATAACATATCCTTAATAATATTTGGAATTGTTCCAAAAATTTCGGAAATATGATTTTAAATATCTATTTTGATCTTCTGAAACTCTGCATCAATTATTTCCTTCGAAACATCTGTATTTTAAACTAATCTTTCTTTGATTTTATCAAATATCTTAATAAGAAATGTCAAGTTTAGAGAGCTAGTGGCTAAATTTTTTACTGTAACTTTCCCATTCATCTGTGGAAATTAAGGATTTTTTCCTTTTGCAAGTACAATAAACTCTCTTGAAAAGGTATTGTACTACCTTAGAAGAGAAATAAATCTGATAAAATATTCTTTGCTGTATTATATTTTAGATTCTGCCATTATTCCTATATATTTCTAAACTTGCTTTAAGAAAACTAAAAATCCTTCAGAGAACATGTACTTTTTATTTTCCTTTTCAAAGATGAGCTTATTTAATTGAATTTTGTATTCTCTCTCAAATTTTTTAATGTAATAATGATTTAAATCTTGTAGGTCTTCCTCTTCATCTTCACTATCTGCTTTTATGATATTGCTTCTTATTTTGTTAAATTATTCTTCTTCATCATCACTATTGCTATGTAAATCATGTTTTTTCTATTTTAAAAACATTTATTTTGTTTTAGGTTTTCATTTAATTAAAATATTTTAAGAAACCCTCCATTTATTTTTCAAATTTAATACTAAATAATATCAATAGTTGTAAATTAAAAATATTACTTTTTATATAAAAAAATAGTCTAAAAGGTTGTATATTTTATATGAGATGTTACAAGGATTCCAATTATCATTAGATAAGGCATTTTCTAATATAATTCTTTGCTTTTCATCAAATGTTGTAAATAGCTCAAAATGAAGTCCTGATTTTTGCTTGTAGAAATAATTTATGTCATAAGTTTGAATGGTGTCTTTATTTGCCTTTACTAATTCAGATTATATTTATATTGGTAGATTAGTGGATTCTAAAAAGGATAGCTCAGAGGTTTTCTTAAACATAGTAGGAAATTCCTTGAGCCAATATTAAAAGAGTTCATTTGAAGAACTTATTTTGAAGGCCAAATTAGCATCTGTAGATGTATTGATATATTTTACATATGCAATCAGATCAGAAGAAAAGGTATCTAATATTTCTATCTAAAATTTAGTGAAATTACAAATAATAGGTAATACTTTTTAACCCCAATATTCTACTGATTGCTCAGTTTACCAAGTAGAAGTTATTATTTCTTACTTTATTTGATAAATCAAGGAAAATGATTTAACAATGTAAGATTATATTAACTTTGAGTAAAACTAAGCAAATTTAATCAATAGGATATCATTAACATCATTTAAAAATGCATGTTAATCATCCTTATCTTATTTAAATTCTTTATTCTCATGATAGTTATGAGTTTTGTAAAGCTAAATACAGTATTCTCTGAACTAATTTCTAATTTAATTTTGAAACTTTTATACATCTTTAATTATGTTATTTTTAAGAACTTCAATTCTTATAAGTTCAAAGTTATGTGAGGACTTCAGGTATAACTTAGCCAATTTTGTCTCAGTAGCTTAAATTGAGTGAATATCATTAAAAGTCCATTCAAATACTTAGAGGCTTTCATCTATATCATCTTCCTAATCATAATGAATTGATGATGAATCATTGTGTAAATTACTGTTGTAGCTGTGAATGCTAGAAATATCTATGCTTAGTTCTGCATGATTCTACTTTTTCTAAACTTCTTTATAATTTAAGTTTTCTTTCAAATATTTGCTAATGCCATCAAGTAATTCTGAGTAGTGGTCTTGCTCTTCCTTCTTAATAACTTAGACATATTTCTTTTAAATAAAATTATAAAGGCTTATTGACTTTAATTTTTCTAAAAGCCTATCACTTTTCTTAACTTCTCCACCTGTAAAATTAATTTAATTTAAATTATATATTTTTTTTTGTAAAAACTAAAATATTACTTATAGTCATTTTGTTTTATGAGTTAGCAATTTATGCTTGTAAGTTATTCTATGGTGAAGAATAATTAGATAACTTTTCCTCTTCATTTAGTAATATTTGCTCTAACTTTGGATCTTCTTATAAAGCTAAATCTTTATTTTAGTTTAATTATTTCATTCTAATTAAAACTTCATAAGTCATTAAAAGTCTTTGTTGAGCCTTTTTCTTTTTGACTATTTCCAAGCCTCCTTTCAAAAGCTTTTATTTCATTTTTTAATTAGTTTCTTTAATTATCTTAACTTTTTAGAGATTTTCTTCACACTTACTTCCCATTTTATCAAAATTTAATATCATTTCAAGTATCTGATTGAATCTATTTATAAAAATAATCATTAAATATTTGCAATTTATGTTTAAAAATGTTGCATCAAAAGCATGGTAAGTTATATTTATATTAACCAGCTCTAAAACAATTTTTTCTAAACTAAAATTTTTATATTAAATAAAACTCTAAGCATTATCGTCTGTTGTTTTTTGCTTATCCTTTAAATTATTTTCTTAAATAAATTGAAAACTTTTTACCTAAAGTATACTTGATAGAATAAATTTAGCTCTACTTCATCAAGGTATTCAACTAATTAATTTTGATACTACATAAGAGCCCTAACGTCTCTTCCAATATCATTGAAAAAAGGATAGTTTTCATTTTCATACTCTTTAAAAAATATTGTAGGCACTTTAGAATAGCAATTAATCAAATTTTTGTTAAGGTGCATATCATGAAGATGATCTTCAAAACTACCGTTTTACTATTTTTAATGTTAATACTCTTTATAATCTGTAAGTATCCTATTTTTATACTGGTCAAAATCGCTTATAGATATTGTCAATTTTTAAAGTTCTTCTTCGCTTAAACTATACTTATTTGGTTTAATATTTTTTTCAATGATATCTTTAATTTTTTCATATTTTTCTAAAACATTATCAACAACTTTCTATGCTCTATTTGGGATTAATTAAGTAATATATCTATTGAATGATTCCATATTACTTGGATTGGTATTATTTATACTTTGCTATAAGCTTAATCCTCCATTAATTCCTTAATTTCCATGAAACGATGCTGACTAATCTAGTAATCCTGCTGTTTAGCGTTGTATTTATGGCGTTTGCTAATTTTTCGGTTAATTTTATTTATTTTTATCTATGCTTGATTAATGAGTTAAAATCGAACTATTATTTGACGCAGGCTATGAATGGCTATCCTGAGATTTTTACTCTTTGAAGTTAGATTGGTAATTGCTCATGTTTTTGGTATCTTTATAATTAGTTTCAATTCTTAATCTTTTTTAAAGTATCTCTTAATGCAATAAATAAACTTGATCTATCAATAAATTGCTTTCTAAAATATTAATGTCAAACTAAACCTAATTTTTAGATAGATTATTGAGTAGATTTATTCTAGTAGATCTATAATTTATGTAGTATTTATTTGAAAAGACTAAAACTTGCAATACTAGCTATCGCTCTTAAAGCTCTATCTTTTTCTTTTATATTAATTTCTTTTTAATTTAGAATTAAGTGTTTGTTAGTACTTTTTATATTATAAATTCAGGTTTTAATTATATTAGTTGAAATTATCTTTAAACGAACTCTTCAATAAAATAAATAAATAACTACATTTAATCTTCAAAATTTTTAATTAATTCAAAAACATACATAAGAAAATGATATAAATAAAAGTTTAACAAGCAAATAAATAAATAAAATTCAAACTTTTTTACCATTTTTTCTAAAATATTCTTTCATTGATTTAATTAAGAAGACTTTCTATTTCCAAATATGTTTGAGTAAAAATACTTTAGGATAAGCAATATGTTACTTTTTGATGTTACCTTTTTGCATTCATTTCTAAAAATCTATTTCAATATAAAACTAGTTCTAAATTATTAATTATTTTTGAATAATTTAAAAGTATTAAATGTCCTTTTAAGGAAAAATAAATAAATGTTTAAATGTTAAAATATAATTTAAATAAATAATTTGTAGACTAAATTTTAACTAATTACAATACCACATTTATTTATTTATTATGTTTTGATTATTTTTTATTTAAGAATAATAAATTTATCAATAAAAGATTCATTTTAATAATTATTTTATTACAAAACCAATATAATTAAGTTTAAATTTCAGATTTAAAAGTTTCCTTCATTTTTTGATTTTTAAATCTATTTATTACTAAAAAGGTTTTAATTTTTAGATTATTAGCAATTTAATAATTATTGATTAAATAATAATTCTAAATTAAAATAAATTTCTTAAAATAAATATTAAATTTAAAGTAAAAAGGTGTGTTTTTTTTAAGATATTTTTTAAATTGATCAAACTTCCATAAAGAATTATTATATTTTGAGATCTGAGATTTTCTGATAGCAATTATAATTTTTACTATATATTGTGATGGCTAAATATTTCATAGATATTTCATCAAAATATTTGTCTAACATAATTCATTAAAAATTAATAATAATTAGAAAAAAGTAAAAAAATTTAGTTTATAAAGTATGGATAAAGATTATAGACCTGAAATTCCATAAATGGATTCTCAAAGTATTTTCAATTTATTTTTATAAATTGAAATTAAAGATAATGAAGAATGCAAAGAAACTATTTCTTTAATTTGGAAACAACTAAGGCTTTTAGTTACAAAAAAATAGTGCTAAGTAATTATCAAATTAACTTAAATAATGATAACTTAGCACATTTTTAATTTAAAAAGGATGAAGTTAGACAGTTCTTACAATAAAGTAATTGTTTTAAATCTATTTTGCAGAAAGTAATTAGCATAAACGAAGCAAATATACTTCACCAAAGTAATATTGATAGCTTTTTCTTTTAGTTTATGGCTAATTTTATTACTGGAAATGAACAAAATTAGGTAAAATACTATATTTTTAATTCTACATAATATTTACTATTTTTAAATAGAGTTTTATGGCAGAAGAAATTTTTAGCAAAGATGAAACCTATTATCTACTTTTTAAAAAAGTCTATGATTCTTTTAGCTTTAGAGATTCCAAACTAAGAAAATTTATCTGCACATTTTTGTATAACTTTTTAAAAGCTTAAAAGGTAGAAGTGGTCATGAAAAATATTATGAATAGCCTTTCAGTAATTAAATTAAAATAATTGTGTATTTAAAAATTATTAATTTTATTTATAGTTTTAGCATATTTTAAAAGGAGTACTTGTAGAATTTTTAGAAAATAAAAATGAGAGTGATATTAATATTTAAGAATAAGCAACCTAATAAATATAAGCTTAGTCATAAGAAGTGTAGGTTATTTATTGGACTCTGCTATTAATTTCTCATCTCTTTAACTTGAGTTAAAATTAGTCATTTAGCATTATATAGTATTTAGAAATTTTGTTTGTTTCTGAGGAAGGGGTTTATGTTGAGTAAAAAAACGAAACCTACCTATTCAAATGTAAAGGAAAGGAGTATAATTTATATGAGCTTGTTTCAAATAGTTTATTTGAAAAATTCTAGCTCTTCTTGTACCACATTTCCTAAAAATTTATTGATGAAAAAGTTAATAACTCATTTGTAAAAGGACTAGAACCTACTATTATAGATGTAAGATGCCAGTACGTTAATAAGAGTGATTATTAGTTCCAACTTAACACAAATGACTTGGATTATATCACAACTTAATTTAAAAATATACATTAAAGCATATATAACTTATTAGATGCAAAAAAAGCCTTTGAGCTGGTAGATCCTCAAGATTTAGATGATGAGGAAAAGCTATTATTTACTAATCATTTGATATAAATTCATGATAAAATTAGAGTATTTTGTAATCTCACTTTTTTGGGAGCATACAACAGCTAAATTTAGAAAAAAATATTTGATAACGGATTATTTGAGGAGGTCTTAAAGTTAAATTAAAATTTATAAAAATTAAATAGCTTAAGTTTTGATCGTTCTCAAGCACTAATTAATTCCAAAAAGCAATGCTTGCTTTACTTTTCAGCAGAAAGTTATTAAGATATCTTTTCTAACATTATGAGATTTTTAAGTAATGTCGTTCACATTAACAGAGAAGCATAAGATTACATTTTATAAAATGGGTATTTGCTAAGTTGCTTGAATTAAACTTACATGGATGAAACTAATCCTCTTCAAAGAGAATGGTCTGTTATGCTTATCCGTAACCTATGTGACAGCAACGATGAAATGCAATCAGCCATATCAAACTTGAAAATGTTTGAATTCAGTGATAGGACTAAAGAAATATTGTAGAAATATTAAGCCAAAAAAGAAGAACTTGAGCAAATTAGACAATCCATGAAAGATGGAACTATACAGAAAGAATTAACAAAAATTTGTGAAGAAAAAAAAAATGAAGATTTTGATGATTTTATTTGATTAAATAGATTTTTTATATAATTATTTAAAAATAAATTATTTTAAGTGTTTGTTTGTTTTGATATGTTTGTTATTTATTTATTCTAAATATTATATTCTCATTTTTATTATTATTTTATATATTAAACACTTATAAAGGAGGTAAAAAAAACGATATAAATCAAGATGTTTCATTATTTTTAATTAGGCCTTGCATACTTTGTTTGTTTGCTTAAACATCATAAACATATATATTAGCAAAAACAAAAAAAAAAATTTTTTTTCTTTTGAATTATTATAACTTTTATTTTTTGATTATAAAATTAAGTAAATCATTAAAATAAATTAATAATTACTAAAAAATAAATTCAGTATAAATAGCTAAAAGCAAAAATTTATAATCTTAAAGTTTATCCTTTAGCAGAGCTATTAGAGTTATTCGTATACATTGAAGCTATCTATTATTTAGAATAAAAAGTTTGATAAGAAATGTCTGAAAAGCAAATTCCATCTAAAAATGCAAGCTAAATTGACAATAATAGCAAACCTAAAGAATCATAGAATCAATCATAATAAGATGTGCATTCAAACACCTAGCTGAATAAAAATGATAATTCTTAAATTCATCAGTAAAATGATGAGAAATTGGAGAAGCAATAATCTCAGGGGAATATTTCATAAGAAAATTTAGATAATTAAAACCATGAAAAGCAATAGAGTCATCATGATAGTTAGATAAGTGGACACGCTAATTAAAATGAAGATGGACATTTGGGAGATGATATTCATGATCATAAAAATGAAAACGAAAGAGAAAGTGATCATCATCATTCCAGAGACAATTAAAATGATTTCAATTAAGATGAAGGTAGTTAAAAGAAAACTCACGGGAATTCAGCCAGTAAATATGGGAGTGTCGAATAAAAGAATAGCACTATCACCAATTATTACTAAGTTAGAAAAGAAAGAAAATAAGCAGAAGTTAATACTTAATCATTAGCAAATAGAATCTCCTTGCTAAAATAAGAAGAGGTCAGAACTTTAAAAAAAATAGAAGAAACCCGTAAAAAGGCAATGGAAATCTACTATTTAAAGCTGAAAAATTAAAAGAAGCAATAGACTGTAAAAAATTATTTTGACATATTTAGGTTTTTTTCTTATTAGATCTTAAGCATTTGATGTTAATAGATAAAAATAATGTGTTTTTTAAAATAAATAAATAAAACGCCTAAAAAATTATTAGTAAATTAAACAGAAAAATAATTTTTAAAGTAATTTTAAATCATTTTGTTCATTTTTTGTTAAATTATTAAAGAAAGTAGAATTACAACAAAAAGAGCTAGCTAGAAAGAAAGAGAGAGTTTCATAGTTAAGAGCCTCAAGTATGGAATCTAAAAAAACAAATAAGGAAATGTACGAGTCATAAAAACTATCAAATGCAACAAAAATGAAAGAATTGAAGCTACAAAATGAAAAGAAAATTAAAGAAAAAAAAGATGTTGTTATGAATAAAGCCAAGGAGAAATATGAAAATATAAAGCAACAAAGAGAAAATAGATAGTAAAAAATAAAAGAATTTTAGGATTACAAGAAGGACCATATTAAAAAAGAAATTGAAGTTAAGACTACACAGGAAGATAAAATTAAAGAGTAAAAAATAAGAGAAATGAAGAGAATGGAAATGCTTGAAATGGATATAATTTAAAGGCTCTAATCTACCTAGATGATGTAAAAACATGCTTATGAAGAACTTGAGAGTGCATTGCTTTTATCAACTGAAGAGTTTTATGAAAAATATCTTAAAAGAGAAATCAACAAATAAGAAGGGTCATAGTTTGACTAAACTGAAGAAAAGTAATAACATTAAGATAACTAACATAAAGAAGGAGAAGAAAACAACGATGATAGATCTTCCAGTTCTCAAATACAAAAATCCACTAGCTAGCCTAATATTTCTTAAGAAAAAGAGCACTAAAAAGAAGAAAATAATGAAAAATAAGGCAGTGAGCAAGAAAAATCGATACATTCAAATTAAAATACCTCTCAATAAAATATTCCTCAATAATAATGAGCAAACATTGATTGAATTTTTTTATTTTATAAAATTATTTTTTTATATTTATTTTGCAAGTTTATAACATACCTTAAGCAAGCAATTTTCAAATACTTGTCTACCTACTAATATTGAATTTAAGATTATTAAATAAAATATTTATCATAAGAATTAATTTTAAAAAAATTCAATATTTTATTTGTTCTAATAATCACATATCATTTTTATTTTTTAATTATTTAAATTAAAATGCTTGATTATGTATTCTTGATCATTCATTTTAAAATTAACTACAAAATTTTTTAAAGAATAATTAATTCAATTTAAATATTTCAAAAATTTGATTCAAATATTTTATGTACTTATCATATTTTTAATTAAATTCATAAATATTTAAAATTAATTTTAATAATATTTTTCTAAAAAAATAAATTTTCTGAATTGATTATAATTGATAAAATATTTAAACATGCAATTTTTTGATAAATACATTAAATTAATATAATTTAATTTTAAATTAGTAATTAATAGTGTTTTTTTAAATTTTTTTAATAAAGGTTTATTCAAAAATATTATCTTTAAATTAGATATCAGCAGAAATAAATTAATTTTTATTTTGTAAGGATAATCATAAATTTTTTGAGGAGAAATTTAAAGTAGTATTACTTAGTTAGTTTATTTCATTTTATTCTTATACAAGATTATAATTTTAAAAGTGTACACTTTTTCTTTGTTTCTAATTCTTTGTTTCTCTAGGATTTGCTTTCAGATTAGAAATTTACTCTAAATTAGTTTTTTTAATAAATAATTAAAATGGATCTTATAATTATTAATGTCTTGTAGTATTAGAACCTCCTATTGAATTAGGAGTTTCTTATAAAACTTTAAATCTATTTAAAATTAACTCTTTTTATTAATGAATTTGCTATGGATTGTAAGATTTTACTTTTTCTGTTTCTTTTTTAGATTCATTTTCATTTTTTTAAAAATCTTATTGAATTTAGTATTTTTCTTATTTGGAAAGCTAATCTTTTTAGTTTATCATAAAATCTATTTTTTGTTAATTGTTTTTACTGTAGATATATTCTTAAAAGTTAAATGTTTTGCTAGCCACAGATTTTATTAACATTTCTTTTCTTTTTTTAATAAATTTAGAATACCAATCATTTCCTTCTTAAAATCCATACATTAGTATAAATATTTTCTTCACATTGAGTAATCTATCTTCAGCAGTTATATTATTATACTTTTTAATAAGCCTTTCTAACTCTTATTCTTTTAAGCTATCAATATTAGTTTATATGTGCTAAATTTACTCTGATAATTTTTTATTATATTCTAAAATTGACAAAGAACCTCTTTTTAGATTGTAAAGAAAAAAATAGTATTCATCTTCTTCTTTTTATCTATTTGCAAATTTAAGAGCACTCGAATACCTAGGTTCTCTCTCTTTCAGAGCATTTTCCTTTACTCTATCCTAAAAAAGGAGGCTAGAATTATCTTTTTCCTAATCATCTTCCTCTTAGACAATATAATTTTGTGAATAAAGCTAAAAATATTCTAAATTTTAATTCTTTGTTTGAAGAGTATTTTTAGATATTTTAGAGAGTTTCTTTTTAATTTCTTGTTTATGATTTACTTCTTTTCCTATCATCATTTTAAGTAATTTTTTATCTTCATCTTCCCAATTTCTATTAGAAACCAAATTTTAAGATATTAAAGATTAAGAGAGTGCAGGAGAGCTACCTTAAGCTAAATTTTTTATAATTTAATTATTCATTTTGATTTCTATTTAGCTTTATTAGTCTAAGAACGGTTTTTTTGGTTATGTTAAATTAAGTGAAGATTTTAAAATAGGAGAACTAACAAACTCTTACTGACTTTACTAAATTTTATTCAACTAAATTTATGAGTGGAGAGAATTTTTTGTGCTTTTTGAAACTATTTAAAATTCTTCTTGAAGTTTTTCTAGCTATATACTGAGTCTCTAGAGTTTTTTTACAAATTCGATATTGTCTTAATCAAAGTAATTAGGTAACATTTTTTCGTCAATTTCTTCATCGATTTCCTACATATACTGAATTGATATATTTTTATAAAAAATTTAAAATTCTAATTTAAAAAATATACTTCTATGAGCTTAATGATTGATATTTATGGACTTTCATATGACTTATGCTATTAAAGAAGAGAAAGATAGTAATTTTTTAACTACTTTTTTTTTGTTAGTTTTGAATTCTTTAGATTACTAAGCTCTTCCTGGAGGCTGTTTGAATTAAGTTAATTTTCTTTAAGTAGTTATTAAAGTTGCCTTATTTTGTTACTTAAGGATCTTTGTCTTCTATCGAAATCAATTTAAATGTTTTTTTGTTACTCTTAAATTTAACTGTTCAAATTCGCAAATGATTTTTAATTTTTCTGCTCTTTGTTTCTTCCCTATCTGAGTTATTTTTCTTAGTTAGATTCTTGCTCTTTTTCTAAAGTAATATTTTGTCTGCTGAAAACTTAATATTTTTAGAGTGCTGCTTTTTCAAGTTCAACTTGCATTTTTTACTGCAAATCTTTTTTTTCTTCTTATATTTAATTTATTATTGACTGTAATTTAAATGTTTCTAAGCGGCTAGATTCTAAAATATCTTTTTTTTCTTTGATATTGCTAACCATTTATTTGTAATTTAATAAAAGCTATTATTGAACTTATTCGTTTAAAAATGTACCCTCATTTGCATTTTCAAGATTTTTAGTTAATTGTGCACTTTATTTAACCTAATTTAAAGTAAATTCTTTTTCTAGTTATTGGATATATTATTCTGTTTTTGTTTAACTTTAATTTCCACCTACCTTTTTCCCACTCACTAAATTGAGTAGTTATGGAGTACCAGATTTTGCTCTCTTAATTTATTATATAAATTTGAATGAATCTAAAGTTTTCTTTTAAAAATTTTCTATTTCATCTTTGACAATTTCTTATTGTTTTTAAAAAAACTAGCTTGTTATGCTTTAAGGTCTAGTATTTCTTTCAGAAATAAACCCTGAATTTTATCTTTCTTCGTTCACCCTAGGACTTGGTAATCTAGATAAAAATTATTTTTATTTTTATCCGTTTATATTATCTTAAAGTGAGCTTTATTCTTTAAACTTTGCTAAAAATCTATGTTTTAAATCTTCAATATGCTCTTAATGAAGTGGCTCTATTTTTTTCTTAAGTTTTAAAAGAAATAATTTTTCTATAAGCATCTCATTTGTTTCAGATTAAATCTGTTTAATTGTTTTTTTTGGCTAAGCTATAATTTTAATAACACTTCTACTATCCTAAGTTTCACTATCATAATTTTGTAAAGATGATGTTTATTATTGGGTAGCTAATTAATTGGAACTAATTTCGTTTTCAGGTTCATAATATTTTTTTTTTATTTTTCTTTTCATTTAAGGCGAGGCTCCATTAGAAAGTAAATGCTTTTATTTATCATCAGTGCTATTTGAATTATTCTTTTGAATTTACTAATTACCAGATGAACTAAAATCATAATTATTTACTATACTATTTAAGATGATTTCATTTATTTATGGTTCCTAGTTAATTGTGCTTTCTTAAACGTTCAATTTCATTCTTTGCTATATATTAGAAGCATTAAACTTAGTAGAATCTATTTATGAAAGTTATATATCATTTGATATTGACATAGTTTGTCTAGAAGTTTATTAGTTTATATTGCCATTTTAATTTTTTTCATATTCATTTTTAGCTTAATTTCCATTTAAATTTTAAACTGAAATTTATTTAAATTATCTTAAATGCCTATTATTAAATCTATCTTATCCTAAGAAGCTCTAAGTTGATTCTTTGATGCCAAATATCTATTCAGTATAATTTTGAACTCTTTTTGTATTCTCTAATTCATTTTTCCACTCATCTAGCTCTTCATATAATTATTTTTGATCAATTTCATATATATTACGATTGTCTTTATCTAATTATTATTATGGTGATAAACTCTATCTTTTAGAGCTATTCTTAAACTTTTAGTCTTATAAATTGTTTTTGATATTTTCCTTCTACTGTATCAAGTTTTAAGAATATTTTCTTTACGATTGCTATACATCATTCGTTAAGTTCTACCTATTTTTGATTTTTATATTACCCTTTTGATAATTAGAGCTATTAACAATATTTGTTGGAAGTGGATCATCCAAATCACTTAAATATCTAACATTTGTAAGCTATTATTGAGAATCTTAAATAAAATCTACTCCATACTATGCTTTTTCTTCAATATTATCTGAAAAAAATGCAATATTCTTTTTAATTTATTTATTTGGTATATCTTTATTTTACTTTTAGTTATTCTTTAGCATAAGTGTCCGTCCAATATACCTATAAAAAAATGTATTTTTTGTAATGACTCTCAATAAAAATATTTAATATTTTGGCTATTTTACAGATTCTAGTTGTAATTTTAAAGGAAGAAAAAAAATTTATTTAAATTACTATTTTTTGATCGTAAGTTTTGTAAGTAGTTTAGAATTTAAATTTTAAGATAAAATAACAGTATGTATCTATCTATTATATTATTTAAGTTAGATTTTAATATTAAAATATCAACTTAAATTTAATAAAACCAAAAAATATTAATAGTATATCTTATTATATAAATGACAAAAATTGAAAAGGCATATGATATTTAATCCAATCTTATGATTGTAAGTTATCAAATAATTTTAAATAAATTTTAAATTTAATTATATTTTAATTTTTAGGAAAAATGGAGACTAGTTATATTCACTTAGCTTCTTTGTTAAATGTATTTTTATGTGAAATAGCTGATTTATTTAAGAATTGTTAATATAATAAAATATATAAGTCAATAAAAAGTTGAAAAAATTATTAAATACAAAAATGAAAGTCTAAAATAAATTATTAAAAGTATTTTAAAAATTTTGAGACAGATAGAAATATTATTATGAAAGCTAACATTGTGTTTTCATGTTAAAATGTTAAGGGAAAATTGTAATTACCATGTAGAATTTAAAGGGCAAAAATCTAAATCAAAGAATATAAATAAAAACTCAATTACTGTTCAAGAAGTAGTTATTGAATAAAAAGATACTTTCTATTATTTAAAAAAAAATATATTCTAGCTAATAGATTTGATATATAGACAATCAATACTTTCTTTAAACAAAAAAAACAAAAAAAGACAAAAAAGAAAAAAATGTAATAAACCACCACCACTTAAGATAAAAGGACTCTTTTGAATAAGGAAATTAAATATGTTAATTAATAAAACGAGGATGAACTTAAGCAAAAGAAAAAGTATATCTTATTTATTCATAATGTTCCTTAAGACCTCGAAACTAGTGCTTTACACAATTTTATGTCTAATTATGGTGAAATTATCAATCTTAAGCTTAAGAAGACCGAACAAAACAAGAATTTAGGTTATGGTATCGTTGAATTCAAAACTGAAGAAGCCTACAATAAAATTTTCAAAGAACAGGAGTTAAATGGTAAGATTTCTATTCCAAACTCTAACATATCTATCAATGTCTAAAAGTTCAACGATAGCAACAGAAAAAAGGCAAACAGATTACTCGTTCTTAATTTATTCGAACAAGAAATCCCAGCTGATTAAAAGGAATAGAAGGCTTAATAAATCAACATCATTTTCGAGCAAATTAAGAAAGACCTTTAAGTTCCTCATTTCAAATTCTACACTGAATACAACCATAAATAGAAGAATTTCTGGGTCGTTTTTGATTTCTAATACGATGATGATAAGCAAGAAGAGCATATTTATAAGACTATTAAGGAAAAAGTTGAAAAGAACTTCTCATATTCAGGAGCCTAAAACAAGGGACCTTCTATTATCTTCAAATCTAATGAAAAAAAGTGAAAGAAATGTTTTCTTCTAAATTGCCAAGAGTGACATTAAGGAATGAAGTAGCTCTATTTTTTTCTTAAGTTTTAAGAGAAATAATTTTTCTATTAGCATCTCATTTGATTCTGATTAAAATTTGTTTAATTGTTTTTTTGGTTAAGCTATAATTTTAATAACACTTCTACTATCTTAAGTTTCGCTATCGTAAATTTTGTAAATATAATGTTTGTTATTGGGTAAAAATTAATTCGAAACTATTTTTTTTCAGGTTCATAATATTTTAATTTATTTTTCTTTTCATTTAAAATGTGTCTCCATTAAAAAATAAAATATTTATATAGTTATTATTTGAATTATTCTTTTTAATTTACTAATTACCATATTAGCTAAAATCATAATTATTTACTATTTTATTTAAGATGATTTAATTTATTTATGGTTCCTAGTTAATTATTCTTTCTTGACATTAATAAATGAAGTGGCTCTATTTTTTTCTTAAGTTTTAAGAGTAAAAATTTTGTAAATATAATGTTTGTTATTGGGTAAAAATTAATTTGAAACTATTTTAATTCTCAGGTTCATAATATTTATTATTATTTTTCTTTTCATTTAAAATGTGTCTCCATTAGAAAATAAAATACTTTTATATATTTAGTTATTATTTGAATTATTCTTTTTAATTTACTAATTACCATATTAACTAAAATCATAATTATTTACTATATTATTTAAGATGATTTCATTTATTTATGGTACCTAGTTAATTATTTTTCTTGACATTAAGGATGAAGTGGCTCTATTTTTTTCTTAAGTTTTAAGAGTAAATAAATTATTCTATTAGATCTCATTTGATTCTGATTAAAATTTGTTTAATTGTTTTTTTGGATAAGCTATAATTTTAATAACACTTCTACTATCTTAAGTTTCGCTATCGTAATTTTGTAAATATAATGTTTGTTATAGAGTAAAAATTAATTCGAAACTATTTTAATTTTCAGGTTCATAATATCTTTTATTTATTTTTCTTTTTCATTTAAAATGTGTCTCCATTAGAAAATAAAATACTTTTTTTTATAACGTCATATAGTTATTATTTGAATTATTTACTAGACTATTTAAGATGATTCCATTTATTTTTTTTCTTCAACATTATCTGTAAAAAATACAATATTCTATTTCATTTATTTATTAGATATATCTTTATTTTACTTTTAGTTATTTTTTAGCATTCCAATATACCATAAAAAAAATATTTTTTTTGTAATGAAACAACAATTTATATTTTATGTAATTTGTTAAATATTTTTTAATTTTAAAGCCTAAATTTAATTTTTGAGTTATAAATGAGATTTATGGTGTTATTAAAATATAAAAATATCATTTTAAATCTTTTATTAAATTAGATATTTATTTAATATAGATTTTTTCAAAATATTAAAGAATATATAATAATAGACATAATGAATATAAAAAACGAAAATATGGGGATTTTAGATTTTGCAGGATTATTTGTTTAATCAAGAATATAAAGATTATTAAAATACATTCAAATGAAGAATTTAATTTGGATATTGATAAATAAATAGATAAGCATTGGCAGTGGCTGAAAATGAATATCTGATCTAAAGAATTTAAGAATTAATTAACAAAATAGTAGTTGAATAATGTTCAAAATTAATATTTTGGGAGTTAATTAATTCTAAAAAAATAATTAATTTGCTGATTTTTATTAATATTATATGATATTTAATCCAATCGAATATCGAATGATCACAAGATATCAAATAATATAAAATAAAAAAAAATAAATAAATTTTATATTTAATTATATTTTAATTATTACGAAAAGTTGAGACTAGTTATATTCACTTAGTTTCTATTTTAAATATATTTATATGTAAAAATTACTAATGTGTCTAATAATTGTTTAGATAATAAAATAGATAAATCAATAGAAGGTTAGATTTACAAAATATTAAATACAATTATGAAAGTCTAAAATAAATTATTAGAAGGACGTTCAAAATTTTGAGACAAATAAAAATATTATTATGAAAGCTAACATTATGTTTTCATGTTAAAATGTTAAGGGAAAATTATATTTACCACGTTGATTTTAAAGGGGAAAAAATCTAAAAATGATACAATTTTACTAAAAACTAAATTTCTGTTCAAACAGTAGTTATTGAATGCGAAAGATAGTTTCTATTATTTTAAATCTTGCGAAAAGATTTGCAGATAATATATAAATAATCAAGACTTTCTTAAAAAAAAAAAAGAGACCAAAAAACAAACAAAAGGACAAACCTTTAAAAAAAAAAAAAAAACAAAAAAAGACAAAAAAGAAAAAATGTTATAAACCGCCACTTAAAATTAGAGCACACTTTTAGTCCAATTGCTCCACGAAGGTGTCACCAAGGAACTTATTTTCAAGGAGTTCAAGAAATTCGGTACTATCAAGTCATTGAAGCACTTCCCTAAGAACAAAAGCGCCTTAGTTGAATTCTAATCTCCTGAAGAAGCAAAGAATGCTAAGCAATCCCTCAATCACAATAAGCTTTTGAACAAGGAAATTAATATTGTTAATTACCAAAACAAGGATGAACTTAAGCAAAAGAAAAAGTATAACTTATTCATTCACAATGTTCCTTAAGATCTCGAAACTAACACTTTACACAATTTCATGTCTAAGTATGGTGAAATTACCTCTCTTATGCTTAAGAAGAACGATGAAAACAAGAATTTAGGTTATGGTTACGTTTAATTCGAAACTGAAGAAGCCTACAATGAAATTTTGAAAGAACACGAGTTAAACGGTAAGATTTCTCTTCCTAACTCTACCATCTCTTTCAATATCTAAAAGTTCAACGATAGCAACAAAAATAAGGCCAACAACATCGTCATTCTTGGTTTATTCGAAAACGAAATCCCAGCTGATTAAAAGGAAGCCAAGACCTAATCAATCAACGCCATTTTCGAGAAAATTAAGTAAGAACTCAATGTTCTTCATTTCAATTTCTACACTGAATACAATGAAAGCAAGAAGAACTTCTGGGTCAAGGTTGATTTCCAATACGATGATGATAAGCAAGAAGAACACATTTATAAGACTGTTAAGGAATAAGTTTAAAAGAATTTCTCTTACTCAGGAGCCTAAAACAAGGGACCTACCATTAACTTCAAGTCTAATGAAAGCAGTGAAAGAAATCTTTTCTTCTTAGGTGTCAAGATTGACATTAAGGAATAAGACATTGCTGATTGGATTCAAAAGGCTATTGGTGTTTCTGTTCCTACTGAGAGCATTAAAATTAAAAAGAGAACTAAACCCGCCAATGCTGACGATCAATTAAAAACTAACAATGTTTCAGTTTTCTTTGATTCTTAGGCTGACGGTCAAAAGTTGATGATTTTCTGTGCTAAATAATCTAATAAAAACTCTGTTGATGAAATCTTCGACAACAGACACAAGGTCACTCTTTATCTCAAAAAGAATGAACAAGAAAGTGTCTAAAAGTTGACTAAAAAAATTGGTGAATTCCAACAAAATAGCACTATGGGTAGCAACAAATTCTAAACTGACATTTAAGCTCCTAACCCAATTCACCCCTATGGATACCCTATTCCTATGTTCATGCCCCAATAAATCCCCTTCTAAAATTAATAACCAAAGCTTATTAACATTCCTTCTATGTAACATAATAAGAAGATTTAAAACACTCCTTAACCAATTGAACCTAAACCTCAAACTCTTATTGCTGTTCCTAATAAACCTGCTGCTCCTCAAAATATTTTTATTTAGTTCGAAAAGGCTACTGCAGAAGAAAAGAAGAATAAAATTGAACAAATTACTAATGCCATTTCAACTTAATTCAGCGATTTCGATAAGCTTCAAGATGAATCAAAGAGAAGTATTCTTGGTCAAATCATTTACTATAAAATTTCTGAACTTGATCTTGACAAGAATAGAAAAATCATGGAATATATCCCTGATGTTTAAAACGAAAACCAAGCTAGAGCTAAAATCGCTGAATTCAAACAACAAGTCCCCAAAATTACTGGTATGCTTATCGATACTGACGTCTTCGAAGTTGCTGATATCGTCGACATCGTTAAAGACGAAAAGGAACTTATTGAAAGATGCAGTGAAGCTATCGATCTTATTATTAGTCAAAAGAAATGAAATTTTTGATAATTTTCAATTAAAATTATTTTCTAAATCTTAAACATACATTTATTCTTTATTAAACATGATATTACTAATTAGACTATATTTGTTTTCATATTATGCAAGTCTTAATGTTATTAATCTAACTCTTAAAATTTATTTCCTCTTTTAAACATAACCTCAATTTTTTATTTATTTTTGTGTGTCTACTTACTTTTCGCTGTAAATATTTTAAAATTTACCTCTCTTTTTATTTGTTTTGAAATTAACTTCCTACTATACTTTGCGTATATTCTAAATGCAAAAATTAAAATAAAATTTTACAGATATGAAAATTATATTAATTATTTCATAATTTATTATCTTTGTTAAAAGAAGTTGAAAAAAAATTAAGTAAGTAAATATATGAAAGAATTTTTTAAAATTATAAATTTGTTTAATGTATTACAGTATAATATATAATGTATATAACTTAATGTAAATTAATTATTTTCAGAATGATTCCTCAAATAGACGTTTTTAATATATTTGTCCTTAGACTTAAATTGGAGGGAATATATCTTTTTTTTATGGAGCCAATTTAATTTAAGTTAAACAATCAATGGCCTTTTTTATTTTATTAAAGATGGATGAAATAATTGATTGATTAATTGTTTAGACATTTTTTTTCACTTCAATTTATCCTTTAATTTCATCTTAGGTAGGTTATGGAATGCTTCCGCACTTTGTTATTTCTGAAGGGAAATAATACATGTAGTAGATACCTATCTTAACGCTATAAGGCTTAAAGCTTCCATCGATATAAAAATTACCATGAAAGCTATTCAAAACTTATAATTGTATACCTGTGGTAACGCTTGTTTCTAAGAACGTTCCTTCAGCATATCCACCAACTTCAGCAATAACGATAGAAGCAGAAACCTCACCTAAAACACTTACTTTAGTATTAACACCTGCAGATAAATCTAAAGTTGCATTTTTAAAAGATAAATTCAAGTTAAAACCTGCATTCCACGAAGCAGATAACTTAAGCTTGATAGCTACACCAATAGGAGTGGGATAGAAATATACGTATTCTAAAGGGAATGAAAAGGGTTCAAAAGTGATAGACTTCTTATCGAATTCAGAATTAGCTATTATAGTTTTAATTACTTCTTTGTAAATTTATGTCATATTAGTTTACTAAAAGTCTACTTACTACTAATAAGCAATCATATCTGTTTTCATGATAGAAGAAGAAGAGTCACTCAAAGGAGAAATAGCTTAACTTTATACTTACTCTACTAAATCTGAGTTGATAACATTTTAGATAGAAGAAAAAGATGCAGACTTAGCTTCTGCTGTCTTATTTTAAATGTATTACCACAAAAGACCTCCTTCTATTTTCACAGAAGTGATTGCAACTTTAATTTCAGTGTAGAAATCAACAGTTCTCTTTCCAAGTGCTTAGAAATCACTTATAAATTTTTTAAATTTGTTAGGAATCTCTACAAATCTATTATAAGTATTAGTTAAGTTCTAGAACTTAACATTCATCAAATCTTTAACTCCATTAGTTAATTGAGAGATATCATCAAATAGAGGTTTCTATTATTAAATTTTAAATTTAATAAATATTTTAAAACTTTAATTAAAAAATTTACGCTGTAGAATTTAGGATCATCAGATGATGGGAGTTATTTAATTTAAAGAAAATCAATAACATCTTTGTATAAGGTTTTGACTTCAGTTACAAGAGAAGTTGAGTTTTTCACCAAATCATCTTTCCATTATAATAGATTGGTTTTCATATTAGAGCCGATTTGTTTAATTTTTTGTACTGTTACAACAGCAGAATCTTTGATTTAGACAGCAAGATTTACTGGGAAATCTATTAAGTTAGAAGTAAGATCTAGTATAAGCTTTTTGGTGTCATATCCTTAAAGCTTCTTGAGAGCATTAACTATTTCAACAATATCATCCTTGACTTCCTTAACATCATGATATAAATTTATTGAATAATCAACCACACTTTCAATATCTTGTATGATTTCATCAACTTCTTGATTAGCTTCAACTGTATTGTTTCTTTTAAGGCCGTCAAGCTACTTTATGACATCTGTCTTCTACAAATCTAAAGATTGCTTTAAGCCCTTCATCAAAGCATCATGAACCTGAGTCTAATTGAAAATTTGTTTGACTGATTTAGAGACTATAGTGGAAAGAGTATCTGTGAGATTGGCAGTTGTGAGTATTTACTTTAATTTTAGAGGAGCAGAAATATCTGTTTTATTTTATGCTACTGCAGATTTAGAATCAACGGATACTTATTAATCTACCTGCATGCTATTCTTATAAGCTTAGTCAGCCTATTCAAGAATGGAGGCTTCTACTGCATCAAGCATCTTTTTTACAGGAATTTCAACTAGTTCAATAATTACTCCATCGTAGTGTTCAAGAGCAGATTTAAGCTTTTAGTAGACTTTATCACTAACACCATTATTTTTAACAGAAATTATATAGTCTAAAATTCTTTTAAACTACCCCTTATAGAACTTTTCAATATTTTCAACTTACTCTCTGATATCAATTTATTTCTTGAGTAAGAAGTTCAAGATTCTACTCTTCAATGTAGTCAAAGGATCTTCAGCGATTTTATTAACATTTTTAATAGCCTATATATAAAGTTAAATGAATGATTAACTAAAAAATACATTTTTGAATTGAAGAGTTTTACTGTATTAATAAAGAGTTCGATCTAGTTAATTTAACTAATGATTTTTAACTCGTCCTTATAAACAACATTGTAAATATCTTTTAAAACTGGATTTTGTTAAATATCTAGCATTATGTCAACTCTAGTCATAATGTCATTAAGTTAATTACTAATGGTCTCAATATGATTTTAAAGTTTTCCTTTGACGGTAACAATTTTATCAGATAGAATATACTAAATGTACTGATAATACTTTAATACTTATGAGATATTAATCTTAGTTTACTTCTCTGCTACCAGCATACTATTGCCATTGAAATAACTGTATAATCCAACAGTGCAAATGTCATCTCCTGAAATGATTGCTGCTTCCACACATTCTGATTTAACATCAGCACCAAAATCAATTGAAGCATAATTTTATCTAAATATAGGCTTTAATACAGTTTTCATAGCTTTTCCGTCTTGTCCCTCTAGTGCTCTCTCTAAATTATTCATAACAGTTAAAAATTTTAAAATAATTTAAATTGATTTAAAACTTACTTTATTCATTTTGTTTTGATTTAGTATGAGTTTAGTAAGACTAGTTAAATACTTTATTATAAATATCAATAGCTTCATTCCAAGTTAGTTCTAAAACAGCCATATTTTCTTAATCTTCTTTTAATTAATCATACAAATTAGAATCCATTTCATCATTTTAATACATAAAAGTAATTGTGCAATTAGAATTCATTCCAATATTCTTCATCAAGGGAGCTTAGTGTTCTTGATTATTGGAATTGTCACTCATTGAAAATATTGATTCAACTTGGCTGCTCTTAAGTGCTCCATTTATTATGGTTGTATTTTAGGTATAAGAAGTGTTCTCGACAGCATAATTTTCTTTGTTATTAGTCTATGAAAAAGATTTTTGTAAATTACCATTTACATCAGTTGCTACTTGAGCTTCCAAATTAGGTTAAGATTCTTAGTTATTTAGCATTCTCTAAGAATATTATTATTTTGCAAATTGCAAAACTCTCTTGTTACCATTCTTAGTTGGTTCTTATTAAACGATAGAATAAAAATCTTTCAAAACCACAGGAGAGATTTATTCTAAGATGTTTAAAAAGACAGAGTGTAAATCGTATCTTAAGTTAATAGGTTATTACACATAATTAATTAAGCCATTCTAATTAATTTTAAATTAAATTAAATATAAATTTTAAAAAAGCTAAAATAATAATTTACTTTTGACATAGTAAATCTGATAATTGGGAGATAACTAAAGTAATATTACTCTTCAGTAATATTTTTAGCTTTCAAGATTTCAACTTCATTTTGTGAAAGTGGTTCTAATAATTTTTAGATAAAATTTTTAAAATAATTTGAATTTAACTTAATTTTTTACCAAATTCTCTAAAAATGGAACTATCAATATTTGATTCTTCTTGTGTGACACTTTCTATCTCACCTTTTAAAAATCTTCTTTGAGGTCTGTTTTCTTTGAGAGAAGGGTATCCAGAAAGAGTAGAGTTTTTGTTTGTAGTGTTGTCAATAAAAGTAGATTCCATGACATAAAGCATCATGTCAAACGAAGACTCAGTAACATTAGTGCAAACTAAACCAAGTTTATGAGTAGTTTTAGAGAAAGATTCATTCTCTAATTCCTAACTCTACTATGTCTTTTAAAGGTTGTAAAGAGTGTACTCATAAACTCTTAAGGTTTTAGGAACATGAATAATTTTCAATAAATTTTATTCTTGTCCGGCCTTTTTATAATAAAATATAATTATAAAATGTATTTTAAAAAAGACAAACTTACCATAATTTGTTCTTTGTATTTAGGGAAAGTAACAGGAATTTAAGGAGAGTCTGATTTTTCTTATAGCTAATTATATAAAACATAGCCTGCTATACCTGCACTTGCGAGCAATATAGCTACTAAAATTCCAGCAATAATTAAAGTTTTTTTCTTTTTATAGACAGGAATTTTTTATTGGTTACTATTTTGATCAATAGGAATAGATTCTATCAAATCAGATTGTTTCCTTTGATTTCCATCTAAAATTTCCAAAGCTTTGTTATTATTTGCTTCTCCAGATTATTAGTTATTATAATTTTATGGTTAATTATTATCTACTATCCTTTATGAAGATAGTATATTCTCTCTTTAGAAAGATTAGTTTGCAGATAGCATATTTAGATATAATTTAATTTTTTTATGATTTTTATTATTTTAAATCTTTAATATTTATTTTAATACACAATGATTAATTTTTAAATGGGGTTATACTATTGATAGGCTTTTTATAAATTGATTAATTCAACTAAAAAGCTAAGTTTACAGTATATTTACTTTCTTCATATTTAGTACTACGTATTTACAGATGATTTTCGTTTAATGTTTGATTTTCAATTAATTAATGAATTAATTTTTTACTTGAAAGTATTAAATTTGAAATGTTTCTTGAAATTTATTTTTCTAAAATAATATTCAAAATTATAAAATATAAAATAAAATCCTTCTTTCAGATAATAGATAAACTTTTTTATCTTATTTAAAAAATTAATTTATCAATCAATTAATACAGTTTATTAGGATTAAATAAAAAGAAATTAAATTAAAATAAGTCCAGTGTAAAAAATAAAAAACAAAATTAATATATACAATTATGATAAAAGGAAGATATTAAAAATAACTTAAATCAGTAATCATTGTATGCCTTAATTGGGAGTTTAAAAAATGTAGGGTTTCCTTAAAATATAAATTAAGATAAGTCTAGTCCATCTCAAAAAACAGTTATTTCCTAATGATATAAATTCTATAAACTTGAAAATTAACATAAACATTTTTTAAAAGATAAAATATTTCACTTTTAACTCGAAAAAAAAAAAAATCATAATAAAATCTATAGTCATCTAAATATACAAAATTAGAAAAATCTTTATTTGATTTGTGATTTTGACAGTACTTAATTTGTTTATAACTTAAAATAAATATACTTTTGCTTGAATTAAATCAATTATTGATAGAAGAAACATATAAATTTACATTTGTCAAATTAGTCTAGTAGGTATTTATATTTATTTTAAAAATATCTATTTAATTTATGTATTTTTTACTCAATAAAATTCAAAAAATAACCATATTTTTTATTTTTCTTTTATGAATTTAAGTAACAAAAAAAAAATAATTTCTTCTAACAGAAAATACTTAAATAGAATAAATAAAAATTTAAGATATCATTTGAAAAATAATTACACAAAATTTTTTACACAATTAAATATGAATAAGTTATTGACTTGTATAATTATTTCTGAAGTATTTTCATAATAAATGTTATTTAAGTCTAGTAGGTATTTATTATATTGATTTTGAAAACGATTTTTATAATTAAAGAATGTATAATTTATATATTTTAAACTAATAAATATGAAATAATTTAGTTTTGAATTTCAATAAGGTTCATAAAAATGACAATCATTAGAAATGAGCTTTTATAATTTAACACTTCTTTGTGCAAAGAGAAAAATAGTCTTTGGTTTTGAAATTATCTTATTTTGTAATACAATGAATACACATGAATAAGTAAATTGCTTATAGTACTAATTAAATTAAATATACTTGAAAGTCTGATTACATCAAACATTTAGATAGATCTATTCTATCTGTCCAGTATATTTGTTTATTCAATTTTAAAAATAATCTTACTTAAGATATTCAATCAGTGATTCGTGATATTTTATGTAAGCAATGTATAATTAAAAAATTCTTACCATTTCATAGATTTTATCTGTCTGTCAACTTGAAATAACAAGATTTAGATAATTAAAGAATTTTTATAAAAGATTAATACAAAATACTAATTTAAAAAAAATGAAAAAAGAGTTCAAAATATTGGCTTTGCTAATTCTTGCTTCAACCTCTTGCGTAGTATTTGCCTAAAATACTTTCACTGATACAAAAACCTAAACCATCAAATGTACTTTATTTTTTGTTTTTTTGAAAAATAATTTTTAATTAATTATTTTAAAAATATATAAAGCCTGTCACTTCACTTGTTCTAAATGCAACGACTCTACAGATCTTTGTAATGAATGCTAGAGCAGCATGAGCTTTTATGTTAAAGAGTATTTTATTAACTAGATTTAATTAAATTTTTAACATATTTTATTAAAATAATAAGAAACTCAAAATTCAGATGTTTCTAATCATGCCCAAGAGGATATATCCCATCTAGTAATGACTATTCAAGTCTTTAATAAATTGAATGTATCCTAGATAATTCAAATATTACAAAAGATCAAGATACTTTGTTAAAAAAGTATTCCGATATATGTGGTCTCTCACAATTCTGGTAAATTTACTAATTTTTAATTTTATTTACTAATTTTTAATTAATTTGTAAAAAGGGATGGAAACTCTTGCTAAAACTGTTCATTAAATTGTCTTAACTGTTCAAGCTTATCGATGTGTGAAGAATGCCTTTCTGGATACTTTTGGGATTAAAATTCATAGAAATGCTCTTAATGCCATTCTTCATGCACAACATGCAAAGGACCAAATTTTAACGATTGTATTATTTGCGCCTCATTGCAAAGCTTTTATCCTGATTCTAATGGTGTCTGTGATTAGTCAGCTTAAAAGATTGATTATAACATTTAAATTACTAAGAAACAAGATTCGATTTCAAACACAAAAATTTGCTCATAAAACTTGAAATTAAACCCAACAAGGTAAGCTTATATTTTTATTTAACTTTGGTTTAAAAATTTTTTAATTTGTTAATAAAAAAAGTTACTCAGTTCAATACAAAAATCTCTATCTTTAAAATGATCCTAAATGGTCTGGAGTCGAGCTTGTAGATTCAGCACAATGCTAAATTTAGAGTTTCGCTTAGAAGTACTCAAACTTAAAAGACTAAATCTCTAAATGCCAATACAATTAAATTTCTAAGAGTACTATGGGTGTTAAAGGTTAGTTAATAACACATTATGCTACTATACTTAGCTAACACCTAGCTCAACTAAACGGGGCTTTAATAAACCCTTAATTACTGAGTGATTTCATAAATAAATAATAGCTTTAAAATATTATATACATGAAAAAAGCAAAATCTGACTTTACTTGCGACTAACTTTCTTGTGAAACACAAATTAACTCTTACATTCCATTTATTTCAACTTCTTCTAACACCAAGGTTTCTTTGAGAGTATCTAAAGAAATTACAATGACTTAGAATGGAAAATTAGTAGATTGTTTCGATTAGCAATCTCAATCTAATTAAATTGACGATTAAAAACTTTAAGAAGCAGAATTTGCCTTTATTTAGGCAGCTGCAAGCTAAAAGTCTTCAAGAGTGAAAATGTATGCTATAGTTGATGTCTGTGGTAGAACAACTAATAAACCTAATAGAGTACAATTTTCATCTTTACTTGTTTCTAGTTACTACGGAAATGGATTTTTCTCAGCAACTAGATCAGATGTTTCAGGCTCCGAATAAATCCAGCAACTTTACTTGTAAGGAGCTGATAAGACTTAAAATTCAAATTTAAAAAAGTGCAACCAAATGTTTACTAACTAGTATGACTCATTTTCTATCTTAAAAGTCAAATTTTTAGAAGTCCAAGAAGTGGATAGCGTGTTTGAAAAAGAAAATAACAGATATACTTAATATTCAACAATGGCTAATAAAAAATTACAATAATAATAATCAAATTTAACTCTTTGCTCAGACCTAGACTTAGGTAGTTTTATAATTTAAAATGATAACCAATACAATCAGCTTTAACTCACAGTTTCTCCTCTAAATAAAATTCTGACAACATAGATAGATTTAAATGATATAAAATAATACTTAAAAAATTTCCAAATTGACGAAAATGCTTTAAAATCCAATAAAATAATTTTATCCGAAAATTAAGCCTAGTAAATTTTTAATTTATACGTCATAGATATAAAAGCCTAAGCACAATAATGCTATTCAAATATTTCTAAAGCTCCTTAAAACATATAAATAACATTATTCGATTTCTTTAAATCAAATGGAAAGAAATGTGATTTAAAGAATGAGATAATTAAAGCATTAGATTAAAACGATCTAACTCAATTAATTTCTTTAATCCAATCTAGTAATTGGTGCTCTTAAAATTAATCTAGATGTTATAAATCCTAACAAATTATTAAAGGATGTTTGTGAAATTATTAAAAATGTGTTAAATTAATTCAAATATTAGATTTTTTATTTTATATTTTAAATTTTTAATTTAATAAAAAAACATTTTAATTTTTTCCATTAAAATTTACTTTAAAAAATTAAAAAAGTCAAATATTTTTTTTAATTAAAAATAATGCCATTCTTATTTGTTAATGTCAATTAATTTTATTTTTAAAATTCATGAAAAATTTCAAATATATTTTGAAATTTGTGCTTGAGGAAATTTACTTAGAAAATTTTAAAATGAATTTTTTGTTATATTTTTTAATTTTGATTTTTTTATTTAAAAGCTCAATAAATATTTTAACTGTTTTTGAAAAATAGAATAAATAATTTTTTAAAATTAAATATAAAAAAAAAATTTATTTCGTTTTTCTGATGAATTATAGAAATAAATTTAAATAAAATTTTTATAGATTATTAAATAATCTTTTGTGTTTAATTATTTTAATTAAAATAAAGAATATTACTAAATATTTTTAAATTAGCTTTTAGAAACTTAAAAAAATTATTTTATTTAATAATTATTTTACTAATTAAAATTAAAATAATTATTTTAAATTGAGAAATAAATTTTCCAGTATAATTTTAACGAACCATTAGATTTAAACGAAACTTTTTGAGATTTTAGATATAAATATACGATAAATAAATAATTATTGTTTTCAATTAGAAGATTAATAAATTTATTTATCATTATATTTTGTAGTTATAAGATTTATCTCATTAACTCTTATTTAAGCTTAAACATACAAATTTCAAAAATTCTTAAAAAATAACTTAATAAATTAATAACTAAATATCATTTTTAGCCATCAAAATATTTTAGAGAATTATGAACTACAATTATTAAGGTCGGGATTAAGAAGATTTCTATGAAAGAGATCTTGCGAATTTATTAGCTACCATCATAAGGAAAGAATTCGAAGTATAAAAATTTATTTTAGATACGCTTTTTGAGGAATTTATTAATTTCAAAAAAATCTAAAAAGATTGAAAAATTAAGAAGTTTATTATGCGAAAATGACAAATTTGAAGTTACTGAGGCTTTTAAGTCACTAGATATTCATGGACATGGTTACCTTACCTCAAATGATATAAAATTATTTCTATCGTAAAAATTGAAATAATCTTGAATAAAATTTATTTTTTAAAAAAATTTATCATAAATTAAAAGAAAGAATCATGTTATGACCAGAGAAAAAGAATGCGATTTTCTTGTTTATGTGTTTGCTAAAAATCATTTGAGCATAAGCTTTCAAGAGTAAAATAATAAATTTTAAACTATAAATTATGATATTCATTTTAAAACAAGCATTTATTTATAAATGTGAATAGCAATCAATATTTTTTTTACTTCATTTATCATTAGAAATCAAATTTTTCAACATTTAATAAATTCATATTTAAATAAATAAATGAATATAAATATTTTAATAAATTAGATTTTTAAAAATCATTCTCCCTAAATAAGACGATAACTTAAAGGAATAATGCTTAGAGAGAAGAAAATTTAGACCATCAAATTAGAAACCCACTCTTCCTTTTTACATTGAAGAATAACTTTCAAAAATATTTGAACTAGAAATATAATTTATCAGAGAAACAGAAGCTTAAAAAATGGATATTATGAATAATTATGGTTGGAATTACAGAGAGTCTTTTAAAAGAATAGCTCGCCCAGGTTAATATCATATTGATAAATAAGCGTATTTATTTATTTAATTAGTTAAAAATGCAAAATTTGAAAATTATTTAAACTAATTATTAAAAAATATATATTTAGATTCTATGCTTTTATGATTTAGAATCAAATTACAGAATTTAGTGAAAACAGTTTTAAATATGTGCTCATAAGATTCAATAAGGATAATAACGATATAATAACCATGGATGAATTTTGCCAAGCTATTTTCCCTAGCGATTATTTAGCCGATAATCCTATGATAAATGAAAGAAAAAAAAATCCATATTTAAGATATGTTAAAGGAGATGAGTAGGAATTTTATGAATATGTTACAAGCACTTAAAGATAGTTTGTAATTAAATCATCTATTTATTCTTTTTTTAATGATTTTTTTAATTTTTAATTCATCAGGACGATTAAGATAACTTTAACTAGGAGGAATTTGTGTATAGAAATGATGTAGATAATTATAATGCTTAAGTAAAAAGGTAGGGAGTTGAATAGCCTAGAAAGTTTTTAAAAACATCTGTTTAATATGAAAATACTCAAAATGTAAGGCCTATGGTTGGAATAGAATACATAGAGTTAAAGGATGATTATCCAACTTTGAATTAATTTTTAATGAAGGTAGGAAATAATTAAAACTATTAATATTTAAAACAAAAATTGAACGGGTCTATTGTCTAGCAAAGATATGTTAGCCCTCATAGTTAATCAACTTAACCTAATCAAAATGTTGCAACATAACGTGATGAAAAATTTTTATCTCAAAGAGATTTCTAATACAGCAACAGATCACCAATTAATTACCTTTCCTCACAAAAGAATCTTTATCTAGATTATGAAAATTTTAGTAAGTAAAAAGAATATTTATCTAGCCCTGAAGATTATTTTTAAGCTCAACCTAGACATGCTGCAAATCCTAAAAACTACCCTATGAGATATGATAAATATCCAACATTTTAATAAAATTTAAATGAAAATTACAGCTAATTAGCCAATAGCTATCTTTTAAAATCGTAAATTCATGCCGATCATCCAATCAGAAGTTCTATGCCTATAAAGCCTGTTGGACATAATGCCAGTACTGCTAAATTCGATCTATAGCCTAACTTTAGGAGTCAGATTTCTGGTGAAAAAATATAACCTTTTAAAGGTGAAGATTTTACAAAAAGTAGATTTGAATAATGATAAGTATGAAAATTTATTTTAAATTATGTAAATGATTTCATTTTGGTTAAAATTTATAATTAATATATAAAAATTACAAAAAAATGATAGTTTATTATTTGGTGTTATAATAATTTAATTAAAAACAAAAAGATTTGTAATTTTAAATAAATATTTTAGATGGAATGGTGTTTATTTAGATATGCTCTAAAAAAATGAATTAGAATAGCAAATATTCGTTTTTCATTTAGGTTTTTATAAACAAATATTCCTCATATTCATATTAAATAACTTTCAAAAAAAATATTTAGTACATTAAATTAATAATTATTCAGAGCTGGAAAATGAAAATAAATTAAAAATTTCATGAACTTTTTTAATTTTTAAAATTTTTTCATGAAAAAATAATGAAATATCAAATTATTTTTGTTAACTATTGAAGAAATTTTCAATTATTTTGAAATTTAATTTTTGATTATTTAAATATTTTAATTAAATCAGACCAAAAAAATGAAATAAATACAATAATATTAAAATACATAAAATATTAAATAATTATTTTAATTAATCTTTGAAGGAATATTTTTTAAAGTTTTATTTAAAAAAATTAATGTCTTTTTTTATCTATTTATTGTGGTTTAAGCTAAATATGAAAATTTCTTCAACATAAAATATTTTGTTCATGATATTTATTCATGATTGTAAAAAGATTATGTTAGTGAAATTCATGAACATTTTTATGTTCATTTTCCAGCCCTGATTATTGTTTATATGCTATTTAAAAAAAATAAATTATACAATACAAATATTGTGAGTCATTTATTATATTTATCTATTACACTTATTCTCACATTATATAATACTATTATTTGCCAACTATAACTTTAAAATTAAATTTGAAAACATTTTGACTTTTTCCTCATTTGTCATATTCTTAATTAAAAACTTGAATAAATATTTAAATTATAAAATATTATGTTATATATTTAACACCTCCTTAAATTTAGTGATAAAATTGATAATGAATTTGGATGATATTAAACTATTTATTCAAAACAATTTAAAAAATACTTGTATAAATATAATTTTTTTAGAATTTTTACATTATTTTGCTGTGATTAAAAAAAAATAAGTAAGTTAACACATCTTTAATAAAAATAATTACAATTAAAAAAAATAATATATACACATTATTATTATTATAATTTATTATTTTTTATCTCAGTTTTTGTTTAATAGAGAAGAAGGCTTTTGTGATATTTACTATAAATTATTCTCATCAAAGTAGATGCAATTTTTATTATTAATCTAATTTAAGTTTGAAACTGTATTGTAAGAATTATTTGCACTTAGATAGTTACTTGTCATGCTATTGTTCAAAGAATAATTCTATGAAGGCATATTTGTATAGTACTGATTTTTATTTATTTTATCTATGTTTGTAGCAGTGCTGTGGAGAGAGCTTGACTGCTTTCTATTAGAACTCAATTAGTTATCTTGTATTAATGAAGAATTATTTGACATATAATTGTTACTCTATATTTATTTGTTATAATTGTTAAAAGGCTTGCTCGGTATAGGTTAATTTGACTGCAACTAAATGATATCTATGCTTATTGTATTATTCAATTTATAACCTTATTTTTTAGGAGTGACATTTACTGATTAACAGTTTTAATTGAAAGAATGTGTATTGCTTGATTAATTGTGAACAGCACTTAAATTTATTGAATATTTTTATTAAGGATTAACATTGTTATTATTATTTAGTTGGCTTTCTCTGTTACTAGAATTATCAGGTAAAAGTGAACTTCCCTTAGAAATATTTCCAATTATTTTTTAAAAGCTTTTTGTAGGTTAAATACTACCTTATTATTTAAAGTCTTTTAGAGATTCTGAGCTCTCATCTTTTTGAAGAGATTCTGCACCTTTAATTTTCTAATTAGTGTTATTTATATGTGCGACATTAAACGATTAAGAATTTAAATTAATTGCTTTTGTTGTAATAATATTTGATTAGGCTCTTTTGTGCTAAGATCCTATAAACTGCTAGGTTAATAGGTCGGCTTAATTTGTTAAAGCTACCTCTTATTACTTCAATAAATTTTCAAATGATTAAATGCTATTATTTTTAATACTATCTAAGGGTAATCTTTCAAAATTTTTTTACTATTAAACATTTGGAGTTAATTTTTCTTTTAAGTAGCTTTCTTAAATGTTTTAACTTTTCTATTATAATAATGGGCTTGCATCAATAGTAGCAGCTGCATTGCTGGTTCTGTGGTAGATGTTTTAGTTATCAAATTTATCAAATGCATCCATTTTTAGAGCTTAATTGTTGGAGGAAGCATGACCAATGTAATACATATTTGATCCAATATCATCATTTTTTTATGAGGAGTCTTATTTATTTTTATTATTCGATGTAGCTTCATTAAAAGACTGAGATCTTTAATGGTTAGATATATTAACTTGCATTTTTGGCAAATAATTTTAATTATTTGTAGAGTATTCTAATAAATTATTTTATTTAGAATTCTCTATCATGTTAATATTTAAGCTATTTATTGAATCTGGAATTGAACTAGTATTTTGTTTAAGAGAGTTAAGTGGGTTTTTTTCACTGTACTCATCAATATTTTGTGCCATGAAATAATTTTATTTTTACCCTTGCTATTAATTATCTTGAAGTGCACTTACAAAGTTTGAGGTTTAATTGCTCTGTGGTAAGTTTTATAATTAAAGCTTTGAAGAACTATCTATCTACTTGCTTTACTTTTAAAATGCTTAGTGAGATAAAAAATTCACTATTAATGGAGATTATTAAATATTTATTGAACTTTAGTTTGGTAAATTAGTATTGTTTTAAATGGGCAAGTTAAAATTAGTAAAGTTGAGGTTACTGTTATTATTACTATTGCTCGGAGCATTACTTTGTAAAACGTTCATGGTTCCGTTATTATTTTATTAATTTGTTAAAGTATTCATAAACCTCTAAGATCCTATTACATTTTGGTTAAATGAAGTATTACTTGGTGTATAATTTGAATTAATATTTGAAATTGTTGAGCAACCATCAAATAGGCAGCTTTGATTTTATAATTTTTCGAAATTTTACTGAATTTCTTCTTCTTGTGCTTTAGGTATCGGGTTTTGATGATACTATAATTTCTCCTCAGTCATGATAGAGTTATTGTTAGTCAAGAATAGATTTTGTTATTAAGACTGAGAAAAATAACCAAGCTAGGGTTTAGTTTTTTTCAAATTTATCTATTCATCATCAAAACTAAGTTAGTCTTTTTTCTCCACCTCATCCTCACATTCATTTATTTTTTAGTGATTGATTCCAAATTTATTAACTTTTGGGGTAAGAAAAGCAGATTTTTTGTTAGGTTAGTTTGCATCACTTTCAGACGAAGGTTAATTAAAAATATTCAAGTGAGAGTATGTTGACTTATTTATAATACATTTTAGGTGTTTAAAATCAGCTTCTGTCCAATCTATTTGGCTTGCTCCAGATAGAAATAATACATCTACTTATCGATAAAATAGTTGCTTGATGAACTCTCTTTCTTATTCATGAGAATTTTAAATATACTAAATTAAACCTTTAGGTCCTTCATTTTCTTTAAGATATCTTTTAATATCATCAATGCTTGTATCCAGTTATGAACATATTTACTCTTCTTATGCTGAAGAATTTTTATTTGTTTTAGAATCATTTAGTTTTTTATTTTTTTCAGATTCTGGGTAATTGATTATGATGAAGTTATTTTCACTTTATAATAGATTTGTAAATTTTTGCTTTTCAAAAGTAGAGAGAGCATTTTATTTAAAATTCTATTCTAAATTACTTTTTATGCTTCTTTTATATTTTTCTTATAATACCTATTCGAAAGCTTTAATTAATGTCTTTTCAAGGTTTTAGAGCTCATCTAAAGTAATTTATTCTAAATCCACTATAAATGAAGCTAAGTTGCCTCCTTATGTTTAAAATGATTGGTTTTAAATATTCATGGTTTAAGATTTCAACTTTTGAAAAACGTTCTCAAGTGATCCTTCATAATTCCTAAGAGTATCTCTCATTTTTTAAGCGCAATCATAGATTCTCAAGTGATGCTCAATAACTTTTTCTATGTTGATGTTAACTTTATCCCACATTTTTAGGTAAGCTGCAAACTATTTATTTCGCTGCTGATATTAATGAAAAGCATATCTACCTTCATAGTCAAATACTAAATCCTACCAATTTCTCTTAACTAGAGGGCAGACATCGCTCACAGTAATATTATTTTAAGTTGGAAAAAGTAACCCAACATAATCACAGTGCAGACTAGATTGGTTATTAAGCTCTTTCTACTTTTCGCTTAACCACTTTTATTTCTAATGACTGCTTTCTCTTTTTTGAGATACTTTTTATTTATCAATTTTAACGCCACTATTTTAATTGCTCTTCTAACAGTTTTAACATATTCCTTCAAAATTACTTGTTCTAGTTAAGCTCAATTCAATATTTTTCCTGTTTGAATTCATTAACTTTTACTAAATTTATGAATTTTAGTTAGCCAACTCGTTTAACTTTTTAATTAAGTCTGCATTCCTAGTTCTCTCTTCATTCCTTTATTGCTCTAGTTCCTTTTTCATAAAATAATTACTTTTAAATAAATCCGAAAATAAAAAAAAATAATTCTTTTTACTCTCATTTTTTTTTCATAATCTAAAATTAGTAATTGGAGGGCTTCTTCATTATTTTTAGCCTGAATATTAACTCTAACCTAATTAATTAAAATATTTATTAGAATAAGCAAGAACTTGGAAATAATACTTTGTTTTCTATTTTTTTCGCATTAAGTCCAAACCTAATTGTAGAATAACTTTGCTCAAATTAGCTTTAAGATGGGTTTATACATAAAATTATCATAGTCCTAGAATTACCTCCTAACGAACTCCTATTTTCATATTAATATATTTGTGATTTATTGAGTTTATTAAATTTTTTACTTTAAAATCTTGGTTAAGGGAGAATTTCTGTAAGGTATGTGAGTTAGAGGTTTTCCTTCTGCTATTTATGATATAACTTAAGTTAAGAAAAACAAGGACTTATTTATAAATTGTCCTTCTTTAACTCTATCTTTGATTAAATCTTGAGGAGAAAGATCTCTAGCATTTGAAGAAGACTAATTTTTTGAGCCAGAGTTTAAGAGAATTTCTTCTAAGTTAGAGTGATTAGAAACTTTTTCACTCCCTGCTAAATCGATAAAGTTTAATTCTGAAGTACTAATTAAAGTAGAGTCATGTTCGTTTAGCTTCTCTAAAAGTTCTTGGTTATTAACGTTTCTTTATGCAATGTTATTTTATGACCTTTTAGGGAGACAGCTTTTCAGCAAAACACTACTTATGCTCTATACATAAAGCTTAAAAATGCTATGTGATCTTGAAGAGTGGTGATTCATGGTAGTTTAAGCATAATGCTTATTTGTTTCACCTCTTTTCAAAACTTCATAAGCCTCTTCAAGAGTACTTACACTTTCTTAAGTAACTCCTTTAATGTAAAATTCTTTATTCTAATTCATACCAACTTATAAAATTTCATTTAATTTATTAACAGGATTTAGTAAATCATAAATTTAATCATTATAAATTTCAACATAACTACATCTGACTACATAAGTTTTATCTTCATCCTTTAATTTTTTAAAATAAACAAATAAATAAAAATAATAAAAAAATTTGAATATTAGTTTAACATTAGAATGAATTATTTATTAAATAGAATAATAAAAATATTTTTTTATTCATTGATTAAAAAATTTTTAATTTGATATTTCATATTTATTTTATAAATCATTTTATTAATGGTTAAAGAAATAAGTTGTTTGTTATTTTTTCTTGATTTTTTGAAAATTTCAACAGAAAAATTTTAGTAATTAACAAATTTAAAAATATTACTTTTTTAATAGTGTCAAATAAATCATATAAAGCCAGCATAAGAATACCTTTATTATCATCTGGAGTGTTTGATTTTATCTTATCAAAATCAATATCATCAATATCTTACATCTAATTTGAGTAAAGGTAGTTGTTATTTTTTGTTAATGGGCTATATGAGTTTTGTTAATGAGAATTTGAAGAACTATTTCTTTTACGCTATTAAGTTAAGTTTGATTGATTCGATTAATAGTTAAAGATAGAGAGTTATGGATTTTATGAAGCGCCTTAATTAGATGCACTCTATTAAGAATTTTACTTTTTTTCATAACCCATCATCGTGTATGTTTTTCCACTACCACTCTATCCATACATAAAAATAGTACCATTTACTCCGTTTAAGCTAGATTTTAATATGCCTTAAACACTATTTTCATAGACTTATTTGTTACTAATATTTTCTGCAAAACATCTATCATAATGAAAAGATGGTTGCTTATTAAATGTGAGAGCATTTTATATAACATTTCTACTTGTTTAATTTACTATATTATCATTTACTACTTATACAGTATTTTAATCTATCACCTCCCATGCTATCTTCTCGTTTTACCTTAATTCCTTATCATTTAAAGGTCTAAGTCTCAAGGATACATGAATATTTTCCATATCTCTAAGATTAATTTCAGTAAATATTCTTTGATTCTTTCTAAAAATAACAAAATATTTTCAAATACTATTTATATTGAAATAAAAAGAAGTAAGAGCTTGTATTACCTTATTATTTAAAATGAAAGCTTTTAGAGTCTAGTAAATAAAAAATCTAGTTGAAAGCAAAATATTAAAAATAAATATGCTATTTGAATTCTATAAATCTGAAGTTTCGCTAGTAATTTGATTATCTTTTAAAGTAACAAACAATTAAAAATAATTAATTTTTAATAAATCATAAAAATTCTGCGTTATCCAATACATAAAGAATTTTTTATCAAGCAATCAATTGCTTTCAATTCTATGAATTTAAATCAGACTCATTAAATATTAAGATAATAATTTAAATAAATATATGAAAATATCCGTTGATATTTTTTAATACAAAAACCTACTTTAGTTGATTTTATTTTTTTTTAATTATTAAAAAATATTTATTATTATTTTGAGTTATATTAAATAAATTCTCACCTTATTTTAAAATATTTAAAAATTCTCTTGGCAATTTCCATTTAGAAAAATGTAAAAGTTATTACCATTTGAATTTTTTTTTTATTTCATAATTTAATGGCATTATTTTATGAAAATATTAAATTTCTAAAGAATCGTTAAAAGTTAAATAATTATGAATTCATCTAAAATGAATTTGACTCAAAATTATTTTTTATGTTTTAAAATTAATATTTTAATAATTTAAAAAAGATAAACCAAATAAATAATGATAAATAATATTTTGCTATTATTTTCAAATAACATTTCATTTTTATTAAGATTTCTTTTTTCATAAATAAACATTATTAAATAGATTTTATTTGCTTGAATTGAAATATTTTATAAAATTATCAAAAATAATATTTTTTAGATTATTTATAACAAAAGCGGCTAAAATATTGTAGCAAGCAATATATTTAATTTATTTAGAACGATTTACGAAAGATATAGCTAATTTAGTATTTATTTTCATAGATTTTGCTAAAATGAATTAGGTTGTTTAATTAGAATAAACTATGAAGACATTTTTAAGAGACTTTTAGAATGCATTTAATCTAGTTCAAAACCCTCCCTAAGATTTAGATATGAATTATGTTGAAAATTAAGCACGCTTTCTTTCATAATTAGCATAAGAAATGCAAAATGATATTAACAATCTTAAGCAAATTGATACATACACAGAAGAAGAGATAGAATAAAAAACTGAAAAATTATAGCAAGAAAGAAAAATTGCTTTATAGCACTACTTAAGCTCTAAGGATGAAGCAGGTATGTTTATAAATTCAAGTAAATTTAAAATTATTTAAATATTTTTCATTTTATAAAATAAGATAAATTAAATGAAAACTTGAAAGCAAATATAGATAACTTAGCTAATAAATTATACAGTCTAAATGAATGAGTCACTAAAAATAATCACTTTTTAATTCTAGTTATTAATCCTTTAAAAATATTTATTTTTTAGAATGTTGAGTATAGAGTATTATTAAAAATTATATACATTTCGCTTTTTAAAAATAAATGAATTAGCTTTTTTAAAGTATTGCTTACTGAAGATTGCACTAAAAATATTTACTAAACTTAATGAAGAAATATTTGCTTATTTTAAATAATACAAATCAATTTAATTTTTATCTTTAAAAGCATCTAATAAATAATATGAACAAGCTATTTTTAATTTATAAAAAATATTTTTTTATGATTTGATTGAAAGAAAATATTTTTAAATAAACTTTTGTTTTAATTACTTTTTTTTATGAGAGTTAATTTGAAAGATAAAGAAATGAATGAAAAAGTATTATAATATTTTAGAAAATAGCTGAATAAATAAAAATAAGTGATGCTCAACTTAAATTTGTTTATTTTATCAAGATTTTAGGTTCTGATGATTTTTTAATTGAATAGATTTTTATATTTTTATGTGTAATTTTCTTCTACTAATTATAAAAGAAAGATTTTAAAAACTATCTATTAAACATAAATATTATTAAATTTATAATTATTAATCAATAAATATTTATGATTAAAAATCATTAATTTCATTTTAAATTAACATTATTCATATTACATTACATATACATTAACTTCTAGTAACTTAATGTGTTAGATATTAAAATTCAATTTAAAAAAATGAAAACCTAATGAGAGTATATAAATAAAAGTATAGGATATACATTATTTTAAGCTGATCATAAAATTTACAAGCTAAAATACATTAGGCTCAAAATTAACATTTAAAGCAAAAATAATAATGATACAAAAGTATTTTAAATTTATTTTGAAAAAAAGTATTAAATAGCTTATGGCTAAATCTTAGCTAACAAGTATATACAAGTGATATTCTGACAAGTTTAATATAGTTCTATAAGATTTAGACATGTGCCTTCTTAAGGTTATTTAGTACTATTAAAAGTAAATTATATAAAATTGTTTAAATAATAGTTTGAAAAATGACGTATTTAGTATTACCAATTTGTTGCTTTGTATGTAAATATTGCTAAAATCCTAACTTAGATTCTGTTTTTTATTTTGTCGTTTCACAAAGCTAAAATTTATTTGGTGATAAATATGTTATTCCAATTAAGTAAACCAAATATATGAATTATCAAACTATTCGTTTTTGATTTATATTTATAAGCTTGAGTTGCTATCATAGTAAATAACTAGATATTTAATAGTTTTAATTTTTCTACTAGCAAAAGTGCAGATTGCTAAATGTAAAAAAAAAAGTTTTAATGGTGAGCTGATCTTAGTTATATACTATAAAATTAACACTTCCTAAAAGTAAGTAATATCTTAAAGGCTTAAATTTTAATAATATAGAGTCATCTCTGACTTAAAATTGAATAAAAAAAAAGATATTATCACGAAATATTATCAGCTCACTTAATTTTTCTTGAAATGCAGAAAAAAATATAAATTATTTATCAAATTAAATCAATAATTCTGATACAAAATTTATTAAACTTAACTTACCTTTCTCTCTTTAACCAATATGATACTTAACAACTTAAATAGGTTAGCTAGATGCTCTTTAGCTGCAAGAAGAAGCCAAAATATTTTCCAAATTGCCAATCTTAGCTCAACATAGTAATTGAGCTATAAGGGCAAATTTTTCCAAAGCACCAAAGCACCAGAATCTGCATAATAAGATGCCAAATAAGAAGATCGCTCAACTATTTCAGTAAAACCCACTTAGTCTTAGCCTAGTGAGAGCTCACCTCGACCCGAGCAATAGAAATTTGTTTCAGATGAGGAGTTAGAATACTTTAAAAGTCTTAGAATTTACAAGGAAAAAACCGCCCTTGAATTGGTTAATCTTTTTATGATCAACAAATTGCTTCATTATTCAGTTTTTGTCAATAATGCAGATCGCCTTTACAAAATATCTTGCAAGGTTTTGGGTCATAGAATTACTGAAATTATTATTAAAAATACAATGGGCAGAGTTTTTACTGGAGGTTCAAATATCGAAGAAATTATGAGCTTTGCTAAAAAGCTTGAAAGCAGAAGTAATAAACAAAAAAATATATTTATTTATTCATTTATATTTAAGCCTTTAAATTTCATATTTTTGAAGTACTACTTTAAGCAAGAAATAATAGCTTTAAGTATATCCTAATATAATAAGTAGTACATATAATAATAAAAGAAAATTTCAATATCATTTATTTTTGAATTTCACATAAACAAGTAAATTTAAGTAATTGAATAATGTAAATATCAAATTAGAGGTGTACTATTAATTTAAAGTCAGACTTTATATTTCTATTCTGACAAATAAGAAATTTCTAAATTATACCAGTAAAAAGTTAAGGCTATTTATTTTGCAATTTTTCCATCAAATTATAAGCCTAGCAAATACAAATATGATTATTTAATAAATCAAATTTTAATTTTTTTATTTATAAAAGATGTTCCAGTTATTGTTGATTACTGTTGTGAAGCACTTGAAGAAGATCAAAATGAATTCGTAATACTTTATTTCTTTATCTATTATTATTTAATTTAATCAGATTGATATTACGCAATTTTTACCATAAAAAATTTCTTTATTACAACTCTATTAAATTGCTGAATCGTTCTATTGTTCTATTGATTTATTATCTATCTATTTTTTTTAATTAAAATTTATTAATTTATCTCTTTAAAATAACTAAATAGTTCATGGACAAAAGTGTTAAAGTATTTGAAAAAACAGTTAATGTTGGCGATAATATTAACAGACACAAAGTTTCAATGAAAATTTCTGGTTTAATTAATATGGAAGTTTTGAAAAAAATAAACATTTATGGAGAAGAAATCGATAGTTTATATGAATAGATTGATAAAACTAAAAAAGGTTTCATTACTGGCTAAGAAGTAAATTAATTTGATCGCTAATATATAATTCTTATTTATATGTTTTTTTTCTTTATTAAAAGTTGCACTAAGCTTTAGTTGCAAAGGGTTATCACATTGAAGAAAGCGATACTTAGGAATTTATCAAAACAGTTTTAGAAATTTAAGATGGAAAGTCTCTTTAAGATACTTAAATTAGATAATTAATTTGGAGAATTAGAGTTCATCCTTACTACATTTAATCTGAAAAGAATTAGCTTAAGATTTCTAAATATTTAACAAAACTCGATCAACATGAAATTAGCAAGGCAGAAAACTTTTTGAGAAGAATGGAACTTGTTTTTGATGCAGCTTTTAGAAACAAGGTAGTCGATTGAAAAAATTTTTAAATATTAAATTATTGCTTTTAATAATTTAAATATACCTGTGTTAATAATATTTATATAAATATAAGACTAGAGTTTTAGTTGATGCTGAACAATCTTTCATTTAGAGAGCTATTGATAGTTTCTTGGAATAATATTAGGTAAATTTTTATTATTAAGTAGCAATTAACAAAAGTTTTGAATTAAAAGATTAAATACAACGTTGAAGCTCCTATTGTTTACACCACATTCTAAAACTACTTAAAGTCTAGCTCAAAAAGAATTGCTTATGAAATTGCTAAATGCAAAGAATTAAACATACCTTTTGGAGTTAAGATGGTTAGAGGTGCATACATCAATGAAGAAACTAGAATTGCTAAAGAAAAAGGAATTGAAAACCCAATTTGTGATGGTTTAGATAAAACAACTGAAATGATTGAATCTAATTTAAAGTTCCTTGTAGATAACCTTTTACCTGGATCAGAACTTCTTATTGGAAGTCATAACAAAGATACAATTGTAAAAATGAAATAATATATGAAGTCTAAGGGTATTCCCAATAATTCATAACAAGTCTATTTCTCTTAACTTTTAGGATTAGCAGACCATTTAACTTACAGTCTTGTTGACGAAGTAAATTACATAGCTTTTTTAATTTTAAATATTAATATTTAATTCTCTAAAAGGGATACTCCGTATATAAATATATACCTTTTGGTGAAACCCACATCATGATTCCCTACTTAATAAGAAGAGCTTAGGAATCATTCCAAGTCTTAAGCAGTGTTGAATTCTAATACAACCTGCTTAAGGATGAAGTAAAAAGAAGAACTCCTTTTTACTATTGAAATATTGAAAAAAATGATATTTTTATTTTTGTCGAGCTTCAATTGAATTTTGATATTTCAAAATGCTTAACAAATCAAAATAAACAATTTTAATTTTGTATATTTTACTGCCATTTTCTGTTCGTTTGAATTTGGATTTTATATTTCTAAGATATATATTTTAAATACTATCCTAATAAATACAAATTTAAAAAAACAAACACTATACCTTGTTGATAAATTTTAATCAAAATTTCAAAAATTAATATTGATTTTATTTTAATATTTAGACAAGTATGAAAAATAATAAGAAATTTTTTAAATTAAATTAATTGGAATTATTTGAAATTATTTCAAAAAAAGTATTTTCATTATTAAAAATAAAGTAAAGTTTTACAAGATCGATCGATTTTATGTAAAGAAAAGATGGCTTGGAAATATTTTTTGAGATTTCATCATATTTGGTAATAATTGATTTAATTTCATTCTGCAAGTATTCTATTGAAAATGTTAGGAATAAAACATAAAGTTTAACCAATAAATTAAATAAGCATGCTTTTGAATATTTTGAAAAACAAAAATAAATTATATATAAATATATATACACACTCATACTAAAATAAATAAATACACTTATTTGAATTATATAAGAACAGATTTAGTTATTTAAATAATTATTTTATTAGTTAATTAGAGAGAAGGTTGAGAAGATTAAATAGCCTACACATATAAATATGCATTTATATTTTTTATTTTCATTAAGTAACAACTGGAGATTCATTTTCTGCACCTTTTTTGGCTAAGTAAAGCATCTAAACTAAAGTAGTTGGTCTTATACCTGGTATTCTACTAGCTGCATAAATTGTTCTAGGTTTATGATTTGATAATAACTCTATTTCTTCTTTTGTTGCAGTGTGCTTTATACTTTCTAAATCAATCTCACTAATATCAATACTATTTAAGTTCTTTTGTAAATTAAGAATTTCCTAATAATTTAAATTAATAAGTTGATGCATTTATAATTATTTAGAAAAGCAAAAAATTACCTTTGTCTGCTTGTCAAGATAAGTTCTATATTTGCATTCAGTTTCTAAATGCTTTTTGATTTATGGTTCAATTTCAAATAAATTATTAAAAGCTGATGATATTTCATCTATATTTTTATCATATTTTTCTATAATATCTGCAGCACTCTTGTATCCAGGCTGTTATGGATCAATGTTTATACCCTTTTTTTACCAATCTCTACTTAACATTTTAAAATTCATTAAATTATGCATTCCTTTAACTTTCATATGATATTTTTATCTAAAAACTTCTTCTTATTCTTTGTTTATTATTCCTAATTTTATTCCATAAGGTGTTAATCTGAAATCAGCATTTTCAGCTCTTAAACTCAATCTGAATTCTGATCTATTTTATTGAAATAAAAAATTAATGAATTAGATTAATCAATTTAATTAAATTAAACTTTACCTAGAAGTAAACATTCTGTAAGGTTCTGAAATTCCCAAAGAAATTAAATCATCTATTAATACACCAATAAAGGCTTCACTTCTGTCGAGGATTAATGGTTCTTTTCCTTAACACTCTTAACCAGCATTTATACCAGCTATTATACCTTGACTAGCTGCTTCTTCATACCCTGTTGTACCATTTATTTAGCCAGCTAAATACAATCCTTTTATTTTTCTTGTTTCCAGTGACTTCTTAAGTTCTTGAGGATTTACAAAGTCATATTCAACTGCATAGCCTGGACGAGTCATTACACAATTTTCGAGACCTATAAAAATAATTTTTTATTATTTTAATATTTCATTTACTTAATATGATTAAAACCTTTAATAGATCTAAGCAAATCTAATTAAATCTCTTCTGGGAAAGCTGTATTTAATCCATTTGGATAAATAATATTGTTGTTGTAACCTTCAGGCTCTAACCAGACTTAATGATATTTCTTATCAGGGAATCTAATTACTTTTTTCTCTATAGCTGGGCAATAACGAGGACCTAGCCCTTTACCATCATTGAAAGTAAATTTAGGCAAGAACTATCTGTTTGAATTAATTATGTCATGAGTTTTTGAATTAGTCTGTGTAATGTAGCATTTAACTATTTATAATTAAGAAAAGTTGATTAACAAATTTGTTTGAACCAGATTAATTAAAAAAATAGAACTAACTAGAAAAAAATCTCAAGTTTGAATTCATTCATTCCTTCATTCAAAATTATTTAAACTAAAAGTTTGTGGATACAAACAATTAATATTATCTTTTAAAATTAATAATACCTAATGGATTAGGAGGTATGAAAGGGCTGTAAAACTCATGAACAAAGCTAAAAGGAGTAATTATTTCATCACTTTCTTGTGTTTCTAAGCCTTCGAAATTTATGCTATTTCTGTCGATTCTAGCTGGAGTTCCAGTAGTATATCTAGCAATATGGAATTGATATCTTTCTAAAGTTTTGGCTAAGCCTATGGAAGGTGGTTCTACTTAATCAGAATCTCTGATATGTCTTCCTGCGGGATACCTCTTATGTCCTATATGGCAATATGCTCTTAAAAAAGTACCAGTAGTAATAACGACGCTTTTGGAGTATATATTTTCATTATTTTAAGTCTTAACACCTTTTATAGAGTGGGTCTTCTCATCTAATAATAAATCTTCAGCACTTATTTTATAAGTTATAACAAATTTTAAGTTTTAAAAGAACCCTTAAAAGTTATTATTAATTTGATGTCAATTTTGTTTACCTTGCTTCAGCAACATCAAGGTTAGGGACTTGATTGAATAAAAAGTTCTGCATGTTCTTTTTATATGAATCTCTATCTATTTAAGCACGAGGTCCTTATACAGCAGCACCTTTACTAGAGTTCAGAACTTTGTATTAAATTCCTGAGAGATCAGCCATACGGCCCATTAATCCTCCTAGGGCATCTATTTCTCTAATTAAATTTCCTTTTCCAATACCACCCATTGAAGGCTAATTAATAATTTAATAAAATCAATTTATTTACAAATAAAATTAGTTTTTATTTTATATAATAAGCTTGATTTAATTAATCAATTGCGCTTATAATATATATATCTCAACTTACATTGCAACTCATTTCTCCAACAGTCTATTTTTTCTATGTTAGTAGAAGCGTTTTAGCTCCAGTTCTTGCAGCAGCTAATTTTATTTTATAACAAAAAAAATTATTATTTCTATTATCTCACAAGAGACTACATGATTTAATTTAAAATAAAACTAAAAATATAAAGATCTTTTACCATAAGCAGCTTCGCATCCTGCATGACCGCCTCCAATTACAACTACGTCATACTTATTATTTGCTTAAAAAGAAATTGTTTAAGAAAACCCATATAAGAGGGAATTCTATCTATATAGTATGCCTTAATTCTTCTTTAAGAATCTAAACATTTTTACTTATTATTGATTTACTTACTTACTTTTAAAAAGAGGTTCAAATTAATTAAATTATAATTTTTAAGAGATATTGTAAAGATTCGCATAAAATGACAAACACAAATAATCATATATACATATAAACAAAAAATATACTCAAAATGAAAAATCAATGCATATCAGTTTATAAGAAAACACTTCCGTGCATTATTCTAAATTAAGAAATTTCCAAATATTTTCTCGATTTACTGATAAAAAGTAAAAATTAATCTCAACAATAATTTATTAATAAAATTGTTTTTTATTTCAAAAATACAATTTTTTTTAAAGTGTAAGTAAAAGAATATTTTATTGATAATATATTTTAAACAATAATAATTATTGTCTAATTTATACAATACTTAGAAAATAGTTTACAAATAGTAAAAATAAATATCAATTTTATTTTAATTTAGAAATATTTATTTATTTTTGTTTTTCAATCACATTAGAATGAACTTGCTTTGTTCTTATTTTTTTACTCATCAAGCTTATATCAAATTTATAAAATGATTCTCTTAATTTATATTAAACTCCTTCTGGCAAATATAAAAAGAATTAAGCTTCTCCTTTGCAAACTTTTTATGAAGTAAAGCTTAACCAACCAAGTCCAAATATTTCTAAATCTTAGTTACATCTGCCTTTTGAATCGAAAGAAATATCTATCACGTGTCTCTAGAAAATGATCTAAGTAAAATCAGGATTAAGAACAGGAACAAGGATATTATTATACTGCTTAATGAATACCTCGTTAGCTTTGTAAGATTTTGTTACGTGGACAGCAATATGAGATGACATGAATACAGCTGCGTTCACGTCTATTCCTTATGTTTAGTCTATACGTGCTAGTCCTCCAAAAAATACGCTGAGATCTTTACTGATTGTAAAGACTTATGGAGATATTTTTTTATCTATAACTATAATTTTTGCATCGGTGGGGTTGGAAAAGTAGTGGTACAACTAATGAGGGTTAGGAATACCTGGAGTATCATAAATGTTTACATTTAATCTTTTATTTCTTGATTTAACAAATGAAACAGTTGTACCAGGTATAGAGCTAGTTGTTAATTCTTAATCATCCTCTTCTCCACCTACTGATGTTCCACCTAAAAGCCTTTTAATCATTAGCTTATCTTATGAATTAAGATTTTCTGGATTAGAATTAGTTTGCTGATCTTCCTATTTTTTCAAAAGTTTTTTTGTTTGTCTGTTTAAAGCATTAATAAAAGAAGATTTTCCTGTATTGGCAAATCCCATCACATAAAAGTTCTTGGAGTATCTGCTATGTTAATATTATTTAGATTCCATTTTAGCAGATATAATGTATTTAGTAATCTTTTCCAAGCCTTCACCGCTTTTAGCGCTTACTAAAACTATATCTTCTAGTAGATGAAGATTATTAGGATATTTTTCTAAAATGCATTTCTTAACAACACTTTTTAATTGGTTAAACTAGACATTATTTGGAGGAAGAGCATCAATTTTATTAACAGCTAATATGATTTTATGGTTTTAAGCAAAAGCATAGTCGACAATAGAAGTGTTGAGAGTTGCAAATAAATCAGTGGCATCTACGACAAATATAATAGTTGAATTACGCTTTACCAACTTAAAGGCTTTTTTCAAAAATTCTGATGGATCTTTTGTAGCTAAAAGATCACCTTTTTCAAAATCAGTCATCTCTAATTCTTGTTAGTGATCTTCATTTTCATCATCAGAGAGATTGCTCTACTAGTTTTACTCTTATTGATTCTATCTAGAAATTTCAGATTATTAATCAATTAAATTTTTTTGATATTTTAATTAATGGCATCTGTAGCAAATAGGCTTTTTATATTTTAAATTTTTTTCTTTTCTTTTGTAAACAGTCATATTTTCTTTTTTGGATTCGATTTCTTCTAACATATCTAAATCTTCGATTTCAATAAATTATTTATGATCTGTATTCTTAAGCTATTACAACTTGTTATTTTAAATCATATATTTACTAATGTAATCGCTTTCATCAAACTAATTAGAACGCTTAACAACAATATCTCCATTTTCTATTTCTTCATCTATTCTTTTATTGTGATCAACTATTTCTTTAAGTACTTTTTTATCGATATAGCCCAACTTATTTTGATGCTCTATTTAAAATTTTACACCACATCCTGTACAATTTTTATAATTTTTAGGTATTTAAAATTCATCCAATTCTAATTATTTCAAAATAGAATTCTATTCATACTCTAAAGACTTTTTATTTTAATCATTTCTTTTTGTATCACTTCCTACTTTATTGAAATGAGTAGAATCATTAAATTTATTATATGGCTTGGAACAAAACTAAAAGCTAATCCTATTTTATAACTCTTGGTTATACTATAGTGATTTATTACATTATTAAAATTTATTTAATTAAGTGACTAAGTTCTTAAAAGAATTTTCAACTTTAATAACTCTCTTTATTTTGCTAACTATCATCATTTCTACTTATTTTACAATTTCAAATATTTTTATTCCTAGATAATAACTAAATATATACCAATTATTAAATTTATAAGTATAAGAAATTTCTATCTTTTTTGAGATTATTAATTAATTTCAAAATATGTAGGTTTAAAATTAAAAGAAAATTAATTTTATAAATAATATTTTATGCAGAAAATTAATATAAATTAAAGTGTTTAAAATTGCTATTTACATTTATTTAAATTAATTTAATTTTATATTTTTATATTAAATTATAATATTAAAAATATTGTTAATAGAAAATAATATAATATAAATTAGTTATGCTAGCAATTATTTTAATAAAAATAAAGAATTTGTAATAATAAATTTAGTTTGCCTACTAGAAAAAGTTACATAAATCTTATTTAATACAGTAAAATATTTGTAAATTTAGGAATTATCACATGAAAAATATTTATGATAGTAAAAAAAGGTTTACAGATATTAAAAATTATTTTTAAATAATATATATCTACAAAACAGCCTATTATTAATTTTATAAAAATTTGATGGATTTATAATTAGCAATCAAAAAAACAGTAAATTTATTAATATATCATATTTATGTTTGCATGTCTAAAGATAATTTATGGTACATTTTAATTATGTAAATAAAAAAATCATATTTGTGTAATATATATTTTGATGGCTAAAATAAATTTCGTTATATTTTAATTGTGTAATTTAGAAAAGTAATCTTGCAAATCTAAATCTTTGAATTTTCTAAATATTTTAAATAAAAGACTTTTTATAGTAAATTTGATTATTATTGGACTATTTAAGGCCTGTATAAAATTTAATTAATAAAAGTACGCAAAAATTACTCAGATAGAATAAGTCAATTAATCAATAAATAACCAATTAGAAAACACACTAGAATGAAGTTAAAAGAAATTTATGACCAAACAGTTTAAGTTTTTGAAAAACTTGATGAGAAATATTAGCATAAAATCCCTTATATCTATGCTATAATAGGATCGTTTACGATGGCAATTGCCTCTCTTGTTACGAAAAAATTAAAGCACATTCCTGTTTTTGAACTTTTATATTATAGATCAATATTCGTTCTTATATTCAATCTAAATGTTATGAAAGTAACTGGAGAAAGCACTTACTGCACAGATAAAAACACATTTAAATTTTTAATACTAAGAGCACTTTTTAGCAATGGATCAACTATATTATTTTTCACAGCTACACAATTAATAAACTTAGGTGAATCAACTATTTTATTCTAAACTTCTCCTATTTGGTCAAATTTTGTTGCTTGCATGTTTTTTGGAGAAGGGTTTTGTATGAAAACATTTGGCTACACTTTAATTAGTTTTATAGCTATCATATTTTTACTTAAACCACCATTTCTATTTAATGAGAGTCAAGAAGAAAAGAAGTATGAATTTGTTTAGCTTTTTGGATAACTATTGAGCTTATTAGGAGCTATAAGTTTTGCAGTAATGAGCAATATAAACAAGTTACTTAAAGGAAAAGCTTCGAAATAGTAAATGATTCTTTACATACACATAGGAGCATTGGTTGTTTCAAGCTTACTTAAAACTGGGTTTGGATACTCAAATATAGAGATATTTAGTTTATTTAATATGGGAATGGTTTTATTATTTGGTTTATGTGCTTATCTATCACAAATTTTTATCAACCAAGCCTTATTCATGAAAGGAGCAAATAAAATAATGCCTTTTAATTATTCTCAAGTAATATTTGCAATAATATTTGATCTACTATTGTTCAATAAAACTATTGACATCATATAAATGATGGCAGGGATTGTAGTAATGTACTGTTGTTATAAAATTGCCACTAAACATTGAGTATCTCAGTATTATCTAATAAACTATAGCTTCAATATGGTTGAAACTCTCTATCTAAATAAAATCAAATAAATTTATTATTGATAAATAATTTAAATTAATAAAATATTATTTATTTATTTTCATTTTATTGATTAAAAAATTTTTGCTTTAAAATAAAATTAACATTTATATAGAAAATGAAAAATTAATAGGAATACTTTGTATTGATGATTTTATTTTATTTTATGTTTCTTAAATATTTCAATGAGTAATAAATAAATAGAATTAATAATAATATCAACTTGCAATAATTGTAATAAGATATAAAGAGAAGATTAGTTAATTATATTCCATATTTTAATATATTTTATTTTAATCAATGCATTCATTTATCCGTAAAAATTATTAAAATTTTTCACATTTTATTGAAGTAAATTTGTTAAACTTTTATTTAATATTTATTCATTAGTTTTAAAGATAAATTAAATACAATTTAGAAAAATATTTTTTAAAAATTATTTAATTTTTTGGAAAAAAGTAAAAAATGTAATTGATATGACAGTTTTAATATTTAAATTAGGTAAAAATTGAAAAATGATTTTGAATTTAAGCTAAAAAAAGTACTATTTATTTTAGGAAATTAAATTTGATTGAAATATTAATTAAGAATAATATTAGTTTGAGGAGTTGTTAATTCGGTTATGTATGCCATAAAGTGATATAGTTATGAAAGACTTTCTAACATAAAGATTATAAATGAAAGTTTATGTGCTAATGGACATTCAAATAAAATAAACGTAGTTTGCTTTTTAAAGGATGTTTGATAGATAGATAGGTAGATAGATTAATAGATAGAATTTGCTTTAGGATGGATATCTTTTGTTTTGATTCAAATGCAAATTTAACAAATTTTATTATTACTTGCTATCTTTCTTTCTTTATTTATTGCTTGCATTTGATTATTTATACACTATCTATTAACAAATATTCGTTTTGCTAAATAAAACTGATCAAATATTTGCTAAGTTCTTTAGTCCATACTTTTAATAGTTATTTGGTTATCATACTAGATTAATTGCTATCCTACGCTTTTTATTTTTAGTTAAAAGACAGGTTAGTCTCATTTATTGAATGTCTTTGTACTTTTAGAAGAAACCCTTTATAAATTATTCACTTTCTTGCAATATATTTTTAATATTAAACAAAGATAGTTCAATTCAAGATGATCTTTATTTAATATTTTCTATCATATTTTGATAGAATTTATTTAAAATTGAATGCTGCTAATACTATCTTCAATAGGGATTAAGCTTGTTTTAAAGATGTCTGAGATGTTCAATATCATATTTAGGATTGACAATATCATGGAAAAATTAAGGACCATAAGCTGAGATATATTTTTTAGCAAGAGCACGTCTTCTAGGAGTTTAGATGACTACTTCGTTAACCAAATTAGGAATATGAAGGGTAGCCATTTAGATACCAACTAAACCACCCAATAATCCAATGGTACGGACATTAAAATTCCAATTTCTCCAGAAATAAGTAAGAAGTGCAGCATCAACACCTGCAAAAGCGTACTTTAAACCGTAAGTTAAGATACCCAAAGGAAGAGGCTCTAAAATCATTTCTTCTTCACTAGTAAAGAAATCATGGTTGAATGTTTTTATTTTCTTAAGAGCAAAAACAGTTCTTGAAATTTGCTTGCTTTCAGAAAAATTTTCGAGCTTTTTCTAATCGAAATTTGAAGTGTTAATCTTAGCATGGTGCTTTTCTTCTAAGAGGTGTTCGACGAAATGTTAAACTTTACCGAACAAGGATAAATCATGATGATCGTAATAATGAGATAATTCCTTGATCATTTCTGCCTTTAATTCATGTTAGTCGACATTACTCTTATGATGACTGTCTTCGTGATGATGATCTCCTCCCATTTATATATTTACCTTTATAATTAAATTGCCTTAATCTTTTATCTTTTAATTTCAAAGCTATAAGTTTTGCTTATCTAAATAATTATCTTTTGTTTATCTTATTTGATTTTCTTTGATAATTCTTATCTTCTTATTTATCTTTATTCATCCCATTCAATGATTTAATTGAAATTTTATTTCTTTCATTTTATTAATTTATAAGAATCCTATACTAATAAAAAATGGATCATTTTTCATTTATTGGATCTATCAAAATTAGATCAAGTATTCAATCAAATTTGTTTCAATCCTTCTTCCTTTAGTATTTAAAGTATTTTAATTTAAATATTTTATAAATTGGTATTTATTTAAAGTTTCCATTTCAATAATCGTTTTAAGAATATATTAGCTATTAGATAGATATTAAAATAAATTTAAATATCTTTTGCATATTTTATTATACACTACAATTCAAAAAATTTTTTTGTATTTGTTATATGTATAGTTTTGATAAGGAATATATCAAATATTATATTTGTAAAATTCAAACAGAATTTCCAAAAAAATAAAATTTCATACTATAATTATGTCATTTTTTTAGTTTATATTGCTAAATAATAAACTGTAATTTTTCATTTATGAAGACCAACTCAGAAAAACTATTTCATTTAAATTTTGCCGAAATTAATCATTTCAAAAATAATAGAGCCTTAAGAAAAAGATGTCAAGGAAAATAAAAATATTCTAAGTATATAAAATAATGACTAAGATGCTAATTTAGTTTTTATTTTTAAATAAATCGATTTATTATACTTAGCTTCCTAAGTATTAAAATTTGGAATTGACTTACTTATAAATTTTAAATTGACTTATCAGCCAATTTATTACAATTTCACTTAAGATTCATCCTCAACTTACCTAAAGTATAGATTTCTAATATTAATAAAAACAAAATAAAATATTCGATATTATGTCAAATAAATATTAAAAAAATTCTCCAATTTTATACATTTTTGTAAATCTTAGAAGTATTAGTAATGAGGGTACCCATAATATAATATTTATTCTATTCTTTTTATTATTTTATTGAGAATAAATTTTAACAAATATATTTACATCTATAATTCATTTTCTAAATAATAATTTAACAGTATTATCAAGAATATTTATTTTATTTAGAACTTAAGTAAATTATTAATGTTATGAAATATTTAAATACTTATTTTAAATATCATAATTAATTATCAGATTTTTTAATAGAAATTTAAACCTAAAAAAATAATAAAAAAAAATAATATTTGAAAATGAAGAAATTACTAACATTATATTTATTAATTGGTATATTTAAAATCTATCAAACATAATAAACTGATAATTATTAAAGAGTTGAACAAAGTTGTTTACTTTTGACGCCATAAAAACTTAAATGCTTTCTACCTTCTAATAGCAAAAATTGCTGCTAAAACTGCAACGATATATAAATTAGCTGCTAAGGAGTAACCAGATATAAATAAGTTTTTTATTTAGCAAAATTTATTGATTGTCCGTAAGGAGTCATCGTTTGCTAAATAGTAAATCTCGATGAAATTTTAAAAAGTGAGTGGCTACATAATTTCTTTTAAAATGATTAAGATATCGAAAAGCTTTCAAATTTAATTCAATTTTAAGCTCTTGAATGTGAAGAAGATTATATTCTACTAGGTGGAATGTGCATAGAAAGATAAAATTGTATTAAAATTAAATTTTATAATGGTTTTCTTAGTTGCTATGAATGCCAAAAAGGATACTATTTAAATGATTAAGGGAAATGTGTTAAATGTACAAGCTTTATGTATTTAAATTCTTTAAAAAGAGAAATTGATCAAACAAATTAATTATGTAATGAATGTGATCAAGATAATAATTGTTTTTAGTGTATCGATGGATACAATCTTTTTTATGATAAGAACTTTTAATAGAACGTTTGTGTTTAATGCTAAAATTATTGCAAATGCGATTCTTTTCAGTCTTGCATAGAGTGTACTTATCCCTACTACTATAAAAGAAAATATTTTAGCACCAAAAATGAAGAAACTCCTGTTTATGAAGCTTGTGAATCATGTTTATCTTTTGTTGAAAATCATTTAGGTCCCAATTTAAAAATTATAATGTAAAAATAATCTTTGAAAATAGAAGATATTATTAAAAGTTGTGAAGGGTTAGAGTTAGAAAAAATAGCTCTAAAAAATTTGATATTTAAAGACATAGTTGATCAGATATTTAATCTTAGAATATTCTTAATTAATGGTATGTTTGAAACTTGCTCAGAAGGTTGTGCAAAATGTCTACTCAATGAATAAAAGTAAATATTGTAGTGCTTAATTTGTTAAAATGGATACTATAAAGATATTAAAAAGGACAATATCTGTCTGAATTGCTAAGAAAGAGACTCTGAGTCTTAACTCTGCCATATTATAGATATGTAATATTAAATGCCATAATTTTAAAGTACTTAATGCAAAACCTACTTTAATTAACCTTATTTTGGCAAATCAAATTAATTTTATGGCTGTACAATTCAACCAACATGTATGATAGCTGACGGATGGAATCACGAAAATAAAGTAAGCAAAGGTTCTTGTAAGAAATGCTTACAGGGTTATAAAAAAGTGAGATTTGATCCTAATTATAACTACTTCTAATGCGTAAAATAGATAAAAAATTAGAAAAACTCCTAACTTTTAGATCAGTGCTAGCAAGGTTATTTTTTAGATGATATAACTAACAGTTGCATACCCTGCTCATATAATTGTCTTAAATGTGACATTAAAGGATGCACCAAGTGTGATAAAACTAGAGCATATTCAAACTTTCTATCAAATGGTTACTTAGAATGTATAGTTATTCAAGAAAAAACTTCTGGTAAAAAATTAAAATAAATTATTAAAAAACAAACAGACAGGCAGCAGTTGCTCATATTTTTAGCTATTCAATATTATTTTATTTATTTTGATTATTATTTCCATAAATTCTCATTTTATTAAATTTTAAAAGATCCAAATAAAATTTATTTATATAAATTTGAAAATGAAAATGTTAATTAATTTTTAAAATAAAACTAGATGTAATAAATTGCTTTTTGTTTAGTGAGGGACAGTTAGAGTAATAAATGTAAAGACCTTAAAGTGGGTATTGCTAATAATGTAAAAGAGGATATTCACCTGTGTATTAAGTTATGCACAATTTAAAAATTATTGTTGAATGCTAACCAATAATATAAAATTGTTTAATTTTTGAAAGCAATAGTTTGCTTGATGAAGAAAATTTGTAAAAAAGGCATGAGTTAGTTTGCAATTTATGTGAATTTGGTTATTTTATAGAAAATAATATTTGTAAACCAATACCTAAGAACTGTGCTTTATTTGATACATTTCTGAGAAAATGTTAAAACTGTAAATATGGATATAAGTTAGAATAAAATGAATGTATACAGTGTACAAATATAACCTCGATCAGCTAGATTGGATTCTTTAAATGTCTATCGACAATAGAAGAAATAGAATTGTCTAATAATTGAATTCATTATTTTAGATTCTACTTTCTATAAATTATTAATTTCAATTTAGAAAAATCATTTAGTGTTTATAGCTTATCCTAAAATTAAATCAGTAATGTTGCCTAAAAATAAATTCTTTTATATTGTGCTTAAAAAGTATTTCGTAGATTAATTTTTTATTTCCATAGCTTATTACGAATTAATTATTAAGATATATATTAATAATAATATTATGATTTGTATCGAAAACATAGTAATTATTTAATTAACATATATATAAATTTCACAAAATATTCAAGAATAAGAAGGAAAAAAAATGATTAAATTATCAAAAACAAATCTTTTTTTTGTTTTGATTGATATGATTAAATTTATTAGTTTCTTATTCGTTTATCTAAATAAAATTAAATTGATCTATATCCTTTTTAACATTTAATGTTTTCACCTTTAGGTACTAGATTTACTCTTACTAAGGAATAACTCATTCCAAGAAGAACAAAACAATCAAAGAAACATAAATAAATCAATTTAGTTAAATTGAGATTTTAAAAAAAATTTATTTAGAACATTTAGAGTCAATTGTTCTACAAATAATACATTTATAAATTAATTACCTAATTTTTGAAAATTAGATCATTAAAATTAGATATTCCTAACAAAAAAAGATTCTGATTTGTATAGTTTAAAGGTATTATAGGCACTAATTACAGTAATTATCTGAAAAATTCGTAACTTGAGGGTTTTCTATTTTTAGCATTTTCACCATCTAAAATTAAAAAAAATGGTTTTATTTAATCTAATGAATTAGATAAGGTGAGAAAAAGTAGTCAAATGTGACAAGGTATGATTTTAATATTGATTGAAAAGAAATTCATTTTTCTTCCAATAACAATAGTATTACAAATTACAATTAATATATCTTCAATTTTTTTGTATTAATTTAATCTTATTTTTAAATTTAAGTAAGGATAAATCACTCATTCATTAATTGATTAGTTCATTAAAAAGTATAACCAAAAAACAATTTGATTATGATCAATAGAAAATGAAATCTAGAAAAGAGAAATAAAATGAAAGAAGCGATTGAGGTGATTAGTAAATTCATTTTTCTAATTATTCTTATAAATCCATCAAAATTTTTATCACAATCGTTTGTAATCTAATCATAGACTAGTTTCAATTAACAAAATCAAAAATATTGAATAGTATCAATTGTAACCTATAAAAGAGATAATAAAGAATTCTTTGTTTTTACTCTTTTCTTAATTATGAATTGTATTAATATTTATATCAAATAGATAAATAGAATAATATCACAATACTACTGGTGTAAAATATGATTTTAAGGTCTTCTCTTAATTACTCATTTTAAAATGATAAAGTAGCGAACATCAAAGGTTTGCTTGAAAGATTAATAAATAAATATATATTAATCAATTAATCAATATTCGCATCTTCATATTAATTAAAATGTTTACTTATAATACAATGTATCTTGGTTGAAGGTTTAAGAGAGTTTGTTTATAGCTGGATTACTGGTAAATTATTACACAAATAACTAAATAAAAAAAATAAATATTTTTCAATTTTTAATTTTACCGTTTGGGAAGAATTTCTAATGACAATAAAATCAAAATGTGCAGTTTTAATTGATATGATCTAAAAAATGAAAGATTTTATAAAACAAATAAATAAATAAATCCATCAAATAAATGAGTATTTTTGAAGAATGCTGAAAAAAAGAAAAATTTAATGAAATTTGTAGAAAATAGAGGAGTTTTGATAGCTTAGATATTAAATTTCACTATTTTCTTTACAGAATTTTAAGCAAGATTATAATTAGAAGGAGTAAATTTAAAAATATAACATGATCAATTAAATTTATGGAAAAAAAAATTAATATTGTAAACTTAGTGTTGTTATAAATAAATTATGATGAAATTTTTAAGTAACATCACGAGTTTTAATCAAATTTTAAATGCATAAAATTATTTTATTTAAGAATTAAACTCTAAAGTGAAAGATAAATTATAATCACTTAATAAGCCTGCATATTTCATAAATATAAAATGGATTCAAGAAGTTTTTAATGAATTATTCAAGTTTTAGAAAAGCTATACCTCAGTTACTTACTAAGTTATGCTTTGAAATACATTTTGAAAATTAAATATGCTAATTAATTGTATTTATTTAGAATATTTGCTTCTTTACTTATGTTTATATTTCTATTCTGTGTTTTATTTGATAAAATAATAAAAAAATATAAATAAATATCGTCTATTTATAAATAATTTATTTAATTTAGCTAAACAATTTTGTTAAATTTATTATGTTTAGTTGAAAAATAAATAAGTATTTTATAAAAGTGTAAATTTATTCAGACTTTTATATTAAAAACATTTAAAATCATTTCTTCATTTGCAACTCTTTTTTTTTTTTTTGATCAGAAAGAAGTGTTTTTAAAAAAAATTTAACAACAGTATGAATAAAATTTAGTGTTAAAAGTTTCTTAAAAGGAGTTGAGATAATTAATATTTTGATTATGTTTTAAAACAGATTTAGAAGAAAAAAATTATAGGTGGAAGAAAGACAATCTAAAATAAAATATTGATTAAATGTGAATTCCTTCATATGAAATTGTGATCATAAATTAGTTTTCTTAAATAAGTTTTAATTATTATTATTACTAGCCTTTTTTTAATTAAAATTTCAAGATAGTCACAGAATAAAGACAATACTATATTACTAAATCTTAATTATTTCTAAATTTACTTACAGGCAAATTAAATCCAATAAAGAAATTTAAAAAAATGAAATAAAGTACATATACATTTAGCTTATAATACTTACAAACTGTCAGCAAATAAGTTACAAAAAGATAAAGCAATCAAATTTTCTTTATCTTACCAGTCTTAAATGAGTTTAGTTATTTGTCTGTGCAGACACATAAACACATATATATGATTTATACTAAGCTTCTAGTCTTTCTTCTCCCTATAACGATCAATTTTCTAAAACTCTTATTTAAGTGGTTTGATATGGAAAAAATGATGCTAATTTAAAACTTTAAATGAGTTAATGGACCAATAATTTTGTTGGTACAAAGAGATGTTATGTTATTTTATATTATAATAAATGTTTAGCGTGCGTTTAATTAATTTTCTAGGCTGTTCAAATTTAAGCTGAGTTGTTGAAAAGACTCAAAGTATTGAATTACTAAATTGAGGGATAAAGATGAAAAAGAATAATCTATCCTAATAATTACTATCTAATTTCAAAATTGATTAATTAATTATTGCAGATTATCTAAAAAATAAATTAGATCCACTAGATTCTTTATGTATTATTTGTATATTTAATTTGCATTTACAAAAAAATTTAAGAAAAGTGGCAGTGCAATCTAGCTGATATAAGTTAATCATCAAATAATATAAAACCAAAGTAGCAAGTTAATAATACACTCATACATACGTACTTACATACATACATATTTTTAATTTCATACAGTTTTCGTTTAGTCTTATCAAATATTGTTTATAATTGGCAAATAAATTATACAAATTTAACTTTAAAGAGCATTATTAGTTTTTTCTTTTTCTTTCCCTTTGAGAAATATATATGAGAATTAAGATGAAGTTTGGGCTCATGTAATTTATTACTTGGTAATTAACTAACAAATGGCCATTAAAATAATATGAAAAATTATTAATTAAAGTGTAATATAATTGAATAAAGTTTTTTATTTGGGTAATAAATAAATTTATTTTTTTTGGTTTTGATAAATTTAAATTTAAGTTTTTTCTTGATGGAGTGGATTCGAATGATTGTATTTTTGATATTTTCAGATATTTTTTGACAATATTTTTTAGAATTTTATGAATCATTCCTCCTTGAATAATTAGCTTTTTGTTGATATTAAAATAATCCAATAAATTATTTTCAAATATGACTTTAGTAAGAGAATGCTTAATCTCAACTTCTAAAAATTTTTGACACTTTTTAACTATTTTCTAGTAAAATTCATGATTTCAACACAAAAAATTTCCTAAATATAGATGTGTTTGTTACAGTAAACTTTTCTGTTTATATAAAATAATTGTACTATAAATTTTTGTGTATAGAACTGACTTGAATCATTTTATATTAACCTAAAAATAGTTTGTAGTTATGAAAAGTATCAAAGCAAATATCTACTTAGCCAAAAAATACATGTAAGATTTATGTTAGCGAATATTATCAATGCAACTATGATATTTTTCAACAGTAATACATGTAAAATAGCTAATGATACTAAGAAGATTAAAGATATAAAATTGCAAATAAATTAGTATTTTTTAATTTTACTCTTGCAAGAAATTCAATTATATTTATATATAGCAATTAAAGTATAAACCTATTAACTCTATAATTTATTAATAAGCAAGTCAAAAGAGTTATTTCAAATTTATTTATTTATTTATTTTTCAATTAACAATAGCTGCCTTTGTTTTATTTTTCCTTACTCGATTAGATAAATTCTTCAAAAATGTTTTCTATATATTGTTCGATGATACAAAAAATATTTTTAGCAGAAAATTGATATTTGCTATTCATCAATTAATAAATTGATTTGAAATTTGCTCATCGGATCTGATTTTATGTTATCAAAAAATTGAATATTTAATATGTCCCTGCTATCATATATCATCAAATGCAATGCGCATTTAATTTTTAAATATCCGCTATTTTGCTAGGCTTGCTTTAAAGGGTTTTAGAATATTTGAAATTTGGAAAGTATTCTATTTTTGTAAACTATTTTAAAAAATAAAAAAAATATTTTGTTTTGTATTGATTGCTTGAAAAAAACAAAAAAAAAGACATGTTTGAGTAGTTGGGTAAAAGAGGATTAGTTTTTCAAGAAAGAATTTTTAGTGGCAGTAAAGCAATAAGAAAAGAAATTTAGTGCCAAATAGATTTAATTCGAATAAAAAGTTGAATCACCTTTTATGATTATTTTTCCCCAGATACTGAAATGATAGGCCTACTCAACAGATTAAATAAGATCAACAATAGGGAAATGCAATTTTATTATAATGAGTATAGCATTTATTAATAAAGTAAAAATAAAATGAGTAAAAAATAATGATTTTTCATAGAAGAAAAGAAATAAAGAGTTATTTAGAAGCAGTAGGGTAAAAAAGAAAGCTAATGTGTTTGATGAAGGAAAGTATCAATTAAAGTGAAATAAAATGAAAAATAGATCAAAAAACATAATCTTAAACAAAGAAAAACAAAAAATCAATAAAGGCAAAAATAAATATAATATATTACACAAAAAAAGTAAAAAAATCAAAAAAATTAAAAAAGAAAGAAAGAAAGAAGAAAGTAAGAAAACAAAGAAAGAAAGAAAAAAGAACTTACTATAAACCCCAAATAAAAAAACAAAGAAATTAAATAAATAAATTAATAGTTAATCATAAAGAATTCCAGTTTTATCTCATCGTAAGTAATTGCTGACAATTTGGTTTCTAGAGAAAAGCAGATTGCTAACAAAGACAAAAAAAAATTGAAAATATTTATAAAAGGAGAACCAGTTCTCGTTGCGATATTTAAGTTAACCTATACGCATTATAGATAGATAGATCGTATCTAAAGAACTATTCAGTTTAAATTAGTTTCATCTTATTTCATAGAAAAAGATTACTAAAAGAAAGACTTCCACATTTGATATATACATTCATTCATACACAATTCAGTGCACCTTCTACTTTATTAATTATCAGTCTTAAAATCGATTCCTACCTGCTTCTACCCCTATTAAACTAACACAACAGCATTTGATTTCATCCATAGTTTCCCTTTGAAATGTCTTCATTTTAGGTAAAAGGCTCTTTTTATCTCTGCACCTTCATTTTTACTGCAATTTGCTTGTCATGGCTATTTCATATTTTCTTCTCTTTTTACTGTTCTTTATTAGTTTAATTTTAAGATTATTAAACAAAGCAATAGAAAAACTTTTAATATAATTCTTACTCAAATTTAAGATTTAGGAAACATGATCGCCCCTCGTTAATCAGTCAAAATTTATAAAATGCACAATAAAATTTTATGCATATTTATTTATTTATTTTAGAACATAATTTTATATGGTTTAATAAATAAACTCCTCCTTAATTAAATTTTTTTTCGTTTGGAGCCCTATCAATAATTCAAAAATTAAACTCAACAGCTACCCCTATACTTTTAATTTAATTTTTTAAAGCTAATATTAAAATAAAAGACTAACTCCATCAAGGATATAGCATACCAAGAAAAAAGCTTACAAAATGCTATCTATTCCTTCATCAATTAAACAGAATTTATTAAATCTCAAAAACTCAAGTTTTAATTTAATTTTTTGAAATTAATTGCTATTTCATTCATCATAAATTAATTGTAGAACTAATCAATAAGTATTTATCGCTAAATTTATTAATATGTACTTTAATAATATCAATAGAAACCAAAACAATAGCAACCTTCATTGTCTAATTTAGATGGCACCCATAGAGGAGGTGTTGTGAGAAACTTAAATGGAGTGCCTCATAGTGATTCTCACCTAAATTATATTCCAGAAAGCCCTGACTTTGGCAGGCCAATTTTTTTACAAGGCGGCCTTCTTAATCCTCTACATAATTAAGCTCTCCAGAATAATTCTCTCCCTATAAATCCTTTCTTAAATATCAACCCACAATTAAGCTTGAGCATGTTTGATTTACCCCCAGGATCTTCTTCAAATCTATAACCTACAAATCCAGCTCCACCTGCACAGAATCAAGTCAATATATTTGCCCCAAATCTAGATTAAGAATCCACCAATAAAATTAATATTAATCCTTTGAATTTTCCAAACCAAAATCTTTAGTAAATGATAATAAACTAATTGATTTCTTAACAGTAGCAATAGTTATTATAGTAATAGTAATTAGGCAATGGACAGAATAATGGATAACAAATAATTTCGAATTCACATATAGCCTAGTAACCTTAATAGCCTTAATAGCAACAAAGCAATTAAATGTAGCATAATTAACAATAGAATTTGTAGCAATAAAATTCTCAAATTTAAAATTAATTGATAGTATAGTTAGGACTGTTGAACAATCCTTTCCTCATATAATAGCTATTATAAGTAATTAACAATCCTCATGATTTAGCTCGCTTTTAAAATAACCTTTAGCGCATATAATAATAAGCTCTTCAAACAATCAATTTACCTCCTTAAATCCCTTTAAACACAATACCTTAAGTACCTGTAGGTTTAGGTATTAACAATACCAATTAAAATGCTGCTAACGCTATCGCAACTACTAACAATTTACAACAAAAGCTAATTCATCAATAAAAATAAAAGGAAGAACTCACTAACATGCTGGAGTTCTTGGTAGAAAAAATGCATCAAACTGACACAGATTAAATTTTCGAAAAGAAATGTGAATTCAAGTTTTTACATGGCGACGACCTCACAATATTTGATAATATAGTCCATAAATATCAATTTTCTAAAAAAACAAAAGAAGAAATGATTAAATATATCTTAAGAAAGTGCTTTAAATTTTTAAAAAGCAACATTAAACAATAAGAAATAGTTGGATAAAAAGATATTGAAGTTGCTTTTACCCTAAAATACTTTGGTAGTGAAATAGAAAGTTAATAACAACTTTAAATTCAAAAGCAATTTTTGCATAGCGAAAATAATTTGGGAGCTAATAGAAATAGAGATTCTGACGATTCTGACGATCAACTCGATGAAGTAAAAATTAAGCAAGAAGATAATAATCCCATCAAAGAAATAGGATCTGTTAACAACCTTAACTCCACCAAACATCTTCCAAGCATGTCAATTAACAATCTTGATTCTGATGATATTATTGACAAGGTTATGCCTTTCAAGTAAGAATTACTATTTAAAATTATTAAAAGAAAATAAGAGTATAAGTACAAATTTATAAGTTAATCAATCATCAAATTTAAATGTAAATCAAAGTCAATCAACTTTTGAAACCATTGTGGATGAAAATATAAATATTTAATCTAACTAAAATTTGATTCAATTTATTAACTAAATTTATCTTACTTATCATTCATCGCCCACCATTCTACAATTTACAAACTCAAATATTTTTATTTATAAAAAGGCAAGGAAGCAAGATAAAAACTATGAATATTTAATTCTTGAAGATGATTTTCAGAAGCGAACTCTTCGTTAAAGATTATCAAGTTTATTTAGGTAAATATTAATTAGCATTTTGCATAAACTTTATGAAAAAAATAATTTTTTTAAAGAAAAATTCGAAGAATTGGCTTAAAAGGAAAATTAGAAAAAAATACAAAAGTGTGTGAAGAACCTCCAAGATTTTATAGAAAAAGGATAAATCAGTGTAATTTCATTATAAAATATAATTTTTAACAAAAAAAAAATATTATTTATTACCTCTCTCTAAAAATTTTTTAGTTTTTAAAATACAAATTTTCCGTTTAAAATATAGAAAATTTTAAGGAAATATTTTAAATAATTTATCTTTTTATTTTTATGTTAATCAATCAAGAAATTTTTTTTATTTGATTTTTCTCAAAAACGATTAATTTATCTATCAACTAAAAAAATTTTACTCAAAATAAATTTGTATTGTTAGTATTTTCTTTGTTAAGACTTACTAACTTTAATTAAAAGTTAAATATAAAAATTAAAAGATACTGTTTTTCTTTTAATAACTTCTTTTAGTTTCTATCACCTTTAGTACACTTCTAAGCAGAATTAGCTATTAATTTAATAGTATTAACCATTAAACCTAAAATATTCTAAATCATAAAAAATAATTCTTTTTGAAATAAAACCACCCAGATTTAGAGAATGTCAAATTGGAATATTCATTAAAAGCTCTCCTTTTTTTAGTTTTCTTATCATATTTTTTAAACAAAAGAAAGTAAAATCTTACAAGAGACTTCCTTGGTTAAAGATTTGGTTGAAAGAAACTTATGATCTTGCAAAAACTCTCTGTGCTTATGCAGATGAAGGTAAGCATATTAAAAAAATTAGATTTTATTGAGAATTAATTGATTTTTAAATAATTATTAGATAATGCAAAAGAATCTGATATATTAGCATCTCAAAGCGACTTAAAGAAAAAGCTTAAGACTTAGGAGTCATCTACAAAGCTTTAAAATGCAAAAAATAGTTGTGACGACAGCGAATAACAAACTCCTTATTCACCCCCCGATTTTAACAAAATGCCTTTCTCAAATAATAACTAAAATGGAATTGCATCTGGATCCCTTTCTTCAGCTTCTAAATTGAAAGTTTCTTCACCTTAAAATTCAGAAGGTTAAAAGTCAGAATATAATGCAATTCTCAAAAAATAATAACAGCTTGAGGATGCACAAAAAAAATCTAACTCTTAGTCATAATAATAATAAAGTGGGGAGTGGAAAACTCCAGAAATTGTAAGAAGAAGTCCTCCAAGAGTTGACGAAATTGAGCTACCAGCTTCTGATAGTATAAAAGGATTTGAAGTTCCTAAAGCTAAAAAGAGCTCTGAATTAACTCAAAACGATCTTCACGTGATAATAGAATAAAATTCTGAAAAAAATTCTACTTCTAATTAAATTATTAAGCACGAAGAGAATGAGCAATTAATAACTGCAACCATTTTAAAAGATGTCTAAACTCTAAATTCCACAATAGTTTGATGATATTCACCATCTTATTGCCATATTGATCAAACTCACTAAAATATTGTAAAATTACACATAATTGTAATTTTAATCTTTCTTAAATAATAACTAAAAACAAAAATAAATAAATAAATAAATTTAACTTAACAATTTCTAATAATTTGTCAAGAGAATAAACGACGACAACGAACTTAAAATTCCTACCTATTTTAACAGCAAATAATAATAATCTCAACTTTTATAATTATACTCTATACTATTAAATTGACTCTTAATAAAATTACAACCTAATTTTCTTCATAGCAGCTGTATTTTTCTAGATTTTAGCTTGGTAAATGGAATTTTTACAAGAACAATAAATCATTCCAATTCTCAAGTATTCAATAAATAAATAAACAAATAAATAAATAATCTTTTTTATATAAATTTAAAATAAAATTCAGTCTCACATTTTACGTTTGTATCAATAATCAAATACGCCATTAATAGATTAAGTTAAAATATTCATATATTATTTATTAATTATTATAAAAGTTTCAAATACTTTTTTTATTTATTAAAACAGTTATTCAAATATTAGCCAAATTAGTTAATTCAAGATATTATTAATCTTAACTTTGTATATTATTTTTTGTTTTTATTTACATCAGTTAAAAGCTTTTATGATAAAAATAATTTTAGCAAGCAATCTTACTCTTAGTTTAAAAAATAAATTGTTTTATAAATAACTGATGAAAGAATATTGATATATATATATAATTTTTAATGAATATTTTATTTATAATTACTTTTAATTAGAGGAAAATAGCTAATTAATTAAATAAATAAAGTTTTAGGAAAAAAATCAACTAAAATTGGTATTTTAATATCCATTAATATCATTTATTTTAATTATTTTTTTGTTTATTTATAATTTTAAATCTAATTTAGTCTATTGTATTTTTCTTATCATTCATTTATTACCTTTCATAAAATCTTATATTTATTTTTGAATTCCTCATTATTTATAATCTGTAAAAAGAAAACATTTCAATTCTTTTTTTGGATATTTTATTAAATTTAATATCTGTTAATTTAGTATATTTATCAACATAAAATTATAAATTTTTAAAAAATTCAGAAAGAGTAAAATATATTTTTTTTGTAATATTTTAAAATTAATAACAAAACTACTGCTACATCTAAATAAAAGTTTTAATTGAAATTTAGATATATAGCATTAATTTATTTTTATTAAAATAATAATAGACTTATTTGTTAAAAAAGTTTTATTATAAAATTTTTCGTCACAAAAATTGTACAATTAATTAAATCCTTCTTTGATATAAGTTAAAATAAGATTTTTTAAGACTTTTGGCTAGTTAAAAAAATTTTCTACATACTTTATTATTTTGCTAATTTTTTGAAAGAAATTTTTTAAGTGATTTGTAAAATTTAGATTCTGTCTTAATATTTTTTATAGGATAGATATTTATTGTAAAGTGTATTTTGCGAAATTTATAAAATTATCAAATATAAATAAGTTAAATATAACTAACAAAACAAATAAAAATATTTATAACCAATAATGTAAATTCATTTGTGTAAATTATCATAAGTATATTAGTAAAATAAAATCATTCACTAAAAAAATAGGATTAAAGATTCTCTTTTAAAAACTTAATCTTTAAAAAAAATAAAATAAATAAATTAAAAAATTGAAATTGTAAAATTGTGATGAATTATAAAATCTTAGATTTTTATTTTAAAATAAAAATTAGCATAATTGGGAAAACAATTCTAATAAATAATTTAACTTGTATGTTTGAGATTTATTTAGAATTTAAAATAATAAGAACCATTTTTAATAATTTAAAATTAAATAAAATCAAATTGAACCAATAAATTGTTCTTTGAAATCTTATTATATCTACTAATAATTCAAAATAAAAATATTTAGTCATTGAGATTATTTAATATAAAAGATCATTATAATTTATTTTATTTAATAAATAAATTTTATAAACAGCAAAACAAATATTTTTATATTATCCTACAATTTTATCTAATTTATACCATATATCTTAAAACTTTATTATTTTATATATTTTTATTTTTATTATTATTATTAAAGTAATTTCTTTAATGTTTGTTAAATTTTTTAGTAAACAAAGCTATGGAAATTATGAAAATAACCTTTTAAATTTAGTCTGATTATTATATTTAATCAAATCTAGTTAATTTGTCTTATTTTTATTTATCTATCAAAAATTTTATTTACAAATAATATTAAAAATCGTTTTTTTAAAAATTATATTTTTTAATAGGTTAACCATTAGTTATCTAAAATGCTACAATATCAATGATTTTTTTATTTTTTTGTAGGTTGATTTTGTCAATTTAATAAATCAACTCAAACTAATTTTTTGTTGTTTAAATAAATTTAAGTGATCGTCAAATTTTACTCTCTCTATATTATTTTCTGTATCTTTTCATTATTACTACTGTTCCTTATTTTATAAAAAAGAAATTAAACAATGAATAAAAATTTTAAATAAATTATTACTCTGTATAAATTTATAATATTTGGATTGGTAATTTAAACAAGTGAGGTAATTATTTGTACAAATCTTAATCTTTTATCTTCAAAACTAGATTTTGTAAAAAATGCTAGCTTGAGATAAACTTAATTATATTATTGTCTAGGTTATTTAACTATAACTCTAAAAAAGAAAATTTATTAATTTATTTAGAAATTTCGTCTGTAAAATGATGGTAATTAATCATTTTTGAATCCAAATATGTTAAAGAGAATTAGCTGCATTGAGACATATTTTCAATTATTGTTGAAACTCTCTATAAATCCATATCAGTGCTATATTATATCCCTTTTAACTCTAAGCAAAATTTTATGCACTTTGTAAAGTACTTCTCAGTAAAACATGAAAAAATACTACTAAGCTAGTTTTCATTATTTTCTGAGCTATTCTATTTGTAATTTCTATAATAAAAATTAGATTGGAAAATAGGGGAAAAAAAAATTACTGCAAAGATATCTTTAGCCTTTTGCTCACAGAAGTTACTTAAATGAATTTAGATAAATGTGCTCTATCTAGCTTGTTTTCTTATTTAAAATAGATTTCAAGAGTATTGACAATTATATGCTAAAAATTTTTAAACTAATCTAAAATATCATCTTATTATAATTCGATTTTAAGCTCTGATAATTAAAGAAAAGTTAAATTTGATAGTCCTTATAAATTATTATTTATTACCAATGATGATAGAATAAATAATTTATTAATTTTACTTTCCACAATATTAGAAATAATTTTTTAACATTTCAAACTATCTATTTCTTCTCTCTCATAAACAAATTTATTGATGTTTAAATTATTTTTAGCAAGATCAAAATAAGATTCAATATCTTGTTATTCTAATTCTTAAATAAAATGGTTGCTTAAGTTAATAGTATTCACATATTCATTATCAAGCTACTTACTAAAATAAAATTTATTATAATTTTATTAGCTTTATAATTCTTATATTGGTTGATAAATAAATCCTGACTTTAAACCTCCTTTTTTTAAAAATAAAAAATAATATTAAAAAAATTAAATTATCTGCGATTTCAATCTAAAATTATATATACTTAGTCGTTAGAAATTAAATTTAATATTTTCTATATCTTTATCTTCCTTGTTGACTATTTGATATTTTCCGAAATGAATATTTACATAAGGATACTGATTTACGTAAAATAAACATTTTTCAAGCAATTTGTTATAGTTTTTAACACTAGTGTCTTTATTTAAAATTTAGTTATTCTTATCATTCTAAAAGTTGAAATATAAATTAAGCTCTAAGCGATCAAGTAGCTTTCCTGAAGAAATGAATCTTTGAAGTCCTTCTATGTCAAATTTATCAGTAGATTTTACAAGCAAATAAATTTTTCTCATTTTTTAACAGCATTTAAAAATATTTTCAAGGAAATAAAAGTTATTTTCTGCAAATATTTAATAGTCTAATTTTATTTTGTAGAGGTCCTTTTGAGTTTAAAGATATGCAAATAAGTTTTAGTCTTTGAAATTACAGTTAGTGATATCTAGCGTGCGCAAGCTTCTATAATTTTATGAATTTTACAAATATGAAAACGAAATCTAATTTCCTGAAAAATCTAATTTAAATAAATTTGAATTTAGCTTTTCAGAAAAAATGTAAAGGTATTAATGGTCAGTACCATTAACATTCTGGCATTAACTAATCTTTAAATGATTCAATTAAGTTAGGTGCCCATAAATAATCCTTATGAGGTCGTCGTTCACTTAGGGGTTTTCACTAATATCTAAATACTAAACTTGCTGTAATAAATCGCTTTGGATGATATGTTTAAAAAGACTTTTACCAGATTGAACAATATGATTCTTTTATATTTATATATTTCTACAAATAAATGTTTCTAAGAAATCTTTAGGTTTATCTTAAAGGAAGAAATTATAGACAGAACTGTATAAGAGAGTTGTGTAAGATATATTTAAGCTCGTTAAGAACTGTGTTTCTTATGTGCCAAGATAGTTCAGAAAATCATCTCTTACTTAAGCTCTAGAAATGTCAAGCTTACGAAGATAAATATTATTAAAAATCAAATAATTAATGTTAGTTAAATCACAACCTCTCATTGTTAATGAATATTTTATATTCATCTAATTAGATTACGCTCTAATACTATAACTCTACTTCCTTATATTAATTTAATCAGCATATTTATCCAAGCTTTTATAGATATCAATATTTTCAAATTAAAATGCTTTTTTAAAATACTCTTCAAGTAATTAGTTACAATCAGAGAAATCCAAGTTATTATTGTTAAAAATGATTTTCTGCTGCACTTTAGAAGGTAAACCTTAATAAATTTAATAGTTAAGTCCTTCAATAATACTTTTTGATGAATCTAATAAATTTTCAATATGCAACTAACTCACATTTTAGATTAAGCTCAAGTTAATATAAGTTATGTATTAAGAGCTGCTTTAAAGATTATTCTCTGTAAAGCTAAAAATTATATTATTGGTAAGCTGAGTAGACATCTTTCTAGGTTCTTCAATATCATATAGCACATATACGTAGATTTATTCAGATCCTTATTAATCGTTTGTTTTTAAAAATAATTTTTAGTAATTTACTTTATTTTCAGTCTTTCCTATATTTATAAAGACTTTTCTTCTTCTTATTTAATCGTGTTGCGTCTTTCTATCTTTGTAGCAAATTATGCTTCTAAATTACTAGTTTTTGTAATAATACATTAAAAATAGTTTCTTTATTTTAAGCATTCATAAAGAATAGATATTAAATTTGATAATGAAGGTTTCAATAATTAATTTATTTTTTTTGTAAGTTAGAAATAAAAAAAATCAATAAATAATTTTACTCTCAATTCTCTGCCATCTTTTTTATTTTATTCAGATGCATCATAGTAAATATAGTAAAATAATTTATTATATAAAAACTAATCCTAATATCTTCCCTTAATAATAGCTCTTTTCTGCCACTTGCCAAAGTACATTGAAATGTCTTTAATTAAATATATTTCAGTAAATGTCTAATAAATATAAAGTATAGTATTTTCTTACTTCCAATATTCTCTAAATTTTAAGAGTAAGGAACATCAATAAAGTTATCAAAATGTATTTTTTCTTTATCTTTTTCATTTAGACATGTGTAAATATATCCCTCTCCATCTAAAATACCAAAATCAAAGTTGCCTTCTACCTTTAATTAGTTTGTAAATAATTAAAAAATTTTAACTTTTTTCATATTATTTACATTTTTTTTAAACAAAGCTTCATTAAATGGTTGAGTGGAATTTTAAGATAGTATTCTTTATTTCACTACAGGATTTAAAAATATTTTAATTTTGCACTCTCCATGTGGCAAATTGTTCTTCAAACAGCCTTCAAATACTAAATTATGATTTTACTTAAAATTTTCTTAAAAGAGTTTATTGATACTCTCTATTTTTTGTAATTAGTCACTTTAACTTTGGGAACTTTTAAATCTAGTTTACTCATAAACCTAAGTTATAAAGTCATGCTGAGCTTAGTTAAAGCAATAGATTAAGTTTTTATATTCTTAATATTATGAATGCTTCTCATTTTGGTTATTAATTTTACCATCATAATAAAAATATAAATCATTCATTTTATAAACAATATAAGCTTTGTTTTTCAAAGCTTAAAAAGGACCTATTTCCATGTAGGATATATTATGAAATAAATACCAATATAAAGGAAATCCTATTTATTAACTTAAACACATTAAAGGTAGCTCTCTTTTTACTTTAGTTATATTTTATGAATACAAGCCATCTCCCATAAAAATATCCATTACTCTTGTTGGTGCCTGATAATATTAAAAATCTTATTAAAGTCTTAAAATTTATTAAAGAATTTAGTTTTCACAACTTAAAATATCTTGCTCATAAGTCCTATTATCTGTATATTTTATTGGTATGGCTATAAACTCTAAACATTGCTATAAAGGATTTATAAAGATAGCATTTTTTGATAGTGAATAAAAATAATTTCCTTCAGCAATTATGGTTAAAACCTTCTATATAAAGTGCATTAATTAGCTTTCTGTTATTTTTTGTATATTTAAAGGTTAAAACTACATCAGCTACTATGAATCCATATTTTGTTGAGGTATATATTACAGCCCTATTATTTTATAGAATACAACACAAACCATATGATCTTTAATTTCTCCTATATAATTTCTAAATCTCAGACTATAAAATTGTTAATATTTTACTTTTATATCATCATTTTAAATTATTAGCTCATAATCTTTTAAAACTAATTTTTCTGAGTAAGAGGAGTATACTCTAGGAAGATCAAATACAAATTACCTGAAATCATTAAAATCATAATCTAAGTAATCTACTGCCCCAAATAATATCTCAAGCTATTAGTTATCGCTACTATATTTGTAAATAAAATATTATCATTAAAGTATTAAAGAGCAAATATTTAAAGCTATTTAAATAAGTGTGAAACTATCAAAATTTAAATGAGCTTTTCTACATATTTGCCATTTGTTAAATAATAATTACCTATGTTTTTCTGAAACAAATTGTAGCTTATTGTTTTTTAATTACAATATCTCTACATTCTAAATCTTATGATCATCTTTCAGAAATTGTATCACCTCTTCTTAAATTTTGTGAAAATCAAAGGTAAATATATCCTTTTCTATTTCTTTAACTTTATAATCGAATTATTGCCTTTAATCTAGTTTAAAAATTAACTTTTAAAAGCTAAAGTCTAGATTTGCCTATAATTGTGCCATGATTTGTATTTTTAACTTCGCTTGTATTAATTGCAAATATATAAATAGTTTTTACTAATTTAATTAATGTATTAAAAAGAATTTTAGATATCAAGCAATAAAGCTATAAATAAACAAAAATCCATCAGATATTAGGCACCTTGGTAATTTATTTAAAAAATAATTAAAAATCTTGAAGTTAAATTATTAACAAAAAGATTGAGTATATTTTTATCATATATGTTAATAAATATGAAAAGCGCTTTTTTGATACTTGCAATTCTGATTAGTTGTGTACTTTCGTAATCCTAAACTTATTACTATGATAAGGTGGATGATAAAATAGTTAATGGAACTGTAGTTCAACAAAAATTCAAGAGAAACAGTCAATCGCTGCCAAACGGTATTTAGAATGTCGTAGAGGATATTCAAATATTGATTACTAGCTAGGATGCAAATATTTTAGATATATAAATAAAGCCTTTGGAAAAAACGGATAAAATCTATGAATTTATTGAGTTAGAGCCATTTAATTCTTTGTATAATGAAACTATTAATAATAATGTTAAAAGTGAAAGTGAATACATTTACAGCACAGAAATTATTAATAACGGAATTAAGGTCACAAGAAAAGAAACTAATGAAGTTATATTTGATACTTCACCTTTCTCCTTTTTGCTAAACTAAGTTTACATGGAAGTTTCTACAATAATGCCTACTATAAATTTATTTGGGTTAGGTGAAAGAAACTATAAACATCTTCGTTTACCTCCAGGAGTATATACCTTGTATGGCAGAGATGAACCATCTGTAATTGAACAAGGAAGATCAGGTGGTAATGTTTATTCATCTCATCCTATGTATTTAATGAGAGAGTAATCAGGTAATTTCCATGTAGTGTTTCTGAAAAATAGTGCTGGTATAGATGCTGAAATTAGATAAAATTCTGTTACTTTTAAAGCAGTATAATTATTTTTTTCAAATCAATCTATTTATTTATTTATATTTGAATGCTTTTCACAAAAGATTGGAGGTATAGCTCATTTTAAGCTATTTTTAGGAGATAAAAATCCAGAAACCGCAATAAAAATGTATCATAAATACCTTGGTGGTGGCTACATAATTCCTCCTTTTTGGTAAATAGTCAAGTTTAAATTCTTAGATTGAGATATTTTTATGAAATAGGTCATTAGGTTTTCATCAATCTAGATGGGGATACAAAAGTGGAAATCAATTAAATTCTGTAGTCGACTAATACATATAGTCAAATATTCCTATTGATAGTAATAATCTAAAAATAGTAAATATATAAATTTGAATTTATTAAAAAAACAGCTATTTGGTCAGATATAGATTACTTTAAAAGTAAAAAGACATTTGCAATTGACAGAGACAACTATTAAAAAGAAGATTTCAATCGTCTTAAAAAAAAATGTATCGCTTGCTTGAAATTTCTTTGTTTTATATTTAATTCTTATTTTTCTTAAAAAAAATGATAACAGAGATCAAATTTATTGGAATTATTGATAGTGCAATTGGAGCAGATTAAAATATTGGTGGCTTAGCTAATATCGAAGAATATGATGCCTTTTGTAGATCTCCTGTTTCAGGTGAATATTTCAAAGGCAACTAATGGGCAGGAGATTCTTATTTTGTTGATTTCTTTAACCCTAATTCTGAAAAGTTATTTGAAGATGGTATTAAAGAAATGGAAAGTCATTTACTTAAAATAGATGGAATATGGCTTGACATGAATGAACCTGCTAATTTCTGCAATGGAGAGTGTGGGTGGAGACGTTATAGTAAACCAGATAAATCATTTATAGCTTAGCCTTTTAATTTTCCTTATGTCATAGGATAAAGAGACCTTGCAACTAAAACTTTACGTAATTTTTAATTATTGATAATTCATTTATAAACTAACTAACAAATCATCTATAAAAGCCCCTCATTTGTTACATTATGGATATTATTATCACAAAGATGTTCATAATATGTATGGAATGGCTGAAACATATATCACTTACAAAATACTAAAAAAAACTTAATCTCAACCATTTATTTTGACCAGAAGTTCTTTCCCTGGTACAGGAAAATATTCTTTTAAGTGGAGTGGAGATAATCATTCCAATTTTGAGTTTCTTTAAACATCTTTGCCAACTTAAATCTTATTTAACATATTTGGTATTCCTATGATTGGGTCGGATATTTGCGGTTTCATGGGAAATACTACACCCGAACTTTGCACTAGGTAATTTTAAATTTAAGTAGCTATTAAATTATTAAAGAATTAAATAAACAAAATAAAAGATGGATTTAATTAGGTATCACTTATCCTTTTGCAAGAAACCATAATAATGACCAAGCTCAAAATTAAGAATTATATGCATTAGGTGAATAAGTTAAATCAACATCTAGAAAAAATTTGAAATTTAGATATTCAATTTTAAAACATATGTACACACTTTTTATCAAATCAGAGAGAGTAGGCACAATACAAAGACCTCTCTTCTTTGAATTCCCTGACTGTGAGTAATGCTACTAAGATGATGTCTTAGACTTTTAATTTATGATGGGCTCTGAACTTTTATTTACCCCAGTTCTTCAAGAAAACATTGATTCAATCAAGCCTTTGTTCCCTTAAGGCAAATGGTAAAATACTTTATTTTATCAATTAAATTTTTAAATGTGAAATATATTAAAAGGTTTGACCTCCTTACAGGTATGGAGACTTCCTCAAGTTCTTCTAATCAAGGAAAAAGAAGAAAAGTGTATAATCCTTTAGATGCAGTTATACCTGTATTTTTAAGAGATGGGTATGGTATTGCACGCTAGGAAACCAAAGGAGTTATCAACACAAAGCAGCTTGATGATAACTTTAATTTAATTTTTGGCTTAAGAGAATAGAATGAAGATGAAGTTGAAAAGTAAAGCTTATCTTATCTGTATTCTTCACAGATTACAATGCTTGACCTTGGCTAATAATAATATTTTGATGAATCTCACATTGAAAATGTTTGCATGGAAAATAAACAGTGTGTTTTCACAGTTGATCTAGAGATTAGCAAAGATAAATAAAATAATTTCTCATTCAAAATCAAAACTTCTAAAAAGATTCAATCATCCATAAAATTCAAACAAATAACCTTATATGGTGCCCCACAATTTATTTCAAACAATCTGCAAATTTGTGAGATTAACAAACAACATGTATTTAAGGTATCGAAGCTTTCTACTAAAGGCAGCTACGATCTAGTATTTACATCTAATATAAAATTCTCAGATTTCTCATCAGACAATGAATTGGTATTGTGTTTCAAGAGTGTTTGATTAAATAAAATTATTTATCTGAAGAAATATAATTTATTTTTATTACTGCATGTTATATCAATATTTGATACACTTTATTTCATCTATTTTCAGAAAAAAACAATAACAAAAATTGCGCAAATTTAAGAAAGATAAATAAATAAGTAAATAAATAAATTATACCTTATATTTATTGAATTAGTATTTTTTAATTATAACCACATTTCCTAATTTTGTAAGCAAAATATCCAATGCAAAAAATTGTTTAAAATTAATTAATTTTCATCTCAAATCAATCATCTATAAAATACAAATTCAGGCAAAAAGAAATATATATTTTTTTTAATTTAGTAGTATTAGTTGTTGTCATAGTATTAGTCATAGCTATCAAAAATAACTAAAATTATTATTTTGAATGAAGATTGTAAAATTATTTTCAATAGTGATCTTATGTATCAGTGCTGTATTTACTTAATCTAGCAATGTAATCAAGCATTTTCAATTTAAATTATCAAAAAGTTAATGCATTTATATAAATAATAAAGGAGCTCTAAAAAATTATTTAATATGGTTAAAATTGCCACTACTCTTGTAATTCATGCATTGGAAACAAATTTTATGAATGTACTTCTTGTTAAAATCTAACTGGTAATTATAATAATACTATTATAAATCCAAAATATTACATTGATGGTGTATCCTATTTATCTTAATAAAACCTTTCGGTGCTTTATGGAGAATGCACATGTAGTCCAAATAAAGATCAATATTCTTTTCAGATAGGTTAAGGATGTGCCAAAGACTAATCTTTAGAAAGATACTTAGATTTAGCCCTAAAAGCTCTCATTTATTCTAATTTAGGAATGTCTGGAGTTTACTTTTTAACTTCATTAAAAATTTTTTATTTGGTAGACCTCATTGAAACATTACAATATTTTGGAAATTTTGCTATGATCAATCATAAAAATATAGGAAAAAGCAATGATTAAATATCTACTTATCTAAATTTTAATCCAACATTCTTGCTAAACCATGATAATAGTAGTTTTATTTAATTCTTCTAAGATACAATAAATAATAACATTAAACCTTAAAGTATAAAAATTATTTCCCAAATCCCTACTCAAAACTAGTTAGAATAATAAGCTAATAGTAGTACTATAGATTAAACACCTTTGCTAGTGTAGTAGTATAGTTTCTAAATGTTAAACTAGCTGTAAAATAGTTAATTTAAGTTAAGTTAAGCACTTGATGGATTAGGAAGTGATTTCTCTTACTTTCAATTAGGTATAAATTTCTAAATGGTGCTTCTTTGCAGCTATATAATATTGGCTTTATTTTTGTTATCTCATTTTTTAGTATTCGAAAAAAAGTATCTGCCTTAATCAAAAGTTTTTAGCACATCGTCGGACGAGAAAAAAAGAGAGAATAAATAAATAGATAATAGCAACTATCTTTAGAAATATTAATATGAAAACTCTAAATATTATCAAATATATCAGTATGTTATAAACCTCTCACTAACCTTCTACTATTTATGCTTAAACGAATAGCTAATTTACTTACAGATATCTTTCTACTTAGGCTAAAAAGATAAAAAAGATATAATTGCTATATGTATCTTTTTTTTCATTTCAGCTGTAAATTTAGTACAATTGATTTACTTTAGCAGGAGATCAAGCATGCCAACAACAAACTAAAAGACTGTTATTTTTGATCATATTAAATTTATAAATAAAGGAAAATAAAGATATGTCACTATTGTAAAACTTATATTTAAAGTTTCAGAGACTATTATTTTCTACTAGCTGTATAGTAACACAACATTATAAATAATTATTCTCCTGTCTCTTGCTTTTTTGCAATTTCTATTCTCTATTTACATCAAAGCTTTTGTTTTCACTTAATATAACGCATTATATACTATTTAGCAGGCTATTAAAATCATACTATTGGTGTTACATCTTGTAATTTAATTAGTAGAATAATCTTCTGATTAAAGTAGCTTAGATAAGCTCAATTTATGTTTAACAGCTCTTTAATTTTGCTACACCTTTGCTGTGTTATTCTACAATCTTGTAATGTATTTATAGGATTTGTGTTTTTATTGTTTTAATAAAGGTGATCAAAAATTAAATTTTTCTTCTGTAAGTCCACTATCAAATTAAAGTTTTGCTAATAACAGCAACTATGGCAAAGAGAATTAAAAATTGATAAATTTATAAAAGAGTGAAAACATAATAAGTCTTAATCAATCATAACTTTAAGAGAGCGTTATTGAATAAATTCCTTCCTTTAGAGAAATAGATTAAAAATAGTAACACAATTAGTAGTTACCTTAAAAATTATAACCTCAAAATAGACAGTAATACAAAAATAGTGAGTACTTTAATCTAGGATTCCAACGAAAAGTAGGGCATTAAACAGAGCTTATTATAAATCCAATAAATAAAAACCCGGATTTTGAAGATGTTTTATAAAAAGAGTCTAATTTTAATAAAAAAAATACCAATTAACAAAAAAATATTTAAATTTATGAGGAGGATAATAATAAAAAAGTCTTAAAATCTCAAATTTATAGTTACTATAACGAAGAGTAGTAGAACAATCTCAAGTAAACTCCAATTTAAATGATTTAAAATATTCGATAAAAATAAGAAAAACAATAAGAGTAACAATTGAAGCCATTTTAATAACCCCCAAATAATAACTAAAATATTTATGAAATGTTTAATGCTGTTAAAGAAAACGTAAATTATAATAACACAAATAAAGCTCATATGACTACTTATAGAAAATGAAATTGATAAATATAAATATGATTTTATCTATAAATATTTAATAAAGTCAAAGTAATTTATTTAGCTTTTGATTACAATAATATTTCATTTTACAAGTTTTTATTTCTTTTTTTAAATAAAAAAATTATTTTAGAAATTTAAATGGTTAAAAGTAATTAAATTTGAGTATTGCTTTTATTTTATTTCATTTATTTTTTTTCTATCTGTTTCTACTTTTATTTTAATAAAATTTTAATTGAAAATAAATAACTTCAAAATAATGAAAATATAAACTATTTTATAAAAGAAATATTAATAAATCCATTAAAAAAATTACATACTATTTTGTTACTTAGAGGTATGATGCAAAATAGATTTATTTTTATAAATGTTCTTCAATAAATTAAAAAACTATTTAAAAATTGGAGAAAATTTTTTATTTTTATTAGAATTATTGATAATTTGAATAATAAATAAATATATAGATAGATCAATTTATTCTTTGTTTCATTCATTTATTTATTTATTTACTTTATTTTATTTTATTAGAATTACATAAGAACATAAGTAAAGTGTTTAAATTTTATACAGTGCTTAAAATAAATAAATAAATAAATTCTTGTTAAAAATGAACAGAATGTATATATAAATATGAATGAATTAATGATGAATCGATTATTTAAGTTATTAGGCTTCAAACAAATGAAAATATAAGAATTTGCTGAACTGTTATTTAGTTGCATAAATTTAAAAAAAAATAACATTGATAATCAATCCCAGAGAAGAGTTATAAAGACTATAACAAGAGGAGAAGAATTTTTTTAAAGCTTTTTTAAAGGCTTTTATATTAATTTCAATTTTATTGATTAATAACTTTATAATTACTGCAATTTAATTAAAAAGCATAAAAAGTTAATAAAGTTAAATAATATAAAGGATACGAGTATAGGGGAAGACATAATTTTGCTGTTTGATAAACACAAAATCGTAGTAAGTGAAGCAAATAGTTCTCTTCATTGTTCTAAAGTAATTTATGAGTTAAGATATAATATTAAAGCAAAAAAGTGAAACTCACCCTGACATTTCAGGTGAAAAATTGTTTACTGAATAGTAGCATTTAGTATAATAAGATGAAAATGCCAAAAGTAACAACATCAAAGATTTGTAAGGTCATGAATAGAAAAATGAAGCTGCTATCAGCAGTAATAAAATTAAGGATAACCTACCAAGCAATAATACTGATATGCTTGATAAGATTTTTGGAGTGAAAAATTTAAAAAATAGTTTAATTTAAGGTTCTGTTGAATAATAAAGCTCGAATAACAGTAGTATAATTGGAGAAGAAGGTTCTTATGAAAATATTTTATAAGATTGTCTCCACTAACTTAATGAGATAGATGTAATTAAAAACGATGAAAAAAACTAACATAGAATCAATGATAGGTAAAAATAAATCAAATTACTATAATAGAAATTTTTTTTTTTTTTGACAATATTTTATTAAATTTCAATTATGTACAACAAACATCTAATAAAATAAATTATAAAATTGAATAATTTTTTTAATTTACAAAAGTAACGAGATGCAAGATAAGGAAACGAATACTAATCTAAATTTAACTGCTGAAGAAAATGCTAACCCAAAAGTTATTGACGCCACTGAAAATGCTATTAATATGCTTTTAAAAAGAGCATATGATAATGTAAATTTATCTGAAAGTAGTATTTTGCAAGAATAATCAGAATAGCAAGGAATCAAAGATGAAAAAAATTAGAAACAAATACTTTTTGACCAGTTTTAAAATAAGAGCAATGATGCTCAAAAAGTCTAAATTAAACGAGTACAATCCTAAGAAAATTTAGAAAACAAATAAAATTCTCAATCACCAAGCATAAAGTTAATAATTAATGATGCTTAGGATTCTACTCCTTAATCTCTGTATTTAGAAACTAAAGAAAGCATTGTTCAAGATAAGGATAATAACTTTTTGTAAGGTAATACTCCAGAATCTCAAGATGCCAACTGTTCAAATTTTTTATCTGTCAGTTAACATAATGGTGATAATTCTGCTCCTAATGTATCGCTTTTTGCCTAGATGACTAAATAGTAAAATAAAAAAGATATGAAGAACTGGGCCTTTAACAAGAGTTTTGTAGGCAGAGGTTCAGGTAATTTAACAACTACTGCTATTGGAGCGAATGGTAATAATTTGAGTTCTATGTCTTCTTTTGTTTTGCAAAAGAAAGTAAGTATGCAACATTAATAAGGGGGATTAGGAGATAGCAAAGATTTTGACCAGCTAAATGATAGCACAAACAATAGTAGATCTATTATAGAATAATTAAGTGAATCAGTACCAGCAAGCTCTTAGCCTAAAAAAACTCTTAGCTTAATTGGGAGCAATAAAAAAAACATTAAAATAACTAACACAACAAGCAAAGAATTAAAAAAATATAATTTTTAAGATGACGATATCATAAAAGTTGATATTTAAGCTTACTAAAAACTTGCATAAAGTTTTAATATTAGTTAAAATATTACTATTTCTACCAAAACAATGCTTAGCTATTAATTATAAACAATCACATAAAAAAACTTAGTCAATCATAAAACAGTAAATCCTGACTCTCCTACAAAAATTCAAAGTGAAGAAAAAAAAGTATTTTAGTTAAATTCAGCAAATAACAGCTCAGAAGATTAGTAAATCTTTTATGTTTTTAATTTATAATCACTTATTATTTTTTTTAAATTGTAAATTTTAAAAAAATGTTAATAAAAATATAAATAACAAAAGATAGAAGGGAGTAATTGCTGAATAAAATTAAGAATAGACAGAAGTTATTAACAAAATTGAATAAACTATTACAAAGAAAATAGTTATCCCAGTGCTTTTATCTGTAAAAACAGAAGAATAAATGATATCATATTAGTATTTTGATTAGCTTGATACCCACCCTAGCTAAAAAGATATTCATAGTCTTCATTAAATAGATTAAAAAAGTGAACACTAAATTATGGAAAATATAGAAAGATAAAGAAGTTTATCAATTGAAAAATTGCATGAAGTAGCTAATCATGATGAAATAAATGAAAATAAGTAAGATCTAACACATAATCATGATTCAAGTGGATATCAATCAGATTAAGACCAAAGTAATAATCGTGATATAACAAAGATATTAGATGGCTTGCTGACAGTTGAAAAGTAATAAACAGATGAAAATACTCATGATAAGTAACCAAAAATAGAAGAAAAAGACTAGAGTGAAGGATAGCAAGAGGAATTTGAATAAAATGAGACTCACTCGCTTAGAAAAATTTCATAAAAAAAAGTTTTAATTAAATCAATATAACGCAAAGTAAAAACAAATAAAGAAAAAGTTCAAAAAGCCTTGAATGAAGAAGACAAAGAAAACTAAACTAAATCTTAATAACATAGAATATCGAGCAATGTTAAAAATATTTCAGGTCAGTTTAGTCTTGGCTAATTATAGCCTATGAGATTTCCTATTGATTTAATATGTGTAATTGATACAAGTGGATCTATGAATGGACAGCCACTGGACTTATTGAAAGAAACTTTGCTTTTCTTAGTAGACCTTTTATAAACTGGAGATAGAATCTGTTTAATTTAATTTTCTACAAATGCCTAGCGTTTGACACCACTACTTTCTATTGAATCTAAAGATAACATAAAGAGCATTAAAAATGAAATTAATAGATTGGTTGCCAAGGGTGGAACAAATATATGTCAAGGTATGTAACTTGCATTTGATGTACTTAAGTAAAGGAGATACAAAAACCCAATTACTAGTGTTTTTCTTTTAAGTGATGGATTAAATGATGGTGCTGAAAATAAAATTAGAGACTTATTAAAGTAATTAAATTTTTATTAAAATTATAATGAAGAAAATTTTACAATTCAAACTTTTGGGTTTGGTAAGGATCATGATCCAAATTTAATGGATAAAATTTCTTAATTGATGGACGGTAACTTTTATTATATTGGTGACATCCATAGAATTGATGAGTGCTTTATTGATGCTCTAGGTGGTTTATTTTCTGTAATTAGCCAGAACGTTTCGATAAATGTATAAGTACCTTAAGAAATGAGAGAATAGATTAGGATAGTTAAAACATATGGAGATATCTGGCACACAAAAGAGCCCTATTATGAATACTCAATAAATATAAATCAATTACTCAGCGGTGTCTCTAAAGACTACATTTTGGAAATGGAATTAGATTCTAAACTTATTGAGGATTTGTAATGCATTCATGAAATCCATTCTGAAGAAGAAATATAATCTTCAGAGAATATTGGAAGTAATAAAAATTTTGATCTCAATTTAATTTCTTGCTAAGCTACTTCAGAATAACTAAAAAATTCAAAGTAATCTATGAATATATTAGAAGCTTAGTTAATTGCTTCAAATATGTCTCTTGGTTTAAATAATTTTTCTGCTTCTTAGCCAAGCCTTCCAAAGGATTAGCTTAGTGCAAAGTAATGCTAAAGCTAATCTGAAAGTGAATCCTTTTCTCCAGATTTGATGTAAAGAGAAAAAAATTAGTTTGTTTAAATTAGACAAGAAAAAGCTGATAATTAATGTAATATTTCTTCTGGTGCCGAGTTCATATTTGAAAAATATGGTTCATGTACAAACAACTTAGCTTAACAGGCAGGTTTGAATTCATAATCAGAGCTATCATAATAGTCTATGAATACCCTTACTAATGGAGCAGAAGAAGCTTTTGCTTCATCATCACATGTACAACTAGATAAAAAGGAATAAAGGAGTATTCCTGAAATGAATAGCGATTAAATTATTAAGAAAGATGTACTCAACTTACAAAATCATAGGCAGATATAAGAAAATTTAGTGAAATTGCACTATTTAAGAGTAAAGGGAGCAGAAGGTCTTGAAAAATGTTAAGCATTAGCTCTTTAGAAGAAATTTGATGAAGGTAACGAATATGTTAGTAAACTTTTATAAGAATTGAACGAACAACCAGAAGAAACAAAAAAACATTTACAGAAGCTAATTTTAGATCTTACTGAAGCTTAAGATACTCTTAGCAAAAAAGTAGGAGAGTAAATAGGATGGCATCGTATGATTTCATGTAAACGTATGCATATGGAATAGCGTTCTGCAGGAACAGATTTAACATACTAAAATTCTGTATAAAAAATAATGGTTTAGCGCAGAAAGAGCTTTAAAGATTAGAATTCTATCTAAAGCCTTACAGAGACGATAACTAAGCTTTAAAGTTCCGGAGCAGCATTTAGCAGTTCTTAAAAAGAAAAGAAAGATAAAGATGAGTCGAATAATTTAAATTCAACCTCTTCTGATTCTTCAGATAGTGACTCTGACCAAAGTGGAGATGAATAAAAACCAAAATAAATGAGTGACAATGGTATTTTGAGGAAAAAGAAGTCTTTTACTGTAAATCCTTCTCATTCTTACTAATCTAAAGATTAATAAGATTCAGATAATAATAACTGTGAAGAAGATATTAAAAATAATAAATAATAAATTGAAAATTCAAAAACAATACAAGAAAATAGTAATCTGAAAATTTAGTAAGATTGATTGGCAGATTGATTAAGTTTATTAAAAAAGCTGATTATTTTTCTTCAAATAAATAAATGTGTTATAATTATTTTATTCAATAATAAATTTAAATAGATTTTCTCGATTCTAAAACAAATAAATTAATAAATAAATAAATTTTGGTTCTATTCATGCTTATTTAATATATCCACAGCCTATAAAATAATATTAATTTTATCCTTAGATTTAAAGACGAGTTTATTTAGATAATGTTTATTTATTTATTTACTTACTTACTTACAATACTATCTATACTTTCTTAAATTCTTGAATTAATAATAACTGATAATAGCTCTATTTCAAAATCATGTTTTTTAAATTACAGCAAAAATTCTTTAACTTTTTTGAGAAAGAAATTTGACATCTTGTTTTAAGAAAATTGGTATTTAATTTGAAAAATATTTGAAGTGATTTTTATAATCGATAATAAATAAGTGAGTAAGTAGGCAAATAAGTAAATATAAAAAAAATATTTTTAGATATTGAAATAAATATAAATAAATAAATATATTAATATATAACAGAATCTCTTATTTTTGATACTTTAAAGTTTATTTGATTATGCTAATTTTACTTACAAAAGTGGCAATCAAATTTTATACTTAACATAATAAAATATTATTATTATTTTTATATAAATAGCTAGCATGACTTTCCTTTCATATAATATTATTTTATATATTGTAGGATATTTATTAACCACTTTATTTTGTTATTTTAAAAAACTCTCTCTTAAAACATTTATAATCAAAAAATTAAAGCAGATTTTAGCTAAAAATCTAAATTTTATCTGATTAAAGAATTAAATAGCTGTAAATATCCCTATTATCTTATTTACGCGGGTATATAAGGAGCTGTTAATTAATAAAAAAGATATATTGAATTATTTTCTAAATTTTTAATTTTTTGCCAAATTAATTAATATTATTAAGCAAGCAACACAATTATTAAATTCCAAGCGAAAGCTTATGATTGAAGATAGTAACATAGATGATAGCAAATTAAAAAACTATTTAGAACCCTAAAATGATGAAGAAGAAGAGGAACCTATAGAAAAAATGATTATCAACAAGAAGAGAGAAAATTTTTAAGTTTAAATAAGGAACTCTAAAAAGAAATAAATCTTGCAAAATAACAGAGTAAAAATGTACTAAAAATATGTTAAAGAAATCATACATGAAAATGGAGAGTAATCTTAGTCTATTAAATCTATGATACCAGAACATATTCTTTAAAGCCCTTAAGTATCCGAATAAAAATTAAGAATATTTGATAATTTTATTAATTTATTTATAAATAGAAATTACAAATATACCTTAACCAGTTTATTGAAGATTTCAAAAAGGAGTTTGAAAATTACAATCCTCAAGATTATAGTGCACTTTTTAAGAGTTTAAACCATTTGCGTTAGTTTAGTTTTTTATAATAATCAGCTTCTGTTATCACATAACTTATTCAAAGCAATTTACATAATATTTTGATATAACTTATAAGTCCTGATTTTGATAGCTAACTAAGATATGAAGCTGCTTGGCTTTTGACTAATTGCCTAGCAGCATCAAACTGCGAAGATTTAGATTTTATTACGAGAAATAATTATGTTAACATTTTAGAAGCATTTGCCTCTCTTTACTAATTATGGGATAATGAAAAGTTATTTGAAATTGTAAATAAGCTTAATTTAAATATCTTTATACTATTCATTTTTTCATTAAAATTCAGGGTATTTGGGGTTTGACAAATTTATGTGTAGATATAAAAGAGGCAGCAGAACTTTTCTACTAGAAATACGGATTTGAAAAGATTGAAGAAAAGTTTATCACCTACCAAAATAACATAGACATTTAGGAAAATTTATCTTGGATGATGACAGTGTTCTCATAATATAATAAAATATTTACAAAAGTAATTAAGAATATTCAATGCCATTATTTTATAATAAATCCTTTCATTTTGTTTATTTATTAGGCAGATAAAATGACTTTTCTTAAATTAGCAGAAAAGTAAGTAATGCAAAATACTAATTCTTCGATACAACACTATGGGATTAGGATTATTTATTAACTGACTATTGATGATGATTGCTGCCAAGCAATAGTAAAAAGAGAAAAGCTTATTGATTTTTTATTATAGCTTACACATAACTCCTAATATATTAGTTATGTGATTGGTATTATGGGGAATATAATTGCTTGCCAATATGAAGTTTCATAAGTAAATTATTAATGGCAGTTTAATTTTATTTACTTGAACATATTAATTTATTAATAGATTTTAATGAATCATAACATTTTAGAATATCTCTCTATAGCTCTAGATAATGTTAGAGTTGATGTGAGAAAAGAGTCTATGTGGTGCATAGCTAATTTATTGACAGGATCTGAAGAGGAAATTTAATAAATTTTAGATTATAATAGATTAATTGAAAAAGTATTTAGAATAGCAAGAATTGATACAATTTAAGTAAGCTCTATTGAAATGAAACTATCTAATATATTTTTTTAATTAGGTTATATATGAAGTATGCATGGGATTGGTTAATTGCTTGGTGAAGGCTAATAATTTTTAGATAATGAAGTTAGTATAAATGGGAATTTTAGAAATTTTTGTATCATTTTTTATGATTTAGGATGTGAATATTGTCACAAAAACACTTTAAGGAGTAGGATTCCTCCTAGATTATGGATAAAATATTAAATAATCAGACTAAGAAAATCCTATAAAATCAAATTTATAATAGCTTGGATTTAACCAAATTCTCTCTTCATTATAATGTCATCCTCATGACATAGTTTATGATTTATCTACAGAAATATTAAATGAACATTACTCATCTGATATTAAAAACCAATAATTAACTAATAATAATTAAATGGAGGAGTGTGAAATATGATGAAAGATAAAATATCAATTCAATCTAAAGTTGAATAATAAGTTTTGATTGCAATATTTTAAAAAATAATTTATTTTATATTTATTAATTGAGATTATTTGTTAAATTTAAAATATGTAAATGATGATTAAATATTTTTTATTTAGAAATTAACTTTTTTAAATTGAAGCTATTTATCATGTATTTATTAAACACTCAACAAAATATAAAGAAATGTACAATAAATAGGAATTTCATTTATTTAATTTTGTATTTGTTTCAGCTAATTTTAATAAATCTGTAGCTGATAGGGCAAATAATTTATCATCATCAAACAATTCTTTATTAAAATCAGATTAGTTTGAATTATATTCTATTAAATTTAATTTTTTATTCTAAATATTTGAAGTGTCTTAAGTATTTATAAAATTGTTATATTTCTAATTGTTATGTTTCTCGTTTGATTAAAGTAATGCTTTGTTTTTTTCATAATAATTAAATGCCTATTAGCTTGATTAAACATCTTCATATTGTACTTTTTTTCCATTTTTTGGAGATTCCTCATCAAATAAACCTTCATCTGCTTCATCTTCCATCATATTATAGTAATTCTAATATTAAACAGAATTTAGAGTATCAGTTAAACCTTAATTTGGTGCCTTTTGAAATGAATTTAATTTCTCGTTTGTGAAGAATTTTTTTAAATCTAAATTATTAACATGAATTATTTATTTTAAATCGTCTTATGATAATTAATTTTTAAATTAATCTATGTCAAATTATTCATTAAAATTTAAAAATTCACTCTCAAATTCAGTTGGAATATTTGATAATACTTAAGGGCTTGATTAAGTAATTTATATGGGACTTGGTTGATCTTACTTTTTAGAATCATCAATTTTTTTCTTTTGTACTTAATCAGGTTGATTTATCATATTTGTATCTAATGGATGTATATTTTTGTTGCTATTTTTCATAGACGGAACAATATTTTATTACTAAACTATTTAAACTTAATCATTTTTGTTATTTTTTTAGTTATTTTAATTAATTATTTTAATTTAATTTGCATTATTTTTTAAGTTTTATTGAACTTTTAATCCATATTAATTCATGGTTTTAGGAGTTTCATTTTGCTAAAATTAAGAAGGTATATTTTGGGTTTTTAAATGGCTTAAGCGAAGATTAGAACTATTACTGCTTTCTAAGCTACTCACTGGTAACAACATATCTAGTGATCCTTTTTTATCACCACTATATTGCTATATTATTTCTTTGACATCATTTATTTTTTTTTCAAATTTTTTTTACTAATCTTCTTCATTTTTTTATTATAAAATATTTCTTTAGTTTATCATTTATTAATTATTGATATTTTAAGAATTATTCTCTTTATCTCTTTCATTTTCTGCAATGTATTATGCTGCCATTGATGCAGTTCCCAAAATATCTCTATCATTAAAATCATCAAATTCATTGAAATCATATTTTTCCCTTTTTAGTTTTTAAAATTGATAGGCAATTTAAAATTTTTGCTTATTATTTAGAAAATTACTTTTATTGTTTAATTGACGGAGAAGTTTACAAGTATGTTTTTTATTCCGATTTTACGAATTCTTAGTCAAATGTCACAGTCTTACTTCTTTTTTACTTTTATTCTTTTACTAAACAGCTTTTTGGAGCTTTTGGGTCTTAGGATCTTCCTCTTTTATTTGAAGCATTAGTGTTAATATTTTCTTAGACAGATTTAGAATGCTTCATATTTCCTAGTTTAAAAATAGATTTGAAATTAAAGAAAAATTGAATAAAATATTTATTTACCAATTTAGTTTTTTATTGAATTTTTATTCTTGTCTTTTTAATTGTTAGTTATCTTCTCATAGCCCTATTATTAGTAGGCTTGCTTTTATTTTTATTACTTTAGTTATTACTTTTTATCACTTTAAATTTCATTTTCACTTTTATCACTTTGGCTCTCTTGTTCTTTGTCACTATAATCATTATCAACATCTTCATCATCATCACCTTACCTTTGACTGTTATTTTCATCATAATCATCTTCTTCATTTTAAGATTAGTTTTTATCATCATCATCTTCACTTTCGCTTTGATCTTCTTCATCTGAAGTAAGAACTATTTCTCCATCAACTAAATGAGCTTATAAGTAAAGTTCAAAATCCTACATTTCTTATGGAGTAAAGGTATTTTGGGCATTAAGATAAAGCTACTTAAGATATGCTTCTTTTTCTAATTTTTTAATTTCTTCTTTCATTTATTCACTTTAGTTTTGTTAATTATTATCTTTGTTTTAAATTTCTTAGCCTTTTTTTTATTTAGAGTGCTTGTATTTACCAACTCCATATTTCTAATCATTTTAATCAATATCCTGCTATATTTGATTAGCCAAATCTTTTAATTGATTTATCATTTCTATAGGGTTTTGGACAGATTCAACATCAAAATCTTCAAATTTTTTCAATTCTAAAATCTTATTTAATTCTGACTAATTTTATTTTACTATTTATTGTTTTTACTTTTGGAGGTTATTGATATTATTACTAATATTGCTTTTTTTCTAGCCATTAGAAGATTTTGGACGATTGATTGCTGAGTTTCTACTTTTGTGTTATTTTTAACTGCTTAATTATTTAGATTTTTAAGTTTACTTAAAGAATTCTTTTTTATACTCTTCTTCTAGCTAAATAAGCTCTTCGATTGAGCATTCAGGATAAAGCTATTTAATTGAGGCTCTTATATTTTCTCTTAAAAAGCTCTCTGAAACCAAATCTTACATAGGTTAGATGTTACTTTTTGCAGTCTTTTAGTTATTAGAGTTAACCTTTTACTTATTAGTTTTAGAAGGTGTAGTTTTTTGTTGCTGTTTTTTTTATTTAAGAGATCTTTCTCTCTACTCTTATTATAGATCTGATTAATTCAATGATTCTTATTATAAGTCTGCTTATTCTAGTTCTTCTTCGCTTTCATCAGGTTAGTTTTAAATTTATTCATATGATGCTTTTTAATGAAGAGATTAACGAGAGTCCCTTTTTTATTAATTTTATAAAATTAAGCCTCCTCCTCCAGGTCTCTTAATTTACATAGCTTTTCTCTCTTCTTCTTCCTACTCTATAGTTTTAATTTTTGCTTTTTAGAGCTATATTAGTTATTCTTACCTAAGTATCTCTAGTTTAAGCCTCTTTTTTTCTTTTTCCTCATCTTACTTCTCTTTTTCTTCTTTTTGTTTTTTCATCAACTCTTTTACACGATTACGTGTAGCTTGATCAAATTATTCTTTTGATATTTCTGGTTTTTAAATATCCCTACTAGTATTTTGCTATGATACATTCTGTCTTGATGTTTAGTGAGTTGACTAAGATTAGCTAGTTTATTTAGAGACACTTTTTCTTCTTTTAAGCTTATCTTGCTGTTGTAAAAGCTATTCTTGCTTTTATTATTGTTAATCTTTCTCTTTGCGTTTCTTTTTTTCTTTGAACTGTTGTGTTTTTTATTAGTTTCTCTTTCTTATTTCTTCTTCTTGCTTTTTGAGCTTCTCCTTCAACTTTTGCATTTCAACTTATTTCTACTGTTTCTAAATTTCTTAAATTTCCTTTTCAGCTAATTAATTCCATTATAATAATTTTATAAAAGGAAAATATGTATTTATAAAAACTACTTTTATAACGAATGTTGCTCTTTCTAATCAGATCATCTATATCGCCTTTGTTTTTTTGATCTTTTTCTTAATTATTTTATTCATTATTTTGGTTTAGCTATACTGGAGCTTGCTGGACTATTAGCTAGTTTTAAAAACCTTGTTAACTCTAAAAGCGATTTTTCTTTGGCATCATTATATCAACAAATTCTTCGCAATCACTGGAAAAATTAGAAACATTAGTTACAGGCTAAATCATGGAAATATCTTTCTTAACGATTGCAGTTTCTTACTGTATTTATTCGAGTTTTTTCTACTATCTCCTTTCTAATTATATCAATTATATAACTTTTCTATAATCTTCTTTTCAAATAATTAATTACCTTTTAGACTCAAATAATTTTGATTTTAAAATTGGCATTCATTTTATTAATCTTAACTTTCATTCCTTGACTTTTGCTATTACTATATTAGGTTTTCTAAAATTAAATTAAAATTTTATTTAGCTATTGCTTATAATTTTACTTAAGTTTTGTTGTGAATTTTATTATATAACTCCGTTTCCATTCATTAATGCTGTTTTTTATTTAGATTTTGATTTTTCAGATTAACCCTACGCAAGTTATGCAGCATTTGTCTGTTATAACTTTGATGGTATTTTCTTCTATGGTAATGCGTAGCTCAATGGAACTGCTTAGCCTACTTTATAATAAAATATTACGTTATCTCTACGAATAAATATTAACAATAAACTTACATTTACTAAAATTATTTTGAAAAGGGTTTTATTTTTAATCATTTTACGCTGACTAACTGCTCTGAATTTATGAAGATATGTTAAAACTTAAGGTATTTTCAATTTTTTTGCCTATAAATTTATTTTAATTTGGTTACTAATTAAGTTATTAATGAGATTGTATCTAATTTTCCATCTTAAAACTCCTTAAAAAATTTGAAATTGCTATCAAAATTTAATTTTTATAAAGATATTATCTCTGTGATTTGTATATTTTTTAAATTATGTATGTAAGCAAAGAATATTTTCAAATTATTAATTTTCAATCAGAGAGCCATTAAAAAATTTAAATTTAATTATATCTTAATAATTTACCTTTTTATATTGATTAATATGTGTTTATGTATGAATGTATGTAGGCTTATTATCATATTTTTTTTTTTAAATTCACAAAATTTACTAACCAGGAAATATCAAATAAATTTATTGTTAATTCGTATTTACTACAAATAGCTAGCTTGTAAATAATTAGTAGATGTAATAAAAAAAATATTAAAAACTTTTTAGAATCAAAAATAATAAATAAACTATTTTGGAAAAAAATATTTTTTAAATTAAAATTTAAAAAAATTTATTTGATTGATTTAAAATAAATGTTTTTTTAGAATTAAATATCATCAATTATTATTTAAATATTTTTGAGTGGATGTGTATTTTAAGAAAATTTATTTTGCCAAAACTTTAGAATAAGATAAAAGAATGATTTTTAAAAATTTAAAATAAATCAAGCTTGGTTTAAAAATACAAAAGAAATTATAAAGAGTTTTAATCAAATATTTTTCTCTAAAAATCTAAAACTTTTTTTAGAAAAACTAGTCTGAACTCAAAACTTTTGATTGATTAAATATTTTAAAGAAATGTTATAATTTATCTTATAATGAATTAATATTTAAACTAATTATAGAACTCTATTTGGAATGATTATATATTTTGCTTTTCTTAGCTAATAGTTTTATTTATAAGAAAATTTAATTTTTAATCTAAAATTTAGTCATAACTGTCTAACTAATATATAATATATAAATGGAGGAAACTGTAGTATAGAAAGAGTCTTTTTTATCCAAATTTGCAAGAAAAAGAAAGGTTAGTCCTATAGGTGATGAATAAAAGAATAACCAAAACGATAACTTAATATATACATCAACTGCAGATGACTAAAACAATTCTTAGTTGAAATTAACATTAAAAAAAAGAACATTTTTAATATCTTCTATCCAACCTACGATAAAAGCAAAAGATATATTTATGAAAGCTTTGAAGAGGAAAAAAGAATTAGATAATGAGGAAAAACAAAAGAGCAAAAATGTTATTAAAATGTCCATAGTTTACATAGAAAAATTCATAAGATTAATGAGACAGTAGTCATCTCTCATAAGATTTAAAGAAACAAGATTAAGTTAATTAGAAATAATAAATGATAAATCGGTTGAATCTCAATACTTTTTAGTAAATAAACTTTTGACAAAAGAAGTAAGCATTATTAATATACACTTATAGTTAACTAAATGAAATTTTAAATGATAAAATTAATATATTTTTTTATTATAAAATAGAAACCTTCTTTACTTCTACTAACCTATGAATATTTGCAAAGTAGGTTTTATTACTAAGTGTTAAAATAGTTGAAAATTTTTTTTATATTATAGAAATGCAAATTTACATATGGATGAAGTCTCATATAGTGAGTAGATTAAAATTAGATCAAGTGGATTATCTATTCTTACCAGTAATCTAAATATCAATTCACTAGTTAGTTTTATTTAAGATTATTTTTTATCAAAAAGAACTCTCAGTTATATATGATGTGGTCAATTTTTTTAATGATAGTTTTAACTTTAAATGTTGTATATATACCTTTAGCTATATCTTTTTAAGATATTCAACTTTCTACTTTTGCATCTATCTTGATTAATATACTACCTAATGTCTCTTTTATGGTTGAAATTATTATTAAGTTTAATACAGGTAAAAATTAAGTTAGTTAGTTTTACTGATTATGAATATGATTTAGTTTTTTTTAATTATATTCATTAGTAATAGTAAATTTAAAATTTTTTTTAGCAATATACAAAAAAGGTTTGATTATAAAATCAAGAAAACAAATTGTTCTAAGTTATTTGTAGAAGAGATTTTGGTAAATTAAAAGAATTTCTTTTTAAAAATATTGATTAATACCTTTAAAATTATAGGTATGACTTATGTATAGTATTTTGCTTCTTCTTTGGGTCTTATTTTTAAAATGCATTTATATAAATCGTTTTACTTCTACGTTTTTTTGATATTACAAGGCTGATAGCTGAAATCGAAGAAAGATATAACTTAAAAGAGAGGCTTTATGGTATAAACGATATGGTAAAGTTGATATTGCTCATACTTTACATAGCTCATTTATGTGGGTGCATTTGGCATTATATTGCAGTTATTGAGATTGAGAATGGATTCTCATAAACATGGATGAACAAGAGCGGTATTAGCTTAAGTGATTCTTGGTGGTATAGGTATGTTGATTCTCTTTATTGGGCTGTTGTTACAATGTGTACATTGGGTTATGGAGATATTGTTCCTATTACATCAAGTAATTTATATTTTTAAGTACTGTAAATTTATTTTTTTTAATAAACAATTAAAATAGACGAAAAAGTATTTACTATTTGGGTAACTTTAATTTCATGCTTTGTCTTTGGTTATTCTATCAATTAAATTGGAGAAATTTTGCAGGAATTTTTGAGAATCGAAGAAGAGTTTAAAATAAAAATGTCTAAATTGAATATGTACATGTAAAAGAGAGAGTTAAATGATGATGTATGTGTTAAAGTTAGGAAATATTTTGAATATTTGCATAAAGAAAATCTATAATCAAATAATGAAGGAGCCACAGTAATAGATTCTTTAGAAAGTGATTTAAAATAAGAAGTTTTAAGGGACATTTATGGAAAATTGTTAAACTCTAAAAAATTATTTTCCTTAAATTTCAGTATTGATAAATTAGCAGTAAAAATAAAAGAAAAAAAAGTAGGACTCCATGAATACATTTACAAAGAAGGAGAAGAAGCTGAGGAAGTTTATTTTTTAGTAAAAGGATAGGCAGAAGTGATTAAAACTTAGACAAAAACAGTTTTATAATCAATTTAAGTAATTAATTAATTATTCATTTATTTAGTTATTTAAGTTTTTTACTCATTAATTTAATTTTAAAGAAAGGAATGATGTTTGGAGAAATTGAGTTTTTTACTGGTTAGCAAAGATAATTTTCATTAAGAGCATCAACCGTCTGTTAATTAGCCTACTTAAATAAATAAGAATTCTTAGATACTATAAAAGGCAATAATGTAGAATTTGAAAGATTTAATAAAATGAAAGACCTATTATCTATTTATAAAGACACTTAAGGATTTGATCATTAATGTGGTAGTTGTGGAAAATATACTCACTTAATAGTTGAATGTCCTTAAATTAATATTTGCATCAATAAATATAAGACATTGTCTAAGTATAATTTTTATGTATGCTAAGTTAGAGATAATAAATTTAAAAGAAACCGAGCTAAATATATAGGAACATTTCAAAAAACTGCTTTGGTTTAGTAGCAAGCAAAAATATTTTATGAAAATGAAAAACTTTAATTTTTAGGTAATTAATTTTTTATATTTATTTATTTGAACTATTTTTATTTAAAAGATATCTATGATGGAGATGAAGATGATGCTATACTAAATTAAAATAATTAATTAAATCGTAGTCCTTATGGTGATAAAAGAAAAAGTTGGAACTAAGTTATGGAATAAAATGTTAGAAAAAAATCTTAAGTTAGACTAGATGCAAGCTAAAATTAAGAAGAATTAGGGATAAGAGAAAAGAAAAAAACTATTATTGGTTATTAAAAGATTCCTCGATCCTCATTTTCTAAAAAAGATTAAGTTAAAAAATTAAGCAGAATAGAAAATATCCAATAAGATCGTCACGATTAGATGAAATAAGATGAGTTGCCTAACAATTAAATGAAAGCAGATAATAATTTTTTGAAAGTTATAAATGAGAAATTTTACAAATAAACTGATGAAACAGAAAATAATAAAAATGAAATTCCTTAAGTTCGCAAATCTATGAAGTAGTAAGAATAAGAGTTTAATAAATTAATATAATTGGAAAAAGAAAAATAGACTAATGTTGTATAAGATGAGAAAAATGACTTAATTGGTGTAGATAAATAAATAGTGAATGAGCAAGAGTCATTATTTTAAATTAAAAAAAGGGGGTTGATGCCTTCTTTTTTTGATAGTAAAAAATTCAGTTAACCAAAAAAAAATGAATTTTAAAGTTTTCAAAGTTCAAATTAAAATTCTCCTTAACTGGAGTTTTAAAAGATTGAAAATAAATAAAATATTAATGGAAGTGAATAAAGATTGAGAAATAAGAGCTCTTTAACTTTATCTCAAGATACAAGCAGCGATGAATTTAGCTCAGAAGAATAAGCTGATATATAAAATAACGAAGCTAAAAACTTTAATAAAAAGAAATAATCCAAGAAAAGTTCAAAAAATGAAATTAAAAGTAAAAAAAGTAGTAAAAGTAAAAACTCTTAACACACAATAAACAGATAAAGTGACAATTATAATCCTAATTAAATTTAAAAAGCTCTAATGTTAATCGGAAAATCTTCTTAAGATGACCAAAAATTATTAAATCAATAAGAAAGTGTTTAGTAAAAATATTTAAATAGTTTAACTATTGCTTAATAATTGATTGTAAATGGTAGTTTTTAGTAAATAGATGAAACTTATTTATAAAATCAAATAAATTCTTAAAATAATAGCATTAACTCATAATCATCTAAAAAGCTTAGTACTAAAATATTTAGTATGAGTTAGGAGAGGAAAAGTTAAATAAAACCAGACACGTTAGATCCATAGTAAATTAATCATCCAAGTCATTCATCAAAGGACATTATATCTAAAAAAAAATCAATAAATTAAATATCACAATAAATATTGTCAAATTTTGACACTGAAAATTTACCAAATTAGATAACTCCTAGTATAATTGTTCAACCACCAATTAGTGAGAGAATAACAACTTAAGTTTCATCACAAAAATAAAAAACATCTCAAGAAAATATTTTCAAAAAGCTTAGTATTTAATAAATTAAAAAACAATCAAAATCATCAATCAAAGATAAAAGTTTAACATAACTTTTTGAGGATACAAAAAATGATAATAATAGCAATATTGCAGATTAACAAAGCTTAACCTAACATAACATTACTAATAATTAAAAATTATTTTAGAATGTAATAACTTAAGCTAAAGCTGTTTAAGATGTACGTCGAAAAGTATCAATTCTTGTTAAAAAAAATGGTCCATAGGATACTCCAATAAATGTTACTTTAAGTGTCAATTAACAAGAATAAGAATAATTAAGAGAAATTCTAGAAATAGAATAAAATATGGCAAAAGGAAGCAGATTGAAAAAAACTATGGCAAGAAAATTAAATAGCAAGCTCAGATCTCGTTCGAATGAACTTTTAGAGATTTTAGACAACAAAAAATTTACTAAAAAACCAACTGGAAATAATAAAATAACATAAAATTAAGATTAAGAAAACCATTCTTAAGGCTATATTTTTGATATTCCCTCTTTGAATAATTTAGATAGCACATATTATCAATTCTAAATGAATAAAAGAATATCCAATTCTCAGTTAAGCTAGCATTAGATCAAGTATAATTCAGATGAAGATAATTAAGAAGAAGTTTAGTTTGTAAATTTTATAGATGAATTGGAATTAAGAAAGTTTGAATAAATTTTCCTTAAGAAATATGATGATGAGTTTGCTTCCTGTTTTGAAAAAGGAAAGTAATACTAAGAGTATTTCCCAAAAAATAACATTTCAAATGTCTTAGAAATGATAAGTATCCGTCGTAAACTCAATCCCTTTTACAGAGTACTCCTTTTGAGAAAAAAAGCTCAAAGCTCCAAAAAAAGGCCATTAAATAGGAAAAATAATAGAAAATCAAAATTAAATATCAATCTTATAAATAAAAGCATGTATGGAACTTCATTCCTAAAATAATCATACTCAGTTAATTCTTAAGCTCATTCTTAGGTAAGTAAGTGATTAATATATATATCTATATTAATTATCTTATTGACATATTTAGATATTTTTGTTTTGTTAAAATTTTGTATAAAAAGTTATCAATTATAATTAAAATAATTATTTATTCTTTAATAAACAAAGATTTTTAATTAAAGTTAACTTGTATGATATAATATTCAAATTAATAATATCATAAATATTACATTAAATTCAGCTAATTTTATGAATAAATTATAAATTAATAAATTGTAAAATAAAAATTCAAATTTTTGAAAGATTATTATAATAATTAATTAAAGATTTTGCAGAAAAACACTTCTATATTATTTGGATGATCCAAACAAACCCTTTTGAATTTGTAAATTTTAAAAAATAAGAAATAAATTTTCGATTAATTGAATTAATTGCCTAAAAAATATCTTAAATATCAAATTTATTTCGAATAATTAATGAACAGAGAAGAATTTACAGGTCTAGGTAAAGTTTTCTTCTTATTTTATATAGTAAAAGGTGTACAATAATACTCAGCAAAATATTTGAAATATAGGCGATGAAGAAGCCATTCTTCCTCCAGGAATGGAAAAAATATCAACTACTGTATATGGATATCTTACTATCACAATAGATGACATACTTTACCTAAATAGTGGATAGTATCCATAAGATTAAGTAAGAATAAGAGCTGAATTTTGGGGTGATTCAAAGCCAGGAAAAATATTTAGAGCAAGAAATAGCAGTATTAGTTTATGTGATATGTATCCTTGTTCTAGAACCTATAAAATTTGCTGTTAAATGGAGCAATTTTATAAGTATCTTGAAGATATGAGTAAATCAAAGCAACTAAAAATGATGATTACAGACAATGTTAATAAGAAAATAGGATACTTTAAGATTAACTTTCTTCCTTATTTAAAGCCATCGTAATTAAAATGAGATTAAAAAATTTTCAAATTTAACTAAATTTTAAAAGCATGCAAAAATAAATTATAATAAATAGATTAGGATTTAGTGATCATTGTCCTTTTGACGAAATAGAAAATGTATATCCTATCTTATCATTTAAAAAAGATTAGGAAAAAATAGGCGAAATAAAAGTTATTATAGATTCAAGTTTTGATCCTAACAAATCTTAGTTCATTCATCAGTTTTCTGGAAACAATACTGTTGAAATAGATTAAAAAAACCTATAGTTTTAAAATATTTAACAATAAAATGAAGATTTTAGTCATTATCAAGAAAATTAACCAAGTATGGATAGAAATTTATATAATAGTTCGCAAAATGAGTTTTTAAATATTAACAATTAATTTGATCAAAGAGTACCTCTATCACTTATTGAAAAAAAATAGCAATTAGAGTATCAAGCAAACAAGTTTCTTGAAAATATACCAAAAAAGGTTAATTTAGGATTAGAATTGATGGAAGAAATTTATAATGATGATGATGAAGAAGATGTTCAAGCATTTCCTTCCTAATAAAAAAATAATTAAGAAATGTAGATCAGATAATTTGATTAAAATCATAACAAAGAAAGACTGAATGAAAATATGTAGTACAGCAATTAAAACAATGTTAGCAATCAGAGAGAAGATTACAGATTGTTTCCCCAAAACCAATAGGAATAGTAATAAAGAGCAGCTAATAACCCTAATCAAAGACCTTTTATTTAAAAGATGGAACAAATACAATAAACAACATTCTAAAATTAAAACTTCTTTGTTGATCAGGAAAATATTAACTAAAAGCTTGATAAAATTTTAGAATTAGGAGAAAATATTTTTTAAATGAAAAAAGATTTGAAACAGTAAGCATAAAATTCAAATGAAAGTAATAATATAATAAAGAAAAATGATCCTTAGTTAAAATCAAATCATAATGAAAACAATTTTAGTATGGATAAAGTTGTATCACTTGCCTCCTAGAAAATATAAACTGCATAATTTGATAATTCAAATGATATATCTAACAATAGTTCCCAATCAGATTTTTTGAAAGATGAAATAGAAAGATAAAAATAAATAATTAGAGAGTAAAATAGTGCAAATAATTCTTCAAACTCAGGATTATTGTTAGGGAAATTAAGTTTTAAAAAAAGATAGGATGAAAGCAATGTTAAAAGATAATAAATAAAATCTGATTAATTAGTTGAATACAATTTACCAAAAGTTAACGAAATAAACAAAGCTTTTAATGATGAGCCTCAAGTCCCTTATGATTAGGCTTAGCATGCAGAAAAGGAAACTTAATTACTAAAAAAGAATGAGAATATAGAGGAAATAAAATAAAGTGAAAGTCTTGAATTAAATATCTTAGAATTTAACTGCTTACATGAACATTTACTCACGAAATTTAAATAAAGAAATATATTTATTGGTTGTTAAATACCATCTATCTTGAAACATCCTTCTTAATTATCAGAAAGTATTTAAATTGAAGACTCTTTAAAGTAATTTTTACTTTAAGTTTTACCAAATTAAACATATTAATATCATGTATGCAAATAGGACTTTCTGTAAAGAAGTAAATGGTGAAGAATTTATTTTTAGGTAAAAATTTACTTTATCTATAGAAATCAATGATGAAAATTATGAAAAAATCAACAATTCATCTATTTAATTTACACTAAATTCATTTATACTACCATAAAAAGAAGTTCAAGATCAAAAAGTAAATATTTATTCAATTTAAAAAAAAAAACTTAATTTAAGCAAATTTTCTGATGAAATATAGAGAATTATGATGTAAATAGCTTCAGGAGAATTTAAAATTAGCAAACTTCTGGAATAAAAGTCTTTAAGTGGCAATTTCTACATTAATATGTGGACTTCAATCCCAGTTAACTAACATAAATAAGATTGTCAAGAAGAAGCAGCTAAATTAATTAAAATACCTAAACAAGATTTGGAAATAAATAAAAAAGAAAACTTAAATTTATTAGGTCAGGTAAAGATTAGCATTCAATTGATTCTGAAGAGAAAATACAATAAATAAGGAGCTATTAGCCAACAATAGCATTCCTTTAATTTTAATAAGACAGGAGCATCTATTGCAAGCAGTCAAGTTGATTAAGGACTAAGCTACTCTTAGCATATTGCATCAACAATATTCAATAATTTTTAAATTTTGCTTCGACTTGGAAAACTGAAAATCCTTAACTTATAATCTTATTCTGCATTTAATTTTTTTTCTCGTTACAAAATATATGGAACTATTGAATAGGTTTCTTCTGAAATCCAGTGGGAAAATTCAGAACCTGATTTACATCACAGACTTACAATCCCATGCTCATTAGAAAATATTTAAAAAATGGTAAATTGAATAAATAAAATGCAAGAAATATAAATTAATTTATTTAAATATTTGAAAAGCTTAAAATTCCATTTATTATTGAAATATGGAATAAATCAGATAAAGGAGACGATTAAATTGTAGGAATAATAAAGATAAACATGTCTAGCATTCCTAAAACAATACTTTTACCTGATTTTACAGGAGTGAATCCTAATTTCATTTAGCCTCAACAATCATAATTATTAATTGTGTGTAATGAAAATGTAACCATAAGTGATATTGCAGATAATAAAGATAAAGGTCTATTATTTGTAACGATTGCATTTGGTTCACCTATATAACTATCGAAATTCGATACTAACCTTTAATAATCTCATATTGATTACTAGCACAGTATTCACTAAAGGTCTTAACAAAATTCTAGTTTTTATACAAATAACTCTCTTAAACCTCCTTTAATTGCTAACAAAAATATGAATTTTAATGTAGAATAATAAAATCTTTAGTAGCACCATAATAGATAATAAAATTTAATGCATTAAGGAATAACTTAAACTATAAATGTGAGCAGCATTTATGATAAAAATAAATAATTTTCTAGTGCACAAAAAAATTAATCTCAATAACTTAATCAAACTGAATCTTTGTAATTTAAAGTAAGCAAAAACATATTAGTGAATGCTTATATTATATAAAATAATTTTTTTGGATATTATAATAAGAGTGAAGACAGAAGAGTTAGATAGTAAATAGATATGGAATATGATGACGAAGATATTAGATAGCACTCTTTAACTATTAAACCTGAATCACATATTTTGTAAAGCAATAGATAAAAGTAAACTAATTTTATAAATATTTGACTTAAAATTAATTTTTTTATTTAAATTTGAAGGAAATTCGAAGAAGAATATGAAATGGAAGCTTGTTAAAATACAAATTTAATAGAAAAATTTATAGATATATTGCAAATTTTAAATTAAAATATGAATAAAATTCAACAAAATTTAAAAAAATTTATTTTAAGTTTTCAAGCCAAAGATGAAATTTAAAATAAAGAATTTATTGAATTTTTGTAAAGTTTAGATTTAGGTATAAAGCTAGCAGATATTGTCCCACTGATTAAGATATTAGACTATAAATAACAAGGCAGTTTTAAATTTGAATTTTTTTCAAAATCTTTTAATTCCTTTTAAAGATATGAAAATTAAATTAAGCAAAAATATTAGCTTATTTTACAGAAACTCTTGGAAGTCATTGAAGCAAGCAATATAAAAGTAATTATTTTTTGCTTTTTTTATCTGAAAAATTATTTACTTATAATAAAAAGCCTAGCGATATTGATAAAGAGTTGATACGCTAAAGTGAATTTGGCTTAATGAGAAAAGAAAAGTTTGTTAGTATTATGAAAAAACTAAACTTAGCTGGTGATAATGTTTATGAGCTAGTTGAATCAATTTGCTCTTTGTTAGATGTTAAAAATGATGGGCTACTATTTGTTAGTACTCTAAATGACTATCTTTAAAGTATCGATGTATATGGGGAAATCAAAAAATTGATTCTTAATCCACTGTGGTTTTTTGAAATTGTTTAGCAAGAATTTTCTCATAGCTTATTAACCACTAATAAAGAAGATGCAAAAAAATTAGAAAAATAATAATTATTTTTCTAAAAAGAAAAAATACAATATGATGAACTTATTAATTTTTTTGATTAAGATTAGAGCTTTTGGGAAGTTTTACTTCTTATTTGCATAATAAAAGGAAAGAAAGAAATATATTAAAAAGAGGAATTAGCTATAAATGGAGAATAGCTAAAAATTTTCCTAAATGCTTTGAAATTTTAAGCTTAATCAGATTAATAAAGTAATTCTAGCTCAAAATAAATTAATAACCTAAATGAAAAGAAAGGAGCATTGTATGAATACTCATCAAGTAAAAAAAAATAAACTATTGAAATAAATAATTAATATTAAAATGACCTGAGCTCAAATTACTCTTAGATTCAAGCATCTCAAATAAAAAAATCATCTGTTTAGAAAATTCAAGAGTAACAAGAGTTAGATTTAATCACAAATTTGCTCAACAACGAAGAAATAAAGTTAGATCTACCCACAAGTAAATCAAACTAATAAAACAAATCTAATTACAAAAAAGGAGAATTTGAAGATGAAGATGAGACAGAAAATATTCCTATTTATGATAATTATAATTCGATTAACTCTAATTAAAAGGAGCAATAAAAATATACAAATAATCTATTTGAAAAGTAAGAAAAGCTCAGCTCATTAGGATCAAAGAAAACCAAAGAAGAAAATGGAAATTAAAATATCTAATAATCAATAAATAATATGAACAAAGAATTAAATGCTTCGAATTCAAATTCTTAAATTCTCCAAAAAAAGAAATTCAAGGTAGTTCATAAATTCATTGTGAATATTCACAAAATTTTGATCACAAATTTAGGAAAAGAGTATGATATGGAAAACGCTGTTCTTTTATATTAATTTGGAGATTCAGAAAAAGTTTAAATAGGCTCATTTGATTACTTTTATGGGTAATCAAGATACGATATTAATTATTAAGGAGAAAAAATATACAAACTCAACAATGAAGAAGATTTAGATAATATTCTTATTTAAGAAAATATTGGTATAAAAATGGATTTAGAAATTTCTAATTAAAAATTAAACACTTTGTAAAATAATTTTGGTATGAGGGGAGGAAGTAATCAACAAAATAAGTTAAAGTTTACAGCAAATCTTTCTTCTTTTGTTCTTTTAGATATCATACAATCTTCACAATTACAAAAAAATGAAAAATAGAATGATTTAAAGGAAGGGAGCTAACCTTTTATTATAGATTAAAGTATAAACTTAGTAGATAATATTACTTAATAATATATAGGAAAAATTCAGTTAACGATACAGTATTTTAGCAAGGAGTAGGTAGTTGAAATAGAAAATTTGGAAAAAAGTAATTTAGCAGCAAATAAAAATAATTAAAGGGTTGAAGAATGTTTACTAGAAAAGGAAACTAAAGTAAAAAAATTACTACCTAAAAGTGGATTCTTTAACATATCAATCAATGCAGTATGCTCATTGAAATAAAATGAAATTGATTGCAAAAACTATAAAATTATGTTATTTTGTGATTTTTTCCATGAAAATCCATACCTTAGCTCTATCTTTAAAAGTTTGAACAGTCAAGCTATATATAATTAAACTGAAGAAATACTTACCATTCAAGAGAGCTATTAAATTAATTTAAATTAAGAAATAATCAACTATTTACAAGAAAATACATGTTTGATTTAGTTGAGAATATTCCCCTTAGATGATTTAATAAAAAGAAGCAATTTCATCATTTTAGCAGAGTAATTATTAAATTTGCAATATTTGCTAATAAATTAAGAAATCAATGAAGAAAGTTTAGTTTTAAAAAGAAAAGAAATAGTATTAGATAAATAATAAAGTTTAAAAAATGAAAGCGAAGTTATTAATAAATTACCAATATCTACTTAAAAAGAAATAATTGGAGTATGTTCTGTAGAAATTTCTTACCTCAAAGAAAAAAAGCTGTTTTAATCTAACTAATCATTGACTTAATTCCAAAAATAGATTAAAAATACTTCATCTCTTAATTAAAATAATATTAAAGAGTCTGCTAAAAATAATTATCATTAGGTTTTTGTACTTTTTGATGAACTGCTCAGCTTAATTATGTTTGAAAATTTATTAGTTACTGATTAAATGTGTTATTTTAGAACAAAAATTAATGGAAAAATTATAGATGGAAAAGGCTCATTTAAAATGAATTTTATTGAGAATAGGATACAAGAACTTAGTAAAGATTCATACATTTAATTTTTACTTGAATCTGAAGAATTAGACACTATAAATCCATTAAATATAGAATTAGTAGTAAGAGATATGAATAAATCTTAAGGAGAAGAAATAGTTTTGGGACATATTTCTATTGATTTTGAAATTTTAAGAAAAGAGTTCTTTTAAAATTTGCTTGAAAATAACTCAATGAAATGTACAAATTCGCTCTGCTTTACTTTACTTAAAAGAGATAGGGATAATTAAGTCATTTTAGATAATGGAAGATCGATTGAATAATAAATTATGAGTATTAGAGTAAATTTAAGATTGCTTTTAGTGAAATACGAAACTAAAGGAGATTATGAATAATGTTAGCAATTTTTATAATCTATGATAAATTCTAAATAAAATTTGAGTATCGATTCCAATAATTCTTCCGATATTCTGGATTAATTGAGATTATCTATTAGATACACCCGCTAAGACTTTGATTCTATACTTAGTTATTTATTATTTGACAAAAACACTCTCTACGCTTTGCTTAACCTTTCAGATAATCAAAGTAAATTAAATATACATTTATTAATTCATTTTTATTAAACAATTTTTTTATACAAAGAATCAAAATGTCTTTTATCTCAAAACGAGTGCCAATAATTATTAGAAGATGTCTTTATTTATGACAAGAATGAAAATGGTATTATTGAAATGGAAGACCTGAAAAAAGTTTTAAGAAAATATAGTAATTAATTAAAAGAGTAAGCTGAAGTAATAATTAATAAGCTAGATAGAAATTACACAAAAATACTTAATGAAATCATAGGAAATAATTTATAAAAATTAGATTATATTTATTTCTTTAAAAAATTCAATATTTTGAATTAAATATAAGATAGTTTAGATTAATCAATTTTAAAGTACTAGCTAAAGTTAACCATCTAAAAAGCAACTAATGTAGGTGTTCTTTTTAATGGAGTGATTCCCAATACATATATTAAGTGTATTTAATTAGATATATCTACAAATTGTATTTTAAGAGATTCAAATCCGTAATTTGATCACTGCTACGAAATAGAATTGCATCCTAATTAATTCAAAAACTATCATTAAATAAAATTCATGTTGTACCACAGAGGTTATAATCAAGATTTTAGGGATAATATGTACAAAAGTACAGAGTTAGGTTCTGCAATTTTAGATCTTTCAAAAATGTTCTTTACAAAAATCAAAGATTTAAATAAAGAAGAAACTTTTAAAATTAAGATAGAATCAGCTCATTATTCAGCTAGAATTTAAAATGAAGCATATTTATTTGTTAATGTGTAATTAAATTGCTTAAATTAATTCTAATAGGCTAAAATAGAGTACTAAGATGCTTACACTTAAAATTAATAGATATATTCTTATGGAGAAGAAGAAAAAGATTTAAATAAATTTTATAAGAATACCTAATCTAATTTTATGTAAGAAACCAATCATGAAGATGACCTAATATATAATGGTAATCAAATTTTTTTTTTCATAGATTAACTAATCATATTTTTTAAATAATTAGATGAAGCATTTAACAATTTTAAACAGACCTTAATGGAGCTAAGAGAGTAGAATTAAGAAGAAGATCAATAAGATGAAAAAATCTATTAGGAAATAGAAACTAAAGAAAATTTTTAAACTATTCCAAAGAATATACAATTTAGTTAAGGGTTTTTGTAAAAGCCTCTTTAAGATGAAATAAAGTTTTCAAGTAGTGAAAATAAAAAACTCCAAGCTGAATAGAATGATTGCTCAGACATTATGCTTGAAAAAGCAATGGTAAACTAAAGATTTTAAAATGCATTATTATAATAATATTTTATATCAAAGAATGAGATAGATGATTTGACAAAGCTATTAGAAAGTGAAAAAGATTAAGACAAGTATTATGAGAATATTTATAGATAATAAGATAAAGACTAATAGAATGCCATATAGAATCCCTAATTTATAAAAGAAAAGCCAACTTAAATTAAGGACAGTATGAGAAGAGATGTTTACAATAGTGAAGATGAGCTAGAAGATCTTAGAAAAACTCTTTAATAAATGAATGAGCATTCAGAGAACTAATAGTCTTAATATAATGATTATATCCTATAAAAATCAAGTGAAGATGATTTGAAAGCAAAATTGAGCAGTAATTAATAACATAAGTAAACAAATAATATAGATACTTCTCATTAATATGAACACAGTTATTTAAGGAATAACTTTTAAAGTGATAATTCTCAATATAAATTATAAGAGTAATTAAAAAGAAACAGCAATCTAATGCAAGAATAAGAAGAAAAATATCCATATTACTCAAAATATATGAATTATCTAGGAAATCAAGGCTCTAAAAGCGATTAAAATAAATAAAAAGAAGGAGGATTAAACATTTAGCAGACATTTGAATTAGAAAAGGATAAAAATATTCTATTCGACAAATAAAAATTTTAAAAGCAATTTAAACAAAGTTAATATTCTGAAGAAAATAGTGCTGATAAAAGCTTAAGTAAGAATAACTCATACTCAAATGATAAATTAAATAATTACTAAATTGAAAATCTAAAATAAACAAGAAATGAATTGAAAAATTATTTTACTCTTGAAAATTACGAAACATTTAAGCCAGCAGAATATTAATAAGATAAATAATAAAGTCAATATAACTCTGTTGGAAGACCTCCTATCAAAAAGAGTGATTCTCAAAACAGTTTAAAAAAACTTGAAAACAAGATCTTACCAAAGTACATGAAAGACTCAGCTGAAATAAACAGAATCTCTAACATAATGAAATAAGATTTTTCAAAATAAAAGAAATACTTTGATAATACAAGCGACTCAGAAGACGATTGAAGCAAAACCATACTCATGTTTCATTGACTTATTTATGAGTTGAATTATTTATTATTCAAATTATTGTGAATATTATATAAAAATTTCAATAAATTAACTTATTCTTCTAAATAATATCTATTTAATACATATTAAGCCAAAAATAAACCAATAGATAATAATTAAATAGCATTAAAATAACATGTTTAATTAAACTAATCAATATTTCTATTTTATTTTTAATTAATTATCTTATTCTAATTTAGGAATTTCTAATAAAATTGCTTTCAATATGTATCAATCAAATATTTCAAACTAAAGAATATCAAACTTATTTATTTCTTTATTTATTATAATTTCATTTTAGATTTTTATATTAAAAGTATATTTTCAAAAATAAATTAATTATTTTTTTTAATTACATCTATCTTGCCAAATAAAATTAAGATATTACGCATATTTAATATTTTAATTGTGTAAAAAAATGTTAAAAGATAAATTTTTTACAATATCATTCATGAATAAAAGAAGAATATAAAATTTTTATTTTTAAAATTTTAATCAATTAGTAAATAAGTCACATTTTCATATTTATTTTTTATATAAGAATTAACAACAATAAAGACTTTTTTTATATAAAATATTTAAATTAAATCATCAAATATAAAATGATTTTAATTAAATATCAATTATTTAATTTATTTCTAAAACATCTAGCTTTTAAATAAGTTTTCAATTTTAAAAATATTCAATCTTCATTTTAAAAATCTTGGTTATTCTCCTCATTTTTGTTATTTCTTGATCCTTCATAATAGTCATCATACATTTTTTTTACTTTTTCATATTTATTTATTGTAAAATTATAAGCTGATGAGAATACCTTTTTAAAAAAATTATAAGCACCACCATTTTAGTTTGTATTTTATTATTATTCTTTATTATTTTATTAATTCTTTTGTTTTTCTTATTATTTATATTAATAACGATATGAACCTTAATCATTATTATCTCTTTCATTTTATTAATTATTATCATTTTTTTCCTCCTCATTGGTTTCTTGTTATTACTAATTTTTGCTCATTTATTCATTATTATCATCTTCTTAATTTAAAACATATATTACCCAATCTTCAATAGTATCTCCATTATCTTCTTATTCTTATTAATTTTACTTTTCTTTGTCGTTGCTATCATTTTAGCTATTTTGTGAGCTATTATTTTCTTATTAATCTTTCGAATGATAGTCTTATGTATTTTCTTCATTCTAACTTTCTTTTTCATTTTAATATTTTTAAATGTTTTCTATAAATTCATAATGCTTATAACTTCTACAAAATTCATCAATATTTTAATATTATTTTGAGAAAATTGAGTTTTTAATTAAACCATAAATATCAAAAAAATTACAATTTCTTTTTTCTTCATTAACTGCTAACTCTGCAAGTTTTTTTAAATATACATTTAATCTTTCAACTCTTTCATATTTTTTTTAGATTTCTTAAATTGATTTTGTATGAGATAGCTTTAAGTTATGTAATTCTTATTCCTTTTATGAAATTATTTATTAATATTCTTGGTTTTTAACATAAAGACATCCTATTATTATAGAAGAAACGATTCCAATTACAAATATTATTCCAATTATTTTTTTGATATCAAAGAAGTAATTCAAAGATTTTTTTTAATAACTGTCTGTATTAGTTTATTTATTTAAAAGAATTTTATTTCCACTCTTCTCAGATTAATATTTGTTTATATAGTACGCTTTTAATAATTCCTTTAAAAAACCTTAAGCCTCATCAAAAGATAGTCTTTTATTTTACTATTCATTTTCATTTGATTATTAGTTAATTTGATTTTCTGCTATTATTAATTCCTAATCTTCATCTTCTAAAAATTAATTATCTTAATTATTTGTATTTGAAGTCAATGGCTGTTCTTGTTTTTGTATTGTAATTTCATTGGACTCAATACTATCACAACTAATTATTTAATTTTAATCAGTTTATTAATCTTGATCACTAATTTAACTTTATTCCATTTATCCTTTAATTTTAAATTTTTAGTGTTTTGTTTTGTTTTTTTAAATTGTAATAATATATAATTAATTAATTTAGAGGGTTTTACACAAAATTTGTTTCTAATTACGATTTAAATATAAAAGAATGTTTTCAAAATATTCTAATCATAAAGCAGAAATAATAGTATGAATATATTTAAAAAATTCGATAAATTATTAATTAATTAAAATCTAATTTATATTAAAAATAGATTTTATATGAATAACACTATTATCCTTAATTTAAACTAAATCAAGATTTAATTATTTGTTTCTTGAAAAATTATAAAATTTTAAATTAATAAATTATTTTAAATTTTAAACTAAATATAATTTGTAGTAATTCATAAGAAAAATTCTTGTAATATTTAAAGAAGTTTTTTATATCATATAGAAATAAACTTTAATTTCCAAAATTTTAATTTTGAAATAATACTATTAAAAACAAACTTTAAAATATTGTGCAATACATCATTTTATTTTTTCTTATGTCTATTTATTACTACTAAATATTTGAGAACTTATCTAGAATATTATTTGTTTGATTTTATTTATTCCTTATTAATTATTTTATGCATGTGATTTTCTGCTTTTTCTTCTTAATTTTTAGTTGTCTTAAATACAATGAATTTTTTTAATAAAAATCATTCAAGTAATAAATGGTAGCAAATATAATTTGTTCAAAATTTGTAAAAATTAAAATTCTATCTGACAATCAAAGGTCTCCTAAAAATATCAGAAATAGAAGTATACACATAGGTATATATTCCTTAAATTTTATATTTTGGAAAAAATCAAGTTTAATTCTTTCAAAAAAGATTAAAAAGTAAAAAAGAAAAAAAGCAAAACACACAAAAAAGAATATAAATTAATTTGAATAAAAAAGCATTATAATTAATTAATAAATAGAAGCATTGATTCATGAGTTATGATAGAGAATCATCTACTCTGAGAAAAGAAACATATAATTTAATAGGTTAATAAGCGACATCACTATATGGAATACCTAATAATGATGATATATTTTTAGACAACAATGAAATTAATTCTATTAATTACGTGTAAAAAATAAATGGAAATATAAGCAACAGTTTAGCTAACCCTCCTTATGGGATTTTAACTCAGTAAATTATTCAATAGTCAAATAATAAGCCTACTTTGATAAGTAATTAATTATCTTACGAAGATGATGGTTTATTAGAGAAAACTAATATGAACTACTATAATCACCATATCAACAATATAGGGAATTTAAATTAGCGAAACAACTATTAGTAGCATAGCAATTTTTAAGCACCCCTTTTTCAATCTTCCAACATTAATCCCAATAATAGTAATACAACTTAGAATTAAGGTAGTATGTAGTTTAACACAAATGCTGCAAATACTAATAATAGTATGATTGTTTAGGGATAAAATTAGAATTTACAGTAGCACCAAGTAGGTAATAATCATTTGCTAATGAGTTACAACAATAATAATATAGGTTTCAATTATAGTGATATGATTGATTAGTACTAAAATTATGAAGAAATTAAAAATGGTAATGATGAAGAGTATTGCCTAAACAGTTAAAATACAAGTTCATAAGAAGAGGGAAATAAATAAGATTAAAATAACAACAATCCTGATAACAATAACAATGCTAATGAAAATGGAAGTGAAAAATAGTATATTTGCGAATATGAAGAGTGTAAAAAAATTTTCAAGGCTAAAAAATCTCTAAGAGATCATATTCGTATCCATACAAATTAGCGCCCTTATTCTTGGTAAAAATTTTAATTATAATATTAAGTACTTTGATATATAAAAATATCATCAAGTCAATCCTTAATTAAATAAATGGTAATACTATATACTTATTCATATTAAATATAATTAGTGTAGAGCCCAACTGCGGCAAATCTTTTGTACAATACAGTAGTTTGTAGAAGCATTCAAGAACACATAAAGGCGATCGCCCATATAAGTGCGACTATTTTGAATGCGATTAGGCTTTTACACAGGTAATTAATCAAAATTTAAAATGTTTGGTTATAAATGCAACTTCGTCACCAAATTTATTTGATTAAATCTCTCTTAAAACATATTTATTAATGTTTGAATTTTTGTTCCAAAATAAAAAAAAAAGGAGTCACTCTCAGATTCTGTACTATTTGCAATAAGCCTTGAATGCTAAAAATAATTATCAAATAAACACAAAGAAAAAATTATTCGAAAAAAATAGCTATTTATTTTAAAAACTACTTTTAACTTAACAAATGTATTCAAATATATTTTCTTAAAATTTTATTTTTAACAAAAATAGGTTTCAAACTTAAAGAGACACCAAAAAATACATCTGAACGATAAACCCTACGAGTGTAATTAGTGCCTAAGAAAATTTACAACATCATCCAACTTAAAATAGCATCAGATAACACATGAAAGTCAGGTAGTTTGATCATATAAAATAAACAAAATTTACATTGAATATGATTATAATAATAGTAAACAATCAGTTATTATTAGTATTAATAAATATGAATACCCCACCAAAAATTTATTAAATAATTTACAATTATTTAAATCCAAAAATTTATCAATGCAAATAAAAAATTAGATAGTTAAAACTTTATTTAATCTTTAATCAATAATTTACCCACTTATAAATTTTTTACTGATTACATTTTCAACTTATACATTAAAATAGAAAGAAAGACAAAGGTTCAAATGCCAAATAGATGAATGTGGTAAAAGTTATCTTTATTCTAGCAGCTTAAAAAAACATGAGAAAGAACATATACTGAACTAAAATCCAAAAGGCCTTCATCGGATAAATATGGTTAGATAAGTGAATTAAAACTGTGAAATGCACGGGTAAAAACCAACATAATAATAAAAGGTAGATAATAACATTTATAGTGAAAATGGGTTTGATGAAGAAGAAGAAGATGAAGAGGAATTAATGAATTAAGAGTAGGAAGAGTTGGAAGAGAGAGATGAAGATGAAGAAGAATTCGATGAAATTGATGAATAAAATGAACTTAATTAAAAGAAAAGTAAAGATGCTACAAAAAGAGAAAATTCTGGAGAAAATAAACAATAACATTTATCTCATTTGTCTGGAGACTCAAGTAATTCACAAGGATAAATGTAAAAATATAAAAAAAAGAATATAACAGCTTAATAGGCTTTAGATAATTAATAATATAATAACTAACAATAAATCAAACCTGCTCATATATAATAAAATTAATCAAGAATAAATACAGAAGAAATGGATATGTTAAATCAATTCTTTTACTCTCATCATATTGCACTCTAGCATGATGGTCATTATGATGTGCTATTTAAAGGATATCTCTACCATTACAATAAAAAAACAGGAAAAATAGAAATTCATGATATATAGGCTCAAGATGAAATTAAGAAAGGAACTTGCCAACCTTTAAGTGAATTAACTCATAATACATATGATGATGTGTAAAAAAAAATTAATGAACTTGAATATAGATTTAGAGATTAAGACATTTTATCTTAAGCTTGTAATCCCCTTTCTTGTTAATGTGGAATAAATGGTTCAAAAGGCTGTTGCTCTTCAGAAGGAAAAGCTAGCTGCTAATGTGCTTCAAGTGGATGTAATAACTAAGACTCTATTTAAAATAAAGTATAAATATCTGAAGGGTGCTGTTCTTCAAATAATAGTAAATAGTAATAAGAATAAAAGTAAAGTTAAATAAAAAATGAAAGATAATAAACTATCTAGTAAGATAAATGTGATGCAGAGTAAAATAATTTAATTTGCTGCAATGAACCAGAGTGTGCAGCAGATAATGTTGTTTTAGTAACAGGAAATATTGAAAAACCTGTTTGTTGTGTTAAATCTGATGAAAGATTTGAAATAAAAAGTAAACCAATCAAAGAGTGTGTCTGTTCTTCAAAGTAAAATAAAAATTCATAACAGCCTTCTTTGAATGAAGAGGTTGCTGTAAATCAAAGCCAACAAGGTTAATAAGTTAAAGATGAAGATTAATGTTGTTGCACAATTGACGAAGTAAAAGTAGAGTGTACTTGTATAGGTTGCGATGAAGATTGCTCCTCATGCTCTAAATCCACTAAGTGCATTTATAAAATATAGTATCCTTAAGAATAAAGTAACAAAATTATACCTGAAGAATAGATTTAGCAAAAGGCTTAAAACCCTCAATAAGAACAAAGTTAATTAAATGAATAAAATAGTTATGACTAAAGAAATTATTAACCAGATTAATATATAGAATAATAATAATAACATCATCACCATCAAACTTATATTCAAGCATAAATAAATGCTAATTTATACGAAATAAATGAACCAAAAGATTATCAAAATGATAAAAAGTAACCTAAGTGTATTTGCAATGAAACAAAAGATCTTAAACATTCTCATGGACCGAATTGTGGTCATATACCAATATATCACCACGGTCATTTAGATTATATTGTAGAAAACTAGCTTCACCACCCCCATGGCTCTCATTGTGATTTTCATGGTACAGTAAATATATTAGAAAATTGTGTGAAAATTTGATTGATTAATCTAAACAAATTGAGACAGACAGAAAATATTAAAATATCTTTTGATAGAAGGTAAATTAAATATTAAATGAGTTTTCCAAAAACTGATAAAATATTTAATAACATATTCAAAAAACTATAAAATAAAACCCTATAGTATATTTATATATACCCAATAGTTAATCTCATATTTCTCAAATAAACAATAAAATTAGTTAATAGTAAGTTACCAAAATCTTTATTCTAAAATTAAAAATTAATTCCTTCCTATTTATTCGCTTATTTATTTAACTAAAATTCTATATTTGTAATTTTTATTTTAGTAAATATCACATTTTATATGAGTAAATATTTTAATTCATATTTTTGTATTCAATCTTTTCTATTTCTTATTTTATTCCATTTTTTAATTTACTCGAATAAAAGTTATTAGAATATTTATCTTTTTAGAATATTTATCTATTTAGGATATTAGGATGGATGGATCTCTAAAAATGAAAAACAAAAAAAAAGAAAAATAAATATAATAATATATTTAAATACTAAAAAGATCTAAAAGCAGACAATTTTTAAGAAGAAAGTTAAAAAATTATGGCTGATTAGTGGATTCAATCTAGAATAGCTGAATATTTAAAGGATAAAATTTATTCTTTTATTAAAGAAGGACCAACTAAACTTGTATCTTCTTAATGTAAATATCACTATTGCATCTCTTAATTAATTTGGTATAAAGTGAGAATAGCTCATACTTGTGTGATAATACTAGATTAAAACCATCCATTATATTGGGTAATTAAGAACTGCGGCAAATCATACCTTAATCATTTTACTGAAAAATAATTGGATTACAAAGAGTTTAATTCAATTATTTATGTATTATTATTTAATCGTATTAGTTCTTCTAATCATTTAACACTCGATGGATGTAAAGAAAATTTATAATGTTAAAAAAACTAAATATTAACAACAATTCACCACTGTAACTCAAAGAATTTACTTAATCACTTTTGTAATGAATATATTAGGTCTTCTAATAATCCCCTATAAATAAAATAAGTCAATTCATATTACTCAATTTAAAACTATAAAAAAGAAATATTTGATATTATAGATAATTGTGAGTATTTTGAGGGATTTATTTTAAAAAGACAAATAATTAATCATAAAGGAGTTGAATATGAATAATCTAATTTAATTATTTGCTTTTTCCAATATAATGAGAGAGATTTAGATATTTAATAAGATTCAGAAAATTAAATCTAAATAAGGTTTTCTAGTAAGTTAAAATAAAAAATATGTAATAAAGAAATAGTAGTAAATAGTTTTATAAAAAGAAATGGAGAAAATTAATCAATATTGACTCGTAAATTAATTTCTATTAATAAACCTACCTTTTTATAATTATTGGTAGATGAATAATATGAATAAATTTTTCCAAATATTGAGTATTTTTACAAAAATTTTACTTAAAAGATAATACATAAAGTTGGTATTCATTTCAAAAAAGATGATTCATAATTGCCATTTTAACCTGGATCAGTGCTTAGAGTAGATAGAGGGAAATATTTCCATGCTGGAGTTTATTTAAAATTAGATTTGGTTATACATGTAAAAATTACTAAAAAAATTAGAGAGGTTAAATATTTAATTTTGATAGATTTGATTAATTTATTTTGGATAGTAAAACTGTTGAAGAAATTAAGTTTGATATTAATTTCTTTACTTTAGAATAGATATTTGATCGAGCATTAAAAATGAAGGATAATAGATATGATTATTAGATAGATTCGCTGAATTGTGAGCATCTTTCTTTTGAGTTAGTTACTAAATTATAATTTTCACCATAAGTATTTAACTCTTTCAAAAAATTTCTAGTTTCAATCTTAGGTAAAACATAATAAGGATCACTGTAAATTTCAGGTTAAAATTAGTGAGAGAATTAAAAAAATGAATAAATATTTTGTAATTTTGTATCATTTAAAAAAGATCATTTCCTGAAAAATTTTTAAATATAAAATATTTTAGGATAAAAAATAAACAAAAAATACCAAAAATTATAAATATAATAATTTAGCTAATATCTGATTATTTTAAAGTAATTTATACTGTTTTTATATTGTAATAGAGTATTTTTACATAGAATATTTTTGAAAGGCTAATAAATTCTTTTAATTTATTTTTTTAATACAAAGAAAGTCTTTATGTATTTATAAACCTTAATTAATCTGTTTTTTAAATAAAAACCTGAATATACTATTTGATAAATATTGATTTAAAACCAAAAACTGATAAAATATTTATTTTTATACCAAAAAACTTTAAAATAAAACCCTGCAGTATATTTATATTAATCCAATAAATAATCTAATTTTTCTCAAATAAACAAAAAATTAGTTAGTTAGTTACCAAAATCTTTATACTAAAATTAAAAATAAATTCCTAACTATTTATTCTCTTATTTAGCTAAAATTCAATATTTGTATTTTTTATTTTAGTAAATATCACATTTTATATTAGTAAATATATTAATTCATATTTTTTATTGAATATTTTCTATTTTTAATATTAAAACGTTTTTTTAATTTAATCTAATAAAAATTATAAGAATGTTTATCCTTTTAAAATATCAAGATCTTTAAAAATTAAAAACAAAAAAAAGAAAAATAATAATATATTAAAAATCAAAAAAAATTTAAAAGTAGACAATTCAATTTTTAAAGTTAAAAAAACATGGTTGATTAATGGATTCAATCAAGAATAACTCAATATTTAAGGGATAAGATTTATTCTTTTATTATGGAAGGACCAATTGAACTTATATCATCTAATTAATGTAAATATCACTATTGCATCTCTCGATTACTTTGGTATAAAGTGAGAATAGTTCATACATGCGTGATAAGACTAGATTAAAATGATCGTTTATATAAGGAAATTAAGAACTAACACATACTATTCCCTTTATATTTTAATGGAAAATATTTGGATTATAAAGAGTTTAATTAAGTTATTTACCTTTTATCATTTAATGAAATAATCTCCTCTAATCATCTAACATTTGATCGATGTTAAGTACATTTATAATAAAATCAGAATATAATAACAAGTAATTGTAGATTTGACGAATAGAATTTAATAAATAATCTTTATAATTATTTAATTAAGTCTTCTAACTAACCTCAAAAAAAATGAATTAAAAAATTGATATTACACTCAATTAAAAAACTATTAATAACAAATATTTGATACTACAAGTGATTACTACTATTTTGAAGGATTTATTTTTTAAAAAGACAAATAATATATCATCATGGAATTGAATATGAATAAACTAATTTAATTATTTGCTTTATAAAATATACTGAGATAGAATAAGAAAAATCAAATGATTCATAAAATAAATGAAATCTAAATATAATTTGTTACCAAATTTAAAGAAAAAATAGTATAATATAAAGAAATGAAAAAAAATAATGAATACGAGCTAGATTCGCTGAATTTTGAACATCTTTCTTTTGAGTTAGAGCTAAATTAACATTTTCACCATAAGTATTTAGCTCTTTCAAAAAAGTATTAGCTTCATTCTTTAGTAAAACATAAAAAGGATCACTGTAAATTCCACATGATTGAGAGAATTAAAACTTCAGTATATTTTTATATTATATAAAAAAAAAAAAAAAATTTAAGTAAAAAATGCCTTAATTAAAATATGCTTAATTAACGAGCATTTACAATATATATTAATACCATTTTTATATAATAAAATCATATTTTAGCATAAACTATTTTTGAAATGCTGTTAGATTCTTTAAATATATTTTTGTTAATAAAAAGAAAGGTATTATGTATTTGTTCAGCTTACTAATCTGCTTTTTTAAATAAAAACCTAAATATACTATTTGATAAATATTGATTTAAAAAAATCAAAAATTAATTAAGATATTTCATAAATAAAATTAATATAGATATTTCTAAAAATAAAAAAACAAACAAAAAAATTTAGTTTTAAATGTCTGATTCTTAGGAGTAAAATATTTTTTAAAAAGCAGATATTTTAAATAGATTATAATTATTTTAAATAGAAGTAGATCAAGGTCTCGTAGTAGGTCTCAAGATAATGAAAGAAAGTAAAGAAATCACAAGAAATACTTATAATCTTAAAATAGCAAATAATAAGATTCAAAAAGTAAATCAATTAGTAGAAGTAGCTCAAATGAAAATAACAAATCTAAAAATTGCAATAAAAAGAAACATTTAAAGCAATCCCACACAGTTTATACTGTAAAGAAAAATTGTATTAATTACATCAAAGGCTTATGCTAAAAGAGCGAATATGACTGTGAGGATTTTCATCCTAAAATTTAAGAAAACCCAATTACTCCAGATTAATTTGATCCTTCACTAGAAAGTATGAATAACTATAGCATGGATGAAGCTGAACTATATAATTTTTGCATGGAATTTTAACCTGTAAAACAACCCACTAAAGCTGATTAATTGATTCTGATTCGACATGCTTTAAGCTACTACAACTATGCTGCTTTTCGTTTTTTCCATCAGACAGGAATTTCTTACAGTGATCCTAAATCTGTGGTATATTAACTCAGAAAAGAATATATTGATGCTGCTCTTCATCCACTTGGTGAATAAATGTGCAAAAATAATGCTAAATTTATTTAAAATTATACTTTTCATACTGTTTTTGTTTCTCCTTTAAGGAGGACCCTTCAGACAGCCTAAATTTTATTTTAAAACCACCCAAATCTAAATAAGATCAAATTTATTGTACTCCCGTATTGCACAGAAATCTTGTCAAAAGTATGTGATGTTTCAGATTTTGAGAAAGTTAAATAAGAATTTAAAGACTCCTAATTTGATTTTTCTTTGTTTGATTAATTCAAATTTAGCACAGAAAATTGGTAAATCTAAAATCTTGCTGATGAAGATTTAAAATCTTACTTAAGAGCAATGATAAATTAAGATTCTGAAGGAAAACCAATAAAAGAAATTTTATTAGATGAATGTTAAAGATCTTTTCCAAGTTCTGTTGAAAAGCATTCACATCTCTATGAAAGAACTTTAAAAACTAAAAACTATATACTTGATTATATTGATCAAAACTAAATAGATACAAGTATTTAAAAAATTGGATTAGTCTCTCATCATGGATTTTTAAGTTCCTTTACTTCAGAAGGTAAAGCACAAAATGGATTTGTAAAAAGTGGCAGGTCTTTTGAAAACTGTGAAGCTTACCCATTTTAAATTTGAAAAAATAATACAACTTAGTTTAAATTAAAAATAATCAAAACTAATTCCCTCAATTGAACATTTAAAATTTTTTTTTTCATGTAATTTAAGTTCAAATTTTATTTTATCTCAAAAATAATTTTTTATTGAGCTAATCATCATATTTGAATAATAAATATTTATTTATTTCAAGGTTGATTTTTATGTAATTTGTAAATTATATTTTATTCATCAACTAATCTTAATATCTATTTCTATAATGTGTTGATTTTTTTATAACTTTTAAATTAATGTGTCAGCCAATTAACTTACTTACTCTATAATAAATAACATGGGTATCTTGAATAAAATATCATGTACCGTATATTATTTTAAAACTTATAAAAAGGAAAATATAAGATAGAAAATCATTATTAGGGAAAACCATAAATTTTTCAAAGTTTATCTTTTTCAAAAAAAATGACACAGTGTAAGAATGAATACATTGTATATTATTTCAAATTTTACATTTTTCGAATTTAAAGCTTTCTAAAAACTCAAAAATAAAGCTGTTTTAAACTTATTTTAGCTGTATTTATAATGTTATTAAGATATTTTACATTTCACCTTTTGTAAATTAAATAGAAATTTCACTCTATATTGAGTTAAAATTATTTAATCTTAAGCAATAAATCTTTTTGTTATTTCGATTTTACTTACCAAATTTACATATGAAAAAATATACGAATAATTATCTAATAATTTATCAAATAAAAAAAAGAATTTCTTGAAATTATTTTTAACAAATTTGCTAAGATAAAGGAACAGTTTTAATTGAATCTTGATATTTAAATTTATTTAAAACAAAAAGCAAAAATAAAATTGTTCGTATAAATGAATTACAAGAAAATAAAAATAAAATATGTAAATAACATAGTATTTAAAAATTAATAAAACAAATAATCAATTAATAAATCCAAAAAATATCTTTATTTAAATATAATAGTTTTTATTTAGCAGATTTACATTTTAAATTTTGTATTTATTAATTTCATACAATTAAAAAACAAAGATTAATTATTGAACACATATTTTTTGTTATTTCACTATCCTTTATCTTAATCATCTTAATTATTTTCAAAATTTTCAACTTTTAGCTATTCATTGTTTTCTAATTTATCTTCTTAATTTTGCTCATTATTTTCTTTTTTTTACTATTCTTATGACTCTTGGGTTTATTCTTATTTTTCCAACTATACTTCAGGAGTTAGATCTTTACTTTTTCTAAAGCTTCTATTTAAATCTTTATAACGACCATGGTGATGAACATGAGGTTCAATTAATTTAAATCCTTCTAACTTCTCTATTTAAATAACGTGTAAGTGTCTAGGCTCCTCAAATCCTATACTTTTAATTGTTGCATTAAATCCAATTTTATCACCTCTATTTATCTAATCTAGAAAATTGGAGTAAAAATCTGCAACTTCACTGTCAAAAGTTAACTATAAATCAGGGAATTTCTATTCTTCGGTTTGCTCTGTTGGATCCATTTATACTAAAATAGTAACAGCATGATTAAAGAATTGCTTTAGAGATCCTCTTAAATCTTCAACTCTTATAATGTAACCTGAAATAAAAAGATATTAAAATTACATTTATTATAAGATGTTAATTTACCTTCCCAGTTTGAAACAGTTTTACCAATATATTTGTAATAACAGTGTTTCATTTATTATTGTCCTTGTCCCATTAATAGTTTGATATTACATTCATTATAAAAATCTGTCCAATTTGACTGAATAGGGTAAACTATAATTAATTTTCAAATATTGTTGAAAGAGCTCTTATTTAAGTTTAACTTACTTTAATCATGAGCATGAGTAAATCCATACTTATGATGATGTCCTCCTTGAATTGTGTGATTTATTTTATATATTAAAACTATGACATTAAGAGCTATTAAAATAATAGTAATAATCAATTTTCTTGTCATAATAAACCCCATTTCTCCTGCTTTTAAAGTTACAATCTCGTCTTTAAATTTTAAAGCATAAATTATTTTTCCATCATTTCCTAGCTAATTTTCACAGCATGAGCATCTGTTTTATAAATCAATTGAATTTTAAAAGAACTTTTTTCAATTAAGATAGTAAAAATAAAAAAAGTTATTTTACACATGAACTAAATTCTTAGTCAAAACAAAAATGAGTAGGATTGCAATAATGCTAACTAAAAATGGTAGCAGCAAAAATGCTAAAAAGCATAATGCATAACTTATAACACCATTCTTAAATTTAACTTCTGTTTTCTAATTAGCTGCACAATATCCACATTTAATTTTAACAGGCCTATTATGAAAATTTTAAAAATAATTTTATTGTTAAGTTGTCTTTTTGCTATTTATATAAAATTTATACTAGTCTCCTAAAGTTAGTTATTCCTCTTTCTCTTCTTTATTTCTATTTTTTAACTATTACATTTTCTTATTTTATTGAAAGATACTTTTAATATTTGCAAAAATTTATTACTTTATCTTTCACTAATTAATAATCGTTGTTTAATAGAACATTTCGTGGAAAAAAATTTAAATGATTACTTTACCAAAAAAAGTAGTTAATCAAAGAATATTTTTTGTAATAAAGTTTTTTATTAAAAGTCAAAAGTAAAAATTAAAAAAATTTAATTTCAATAAAGAAAATTAAAAATTATTTGAATTTGATTTGGTGTATTGAAATTCAAAATAAAATACAAAATATAAATTAATAGTTAAAATATAAAAAATCTGATAAAATGGAAAATATCTAGTTTGTCTTCTTTGAGTTTGTTTTAATTTTCATATTTTTTGTTCTTTTAATTATTCAAATATTTTTTAATTTTTTTATGTGAATTATTTCATTCGATTCTTTGTTTATTTATTTATTTCTTTCTTTCTTTCTTTCTTTCTTTCTTTTTCTTTTTATTTTTATTTTTACTTTTTTTCTTCTTTTTTATTTTTTCTTTCTTTTCTTTATTGAATACTTTTTATCTTCTTTTTTCTTTTTAAGTATATTTATTTAGGTCGAGATTATGAACAGAGTGAGATCCTATTTGAGATTGCTTCTTTTTCCTAATTTAAAAAATACTAATTATATATAATAGATATAAGACATTAAGCTCAATTCTCAATCTTGTTATTTATTTGTTTATAAAATTGTTTTTGATTATACATGATGGCTTGCAATTAATTAATATATTTGATTGCTACCGAAGCAATTAATTTTATGGAGTTGCTTCATTACTGAGATAATAAAAATAAATTTAGTTCAATATAACATTATGTTAAAAATTATAGTTGAGAGGATTATCTTTATATGAGAAAATATATATTTTTGACCATATCCATAATAAATAGATAAAATATTTTCTCATTTTAGATAATTGATGATGATTTTATCAATCAATCATTGTTTTTTTAAAAACTTGTTTTAGTTTTTGAAACTAAATATTTTTACTTCTCTTTCTCCTCTTTATCTTGATTAAATCAATTTTTTTGTAAAATAAAAATAATAAAGAAAGAGATATCTATTGATCTAATTTCAATTTTTCTTTTATTCATAATAAATTAGGTGAAGTTTTGAAAGAAATTAATATTAAATCCTCTACTTTTATTAATAATGCGTATTAAAAAAAAAAAAACAAATACAAAATATAATTGTTATAAGAATTAATTACAGTCATTGATTAAAATTTTTAATTTTTTATGAATTAGCAATTAAACATTTTATTAAGTAAAAAGACATTCATCCTTCTGTAAAATTAAACGATGATTAGCAATTAATGTCACATATAATTAGGCTTTTGTTTTCCAATTTATTGTTCCATTTAATATTGCTGCATAAATTACTTGAAAGTATCTTCATCCATATTTTTCATCATTTTGGAAAATGTTTAATATTATAATTAATAATCGTTATTTTGAGGTAAATTTTATTACTATTATTGCTATTAATACTACTGCGATTATTGTTGAGATTACATAGGTTTTTAACCAGGAAAGTACTGATTAGCATTCATATATCCATTATTTTAATTTATTGGTTAATTTGTAGATTAAAAATTTTGAGTGATTGGGTTTGAATTTAAGTTATTCATATTCATATTGTTGTTATTGTTGCCATTCTATAAATTTTATTGCATATATTGATTATTTTAATTACTTACACCATTGCTTGTTTGAGATGAACCAAAAAAGTTATAATCACTTTACTTACTTTGATTAAATCCAAAGTTAGTGTCACTTACTTACTTTTTTTAATATGACATACCACTCATTGGTCTTTATTTCCTATTTGTAGTTTCCTTTTTACATAGTTATAGATTTAACTTTGTCATATAAATTTTAAAAATAATACCTCACTATTTCTTGATTTAATTGAATACTCGCTTTCATATTTATATGCACTTGTTTTATTATTTACTACTATATTATTTTTTTGCTATTAATTGGGCTCTTCTAAATCATATATCAGCATCATGCAAGTACCACTGTTATATTAATTAAATTATGTCTAATTATTTTAGTTTGTTACATTTAAAGTAGATAAATAATTACATTTCATCGTTTTCATAATTGAATATTCCATAAGACATTTCAAAGCTTGAATCGTTTTTAGTAATTTATTATTAAATTGATATTTTCAAATAAATATGTTTAAAATACTTAGTTGTATTAAATAATGATAATCTAAACTTTTAACTATTTTTTTATTAATTTACAATTTTAAATTGAGTTGCCTTTAATTTATTGAAAATTTTTAAAAATTTTTGTATTAATTTTTTAATGTAAAATTAAATGACCTACTTTAACTAAAAAAAAGTTTCTCAAAATTTACTTGACACAATTACGACTTTCTAATGATTTATTCTAAAGTAGAAAAGTTTAAAAAAACAAGTTTTAATTAACATTTAACTAAGTTTTAATGCATTTTTCTTCATTCTTATTAAAAGTAATTATTTAAGTTTTAAATAATAAAGAATGAATAGAAGAATCTAAAATGATATTTATTTTATATCAAATTAATTTTTGATAGACATTTTAACTCAAATTTTGAAATACTTATCCTTTTTTTTGTATGAATATGAAGCATCTTTGCTAGAAAGAAATTATAAAATTTCAACTTGAAATTCATTTATCAGATAATATTGATTAAGTTGCTTGATCAAATTCTCTAATGAATGCATCAAAATAGATGAATTCATATAAAAGAAAAGGCAAATTATTTAATAAATATTGATTAAAATCCAATGGAAATATAAAATGAGTTTTGATGAGTTAATCAATTAGCTAACAAAAATGCAAAAAAGTGTTTATTTGCAGTTTATAATAATAGCAAAGCATAAGAATTAATTAAATAGCAATTAAAAGAAAAGACACCAAGAAAAAGCAATCAATAAAAGAAGAAACAATTTATAGAACCAGGAAAGCATAATCAAATAAACAATCAAAAAAAGAAAAACAAAAAAAAGCAAATAGTATTACACATTTTTGATTGAACAAGATTAGTTTGTAAAAAAAAAAAAATAGTATATGATAGGTACACAAGAGATTCCAGAAATATAGAACAAAGTTCGTATACTTGATGGAAAATATTAAATTTTGTATACAATCGGTGAAGGTCGCTATGCAAAGTAGATCAATTTTAAACCAGCATCAAGCTGCTTTTTGTTAGATTTTCTTAACTCTCATAGTCTACATTAACCATTTATATAAGTCTGACAAGACTTAATTTCATTAAGATAATAAATATCACAAAGCAGTATTAACGGCGTTTATTATATTGCAAAATTATTAGAATAAAATTTTTTTTTACAAAGTGATATTTTTAATTGAAAAAATACATTTTATTGCTAAAGATATTTGAGTTAGAATGATTCAATTTTTATATGTTCTCTTTCTAACCATTTGTTTAATCTTTAAATATTTACTATTTAAATAGAGTCAAATTGGGAATAGACATGGAAACAAAGAAAAAAGTGGCTATAAAAATTATGAGAGAACAAAGTATTACTGATGAAAGCAGCCTTGAATTATTTATTAACGAAGTTAAAATATTAAATTAAGTTACTCCAAATCCCAATATTGTTTAGTTGCAAAGAGTGTGTCTCAATGGTAAATACACAAAATGCGACGGTAGAGAGTTTGGTGTCTTATATTATGTAATGAAAATTGCTGAAAACGGAGAGTTATTTAAATTTCTAATGCACACATCTAAGTTTGAAGAAGATCTTGCAAGATTCTTTTTCAAGCAAATTTTAGAAAGTAAATTTTTTCATTCATTTTAGTTAATTTGACGAAACAAATGCCAAACAAACCTACTCAAATATTATATTTGTGCCTCCCTGCCTATCTCTATTTACTTAGGCCTTTATACTAGTTATTTTTTGTATTATTATTAATTTCTTTTATAATATTTGCACCACAGTTGTAAACTAACCGAAAATATTAGTAATAAAATACTTATTCAGACATTAATGCTACATGTCTAAAACTTATTTACATTATGCTAATTACTTTTATAAAATATTTCATCTTTCTATGAACATACTGATCTTATTTTATATTAAAGGCATAGAATATTTGCATTAAAAAGGAATCTCTCATAGAGATATAAAACCAGAAAATATTCTGATTGACAAAAAACTCAATATAAAACTTTGTGATTTTGGATTTTCTGCAAGATGTAGAAACGATAAAGGACAAGTTATTTTATTTGATTCATCTGAACCAGTTGGTTCACCTGAATACAATCCTCCTGAAATAACATAAAATTAATATAGTGGTATTAAATACAATGCAGAACCTATTGATTTATTTTCCTCAGCCTGTGTACTCTTTATGATGGTCATGAGTAGTGCTCCTTTTGGAAGTACAAGCTCAAGTGATAGATACTACTCTCGCTTTTGCATGGACAACAAGAATAATTTCTGGAAAATATTTGCTTATAACTACAAGCCTACAAACGAATTCAAAGGTAATTATCTTAGATTTAGTTTTATTTCAATATAATCACCAATCAATTTTCTATTAAACCAGATATCTTTATCAAAAATTCACCATTAAATATTAAAAAAATTTTTTTCTATTAAATTATTTTTTTTTGATAGAAGAAAGTTAAATATAAAAAAAAATTAATTAATTTTAAAGTTCTTGATGAGAAATTTTTCTAATCTGATAAAAATTATTATAAGACATATTTTACTCAATACAAAAAATACAATTACTTTAGTATAAAAATATAATTATATTACAAAAACAAAGAGAGAGTAAAATTTAAATAAGTTAGTTTAAAGCTAAACAAAAATAAAAATTGATTTCTGATGTTAATAATTTTAAGTATTTTTTTGATAAATTTTAATTGAAAAAATGGTTCAATAGAAGCATTTTTATTTATTGTTGAAAAATAATGGTGAATCACTACTTTTTAAAACAAATAAAGGAATAAATATTTTTAAATTTTAACAAGGAGATTAAGTAATAAATTTTTAATAAGGGAAATATTGTTTGTGTTTTCTATTTAAACATTTGAATCTTTCAAGAATTAATTATGATGATCAGTATTATTTTTAAATTTCAAAAAGAAACTTTATTATAATTTTAAGAAGCTTATTTACCACAATCTTTTTTTGAGGATAAATAATCAAAGAATTTTCTAATTTTAATTAATATTTTTTACATTTTTTATTGAATAGAAATCTTATTAATTTTTTTAATCAAAAGACTTAATGCACTCTATGCTTGAGCGTGATCCTTAAAAAAGAATAACTGTACAATAAATTAAAATGCACCCATGGATGAACGGTAAGATAGTATTTGGAAATTGAATGAAAATTAAAAAATATATTTATGATATATTAGGTCCTATCCCTACTATTGAGGAAGTACAATAATAAATGAATGAAAGAATATCTATAGTTTTCAATAAAACTCTTGAAGAGCTTAAGCATAAATTAGAAAATAAGGGATTGAGTAAAAAGGAAAAACCTCATACTAGACCCCTGAGCAATATTGATGGATTAAAAAATAAATACCTCAAATTAGTGCATGATATAAATTAATAAATTTTAAGAAAGATATAAAATGTTAAAAAACAAAAAATCTTACTAAAATAAGCACAACCCGAGTCTAAAGAAAATATTCCTCATCCATTAGAGGAATGTTTACTAAAGTAGAATGAAGATTTTATTATTGAATTTTAAGATCAATAATTTTTAACAAATTAAAATATTTCTTCCTCAGAAAACCTATAAAAAAACAGTGTAGCTGCTTCGTTTTTGAACCAAACTGTTAATCTTTCTACTTAAAAAATATAAAATAAACCAGAAAAGGAATCATTATCTAAGATTTCTCTAACAGGAATGTAAAAGACAACATCTGGTAACTTAGAAGAATCTAAAACTGACAGTAAGCCTGCTCATGTTGAAGAAGATGACTTTAGCAACGTAGCCCCTTTTAAAAAATATTCTTGGTAAAGCAAAGACGATTCTTTCTTTGCATCTAGCTAAAAGCCATTAAAGATTGCAGCTGTTTAATTCAACGATGATTTTAATTTACTTAATTATTAATAAAATGAATTCTTTAATACATCTACACCTTCGTGTGACATTTTCAACTCAGAAATAGCAGTTGCCAGTAATAAAGGAAGAATTTTAAATGCTGATAATTATGAAAATAAAGATAATCCCTCTTAAATTAATAAGATAAATTAAATAAATTAATAATAATCAAATTAAGCAATTTATCAACCCAGTTAGAAAAGCCAATAAATAGAACCTCAGAACTAAGAGTAAGAAGGTTTTACACAATAAAATTTTTAAAGACATGTTAATAATCAACAATCTCTTGCAAAATGATATCAACGAAGTGTTAAAATTAATTATATTTCTCATAAAATGTAATAAAATTTCCTTTTGTTCAATTTTTCTCAGAAAAAAATTGCCTAATAATCGGAAACATCTATCATATATCCTTAAATCTTATAAAGTTACATAATATATATAAAAAACAAAGCACTGCATATTTTAGCAATATATTTATCTTAGCTAAAATCATGATGTTAAGTATAATTTACATACAAGGAGAAATGTAAAATCATTTTTTAGAAGAAAAATTATGAATGATTCAAGTAAATGGATGGATGAGAACAATAATTCAAAAATTCAAACTATATATTTAAAATGATTAGTTAAGTATCAAGCCAAAAAAACAAACATACTATCATAAGAATAATCTATGCCAAATTATTAAATTAGGCTAAATTATAGAGGTAAATATTCAGTTTAATCAATGTGAGCATAAAAGTATATTGGATATCAATTAGATATCCATACTTTATTTAAATTAATAAAAATAATTCTTAAAAATAAGAAACAAACATTTTTATTATAATTTTTTATTTAATTTTTCTCTTTTCTGATCATTTTGATTAAATTGTTATTACCTTTCATCAATGAATTCCTTATTTCCTACCTTACCTACCTACCTACTTACCTACTAACTTACTAATCAATAACTAAAAAAATAATTAAAAAGAAGAAAACAGTTTCATCAATCAATCAATCAATAAACCTATACTCTATAATAATATCTATTAACTAAAATAACTACGTTTATTATATACATAATTTATATAATCTTATAGTTTATAACTTATATTAAATTTAACTTTTATAATAATATTCTTTCTTTTCAATAAATATACTTTACCCTTCTATCGTTTATTTAATTTTGAGAAACAAAGTTTTTTTATAAACTAAAAATAACTTAAAATAAAAAAATATATTTTATTGTAAATTTACATAAACTTTTTTTAAAAAATATTCATTTTTTTTTAAAGGAAATTACTTTTTTATTTTTTTTGTATTAAATCTTTCAACACATTTTATAAATAAAATTTCAATTTTAAATAAATATAAAACTCTAATAGGATAAAAATAAATTTTAATAAATATAAAAGGATACATTAATATTTATTATATTGAGTTTTATTTTTAAAATTAGCTAAACTAATAATTATTCAGTCAATAAGACATATTTTAATCTTAAATGTAAATCAATTTAAATTATAGATCCAGAAAGCTTTGTTAAAGAATATATAATTATATTAACTTTAGTAGAATAATTTTTTACAAAACAAATAAAATAGTAATAATATGTTTATTATGTATTTGATCATATTTAAAATTTTTTATTTTTTGGTGGTAGTATATATTTATATTCAAACCAAATATATATATATTTTAAGGATTTATCATTTACTTATTCATTCAAAGTGCTTTTAAATTAATTAGACGCATTATTTGTATACTTCTTCTGATTTACTCCTTTATAACTATTCTAACAATTACTCACCTTCTAAGGAGAAAAATATCTGCATAATATTATTTTCAGAAGAACAGTTACTGCTTTAAATTTAATTATCGTGAACTTGAATACTGTAGTCAAATATTAAGTCTAATGATTGAATTACTAGTTTTTCAATGTAAGGATTTCCACACCTTCCAAGCCTTATTAGTATTTGTATATATTCAAGTTAAATTAATTTTTTTATTCCCATGTCAGATTATAATAATTCTTTCAGAATACTTAAAATAGATATCTTAATTTAAAATTCTTCCATTACAAGCAAATTTAATAGTTTGTAAACTAGCCTTTCTTAGTGAATTATTTCTGCTTGTATATTTAGTCCTTCACTACATTCAATTATTTTTTATAATAGTCCTAATCCTTTGAGCTTAACTTCTCTGTTTTAGTTGCTTATCACTTTTTCAAGATAGCCTTGAAATTTAGTCTCTACAAATATTTTGCGAGTGAATTCATCGCAGTTTTATACTATTACTTTGAAAAAATCTAGAGATTCTTTGATTAGCTATATATTTGAACCCACTAAAAATGGCATGATATGATGAATTATATCTAATTTTAAGACTTCATTTAAATAAGCCTCGCTTTTTGTTAAGAGAACCCAAAAACTTTTAATGATTTAAATTCTTACTTGAGGAATATCTACAAAAAATAATTCCTTCAAGATTTAAAGAATTTTTCTTAAGGGATCTATCCTTGGCATAGGGTGCTTTTTAATGAGGTTAGTTAAAAAAAAGGTAAGCTCACTCACAATGCTATATCTGCTCTAATTTTAATTTTGTGGTAAATAACTTTTAGTTGAATTTATTGATTAATCTATTTTATTTTATGATTAAGAAGATACAAAATTATTATTTTCTTAGTAGCGACCATACATTTTTAATATAAATTTTTCGTAAAAGCCTTAAATAACTGTTAGGATGAGTTATGAGTCTTCAAATAGCTTTTCTCGACACTCTGCATCATCTGCAGCTAAATTTCCTAAACACCAGCATACATTTTCAAGGATATCTAAGTCTTCACAATTTTCCATCAAGTGCTTAAATGTATCCAAAATGCCTAAATTTAATATATGCCAGCACTCTCTATTTTTGCCGGCGCATAAATTAATTAGAATCCATAAAGATTCATTTTAAATATCCTTTAATTAAGCATAATCAACTATTTATAGAATTTCAAGAAGAATAACAAGGAATTATTTATCATCTAAAATTGTTTAGAAAACAGGATGCTTAAAATTCTCATAGAAAGGCATAGTTTCTTAATAATTTATGTTTTTAGCATTTTATTTATTTAGTTTATAATTCAAATTAATTATTTCTTGTTGTTGTTCAAGCTCACTAGTAGCAATTGTTAATTTTTTTCTTATTGAGCATAGAATTTCAAACAAAATTTTTCTATTGCCATTTCTATATTAATTTTTAAACTCCTTTAGAGCATCAGCAATATTATGTTCTGCAATTTTAGAATAGTCTTATTTAAAATTCTAAATTTTCATGCTATTTAATTCTTGCACTTGCTACACATTACAATTTTATTTATGTAAATTTTCATCTAATTGATCGAAAAATGATTCTTATAAGTTAATTTATCCTTTTAGAGTATGTAAAGTATTTCCATTAATCAAACTATTTTCTTTGATGTTCTGCTAATACTTAAACTAATCTTCAGCCATGTTTATCTTTTTTTCTTGCATTAATTTGATACGCTTCATTGCAAATTCCTCCTTGTTTTTACTTTTTCTAATCTCTACTCTAAATCTTTCCTTTTTACAAAGGATCACTTATCTAAGTTGTTCGCTTTCACTTTCATAATCCATTTTTGTAAGACAATTTATATAAATAGTTTTTATTTTAAAAAAATATATTATTGAATCCAATAAAGAATTGCTTTTATGTTGGCTAAATAATGGAATTATATTTTTTATAAATATTGAATGAAAATTAAATAACTTTTAGCTCAACCAATAGATAAATAGATATATTACTATCAATTAAATTTTAGCTCCCGCAATATTTCATATGACAATTTAAATCAATAATTTGTATTGTTTGCTTATCAAATAATTGAATTAAGCTTTTAATAATTTACTTAAAGTAAGTAACACACAATAAATACCTATATCAAATAAAGTATTCTTTTAATTCCCTCCTATTTCACAATTTCAAAATAATTAAGAGAAAAAAAATAAAAAATTTGAAAATTTGAAAATAGCTCTTTATTGACTAAAAAATAAATAATTAATTTTTTTTCATAAAAATAAATAAAAAGAAATCAAAAAAGAAAACTTAAAAAGAGAAGCAAAAAAAATAGCAAGATAATAGATGGAAAGTTTTTTAAACTCAATTTTAAATCCACAAAGTTCAATACTCTTAAAAATCCACACACACCATAAATATATAACTAAATGTTATATAAAAAATTGTCATATATTGTCAACAAGAGAATTGAAACTCCTTCACTACATTAATCAATCCATCCATCAATTATTATTATCTTGCTATAAAACTTCTCTGAAATAGTTAAAAGTATCATCCATGAGCAAGCCCATCACTCATAGCCGATTTAATTATGTCCCATGCCCCATTATTGTTTTAAAAATTAATTATTATTTAAAAATATTGTTTAAAAAATGATAGATAAGACATTTAAGTTTGCTGCTGCTACTCCCATTCTCTCATCTAATTTAATTAAAATAAGATAAAATAAAAATTTAAAATTAAAATAAATTGAAATAAAATTTAATATTAAATAAAAATAAAATAAAATAAACTTAAAACTAAATATAAAAATAAAACAAATAAATAAAAATATAGATAAACAAATAAAACAAACAAACAAATAAATAAATATACAAATAAGAATAGCATGAAATGATAAATTAATCCTCTTAATAATATTGAACTCAAATACTTTCTTAAACTTTGAATTTAAATTACTTATTTGAATGAAATAATTAATTTTTGTGAAAGAACTAAATCATAAATTTGAATATTTAAAAATTTATAATTTTGATGAAACACAGTTTAATTAATTTTATTTAAAAGAAATTATTAGAATTAAAATGACATAAAGTTAAATTTTATTTAATACTTAAGAAATATAAATGATGTAAGAAGTGTTTTTAATACTTAAGTATATACACAAAAAAGTGTTATATTTATTGCTTTTGTAAATTAATAAATAAATAAATTTGAATAATGTTATTTAATTTCTTTCTTTTTAGTAAATATAATAGTAAATTTTGTATTGCTTAAACTCTTTAAGACCATTAAATTAGTCTCAAATCAGATCAAATTTTCTTTTTGATTGTTTAAATAGCTAAATGTTTTTCTTAAATTTTTCTGTGCCTGGCTTATGAACATTTATTACTTCTAAGGTTGTACCTAGGCTAAAACGGTCATAGTTTTCTGAGGCCTTGCTTAAAATTTCTTTTTAAGCTGTTATTATATATAAAGCATATCAAATATTGATTAAGGTGAGTTAGATTTGGTACTTTAAGGATTATACTTTTGTTCTGTTTATTCTAACTTATTCGATACATTAATAAATTAACTAGCCTCTAAAGAATTATTGCGATTCAGCCTAATTGTTCCTTTTGCCTCAGTTTTTTTTATTAAATATTTATGGCTTTTAGATTTTAAGATCTCCATTGAATTTTTCAAATATTTATCATCTACACTTTTCTATATTGAGTTCCTTGGGTTTAGAGGTTTATTTATTGGTATATCAGCAATTTACTTAGTCAAATTGTGTAATCTCTTTTCTTCTTCTTTAATGGCTGTAGTCTTATTATTCTCATCTCTTTTGTTTACATCACTTTATTTTACAGGATTAGTATTTTTACCAACAGTGTTGTTCATATTGAATGAAGTTTGATAGTTATTGTAGGCTTCATCACTAAATGATGGATCTACATAACTAAATCCTACAGCACTAGTTTAGCCCGTATTTGTGTTAATCCTAGACATACTTATTCTTCTTTTAGAGGAATTTGAAGAAAGTTATTTATCAAATTATTAAAGCTATTTCAAAAAACCAGGGTTTGGAGAGATAACTCTTCTTTTCTTCTTAACAAAATTAAAGGCTGTAGGATAAGTCATTTATTTCTTTTACATAATATAAGCTATCACACAAGACGCGCTTCTAGAAACACCTGCAGCGCAATGAACAAGGACACCACCTCTTCGGAGACCTTCCTCAATTTCTATAATTACATCCTAAAAGTATCTCGATATGTTAAAGCTTGGGTGGTCAAGCATAAACCATTGTCTATGAATAATTTTAGATGACTAAGGATAATAAATAGTAAGACCTTGAGCTGTAGTGAGCACTGTGTTAATTCCTTTTGACTTAAGCATATCTTTGTCTAAAGCAGCTGTATAATCACCAAGCCACAAGGCTCCTTTTTTTTCGTTCATATCTTCTTCCAAAATTAAGTGCATATTCTTATATTATTCTAAAAACATAAATCGACTATTACTGCTCATTTATTTTGAAAGGGTTTTTAATTATATTTAATATATTCTTATATTTAAAAGTTTATTATATTAACTTTTTCAACGAACTATCTTAATTTAATATTCCTATTTCTATTTTTTCTTTGCGTTTTTTGTAAAAATAATTAATATTCATAATCAGCATAGCGCATTTGAAAATCGTTTGAATTATAAGTTTACTTTTTTTAAGACTGCTCTCATCAAAAAATTTAATTATTAATTAATTTAAAGCAAAATAGTAAAATAGGTGAAATAAATAAATAAATTAATCAATCATAAAAAATAAAATATTAAAATTGAAAACTAAAAACAATTAAATTATATCAAAATTAAAAAATTATTTATTTTATATTTGATCATTATTGAGGTTGAGATAAGTTGATAACCTTAAACATTGAATAAACGATATTAATTTATATAGATTTTATTGAAAAATATTTGTTATTTAAAATACTAAAAAATAATATTGTGAATAAAAAATACGTGTTTTTATAAGTAATTATCGTAATACCTTTAGATTTGTTCAAGTTAAATAATAAATAAATAATTTATTTAATTTTTCAAAACTTCATAAATCATAAGAAGCTGTTAGTAAAGTCTAAGGAAATATCTTCAAAATGAGCATCAAAATCTACAATAAAACGATGCTTATTTTAGGAAATATCATTTTTAATAATTTCAAATTTAGCAAAGCCATTTTATGGGTTTAATTCTTGTATCTTTTCATAGTTTGCATCTATATTTTTAGAGTCCTTCAAGTCAAATTTATATCCCTTTTTAGTATTTATAATAAGAATATTCCAATTATTCAGCTTAAAAGTTGTTATCAAAAATTTTTATCAATTTTAAATATTACTTCGCATGTCAAATAGTGGTATTCTTAAATTTCTTCTTGCTAATCCTACTTATCTTCATCATATATTCTTAAAGCAATAGGTTATTTGCTTAAATTTTTTTGTATTTTTTCAAGAATTCTTGTGCTTATTTCTGATAAATATTTTGCTTAGTAAGGATGAGAAAGAGCTTCATAAAGACCAACAATAATCTACTTTTTCTTTTTCAATGCTCCTTCAATCTAATTTTTAATAATATTACATTAAAAATATGTTTATTATACGTTTTTTGAATCATCATAAAATGCTATCTAAGCTTGTAATAGCTAAAGACTAAATAAAATTCATTTAAACTTAAAATTTTAATTACAAGTTCGAAAGCAGTTTCTAAAGTAGGACTAACAACTCTTGAATGGAAGAGAGGATAAGCATCTTCAACGGTAATTTATCCATTCTCTATCTTTCCTGTTAACACTCCTGTTTGTGCATTGAATTTTTAAAATTAATTATTAATTTGCTTAAAAATGATTTAAACTTACCAATAACGTCATCTTTTACATATTTTAGAGCATGTAAGTATGCTTTTTTATAAGCTAAAAGTTCAATTGCTTGCTTTTATTCAACCTAGGACATTTAATTGCTAATTTATTAAATCTAATTGTTTATTTTTGAAATTTTTTTAAAGGAAAATATCTAATTTTTATTTAATTTATAAATATAAATTTCTATGCTTTTAAATTTAAGATCAAAATAATTAGATAGATAACAACAACATAAATATATAGATATATAGATCATTAAAAAGAGTTTACAAATTCCCTAGCTAATTTAAAAATGGTATCAAATTATAAAACAAAATAAAAAAATACATTTAAATATAGCAAGAATTAATGAAATAAAAAAAAAGCATTCAGTGTTATTTGTAAATTTTATCATCTATTTACAATTAAAATTAGAAAAAAATCTATAATTTATAAACTTGTTTAAAAGTGGAATGAAGTGATAAAAATAGTTAGTTGGATATTATTTTAAGTTGGTAAATTATTAAAACCTTACTCAGATTAAAAATAGAAGTATTGACATTAAAATTATATTAATTAGATTTTAATTAATTTTATAGAAAACGGTTAAATCAATTAAAATAGTAGAACTGAAAGGTGATTTCATATCGCTTAGCTTTTTATGTCTTTGAGCAATTTATCAGATTCTATTTTATTCACGTATTAGTCGTAGAAGAATCTAAAATCAAAAGTGAGATATTGCTAAATAGGCATGTAATCGTCAAGCTTAATAAATATTTGCATACATCTAATTCCACGTAAAGAATTAATATCTTTCTCAAACTACTCAGGGTTAAGAGATTAGAGAGCTTGAGATGCAACCTTAATGAATCTTAATCTATATTCCTTGTAATTTTGAGATTGGGCTTTTATGAAATTGTCAAAATCTTTTACTTATGCATAGTTAGTTGTAGCTGGGTCATTTAGTTATTATTATACTTCTTTTAAAATTCCATTTGAAAGAGTCTTAAAGAACTAATTAGCAGTTTACGAATCCTTTTCTATTTTCTAGAAAGTCTTTTTATACTATTTGCTATTTAAGTAAATTTTGAATTCCTCTTCATTAATAAGTTTGTTGGGGAAAGATTAATTAAGAATTCTTTTCAACAAATCAAGATTGAAATTATAAAAACCAGTAAGAGAGTATATAAGTTCATAAAATATAAGTGAGTTTAACTAATATTTGTTACGTGCAGTAAATACAAGTTGCATAGTAACATCTGCAAATAAGGCTTAATTACGTAGGAACAATATCATCTTATCTACCTTACCTATCTTTTACAGCTCGATATCCTGCTATTAGAATTTCTGAAGAGAGTTTCTGTAGTGATCTTCTTCAGGATCTTCTAAGTTAGCAGCTAACGATGAAGGTTGAGTTGACTAACTGTCTTGATTAACTTATTACAATTATTGAGGTTATTGTTATAAATTAGTTTAAGGTTATTGCTAAATTTGCTAATAGTTTTATGCTTACTATTATTAGGTAGCGTATTGTGTAAAATCACCAGTTTGTGAACGAGGTTATTGTGTTGCTTAAGGTTTGAGATTATTATTAACTAAATTGTTTATAGGTGATTATTCAACTTTTTGTTTGCTGTAATTATAAGCCCCAATGTTATTATTGCTGATTTTAGACATATCATATTGCTAGTTATTATAAGATAATTAATTAGATACAGGGTTAGTGGATGGGCTGTAGGCATTTTTGCTGAGATTACTATTATCATCTGTAGCAGCTCTGTACTATTGGTATCCAGGAGCCTTGTTAATTGGATTTATCTAGGGAGGATTGGGAGATTTTGATCTAATTTGCTATTAGTAATTATTGACCATAGGTTAATAGTCAGGTACTTTAATAACTTAAAAGTTTTATGCATGATCAGTAATTAATTCATTATCAAGAACATGATTTCTATTTTCCATAATACTTTGGAAAATAGGATTATTCTTTTCTTATTCCGAGATATGATCATCCTAATTAAAAATATTATATTTTTTAGTGAGAGCAGGGTGAGTGAAAACATCTTCCCAAGAGATACGGTCGTTTTCATCATATCTGAACATTCTGCGAATGAGATTTTTGACATCCTCACTTACAACTACATCATCTTTAAACTTAAATTCCTTTCCTCTAACCTTATTTTGTATGTCTTAAATGAGAGTTTTCATGTCTTTACCAATAAAAGGGTACTCACCATAAAGCATTTTATAAAGGAGGCATCCAGCACCCCAAACATCACACTTAGAACTATAAATTTCTTTGAGAAGTAACTATGGAGAGGCATAAATAGGAGTGCATTTAATTGACATTCTATGCTACTGATTCATATTACCTTCAACAAATCTTCCAAATCCGAAATCACCAAGTTTTATTTTTCCTAAATAGATAATTTTACATTTATTAATTTAGAGAAATTTATTCAGTAAATAATTTTTTTAAATTGTTTGTTAGTTTGTTTGTATTCAGTAATTCATTTATGAAATGATATTTAAAATTTAAAAATAAAAACATTTATTGAGTGAACATTTGGATTTAAAAAATTCTCTTTTAAAAAGTAAGTGTGTAATTTCTAAAGCTTTAGAATTTTGGGAGTAGATTTTGATAACTATAAAAATGCCATAACTACTTAATTCAAAATGTTTTTTTTAAAATAAAAAACAAAAATAAATTGTAAAATAATATGCTATTTTTACCATTGTGAAGCATTAAATTTTCAGGCTTAATATCTCTATGAATAATTTTACTCTAATATAAGTGTTGATATCCGTTAACAAATTATTTAAAGAATTCTAAAGCTTCACTTTCAGTAAGTCTTTTTTAAGGCTTATTATCAATGTACTTAGATAAATCACCTCCATTACAATAATCTAAAAAGAGATAAAGATTATTAGGAGATTAGGATATTTCGTGAAGGCAGACGAGGTTCTCATGTCTGAGCTTTTTTAAAACATCAATTTCTTTTTGTAACATTTAAGAATTAGACATAGACTGTTAAAATATTTAAGAAGGTATAACTTTAACAGCATATCTTTTACTCTAATTATTTTATTCGGCTGCTTCATACACTTTACCATACTATCCTTCTCCAAGCATACGTTCTTAGAAAATAATATAAGTTCCTACTAGCTTCATCTAGCTTACTTTTTGCATGCCTTTCTTTTCCCCACCTATTTGATTGACTTATGTTTTCATTTTATTTACTTTTTTTAACCTTATCCTACTTATTAAAAAAGTGTTAATTTTTATTCAAAAATATGTTTTTTCTTATTTTATTTAATTAATTCGAAGATTTTACTTTACAAATTTTAATTAATTTTTTGTAGCAATCTCTAAATAAATTGTCAAAATATATGAAAAAAATTTAATTTTTGCATCAGAATATTTCAAGAATTTTGGTAATCGATCGATCACCCAAAAATTAAGATTAAGGTCAGGCACATATTTGCTTGTTTGCTTGCTTCTTTTTAGATAGAAAAATTATAAACAAATAATAAGCAATAAATATAAATATCTTAATCGAACATAACTTTATTTATCTATTTTATAAATTTTAAATAGAGTTTCATCAGCATTTCATGTATGTTTCCACGATTTAAATTCATTTTTGTAGATTTTTTTTTAAATACTTAATTATTTATAAAATAATTATACTTTGAACAATATTTTTTGAATATTTATTTTGATTTTTTAGAAAATACAAAAAGACAAATTTGAATATTTTTTAACTTAAATTTAAGAATTTTAAGCAAGAAAAAAGTAAATTAACATAGGAAAAAACGAGTTCATAATATAAAATATTTTAGTGTAATATGCATAAAAGTTCAAACAATCTTTTTTAAAATAATTATTAGAAGTCCCATTAAGCAAATGAATGAAACTATTGTACCTAGAACAATTAGAGAGATTTGCAATATACCGCAATGATATTTGATTTAAACAAATTGACCTATAATGGAAGCAATACAAATCAACAATATAACTGCATCAGTTTTCCTTCTTTTATTTATTGATTCAAGTTATTTTTATTAGCTTTTATTTTAATTGGATTTTAACAATCTCCAAGAAATAATCACATTCAAAACAAATAAAAACTTAGTAATCACAGCAGCTATAGTCCAAAACATTTATTTTTGGCATTATGGAATATCATCTGGGTTATACCAGCTTTTTTTGCATATTATAATAATCTCCAATATAAGGAATACAGTAAAAACGCTAGATATTAGCAATTAGAATTTTAATATTTTATATTTTTATGATAGTTTTTTTTCAATAGCATCTATATTTTATTAGGATTTACTACATGATGATTAAATTTAGCTCTACACTTGAGAAATTAGAATTTAAGATTATGGCTTCAATTCGGTCTTAATAATGCTTATCGGACTTTAAGACAGAGCAATGTTTTTTTAAGATGATTTAGTATTATTCATATCAATCATTTTTTTTATTGTAAATTTTGATTATTTTGTTAATTTTTTTTTATATTTGTTTATATTCAAAGCGATAAATTTTCATCAAATTATTTCGCCATAGTTACTCTAAGCTACAACCAAGCTAAGGTTTTCATAGAATTCATCAGAAAGTGAAATTTTGAATGAATTTTAATTTTTAAATCATAGATTTAAAAAAATAAAAATTAAAAAAAATAAATTTTATCTACCAATAAAAATATTTTTATTGAACAGGAAGTATTTTTAAATTTAAAAATAATATATTTTTCTACAACATAAATTTTCAAAACTGGATTAACCTAATAATTAATTATTAAAATTTGTGGAAAATTAAGTATGAATATTTTAAATATATTTTGGGTAGATGAAATAAAGAATTACAAAAAATTTGTAATAATTTCAAAGTTTATTTTTAAATAATTATTGAAATTTATAAAACGCTACTTCAATCGAAACTATCAAAGAATTTTCATAAATCTAATAGACAAAATTGCTAATATCACTCCCTTCTAAAAAATTAAAAAATTTTTAAATAATATATAAAAAACAAATCATGCAATATTTGATTGACAAAGCAGGATAAGTAACTTATAAAATTTAAATCTGCTTATTTTATATATTTATCAATTTTTTATCTTTTAAAGTTTATTCCAAATAGTAACTAAAAAAATATTAACACTAAATCTCTTCTATGTGATAAATTTAATCCTGATAGTAATCCAAAATTTTAAATCATATTCTTTAAATTTTTATCAAATTTTACAAAATAAAATAAATAAATATTTTCAAAATAAATGATTTTATAAAATAAAAAATCCATGAATTTATTTAAATAAAATAATAAAGTAAATTAATTAAAAATTTATATGTTTAAAAACTATTTATTTTATGTTTCAGCTTAACTTTATAACTAAAGTTAATGTTTAAATATTAAAATCTTATTAGTAATTTATATATAATTTATATTACTAATATACTATAATTATTAAATTAATAAAGATAACAATTATGATAATTAATTTATAAAATTTCAAAGAAAGAAAAAAATATTGAGCATACATCGAATTTATTAAATGAAAATAAGTAAATTTTAATAGAAAAAATAGGGCTTATATTGTTAATTTTGCTTAACAAATAAAAATATCTTAACTTCATTATAAACTTGATTTAATTATATTTCATTTTTAATTGTCAATTTCATTTTCATTGAGAATAAATTATAAAAGAAAAATTTTATAGAAATTTCAAGAAATCTTTAATAAAATAGTAAAAATTATAATAGATAAAAGATAAAAGATCAATGCATTTAATAGAAAGTCTCTTAAATAACCTTTAATAGTAATTAAAAAAAATATAATTATATTTTTACTCTAGAAATTTTAGTTGTCTAGTTTCATATTTTGCTTTTTAATTTGTAACCTAAAAATTGGAATTCAACAACTTTTTATTCGAAATAAAATGATTAAATATTTGAGCCTTTTTTCCTATAATCTTTAAATTTATTACTTCTTAACATAAAGCTAAATATTTATAGTTTTTATCTTTTTTAATTCATTCTTTATAAATTTTACAGATATTATAAGTGGAGTAATTCTGAATAATAAAAAGTAAATAACTAATAAAATAGTAACAATTTTGGAGTAAAAAGATAGAATAAAAGAATTTTTAATATTCAGATTTCCAAATAAAAAGAAAAACTTAAAAATAAAAAAATTTAGACATTGGATGAAATTAAATATATTTTATTTATTTCTTTTAATATTATACTATCATAGTTGGATTATTCATCAATAAACTTTAAAAGTTTATATCTAACCCTAAATATTTGCAAAATAGTATTTATATATCTATTTCTTAATAAGCATCAGAATAATAATTGGATTACATATCAATTAACTTTAAAAGTTTATATCTAAAACTTCTATTTTTTAATTAGCATCTATTCTTATTTTGATTTACACTAATTTAAGGAAAGATATATTATTTAATTGATATAGAAGTTGATTAAGCTCAAATATCTAACATAATTTGTTTCAAATTTAATTAAAACATCAAATTAATAATAAATAATAAATTAAAAAAAAAAATAAATAAAAGTAATAAAGTCTTAAAATGCTTCCTGCATAGTAAAAAGACCTATTTGGTCATTCTAATTAAGGAGAAAACTATGATAAATTCAGACCTGTATATCCTTAAGAATTCTTCGATTAGATATTAAAGCATGCTGTGGATCGTGAAAACTTTGTTGATATTGCTTGTGGAACAGGCTAGCTACTTTTTGAATTGAGTAATCATTTTAAATTCAGCTTAGGAACTGATATATCACCAAAGTAGATAGAAGTTACTAACTAAAAAATCTAAAAGAAGAACCTTTAAGATAGAGTCAAAGCTATTGTTTGTGATGCTCATTCTTTATCAAAAATTTCAACTGAATAGGGTTTACCTTCTAAGTATGACCTAATAACTATCGGCTAAGCTTTGCACTGGTTTGATACTTAAGAATTCTTCACAGAAGTTAGTAGGAATATCATGAAACAAAATCATAGCAGTATATTTGCTGTTACAGGTTATTTTTGCAGGGGATTTGATTACATAGTTGGTGAAAATAATTTTGAAGAAGATCAAACAGTTTACAATGAATTTTATGATAAAGTCAAAGAGCATTTTGATTGTGATAGAGAAAACCTCTCACTAGGATATGTAGGATATGATTTTTCTAAAGAATTCAAAGAGATAGAAAATGTACAAACTGTAACCAATACTCCTTGTTCAATATTTGAGATGGTAAAGTATTTAAAAACTTACAGTGCTTATAATACTCTATTAGAAAAGAATAAAAACAATACTAATTTTATTGATCCAGTTATAAAATTTGAAGAGGATGTTACTAAAAAGGTTTAAGAAATTTAAAAGACAAGCTAATTCTAATCCTAAAATCCAATAAGAATGAAAACCTCCTATTTCTTAAGAATATTTAAAAAGCTTTGATTTTGGAAATTTTGAATTTATTTGCTTACAAAATTATGATTTTATGTTAAATAACTTGATAAAAATGAACATTTATCACTTTTTATAATTAAAAGTAAGAAATTATTTTTATTTGTAATTTGTTTAATGCTTGTTTGTTGGCAATCAAAATATCAATTTTCTATAATTTTTTAATTGAATACTTTTTTAATTTTATAGTAAATGTTATAATAAGTTAATTAATTTGTTTGTTATTTGTTCATTTTTTAAAAAATAAAACTTTATAAAAATAATTAATAATAAAATTAATTTTTTTATGAATTTTAAAATAGTTAAAAATTTCTTAGTTAAATAGGGTTTCTTAATTTAAATGGATTAAAACAAGAAAGTAAAATAATAATTTTTTCTTAATAATACCAATTTATATTAAAAAAATACAATTAAAAATCCCTAGTTGAATTTTTATTAATAAAATTATAAATTTAATTCAAGAAAATAATAAATGGCATTCATTAATTAATTATATATGAAAGTGGAAAATTTATGGCTGAAATTTCTTAACTTTTGAAATGAGAGTGGCTTTGTAATATTCAGTAAGCAACACTATCATTTCATTGTTAATTCACTTTAATAATTGTGTTTGGTAATTATATTTCTGCACTATATTATCAAAATCCAGATATTTTATTTGCATAGATTTTAAATATTAACACAGTAATAAATAAAGTAATAAAAGTATTGTGCTCAAATATTAATTTTAGACGCAATTATTAAATTAATAAAAAAGAAATAAAAAATAGTTATGAGAAGTAAATTCAATAACAAATTCTATGATGAGCATAGCCCTTCAAAGAGAGTAAGGTGGATTTCGCCTAATTCATAAGCTTAAGAATCAGATAAAATAAGTTAAGCTGCAAGTATAATTGCATCTTAAGAGATATCTTTAAACTAAAGTTTATAAAAGTCTAATAAATAATTAGATATAAGCAAAGAGCTAATTTAGAATAAAGAAAAACTTATCAACTTCTTAGTTGATAACAATATAGAATTTCAAAAGCTTCATCCTAATGAGTACGCAGCTACTATTAAGTTAGTAAATATAAATTAATAGGCAGGAAATTAAATTAATGTTAATGGAAAGAGTTAATCACCAATGAAGGTTTCTTAATCCTAAGGCTATTTTACATAAAAGGAAAAGGAATTAGCAAATATTTCATAGATAAATAAATAGAATAAGCAGCCTTTCATATCAGCTATATTGAATGACATAAAGTCTTAAAAGTAGTCTGTTGATTTAGCTAGCACTTTTAATATTTCAATGGTTACTGACCCTTCAATAGATCAAAACTAAAGATTTTTATAATTTTTAGAGGAGAAATAAGCACAAATTTAAAGAGAGTTAACAAATGCAGATTAACTACTAAGCATTCATAGAGATAACTAGAGCATCAAATAGCTAAGAGATAAACATAATAGTTTATTGATAACACATAAAAATTTGTGTGCAATCTACTTAAGATCACCTCAAGAGTTTAGAAATAAAGCAATTCAATATTTGAAACCTATTTAAAGCACTATTATTTAAGGAAATTACTCAAATCTTAAAAATAATTCTGATTTAGAAATTCTATATGCCCTGCTACAGAAATTGCTTTTAGATAACTGTGATGCCTAAACAATGGAATAATTTGTAGATGAATAAATAAAAATGCAAGCAAATTCTTTGTACAGCTCAACAAATTAAAATTTAAAAGAATCAAATAGATCTGAAAGCTTAAAAGATTAAGAAAATAAAACTCATGGATCATTAGTTTATGAAAAGTTAAATTCATTTAAAAAAAGAAATAAAGAATAAAAACCTAACAAAAAAATTATCATAGTTTAACAGAACTTTGTAAAATCTGCCTCTCCAAGTAAAAGAGTCTCTAAAAGTAGTAATAATTAATCACTTTTATTTAAATCACTTAAAATTAATAATTTATTTTGTATATTAAAAAAAGGTGATGCCAACAAATCAAGAAATGAAGAGCTCAATAGATCAATCCACTCAAAAAAAGATAATCTCAATAAATCTTTTAGTTCAAAAAAAGATGAAAAATCACTTATAAATGAAGCCCCAAAAATTTAAATTCATAATAATAAATTATTTTCCATTTATGGTAGCAATAATAAAGTAAAATAGAATAAAAGTACATAAAAACCTAATAATAATTAAAGAAGTTCTCTCAGTTTTGCTAATAATTCTAGTACAGCATCATCTTTAAAGGAAAGTTTACTTCTAGGTAAGTCTTAACTTTCTACCAATAGCTAAATGAGTAAAAAATAAGAAGGTCAAAAAGATAAACAGTCTAAATTTTCATTGGGCAATTGTGCATAAAAGCTTGGTAATAACTTAAAAATTTAATAAATATACAATAAAGCTTACAAATCTGCTAATACTCTAAGTCCTAACTACAGTGATAGCTTGACTGATCATTTTTATTCTTAATCAACAACAAGCAAGTAGGTTGGAAATTTCGATTTCTCTAAAGCTGTAAGCTAACAGTCAAATAGAAGTTTATCTAACAATAAAGATAGAAAGAATCAATCTATTTAAAGTAAGTTCTTTTCAAACAGAATCACTACAGAAAACACTCCTAAATCTTAAAGAACAAGTGAAAGAAGAAATTCAAGGTCCCTTTCTCCTTCTAAACCGAAATCATATATCCCATCTGCCAGTTAAGATAATTCAACCTCTTCAAGAAAACTAATTAAAGCATCAGATATGTAGAAAGAATATGAAATTAACAAATCTCCTTCACCTACTCGTAAGAAAACTGCAAATTTTAGTTAAGTTTATAGTCCTCAAATATTAAAATCCTAAGATTTCTAGAAAGAATATGAAAAAATTCTTATTCAAAACTTTGAAAACTTGAAAATGTAATATTCTAAAAGTAAAATTGTAGGAAAAGTAAATGAAAAAATAATTGAAGAAGAATTTACTAAATCACTAAAGATACTTAACTAGAATTTTCATTTATTAAGCAGTGATGAACTAATGAATTACTATGATTTTATATAAAACAAAGCATAAATATTATATAGATAGTTTATGAAATAAAATTAATTTTGGTGACCAAACAAGTTTCACAATTTAAGAATAGGTTATATTTATCTATCTATTAGATAATAACCTAATGAATGATAGGTTGATCGACATTTGGTTTTTGATTGTTACTTACAGTTTTTAGTAGACTAAGATTAAAAATATATTCATTTATGATATAAATTTTTATTTTATTATTATATTAATGTTAAATTGAGTAATTATTGTTTAATTATTTATCTTATTTGTTTTTTGGTCAAATTAAATTATAAAATAAATTTCATTAAAGTTAAAATAAATATGCACTATGAAGGAATTTGATATTTTCTTTATTTGTAAAAATATCTTTAAAATAAAAGTAGATGATTTCATTTTAAAATTTTTGAAGAAAAGCTGGCCCAAATACAAACATAAAAATAAATGTAAGATAGAAAAAATAATTTAATATTTGTTTTTTAATTAATTTTATAAACTTACTTATAATTAATTAGATTTATTTTGTTTCAGGTAATAAATTAATTTCGCAAGTTAAATAAAGTGATTCAGATCCTATAAAAGAAGTCTACTCATTAAATTTATAATATTGAAAAATAAAAACATAAGAAATTTAATATCTAAATACAAAAATGCAAAATAAATTTAATCATGCTTATAATTTAATTATCACAAGTAAATATTATATGGTATTCTTGAGCACTTAGCTTATTGTTTCGGTTTGCGTTCTTGTTTATGTAAATTTTATTATAAATTGGTTTTTTCTTTTATTTTTAGTGCAAAATTTAACTAATAGTATATTATATATATATAAATAGATACTTTAAAATCCTGCTGAGAAGTAATTAGCCATTTCAATAAAATTAAGAAAATTAAATAATTTATGAAGTTTAAAAAAGCCAGTAGTTTTAATTGTTGAAGTTGTTTTAGCTATCACTATACTGTTAGACATACTTCTTAGATTAATAAAAGAAAAGAAAGTAGAAATTAAAGTATTTTTGATAAAAATTACGTTTATTTTAAAATAAATAAATAGGCATTTTTTAATGATTGCTGGAATCTATTTGATATTATTTCCCTGATAATAATAAGCTCACTGCTTATTATATTTTATTAAAATGAATATCATCTGTAATTAATTTAGCTTTTTATATCATATTTTTTAATGTCTTCATTTTAATACTTAAAATTAATAAAATTTCTAATATAGAAGCGAAATAGAAATTAGCAAAGGCATGGAAAATGATGATATAATTGGTGTTATTCTTATCTCATTCCGCTATATAATTCAAATATTTAGAATATGCGCTTCAATCAGAAAGTAAATAAAACTCTACTTTAAAACAAATATTAACCAAAAATAATCTTATCAATGATATTAAAAGGTAAAATTAAAGCAGAATTCTCAATAAATAAGTAAAGGAAATCAATCTTTAAGATTTTTAAGTAGAGAATACAAATATCAAAGATATACAAGCAGAAAATTTTTAAAATCATTTAGAAAATATTAATAAAATGAATTCGTAAACAAATAGAACATAAAACGATTCAGCTATTAATCATAAACACTGATTTCAAAAATAAAATCCCTCCTCTTTTAATTAAAAAAAAATCTATTTCATGAGTTTTATTTTTTTAAATATAAAGTTTCTAATGTTAAATAAAAGTGTTTATATTTTAATGCTTCTCGTATTTTTATTATCCATTTCATGTTAATTTAACTAAAAATATAATTTCAGATCAATTAAACTATTTTTGTTTTTAAAATGAAAAATATTTTTTGTTCAGTTTGATAATCAAAAATAGAATTTGAAGAATTATAGATTTTAAGTAATAATAAAAATAAAACACAGAATTCTAATATAAATTAATTAAAATAATTTAGCTTATTTCGTCTAATTATGGAATGCTTATATGGTTTTTATGTTTATTTTAATTATACAAATTTATGATTTTTAATCAGTAGTGATGAAATTTAGTACTATTATTTTAAAATGTATATTGAGCACCACTTTACTTTCCTATTTCATCTGTTTATTGATTACTTGGAAAAAGCAAATAACCCTTATTTTATTATGGGTTGATATCTTAAATAATATTGTTTTGATATAATTAAGCATATTGAGGAGGTTGATTATTTACTTATTTTATTGCCTCTTAGGGGTAATTATTACCTTTAATTTATTGTTAAAATTATTCATATTTTTCAATTTCTTAATTTTTATATTGCTTGTAAAGATTCTGTAATTCATTCTAATATAATTTTTCAGATAAATCTTTATCTAATTCTACTTACTAAGGTTGGGTTTAATTTTTGGTTTGAATTGAGTTTTTAAGCTGTTCGTTCATAGATAAGTTTAATTATTAAAGATATTGAGAATTATTTTATGTTTTATTTTAGGTATCGTTTAGCTATTAATTTTCGGGGAAGGAGTGGTAGGATAAAGAACTTTGAGACAAAGGTGTACCTGTTTTAATTGAAAAGGGGATATCTTTCCTTTACTATATTCTTGCTATAAAGCTTTAATCAGAGGGAGCACTTAAATTTTGAGAGTATTGGTAGGGACCTTTCATATCTTAAAACCTGCCTAATGGGTGAATATCTTTTTTTTCGTCTGATAAGAATGCTTGGTTATTATAATTTAAGTAGAAATGCTTGTTTTGAATTTAAGCTAATTAAGCCAGTTAAATATTCAAATCATATATTTTATTATCATTAGAAAGTAGTTTAGTTTCTTAGTTTTGTAAAGAATAAATAAACTAATTGCATTTTTCACTATCTTTATAAGAAGTTTAAACAAAGTTTGAAGTAAGTATTTGAATCATGTATTTAATGCCTTTATGCCCATCTATTTTTCTAGCTATATTATCGAGTTCATTATTCTTTTCTTTTAAAAACTATTCTACAATCATTAATTGCTATTCCAAATGATTTGTTTCATTTTTTTGTATAATTTCTACTTCCTCTTGTAGGCAATTAAAAAAATCATTTATGACAGTTTAAATCTTTTACTTGAATTCACCTAGCTATTAAGAAAGAGTTTTTGAATTCGCACGGTATTCATAGAATTCTTTTAATTTTTAATAATTTTAACCAAAAGTACTATATAATTATCTAACTGTTTTAAGTACGTCCTGATATGTTTAAGATATTGTTTCAATCTAAGGTTAATCTTTGCTATTAAAATGAAACTAGTAATGATCATTTATGCATTCTGAGCATAAAGGCATAGAGCAGGTAGGAGTTCTGCAAAAATTTGTTATTGGCTTTTGTTTATGGTAAATACAAAACTACTCAATCATCTCCTAAAAAATAAATAATTTAAACTTTTGCTAATATCTATCTTAATTATTTATAATATTTATTAATTTTTTATTTGAAAATGTATCTATACAAAATAAAATTGTTTATAACTTTTAATAAAAATTCATAAATCTAATAACTTAGATAAGTTTTTAAAAATATTTCAGTATTATTTGTAATTTTAAAATTAAAAGTTGATATTTGTATTCAAGAAATTATCTTAAAAAATGTATACTTTGATAGTCATATCAATTTTTTCAAATCTTTATTATTTATTTAAAGCTCAATTTATCTACCATTTTTTTATTATAAATTAAGTCAAAATATTTCAATTCATAAAATTTATTTCAAGAGAAAAAAATATTCTGAATTTATAATCAAATTTAAAAAAATATTTTTGATTTTTATTCCATTTTCATTAAAAATAAATAATAAATCCATATTAATTTGACTTGTAATATTTCAAAAGATGAAATGCCTCAATATTAATACAAATTTTATGAAAAGTTAAAATAAAACATATATTGTTTTAGTTTTTTAATCAATATCTTTAAATATTTTTTAAAAAATTAGAAATATTAAATGATAAAAGACTAAAAAATAAAATAATATAAATTATTTTTTGAGATAAAAAAAATTATTTCAAAATTTTATTGCTCAAATCAATAAATTAATTATATTTATAAACGAAAAGTTGTTGTGTCAAATAAGGGATAAAAATATAATTAAATTAAATTATTTTAAAATTTTATTTTATTTTTTTTAATAATTTTTAATATTAAATCATAAAAAATATTTTTATTTTGATTAAACTATATGTCATAGATATTTATGTAAAATGATTTAAAATTAGTTAATTTACTTTCCATGAAACTAAAATTAAAATAAATTAAAAATATTTAATTTTAAGTTAGATTTAATTAGTTTTATTTATTTAATCTAATTTACTCATTTATTTCTTTTATGCTTTAATAATTTTTTAAAATTCCATTAAATTAACTAGAACAAATTATATAAACTCAATTAAGTTTTTTAAAGTGGAGAGTTAATTAAAATGGATCATAAAACTAATAAATTTAGAACTATTCCAGAAAATATTTAACTTTCAAAATTATAAATTTTAAAAAGAGTAAATAACTTTCTTACTTTCAAACTCTAACAAAATTATTTTTTCTGGATGCTCTGCGATAACCTCAAAATTTTCTTTCCAAGTTTTCAAAACGCCAAAAAAATATTATAATAAGTCAAATTGAATCTCATATTTTGTTTAACTTGTCTTATACATCCTAATAGCATGAAAAATAAATATACTTAATGAACATTCTATTAAATTTCAGAATTTATTGATGATTAGACATACACTTAATTTTGTTAATAAAAATATATCTAAAGGATAGCAACAATTCTTCCTTGCGATTCTAATTTTTATATTTAATTAATAGATCAGAATTGGGATCTTTTAAACTTGATATTTCACAACTCACAAATAAAAAAAATAATATCTTTCTAAATAATTAAATATTGAATCAATTTATAAATTGTCTAAAAAATTTTAAGTTTTTCAAATGGACGCATCTTTACTCTCTGAATTCCTTAAAACTGCTGGCCAAACCATCACTTGTAAGGCTGCTGTAGCTTGGGAAGCTAACAAACCTTTAGATTACACTGACATTTAAGTTGCTCCTCCTAAGAAAGGAGAAGTTCGTATTAAAGTTTTTGCAAATGCTCTTTGCCATACTGATATTTACACCTTAGAAGGACACGATCCTGAAGGTCTTTTCCCAAGCATTCTTGGTCATGAAGGTACAGGTATTGTTGAAAGTATTGGTGAAGGAGTTACTTCTGTTAAGCCTGGTGATATTGTTATTCCTTGCTACACACCTGAATGCAGGGAATTCTCTTGTATTTATTGTAACAATGAAAACACTAACCTTTGTCCTAAGATTAGAGCCTTCTAAGGTAAAAATTACTTTTATTTATTAATAATTAATATAGCTTAGCTTTCTATGAAGAACTACAACAATACTATGACTTTTAAGGAATTTTATTAAAAGGATAAAGGCATAATTTATAAATTCTACTTACCATTAAATGATAAAGTGTAATATTATTAATTTTAATTAAAGGAAAGGGTTTGATGCCTGATGGTACAAGCAGATTTTCTAAGGATGGTAAAACTATCTATCACTTTATGGGGTGTTCTAGTTTCTCTGAATACACAGTTGTTGCTGAAATTTCTTGTGCTAAAGTTAGCGACAAGATTGATGTTAACCAAATGTGTCTTTTGGGTTGTGGTATCAGCACTGGTTGGGGTGCTGCAATTAATACTTGCAAAGTAAGACCTGGATCAACAGTTGTCGTATTTGGTCTTGGTGCAGTTGGTTTAGCAGTAGTTCAAGCTGCTAAAATTAAAGGAGCAAGAAAAATTGTTGGTATTGATCTTAACAGTGAAAAATTCACTTTAGCTAAAGATTTCGGTTGCACTGAATGCTGGAATCCTAAAGAGTTGGACGGTAAGACCATTAAGGAACACCTTATTTCCTTAGAACCTTGGGGTTATGATTTCACATTTGATTGCACTGGTATCACTGCTGTTATGAGAGATGCTTTAGAAATTGCTCACAGAGGGTAATTAGTTTTTAAAAGATGTTTTATATAGATATTCAAAATAGTTAATCAGTAACAAAAAAGATTCTTTGTGAATTGGTTAGGAATAGGAAGAGAAAATTCACAATTTAATAAAAAAAATTTTATTGATAATTAATTTTTTAGGGTTTCCATCTAATTTTGAATATTTTTAATTACTATTGATCTTTGAATAAACAAGCAAATGTAGGATTAAATTTATTAAATAAATTTTATGATTATTAATTATATAGATTTGGTGAAAGTTGCGTTATTGGTGTTGCTGCTTCTGGTCATGAAATTTCTACTAGACCATTCTAATTAGTTACTGGTAGATAATGGAAAGGAACTGCCTTTGGTGGATGGAAAAGCAGAACTGAAGTTCCCTAATTAGTTTAACAAGTATCTACTGGGGAATTGCCAATTCAAAAATACATTACTCATGAAATTAAGGGCTTACAAAATGTCAACTAAGCTATTGATGCTTTACACTCAGGAAAATGCTTGCGTGCAGTTGTTCATATCAACGAAAGACCTGATTTCAACAAAGAATAGGTATCAAAGTTAGTCCCTCGTGTTTATTCTAATGCAAGAAGTCATAATGGATGGGTAAAGAGAGTAAAGCATTATTCTGAATCTCTTTAATGCGAAATGCAATTTTCAATTTACATCCCTGATAAGAAGTCTCGTAATGCTTAACTTCCCCCTGTTCTTTATTATCTTAGTGGACTTACTTGCACTGATGAAAACGCTTTGGTAAAATCTGGCTTCTAAAGATATGCCTCTGAACTCGGTATTGCTGTTGTATTCCCTGACACCTCACCTCGTGTTGATATTGAAGGTGATAACGAAAGTTGGGACTTTGGTAAATCAGCTGGATTCTACTTAAATGCTACTTAAGAAAAATGGAGAAAGAACTACAATATGTTCACCTATATCTCTGAAGAATTACCAAAATTGATTGGAGAATTCTTCCCTGTTGATGTAAGCAGAGCTGGTATTACTGGTCACTCTATGGGTGGTATGGGAGCTCTTAACATATTCTTAAAGAACCCAGGTAAATATTTGAGTGTCTCTGCCTTTGCTCCTATTTGCAATCCCACTTAGTGCCCTTGGGGAGTTAAGGCTTTCACTAACTATTTAGGCTCTGTAGAAGCTGGTAAATAGTATGATCCAACTGAACTTATTGTTTAATATAATGGTCCCAAGGCTAAGATTTTAATTGATCAAGGTACTCATGACTCATTCCTTTACAATTAACTTCATCCTTAAAATTTCTTAAAGGCTGCATCTTCAGTTAATTACCCTGTTGAATTCAGATATCAAAATAACTATGATCACCTCTACTTCTTTGTAGAGACCTTCATGGGAGATCATTTCAAGCACCATGCTTAATATCTTCTTAGATGATTTAAAATATAAATAAATTAATATCTATAAATTTTCTATTACATGTTTTTTACTGTGTTGAATAGTATAAAAATGAATGAACTAATATTATTTTATTTGAATCTTATGAATACAATTTTAAAAATATAAAATTATGTGAAATAAAAAAAATTGAAATATCACTAACTTTAATCTTAGGTTATAATCATTAATTTAACATAGTATTTTTGTAAAAGTAAAAGAGTAAATAAAGCAAAATTGACATTAATAATTAATCAGATATCCACAAAAAAGTTAAGTATAGTTTGTTCCTTCCTTAACTTTCTACTAGTAATAGTCTTTAGAATTAGTGTTTTTGGATATATCGATATTCAATTCGTTTAAAGATCTTTTGATTTTTTTCTTAAAAAATTCATAACTAGTGTTTCACTATATATTTCATAAATTAAAGCATTTCCCCCATTTATTTGTTTTGTTTTTTAAAATTAATTTTCTTATTAATTAAAGTCTATAGATTAGAAAATAACTATTTTAAGAATTAGATTTTCTAAGATTTCTCAGTTCATATGAATCAAAGGAAGTTTATAGTCAATGAGCAGTTCAATTAATAAGTTCTAATCTAATAAGTTTACATGGATTTAATAATAATAAAAAACTAAAATGAAAGTAAAAATTATTAATTTTTTCTAGTCTAACACAAAAAATCTGCTAAGAAATAGAAAGTAATTTAGAAATATAAATTTTTTAAAAAAAATGGATGAAAATTGAAATGGAGATTTATAAAGTTAGATTTTTCTAAATAGTGTAATCATAAAGAAGAATACTTAGAGAAAGAAATTTAATCAATAAGCTTTTAAATGTACTTACTTTTATATGGAAATAGTAATAACAAATTAATATAGATGAAACCAATGAATGAGGTTATTTAATAGAAAAAAGAAAGAAGAAATTATGCATTAAATAAATATTAAATCAAACAAAATTAATATTAAGTAGAAATAAGGGTAATTGCAAAGCATATATTTGAAAATAATAGGGCATTCATTCGTAAAAATATAGTTTTAATGTAAATAAATCCTAATGTTAGGTAAATTAAGTAAATCTACTTGATTTTAATTTGTTGGATATGATCTAGTAAATTAATTTACTCATTGCACTCCTAATAATTTTTACTCAAAAAATCGATATAAATATCTATATTAACTTTTCCAATTAATGCTTCCAGTTTTCCCATAAATTTACTTCTATTAAAAATGATAATTGTTAAAAATTAAATAATTTATAAAAGATAATTTCAAAAAAATAATAACTATCTATAAGAGTCAAAAAGCTATCAAAAAGTCCATTGAAATTAGGAGTTTTTGAATATCTTTTTACAAAAGGTTAGCGAAAGCTAAAGCATTCAATTCACACAAAAAAAAGTAAATAATTAATAAGACGAATATTTGAAACTTGATAATAATTAATTTTTGAAGGCTCAAATGAAAAAAATTCATTTTTTATGCTTAATATTCCTATTTATTACTCGCGGGTTTAGTATCTTGCAGCTGATTAATTATAATTCAGATCATTTCCTTGATGAGTTTTTAATTTTGTTGATTATAATACTTTTGGAAAGAGTTGCCAATATTCTTTATTCATAATATTACATCTATTAAGCTTATCGCAACATCCAAATCAACATCGTCTAATTTATATCAAGTCTAGTTTTTCTTGATTATACTAATATGGGTATGCAAAGAAAAGAAGACCTACACTTTAGCCATTACATATTCATCAGAAACATGAATTTTACAGTTTACTTGTTGAGCGTTTTACCTCTTATCTTAAATTTTACTTGCATTCATTATACAACAGGAGAATAGATGTTTTTTGTTTATCCTCTGACAATATTTTTTTTATTATTTACTATGGCCTTTGTTTCTACTGTTTACATCTATGAGAATGAGTAGAATGTCAGCAAAAAAAAATATATAACTACCTTTTTAATTTAGTATTTAAGATGCTATTCAATATGGAACTTAACTTCCCAGCTTTTTTACAGAGTGAGTCTTTATTTGCTCATTTATTGCATTTCGGTCCTGCTAAGTACTTTTCTATTTTTTGGAATTACAAAAGAAGCTACTATTCCAAATTAATTGATGAATGCTTAAATAGGAAATAACAATAATTTTAACAATTTAAACATGTCAAAATACAAAGACAAAGCAAGATTTATCAAAGTTTTGATAACTCAGGCTCTAATGATGGTTCTTATTGAAAATATTTGGGCTTTTAGTGAAAAAACTTCAAAGAAACCTTCTATTAGAAAAATTGCATAATCTGTGGGTATTTATGCCTTTTTTTATATTTCTTTTATTGTAAAGATGAGTATATTTCATTATGAAAACGCGCTAGATTATCCTATATACTTGTATGGAGTACTTTGTCACATTGAAATATATTACTGCATAAAGAATATACTGTTTTATTATAAGTATGGTCCCTATTAAGATGCTATCCAATTGAAATATGAAGGTTCGATACGAGAATTAGATTTAGAAACGTCTCTAATCAAGAAGTATTAAAATAGAGTATTGCTCACTAAATTTAACTTAAACATTCAACTTGAAAATTCTTCTGCAATTGATGAGTTGAATTTGAACTTATTTGAATTTACAAAATAAATTTCCCATATCTTGTTCAAAATAAGCTAAAACTCATGCAGGATTTCTATAAATATTTCAAACACTGAAGAGTTGATTTTATATCGCAAAGATAATGAATTAATTTTTGGCATAAAGAGAAACGCAAACGACTTTACTATTAAATTTCTTCTCTCACTTTACAACAATATATAACAATATGATTTATACACAAAATCTAAAATATTAAACATCTACTTCACAAATAAGGATTAGCTGAAAAGAACTATTTTAAAATTAGAAAAGGTCCTAATACAAGACTATAACGCTTGTATCCAACCTAAAATTATTTTAAATTTTAAGGAAATAGAAATTTTCAACAAAATGAATTCAGCCTATCAATAATAATATTTAACTACTTGCTTATTTTACAAATAAATTTAGAACTTCCTTCCTATCAATCCAAATGCTGTTCTCTTTGATCTTTACGAATAAAATCCATTCTGATACCTACCAACTTACCTATGTATTAATCTAACTATACAATTAATTAAATAAATAAATATCTCTATACCAACTTATCCTCAAGCCTTTCTATCAAATAAACAAATAAATAAATAAATATAAATAATATAATAACATAATTTTTCATTTATTCAAATTAAACTACTAATAAATTTAAATTATATATCTTTCTCTGTGTATTTCATTTTTAATGTTAGCGATAATAAAATAATAATCTTGAACTTATTCATTTCTCTTTCATTTACAATTGCTGTAAAAATAAAAAAATATATTTACTTAATACAACGAATTATTAAACAGATAAATTTGTTTCATGAATAGCTCTCAAAATTATACCTTATTAGCATGAATTAATTAATTGATTTTATTTGAATTATTTTTTTTTCATGTGATAACTATCTCACAAATTGCTAATAGATACCACTAGAACTATTTTTAATAGTTAACACACATTTATTTAATTTAAATTTTAAAATTATTAGTTTATCTTCTTTAGTAATAGCATCATATTTTTTGCTTTTATCCTAATCATTTCTATAAATTTGTAAACAATTACTAGAAAAATTAATCAAGAGGTAGTTAGTTATACAACCTTAACCTAATTTTAGTGGCTAATTTTATTATCAATACTTTTTATCCTAATAAGCAATATTAAATACTAACTTAATCTCTTTCAAACAAAAAATATTTTACATTTTATTTAAAAAAAAGATTAGTAAGAAACCACTAACTTTTAGCTTTCGTTTGCTTTCAATAATAAAAATAAATTATTTTATAGTATATACTTAATTAATGCTATTAATGGTTATTATGCTTACAGATAATAATATTTATTTAAAAAAAATTATATTTTATTGGAACATCCTTACAGGCAGTATTTGAGTTTTTAACCATCTAAATTCTTTTTACATTTTAACTTCTCGACAAATACTAAATCTAAAATAAATTACTATGAATATAAATCATTGTTTTTATTAAAAATTCTTAATAATAAATTAGAAAATAAATTTTAATTTAAATTCATTTAATATTTGCTATTAAAACATGATATTTTAAATTAAACTTATTAAAAAACTTTTTGTAATATAATGAAAAATTCTAGAATATTTTTAATTTTATAATCTATGTAAGAATTTATACAATAAAAAATTGTTATAGATAAATATTTCATAATTCATCAAATTAATTCAGATCTGATCAAGTAAAAAATTGTTTAATTTTAATTAGATTTAGTAGAAAATTAATTTGATTTAATTCTAGATAAAAAAAATTTTTTTTTAATTGGTAAAATGGAATTTTTAAATCGATTTAGTCAAGATTTTTAAATTAAATTATTTTAATTCACACCAAACGAGCTTAAACTATTCTTTGATATTCATTTTTGGCTTAAAGAAGAAACAGATGAAGCCAAAATTGAAGAAACATTAAAAAAATTTTATCCTTAACACTTCTTAAAAGAAAATGTCTTAAATATTCCAAAAGACTCTGTATTTTTTTCACAAAACGAACCCCTCAAAGATAAAAACAATCAAATTGAAGATAAGTTTGATACTTAAAATGTGATTGAAAGGTTATATCAGTTTTTATAGGCCTGCGAGGAACCAAGTCTGTCAAAAAAAATAATATAGAATATAATAAATATAATATCTAGTGCTAAATAGGGTGAAATTATTAATATTAATTTTAATGAACTTAATTAATAGAATAAAAGCTTACTAGTAGAACTATTAAAAAGTATTCAGATCACTTAAATATAAAATAATTCTTTTTTGTTTTAGTCCAGCAGCTAAGCTACACAATATTTCATTCATATATCTAAGTAACTAGTATAAGATATAGATACTTCTTTTATTAAGGAAAACGCTTCGTAATAGATATTCATCTAAAATATGCTACAGTAAGAGAGAGTTCAAAGTTAGTACTAAGCATTAGAGAAAAGACAAATTTTAGACAAATAATCAAAATCCTTAGATTATATAATAAATGATAAAGATAATGACCCTTTAATTGATTTAGAAGAAGATCAATAAAAATAATAATAAGATGATGATGAAAAAAGAATAATTTTCAGCTAAAATATAAATGTCAACTAAAATTAGAATAAATTTGAAGAAGAATAAAATATTTAGCAATAATAAATGGAAATGATCGAAGAAATAAGTGATGAAGAAATTGAAGAAATTAAATAAAAAATAAATTAAGTGATGCAGACATGCTAATTAAAAAAATAATTTATGCAAATAAGCCATTTGATAATATTCAAGATGAATCCTTTAAAAGAAGGGGATAGTTTTGAGTTAGATTTAGATAAGTTTTAAAATAAAAATTAAATAGTTGAATTGCTTGAATCTATTGGAGTATTTAATATTTAAAATAATAACTACGGGTTGTTTACAACACCTTAAAAGTTTGGTTTTTTTAAGTAATTTGCTAAAAATTTAATTGAAGAAGTAGATGATAAAGCTCCTGTTTCTGAAATTTAGTAAAATTAAAATAAAGCTAATGAATAATTTATTTTTGAAGAGTAAAAATTGCTTGAAAATTTATATTTGGTCATATAAGCTTTTGAAGGTCAAGCTTAATCAGTAAATCAGATAAAGTTTATAATATAGAAAATTTAACAAATCAATGAAGGAGAGAAATTTCAATTAAATCTATCTTTGTTTTCAGATGAATAGAAAAGAGCAATTTTTTTACTTTTTGAGTCTTTAGGTATTTTTGAAATTAATGCCAATATCTTTTAGCTCTTTTCATCTAATTAAAATATTCAGCTATTTGTAAGCTTATCCAATGAATTGCTTAATGACATGTAGAGCTAAATTAATCAAATATAAAATGGTTAATAACCTATAGGAGATATTAAATAAATAAATGATAGAGCATAACTGACAAAACTTGCTCAGTAACGTAAAAAATAACAAAATTACTAAGATAGCCCTTAAACTCATGCTTAAATAAGCAGCCGAGAATAAATGGAAGAATATCGTAGAAATAAAAGATAAAAAGATTTAAATAAGAGCAGGTTTACTGGTAAAAATATAATGACTCTTGAAAGGCTAGAAGAGTTAGAAGAGAAAAAGTATGAATTTATGAATGAAAATCCCTCAGCCTAAGTACCTAATAAAGTTATAACTATGAGAGATATTGAAAATATGACAATAGCAGAAAATTTATAAAAATTTGGTAATGATTAAAATTAGGTTGTATAATATATATATATAAATATTTTAAATAATATCAAAAGGGAAGTAGGCACTAGAGTACACAAATTAATTTAGAAGATAAAATAATTTACCTGATTTAATTTGGAATAATTAGCTTACATTTATTGGAATGAAACATTCTTAAAATATGGCTGAAGGTTTAGTTCCGTTTGGTCATGATGGTTTTAACGACAGAGTTAGGTAAATTACATTTTCTTATAGAAGTGTTGCAGAAAATGTAGCCTATTGCAGTGCTGGATACAGCAATATTCCAAAAGTAAGAAAATTAAAAATAGAATATTTTTATATAGTATTTAACTTAAATAATAGACTATTGTAGATGGATGGATCAACTCTCCTGGCCATAGGAAAAATATGCTTTCGAATTCAAATGTTTGTGGAATTGCTGTTTACAGGTTTATTTAATTTTACATCTTTATAAAATATAATTTCTTTTAACTTTATAAAGGAATAACAAGGGATTTTGGTATTTTACTTAATTGTTTGCACTAAAGGTATGAAAATCATTGGAGGAAGACATAAATAGTTAAAATAGTTCCTATTCAGTAATTGGATGATTAAAATATTAAACTTTTGAATTTAAAATGGATTCAAAAAATATTTTGTTTTATATATATTTTTATGAATTAATTGTGAGTAAATTGATAAGATTGTGGGTCAATAATTAACTTATTATATCTGAAATAATTTTATTTAATTAAATTCAATAACTGAACAAGAATACATGTACATTCGATAAAAAAACTAAAATATATATAAATTTAAATACTTTCAATTGTCTTTAATTAATGCTTTTTTGTATTAAATTTTCATATTAATATATTATACTTTAAGACCTTTAACTAAAATAAGTACAAACATTTTAAGAGTGCAGATCTTAGCTAATGAGGATTGAGGTGTATCTTATTAAAAATGAAATTTTGTTAAATATTTTAAGCTAATTTTTTAACATTAAACATACTTAAAGTTGCTAAGGTAAATAAATAAAATTAATTGTTATAATAAATTAGATATGCAAAACATTTAAATATATAATGATATCATGTTAAATTATTGATTTTAACATAAGATTTTACAATGAAATATTAATCATTAATTTATAAAATTTATTGTAAACTATTTTTTATGGAATGAACTAAAATTTTTTTATTTTGAAAATTTAATTTTTAAATTTTATGTTGGTTGATATTTTATTTAAGATTTTTTAATTAAAATTAGGCTTTAAATAATTTATTTTAAAGAATTCATTTTTTATATAGGAGTTTTTAAAAAATTATAATTTATTGTCATTATTTCAAATAAATTCATTAACTTTTTTTTTGAGGGCTTGGTAGAGAGCTTTCCTAGTAATCTTCATAGACTGGCATCTAAAATTCAAATTAATTTGACTTAGAACCAACAATAAAATTACTATTTTATTTATAAAGATTGCTTATATTATGTTCAAAAACTGCATTGATCTTTACATCAACTATTTCATCATATTTTCTTTCTGTTGGAATCCCTCTTAAACATTTTGAATTAAGCATATCATTTTCTTCCTCTTCATATTCATCAGTTTCTTTAGTTTTTATATTATTTTTAGAGGGAATACGTACCTTAGAGTTAGATCGAGTTTAGTTTCTTGGTATATTTTAATCTTGTTGTTAATACTAAAATTTTTTATTTTTTTTCTCTGGAGAATCTTGGTTTTCTTCGTCATCTTCACCATCAACTTCGTCAATTTTATTAGCATTTATGTTAAAAGTGTTATTATATATTTATTATTATTACTATTTCAATAATCCATCTTATAATCCATTATTTTAACTTGTTTGAAAATTATCATTTGGTAGTTACTACTAATTTTCTTAATCCTCTTCAATATCATCTTTCAAAAATGCATTACTATTGACAGGTTTGTATTTCTAGCCTTTACTTTTTTAATCAGAATTAGTATAAAGCTAATTTTCTAATCCTTCTTTTACAATATTTTGTTTAGCTTAAATTGAGCTATTAGTTTGGTCTGGATTATAAAATACGCTGAGCTTTTGTCCTTCAATTCTTTAAAATATGAAAAATAAAAAATAACTCAAAATAATTATAAAAATTAAATAAAATTTACGATTGGATCGAAGGATCTTTTGGGTTGTTATCTTGAAAGGAGTATTCTTCATAAAAAAGACTAGGACTCTTTCTATAAGAATAAATATATATTTTTTTTATTATTATATATTATAAAAAATAAATAAAAATACATTCTTATGTTTGTTTCTGTATTATCTTCTTACCCTGAGTATTGTTGATTTGATTCTTCTAAAATAGTCCTTAAAGAGTCTCTTTTATTTTAGTTATTTTTAACATTTACAGTAAATGTAGTAGTAAGATTTGACTATTAGTTTTATTATACAATTTATTATTAGTTTTATTATACAATTTATTATTGTTAGCTTAATTGCTGTTGTTGATTAATAAATAGCTCGTGTTTGGAAGGTTACTCTTACAGGGCATTTACAATATTATCACCAGAAGATGAAGATGATGAATTCTTTTTATATTATTTTTTAATTGAAGCATTCCTTTTACGAGTAAGTGTAGAACTTTTTTCGTTTTTTTCAATATCTGTATCAACAATAAATGGATGTTGTAGAAGCTAATCGACATTCCATCTTTCTTCAGGTTTAATTTAAAAACAGTGTAATAAAAAATCTGAAAGTTTTTCACTTATTTATAAATTCTCTAAAAACTAAGGTGGTTATTTTAGTAAACCAACTCTTAGAATTATAGTTTCTGCTAAAAAGTTAGAAAAGGGAGGTTTTCCAGTAATCATTTCATAAACAGTGCATCCTAAACTCCAAATATCTGAGAATCTGCTATTACTAGATATATGTTGAAAATTATTTTAAATATTATTTTTAATACTTATTTCTTTTTTATATTTTATTAGTTAATAATTACCATGTTCCAGATCTACACACCTCAGGTGCCATCCAATTTGGCGTTCCCTATGGTAACTTTAACTATCCTTCGTCTATCTCTTAACTGATACTCTTTGCAAGCCCAAAATCTATTTTTTAATAAATCATGATATTCAAAAAAAGCTTTTAAAAATATACCTGCAAGCTTGCAAACTCCATCTGAATCCACTAATATATTAGCACCCTTAATATCTCTATGAGTAATTCCATGGTAGTGCAAGTATTATAATCCATATAATATATCCGTTGTATATTTTCTTATTAAAGGCTCACTAAATTTTCCAAATTTTTAAATTAATCTCCACAGCGATCCACCTAATTTTAGGTTTTATATAATATTTACAAAAATATTTTAGAGAAAAATCTATGCTATTTACCGGAAACATACTCACAAACAATACCAATATGATCTTTAGCTTTATGCTCTTAAATTCCATAGTATCTTACAATATTTTTATGTCTCATTTATTTTAATATTTTTACTTCGTCAATTATAGACTTGTATTTCTATTTCATCAAACATAAAATATAAAATATTTTTTTTTTGTAAATTTAGATAATTAATAAATTAATTAATTACTTATTTTCTATCATATTACGTTTCTATCAATTTTACTGCAACGATTTCTCCAGTGTTTTTGTTATGACCTAAAACAACTGTTCCAAAAGTTCCTTTTCCCAATATTTTATCATCTGTTTTGCCAGGTATCCATTTCTATTTACCCATTTAACTTTTTATTAAAATATTATAAATAAATTAATAAATTAACATAAATTTTCTTTATTTTTTTATAAAATTTATTTATAAGAACTATTTATATATTAATACTTCTCTAACTCTATTTGCTCTTTTAACTGAGTCTCTTCATTAACCAAGTATTATTAAACTTTTATGTACTATTCTCTAGTGAAATAAGCATCACTATTTTCTTTTTTAAATTGCTCTTCTTCTAAATTAATTTATGGAGTAACAGGAGCTGCTTTTTCAAGCTATTAAATTTTAATAATTTACATTTAGCAAAAAAAATATTGATTTTACCTAAATTTCATTACTAATATTGCAAACTTGTTTCTCTTCCTAAGTTTTTTGTGTTTTAGGAGATGTTGGAACTATTGTTTCTTCTTATTTATTGTTTATTGACAAATTTTATTATGGTGTATTCATATCTTAAATGTTGTTATCTAATTCTATAAAAATGTATTTGCTTAAATTCTTAAAATTGTATTCATACTTTAGGTTAAATTTGATGATTCTTTATTTTACATTTATTCTGGAGATATCATATTTGATTTATTTTCTTTTTTTTATTTTGATTTAGCGCATGAATTAGAAAAAGAAGATCCCATTTTTGCAAAATAAAATCAATTCTAAATTTCTTTAGCTAGTAAATATATTTTATTATAAGCTGTGCTTAGCTAAAATGGTTTAAACTTTCTTTATAATAGACCTAAAATTTCTATTATGTCTTAAGTTAAAATGCTAAGTAAGAATAATACAAAAAAGCAACCTTTTTTGAAATAAATTCTACTCAATTAAGCTCTATATTTTTTATTAATGTTTGATTTAGTTATAAATTTAATATATATTTTAGAAATTATCCTTCTCCTAAATTATTAATCACAATTTATTTTAATGGCACTAATTAGATATAAAAAATATAGTAAAATTTTAGAATATACTTATGTAAAAGCAGGCAATAACGCAAATATAATAGATAAGTTTGAAATTAACATACAAAATAAACTTTCATGCTTAAAAATTTCTTGTTCTTTTTTTTGAGTTAAATATTGAGATCAATAGTATAGCATATAAATTAATTATAGATAGATAGATTTATTTATAAATTCGTAATAAACAAATACAACTTTTATAAACTATTTCATTTTTTACGTCCTCTTTAAATTATTTTTTTAGGAGGTCTTCCTTTTTTTCTAGGCATATCACTTGTTTATTCTGATTTATAAGAGCTTGATTTATCTTTTACTATTTTTTTCTATTTAGGTATTTCTTTTTTCTTTTGTGTATTTGAATCATTACTATTAGTTCTTTATGACCTTCTTGTTCTCACTCCATTAGCAGGACTTTCTTCACTTTCTTATTGTTCTCCACTGTTCTCACTCTCTTGTTCCTCATCTTCATCTTCATTTTCCATAGATTAATCATCTTCATCTTCTTAACTTTAATTTTCAGATTTTTCTTAATCTTCTCCTTAGCTTTCATCGTTTTACTGGTTTTCATCATTATCTTCTTTATCTTGATTGCTTGAACTGTTAATATCTTTATCATTACTATTGTCTTCATCATCTATTTATAGCTTTTCTTTCTTTTTACCAACTTTTGTTTTCTTCTAATCAAAGTCTTCATCTTCATCATCATAATCATCAGAAATATCTTTTTTCTTAAGGTTACTCTTTTCTTTCTTTCTTTTTCTCTTATCTTCTTCTTCATAATCTTCTTCATCTTAATTTGTTTAGCTCTTATCTTTTTCTTCATCATCTTCTGAATTTTCTTAAAGTTTGCTTCGTAAATTTAATGATTTTTTGACCTGTATTTTGTTGGATTCCTTTTTATCTTCTTCATCTTATCCTTGTTATTTGTTTTCTTCTCCACTGTTTGATAAATGCTGTAAGTGTCTGGTAAATCTTGTTCTTAATGGTTTTTATATGATTTTTTGTTTTTTATTAGGGAAATTCGAACTTTCTTAATCTTCTGATTCAGTCTCCTCGTTTTATTATTTCTGTTAATACTCCTCTTTTCTAGGTCTACCTCTTCTACCTGTCTTTACTGGTTACTTTTTGACCTAGAATTCCTCATCTTAACTATCTTCTACAACTTAGTTTGATTCTTCATCATCTTCTACTCTTCGTTTTGATATTTTTGATTATGTTTAAGATTGTTATATTTTTGAATCCGTTTCTTAAGCAATAGACTGTTTTTCTTTATCATCTACCTTTGATGCACTTTCTACCTCCATTCCTTCTGCATTTTAACTATTTTCATTTTATTAATTTTACTAGTCTTTATCATTCTATTAATTTTATGCAGACTCTTCGTCGATCATTTATTACTTTTCATCTTTTTTAGCTAATGGTTTTCTACCTCTCTTTCCTTAGACAATAGATTTATTTTTTGGAGGTCTTCCTCTTTTGCCTGAAGATTTTTTAGCTACACTTCCGTAATCTTCATCATCTTCATCATCAACATCAAATTAATCTTCGTCATCTTCCTCTAGATATTTGTCCTTTTTTTTATTTAGATCACTTTTAACTGCTTTAGAATCGACAGATGTATTTTTAGTAATATGAAGGGACTCTTCATCCATTTTATCTTCTTTTTAATTATCTTCATCGTTTTTTATTTTAGAGTTTCCTTCATCACCTTCATCATCCCCATCAGATTAATTTTCCTTAATGTTAATATCATCTTACATTTATGCTCCCTCTTCATCTTTTTCTTTATCTTAATCTCCAATATTTTTAGAAGAAGCCCTTATAAGTGATTCACTCATACTTTTTGGTTTTCTGCCTCTCTTTTTCCCTTAATATGTTTGCTTTTTTGGAGGTCTTCCTCTCCCCCTTCTAATAACTACACTGCCATCAGTGTTAGATTCTTAATCACCTTCATTTTAAGCACCTTGATTACTTTCATCCTCTTTTTCAATATTATCTTAATTTGTTGCATCTTTTGTGTTTTATGTACCATTATTTATTCCGTTCTAACTTGCTTAATTATTAGCTTATTGCTCAATTTCCTAGACTGATTTGTAAAAATAAAAATAAATCTTTATTTATGCTAAGTATAAATACTCTTTTTGTTAATTGCTTATAAGTCATCTTCATCATCACTATCATCTTCGTCCTCAACATCACTAGAAACTATTTCACCTCTTTCTTTTCTCTCCTTTTTTTCTTTTTTTCTCTTTTCTTAATCTTCGTGCCAAGCTTTAGATTTTCTTCCTCTTCTCTTTTATGGTAAAACTTCTTCTTCTTACCTATAAACAACAATACCAGCAAGAAAACTAGCAAAGAGGTCTTCTAATTTTTCATTTACAATTTTTAAATTACTTTCTGTTAGCTCTTTCATTGTTGGAAATAATTTCATAAGAGCTATCTTCAAAGAGTAAATACTAGTAAAATCCTAAACGCTTAACTAAAATAGAATTTATTAATTATAATGTTAAACGATCTTTATTTTACTAAATTTGTGTAATCCTTCACATAGTCACCTAATAGAGGGAAGTAAGATAGACATATCTCATAATATTAAACTGCCTAGGCTACTCTCCATTAAGAAAGATCTAGCATATCCCTAGTATTACATTTATTGAATAAGTTTAAACTAATATTTACAAAAAAGAAATTACAAGATATAGAAAGCAATTTTACATTTTTTACATTCAAAACTTGGGGCATTATTTACATAATTGCAATTTTTACAACTCTAAATTATAAATAATCTTCTTAATTAATGCCATATTTTTAAATTTATATTACACGTCTATCCCTAATATATGATGCCTTTCCAATAGGTTGTATTTAAGAATTAGAGGATCTCCTCATTTCATCTAATTTACGCTGTCTAGCAGTTTTTTTTTAGTCTTCTTCTTATTACTCTCTTAGCTAGCTTTATAATTTTGATTCATTTAAACCATTAATTTTGGAACTATTTGCAATTCCTTCTTTTATATCTTCATCTAATTCATATTCTTCATCATCATTTTTTTAATCTTTATTCTTTAACCTTGGATTATATGTGTTTCTTTCTACGTAGTCGATAAGCTATAAAATTAATTATAATATTTTTTCTAAAATTTAAAATATTTTTTGAAGTTTTGCTAAAAATAATAAATATTTTAATTCATATAAACTAAATTAATTATTTAAAGAGTATTTAAAAAAAGATTTTTACTTAGTAAATCAGAGAAGATTTTAGCCTAGTCCTGTTTATTTCAGGAAGATTCAATGTATCACATAACTCATTAACAAAATCTTCTACTGAAACATTTTCGTCATTTAAATTCCAATCAAATCTATCCTTTATAACTAAATTTTCGTTGATCTCAATATCTAACTATTTAATTGAATATTTTTATAATTTATGCAATACATCATATCAAAAATTAAATTTGTCTAATAATTTGAAGCGAATACTACTAGATGCCTTATAAAAAAATTTTATTCTTAAAATAGTTAATTACTTCAACAGGTACAAACTTTCTTTCTTCTGATAGACGACTTATTTTAATTTTTGGTTTTTTATAGCTCTTAACATAAACAGTAGAATTCTAAATTTCTTCTAATTTAGACTCATAATTTTCTAAATAAGTATCTAAATGTATCATATCTTTAAAGTAACTGCTTATACCTGCAATATATTTTATAGATCTATGTAAATATTTGAGCTAAAAAGCTATGAAAATTATTTTTACTTGTTAAACCTGTTTTTATCTTTGTTATTAATTTATACTTATTTACTTAATTATTACAAAAAGACCGCCTTTAATTAATAATTTTTATTAAATTAATAATCTAGATAACAGTCATATTCGCAAAACAAATCTCTAAAGCATACATATTTCTTAAATTATTGTATATTAATATCTAAATATCTTTATTCATGGATTTTAATTCTTAAAATATAAATAATTTACTGTCTTCTACCTTTTTTCAAGATATTTCAGACATTTTCACTAGATTTTCTTAATTAAATCCTAATTTTTTCAGTTTACTTTTTAAAAAATTTACTGAATTATGTAAGCAATTTCCAATCTTTTACCATTTTATCCATTAAAATTTTTAATTTTTAAAATTTAAGTCATTTAAATAAAAATTCAAACATTTTTTAAAGATTTGGTTTTATTCAAACTATTTATGTTTAAAAATAAAATTAAAAATAATTTCATTTATACATACAAATTTAATTTTTGCTATTGTAATTACCAAAAATAAGATTGTAGTTAAATTCTATTTTTAAAATTGCTTAAAATTCTATTTTAATCAAAAGATTTTCAACAAAATAATAATTTTAATTAAATAAAAATTAAATGTAATAATAACAAGAAAAAATTTAAATAATTCTTTTCTATTGTAACAATTAATAGAAAGGATTAATAAAAATAAACAAATTAATAAATTTACTTTTTAGTTGTGGATAATAAGTGCTTGTTTGTGTTATTAAAGAAAAACGATTAATAATTAGATTTTTTTTTAAAAACAGTAAGTTAATAATGAAATTAGACATGATAGTACTGTATAAATTTTAAATTATTTATAACATATTATTTTGAAAAAAAGATGATTGTTACAGACTTTAACACATAAAATAAATGCAAAAACAAGATTAGATCAAGCAAGATTTAAACAGTAATAATATAAAATCAAAATGTGGCTTAGATTACAGGAAATAAAAATACTAAATAGAAAAAAAGTTAATTTAGATAAAATTGAGAAAGACGTATTAAAGTAAGTTATTTTTCTCAAAGGATTTCTATGAATAATTATCGTTTATAGAGAAGTAAATTAAGAATTGTAAAAAATTTGTATATAAATTATTAATTTAAATGAAGAATAACCTTTAAATATTTGATATTTATTAAATTTAATAAAATTTATGAATATAAGGAAGACAATTAATTGTATATATTTATATATACAGATAGATATTATTTTTATATTAGTTAATTAAGAAATAAGCTGAGTTAACAGAAAAATAGGATAACTACTATAAATGTTCATTTTATTAAAATTGCTTGTTTATTAATATTTATAAAAGTGAGAGGCGTTATTTATTTATTTTAAATGAGATAGATGAGTGATTTTTCTTATAATAAGAATAAGAGGTTAGGAAGTTTTGAAATTGTAGATATTTGTTTATTATCAAATATTTTTTTTTAATTTTCAAAACATGGTATTTTAATTTTTTAAAGCATATTACTAATTGAATAATCTGCTTATTAAATGCATATTTTGCAGTCTCAAGCTAGATAAAAGAAGTTGTCTATTTTAAATATATTTAGCAATTAATTTTTTAGTTTTAGGAAGAGTTAGAACTAATTAGCTCAAATAAGAAACTAAGCTTTCCAATTATTATATTTTTTTTGAGTATTTATAATAAAAATATGAGATTTAAGATAAGAATGTATAATTATTTATTTGTAAGCATAACTTTGATTTATTATTGAAATTATTAATTGATAGGTTTCCTGCTTTACATACTGATAATTCAAGTAAAGTTATTTCAAGTTATTATTTATCAGTCATCTTACAGGTTTATAAGGGTTTTCACCATAAATTAATTAAAGGAGGTAATAGTATCTTGTTCTTAATCTAAATCATCTAATTCTGCTACAGTTGAAGCGCTGATACCTTTTCTCAATGATTTTCTGATTTTTTAGATCTTCTTCAAATCATCGCCAGTGATTTTTTAATTCTATTTTAAAGTAAAATTATTTTTTAGTATAAATGATTAATAATATAATTTGAATGAGTGGTCTAAAAATTAAAAAAAATTATTACAATCCAAGGATGTTTAAGTGCTTGTAAAGCAGTTAGTCTTTTAAGAGGATCCTTTTCAAGTAAAGACTCTAAGAAATGAAGTAATAAAGGATCATGGTTATCTTAATTTTTATAAAACTCAAGAGGATCGTGATTAATTATGTTAGAGATAACTTGCTTGTCGCTATTTTAATTAAAATTAATGTTCAAAATATATTTATTGGGTATTTTTATAAATTTACCTATTATCTTAGAATGGAAGATAGCCAAATATTAAAGCAAACAAGTTAACACCAAGTGAAAATATATCTATAGAGTGAGAGTAGAATTAGCCTTAAAGCATTTCAGGGGCTTTAAAATTCAAAGTTCCTGTGTTGGTGAGTAGCTTTTAGATGGTAACAATTTTGGATACAGTAAAGTCTATTACTTTTACTTATTCAGAAATAGGATCATACATAATATTGTTGTAAGATAAATCGCGATGAATAATTCCTTTGGAATGCATATGAGCAATAGCTTTTAAAGTTTGCTTAGCAACACTGGCTATTTCTCTCATAGAAAACTATCTTTTGTTTTATATGTAGTATCCTAGAGGTTTTCCTTGAGCATATTCAGATACAATGTAAGCTTTCTTTTTGTCTTTTTCAAGGAAAAAGCTGTCATACTTAATTATATTTTTGTGACTCAGTAAGCTCAACACCCTTTCTTCTTGCAATATCTAAATTTAATTAAAAATATTACTTTTAAAAATAGAACTATTTAAAAAAAAGAAAAATTGAGACATAATTATTATTTCAACTTTTTAATCAAAAAATTATCTAGATGAATAAAATTAACACTAATCTTCTCTTTTTTTTCTTTCTTATTCAAAAAATTTTTTGTCTAAATTCGCTTAATAACTCATAAAAATCAATCAAGCGAAAAAGAAAAGAAATGAGCAGCTTTAAGCTTTTTTTTTGAAAATTATATTTTTTTAATGATAAACTTTCTTTCTCAAATAAGTTCTACCTTTATTCATTTTATCTTCTATTTTCGACCACTTGTATTCTTTGATTTTGCATTTAAGTTCTGTCTCAAAAATATAAAAATTTAAAAGAGATGTTAAGGTTACATTTTTATCACCCTTTAAAATCTTCGTGATGCTTACGAAATTTGTAAAAATTTAAAATCTAGATAATTAATAGATGGTAAAAAGATAAATTAGATTTTTTATCCTTAAGATTTGAATGATTTTATTTATTTAGCTGGTTCAGCTTTCTCATTTTCATACCAGAGTAACGTATTTTTATTTAACTCCAGCTACTTTTTTAATTTTTTTTGTGGTCGAAATCAAAAGGATTTTTAAAATTAAAGGGTGTTAAAATCTGATAAAAATACTTTTTTCGTATCCTCTAAATGAATTTAATAATTGCTTATTTGTTGAATGTTTAATTAATTACCTCAAATAAGTATTCTGGATCTTTGTAACTAATGATTTTGACGGCAAAGCTCTAAAGAGGAGAATCCTCTTTTTTCTAGCATCTACGGACAATTGAGTGGCAACCCTATAAAATATTATATGTTAATGTTAATAAAGTATAATTTTTAAACAATCAATATATCTTTCTTTTTCTATCTCTATCTCATTTTATAATTTAAAAATTTAAAATGCTTGATTAATTTTTTTACATTTTTAAGTAAATAAAATAAGAATATAAATTAATTCATTAAATTGATTGGATTTGGGGTAATTTATTTATTTGATTGTGCATTCATATTTAATAATTTAAAATTTACTTCTCCAAGTTTTTCATGCATATGAAACTTTTCTTCAAATTTTTCCTTTTTGATAATTGAAGGCTATTGAACATTAGGAATTTCATTTTTAGAACATGTAATAAGTCTCAAAGATTCTGGTTTAAATGACTTGAAAAAGCTGGATCTTCTTTTAGCAAATTCATTTCTGGTTGCGCTGTTTGTGTTCGTTAAAGAATCATCTGTTGAGTCATAGTCATTAGAAGAATCTATCTCAGGGTCCATAATATCACTATCTTCTAAATTATAAGGATTTCTAATGTTCAAATTAAGACGAAATCCAAAACGAGATTTTTTTGATTCACAAGGAACATGAGTTGATATATATCCAGATGTGAATGTATTAGATTTTTGTCTTGGAGCAGGGAAATCATCTTCATCTTCTTCTTATTCCTCTTCTTCTACTTCAGTTGATTTATTTTCGATTTATTGATCCTATTTTTAAAGTGATTCCTTACTTTCTTAGTTAAAAGAGGACTTCTATTTGCCTTAATCTTCAATGTTAGAACTATAATTGAAGTTAGTTTCTTATTTATCCTATTCATACTACATAGGGGATAACTATAATCCAAATACTTTTTAAGAATCAAAATCCTACTCTATTTGAGAGTTTGTGTGTATGCTTTATTATTTGTTCTAGTTTAAAAATGTTTCACTGTTAATTTTTGAATCGCTAAGTGTACTAGCAGTAGTTTATTGCTCATCGTTAGAAAGCATACTAAGATGATTAAATGTGTTTCTTAAATGGATAGTAGCCATGAAATGAGTGGTAAATTTTTAATATTGTAATTAGCAGTTTATAATGTTATTTCAAGTAAAATATTTTCCTTGTTTGTTTATGAAAAGTGATAGTTTTTTCTATTTATCAAATATTTTATTAAGCTTTTGCAGCCCTTTGTTAATTATTAGATAAGGTTTTTATTGTTAAAGGTTAACCTTTTTTTTTGATTGTGTTTTATTTTTATATTAATAAATATATTACATGATTTTGTGTTCCTTAAAGCTTATATTATTTGTTCTAAGCTATTAAGAAATTAATTAGTTAATTAACTATTTACAAAACTCAACTTAATCAAAAAAGGGAGAAAGAAGGCAGTCACTACTTTTTTAATTAAAGATTTGTTTAATATCATCTATTTATCTATCTATCTATCAATCAAATGATCACCAATTGACTGAATTTGGTAAAAAAAAATATTGAATTTTTCTTTTTCATGCTTTATCATTTTTGACTAATTAAAAATTATTAAGCATAACCTTTTATTTTCTGACTTCATTTCACACACTATCATTGAAAAATTATCAATTAATAATATAGTTTCATATTAAATTACAAATGCTCCTTAAATTTATAATTAATACTCTCTTCAAAATATATTTGCAATAATAGGTCATTAATTTTAAAATCAATTACATAGGTCTTTATTCATTTCTTATTATTACTTTTTGTTAATTTCTATTTTCATTACTTTTCCATCTCATTTTTTTTACACTAACTTAAATATATTATATTTTTTCTCATAATCAAATTTAAAATCCTAACCAGTAAAAAAATCAATTTTTTGTAATTTAACATATTTGCATTTTACGTATATGTGTTAATTGATTTAACATTTACTTAATTCAACTTTTTTATTTTTGAAAATCCCAAACACTTATATTTCCAAGCAGTATTTATTAACAATATTTACAAAATTAATTTTCAGCAGATCTTCAAAAAACTTTAAATACTAAAATCTTTGTCTGATTAATGAGCCATAATCTTAAATTAAAATAAAATGAACTAGTAAGTAAATAACCTCAACTAAAAATAGTTTAAAATAAAACCTGAAATTATGAGAAATTTTCCCATCTTAATCAGAAAAATTAATAAAGTTTACTTAAGTTAAATCAAGTAAAAATATTTACTCTTTTTTAATGTAAAAGAGCAAACAAAAGAACATTTTTTTGGAAACACATTTAAAACTGGTGGAAGAAATTTGCTTGAATTATATATCTAGTTGGATAAAATATAAGTAATACAAATATGATATTTTTAAATTTTTCATACTCTTTCATAATTAAATATAAATACTACGTTATTTAAATTTAGTCAGTCGAAGCTCCGTTCTATACTCAATCATGCAGTAATTTTTCCATTTATTTCTAAAACTGACTAGTATTAAGTTAACTATACATTTATATTATTTTCATATTAAATTTAATTTACAGCTGTTCCCTATTTAGAAATAAAAAAGAAAAGAAATAGATTAAAATATATGAAATAGAAAATATCTTCTCATTATTTTATCTATTTTAATTGAAATATCAAATCTTATTTCAACAGCCTCAATTTTTTTAAGTTGCATAAATAGCAAAATATACTCTTAAATACTTTGTAAAAAATTACTTTATGCTAAGCATAAGTTAATTTATTTTTTTTATCTATATAAATTTTTTTTAGGTTTTTTGTTAAAAAAATGGAAAAATTCATTTATTACCTTCTTATATCAAGATTTAATAATCATTACTTAGATCATTTGAGGTAAATCAGTGAAAGTTATGTATTTTAAGAGAACCTTTCAATTTTTATGATTTAAACTTTTAAGATTTTTTAAAAATAAATCAGATTAAATTATAAATTTTTAAAATTTGTCTTCTTCAGACTAAGATACTAATATTTTTAAAAAAATGAAGTAAGTGTATAATATATCTTTTATAGTAAAAAAATACTTCTTAGTTTTTATTAAATACTACTCTTTATTAATTTATATAAATTAAATAATTTAAATAAATTCAAAATTCTAATTTCTATTCTAATGTTGAAAGAATTAAAATTTATATGCTTAAAAATTAAATATATTTTTAAAGAAGAAAATAAGTATTAAAAATACATCTTAAAATATTACTTGCAATTCAAAAAAAATAAATATCTTCAATAAATCTTTACATTAAAAAACTTGATATTACTAATTTTAATTAAAATACAAAAATAATTAAAAATAAAGTTAACTAAAAATCATAATTATACCATAATATTAATAAAATTCAGTAAAAAAAATGTTTTTAATAAAACCTAAATAAACTCAGAATTTATATTTTCATTTTTTAAGTTAAATATCATTTTAATAACAAATTATAATAACCTTAATAAAATAAATTATACAAAATTCTAAATTTAATTTAATTTTTATAGAGTTTTATTTAACTAATTAAATTTTTTTATTACCTAAAAAATATCAAAAAAGGAATAAATATATTGACATTTTAAAAAAACAATCACATTTAAAGTATTTCAATAATCTAACTTCTAATAAATAAATATAACTTTAAAAAAGTTAAAATACTTCTAATTTATCTTCAATAATTCAAATTCGATACTTTTAACAAATAGTATATCGAGTGGCTAATATTAAAAATAATTTTTAAAATAAATTTCTAATTTAATAGATTGATAAAATCAAAGCAATAAAAAAAAATGATCCCACAACTAAGTCTATGTTATAAAATAGTATAATTAATTATTAAAAGAATTTAAATATTAGGAAACTCAAAAATCTAAAATTTTTTCTTTCATAAAAGATAAAGCTAAAAATTTTTTAATAAAAATCTTTATTTTAAAAAATAAAAATATTAATCGAACTCAACAATTATTTTCAATTTTCAGTTCAATAATAAATAATTTTAAAAAATTAGATGATTCATTATTTTTTCAAAACTAGAAATGAAATGCTTTTACAAATCTTTATTTGATTTTATTTTTATATATTTTTGTAATATTAATATTACCTTTTATAAGAATAAGTTTTGAACTTCATAATATAGTTTCTCAAATTCAACATGGTTTTAATTATTTAAACTGAGTGAAAAGAATATATTTTCTATTTAATTTCTATCTTAATACCGATATAAACTCATAAATTAAGATTTTAATTAATTCTATGATAAAAACTTTTTAAATAAAGATAGAAGATTTTTAATTTGTTTGTTTGTTTCTATAACTATAAAATTAAAATGTTAATTTAATATAATATAATTCAGTAATACATTAGAAATTTGAAAATTGAAATTATTTTTTTGTAGATATTCTCAAAAAAGTGTGTTACTTAGATACAACTTGTATAAAATGAAATCCTGCAAATTACATAAATAAAATTATTTGTTTATTATTTTCAATATGCTTTACATAAACTAATGTTAACATTGTTAATGGCTGTTTAAGCAGATGATTACAAGCTAATTTCCAAATTTTTCTATGAGGCCTTATTTCTGTTAATAATGAATTTGATATTCTAGAAAGTTGTATAGCCTGTATAAGAAAATGTACTGTTGACTGTTTCATTATAAACTTTTTCTTCATTTTTATTGCCATCATTAAAAGTAGCATTTACTGTAATTTAAGGCTCGTTTGAGCTTGATTTGATATGGTAGTTCAAACTTACTATATAATTTCCGTTGTTAAGCATTTTGAAGTCAGCAACTTTAAGAGCAGAGGTAGACAAGGAGCTACTGCTAAAATCTTAAACCAAATTATCAGTTAGAGAAATGCAAATATCCTTCATTTCTTCTCTGATTTCTTCAACTTCAATATTCATGTTTTTAAGAACTTGTAAAGTTGGGTCATTCTCTGAATCACATATCAAAACTAGATGAACTTCTTCAGAAATTAGAGGTAAAAATTCATGATTAACATTAACTTTTATAATCATTTAAGCATCAGCATTGATTATTTCAGCTTTAATGTTAGATTAAGTGCCTTCTAAAGCAACTGAAAAAGTTTCAGGTTTTAACTTTTTCAATACTATATTTTCACTGCTATATTTTTGATGAGTTCTTCTGTTTTCGCATTCCATTTTGATAGTATTATTTGACTATTCTAAAATGTAGAAAATATATTCTCCACTCTTTATTCTTTTTTGGCCTGGTGTGATGTTTTGATCTTCCATTTTACTTTTTTATTTTTAGGTATATAAATTATGAATTTGATGAAGTTTTAATAAACAAGTTAATTATCTTTTTTTTTTTTTTTCGTTTTTATTCTGATGACAAAGATTGGTATATAATTGTAATTAGAAAAGAAACAAAAAGTCAATAAATTAATTATTCTATGGTTGTGTCCCATACAATTATTATTAATAGATGTTATCGTTTATCAATCTATTATAAAAATTGAAGAAGACTCTTTAACTCTGATAAAATCTGCATCTTTTCTTTCATAGACAATACAATTTCAAACTATATAAGTAATGATCAATCTCTTTAAAATAAAATTCATATAAATTATTAAATAGGGAATAATCAGAAAAAAAATTGATATTATAAAATAATTATCAATTTATAAGTTACATTTAAAAGTTTTATTTCAAAAATAAATTAATTCAATAATAATCTATTTTGGTAGATAAATTCAAATAAGATCAAATTTTTACTTCTTTTTTAAAATTTTATATAATAATGATTTTTATTTTTATAAATTTAAATTATCCAAATGTTTGAATTAAATTATTTTGCTTAAAATTATTTTTTTTGATCAAATAAATTTTAGATAATTCATTTTGTAATTAATTTTAAAATGATTCAATTATTCGAATAAATTAAATTATTCCTATTATTTAAAAATGAATTAAATTACCTTAATTTTTAAAAAAATTTGGAACATTTATACATATTTAAAGAGAAATAATAAACAGTTAATTAATAAGAAAGATTTTAAAATATTTAAATTCATTCCAACTATTCGATGTCATGATCTATTTCATTTAAATTATATATTTTGTTATCTTGCTATGTCTTTTTGCTTAGCCTTAAAGCAAGGATCTCTGGATCGATATCTTCATCAGGGAAGTTGGCATCGATATTTTTAGATTCTGGGTAGAAAGTTTTATCATATATAAGAGTTAATATTTTTTCATTATTTAAGAGTTTGTCAATCATAATATCTCTCTTATCACGAATAACTTGAGATTCTTAACTATTTAAAATTACTCTATTTTCTCCTTTCAATTAAATGATTTCCTCTTTGATATCTTCTACACTTTTTCTAATAATTTTTTCTAAATCTGATTTTTGTAACAATTCTTTCACATATGATTGCTTTAATTCTCTAATTCTTTTTTATTCTTGTCTTAATTGGGCTTATATTTCTTTAATTTTTTTTTCATTTCTATTTTATTTCAATATTAAAATATTAGAAGTTGTTTTATTAAATTTTTAATTTTACATTTACAATTGGAGGCTACTTTGATCCATATTAGGATTGTTTACAATATTGTAATTTTATTTAAACTATGTACTTTTTTATAATTGAGAGGTATCTTTTTAATCGCTGTTTTGCTGCTATTGATACTTTTTCATCACCCCTTCATAATTAAAATAGTTTATATACTCCTATTTTATATCATCAAAATAAATAATAGTATTTTACAATTCGTAGATTTTGTGGTTCTTATTCTAATATTTTAAGATTAATTTAATGATTTTTTTTTTGAAGAAGCTACAGAAATGTCATCCTATTAAGATTAATTATGATTGGATTATTGTAAAAAATTATTCTAATTATCCAAATGTGAAATCTAATTTTTATTTCTTTCTTCTTGTTCCTCGTTTTCTTCTTCTTTTTGAACTTAGCTGAGCATTTTTTCATAATTCTCAATTTAACTTTTCAAAATAGCATTTTATTTTTTCTTCATAATGAGTTCTCTATTTAAAAATTAGATAAAATATAAAAACTTTTAATTAAAAAGTTTGATTTTAAAGGTAAAAAATACATACTTTAGGAGCATGTCTCTATCGTTCTCTTAGGTTTAATATTGAGCCTATAAGTCCATAAATTTTTTCATCAAATTTATATTTTCATTATCAATTTTTTAAGCTATGTTCTCAATCCATTCTAATTCAGATATAAGTTAATTTTCTCTTTAAATGTAATCTTGATCTCTATTTTTATAAGTTTGGTAAATTTATTATCAATAAATATTCTAAATGTTTTTATATTTTGCTAAAATCGTTTACTTTTTTCCCTTTTTTATACGTTCATCTTCAAACTATTTCTTAATTTCTTAAATTTTATCATTAAAAAATCTTATAACTGTTTTCTCTTAATCAATGAGAACATTAGATGTTTTAACTTGTAGTTTTGAAATTCTATCTAATATTTCTTGATGGTATCTAGTAGCTAATTCCATCTTTTTTGCTTCATTTAAATCAAGAACTGCCTTTTATCTTATTTCATTTTACAGTTCTTCAATAATCTTTCTATATTCCAACTCTCTTTGGACATATCTATCTTTCCTATTTTCAAGATCGTTTTTTAATTTCTCATTTTCTTACTTCTATGTTTCAAGTAGCTGCTCTATATCTAATGCTCTTTATCTAACATCTTCTGAGCTCATTTCTGCTTTCATTGGAGGTAATCCTGTAGTAATTTCTTTACAATTAAAAAATTATTTACTATTTGCGCTTAAATTAATGATAAACAGTAACTTTCACATAACTATATTTGAGTATAAAAAAGATTACCTCTTATTTTTTATAGGTTTTTGTTATTTATATTTTATTACAAGACTTCATTTTTATTTTATATTGCAGATATTTTGTTTGTGCGCAGAACACTATCTTAAGGAAGAACTTTTATAAAAATAAAATTATGGATTTAATTTATTATTAATTTTATATCAAATTTACATTTTGATATCTCTGGGGTTACACTTATCAATCTATCTGCTATTCTTTACATCCTTTGCATAGCATCTGAGCTCTTAATATAAGTCGCTTCATCTACTTCTCTTCCTTCGCGCTACAATATCATTTCAGTAATTAACTTATTTGCTTATTGTTATTGGCTAAATATGAATTTTTACTTGAATAACTTCTATTAAGCAACTTATTTTATAAATTAATGGTATAAATAATTTTTTTAACAATATATTAGCTTTTTTTGAATGAAAATTATAAATGAATAAATAAATAAGTAAAGTATGCACATATATATCTATCTATAATTCAATCTTTATTTATATAAAATACTATATTTTGATTAGTTATAATTATTTCAAAAAATGATTTATTTATTTATTTCAGCAATAAGACTTTTTTTTTTGAAAATTTATTGTATCTACTTCGTTTTCATCATATTATTAATCATAAAAATCATCACCGAGATCACAGTTTTCATCTTAAATTGAGAACTTATCTAAGTTTATGTATTCTTAATTTAATACACTTAAACTTTTTTTGATAGCATTTTCTTCATCAAAAAGGTCGTTAGGGACATGGATTTGAAGATGATTATTCTAAAACTAATTATCAACATATATATCTAATTCACTTGTTTATCCTTCTTCCATAACTTCTTATAATCTTTAAATATCTATGCATCCTGCAAAAGCCTCTGCTCTTTAATCTTCACTAAATGCAAAATCGTTTTATGTAAAAATCTGTTCCATCTCTTTTATCCCATCTCCTATCATAGACTTTAATAAATTAAATTAAAATATTATTTAAATAAAACTTTAAATGTTTTTTAAGTAAAGTTTACTTCAAAAATTTAATATGATCCTCCAAATTTATATTAAATAGGTTCTTCCTATTAAAGCTATTGTGAACTCAAAAAAATATTTTCTTTTCTCATTTGAGATTAATTTTGTTATGACTAAGCAAAAATATTTGTATTAGCAGTATTTTTTAAATTGGTAGTGAAAAAAGGTGTTTCTATCTTAGGAGAACTATTTATTTGTGGTTAAGACTAAGTCGTTTGTTGTTAAGTATATTGTTGAGAAATCTGTTAAAGAGCTGGTTGTTAAAAAATTTATAGTTACTGGCTTAGAGAATTCTTAGAAGAACTTTTTTCATTGCCACTTTAAAGCAAATATTGATTTCCCTATTACTAATTTTTATTCTATTGCGCTGAGTTTGATAGTTTATGATGTGATATAGGAGTCTAAAAATTTAAGTTCTTTTAATGACTCAAATCATTAAGAGCAAAACGATTATACTGCATGATTGAATATTTATAGAAGAATAGTAATAATTATGATGTGCTAGTTATAAATTTAAATGTGACAGACGGTTTACTTATTTAGAATTTCAAATTATTTTTTTAATATTTTAAGTAAGATAATTAATATATCAAATTAGTAAAATATTTAATACAAAACCAAAAAATAATAGGCTCTTTTTAAGCGCAAAATCAAATTTTAAAAACTTATTAACCTAAATCTAAATTCTATTTATTCGTTTGAAAAGATACAAATAAATACATAAAAAAAAATGGAGTTATGAATGAAACACTTTTTTACAAATTTTAATTTTAAATAAATTTTATTTTTTTGATATTATTTTGTGAGAAAATTAATTTTATGAATTTATAAAATATTTTTTTTAAATGTGTTTTATTTGCTTTAAATTTTAATAGAAAATAATTTTATAAATTGTAATATGTAAAAGGCGAATTAAAAATATTAATCAAGTTAACATATTATATATTTATTTTAAGATATTTTGTTTGAAAGTTGCTTGTGAACTATGCAAAACCTTAACCAATTTCCACGTTCATCAAAATCTTGTTTCAATTAATTTTACCAATAAAAGAAAAATTGGTTAAATAAGAAGTAATTGTTTCCAAAATAATTTATTATAAAAAAAGAAAAGAAATAAAGATACACTTTTTATTGATCCGAAATCAAAAGGGTTTCTTAAAAAAATGAATAAATTATTAATTTTAGCACTTATAGGTTTGCTCGCTATCAGCGCTTTAGCTCAGTAAGCATATTTTCTAATATTAGATGAATGATACTGAATATAAACTATCGAAAATAGATATTGATATTAAAATAGACCAAAATAACTTTTAGCCCATATAGAATTATCAATAATTATTTTAATCATACTCAACACATTCAGAATATTTCTTGACTTAACATATGAAATTAAAAAATGATTAATTTATGAATTTAATATTTTTTAAATATTTTAGAGATGGCTAATAAGCAACTGATAGTCCTCAAGCAACAGATTAAACACCATAAGATACTTAATAATAGAATGTTTAACCAAAACAAGAAGCTGAATAACAATAATAAAACCCTTAACCAAAACAAGCAGGAGAGGAGGGCTAGTAATAAGAATAACAATAAGAAATGAAAAATGAAGTAGTCGTTGACGATGATGAAGACAGAGTAGCTATTATGGAAGAATGGGAAAAACATATGTAAGATTTCATCCCCGATGAAATGCTTACTTTTGAAATAGATTCTAAAAAGGAAGAAGTAAAAAATATTTTAATAAAATCATAAAAAATAGTCTCAGATTAATCTTTAAATGAATTGAAAAGCAAGAAATAAATGAATTTTTAATTTATTAAAATTAGTTATTTATGGAAGATATTACAGTTCCTACTTAAATGAGAGGTGCCTTCTTCGTATCTTACTTTTCAGATGAAAAAATTGATTTCGTTGTAAGAATAAATTAATTTAATTTTTAACTAAAATAGAATTAAATTTTTAATTAATTAATTTTTAATAAAAATTATTTTAAATTTATAAAAGATCAGAGATCCTAATAAACACAAAGTTTTCCACAAATTAAATAAGAGAGAAGGTATATTTAATGTAAACGCAACTACTATTGGAACATATGAATTCATTTTCTCTAACATAAGAGTAATTATAGTTTATTTAAAGTATTTCATCAATAATTAAATAATCTTAATTTTAAAAACAGGGTAAGGATAAAAAGTCTGTTACTTTTGCTTTGGATGTCCATAATACCACTGAAACACATTTATCTCATCACGATTTAGATCCTGTTGAGAAAAAATTAGAACACGTTGCTAGTGGCATTAAAGTAAATTCACTAAAAAATGTTATTTCAGTTTTAATAGTTTATAAATTAATCTTAAAAAGGATTACTTAAATGAATAAAGATTCTCATCAAGAAGATAAATTACTCAATTAGAATCTATTCAAAGTGCCCATTCAAGACTTTTAATTTTTTCAGTAGTTGAAATAGCAATTGTAGTCTTTGCAACAGCTTGGTAAATTTATTATATCAAAAAGATCCTAGATAATAAGAGAATCGTTTGAATAATAATATGAATAAATAAACTTAGCTAAATAAATTTAATAGGATATGTTTTAGTTTGTAAATCCTAATATTTATATTTAGTTTAAATTTAATTGATATTTTAATTGTAGTTATGTGCTGAAAAGTATACTTTTTACTCTTTGTATCTTTCAAAAAATTGATTTTCCCAACCATGAAATTAAAATATTATTTTAAGTATTTATTTACTAACCAAAATTGGATAAATTGTTTGCTATTTTTCTCTTTTAATTAATTTACTTAACATTTGTTGCTTAAATAGAATAATAAAATTTATAAATTACAAAAATGTTGTTGAGAAATAAGCCAAAACTTTAAATAAACAGATAAAAAGTAATAATTTATTTTAGAAAAGATTGTTGAAAGGATGAATTAACATTAATTAATAAAGGCTATTATACTCTTTGATAAAATAAGGAATGTGTTGTGTGTATTTAATTTTTGTTTCAATTATCAAAATAATTGAATGAACAACAGTAAGTTTTATACTATTCTTAGTTTTAATTAATTTACTATTCAAAATTTAACTTATATTTATTTTTTAACATACATTTTCTTTACATTAGTAATACTATAATAAATATTGAGAATTATCACTTATTAAAAAAATAAAAACAAAAGCAGATGAAACCTATTTCTACAAGTGAAGCTACCAGCCCTGTGCTCAAAATAGACAAAAAATTAGAAATCAAAGAAAAGAATATTTAGCAAGGAGATAAGTAGGCTCATAAAAACTATAAGTTTTGTTTGTTTAATGGCAATAATTCTGTAGTTTTCAGAAAAATTTTATTATCAAGAGGCAATTGGGAAGAGGTAACCAAGTTAATATTATGAATCAGAATTCTACTTAGTTAAAATTAGCATTTTAATTTAGCTAAATTAAAATAATATTAAAAAAAATTAGATAAAAGAGAGCTAAATTGAAGAAAAGAGCATATTTTAGAACTCAAATTTTATTTGGAAAAGCTACAACTTTTCAGTTAGAGTAAGCTTTTACATTTTTATTTATTGCGAGTACTTTGAAATATCATAATTATTTACAAATTTTTAAGAAACTATCTATACTTTGAACTAATAAAACAGCAAGTTCAAGAGTATCTAAGAAAATTTTATAACATTTTTTAACAATACATAAAAAAAATAATTGTGCAACAAATTTTAGTAAAGTATAAATTATTTAAACCTATTTTTAAATTTTTCATACAAAAAACTTAATGTTTATTTATATCTGTTGAAAAAATATAAGTAAATAAATTGTTGTTGAATATAAATGAGATTACTCAAATATAAATTAGAATACATTATTTTTAATCATTTTAATATATTAATTTAAATTAGAAATATGCTATTATTGAAGACATCCACAGAAATAATCCTTTTAAGCAGGTAAGTTCAATTTAAAATTATTCATTTTCATTAATTCCATATTAAAATCTCAACAGATAATAAACCACTTTGAAAATAACAGAGGAATGTGCACTAAAACTGGTTTAATCCGCTCACTTAGTTCATATTACAGGCATTTAGATCCAGCTAGTAAATTACTTTTATTTTATTTTCATGCTAATATTTTTTATAGTTTAAGCAAAATATACCGTATTTGATACATGTGCTACGAGTTTTGTTTTAACTGCCGGAATTAATGATGTTGAATTTACATCTTTTATGTCTCGATATAACGAAATAGCTAAAGGAAATTTTATTAAAGTAATTAATTTAATTAAAAATTAATCTCCATCATCAAAATAAACTTAAAAATAAAATATAGGAAAAAGTACCCAAAAAACATTGTTTAGAAAATATATGGTTGCTAAAGCCAGCTGATGCTAATTAAGGTAGAGGAATAGAAATATTAAAAACTCAAAAAGATATAATAAGCTCCCTTGTTTAAAAATAATGTAATTCTTACTGGGTAATTCAAAAGTATATTGAAAAGCCTTTATTGTATCATGGTAGAAAGTTTGATATTAGAATATGGGTGCTTGTCACTAAGTCAGGTGAAATATTTATCTATAAGCCAGGATACATAAGAACATGTTGTGATGAATATAATATGTAAGATATAGATGTTAACTTACATTTAACAAATAATTTTGTTTAAAAACACCATTAAAACTACGGATAGCACGAACCAGGTTCTTAGAATTTAATACGATTGCTTTTATATAAACGTTTTTTTTATTTATTGCAGGAAACACTCTTCCACTAGAATGCTTGTTTGAATATATTGACTAGAAATTTGCAAATGAAAATACAGAACAAGTTAACTTGAGAGAAAGAATTCACTAAAGAATGAAAGATTTAATAATAGATACTATTCTTTCAGTCAAGAAAAGTATGATAACTATAAAAAGATATAACAATTTCGAGCTCTTTGGATATGATTTTTTAATTGATGAAGACTTGAGAGTTTGGCTCATTGAGGTAATTTCAATCTCTTCTAAAAATTAATTTACAAAATTTTTTTATTTTAGGTAAACACAAATCCTTACATTGGAATACCTAATGATTTTATTAAAGAATTGGTACCAAGGATGGCAGACGATCTTGTAAAAATTGCTGTTGACCCTTTGTTTCCACCCTAAAATCCTCCTGAAAGTATTTACATTTACATGAAATTTTTTCTTAAAATAATATTATTAAATAGGTTAAAATAATGATTTTGAGTTGATTTATTGTGAAAACGGTAGCAGTTTTAATAATGGAAACCCTAAGAATGTTAGATAGCCTTTTTCAGTTTCTCCCTATCCTCTATAAAAGCTTGCTCAAAAACCAAACAAAGTTCAAAGATAGTATGGAACAAGTCTTTTATTTAATAATGTTTCTAAACCCTAGTTATAATCTGAGCAAAATAATTCATAGGATGAAAATTAAGTAATAAATACTTCAGAAGTAAATGATTAAACCAATTAATAAATAAAATAAAGAAGTGCTTCTGCTGCTAGAATATCTTAAAATAATAATAAAGGAGGTTTTTCTCCAAATTTTTCTGTAGTAGAAAGAAATGCTCATTCAAAATCACCAGAATCAAGATTTTTATCAAGTAACTTAAGGTCTGGTAGTGCTTAGTAAATTAAAATGCAATAACTAGATAAGCAAACACTAGTTGAGAATGATTCTAAAAAAAAGTTAGAAAGGCAAAAAACTGTGGAAGAGTAGGATTAAGAAGATGAGTAGCAATTAGAAAATCTAAATCAAAATATAAATGAAAATATTCTCTAATAAACCAAACTTAATAGCAATAATCAATCTTATGATCCTGACTTAATGTTTTACAACCTCAAAAAGCTCCTTAATACTTATCTTTATGCAGATTTCTAACCATTTTATTAGCACATTAATAATATTCTAAGTAAAATGATGAATTGGGAGTTAATGAGTGAGTAGGAATTAAAAGTTGTCGTAAAGACACTAAGATTTATTTTAGAGTCTAGAATTTCGAATATTTTAGTTGATTAAAAGTATATTGAAAAACTCATATCAGTTATAGATTCTCAAAATCACCCTATAGAAATACAAGAAGTCTCTCTTGAAGCCCTTTGCACAATTACTAAAAATGTCTCTAACAAAGTTAGGATTGTTTCAAAAAATATTATTCTTTTGTTAATAAAGGTAATAATAATAATATGCTTTTCTTTTAAAAAGAAAATTTTTATATAAAATTTGAATACAAAGCTTGAAATAATTTAAATTTTTTATGTTAGTTTACATTAAATTTTTTTATTTAATTAGATAAGCCTCTCTAGCTGTGATGAAAAAGAAATGGAGAAATATGACAGAAAGATAAGAATTTTGGCAACTAATTGCTTAATACATTTAGGTGGAATTTATAATAGAAGATAATATATTCCAGGGGAAACAAGAGATAATGATAAAATAAGGAGATTAATTATTGAAAATGGTGGCTTACTGGCTTTGCTGTGGATAAGAAAAAAGGTAAATGATAATGAAATCAAAAAAATTTCATAAGATTTTATAGATAATTTGGATATCTCTGATTTTGAGCTACAGTATAATTTGGTAAAGAAATGGAGAAAGGCTCTCTTTTATGGAGGCTAAATGAAACAGATATAAAAAAATTAATACAGCTAAGAGTCCTTATAATAATGTAATTTGAGTGGTGAATTGAGTATGCTCTAAGAAAAGATTAAAGAAGAAAACGGATATGAAGATAGCAAAGGCGAAAATGTCTCTTCTTAACAAAATGATAATGCATTGCAAAAGAAAACAAATACTTTTATGGCTAATATTAATTGTAATAATTTTTTTTGCTTACAATATTATTTAATTTTTTTTAACAAAGAAATCTAAAAAGTTAAACTAAAAAATAATAATGAACCTACTCCTGAACAATATCCTGTCTTTTTGTAAACACTTGACTATTTTGATTTTTAAGGTAGCATGGATACTGCTGAAGATATTTACTTAACAATCAAAGAATAAATCATAAAAAGAGACAAGGAAGATAAATTAAAAAAAGAAATGGAAGTAAAAAAATAATAGCAGTAAGAAGACGAAAGAAAATTACAACTCTTAGAAAGAAAAGCAAAGGTTGAAGAATTTTAGAAAAAGAAAGAAGAAGAAAAATTGAAAAGGAAATTAGAAGAAAAAAGAAGGGAAGAAAAACAGAAAGAGATTCTTGCATAAGAGGAGAAGAAAAGATAGTAAAAATATGAGGAAATGCAAAAGAGAAGAGAAGAGCTCAGAAGATTTTAAAAAATGGAAGAAGATAGAAGAAAATTTTAAGATGATGATGGGCAAAGAAAGAATATGGAAATAAGTAGATTAAAGAGATACTTAGCACCTAAGTTATTAATAGAAGATCCTACATCAAAATAACAAATTGATTTCATAAACAGCAGAAACTGTAAATTTATTTTTTTTACTAAGTTTAACAATATTAATTTATTTTACTAGAAAATTTTTAATTTATTTATGATTATATTAATTTTTTAAATTTAATCGCTTAATTTAAAAATAAATTAACAATAAAAGTCAATATTTAGAATTGTTTTTTAAAAGTAAAAAATAAATTTCATTTATTTTTTGGTTTAATTGAATAAATGTTTCATTTTGAATTAAATAATAAAATTTTTTTATTTATGATTTTTTAGTATTTATTAAATCTAAGGAAAACGATTAAAGCAATTTATTGAGCACTATTTAAAATCAAGTTAATAATTTTAGCAACAGATAAAATTAAACACAGAATAATAGCTTTTTAGCAATTAAGGTAAGTAATAGTAGATAAAAACTCGCTTCTTTAAGTAATAGGAATATTCCTTAATCTCCTACATTACTATAATCGAGTTAAGTTTTCTCAGACTCAATTTAATTATTAAGGCACCAAATGAAAAATTAGTTTACAAAAGATGATAATCTATTAAAGTAGTCTAACAAAATTATAATAAAATCCCCTAACTTGGCATAAGTAAATTTTACATCAAATTAATTAAAGTAATTATTTAAATATAGTCTTAATAGTTTGCAAACACAAAATATAGAAACTAAAGACAATTATCCCCTATTAAAGTTGATGAAGTATAATCAAATGGTATATAAGAGGATATTTAAGAGGAATCCAAATAAGCAAACTAAATTCTTTTAGAAAACTAAGTAGATATTTAAAAAAAAATAATTTATCATAATATTAACGTCTTTTTATTAAATTAGGAAAATATGTCAGCATCATAGTAGGTGTGAAAACTAAAAAAAATTTATAATTATAACAAATATTTAAATTCGAATATATCAATTTTAGTTTTAAAATAATTCTAATTACTTAATATTTATTTATCTCTACATTCTATAATAATAAAAATATAAATATTTCTCTTTATCAAATAAAAATTTCATTTAATAAATTTATTGAAAAAATAATTATTTCCAAACTAAATTTTTAAATAAAATTTATTTTTTATGATTTTTATTAAAACAAAAAATTCAATTTAATAAACTATCTATTATTTATATTTAAATAGTTGTATTTAAAATTAAAAACAGCCTTACTAATATTTACATCCATACTCAATATAGTAAAAAAGAAATAAGGAATTTTAAATTAATTAAAGAAATATTTATTCCAAACAAATTTTTAAAAAAAAGAGCACCTTCAATACTTTATTTAGATTATTATTTATTTATTTATTTATTCAAACATTTATTTTTAAAATACTTTGTTTATTTAGATTTATGCTATTAATTTTACTAGTTAGTTTTTTATTTGTTAATTTAAGAATGATTTTATATTAAAATGATTAGTAAATTTTAGTAAATAAACATAATACTAAACTCTTTAATTTTAATATAATAAACACAAATATAACTTATTTACACAATAAATCTTTAAATTATTATTAATAAATTTTCTTTTTTAAATAAATCAATTACATAAGTTTTGTTGCTCAAGGTATGTATTTCAAGAATCAATCATTTAAATAATATATTTTATCAATTTAAATTTCCATTTTTCATGAAATGAGAAGAATCACTTTCAAGATTTTGGTTACTATAATTTTCGTTTTCATCTAAAATTTAAGAATTTTCTTCTAAAAACTTTTTGAGATTTAATGATGTGAGCTAGTTTTAAATTAAATATTCAAAAAAATAATTAATTTAATTTTTTAAACTGTCGAAAGTGCTATCGTGCCTAAAGCTTTCTTTGTTTGCATTGTTGATACTTCTAATTTTTAGTTTCAATATTAAATAAAATTTTGTAAAGAAATATTTACTTATTAGGTTATGTCAATGAGGGGAACTACCTGCTTTCATAAATTAACTCATACTTTTAATTAAATATAAAAAAATTTTTTATTTGAAATGAAGCAAATAAATTAATATACGTAATCCCTAAGTTAGTTAAAGTCCTTTAAGGATCTTTTGACATAGTATTAAGGAATATTTTTTTTATATTTTATAAATTTGATTAAGAAATAAACATCCTCATCAATTTCTGTGTTTAAATTTGATTTTCCATGCATTATTACAAAGCTTTCGTCAGGTTCACCATAATCCCAGTCAATCACACAAATTTGTTCATATTTTGGTCTATTATCTGTTTTGCTGAATAAAATATCTATGCTAACTTATTTTTACAGATTCTACTATCCAAATGACATTGTGTGAGCTACTTATGAATCATTAAGATCTAGCCTATTTCAAAAGTTAAGTCACATATTTAAATAAAATTTATGTATAAAATGTACTGTTAAGGAGAGGCACTGCATTTTCTTCTTAAACTCTCTAACCTTTGAGATGCATCAGAACTTTTTTGATATGATTAAGGTGTTTCATTCATGTTATTATTTGCAAATGTTTCTACTTAATTAACTCTATTTTTAATCAATAGCATTATATATTTAGTATTTATTAATAATTTCAATTTACATGAATTCTTCTAATTTATCTCTTGGCATTAAAAATTGTTAAAAGTTAATATGCTTGCCTATCTACTCTATATTCACCACTTACAATATTTTAGAGAAAATTTCCATTAGATCTTTTGGAGATTAGCTTTTTAAAAAAAATAGCTTGAAAAATTTTTTTAATGAAAATTAAATCATACTTTTCAAGTTTATTTTATTTTAGCTTTGGAAAGAGATATTTTGTATGCTTTTGAAGCGATTTAAACAACTCTAAGAATTCGTTCAGTGTTCTTTTTGTGAAGTATATTTCATTTTATCTTTCGAACTCAATAATGAAAGTAAGACAAGGTTAGGATAAGTTTTCATTAATATATTTTTCAACAATTTCCCATCCTGTTACAAATATTTCTGTGATTTAGTTATTTTTTTTATCTTCTTCTGATTTCTAGAGGAATGTTTATCTTTCATCCTCAGTTAAATTTACAAAATGGGGAGAGCAACACACTTGAGAATCGCCGTATGTAGAATTATAATAAAAGGGCTTATATCTTTATCCATTAAATTTTTTGAACACTCTCTTTTTGACTACTGGCTACTTCTAAATAAATTATTAACAAATAAAATAAAATTAAATAATTATATCAGTGAATAAAGATTACAGATATGATCAAAGGAGAATTTAAATCTCTCCTTTCTTAGATGTCATTAGTAAATAATTAGCAATATAGGACTTTTTATTTTAATAATAATTATTATTTAAATGAATTTAACCAATCAATATTACAAAATAAAAATTTAATTGCTGATGAAAAAATAGCTGCAAATTCTAATGAAGACAACCCCTATATTATTTTTAAAAATTAAATATTAATTTCTAGTTATGCTCTATTCTGTTCTACTAAAATATAATCAAACATTTAACAAATATCTCATTTATCAATTTATTAACATATTCTAGATAGATTTGATAAAACACTAAAATTATAATAAAACATAGAACTTAAAAATTAAAAAATTTAATAATAAATGGCAATTATATTTTAATAGAAAGCAGTGTATTAAAAAATAAAAGTAAAGAAGCTAAATAAATGTTAATATTGATATCAAAAATAGATTATTAATAAATTTTAATGATAGTATAATTACCCAAAACATTATTAAAACTCCAATTAGATTAATAAGTAAGTCAATTAATGTAAATATTCTTAAGTGAATAGTTGTTCTCCCTAAAAAGAGGAATTCTGCTCTGATTGTAATCAAGCAAAAGCTCTATAGAAATAATTTTTAGAATTAAAAAAAATGATGTTTTTTAGAACAAATCAAATTACCCAGATGAATGTTTAGATTGAATATTGTATGAGGATCATCATGTAAACATTTTAATTCATAATTATTTCTAATAAAATTCCTACTGTTGTTTAAAACAAATTTGTTACTTCTCAAAGATATATGATATAGAGTAAAATTTCTATTTAATTAGCACAAAGAGTCGCCAATTACTAAGAAGAAAGCATAAAATACTATTTTTGCTTATAATTTATACTTTATTGAATCACTGAAAAAGAAGTAAAACATCAAGAATTTGTTAAAGATTTACACGCATTTAGCAATGTTATAAAAACAGCAATTAATAACTTTAAAAAGTGGGTCTTATTTACAAAAGTCATATGACGACGTCCATCTTTTCTAATTATTTAAGATATCTTTATGTAGCAAATTATAAATGCTATCAAATCGCCTGTGCAACCTATAATCAGAACAGTATTTTCAATTAATGAGTCGCCCTTTTAATAAAAATAATAAAAATTATTTTACTTAAGGAATTAATTAGTGGAGTTTGGTATTTAGCTTTTAATAACGAGTTAAAATAAAAAAAATAAATTATCTTACAAAATATATCAGCTACATTGTTGATATTTATTAATCTTTTAGCTTTTTATATTAATTAATTTGATTCGATTATTATTTGTTATATATAATTGATTAATTGTATTGATATTGATTGTTGTCAACTATCTTAACTATCTTGGGATATTTTATTACAAACAAATTATTCAAAGCGTACTTTGTATTTTATAAATAATAAAAAATTCGACTCTCTCCTTTTTAACCAATATGACTTTTAATGAATCAATAATATATATAATCTTTTTAATTTACTTACAATTCATTTGTTAAGCAATCAATTTCTAATCTTATAATTAAGAAATGCAACATAACTTAGGTTGATTAAAGTTTTTATCTAAGAGATTATTCTAGTCAAAATTAAATAATATCAAAAAAAAAAAATAATTTTATTAATCAATAAAATAATTTCAACAAACAATAAATGAACTAAATTTACTTTTGATATTTATTTAATAGAAATATGATTTTTAATAAATTAATTCAGTGACTTATTTTTAATAATTAACTTACTACTAAAGAATTAAATTATTACCCTAAAACTGAGTATTTGGTGCTCATCTGAAATAAGAAGTTAATATCCAAGATATTTAAAATATAAAATACTAGCAATTTTTTGATTTAAGTTTTTAATAAAACAAACTTAGATTTAAAATTAAATAATTCTCAAAATTTGATGAGCTTGATTTCCAATCAAAGCGCAATTATCTTATTCAAACAAATATTTTATTTAAAATAAATTTTTTTTAAATTAATTAATAAACTCTTAAAAAAATAATTGATAAATTAAATTAAATTATATTAAGTCTCAATTACAAATATGATTTTTATGTTAAAGATTTTTATTTAAAATACCTTTCAAATTTTAGAGGATAGTTAATATTTAAAAAAATTAATTTTATTAAATTTTCGGATAATAATCTTATTAAACAATTAACACATACAGAATATTGAACATGAATACAGTGATTTAAAAGCTGCATCGAATAAAGAAGGTAGTTTTTATTATTAATTTAAATATTTATCTTTAATCTTAATTTGATTAGATTACTCGTACTCACAAGAGCTTTGAATTATCATAGTGAGATGCGATATTCGTTAATTTTCTTTTTATATTGCACCCTAGAATAGCTAGCTTTATTATGACTAAATTTTAATCTGTTTTCTTAAGGTCAATTTATCATAATAATTTTTTGTAAATTTATATCCTAAGTACTTCTCTTTTCTTTTTATAAATCTAAGTCTTACTTGGCTTAAATACTGCTCCTACTACTACCTATCTTCCTTTATTCAATTAACTTCTCTCTTTATCCGCGAAAGAGACATCAATTCAGAACAATATTCCTCCCTTTTGGCATCTATTTTATTATCAAACTCTTATAAGAAAATTATTACACATATTTAGGCAAAAAATTTTACACATTTTCATCATCAGCATCTATTTTAGAAATGGTGAGTTCAATATTATATTAAAAATGTGATCAATTAATATGCAATTCGTCATTTTATTGAGTCATAGTCATCGAATTCAAATTCAATTCAAACCGAATATTTAAAAATAAATTAAAAGCTTGTCCATAAGTACTCATTTTTAAAAAAATATCCTATCATTAAATAATTTACCGTTGCTTTCTTCTAACTCTTAAAGTAAAGAAAAATCTATCATATTAGCAAAGCGTTCTCCATTAAATTGATAACTAACTCTAATTGATTAGGCCAAAGCATTCTTAATCCTAATTTTTAATAAATAGTTTAATTTAAAATGAGATTTTTATAAAATGGAAATGAATTGATTGATTTTGCTATCTTTAACTCAAAAATAGAAATTTCTGCGATTAAAGATAAATTTATTCTAAATTTTAATACTAGGTCTAAATCATCTTATTTTAGAAACTAGTAATGCTAAAAACAGGAGCACTAGAGAAGCTCTTAAAAGAACATTTGTTCATGCTCTTATTCATTTAATACATATTCTTTGAAAATTGCATAAATCCTCTCATGATTTGATAGATAGATATATACTTGTATTAATTATTTTTAATCTTTAACAATTTATAATTTTTTATAAAATTTGAAAAGATTCCAATCGAAATTTTAACAATGTTCTTTCCTTTTCTTTCTATTTAATAGTTTTTATTTGCAGTAAAAAATGTATCCTTCCAAGCATTGCTACTAAACTCATTTAAATAAAGATTTTAATAGAGTATGTATGTATTTATTTCTACATATTGACTAAAAATAGACTTTAAATAAAATAAATTTTGTTTTATCATTTCTCATTTTAAGTTAAATTATCAACTATGTTGATAAAGATATTTACATTTTAACATAATAAAGTCTTTAAAGCTATTTTTAATTTTTAAAAATAATTATTTTTATTAGAATTATAAATTCTAAAATAACAAATTACAAAAACTAAATGCTTTGTTAATTAGTATTTTTGTCGTGTTTATTTTTTCTGACTATTAAACTTAATTCAAAAATCATTTTTTCATAATTTTGATTATGTAAAATTTGATGAAAATTATTCAAACAAATAAAATACTAATAAAACAGGATTTTTAAATTTAGATTTTGAAAAAAATATTACAAAATCTATTTATTATTTTTTTTTGTGTGTGTTTATTCTCTCTAATTATTAAACTAAATTCAAAAATAATTTTCTTAATTTTTAATTTTTAAAATTTGATATAATTTATTAAAATAAATAAAATACTTGTTAAATATAAAATTTAAAAGTTGATTTAATCATATACATGAGTGTGCTTTTTTAAATGTAAGCTAAAAGGTAAAATTCCTAAGAAAGCTTACTTTTTTTTGATTTTATTTTTGATCATTTATGAAATTTTTCTCTTTAATGTTTTTCACAAAATTAATATTCTAGCTACATTTTTAAATCAATAATATTTATTTTTTAAAAAGAAAAATCTAAATTTGAATAAGACTCTTTAGCTCAAAAAGTAAAGATATAACTTCTAGAACAGATAAGAGTTGAAGTAATATTTAACGCGATAATTTAATAAATATATTTAAGTTAGTCATAGCTTATATTTTTATAAATTAAGCTGTCGCTTAATGTGCAAAAACATCATAAAATATTAAATAATATATCTTATGATGTAATTGAACTATCACTTAAATTTTAATCTGGTCTATAAAAATTTTTTTTATCATTACAAATTTGCAAAAAAAAAAATTAAAAAGAAAGTACTTACCTAACTATCTAGCTACTTATGGAAACTAAAAAATCTATTTTCGTTAATAAAACAAAATATGTTTTATTAGTTATACATTCTGGTTTAAATATACTCTAATATTCTATATGTATGAGCTTACTGAATACTATTGTAGGAGATTTACCTACTATTTTGAGCTGGAGTGACTAAAATAAAAGCATTTTAACAGGGCTAGTAAATTCTGCTAACACAGCCGGTGCAGCAATAGGTTTTAATATCTTAATTTTATAATCAAATATAAATATTTTATCAACTAATAGGGAGTATTAGCGCAGGATATTTCAGTGCTAAATATGGGAGAAGAACTATGTTTATTATTGGAGATCTTCTTTGCATAGGAGGAGCATCTATTGGTTTAATATAAAATACTACTCCGTTTGTGATAGGCAGATTCATATGTGGTATTGGAATGGGTATTCTTGTTGATTTAGTTACATTATTTGTAATGGAATGGACCCACTACAAATATAGAGGGTATGCAGGTGCTCCAATGGTATGCTTTACTCCATTAGGCATGATAATTTCTGGTTTAATTGGGTTAGGAATTTAAGGCGGAGGATCAGGCTATTGGAGTAAAATTTTTGTGATTATACTTTATATGATTTATATGAGAATATTATTTTAATAATAAATTCTTATAACTCCAAGAAATAATATTTCAAAATTGCTTCTGAATGAATATAAATTTATTAATTTAGACTAATTCTATTTTTATATTCATTAATTTACTTAGTAGAAGTAAATATTTGATTATTGGAGTAATCTTTTATTAACCATTTTACAATAATATTTTTAAATTCTTTAATAGGAATCATTGTTTCTTTCCCTGCCATTTTAAGTTTTGTACACATATTTGGATACTTCATTTTAGTAAAAACAGATTCACCGTTTTAAATTTTTTAAAAACACAGAGACGAAAAAGAAGCTTTATAGTCTTTGAACACAATTTATAATAGCGAAGTAAGTGAAGAAATATTATCTAAAATTACAGAATCTATTAAAGCTAGAGAATAAAAAGATAAAAATAAAAGAATATTAACGATTTCAGAAATGTTTAGCATTAAAAGTTATCTTATTAGAATGATTGTGTGTGGCTTATGTGCTTTAACAGTTAATTTTTCTGGATACTTTATTATATCTATTTATACAAATCAGATAATTTAAAATGATAATGATGGAGATAATACTAAAGCAACTTTATTTTCTATTTATACAAGTATTGCAGATTTACTTTCGGTTGCTTTAGCAACAGTTTATGTAGAAAAAATAGGAAGAAAATTTATTTTCTTGGTTGGAATGATATTTACTACTTTAATGCTTTTTCTGATTGGATTTTTAGCTCAATACGAATTAAATAGCTTCATTCCTTACATTCTGATAGTATTTAAAATAGGATTTGGCACAACTATTTCTCCTTTATATCCTATTATTATTTCAGAAACAATAGTTGAAATAGGTTTCATAATAAATAGTTTAGTTTTTTGGGTTACAAACACAGCTATAATTCAACTTTATCCTATTCTTGTTGATACTAATTTAGGATTTTCTGGAATATTTTGGTTATTTTCAGGAATTATGGTTATATGTTTTATAGGCCTACTTATATTTATGAAAGAAACAAAGGGACTAACTTTAAAATAGATTCATGTTTTGTACAGAAATTAAAAATGCTAAAGTGAATAAAATGATTAAAATGAAGAAAGTGTAAAAAACTTATAAAATAAGTTATATAGTACTGATTCAGATGATGATATTTGAAAGTAATTATCTCAGTAAAATTAAATTTCAACAATATCTGTTTGTTTACAGAAAATATTTTATTGAATAATTTCTTTAATTTGTTAAAAAATTGAATTTTTATATAGTTTCATTTTTTAAGGTTATTTTAATCTATTTTAATTTATTTAATTAATGTAAAATTTATATTTTGTAAACAATAATCACGACTTAAAAAGTGATATTAAAATTCAAAATATAATTTTTGGTAATTAAGATTAAAATATTTAAAAAATGGATGAATTTATGAATATTTATGGATTATATTATGTAGAACCTTGCAATTTAAAAAAAAATTACTAAATTACTAAATTAAAAATTAAAATTTAAATTATTATTTTATTTAAAAATTGTGAAAATATTTAGAAATAATAATGCTTAATTTTTGTAGTTAATTTTGTTGACAATAAAATTTAATATAAAAATAAATAACTTGATAAATATAAGATTTGTTTATTGAGATCAATAATCTAAATTCATTAAATATTTATTTAAAGCAATAGTTAGTAAAATATAATTAAAAAAAATTGATTTTCATAAATAATTTATTTTAATAGTTACTAATTAATTTAATTATCATTGATCAATATTGTTTTTTTATGAAACAATTTCAAGTTATTTTTATTTAATTTTCTGAACTAAATTGTTAGCCAAATCTAAGTCTTTATCTTCGTTTTCTATAAATATCATAACATCTAATAGAGCTTATTCATAATTTCCTAATTCAAAATAGCATCTCGCTCTCCCTAAGTAAGGATAGTAATAATTTGAATCAATATCGATTGCTTTTTGATATAATTAAAATGCCTCATTTATTTAGCCTTTTTAAAATAAAACAGTCGCTTTGCTATCGTATACATTACAATAACTATCATTTATTTTGATACCTTGGTCAAAAATTTCTAATGCTTCATCTAATTATCCTAAATCATGTAGGCAACATCCTAAATTATTGTATGCCTTATAATAACTTGCATCAATACTAATGGCTTTTTTATATGTTTCTATTGCTTCTTAAGTATAATCTAATCTCTTCAAATTAATGCCTATATTATAGTAAATAGAAGGATCTTCTATAATTTTTAAGTACTCTCTGTAATAAATGATAGATTCTTTGCATTTTTTTATCTTAGAAAGGCTTAACGCTCTATTAAACCACAAGCTAGTATTAGAATAATCATAGCTTAGGCCTTATGCAAAATACTAATTTGCTTTTTCATATTGACCATCTTTTTAGTAATAACGTCCATACTTTAGGTAATAGACAGCTAGAGTAGGGTCTTAGTTTATTTATTATGAATGATATTGTTTTAAATGATAGGTATGATCCTCAACTTTAAACCATCCTCCGCACTCTTCACATTTTACTTTATATTTATTAAAGTATTTTTCTTTGAAATCTTTTTGTATATGAATAAAATTCTAAGGGGCACATCTATTAAAGCAATAATCTTTTTTATTTTTTTCAAATCTCCTTACACATTATGTACACCATACGTTTTCACAGCTAAAGCATTGTGAGGATTCTTCATTTAAATATTTGAGGCATATAGAACATTTCATAGTGAACATAATTTCTTCATTTCCCTTTTCTTCTATGTTGATTAGACTATCAACTTCTAAAAGATATTGATACTTTTAAATTTCAGTCATCTTTTACAAAGGAGGAATAGATAATTGTTTTTTGAAATCAGGTTCTTAAAACTAATATGAATGAGTTGAAGTTAAATGCTATTTGAATTCAAAAGGGTTTATCTATATTTCACAAAAATTGCATTAAATTAAAACAGATTTTTATATGGTATTTAACAATATCCTACTAATCTTTATGAGATGAATTACAGAGCATTGTGAAGGACATTTTTTATTGACAAATACATATTCTATGATGCAATTATAACAATAAATATTTTCACAAATTTCACATTAAACAGGTTAGTTAAATGGATATGAGCATATTTTGCATATATATTGAGATTATTCATCATTTTTTACTATTTTTACCTCTAATAGGTTTTATTCTTTAGTTTCTATCTCCATCTATTTATTTAGTTCTATTTAATTGTACTTAGTATTTTTATAAATATTTTTTATCAAATTTTATCATTGGAAAAAAAATCAATTAAATTTCAGAAATACCACTTATAAATTCTAACAAAATCAAAAAAAATAATCAAAAGCACAAAATTTAGCATATTAATGACTTAAAATTTAAATATATTCTAAATTAATTTACTTCTTACTAGCATATGAATAATATAATAAATAGATAAATTAAACAACATATGTTACAATTATATTAATTTATTTATAATTATAAATTTCATCATTATTCTTCTACTTAGATTTCTGTTTCCATTTTTTAGTTTTGAAATGCATTTGCAAGTTTAAGTTTATTTTGATTAGTTTTTTGATATAATTTTTTCAATAGAATTTTAGATATAACCATATATCTAAATAAATTCCTATTCAAAGATGTTAGAGTTTTTTTAAGCAGTGTCAAATTTGATGTGGGTAGAGTGCATACATATCGATTCATTGATTTCAATAATAATCTTACTTGTTGCGACCAAAAAGGAGTTAAAATATTAATTGAAATTTTCAAAGCCAATTTAGGCGTATACTAAAAAGCTGGTATTATTTAAGATTTTAATTTAAATTTTGATAATTTCTCCTTCCCTTTTTTAGTAAATAAATAATAAGTTTTTGTTTTAGTAATACGACCTTTTGTTCAAGTTGGCAGACTATATCTCAATTTTGGTTTCTGTTTTGATCTGTCTTTTTCTTCATCGATAGTGGTTACCATAATTAATTAATATGAGGTTTCTTTAAAAAAGTCTTTGACCAACTAGTTGATCTTAGTATTTGTGGTAAATACCATATCAGGAATTTGAAACATTTACGCAAAATATCGATAGTAATTGATTCAAATTAGTGATTGCCATTCCAACGAGGAAGTTATTTTATCCTTAAAAGAATTATATATTTTCGTAAGTTTCTTGAGCTTTATTACCTTCATTTAACCTATTTTTAGAGTTTATATTATTAAAAATTTAACAAAAAGATAATTATTTTTTTTATTTTTATCAAATTTTTTAAATCAAAACTTAGAATTACTTTTCATAATAATTAGAAAGATCTTCATTAACATTATTTTTACAGATTTTGTAGAGATTTTAATCTCTCAATTAGATTTCAGCAGGTACACACTATTTTGTTTTATGAAATATATTTAAAAAACAATTTTCTTCAGCAACATAAGAGAGATTATTTTTTATTTTTTTAAAAATTAATTACTTCGATTTTGTTGGAAGCATTCCAATTGTATAAGTCAGTGGCCTTTTGTTAATTTTTTGATAGTCAAGAAAGCATAGGTGGGTTTAACAATTTTGATTCACACTTTAAAAATTTAGATTTTTTAAAATAAGTCAAAAATTTACAAAACATTAATTTCCCTCTCTTAAAAACAACTCCCACTATAAATATAATAAAAAAATTGCTTATTCAAATGATTAATTTTTAAATAATTAATAAAATTATTAATGTTGTATAACTTGATTTATTATGGAGATAAGACTATTGAGATTAGCACATATTAAATTTGAATAAAAAATAATATTTTTGAATGTAATTTATAAAAAAGAAAAAATTTAAAAAAACCGTAAAATTTAAAACATTTGTAAAATTTAAAAGAATGAATTACAAAATAATTAGCATAATTTTCTTGTGCGCAATCAAAATATGCTTTTGTAATAATTGTAAGCCAAATTAAATTTACTCTTTGATAGCTTAATCTTGCCTTTAGTGTTCGAATTCATGCAATACTTGCTTTAATACTAGCGAATCTGCGTGTGTCACTTGTGAGTATAGCCTATTTAAGAGCTCTGCTGATAGTTCTAGTTGTGTACAAAAATGTTAAAAAAGTGAATTTTTAAACGAAAATTTAGAATGTGTGAAATGCTAAGTCTATGGATGTCTCGAATGTGATAGAAACTAAGTTTGTGCTTAATGCGATTAAAACTTTAAGCTTGATATAGCTAATAATCAGTGTGTTTTAATGAATGATGTTTGCCCACTTTTAACAAACTTTATTTAGGGATCATCAAACCTCAAATAATGCAATAATGAATGCCCATAAAGTTTTTATTAGAACATGGAAGCATTAATTTGCGAAGAGACTGTAAAATGTATTTAAATTGAAGAAAGCTAAAAACTTACTTTCACTTAGAGGGTAAAATAAATAAAGCGAATTAATGAAGATAAATATTTAGTTGCAGGAAATGCTTGTACTTTTGCTCTAGTAGATAATAGCTGGAAAGTGATTAATATATAAATCCTTTAAAATATAGCAGACTATGATTAAATTTATACTTAAAATGGAGTAGAATATTTTTAAGAAAGCTTTGTTATTGGAAATTATATAGGATGTACTGCAGGCAGCAAACTGTTGGTGATGAATTTTTAAACATTTGAAGTAGTATCTGAAAGTGATACAAATTATGATTATTTTGTTTTGTATTTAGATTAAATAAACTAAATTGTTTTTCTACAATCAACTTAATCTGAAACACTTTTGTGGTATGATGTTATTAACAATAGAGTTAACTAATATTAGATAGACTATTTAAGAATTTCTATATTTTTTTAAACTCAGAGCAATAACACCGCAACTTATTTTATGTAAAAATATGACTCCTCATTTTAAGTAAATTTCAAATTTTATAACTATTCTCTAATTAATGTTTTATTAAATAGAATTTTAAATCATATTCAATAAAATTAAAAAAAATTAAAAAAAGGTTTCTAAGCTATTTCGAAAATTTTTAAAATTATTTTTAAATAAAGTTCCTTTTAATTTATAAAATAATATTTATAACTCTATTAAAAATAATAATATGAATAGCAAAATAAATAATAAATTAATATTAATTTAATCAATTTTTAAAAAAAGATAGGAGTTTTGGATGAAAAAAGATAGTTTATAATACAAAGTATTGACTAATATAATTTGGATAGTTATATATTATTAGATGCAAAATAATACAATGATTTCCTTATTTTGATTTCAACTACACTAAATTACGATTATGAAGTTATAAAAATCGATATTAAATAAGATGTATTAGCTTTAGTTTAAGTTATTTACCAACTTAATGGATTCATTTATTAAGAAATATTTCCAATTTATTATTCGAATATTCTTAATTGCATTGTTGTATAAAATAGTAAAAGTTTTAATTTAGAAATGCTCATTCTAAATGAATAATCTGATTAAATAATTTCAACCATAAATTTAACTAATTCATAAATAAATTCATTTCAAATTTTTGAAGATGTCCTATCAAACTCAACTATGGCTTTTATATTTTCTGACAGTCTCTAAATAATGAATCTAACAAGTTATTTAATTTTTTATAGTTAAGGTTAAGCTTAAAATTATGTAAATTATTTCAAACCTTTAGATTAATCTTATGTATCTAAATTATCAGAAATAACAAATGTAATAATTAATATGGATTAATAAATTATGGATGTCTTCGTTAGTCAAATTCTTTCTGTTTTCAATGGTTATTCATAATAAATTAGATTAAGATATAATCTTACAGATTACACATTTAAGATTTAATACTTAAATCCTTATCAATTTGGTACATTTTATGATAAAAATTCATTTTTAAGTTAAATTTAATTTGCTGTTAGTTATTTTGATTAAAGTAATGAGAATAAATTTCTTATTTATCGTAGTTATCAATCGTTTATAAATTGCACCATAAGATATTTAACAGTTTAAGAATCTATCTATAATTTTTAAAAAACTCCTGCGATTAATGTTAAAGGTATTTATTTTAACTAAAATGATTGTCCTACTCAATAAACTTACTAGTTTATCTAATAAATAGGTAGCTAATATATTTTATTTTATTAATCTACAAATTAGACAATTTATGGTTATATAATTGATATTGAATAAGGAAAATAGATAATATCATTTAATTATTTTTAAAACAATTAATAGGCCAATTTAGTTTATCTTTAAAATAAAAATCTTTTATTGATTTCTGCCATTCCATAAATCTTTAATCTAAGTAATTCATAAGAGCTAATTGGCTAAGATTAAACTCAATTTTTCTCTAAGCGAAGTTATATAATAATTAATGAAGACTACCTAGTTTATTTATCTTCTAATAACCATAGAGAATTAATTTTATATTAATTAGATTTAACTACTTTCTCATCAAAATAAATATTTAATTTTCATCAAGATAAGAATATTAATTTTTGGACTGTTGATGACAATTAAATATACCCTGTTATATTTGATAATGATATTATTTACTTTTGCAAAACATATTAATTACCTGTTTGCTAGCCTTTTTCTTTGAGAGCATAAAATTTTATTATGCAAGCTACTTAACTTTAACTTTTTCCTCTTAATAATCCATCCGCTTTTTATCAAAAAACAAAGGAAATTTTTATATTTTATAGTGGAATTATTTTAGTATGCTCATATGATTTGCAAATTCAGACAAAACTAAATCTAGGAATTTAATTTCCTTCTAATTTAATTTCAATATAAATAGTTATTATTTAAAATGAGAGATATGCATTTTATTATGATTCTGCCTTTTTTTATAAATTCGATATGGAATTAAAAAAATTCTAAGTTTTGGAAACTGAGTCATTAAAAGGTACTAATCTACAGCAGTTACAAAATTTTTACTAGTTAAGTAGCATTTCTTATGTAAAAAAATCAGGAAATTTAATTGACACTGAAAATATGATTATTATAAATACATAATAAGAGGATGATAATAAATTCATTCGTTAAATTTAGATGGATGATACATAATTGCACATATTCTAATCAGCTAATGGAATTTATTGGTACAAAAATTTATTAAATATGCCATTTTAAGCATTAAATTTAACTTCAAGTTAAATTCTTTAAGATCTTTATTTTGAATAAGGATAAAATTTAATAGCATTATATGACAGTAGTTGCTAATGTGTTTAGATTTATAATATTATAAATAACATCAAATTGATCAGCTAAATAATGTTTAATACTAAATTTGATTTAAAAATCAAGTTAGTTGATTGGAATAATTATAGTTTTATATACGTGAGTGGTACAACTTTATATCTTTATGATCAAAATAATAATATTAAGAATGAATAAATTGGTTTACTAGACTCAAATATTATGGAGTACTAATATTGTTTTTAACAATAGATAGCAGTTGCCATGACTTAGAAACAAAGTCTCTATATAATTAAGGTAATTTTAATTTTAAGATTTTATTATTTTAAATTTCAACTTAATTAAATAGATTTAAGAAAAAGCTTCATCAAAAGTAGAAACAAATTTCTAATATGTGAATTAATAGATTGTTTTATAACTTAAATTTGTTTTGAAATGCACTGAAAATATATTAATAATTTATTCTCCTGTTATCTAAATTATCAATCTACTTACAGCAACATATTAAGAAGAATTTTTAAAGGTAATTAAAAAATAATTAATTAAGAATTTTATTTTATTTATTCATTTTTTTATTTAATTAAATCTTAGTTTAATTGGCAAATAGGCATGTATTATTCAGAAAATATACCAATTGTTAATGTAAAAGAGAAGCTTATTATATGTGTATTTGATATTTATGTAAACTATTTTGAAAGAAATAACCTTTCAATATACTTAGACTATTTCGATTATAGATAAAATAATACAAATACCTATTATGATTTATAGAATAACGTTTTGATAGGAGTTACTGGAGCTACAAAAAGAATAAATATTATAAATATTCCAGGTGAATATAGTTTTTTCAGGTACTACACAATCAATTCATTTTTATAAGGAGCAACATACTATTATAAGGATAAAACAAGTGTAATAATAATTGATACTACTCCTGTAATATACTTATGTAACTATGTAACAAGAAATATAACAACATTCAATACAATTGTTAAAGATACATAAGGTATTTAGATGGATTAAAATAAAAATATCATTTTCTTATATTCATACTAATTTATTTCTGCTTTGAAGTTTCCAGAAATGTAATTTATAGAGATGTTTTCATTACAATAATATAATCAAGCAAATATCTTAGCTATTTATGTAAATTAGCTGATTTAGGTGCTAATAGTCTAAACAAGTACAGCTTTTATTGCTTTTGATCTTACAGAAGTACTTTATTAATCAGAAATAAACTTGTTATAGTATCAAAATATTTAGAGTGTATATTTAAATGAAGAATATTAGGTTTATTATAGTATTTCAAATCTCTCACTCAATCTATTTTATAAAGCAAAGCTTGTTGACTCATTGCTATTTGAAATCTCCCTGGAGAATATTTATCCTTATTTAACTGAGCCTATACTAATATCAGAAAATCAATTCATATATATTACATTTAACTATTTAAATCTAATTTAAGTAAACCTCTCATATAATTCTTTAGAACTTGTCTCTAGATTTTAACTACAAAGTACGCCTGATAACTTCTTTTATGATTCAAGCTAAAATTTAATATTTTTGTTGTACTAGTCAAGCTTTTAGTTAAATAGTTTAAATACCAAAATACTTAGTTAAGGTGAAATAGTATTAACAAACTTTTAATAAGGAGATATATCAAATGCATTCATATGCAGTAGTTATATTATCGTTCCAACTAATAATTATATATAAATATACAATATTAATTCTAACTAAATACATAATATTTCATTACCGAGTGAAGGTAAAATTAAATTAGCTTTTAAATTACAAGTAAAGTAAATTAATTCATAAGAAAATAATTGGTGGAAAATTCCTTTTGAAAACAATTAAAGATTTAATACATATGACTTGGTTGATGGAGGAAATATAACAAAAGATATATTTATATTACAAAAGTAAGATAATTGGAATACAGTATTGATATTAGATTTGCTTAAGATAGAGTTCACTTACAAAAAAAATATAGATAAATGGTAAATAATGAATGTTGTAAATGATCCTATTAAATAGCTCATTTATATTGTTAATAACGAGGCAACTACTAATATATTTAGCTATACTTTAGATTTTATTACTTCAATTAAGAATCCTTGTTTGAAATAAGCAATTATATCTTTCGATTAAAATTTTGTTTATTCTATTTGCCCAAACGATATTATTGTGTATAATGGATTAAGCTTTGAGTAATAATTTCCTTCATTAAATTAAGGAATTACAGAAGCAAATAATTTAATAAATATGAATTATAATAACCATTTTATTATTATTTAAAAAAATAAAATATCCATAATACAACTGAAATATAACGGAACCTATTAAAATATTTATGAATAAGAAATAAAAAACGCATTTTTATCAAGCTTTTAGCTAATCATAGATTCTAATAATCAAAAATATTCATCTATATTGGTTTCTAATTACTAAAATATAACTTAAATCGTATTACCTTTGTCATCAAATAAATTATGCTCTGTTTAAATTTAGCAACAGAATAGAACATCTGAAAATATTTATTCAAAAACAATTATTGATGAGATAACTGAATCTATTTAATCAACGTAATAAATACTTTCAATGATAGAAATAGAATATCAAGACGGATAATCTATTGAGTAAATAGATATTAATTTTAATGACTAAAATACAGATAAAACACACAAATTGGGCTTAAGGTTATTATCTAAATATGAAAATTAAATTAGTTGGATAAACGATATTCAATTTTCTAAACAAATTTTTAATTTATTTTTAAAATAAATGTCTCTATCGATAGCAACTCAAGTAAATTTAAATTTAAATGGAACGATGGAGAATTTTTAAATGCTGAATGTTTCTTTAAATTTAAATAAATATTTGAATTTATAAAATTTTAAAAAGGTTTATTTATAATAAGTGTCTATGAAACTAGGGAGTTTTAGCTAAATTTAAATTTCTAACTGTGAATTAGTCATCATAGATTAATTAATCTTGTAAAATGTAGAAAGGCATGAAGGTTTTATATTTGTTTTAAATAATAATACTAACGTTTTAATTAATAACTTTTATCTTTCTAACTCAAACTCAAGTAATATTTTTTAGATAAGCTAAAGTTAAATGGTAAATATTTCAAATGTTAACATTATAAATTGTTAATATTTATACAATGTCTTTGAAATATGGTAAATAAATGATCTTAAAATTGTGAATACTTCAATAACTTAAATCTTTTTTTCTACAATTTATTTTATATAAAGTACAAATATATCAAATATTTAAAACATTTAACTCATTTAATCAACAAAGAGTGTAATAATTTAAATTAAAGAATAAGATACTAATTCAGTTTAATATCTAAGTGATTCCGCTATTTTAAAAGATATTGAAATATTTGATTCTGTGGACACCACATTTTCATTTACAACTAACAGCTTTGAAGTTTCTAAAATAAATATTGATCTTCTCTAAGTTTCATAAACTATCTTCACTATTCAAGCTAATTAAATTAATATTACTAATTTAAATATTACAAATACAAAATATTTGCTTTCATAGTTAGATGCTAATTTAATAAATATAATAAGTTTTATTAACTCATAAATAGAAAATATCAATTCAAATAACAATTAAATTTAGTTCCTTTCTATGAATCAATAAACAAGTGAAGGAATTGCTTTTGTTTCTAATGCAAAATTTATGAATTCTTCTATTCTTAGCAATAATCCCTTAATCTTTTTAAATTAATTGTCTAATGTTGAGTTAAATAATGTACTAATAAAAGATGTAATAAGTATAAATAGCTAATATACTTCTATATTTACAATATAAGATTGCTATTTAGTTACTATTTCCTATAGTCATTTTACAAATAACACAAATAGTAATGGTCCAGGAGGTGTTATTTACGCATTTGAGAGCATATAAATTATAATATAAAATTCCATTTTTTGGCTTAATACTTGTAATTTATAAAATGGTGGAGCTATTTATATGATTAATACTGTTAGAAGAGGAATTTTATTAATAAACTAAACTTAGCTAATAGAAAATAAATCAAGTTATTCTTTAGGTGGCTCTATTTATCTCTAAAATAATAACTTGATCATGCAGAATTCAGTTATAGCTTCAAATTAAGCATAAATTGGTGGAGGAATATACTATGTTCAGGTTATGCCAGATTTTTTAATTGATCTGTAATATGGCAATAAAAATAATAATACTTTTAAAGACAATCTAGCTTATATTTATGGACAAAATTTTGGCTCTACTTTAAGGAAAGTATTTATTGATTTAGAAAATATAAAAATTCCTAAAAATAGTTTAAAGTTATATGAAGATAAGGCTATATTTATAAAATAACTTAAAAGTGGAGATTAAATAAACTTTGAACAAATATAACTGCTTGATGAAGAAAATAATCCAATTAGATTTATAGATGTCAATTCTACCGATTTTTAATTATTAAGTAACGATGCTTAATCTTTAGTGCAATAAATAAGTGTTTCTGTATAATGGAATGAAGAAAATAAAGAAATATAATGCATTGGATAACTTTAAACAAAATAATTTAGAAATGGGGGCTTTAACTTAGATGCTTAAATTTTTTACAAACCTAATTCTGAGTTGGTACTAAAAATAGTGAGCAATTCCTTTCCTTCACTAACAGATTCAAATGGAAATATTGTGGTAAATTAAGGCTAAATAGAATTAATATTTAATATAGAATTAGAGTAGTGTTCAATAGGATAAATATTTAAATAGTATGGTAACTCAATAGCATGTGAATCTTGCCCTGATGGTAAATATTCTTTAAGTTTAATTGATCAAGAATGTAAACAATGCCCTGACTCAGCTGTCTAATGCATAGGTTCTAATATCTAATTAAAAGATGGATATTGGAGAGAAAACGAAAATACTGACAATATTATCTACTGCAGCTTTAATCCTCAATCATGCTAACCTTAACTTTCTTCTTCTAAAGTAAATTTGAATCTTGATAAAATATTCAATTTAAAATATACTTTTCTTTTTTCTTCAAACTTACTTTTAATAAAATAATGTTTATTGAAAATAAGTTAATTTAACATAATAATAATTTATATTAAATCAACTTAAATAAAGTTTTATTGTACTGAAGGACATATAGGACCTCTATGCTATTAGTGTGATACATATGGTGATATTTGGGGAAGTAGATATTCTGAAATTTATAATCATGGAGATTGCTATAAATGCGAAGAAAATATTCATAAAATTATACTTTATAATTTACTAGTTTACTTATTGATTTCTCTTTACATATTTTTAATTCTAAAGAGAATCATATTGCAGCTAGAAGTTAAAGTTAAGGGATATTATTTAAATAAATTAGAAATTATTTATTTAGGATCAACACGTAAGAATTTAATTATTTCATTTGAATAGTTTGTTTAAAAAAATTTATTTTATAAAAAGTAAATTAATCTGATAGATCATAAATTATTTCGAAAATTCTCACTGATCATTTTTAAATACTTTCATTAGTATGCTCATTTACTACAAAAATGCCTGAATTTTTTACTATTCCTATTTAACTATCAGGAAATTCAGTTAGCATGGTTAGTAAATCTATTGAATGCGCTTTTTCTAAACATCCAAATTTAAAACCTTTGTGGTTATTCGAATTTCTTTGGTCTTTTTCTTTATCAGCAGGAATATTTATTTTTTACTTTCTAAAAGGAATTGCTTTCAAGCGATTAAAAATAGATTTATACATAAGGTATCTATTAACTGCAGCTATTTTTATATATTTTTACTTTTACCCTATGATAATTACTCAAGCTATTAGATCTATAAATTGTATAATGATAGGAGATAAAAAATATTTAGATCTAGATTTTGGAATTTAATGCTATGATAAAAATTAGCATTAGCCGTACTTATTTTTATTTACTCTTCCCGTTATTTTTATATGGGGATTTTTAATACCTTTATTTTTATTCTATAAAATTTATGCTGCTAATTTAAAAAAAAAATCGATTATTAAATAAATAAAATATTCTTTCTTATTTGCTGGTTATAAAAAACAATACTATTACTGGGAGTTTTGGAAATTGTTTTATAAAACAATTTTGATTTTAATATCTGTTTTACTCAAGCAAAACATCTAATTAAAGGTATTCTTAATTTAGTTTTAAAATAATATATTTAATGAAATATTCAAATTTTTATCAACTAATCAAAGAATATTTTATTTTTTGATTAGTTATTGATTTTTAAGAAGTATTTTAAAATATTGTAAAAATATAAATACATTATTTAATATTTTCAAGTTAATTTTGTTTAATTTCCTAAAAATAACACATCCAAAAATCTTGATTAATTCTACTGGTAAAAAAATAATAGGTTGCTATTACGAATCTTTGTTTGATGATCTAATTTTTTTTATTATTTAAATCAAAGCCATATTTAAACAAATATTTTAATAGTTTATAGCAAATATCTACTCTAATATGTACAGTATCATTAAATTTGTGTATGATACAGATTGTAGGTGATTAAAATAACTTAATATATTAAACCTTTTGGGTAGCTATTACTATACTTCTTAACTTTGTTTTTATAGCTACTTTAATAATAGGATTATTAAGATTAAACATTTCTAATTAATAATAGTAAAGAAAATGTTTCTAAAATTTCATATTTAAACTTAAATAAAAATATCCTTAATTGCTTGATGTATAAATATAAAATAATTAAAAAGTAAGCTCTTTGCTCAAATTTAAAAAATTAAGACAATAAATAAAATAATTGATGAAATCATATAAAAAAAGTGATATATTATTTTCAGAACATCAAAAATTAAAATAAAATTTAAAAAACAATCAGGACTCTGAATTTTCACCTTGTTCACCTTAAATGCATTTAATAACTTCACCTGGAGTAAATGATGAAAAATTATGCACTTTATAAAATAATAACTCACTTAAAAGAATAAAAAATAAATGGTCTTATTACACAAGAAATTCCAAAACAAATTAAATATGTAATTTTATTTTTTTAAAAAAATAAAACATTTTTTTTAATTTTAAAAATAGCCTTAAAAGATAGAACATTTGATAAGCAAAGCTTATTTTATAGCAACTCAAGGGATATTTAAGAAACTGAAAATTCAGTATAAAATCCACTATGTAATAGTAGCCAAAAATTTTAATTACAACTCTCCTCTCTAGATAAAAGTTGAATATTACAATTTTATTGGTTTAATTTAAATTAAGTGTAGAAATATTTATATAAATTGTTGATTATAAATTTTAAAGCTTCAACAACTATTTAATATATACTGAAATTCTTGTATTTATTAAATACTTTTTTTGGTGTTAAAATACTTAAGTTTAAGGAATAATAAATACTTCACCCATTTATTGTTAGTTTGGTTATCGATGTTCTTAAGCATTATTATGGTAGTGATTATGTATAGTATGTATTTGATTAATTTTTAATAAATTCGTGTTTTACTTTTTTCAATACTATTTTTCTAAAATTTAGAAAAGTTTTATTTTTTATTGTAAAATATATTTTAATTTTGATAAATTAAAAAAGAAAATAAATATTTTTATTTAAAAAGCTAAAATAAATAATAAGAATTATATATTTTTTCAATTCTCCATTTTTTTGATTAATAAAAAGATGAGTTTAACTATTTCTAAAATATTATAAACAATGCTATTTTAAATTTTGATAAACACATGAAATTTAAAAAAACTTTTGATCAACTTTTTAAATAATATTTCATTAAATAATTGATTTGATAATAACTTATAAACTATTACAATATGATTCAATAGTCTATTTTAGAAAACAATAAATCTATTTTTTAAAATAGAGCCAAGTATATTCTTATTGTTATACATTCAGGATTGAACATTCTTCAATATTCTATATGCTTGAGTTTGCTAAATACCTTAGTTGGAGATTTACCTCAAATATTAGATTGGAGTAATGAAAACAAAAGCTTTTTAACAGGGTTGGTCAATTCATCAAATACAGCTGGTGCAGCAATGGGTATTTTTTTTAAGATTAATAAAAGGCAAATTTAAATTAAAAATAGGAAGTATCAGTTCTGGATATTTTAGCGCTAGCTATGGAAGAAGAAATATGTTTATATTTGGAGATTTAATGTGCATTTTTGGCTCAGCAATCGGTTTAATATAAAATACATACTCATTTATTTTAGGAAGATTCATATGTGGAGTTGGAATGGGAGTGTTAGTAAATTTAGTAACTTTGTTTGTTATGGAATGGACTCATTACAAATATAGAGGATATGCAGGAGCGCCTATGGTTTGCTTTACTCCATTAGGAATGATAATATCTAGTTTAGTGGGGCTAGGAATAAAAGACGGTGGGTAGAATTATTGGAGTAATATTTGATTAAACTTAATTTGAATAATTAATTATTTAAAATCAATACTTAATATCAAATTATTTAATTCTATTTATTAAGATTTTCTTTAATGATTTTTTAAAAATTATAAAATAAATTGAAATTAAAAATTAATTTTATTTTTAACATTTTAAACTAATTTATTTGAATTGGACGATGAATTATTATTATTATTATTATTATTATTAATTTTTTATATGAATATTTGCATTAGGGATTATGGTTTCTTTCCCTGGCATACTAAGCTTGATTCATATTTTGGGATATATTTTTATGATTAAATCTGATTCACCTTTTCAGATATTTCAAAAACATAGAGATTCCCATCGAGCATTATCGTCTTTAAACACAATTTATAACAGTGAAACTAGTGAAGATATTTTAAATAAAATTATCGAATCGATTGAGTCAAGAGAATAAAAAAACGATAGCAAAAAATTACTTACTATTTCTGAAATGTTTAGCATAAAAAGTTATAGGATTAGAATGATTGTGTGTGCTTTATGCGCTTTAAGTGTAAATTTTTCTGGATACTTTATAATATCTATTTACACAAATAAAATAATTACAAATAACAATAGCAATGATAATAATCAAGCAACGTTATTTTCAATTTACACTAATATTGCTGAATTAATTTCTGTAGCTGCTGCAACAATATATGTAGAAAGAATAGGTAGAAAATTTATATTTTTATCAGGTATTTTGTTTGCAATGATTATGCTCATAATTATTGGCTTTTTAGCTTAATATAGCTATGATTAATATATTCCTTATATTCTAATTTTTTTTAAAATTGGATTTGGGACTACTATTTCACCACTTTATCCAATAATAATTTCTGAAACAATAGTTGATATAGGCTATATCATTAACAGTTTAATCTTTTGGACAATAAATACTTCTATTGTTTAAACATATCCAATCCTAATAGAAACTTAACTAGGATTTTAAGGTATTTTTTGGCTTTTTTCTGGAATATTAATGATTTGTTTCATAAGTCTATTTGTTTTGATGAAGGAAACAAAAGGTTTGACTTTGAAAGAAATACATTTTCTTTATAGACAAAGTAATAACTCAAATTTATAATCAGGATACAGTGATAGCATTGTGTGTGATAAATAAATTCTAATTGACAAAGAAGATGATAGAAATTTAGAAAATTAAAATTGATTATCTTGAAAACATTTAAAGCAGTAAGCTTATTAATTTAGGATAAAAATAGTAATAGGCATAGTTAATTTTAAAGGAAATGTTAGATACAAAATTTTAATTTAGTTAATTATTGAATATTTCATTAAGATCAATTAATTATATGTTGTGGTTAGTTATTTGAATTTTGGATGTTTATGAAAAATCATTAAGGTTTTCACTAGTCAAAGGCATTTATTTAATCTTTTATCAATACAAAATTTAAAAATTCTTCTGAGTACTTCTTCGTTCTATTTATAAATTAAGAATGAATATTTGTGTAAGTGTGTAAAAGATAAAATTCAGATAGACCAAAATAATAATTAAACTGGAGGATATAAATATTATTTAGTTATATTTACAAACTTGTAATCAAAAGCAGAAAACTCTTACATTAAATTGCATCAGAAATACATTACAAATTTATTATACAGCGTAATCGAAAAATATTATTTTTATAAGGTTATACAAATATTACTCAGTTGATCAAACAAACCTTTACCATAGATTAAATATATTTTATCTTTAATAGTCACTATTTACAAATATATAAAAATTAAAGTATTATTTAATACAGAAAAAAATAAAATATTTGATAATTAAACTGTGAATTTTATTTTGAAACATCTTTATTGAAAATAAATAGTATTAAATATATTTCTCAGTTTAAAATTTAGATTGTTTAATAGAATTTCAGAAATTTGATATCATTCTTTATTTTAAGATACTTGATATTGTTTTTAATAAGTAAATAATTTTTTTTGATTGATTATTACAATTTTAAAAATTTAATTTTTTGTTACATATCTTTTGACGTTAGTAATCTGTATAAATTCAATTGAATTATCAAAATATTAAATGTCATAGAAAGTGTAATTCTAATTAAATGAAAATCGGTTTTGAAGTAAGGAGTTCTTTCTGTAGAGTAAAATTGTGTAAGAATTTAATTGTAATTAAATAAAAATTTACAAAGATCATTTTATTATATTTAAATTTTACTAGAAATATTCTAACGTGTACTTGAAAATTTACAATATTGTTTCTATCAATGTAGAGTTTTTTTATTTATTAGTACCACAACTATCTATCAAGAAATATAATTTTGTTGTAAATATTATTGAAATTTTTTTGTTATCAAATATATTTATGTGAAATCACAAGATGAGTGTTTTAGTATTGGAATGGTAATAGTTTCTCACAGTCTATTATTTTCTGATAAATAAAGATACAAATGAGCAATGTTAAGCACTTTTTACTATCTTTGTGATTAATTTACATAATCCAATCAGAACATTTTTAATTAAAAACAACTTATACAAGTTGTACTGAACTATGACATCATCACAAACAAGCATTTAATTAATGCTGTGATGCGCTTGAGGTGTAAGGAAATAAATGATATTAGTATTTGAAATTTTTATTATTTAAATTGCATTTTAACTCTTTTAAATCCTACTTCAACCATATCCTATAATAAAATTTTAACCATTTTAAATAACAATTAACACAAATACAAATTTTCAAACTATTTTAACGTACTTGATCTAAAAATGACTTAAGATTGCAGTCCATAAAATGTTGATACTGAGAATAATTAACTTGGTAATTTCAACTAAAAGTAAGATGAGCCTCAAATTTAGCTAAACTCATAAGGTAACATTCAATCTTTAAATAATTTAATTATTCATTAATTAACTAAGTTTAAATTATCTTCATTCATCCATTTTTTGCTAAAATAAAAATATTTGTGAAATTTCTAAGAAAAATTAATAAATAAATAAATTATTTTAATTTAAAATTAAAATTAATTTGAAACCTATTAGAATTATCTTTAACTTATAAATTCAATCAACCTTCTTATTTAAATTCTACTTTTTATAAATAGATTCTAATTCTAAAAAGCCAATCTTTAAAAATAAATTTAAATTCGTTGTTATGATTTTTCATACTAGTATAAATATTCTACAATATGCTGTCTGTCTCAGCTTGTTAAATACTATATTAGTGTAACTTCCTACTGTGCTGCATTGGAAAGATTCAGAAATTGATGCCTTTACAGGTTTAGTTAACTCAGCAAACACTGCAGGAGCAGCTATTGGTAATTCTTTAGCAAATAATGAATTTTTATAAAAAATTAATTTCTTTTAATTAGGATGTATTTCATCAGGTTATTTGAGTGCTTTGTATGGTAGAAGAACTTTGTTTATTGTTGGAGATATATTCTGTATAATTGGATCTGCTATTATGCTTATATAAAATACTGGGTCTTTTGTATTTGGAAGATTTATTTGTGGTATTGGTATGGGTATTCTTGTTGATCTAGCTGTGTTATTCGTTATTGAGTATACATATTATAGATATAGAGGTTACACTGGAGCACCTATGGTATGCTTTACTCCTATTGGTCTTATTATTTCTTCTTGCATAGGCTTGGGCGTTGAAAACGGTGGAGATTAATACTGGAGTAAGATTTTCATTTTATTATTTTGATTGAAAGATTATATTAAATAAATTACTCCAACATCATATTTACCTTTCTACTTACATTATTTAATTAATTTAAAGAATAATTGAAGTGTAAGTAATATTTTTTTATTCGTATCTTCAATAGTACTTCATATCTTAAATAAATAAATATGTAGGAAATAAAAAATATGATAACTAAAATATTTTTTGTTAAAATTATTTTTTAACTTCAATTTTTATACAATAGGAATTGTTATCGCCATACCTGGTATGATTAGTTTATTCCACTTGTTGACCTATAAATTAATGTGTCCTCATGACTCTCCATACTATATTTACTAAAAGTATAGAGATGAAGAAAAGGTTATGTAGATTTTATCTGAGTATTATCATGAAGATGCAGCTAAAGATATCCTAAATAAGATTAAAGAAGCCATTATTGCTCAAACTAAAGAAAAGGCCAAAAAGCATTTAAATCTTTTAGATTTAATTAAACATTCTGGTTACAGAATGAGATTATTTGTTGCTAGTCTTTGTGTTTTCAGTGTAAACTTCTCTGGTTATTTTATCATCACTGTTTATACAAATATAATTATTATGAAGGAAACTAACGATAACCAATACGCTACTTATTTCTCTCTATATACAAGTTTAGCAGATCTCTTTTCTGTAGCTTTATCTGTTTTTGTAATTGAAAGAGTTGGCCGTAAATTTTTATATTAATCTGGTTAATTATTTTGTGCAATTATGTTATTAATAATTGGATTCCTAGCTCATTATGGTACTGATTAACCAATTAAGTTCCTTCTAATTGTTTTCAAAATTGGATTTGGTTTAACTATTTCTCCTCTCTATCCTATCATCCTTTCCGAGCTTGTCCCTGAAGTTGGGTTTGTTGTAACTAGTATAGTCTTTTGGGTCTTAAATACTGCTATTGTTCAATCTTTCCCATCTTTAATAGCTTCAGAATTAGGATTCGATGGTATGTTTTGGTTGTTTGGAGCTGTTATGTCAGTGATATTTATTTTGTTAGCTATCTATATGAAAGAAACTAAAGGAAAAACTTAATATGAAATTTATGATATGTATACCAACCCTAAAAAATCCTCATCTTAAACAAAAGTCAGTTCTATTCAAGAATTACCTATAAAATAAGTTAGTTCAACTGAAAATGATAGCTGAAAACTTTATTATTTGATTACTATCTTAACTTAAAAAATATAAAATTCTTATTTATTTTAAAGTTTAAAATTAAAATATTGAATCTAAGTAACTTTATGTAATAATATAAAAATATGTTTGTAGTTAAAGCTCTTCTAAAATTAATAATTCATAGTTAGTGTAAGTAAAATTTAAATTCATAAACCAATTAAATATTTATGTTAGTTAATCATATATTTAATAATGTAAAAAATCTACCTAAAATTTATTAATAAATCAGAAGTTATTTTTGGGATTAATTACAATTTCGGCTTAAGCTACAATCAAGTATAGGATTTAAATTTAGATGGATAAAACTATGTGACTGAAAATTTTAGAAGTGGAGGCTCTTTAAGCACTTTGTATTCAATTATAGTTTGAAACATCTATTTTTATTTAAAATATGGTTTTGAATACTATTGAAATTGTTAATGGTATAAAGGGGATTATCTTATTGTATTTCTTAATTAGTAATTTAAAAATAAAAAATAAGATACTATAAATTCTTTTATACAAACAACCTCTCATATTTAGATAGTCAATACCTATTTCACCTCATTATTTTAAAAGTTGAATTTTTTTATAGGTAAGCAGTATGCTATTTTAAAAGGACACTACACAGTATATTAAAATTCATGGTATATATCTATTTAAAAAAAAATAAAAAGAGTTATATTTGATTATTAAAAAAGTTACTTCTTAAAATTTGAAACAAAGAAATAAATATACATATAGAAATATCATAATTTACACAAAAGAATTTATCAGAATCTTATTCTATTATTTATATATTAAAAAATTAATATTAAAAGAAATCAAAAGTTGTAAATATTTATTTAGAATTAATATTAAATTTGTAATAAAAGGAAAAAAATGAAGAAAATAGAGCTTAAAAAACCAATTTTATAAAAAGACAAAGAAATATAACCTAAAATAATAAATAGAAATATCCTGCAATAAAAAGTTTCTACACTTATTAAAAGTAAAAATAAAGAATAAGACAACATACTTTAATAAGAGAGCCTTGGAAATGAAGTTGATAATAAAAAAATAATAAATATCAAAATGATAGTTAAAAAATCAAATTAGATAGAAGATGCTTAAAAATAATTGCTATTAAAATTGTAAAAAAATAGTTCTAAAGTTAACTTATATCTCAAGACTTATTTTGCAGATGATTAATAACTATTAAAATTTACTATATGTCTTTAAAAAATTGCTCATTAATTGACTTACTTCACTTGGATTATAGAAGGTAAATTCGCTGATGATGGATAAGCTAAATGTATTGGAGATTTTATTGGTAAGCTAACAAATACTTATAGGTTAGATTTAAAATTAGATAAAACATATTTCGCTGACACAGGGGCAATATATTTATCAAAAGGTTTAAAAAAGCTAAAAAATCTTCATGTTTTTAGTTTTGAGTTGAATGAAGACCTTAGTGTTATCTGTAAACAAATAACAGAGTTAGGATATCAAAAAATATTTGATTCAATAAAATCTTTACCTAATTTGGAAATATTTGAAGGAGATATGTTTAAAGAATATATTAATCAAAGTAATTTATCTTTAGTTTAAAATGAAAACTTCCCAAAACTTTCGAATTTATTTCATAACTTATATCTTGAAGATTAAATTGATAATATAAAATATATCTTAGAAAAAAAAAAGAATGTTTTAATGGAAATTTCTTTTTTAAATGGTGAAGACAAAAAATAAAATTAATATGAAAATACTTTATAAATACTTTAACTTATTTTCAATTTACCATATTTAATCAAAATTGACTACTTTGACAGAAGGTACTTTTCTTAAACAGAAGAAGATAACGAGTCTTTATTGATTATAAAAATTAAGTAAATAATTTGTGAGTTATCAGAAACTAGAGCGAAATTGATTAGATTTATTTTAGCTTTTGATTAATTTATAAAAAATGAAATGATAGTTAACCCATAATAAATTATTTTAGATTTATATTATTGAATTATGTTTTTATATTTGTAATAAGCTCTTTTCTATAGTCAGTTTTAATCAATTCTATTTAATAGTTAGATTTCTCAATATTCTTAATTTCTATTTATAAAATTAAAGATTAAATTTGGTTTGCTATTCATAAATTGTTTTAGTACTATTTGCTATGATATAAAACTTTATTTTCTCTACCATCATTACTGCATTTCTTATTAATAGGCACAACAAATTTTTTCTTTTTATCTTTGCAAATCTTTTTTGTAATTATTTTAGATTGATCTTCAACTATTTATTCATCTTCATCATCTTAGTCCTCTGCAAATTAACCAAAATTTTAATCATGAAATTAATTTAAATTATTTTCCTCAAAATCATCTTCTTCTAGAAAATAAATACTGTCGTTGATTTAATCCTTTCTACTGTTAGAATTTTATTTATTAATTTCTTATGCTTAGCTTTCTTCCTCCATCTAAGTAGAATCAGTGTACTCTTATGTTAAAAACTATTTAATTATTAAATTAAAAACTAAAAAAATTACTTTTTTCAGTCACCTTGATGTTCTTTCTACTTTTTTTATTCTCTAAACTTTGTATGCTATGCATAGAGTTTTCTTCAGCTAAGCTTAGTTGACCTTTTTATTTGAAGTAAGTTTTTCTTTATCTCTCCATTTATCTCTTTTCCCTAATTTTTTATTTTTCTTTATATTGATCTGATTTACCTTTATGAACTCTGCTAATATGTCCTCCTGATTAAAAAAAGTCATTTGTAAAATAAAAAATTTTATGATTTAAAATACCTAATGAACAAGATTTATTAAAAGTTTTACTACAGAATTTGCATTAAAACTACTTCTTTTAAATTTATTCCAATTTTTAAGTTACACCTTAAGAAGGAGAGAACTATTATTATTCAATAAACCCTGAAGAGTCATCACTATGTTTTTATATTTACTTAAAAAACTAATAAATAGCATTTTCTTATATTTACTATTTATTTTAAATTTCAGCCAATTAGGTATTAATCCCTATTAAATTATTTTAAAGAGAATTTTAAGGCAAGTTCGTTGATTAAATTGAGAATTTTGATTTTATTTCTGTAATGTTGTTCACATTTTCACAAAATTAATTTATAATATATCCATTATTATTATTATGATGATGATGATGATATTTACTATAAGTTGTTCTTTTTTTTTCTTTAGACTCTTAGTCTGAAATATAACTTTCAAAGCTTTAATTAAGATCTTAATAAATTTAACTGTTGATGTTATCAATTTAGGATGTACTTTAATTTATTAAATTCACTAAGTCTTACTAATTACTTTGAATTTCTTCAAGCTCATCTATCAGCCTCTAAAAGTAATCATCCCTACTAAATTGATGTTGCTTTTCAAGTCTATTTTTTATAAAATCGTTTTAGTTCTACATAATTTCAGCTTTTTCATTTCCTTACATTTTAACATTCTCAAACTTTTAAAACAATCTCTCAGCTACATTTTAGTTTTCTATTTCTATGGATTCTCCAGATTATTTTCTTTCTATTTTGGTCAAGTCTTTGAAATAAGTATTTTCTAATTTAATGATAAATAGAAAATTTTAAATTAATAATTTAAACATGAAAAGTTATTTTACCTTAGTTAAATTAAAACTTATCTTTTAACAAATCTTCATTGAATTAGTTAGTTCCCTATTTTACAGTAAAATTTTTTTTGATTGGATGGTGTGTAAGCAGATTTGTTTAATTGTTTTCAATGCAATTGTTAATATTTTTATTTTATTTTAAGGAATCACTTAACTTCATTTATCCTTCTTGGTTTATTTACTAGAGGTTCAATCCAGCATATTATAAATTATCTGAGCATAAGCTAGTTTTTTATTCGAATTATTTATTTTTGTACATTTAAACAGGATCTTGTTGATAAGATTCGTTAGAAGTTTGGTTATTGTTGAAAATAAATTTTTAAACCTTCTGCTTATTAAAATTCGATATACTTATGTTTTAGTTTTGCAGCTAAGATTAGGCATTCATAAATTTATTAGAGTCACTCTGAAGCTTAAGTATACTGTATTAAATAGGCTAATCGTATAAAGTTTAATTCGAGCAATAAAAAGGTGAGTATAAAAAATTATTTTAGTTTTTACTCAAAAAAGCACTTACCCTTTCATCAGACAGAATGTAGAAATTTTCTTCACTATTAATTTTTTATGATGATTTTCCTTTCGAAGTATGTTTTGATTTATTCGTATAATTCTAAGTTGGAGTTTAGTAAGCAGCCTGCGTATTTTTCGGATAATTCATAAACTGCTACTTTTGATCAATCCTGCTAATTTATTAAACGCCAAATATATTATCAGAGACTTTACTACATTAATCATATTGCTCTTCTAAATTATTTTATATTAAGTTCTACATAATCCCGTTATTTGATTTCTTTTTTTTCTGGCTGCTTTGCTCTTGTTCGGATTTTTCTATTATCATAGGACTATATTTAGTGATAGCTTTTTAGTCGTTTTTGTACGTTTAAGAGCTCAAATTACTTTTCTTATCAGTGAGTTCGTTCACCATACTACTTGGCGAGTATTTTGTTTGAGCTTCATTATTGTTAGGAGGTGTTTTGTACTGATTCAGACATATAGGAGATCTAATTTTACTTTTTTTTCTTCTAGGACTATGAACAAAATCCATTAAAATTTTTTGGTTTATATTTGGTGCTTTCATAGAAGGATTCAAAATCTTTTAACCTATTTATGAGAAATTTTTGGACATTTATTTGACTAAAATTAGCTTTTTTTATTTATATTGTTTTTGTTTTTTATTGAATTTGTTTTTGCATCAAATTTAATAATGTATTTTATTAACTTAATGATTGGCTTTAAAGTAAATAAGCTAGCTAGCTAGCAATATTTTAAATTAAGATATTTGACATAAACTAGAATCTTATTAAATATTAAACCTTAATTTAGAATATTTATTAGGCTGAATTTCAGTGTAAATATCTATTTATTTTATAATAGCTTTTTTAATTAAATTTTTATTTTTCATTATATTAGTTGAGCAATTTATTATCATAATTTCTATTATTTTTAACTTTTAAAGCATAAATTTCTAAAAACATTTTATTTATTAAAATTAAACGTTTCTTGTTTGATAAAGATTTTATATCTTTGGCGGTTTAATATCCATCAATTTTAAAAATATTAAAATTCTTAGATTATAAAATATAATGATATTAAATTAGCGCCAAATGCTTAATTTTTCATATCTATAATTTATCTTTTTATCTAATTCTGCTTGCTTAATTAATTGCGCAAAATTTTATAAATTAACAATAACTCAGAAAATATTAAAACAAAAAACCAAATATTTACTGCTTTCTACAAATTTTCATACAATTATAAATAAATCTAGGTTCTCAAAAAATGGAAGAGGAAATTGAATTAGTTAATGATAAGAACTTGATGGTTCTTGCTGTTTATTTTACTTACCCAAACAATACTCGTTAAGTAAATGCTGCTATTTTAGACAGTGATTAAAGAAAATTCTAAGTTACAGAATTCTAAGACACAGAATATTACTCAAATTTTGAGTCCCTCATTCTCTAGACCAACCCTTAAAATTAGCATACCCAATTTTTGTTGTTAATCCAGTATCCAGATTTGACAACAGAAAAAGAAAAAGTCAATGATATTGTTTAACAATGCGACATTAATGTGAAAGAAAAGTAATTTTTATTGAATAAAATTGAAATTTCATTTTAAAAATCTTATTTAAATGTAAAAATTATAGGGATAAGAAAAGTTTTTTAGAAAAGGGTTATGAAGATGACCTTAATAAATTATTAAAAAAACCTTTAGCCTAATATATTTAAGAAAGTTAACTTACTCATGCTTTGAGTAGTTTGGCTTGTATTGTAGGTGATTTATAACTGTCTAAAGAACCTACTAATTAAAATTAATTCACTGTTGAGACATTGATCTTGAATAATTTTATGAAATTGGATCTCGCTGCTATTAATGCCCTTTTAATTTTCCCAAAAGAAAAAGATATCTAGAGAAGAAACTTAATGGGTGGTCAAGAAAATAATTTTAGTACATTAGTTGACTTATTAGACAAGTGCAAAACTCAAATTGGCAGTAGAACCTTAAAGCGCTGGATAAAGCAACCTCTTAAAAATGAGGCTGAAATCAATAGAAGACTTGATATTGTTGAATATTTTGTCAACAATTAAGATTTGAGAAACTACATTCAAAATGAATTTTTAAGAAAAATAGCTGACTTAGATAAGCTATATGCTAAATTCTATAAAGTCGCTAGTAAGAAAAAGCATAACGCTAGTTTAGCTGATTGTATCAAAGTCTATCAACTTGTTACTAATCTAAGTACTTTAGCACAATATATTGAAAATAACCACTCGTAAATTCTATTTGCATGTTATTAATAATATTTTATTGATTAAATTATAAAAAAAAAGAGCTGATGAATTAGCATAGAGGGAATTTTTAATACCTTTAGGGGAAATACTTGAAAATTTTGAAAAGCTTTCTAGTATGATTGATTAATCAATAGATATGGAAAAGGCGAGACGTGATAATGAATACTAAGTTAGTTCTAAATTCTCTCCAACTTTAGCAGAACTTGCAAAACAAATGAAATAAATCATGAAGTAAATTGAATCATTAAGAAATGAATATGCATAAGAATTAGGAGTTGAGCCTAAATTAGTGGAATCTACTACTCACACTTATTTGTTTGAAAGTAAAAAGAAAGAGACAGATGAAGCCTTCCGTCGTCTCCATAGTCGTAAGTATAAATCTATTTCAGTTAAGAAAGGCTGTATTTCCTTTACAACTGATGAATTATAAGCTTGTGTAGCTGAGTATAACAGCTTAAAAGATAACTATTAAGAAGAGTAGAAGTCTGTAGTTTAGAAAATATTAGACGTCGTTTCTACATACTACCCTGCTATGGAACGTGCAAGTTTCGTTATTTCTGAATTGGATGTTCTTGCTAACTTTGCTTCTTTAGTTAACTCAGCCACTCGTCCATATGTCAAACCCAATATTCATGCATCAAATAAGCAAATTAACTTAGTAGAATCTCGTCATCCCTGCTTAGAAGTAATGGACAATAATTGTGTAGCAAATGACTGCTTTATGGATAATGACAAGTCTCGTTTCCATATCATTACTGGGCCAAATATGGGTGGTAAAAGTACTTTTATTAGATAAGTTGCCATATGCGTTCTATTAGCTCATATTGGTTGCTTTATACCCTGCAAGAGTGGTGAAATGCCTATCATTGATGCAATCATTACAAGAGTAGGTGCAAGTGATATGCAACTTCGTGGTATTAGTACTTTCATGAGTGAAATGTTAGAAGCTTCTAACATGTTAATGACAGCAACTGAAAATTCTTTAATTATAATCGATGAACTTGGTCGTGGTACTTCTACAAGTGAAGGATTTGGTATCGCATGGGCTATTTCAGGTAATTTAAAACCTTATTATAAATTAATTTATTATAATTATAATTATTTAATTACTAGAACATATTGCTAATAAAATCAAATGTTATTGCTTATTTGCAACTCATTTCCATGAAATGACCAAAATGGAACAAGAAGTTAAAGGAGTAATTAACTATTATGTAAGCTGTGTAACAATAGACAATAAATTGACTATGCAATATAAATTAAAGAGAGGTTTTGCTGAGCGTAGTTATGGTTTGTTTGTTGCAGAAACTTTAGATTTCCCTAGAGAAATTCTTGAGCATGCCTCAAATAAGCTTTTAGAACTGGAAAGTTATTCAAAGGGAATTTCTGAAAACCAGAGCTCGGATTAAAATTTTGAGAATTTCAATAAAAATAGCTAAACAGACGACATATTTTTACTTAGTAAGAACTCAACAATTGCTCAAAAAGAAGCTGTTGTTGATCTTGCTTCTTCCTATAATGAAAAAATAAGAAATGCTGCTTCTAAAGAATAAAAGAAGTAACTACTTAATGAATTAAAATAAAAAATTATTTCTGCTTTAAAATCTTGAAAACATATTAAGTTCTTTGTATAAAAAAAAATATTTATCACTCATATATGCATTAAACTTTTTTTAATAATTAAATTTCTTTAAATTCAAAAATAAATAACATAATTTATATAATTTATGTCTTTAGTTGATTTAAAGTATAAAAGAATAAATTATACTTTTTATCTAAAATTTTATCAAATTCTAAATAATGTGATAAAGAGTATTTGAAATATCAATTAATAAAATAAATAGTAAATATAAATTATTTTAAATTTATCTAAAATTGCCCACATATATTTAATTTACTGAACAAACAAAGATAGTTTTGAAGTTTAATAAACGATTATTTTAGTGATTATTTGTTAATTGACTTAAGTATTTTGTTAGATAATTTAGTCATATTTTAAATATATTTTTTTTGGGAGAAGGGTTTTTTCTTTTAATGTTTTACTTAGAAAATCTAAATTCATTGTTTTATTTTTAAATTGGAAAATTTGAATAAAATGTTTATTATTTTATATCACTATTCACATCTTAGGAGGAACTTTTAGAATAAAATGTTTATGCCATCTAAATTTATTTTTTTTGAATTAGCTTATTACTGCTTTTATTAGATAAGGCCGAGTTAATATTATCTCCCATAGATTTTTAACTCATTTAAGACTTATTTCTTTATGGTATATAAGAAGTTTGTGGAGTTTAAATTTATTCTTACTCAAAACTTAATAATTGTTAAATATTTTTATACTATTCACGAAAAGCTTTGGATATTTACAGTGGTTTATAATTTTCTTTTTATTTGTGCACAGAATAGGTTAAACTTTAGGGTGTTGTGCTGATATTAAAATCATCTTTAGTAATTATTTACAGGTTATCATGATTAAAATTTGCTAAATCCAGCTTTTCTAAATTAGGAATTTGAGATAATTCTTTTCTGAGTTATTATTCAAAATCATTTTAGTACTTCTCCTTTTTAAGATTATGCTTAACTTACTTATGAAGAAACGAGTTATGCTTTTAAAAGGTCTTGCCCCAACCACTACCTATTTATTTATTTTATAACTATAAATTAAATTTAAGTTGAATTGTATCTTATATACTTTATATTGGTGACTTTTCAATGTTGTCTGTATTATACAAAATTGGAGAGACAACTCTTCCATGAGTGCAACTACTTCTTTTAGAATGTCTTATACTTATGTTGTTTTATATCCCACTACTTTTTATACTATTTCTTTAGAATTATTTGTATTTGATAACCTATGAATTACTCTGAATAGGATTTAATCTATTTTAAGTCTAAGTGTTTTCTGTATTCAAATTTGCATCGCTCTCAGTAAAATTTATATTTTAATTTATATTGCTATTATATTTTATATCAGGATTTATATTTTATTTTTCATTATCTCTCATTTTAGGACTATCAGTCATTAAGTCATCAATTGGAGTTTGCACGTAAGTTTATATTGATTCGGGTGTCTTTTAGTTAAGATAGATATTAATATGGTCATTTTATTCTACCCTATTTTTTTGGTCTGCATACATCATTTTAGTAGTAGTATTTTATTCTAAATTATTTTCTTCTTTCTCAGTTACATTATCATTCTAAGCTTAGTTATTTTTCATCTAACGATAATATTCTTCAAGATTCATATCAAAAAAATTATTTTAACTATCCTACAATAGATTATTATATTACTTTTAGACTAGCATATTTATTTGTCTGTTTTTAATTCTCATTACTCGCTGATGAGGAGTTATTGGTATATTTTGTTAAGAAAATATTGCGCTATTTGAAAGTTTTGCAGCATTACTAATACTTTCTTTTTTACTATTAATAGGAGTGTTATAATTAAATTGGCCTTAATGTGATGGAGTTACTTGATCAATATTTAAATTAGAAGGAGTTTTGGAGTTAGAAGGTAGAGTAGTTAACCATTTATAATTTCTAAGAGTTTAAGAATAAGATAGGGATTAGCTTTTGGGATATCCACTTTTATAATCAGTAGTTATTTAAATATTTCTATTATCATGGGCATCTAATTACTTCTTCTGCTAATATGAAAGCTACTCTTATGTAAATTAATTATCATGCTGTTTGCTAATTCTCTTTAGTTTATCATTAATTTTTATCAATTAGTTAGTTTCATAATCAGTAGAATATAATTTTTTTTGGCTATTGTTATTGGTCAATTATCTAGCATCAATATTTTGTTAGTTACTAAAAGAAGATTGTTTTTCAATTTTCCCTTCTGCCTTATTAAGCTCTAATCTAAGCTATTCTGAAGGATTAAATAGATAATATTCTAAGAGTCTATCCATATTGATAAGCAAATCTTACTGTGTGAATATTTGGTAGTGCAATTTTAAAATGTGTTTTAATCTAAATTTTTATGCTATTTATTATAATAAAGTATCCTCTTGCTTAATACTCACACTGGAAATTTGCTAAGTATTATAGCTCTTAAATCAAATACTATTTTTTATTTAATTTTCATTAAATAGTATATCAAAAATCCTAAAAATAAAATAACTTTGAAAACTTATGAAAACAGAGGAGCAAGATCTTCTTTAAAGCCTTAGATAAAACAAAAATAAACTGATTTAAAAGTTATGTAAAATAATATATTTAAGATTTAAATAGAATTTAGGTTTTAAGAAAATCATTAAAAAGCATTTGATTAAAAAATGTTGAAAGTAAGTAAAACTTAATTAATAAATTTAAAAATGTATAAATTTGAATAATAATTTAGATTTAATAAAAATATAAAAGTTAAAAATATTTCAGAAAAGCAATTAAAAAGAAAACTACAAAACAAAATGTTTTAATTTATTTTTAAAACACTTAATATATTCAAAAAATACAAAAAAATCATAAGTTATATAAAATAATTATTAGTAAAATTTATTTATTTAATTTTAAAATGTTTTTGCTATTGAATTTAAATCGCAATTAATGAATTCAAAAAATAATTAAATTTAAATTATATATGTTTGTATAATAAATTTAGAATTATTTAAAAAATGTGAGAATAGATTAATTCAGAAGAAACTTTTAAACTCATTAAAAATTTTTTTTAGAGTAAGATTAAATTTAAATATGAAATTTAATAATTACAAAAAGTAAAAATATTCATTTTTAAATATTTTTTAATAAATTTTAGTTATAATATTTATTAAAGCTTTTTGGAATTGATTTTTAAAGCTAAAACACAATTACCTAATTGATGAATAAAAACTAGGTAAATTTAATGCTTATTAGTTTACACATTAAATTTAAAATAAATGAATTTATTTAGATCTAAAATATTTGGGAAGAAACAATTAATCTCATCAAAAAAGAGAAATATAGAGATAGATTTAATTTATATATGAAACAGCAAATAAATACACAGAGTAAAAACATACATTAATTATTTAAAAGATATTATTAATAGGTTATTAAATTTTAAAGTGATTTTATAATTAATTGTTCATCTTGAATAGTGTATTAGTATGTTTGTTTGAATGCACATTGTATATATATTTTAATTAATTAAAAATAATTGTTGCTTTTTTTTCAAGTACAAATTTACTTGCTTACTTATCTTATTCATTCATTAATACTTTAATTTAGTGATATCTTGTACAAATTTATTGTTATTTGTAAGTAGCATTTTTTAGTTTGTATTTATATTATTAATTGTATATAAAGTTATTAAGGTTCATTTTATATTAGGTAATGCATAGTACTTCTAATTGAAGATATTGATAGCGACTTTGAATTCTTCTAATGTTGTGTTATTGAAACGATCATCATAAAATTTGTTGAAGTCAAATTCGTTATATTATTTAGATGGGATAAAGTCCTCAATGTGTGTAAATATTTAAGTCATGTGTATGCCCTTAGAAGCAGTTCTATCTATTGTGTTCAAATCTATGAATTAAAGAGACTTATAAAATATTTATTATAATTTAACTCTATATTCATCATGCTTAATTGATTTGCTGGAAATAAACTTGATGAATTCTTAAGCCTCTGGTGATTAGGAAAGCTAAATTTCATTTATCATGAAAGGTTCAATGTCAGTAAAAAGTTATTTAGCTTCAAGAACATCTCTGCTAATTATGTCCTTTGTTTGTTAAAATTCAGCGCTTCGTTGGTAAACTTCAAATCCGTCTTTTTTAATTACTTTTTATTCAGTTTCCTTAAATAGGATTTTTCTTAAGTATTCTAATCCGTAATAGTAGTAACTACAAAGGCAGTAAAGAATAGCGCATTAAAAATCTGATGGTAATTTGAATTATCTAGTGCTATTCCAAAAATTAAGTAGAGTGGCATTGGCAAACAATGCTCTTTTTCTCATAAAAGCAAAGAAATTATCAATTTTACTAACAAAGGCTCTTTCAGCTTCTTTGATTTTGATTTACTTCATATAAAGAACATATTTTTCGTTTTCAGTGAGGTCTTTATTTTCTTCGATTTTTGCAATAATTTCCTTATCTTTATTAGCTATACTGCTCAATGTCTATTTTTTTTCTTCTGGGGATTATTTTAATGAATTTTAGTTATTATTTGTAATCGTGTTTTAGTTTGCAGCCCCATAATTTGAAGTCACTTGAATGTTAGTAGCCATAAAGTAGTTTTATTAGTTTGAGGTAGGTGTGGAAGGAATAGTTTAAGTAGCATTTTTAGCTGAAAGTTGGCCACTTGGATTACCTTAACTATTTTACTTGCTTAAATTTTATACACCTCCATTAGTAGGAGTCGTAACAGTGTTCCATAAATTGCTCAATGGAGCTGTTTGATGAAAGCTTAGAGCCTTTTCCTTTTCATATGCATTGCGATACATATTTTCTTTCTACTATTACTACAGATTGCTTGGCTTGTAATTAATCCCATATTTTTCAACAAGAGTATTACTATGGTTATTTGATCTATCACGATAGCTAAGACTAGTTGTTTATCCATCATTTGTAGAGTTTGAAGAATTTGTGTTGGTTAATGATTTATTGCTATTGTTGCTATTTGTATTTTAATTATTATTTGTATTGAGGGAATTCATATTTTAGGGAGTATAAGGCTACTTAGGTGTTTACAAGGCTGAGTTTGACTATGAATCAAAACCTGTTTAAGGTAAAGAATTGAGATTATTATTCACGTTACTTGTGTAATTGATTGTATGGCTTCTTCCTGACTCTTTTCTTCTTTCACGGTCAGTCTATGCTGCTCCTGATAGAGGAATATTAGAAGGTGTTTCAAAGTTAGTATTGCTATTGTTGCTGCTATGATTTTTATTTTGCTAGAAATCAAAACGATTGTCTAAGATATTTATTGAATTTGCTCTTTTTAAAATGTTTTCCTTATTTTGTTATGAGCCATTACTGTTATGATTACTTCTATCTGTATTGGTTGCAGGTAGGTAAGTTGTGTTGTTAGACATGATAGGAGGTTAAGAAGGTACCACTGTTTGTGCATATTGACTATATCTTCTATCGTGCCTTTATATTTAAATTTCCTGCTTTTGTTGAGTTACATTTTTTTTCTCTTCTTCTGTGCAAGGAGAAGAAATTGCTTTGTTTAGTGTTGTTCCCTAAATGGCTGTGATTGTTCCTGTATTAACTACACCTACTCCATTTATGGTATTAGGCTGTGGTGGTAGAAGACCACAATTAATAATAGTATTATTAGAGGGATTTTTTTCTGCTTAAAGAGCTTGAACTTATTAGCCATTTAATTATTTATTTTCATCATTTTATACTCCTTAAGCTAAATTGTTAAAAAGCGTTTAATTTGAACCAGGAACAGCTGTGATTGTTTAAATAGGAGGTAATGCTGGTTGAACAGGTTTGAAAGCATTTTCCCAAACAGCGTCAAGATTTTTACGAATTGATTAATATAAAGGATTAGTAGAAGGTTCTATTTATACATTTTCTACAACTTTCTTTTAGAGATGTTTTTGCAAAATAGGGTGATTAAAAATTTCATCCCAAGAGATTCTATCTTTTTCATTATACATAAGCATTTTAACTAAAATATCTTTCGCTTCTTAAGCAATAGGTGGATAGGCTGGTAATTAATAGGGGCCAGATCCTACCATTTTTTTAATATTCTCTGTAAGAGAAATAATAGAATGAGCTGTGAAAGGAGGTTTTCCATACAACATTTCGAAGAAGATACAACCCATTGACCAAACATCACACTTAGAAGAGTACTTTTCATTTAGCAAGATCTAAGGAGGAGCATACAAAGGTGAACATTTTTAGGTCATTCTGACAGCTTGGTCTAGATCGTTGACAATACGAGCAAAACCAAAATCACCAATTTTAATTTTATTATCATGTAATAAAATATTTTCTGGTTTTAAATCTCTGTGAATAATTTTTTTTTCATTCAAAGCTTAATATCCTGCACACATCTACTTAAAAAACTCAACAGCTTCCTATAAAATTTAAAAATTTTAATTTTAATGGGTACTGATAAGAATTAAATTTTTTGTGATTAATTAAATAATCTTGCATTAAAAGTAAATCTGTCTGTTGTATCTTTCTTACTTACTTTCTTTATCAATTAATTTATTTCTTTATTTAGCGAATTTTTGAGTTTTATGAAAATTAACATTCCAAAAAATTAAGATATAATTTCATTTCATTTTAATTGATAATTATTTGCTATTTGAATGCTTTAATTTAATTTAGCTAACAGTTGCTTGCAGCCTATTTGTTAATTTTGAAAGTAGTATTTTGAAAATTAAAGATACATTAACAATTTATCTATGTATCTATCCATAGATCTAGCAGATATTTGAGGGATAAGTAATTAAATAAATATATTAGGCTAACAAAATAAAGGTAAAATATAATAATATATTTAAATCTCTTAATTATTTGTAATATTTTTATTTTTAAAGTTATGGAACTGATTTTTATTGGCTTAATTGTATTTTATTCTAAATTTTAATAGTATTCTAGATTTTAATTGTTATATAAGTAAAATAATCAAATATTTTTGCATCAGTAATCAATTACAAACTGTATATTTTTCATATTCTTATGTTAAGCCCACAAACACTCTAACTTCTTTTGGTGAAGCCGATACAAAAAAACAAAAAAAGCAACAAAATTCAAGATGAAATAAACAATAATTACCTCTTCTGCTAGTCTATTTTTCTTTTTAACTATATATTGGCGCAAGTCTCCACCATTACAATAATCTAAAAATAGGTATAGATTGTTTGGAGTTTATTTTAAATCGTGCATGCAAATAAGGTTTTAGTGTCTAGCCTTTAACAAAATCTCAATTTCTTTTTAAAGTAGTTAATTATAATTAGCAAATTTTTAATATTGAGTAGAGGACATAGGGATTATTTTTACAGCAAAATACTACTCATGAGTTTTATCGTTTTTATCCATCGCCTTATAAACTTATGAAAACTATCCTCCTCCTAATTTTTCATTGAAAACAATGTAATTATCAACATGTTTTAGTACTTAAGGGAGTACTGCAGTTTACTAAGTTCCAGCTGCTGATGATGACGATGGTTCTGCTTAGTTTGAGTTACTACCCTATGCTACTGCGCCTGTGACAGTATTTTACCTTTGACTTGTTTACATGCTTTACTACGAATTTTATTTTTGCATGGCTTGCTTGGAATCAAAGCACTGCTTTGAAATAGGTGCTGGTAACATTTTAGTTTTATTCTTCAATCAATCTATATATTAATTATTACTGCACTCTCTTTCTTAAATTTAATGATTTGTTTGTTTATTTATTTAATTTTTTTTTTGCAGAAAATGATATTCAAATTTTTTAAGCAACATGCAACACTTAGAATCAATCCTATAATGTTTGAATAATCAATTAATCTTTTAATTAATTATCTAATGATTTTACTCACATTTTTTCTTTCATTTAATGAAATAATCGTTTGATTTTAACTTTTTCTTTATTAATATCAAACCTAAGCTATCTTGAAAAAAGTCAATTATTATATTAATAAAAACTTCATTTCTATACATTTTTAGATTGGTTCAATAATAATAGTTGATTTACATGTATTTAATTATTTCTTTATTTCTCAGTTAATAATGTTTTTTCAAATTTTTTCATTATTATTTTTGAAAATTTTAAGAAATTAATTAATCAATTAATAATTTATTGATGCTATCTTGCTTGCCAAAAATATCATTTCCAATTAATCATCAAATTTTTTCATTATATTTTTGAATATTTTTTTAATTTCATAAACTCTCACAACTCCTACTTTTGAAAAATTCTATTAGTTATTAAAGCCAAATTCTTTTTAAATTATGCTTTATTTTTTTACTAAAATTTCTTTTATTTTTATCTCATTATAAAATATTTCTAAATATTATTACAATTTAAATGTATCTAGCTAATAAATTAGTAAATGAAAGCTTCAGACTTATCCCTCTATTTATTAGTCAACATAAACCTCACTTCAAAAAATATTACTTAACAAATGCTAATTTTAAAATATTCAAAATTTATATTTTTAATTATATAACAATAAAAATCAAATAATATTTGGATGATGAAATTTAAAAATTATCTTTTTGTATTAAGCGCAATTATAATATTGTAAAACATAAATAGAATCTTGTAAATTTAGTTTTTAAATAAATTTTCTTTTTTAACAAACTTATATTTTAATTTAAATTTTAAAGTTAAAGCTAGCATTTCTTTATAAAAAAGCATATAAGTGTTACATATAAATAAATACATCATTCATAATGTTCACCAGTTATATGCTTTTGAATAGCCATATCTAAATCAAATAAATATAAATCATTAAAACTCATGTTATGCCTATCACCTGCAAAAATTAAAAGCTAGTTTTAACGGACAATACAGCAAGCATGGCCGTCTCTAGCACAAGGTTTCTTCCCTACAACTATACTCTTTTCTTTTTCAAAAGATATTGGTGGTAGCTTTATATTCATAGCTTGAAGTGTAAATGATTTATTTAAACTTTAACTTTTTTTATTTTATATTGTAGCTTCATTAAATTTGCTATTGTAAGTACTACTACCATTTAACATAAATGTATTTTTTGATTAATTTCCAATTTAATATAAAGAAGTCTTTAAAGCTGCTGTCATAGGAGAATCGCTTCTGGAATATAGTGTTTCCATTTGCTTAGAATGCTTATTTAATAAGTTTTAAGTTTATTTTATTGGTGATAATTTATCACTTGCTAGGGCAATTTCAAATGTTGAAAGAAAGTGCTACTTTTTTATTTAAAAATCTTTTTATTTTTATTCCTTTACATATTTTCCAAATTAACCATATGTATTCTTCATATCTCCTCTTTAAACTATATCATATGTGTATTAATGTTTTTAAATTTTTGAATTTTAAACCTCTTACAAATTGTCATTATGACTAATTAAGCTCTATTATCTTCTAAACTAGCTCTTTCTATTAGTATTTTATATATATGAATCATTTTTTTATGAATTATGAGTTAAATAACTATCAGCTCTTTTTAAACTATATCTTATGCTGTTACTTCTAGAGTCGTTGCTATCATTCTGTATACGGAGCTAATTTTTCATTTTATGTTTATTTAAAGGCGATTCTGCATATAAAAAATTAGAATCTGTATGAACTTAAATCCATCTGTTCTGAATTACATCGTATGCTTAAATATCATTAAGTTCTTAAGTCATATTATACATACCTCCAAATATAAAAATATAATTTTTATAAGTTACACTCTGATGTCCACTTCTGCTCTAAAATATTATTAAATAAATTGAAATTTTTAAAAAAACTAAATTTTTATTGAATTATTTATAAAATATTTTTTTGACTTAAAATTTATTTTAAATTGAATTTAAATTATTTTTGTAATTAATTAATTGAATTATATTTAGTACAGATGGAATTTCTCGTTCAGGATTTATCTACTACCAAATAATATTCCCCTGCTAATCAGCTTTTGATAAATTTAAGCACCAAAGATCATTTAGTCTGGTATCTTCGTTTTAGCCACCAAAAACAAAAACATAATCATTGTATAAGCTTAAACTAGCTCCTGATCTTTTAGTAATTTGTTTTGATGGAGATAAATTTGGTTAAATAATTCTCCAAGAAAAATTAATTAAATTAAAAGAATAGAGCTAATTAGAATATCCTGATTAAGTAGAGTAACCGCCAAATATGTACATCTCATTTTTGTACATAAAAGCATTGTGAGAATACAATTAAGGAATTAAAATTTATTTGTTATTATTTTTAATAATATTCCACTAGTTTTATTAAATGTTGAATTCATATAGATCATTCACTCTAACAGTCTAATAATTACTTGTCTAACCTCCAAATAAGTAGATTTTATCTTAAAAGCTAATAAGAGAATGTCTTCTACGTGTTCCTATAATCAAATAACAAAATTAAATTATAAATCAATTTCCATTCTAAGTATATGAAAAGCAAGCTATTAAAAAATAAATGCTGTAAATAATTTTCCTTTTAAAAAAATCCTTTATTTAACATACCAGGATTTAATGATGATTTTGTGGTAATAATTTCCCAATCATATTTGTCATTATGGTTTTGCAATTTTAGTCTTGCAAATAAGGAACTCATGGTTTCATTATTTTCATAACCTCCATAAGTGTATAAGCTAATTATTATTTTTTGTAAAATTTCTTATTGATTTAAAAATACAAAATAAAATACTAATCTCCATTTATGCAAATCGCATGATAAGAACGACTTTCCAAATTCTTTCCTGACACTTTAATTTCTTACCATCTTCTATCTAGATTATCTATCTTATCAATAGGAGTATTTAGTGATATTTATTTTCTTTTAATATCTTAAATGGGGGTTAATTGCTCTATAGACTCCCCCTACTAAGCCTACTAATGTAAATTTTTTTACATTTCAAAAATAAATGTATATATATTATAAATCTTAATTAATTTGTTAAGTATTTATTACTATTTCTTCTTATAATAAATAATTAATTTACAAAATAGTATAATATTCTTAAATTAAAATTATGTTCTCTGTCAATTTAGCAATATAAACTCTGATTACAAATAAATACTTTATTTACATTTACTAACACTCATTTTTTTAATATAAAAAATTTCGCCAATTTTAGTTAAATTCATATAATTTTTCAAATATTTTATAATATTGATTTTATTTCTAAATATCAAAGCTTAAGTATGAATTTTAAATTAAATAAAAAATAAACAGTGATGTAAATTTAAATTTTTAAAATAGAATTGTTTAATTATCAAAATAATTTTATAAGTAATTAAAAATTTGCTAATTTACAGAAATTAGTTTTTATTTCTTAAAAATACAAAAATTTATCCTGTATTTTATCTAGATCCATTTAAATATTTTTATGTAGTAATATTTATTGTATCTCCAGAAATTGCTAATTTAATAGTTAGGATACTCTATTATTTTCCACAATTTAAATTAGAAATTAAAAAATTTTTTTATTGTTAATAAAACAATATATAAATAAAATTAAAGAAAAACATAAATAAATTAATGATAAATCAAATAAATTCACCTTAACCTATTTTATAATAACCATTTGAGAGACACTTAATACCATTTTACAAAATGTGTTTTTCTAAATTTTTTAAATTTTGGAATATATTAAATTTCAACTATAAATTCTCGAGATTTTGTGTAATATCAAAAATATCTATAGGTTTAGTTTCGTGCTCTTAAAGTCTATTTTATAGATAAATTCTTGAAAAAATAATAAACAATACATTTTACAGAGACTTAGAAATGAAAATTAAAAGAGATAATTTCAGATTAATAAAATGAACTAAAATTCTTAGTAATTATTTGATATTGAAGAATTAAAAATAAATTCTCTGTTTTATAATTTCCTAAAAATAAAAAATAAATATATTTTGTGTAATACCTATTCAAGACAATCTTTAAGTAAAAAATAAGTTTATTACTTTTAAAAAAAATTTTTTAAAAGAATTTATCAATTAAAATTATTAATTTTAATAATTATTTCAATATTTATTGTTTTAATTTATCATATAAATGTTACAAATTATAATTTAAATTTATTTTAACTGAATAATTTTGAAAGATAAATATAATTTATTATTTAATGAATGAATGATACTCATTTCATTGGCAAATAAGAATTCAAATTTTTACTGAATCTTGTATTTGCAGCAAAATAATAATTGATAAAGATCTTTTATTATAAATAATAATTTAAATTAATTAAAACTAAAATTTTACAGAAGATTTTTTAATTTTTTAAAATGAAAGCTAAAAATACTAAATTTAAGTAGTAAACTAAATAAAATAAAACTTTTAACTCTTAGCAATAATAAAATAATGGTATAGATGCTTAGCAGTAAATATCTTTATAAGAAACAGAGGTGATAGCTTAAGCTTAAGAAGAATATTTAAATGATATATAAGAATAGGATTATTAGTAAAGCTAATAAAATTAATAATATGATGCGATAGATTTGTAGGAAAAAACAAATTATTTATATTATGAGAGAATAAAAGAAATGTAAAGAAATTTAGGTATTAATTGAATAAACTTTTAATCGTACATTTCTAAATAAGTAACAAATTAATTTGAATAGACTTGAATGAAGACAATAAATCATTAGAATTGAGATAGATAGAATTAGAAGAAATGTATATTGGAAAATTAAGGGAATAGAGATAAAGGGTATTTAAATAATTATAAAAAGATTTATAAAAATCTAAAATTTAAATAATTATTATATTTAAGATGGAATAAATTAAACTAGAATTTGAAAAGAAGTAAAAATATATAAACGAACTAGAAAGAAAAGTAGCGTAATATGACTGTAATTTATAAAATAACTTATAAGTTAAATATGAGTTATTTTTATTTTAAAATAGATATGGAAGAATAGTATAACTAGATAAAGAAAAAACTAAATGATTCGTTAACTGTATCTGAAGATTCAGTTTTTGAAATATCAAAATTAAAAAAAGAAATTCAAATACTAGAGCAAAAAGTTGATAGGTAAAAAAAATATACATAAATAAATAAATAAATGAAGAAATTTAATAATTTTTTTTGTAATTTATTACTTTATATAGATTTAAAAATGAGATATCTGAGAAAGACTTAAGGATATAACATTTGTATTAGGATTAAATGATGTATTTAGTAATTTTTATTTTTTGGTGATTGGTTATTAAAAAAAATATGATGATTTCTTTTCTCAAAAGAAATAGGGCAGTGAAGTATAAGAATAGATAGAGAAATTTAAACAAAAGCTTATAGAAAATGAAACACAGTTTCATTTGCAATTAGAATAAAAAAATTTACAAATGCAACAACTGATTGAAGAAAATAACATTTATACACAAAAAAAGATAGATACTGATTCTTTAATTTATGAAATAGAGATTTTAAAAACTTAAAACGCTGAGTTAGAAAGAGAAATTAAAAAGTTTACAGATATGTATTAACATGAAAAGAAATAAGTAAGTAACTTTTAAGTTTGATATTTCTAATATAAATTTAAACTCATAAAATAGAAAGAAGAGGCTATGAATAAATTAGAAAAACTAAGTTCTTCGAATAACTTGGACATTGAAAAAAACTAGAAGAATTAATAATAGTATTTAAAGCTAATTAATGAATTGCAAGAGGAATTAGATAAGCATAACTAATTACTGAGTATGATAATATTAAATTAAAAATGCATTAATAAAAAATATAACATATTATAGAAAAGTAAGAAGAGACCATTTCAGAATTCCGTAAAATGAAGCAGTAAGATGAAAGAAAGCTATTGATGATAACTACAGAAATGGATTTATTTTAAAAAGAAATTGAAAAATTAACTTTATCTAAAAAGTAATTAACTTATCAACAATTATTTCTTATAATAAAATTAAATGTATTAATTAATGTTTCTTATGAAAGATAACAAAGGGATGAGTTGTTACAATATAAATTTATAGTAGAGCAAAAAGACAATGAGTTGAAGTCTTTAAAGGCATCTAACTAAGAACTAAAAGCTAAAATTATGCAATTTAGTGACAATTCTATTTACGAAAATAGAATTAAAAAGGATCTAAATAAGGTTTATAAAATATTTATTTTCAAATTCAAAAAAAAAAAAAAAAATATTCAATTAAAAAAGATAAAGGAAGATCTGATATAAGCAAGAAGCCTATAAATAGACAAATATAATGAGAATTATTGTTCAAATGAAATTAATCAACAATAATTCGTATAAAATAATCAACTTGACTTATAAAATTAGTGAGAAATATTTTATATTTTTTAATTTATTTTTTACAAAATCATCAAAAAATATTACAAGCATCCTCTTTTTCATTGCCTTTTTCATCTATTTTTTCTTTATTTTGATGGCTTTCGACATATTCTTCCTCATCACTCTCTGATGATTAATCTAATTCTTTTTCTGCATCAAAATACTAAAATTAATTTAATTTTTAAACAATTTCCCCATCCTAAGCACTTTCTTGACCTATTGCGTCTCTATTTTAGAGATTTGAACTTTATAAGCTAAAAAATAAATAAATAAACAGTAGATTTAATTAATTTATTTAATACTTAAAAACTTCAATTGGTTTCACTTTTTGTGTTAAATTGTTATCAGATTTAATAGTTGGAATGGTTTATCCGTCGTTGCTTTGAATATCAGGTTAATTCATTAGTAGTATATGAGAGTCTCTTAAGTTTTGATTAGTTTGTAAATTCTAAATAGATTATTACAACACTGAAGAAACTCCCTAATATGCCTATTTTCCATAAACTACGTCTTCTATCATTTTCTCTCTTTAATAAATAGTTGACTTATCATAATACTAAAAATATTTTCTTGAAGCTTCGTTAAGATACAATAAATATTATTCACTGTTTTACTAAGATTCAACCATTTCTGTCAGTTGGTTCTCTAGCTTTATAACATAATTTAGATATATATTATCTATTTATTACATTTCTATTATAAATAAAATCATACAAAAGCTCTTGTTTCGTTTAAAGAGCTCATAGTAAGCTCAAATTAATTCTATCTATCTTCGAAAGTCTTTTTTTCAACTTAATGTTCTTTTTTCATACCTTCTAGCTCTTAAAATTCTTTTTACACCTATAAATTTTGATTTCTTATTTAATAAATGACATTTTAAAATAATTTCAAATTATACCTATTCAAAATACAAAACTTTTATCCTTATTTCCTAACTGATTATCCAACACTCATTAATATTTTTTATGAACTAAAATAGCTTTTCCAGCTAAGCTTTTTATTTTTTCTTTAAATAAGGTTTAGCAAGAAATTCATCCTACTTACTTAAAATTTCAGCTGCTATAAATGACTGATCTCTAGTCATCTTTGATGATTTTTTATACAACAATCTTTAAATAAAATCTTCAATAGCGTTTCTTCTAAATACTTATTATTTAAAATTTTCCCAAAAATAATCTTCTTTATAATTTCCATAAAGAGCTATTGTGCACCATAAAAAAACTAAATTTAAAGAGTCGTCTATATCAGGTATGCTGATAGAGCCTATTTATTTATTTATAAATTGATTCGATAGATAAAGAGATTATACCTAAAAAATTTTTATACCTAATAGCATAGGTTCAAATCCCTCTGATAAACTTATTCTTTCATTTTCTAATTCATGCATATCTTCAAACATTGCATCTAATTCTACTTCTTATATGTTTATATTGTTATACTTTTTTTGATTCGTAGTTTCTTTTAATTGCGCTTCCATTTTTCTAAGCTTTTCACTTATCTATTTTACAGAAAAGAATTTTAAAACGTATAGAATGTAAGATATTTTATACTTCATTAAGTTCTTTTTTCTGACTTTCTTCATACTATCTTATCATTTCAATCAAGTTAAACAAATCTATTCCAATAACGTAAAGGTCATCAATCTAAAATTGAATAAGATCATAAATGAAATCATTAATAATAAAAAAAGTTTACATATTATGAAAAGAAATTTATATCTTTATGTATCATGAGTGAGTGAAAATCTTTAACTTTATCATTAGTGCTTTCTGATGTAAGAATAGCTGATTTAATGTCTTGTGATTGATCTAATTTTATTGGTACATATTCACGTAGTTTAAAATACTATTTATTTATAAGGATAATGCAATTTTAAGCAACATAAATAATATAAACAATATTTATACTTCTCTATCAAAGCTTTGTTGTGAAATATTTAGATGTGATTCGTCATCAGAAATATCAATTTTATTATTTATAAAATTTATTTTCATTTGTATATTTATAGTTTTTATATAAGCTAACTCAAAATATAGAATTGAAATTTAATTAATGTAATTAATTATTCAATTTTTTGTTTGATAGAAATAAATCAAAAATATTTTTTATATCTTTTAAAAATTACAAATCAATTTCTATTTAAACTTTAATTAACTTAAATTATAAAATAATTTTAAACATTCCTAGATTATTATACTTGTTAATAATACAATTGTGTCTATAATTTAACTTTTTATGTAAACTCATTTATTTTAATTATAAATAAAAATATTAACGAATACTTTGAAGCTTAAATTTAGAAACAAATAAATCTTAGCAAATAAGGCTAATTTAGAATTTAAAATAATCATTTTATTTGTTAATATTTTTTTAGTTTTTACTTTTAAATATTTAATTTAATTCTATCATATTATATAAAAAAATTATATTCAAGCAAACTTAACAAAAAAACAAATATTATATATTAAACGAATAATTTATTACTTTATATTTGTAATATAATCAATCACCTTAATGTGCTTTAGCTGGGGTTTTTATAGCAATTAGTTGTCATACATTTTTGCAGATCTAAATATTGTTAGGTTTTAGAAAAATTCAAACTTTTTTCTGCATTTTAATAAAAAGCATTCACACATGTGCTTATAACTTACTTTAAATCATCATCAGTTTTAAAAGATACATTTTTACATAATGATGGAGCCAATATTTCGCTTTATTATCCTATAAATACGTTCAGATCTGTTTATTATTGGCTGCAATGTTAAAGCTTGCATGATTGTAAAGTACCACCTTAGTATTAAGCAGGTGGACCACAGTTATTAATTTTGCAGATTTTCTATTTTCTTATGGAATCAGTATTTGAGCAATCATCAGCGCAAGCAGTTTGCTAAGTGAAGATAGAATGCGAAAACAAATTATTTGGGATAGCGTATTTAGTTTAACAATTTTAAAGACAATCTTTAAGCTAGTTATTTTCATCATCTGTTAAGATAGAATTACAGTCTGAGCATGTCTAAGACTGGGCATTGCTCAAATAAATTTGACAAGCGAAGCTAACAATAACAAGATAAACAAAATATTTCATTCAATTTCTAAAATAATCTTATCTTGAAAAAAAAAATTATATTCAACTAATTTAAAAACAAATTTTTACTTCTAATTAATTATAATTTGGAATTCATGGAATTGAAATAAAGAATATGATTATGGAAATATTTGTTTAGTTATAAAATTCTGAATATTTAATGGTAGTTGTTAAATTTGATATATTTAATTAATAATAAATTTGTTGTATTTTCATGAATTCAAAAACAAAGACAAATAAATATATATATATTAAAGTAAATATGCTATTTAAATTATTTTAATGAAATAAAAAAAAATTATTTCGTAAAATGAATTTTTTAAAATTCTGAAATTTTTTATTTTAATATATTAATTTTAGATAAATAACATTGCATTTTATTATAAAGTTAACTTTGTTTTTATATGACTAATTACTTTAATTATTATAATAACACGTTTAATTCAATAACCTTCATCTTCAAAATAATTTTTTATTCTTGCTAACAAATCTTCCTTAATTTTATTTGGAACGGTATTTCTTCCTATTATTTTTAATTTTGAACGAATAAATGATTTGTTTCTTATTCATTCTAAATGATACCTCTTTCTACTAACTCATTAACTAATTCATCAATTGTAACTTTTTCAAGACCTTTCTTTCTAATTAGTTCTTTTTAAAAAACACTTTATTTTTACCTTTTATCTGGTTTAGAAGAATTTATTTACCTTTGCAATATTTTTTCAAATCATCTTTCCAACCAGACTCTATTAATTTCTATCTAAGATAGTCCTCTAATCTATTTTATTTTCAAAAATGGATGATCAATTAAATATAATTTAATGAATAATTTATTGATTAAAAGTATTAAAAAATTTAAATAAATACCTTTATTCTTCTCCGCCTTCTATGAGTTTTTTCTCAAGAGCTATTTTACGAGATGCTACATATGTATCTGCCCTTTAACTAATAAAAAACATCAACAAAAACAAAAAAACCTAAAACTAATATTACTTCATTATTTAATAATTCTTTATGATTTAATTTTTTGATAATATCTAAAAATTTTTATTAAAATTTTTTATAACAAACAACATTGAGTAGAAAATTAATAAATTAAATATTTTTTAAATAAAATCAATATTGAAAAACTGTTAAAATTATTTCATATAAATTGAATTGTGATTAATAATTATTATTATTTTCTTAAAAATAGTTATTTAAATTAATGCAATTAATTACATTTTTAATTTGTAAGCCAATTCAATTAATCCAATTTTTTCTATAAATAAAAAATAGTTAAAGCTAGAATTTTTTTTTTAAATTTAATTTATTCAATAAAATACTCTTAAAAAAATTATTTACTCTTCTTTAATGACCAAACTTATTGTAAGTTTTTATTTTCTGTAAATGATAAACATTTCTAATTAAATAAATATTTATTCTTTCCCTCTGCAAACATAAAGTATAATTTAGGTAGTCTATGAAATTTTAAATTACATCAAATTTCCTTAATAATTTAAATGTACGTCTTTAGTATTTTTAATAATAAAATTATAGTGTTAATGAGTAACTGATTCAAAAATTGAACATTTTATAAGTAATTATTTTTGTAAAAATAAAAATATCTAAAATACGATGTAAAGATTAAAAATAGCTATAAAAAGTGTGTGATTGCTAATAAATATTCATAATTCTTAAATTATAAATCATCACCAATTATATTTGATTTTTGTGTCAGCATATTTAAAGTATATAGATAGAATAAAAAAAATATAAATTTTTCATAGAAAGTTTATAAATAAGGATTCATAGTAAATAATTTTTACTTTTTTCTTAATTAATTAATTGTTAACACATAAATTGAGTATATCATTAAATTAAAATGCAACCAAATGTATTAAATTAAAAATAAGATAATAATAGTAATAATATTAAATAAGAAGCACTTAATAAAGCGTTTATTTAAAAAAGGACTTTAATGCAAAAAAATATTGACTTTCATATGAGAAAGTCAGGAGTCAAAGCTTCTTTTGAACGTGGATAATAATCTCAAATGCTTTTATTTGAGTCATTTAAGACGCGTAATTAATATGAAAATGAAAGTGTAGATGATGTAGAAACATTTACTATTGATTAGAATAGAAACAACATTTTGGATTAAGAGAGGGCTTTTTAACCTTCAAAACAAAGGTTAAACTAGCTTCGATTTCCTTTTTCATAATCTTAAAATTGCTTTGAAGAAGTAAATAAATTTACAGCAGATCAAGAAGTTAAAAACTTGTAAAATTAAGAAATACCTGCAGCATCTTAAGAAAGTAAAAATAAATACAAAAAGGAATCAGAGTCTAATTCTTCTCTTTAAAGTTCAAGCAAATAGTCTAATGAACCAAAGAGTTAAAATGTCAATAAAAATGAAGATAAAGAAGATAATAAAATAACTGTAAACCCAGATAGGAGCCCAATTCCTAAAAGTATGCTCTATAGTCGTCGTGGTTCTAGAAGAATTCCTGGAGCTATGAACGTTAGTGGAGCCTTCGCGAGAGAAAGCGTTCTTAACACAACAAATAACCATGCAAAAGATTTTACAAATGATAATAAAGGAAATTAATTGATAGGCCATAAAAGTGGTTTTTTTTTTGCTCTCAAAATGAAATAGTATGCTAGTCATTTAGTATCAAAATTATAGAGTAGGAGATACAATAATTTAAGAGCTCGACACTTACAGTTCTTTAATGATAAAACTATAGTTCCAAACGAATAAACAGGAGTATTTAAAAATTCATCAAATGATGATGACTCTGATGAACATGAAATAACATCTTCCTTAAATTTAACAAAGAAAATATCGTTTTTCCTCAAAAGTGTTTATGTAAAGCTTTTCTCAGAATAGATGAAACATTATTTTTAACGTATACCACTGTTTTTACCATCACATACGTTAAAATTGTTATGGGATTCACTCAACATGTTAAGTATTTCTTACTATTTAATTTTCTTTCCTTTAAGAATTGCTTTTGGTTTGGGATATGAAGATTCTATTTCAAGCTATTTTGCTTTAGGAGTTTTGATTTTAGATATTCTTGTTTATCTTAATACAGGTTTTTATGATAAAGGTGCTTTAATTACAGATAGAATATAAATTTTTATCCATTACTTAGATTCTCGTTTTTTTACTGATCTTTTAAGTATGGTACCTTTTGTAGTATATAATATTTCCTCACCTGATAGCAACTTTTTATCAGATCCGTATAAATTTTTAGAAAGTATTATTTCTCTACTATTTTTAGTTAGGGTTAATCATCTTGGTTAAATTAAAAAAAAAATTGAAGAAAGATTCTATCAAAACAAAACTCTAACCCACATCATATCATTGTTTACATTACTGGCTACTGCTTTGTATATAGCTCATCTGTTTTCTTGTGTGTGGATCATTATAGCAGAATTCAGATTATCTACATAAAATACATGGATGCAACTAGCAAAAGTTGATTAGGAAACTTGGATAATCTAATATCTTTATAGCTTATATTTTTTAATTATTACAATGACTACTGTAGGATATGGTGATATTAGACCATAAAATGATATAGAACATTTAGTGATTATAATTATTGTATTAATTAGTAGTGGTGTTTTTTCGTTTAGCATCAATAGAATAGGTAAATATTCCTTTAAAATTGATTAATATCTCTAAAACTCTAACTATCATTTTCTAGTTTAATACAGTATGCAAAATTAATTTTTTAACAAAATACCATGTCAAATTATTTTAATAAAAATAAATTTTTTCTGTATTGAATTTGTAAGAGATTAAATTTGTATTAAAGGCAGTTTTCAATTAAAAATTAAAAACTCTTACAATTTAAAACTACTATTTAAAAATAATGCTAAAAAATAAAAAATTGAAATTACGAAAAACAAATTAAGAAGGAAATTTGACAAAAAATAAAAATTTCTATTTGGTTTTAAGTTTAAATTAAATAAATGTAATTAACATTTATTAAGTTTATAATCATTCAATAGTTTACCAAATTTACTACTAGTAATCAAATTTTAATAATTGGAAAAAATTATCTTTTTTTAATTAAAATTTTAAGATATTTATTATGAATAATAAAGGTACTATTGTGTCACAAATGTCTTTTGAAAAAGAGAAATTAAAAGAAACTTTATAAGTTATCAATAACTACATGAATAAGAAGAATATTAATATGAGCTTGCAGTAGTAGATTAGAGAATATCTCGAGTACTATTTAAAAGAATCAATTATGAATGATAATGAAACTGAAGATAAAATCATCGACATGCTTAGCGAACCACTTAAAAGATCCTTAATGATTGAAGCAAATAAAATTGCTTTGAAGGACTCACCAATTTTTCGCAACAATTTTTCTGAATCAACTATTTCGAAAACTGTATCTCTTATTTAAGAATTGAGATGTACACCTGAAGAAATACTTTTTTATGAAGGAGATATTGATGATAGTGCTATATTTTTTGTCTAGTAAGGAAAGGTAGAATTATTTATTGATTCATATAAGAGTAATGGTGAGCCTGTAATTACTTCTCTTAAAGTATTTTCTAAAGGTTCGAGTTTTGGAGAAACCAGTTTTTTCACTGGTGCTCCAAGAGGCATAAGCATCAGGAGTATTGATTTTACTACTTTACTTATGATAAAAAGACAGGAATTTTTAAATGTACTGAAAGAAAATGCTGAAGACTATGAAAATTTTTGCAAAATAAGAGATAAGATTATTTTTTACAAGAATTTTGATGATCTTGGAATAAAATGCATTAGTTGTAATAACAAAAACCACTTTTTAAATGATTGCCCTTTTATTCATTATGTAGCAGATAAAGAAAAGGTAATTTTTAAATATTTAATTAAAAATAATAAAATTTTATTTTATTCAAAAAGATTATAAAAATACACTAATTACCATCATAGAATGAAAGGTCAAAAACAATACCAAATAAAGAAGAAATAGAATTACATAAACTAACTAAATATAACACTTTAGGAAACTTAGATGATGTACTAAATTATTTAGGGGCTTTCCTTGAAAATATGAAAAGCTATTTAGAGAAATAAGACTGGTATGATGGAAATTTAGAAGATGAAGAAGAATATGAAATTTATAATTAATATGATGATGACGAAGAAGATGAAGAGGAAGATAAAAATTAGGAAACGGATATACCTGATATCAATCTCAAATATTTATATCAATAAAAAGACCCTCAACAAAATGAAATTAATAGGCATGAATAATATTTAAATCAAAATAGTTTAACGCATCCATCCGCAATAAAAGAAAATTCTTTTGTTCCTAGCTAAAATCTTGAAAAAATGTCATATAAGAAAGATGATAATCAATTCTTACAAAATCCTCCTCAGAATGTTGGAGAAACGCACTCTTATAAAGGATATCGGTAATATAATAACTTAGAAGTAGAAGGGTAAAGAGAAAGAGCTTCTTCAAATTTAGGTTTAAACGAATTATCTTTAACTCCATCTGGTTTGGTTCTCAATCTAATTAACCCAAATCCTGGAAATATTAGAGAAAGCAGCTAAAAACAAGAAAATAAAAAAAGAAGCGCATCAAATTCAAATTTGAATGTTAATCTAAATCCTAGCAATCCATAAATTCTCTACAAAAGCACAACGCTTAATGATGATTATAATTAGCAAGTTAATCCCTCAGCTAGTAACATTATTCCCACTCCCATACTATCATCGCTTCAGAATACTAATTCCATAAACCCTCTAAATAGCACTCCTATAAAAGAATCAACTAATAATTATTCTATAAAATAATCATCTTTGGCTCGAGCTAATTCTCTAGTTCGAAGAAATACGAAAAGAAAAAACACTGAAAAAACAGCAAGATCAACTCATAAAAGGAAAAGCACCAAAAAAACAATAGATTCAAAAATGAATATTCAAGCCAGTACGAGTAGCTACCAAAACGATAGAAAGCCATATAAAAAGCTTACTATTATAAGAAAAGGATTTTAAGAAAATTAAATATAAAATACGTTACTTGCTTTGCAAGGCATGGAGAATATCCTGCTTTAAAATAAGTCAAATTCAAATTCTAATGAATTTGATATGATGAAAAATTTCGAAATCTATTTTCCACATAATAATGTTGATGTTGTTATCTTCTAAATAAGAAAAAAAAATCCTCATCTTTATGCTAAATCTAAATCGTTTGTTAAATCTCCAACTAAAAAATTATTTGGAGCTATGACTATGAATTCTCAACACAATCGTATGAGTAAAATGGACATGGTTTTACAAAAATTCTTATAATCTGAACTTGAAGATGAGAAAGATAAAGAATCGCTAGTATCTGCTTCTCGATAAAAAAGTTAGACATTTGTAACACATAAGACGGATCATTTTAAAACTCCAAAATAAAGTGATTGGCAATCAAGAAATACAAGAATTAATGATAAGAAAGCCTCATATAATAACTCTCATAATGATATTCTAGAGTTGTAAGGTAGTCCAATTCCTAATAAAACGAGAGCTAAATCTATGAAAACTATACATCAAAATAGTGCAAATAACTAAGATAACTATTCTCGTGTATTAAATAATTAGAATGAAGATGCTAATTCTTTATAGCATACATTACATCATGATGATATATATTTAGAACCCTTAGAAAAGTAACAATAAACTTTCACACATGTTTAAATTGGTGGGTAGCAAAGTAGTATGATTTCTAGTAAAGTGAATAGTCATAATTAAATACTAATTGAAGAGAGTTCTCCTAAAAAAAATGTTAGCTTTTAGGAGAACAACTTTAGAGGAAGTAATTTAAATATTTGAATAATTAATGTAATTTATTTTATAAATAAAATAAATGATCAAAATATTGTAAATAAATGTTAAATATTATTTAAAATATTATTCGATAACAAATTAATTTATATAAATTAATTTACAAATCAATACTTTTATATTTAGTTTAATTTTTCAAATTTTTTTATTTATCAAAAAACTCTTCCTCATAATAATTGCAACTATCTAAAAAGCTAAATGCTTTTCAGTCTTTAAATTTTCATTCAATCGGTTTAATGTTATGATTAAACGGAAGGGTGTCTTAGATAGGTTTGAGTGAAAATAAATTGATTATTTTTATATTTCAAATAATATTAGAATTCAAAATTTAGAATTAGTTAGAGATAACTACCATATTTACTTTAAAAATTACAAATAATAAATAAAATTTAGAATATTACTTAATTATTATAAATTAATTTAATCAATTTTATTTTTCTTCATCAATTTTGTCAAATTATTTTCTATTAATACCATATTTATTCATACTAAATTTTTATCTTGAATGTTTTTTAAATAGTGGTGGTGTTGGAATTCTTAAAGAAACTGGAGAATTATTAAATTAAAATGAGAATAGCTACTTTGGTTATTTAGTAAAATCTTTTTTTGAATCTAATTCTTTGTTTACACTTGAATTATTTAAATTCTAAAATTGTTCAATTTAGATTTTGCTTTAATCTTCTTTTTAAATAGATTATCTTACTTTTGACCAACTATAATTATTGTAAATATTTCTTAAAGTTAATTAAAGTTGTTAAATGATTAAATAAATTTACTTTTTAAAAACTTTGAAAGGATCATATTTTTAATTAAAAAACAAATTATATAGTAAAAAATTATTTTTAAACAAGTACTATTGAATCCATGTTTAGTTATTTAATATCTTTCTTGATATATATTAAAATACCTTAAGACAACACGTACTTTTTAAAAAGAAGTATTAATTTCTTCTAAAAATTACGCCAAGAAAACTCATTGCTAATTATCCTTTTTTAATTTTAATTATTAATGCTTAAATATTAACTATGAAAGGAAAATTAACTTACCAAACATCATTATTAATAATACTACCAAAGTAATTGAAAAAATAAAATTAAGATACATTTTATCATCATTCCACTACTCAAACAAAGCAATCCAGAAAATTAAGAGAACATAAGTGGCTGAATCAGACTCTAACTTGTTTATTTTATGATCTTAATATGGCTTAAAGAGTATTATAGAACCACAGTAAATTGACTATACAAATATAACTGAATTCAACTAAATTTGAGGTTAATTATTGTAGTAGGTTGACAAAAATAGAATTATTATCTTATACCAAGTTTTGATAAACTCCCACCACCATCTGTTTCTCTTAAAACCTTAAAAGAAATATCCATATCTTCTTATAACATTTGTTGAAATATTATCAAACATTTTAGAATGGTTTCTAAATAATACATATAACATAATTATAGGATAGATAATTATGACTGCTATTAAAACAGGAAGTACTAAAAATACTATGTAGAATTTATGCTCATCATTATAGCATTGTTAATCCATCTAACTTTTCATGTAGTAAGTATCTCCAAACTTTTCACAAATAATAATTTCTAATGCAGCCTAGTAAATATTCTATGAAGCAAGATAACTGAATACAATTATAGTACTAATTGACATGTTAACATTATTATATTTAATTTAAGTATTATAGTATTGACTAGGCATAAAATATTCCACTCCAATAAAAAATAAGTTAATAGATATATAAATTAGTAGCAAAAACACACATGGAAGAACGATTGAGATGTATATAAATCTCAAGTATTGGATTGGTATTTAAGAATTTAACTAACTCAAGCTGCAGTCTATTGAATATAAAAACACCAATATTGGCTATGAAGTCGTTTAAGGAAAGGTAAATAAGCTCTAGAATAATCCTGGGAAAGTAAGACCAATACTAGACTTCAAAGCAGTGATTACATAAAATTAATTTATAAAGATTTTGGATATGACTGTAGATTAAAATATAAACTATGATACTCCCATTTAGAGAATTTTAAGTGAGGATATAATACGAATTTGGCATATTTTACAATTACTATTTTAAGATTCTAAAATTAAAAAAACCAGATAGAGTACTATTCCTAAGAGTAATAATATTTATTTAAAAGAATTATTTTAAATAGAAGAGCATAAAGAGCATTCAATACTTTTCTTACCTATTTAATTAACTTTTCCATATTTATTTCCCCATACTTACCCTTAAATATCACAAGATGAGCATAAAGCACCTGTGTGTCCCTCTTAACAGTACCCTTTTGATGAATCTCCATTGCAAGGATTTGAAAGCTAATCGCATTAGTATATATCATCAGAATTATTACTTAATCTCCTATTTTTTTTAATTATAATCTTTTAATTTTAAACATTAAATTTTGAATTAATTAATAAATTACCAGTAATTATCCCTTAACACAATTTGGTTTAACTCACAAAAACTAGTTTTTTAATTGTCACAACTTTTGCATTAAATTTGATCTCCTATTTAAGGATAAATGAGAGAATATGTTCCATTTAAACATTAAATACACTCTTACAATTAACAACCTTAGCATACTGAATTATAGTACTCACCAGCTTAACAACTTCTAAAATATATAGATATTTCTATATTATCTACATTAATAAATTGATTAGTGCTATTTAGAGTCTTCATCCCATTGAGTGAAAGTTATATAAAAGCGTTTTTAGATGGAACTCCAGTAATTTTAAAATTATTCATAAAACATCCTATTTTTTTGGATGAGTAATAAGCATAATCAACTTTTGTTGCACCTTCTATTTTTACAATTTGATCTTATAAAAATATACTACTTTATTAAATATTTATCCTACAATCATATGAGCTTATTTCTTAGAATAAATCATAACTAATTTAACTAACCAAAGCTATTTGTTAAAAATTGAAATAATTAGAGATTAAAATTTGTAGAAAAAAAAATTCATACTTTGATTTTATGAATCTATCTGTTTTACTTAATTTTTAAATTCATCTAAAAATTAAATAGTCAAGTCAAAGTTACTTTACCCGCTTCTAAAATTGTTAAAGATAATATTTGGGTAATTTTTAATATCCACATCGAAATCTTTGCTTGGTAAAATAGAAGCAAATTAAGGATAACTTGCAATATAATCACCAAAGATAATAGCTTTATTAGATTTGCACTAATTCTGACTAAATGTTTTACAAGAATCTCTATAAGAGTGGTCTCTGTGAATTAAAAACTAAGGCTTTAATTCTAAATATCTTATGACTCCTCCTATTCCAGCTGTATTATTTACGAAGTTTGATTTCGAAATTATAATATCTGAATTATAAAGTAAAATGACTCCTCCACTCCTATTTTCATATTTTTTAATCAAAAATTATAGAAATAAAGTTATTAAAAAAGTTAATCAAAATATTAACCAATTTAAAAACTGTTTTTTTAGAATTTATTTTTTTTAATTGAATATTTAATTCTTTAATTTGTCATAAATCAAAAACCCTTTCTATATTAAATTTTATTATTATTTGTATTAGTTTCAAATTTATTGTATTAATATAGTCATATGATAATTAATTTAAGAAGAATTAATATTTTGAAATTTAAATTTGTTTATTGAAAATAGTAATTTTTTGAGTATTTAAAGTAAATTGAAAAATTATACCCTAATGCTTAGTTACTTTAAAAAATAGAGTCCACAATATAAGAGCTATTTCCATTAGATTGAGTTATATACAGAACTCCTCCATCACTAAAAGCTTTACAATATTATGAACTAAAGCTGGAGATTTATAATTAGGTGGCTTAATTAATATATGCATATCCTCCACTCTGACCAGATTAGCAATTTTGAGCATATATTTTATTTAATATCAAGATTCCATTTTCAAAATAAATACTTCCTCCATTTTTTGATTTAGAATTTAAAAACTAGGAATCATTTATTTTTAAATTAGAATATGTAGAATATATTGATCCTCCATGTTATAAACCTTAATCACTGCCAAAAAAAGACTCTTAAATTTATAGCTCACTTTATGACAAAAATATTGAACCACCTGAATTAGATAAGTTATTTTTAAAAATTGAGTTTTTTATATTAACTAATGATTTTTAGTCAATGTTGATAATTGAATTCAATTGATTTAATCCACCAGATTAATTGTGCTAAAGCTATAAGTTTAAAATTTAGAGGATTGACTAAGTAATCATTAAAGCCTAAGTTGCATAGTTATTTGTTATTTCTGCATTTTGAAGAGTGCCTTAATTTTAATTTTATATAACAGCCAAATTATAAAACCCTTAGTTCATACTAACAACAAATTTATCAAGATTAAAATCACTAATTGTTTTAATAGATACAATAATATTTTGTTTAGTAAAATCACTATTTTAGGTGATATAAAACTCAATTATCTTCAAAGTCTGACTTATAATTTCTAGTGCACAATACTACTTTACGTCATTAAATGTATTATTACTTAAAGTTACATTCTAAACTTAGATATTATCATTATTTATTTACTAAATGATTTCAAAAATATTTTCATCTAAATTTAATATTTTTTTATATTATAGGAACATCAAGTTTATATTATTTGTAAATTGAGTGCTATTAATCTATAGATTTTAAATTAGGTAACTTTTTATTAATGGTAAAGATACACCATTATTAGAGATTAAACTCATATCTGAAAAAGAAACGTTAAAGTAATTAGAAATAAAAATAGGAGCAACATACTAAGAATCTAAAATATAATTAAATTGACATTTTGTTATATTTATCTAATCAAAATCTATTGAAGCTTTTTACACTTTTAAGTCATCTTAAAAATAAAAGAGAGTGGTTTAATTAAAGATTGATTAAAGTACATTTATTTATTAAAGTGTTATTTATTTTACTCCTGAAATTTTAAATAGACTTATTAAATTTGGACTATTTAAAATTAATCCAGATATAGTTAGTTATTAGAAGTAGACATTATTAATAGAGTTTATTTAGAAACTAAATATTTTTTAATTTCCTACTAATTAAACATTAATCATTTGAAATGTTTATATTTCTTGAATTAAAAACTGGATATAATTATTTTAAGAAGTTGCTGGTTATATTTATAAGTTATTTAAAGATACAAGATCATATCCTGAAAATGAAGTAAACAGGTCTTCACTGGCAATTATTTTGTATTGTGTTGTATTATTTTTTGAAATAATGTTCACTTGTGAGTGGTTTGAGAACTAAAAAGGAGGAAAAGGTGGTAAAATTGTTTATCCTTCAATCAATACATCAAAGATAAGTTATTAAATAGGAAAGTAGTTATATATCTATAGATAAATTTTTTGAATAGATTATAATACCTAAGCAAATTAGTCTGAAGTAATCTACTCTTAACAGATTGATTAGCCAAATATAGGGAGTTATATTTAAGCTATCTATATTCCAGAGTATAAAATAAGCTATGCATACACATTTTCTTCTGTGTCAAATATTTCATAATCTGCTACTTTTCCAATTCTCTAGAAATCCTATGTATAAATACCCAACAGCGTTATTGTTTAGTTAAGTCTATTAATTCTATAGGTCTATATTTGAAAAGTGTAAGCATCAAAAAAATAATCTTTATTGATGAAAATTATCTTGTTATCATCTGGGGTAAATTAGGGGTTTACAGGATATTAAAGAAGGGTAGATGTAAATCTTCCATAAGATACTAATTTTAAAGTTGAAAGCTCATTAATTTGATAAATTCCTAGACAACTTTACATAATATAATCAAAATCTAAGCTTATATCAAGTTTATAAGAATATCCAATGCAGGGGCTAGAAACTTAGCCTATTAGAGTCAAGTCATAAGGATTGAATAAATTTAATTAAAAATCCTGTATTCTTTTAATAAATACCTAATATAATACATTTAATTAATTAATTATTAAAATAAATATAAAAAATTTTAAAATTGATTATTTTGATTTTAAATTTTATAAAATTTTAATTTAAATGGTTCAAATTAGATAATAAGTTTACATTCAACTCTCCTAAAATTAATGAAATTATAAAATTAATTTAGTTTAAAAAACGTTGTAGAGAAAAAGTTTTTCTTAACTTTAAATAAAATTAAAAAAGAGGTAAATTTTTACATAACCATTGGTGTATTATAGAATGTGGGCGTGAGAGGTTATTCCAGGTAGCAAAAGTGTTTATTATTTTAAAATAACAAGCTCTTAAGATAATACCATTTAAGCAATTTATCCACTTAAAGTAGAAGCTATTAAAATATAGCTTTTAGATTACTCTATAAACAAGCTATTTACTATCGCTTCACTGAGGAGCTATAAATTAAATATTTAGTTGAATTATAACTATTATGATGAAAGATTAAGAGTGTAACCGATTACCTATCCTTAAGTTGTAGTTACAAAAAAAGTTTTAAGTTGCACAATAGCTTTAAGCTCTATAACAGAAGAGTTATTATCAATCGAAATTTATTAAAATACTATATATTCATTCACATCTAAAATTGTTATATTATTGACATATGAACAGATTAAATATCCTTGTATTTAGGTATGTCTGGAACATTTTTGTTTTTAGACATTAATTATAGATAAAATATTTATATCAAAAAATACTGTTTATTCACGAGTTAGTAAAGCAGCAATTGAAGTTGAACCTACGATGAGAACGAAATCACTATAGAAATCTCTACCTTAATCTGCAACATAAAATCCATATCTTAATTACTTAGACTTATAATCCCAAAGCTAAACAACATTACCTTCTTGATAGAATATAATTCCTTACTATGTTTAAAGAGTTGACATCACACCTATAAATTTTTATAAATATTTTAGTAAAACATCTTAAAAATTATTAATTATCTTCTTTTTAGAATAAAAATTGTATTAATAAATTTTATCTTACCTACATACGAATAAGAGAAAGTCTTAGCAAACGATTATATGAATTAAATAAGATTATAATAACCTATTGTATTAGAAGCTAAACATCCAAATATTAGCATGTTGTGCTTTGAATCAAAATAAAGATTATTTATTTAAGAATTAGTCACTTGCATTTATCTAACAAGAGTTAATTTTGGAAATGTTAATACATAAATAAAACCATTAAAATCTGATACAAAAACATAATTATTATCCTTGTCAAGAAAAGCATCATATAGTGGATTTTAAAGCTATACCTCGTACCTAATAAATTTTATTCAGTTTATTAAAAATTTACAATAGATATTATATTTACATTTTATTTGGATAAGGCAAATTCTTATAATTCCAAGTTCTTACATATCTATCTTTGCTGGTAATTAATTACAAAAAAAAAATAAATTTTTAAATTTAAATATATTTAAAAATGCTTACCTAACAGTGATTAGAATTTAATTTTACTCATCAATCAGACCTTAGTATATCCAATTCTCATGAGCATCTATATAGCCTATATTATCACAGTTATAATTGTAAATTCTAACACTACCATTGTGCTTTAATATTAAAAAAATGTTATATACTCAATAATCCTTTAAGATTACTTACATCCCATACTATTTGTAGTTTGTTAGTGAAGTCAAATTTCGCATTTAATCCTGCAATCGTGCACCTATGAGTTAAGGTATAATAATCTATCGATCTTGACCACCAAACATACTTAATAAATTAATTTTAAATTTAATTATTATATTTAAAAAATATGTTTACATTCTTAATAATTTAAAAAAATTTATGAATTTGAGTAAGTATATAAAATAAAATTAATTTTCTTTATTTTCTGATTTTAAAATGAGTATACATGAATAAATTTTTAATTTTTTAAAATGTATATTTTTAAAGAATCAATTTAAATCATAAATTTTTTACCCCAAGAAACATGATAAGTTTATCTTAAGGATTAAAAATTACTCCTGTAATTCTATAGACAGATTCTATCTGATCAAGAACTTAAATTAATTAAAAGTTTCTGGATAAATCCCAAACAACTATAGTTCCGGGCGTAAAACAACCTACAAAAAGTCTATTTAAATATTCGTCATAGAAAAATTTATATATTGTGACACACTAAGAAACATTATGATTCAACCTACCAATCTGCTTATATGTATCAAGTTCATACACAATCACATAGTTGGAGGTTACGTTTGCAAATCCAACAAATAAGTAATTTTACTATGGTATTGAATATATTATATAAGAATCAGTTAAATCAATGCTAGCTGGCGAGCTTGAAATATATTGCTATATTATTTAATTATACAGCTGTATTTAGCTTGATAGCATTAGAGTTAAACCACTTTTTACATCAATATAAAAGCTATTTAATTAATTAGGGCTAACTATTTAATTAATTAAGCAATTATCTACCAAAGTTCTTGTAAATATCTATATAAAAATTAAAATATTTTTTTTTTATAATCATATATATTCATTATTAGAATTTAAACAAATTGAAAATTTTTTAAATTAAAAATAGTACATCATTTAATTTTACAATTTTTAAAATAAAAATGTTAAATCTTTTTGAAATTAAATTTATTTTTATTTTAATATTGCATTATTGTATGAAAAATCAAATTTAATTATAAAAACTTGTGAAAAAAATACCTAAATCAAGTTTTTAAATAAATGAAAATCTAGATTAATAATTTATTACAAATACATTCGACTATAGGGCAAGGGTATTATATTTTGAGTCTAAATCTTTAGCAGCAGCTGGATAGGCATTATTGAATACATTTTGAATAATATTGTTTATATAGTTATATAAAATGATCTATCCATCATTATATGCAACCATAACTAATTATTTGTCAGTATAAATATCAACTGTTTGTATTTCATTAGAATATATTTATATTTGATAGAGAAAATTTGTAGTACCAATATCTACAACAATAATTTTTGAATTGCTTAATATTGCTATTAGCAAGCCTTAAGGCCCATCAAATGCGAAAAATTGCACTGATTAATCATTTAGATTCAATACTTATTGTTTATAATTCTGATAATTCATAAAACAAAGCTGATTTCCTTTATTTAAAACAAGTGTTTGTTATTCATCAACTAAATATATTATTTAAGGTTATCCTACATCGTAGTTTAGGTTGTTGATTAAATTAAAGGTATTGCTATCATATTGATATATCTTTTTAAAATAAATATAATATCTTATTTTTCAAGTAATATACACATTAATATTAAAGATATCAATATTATTGAAATTAAAAAATAATATTTACCTAAATATTCTATTACTTGACTGAAATTAGAGTTAAAGCATAGCTAAGATAAAAATATGATATAACCTAATCAGTATTATTTTGTAAATTTATTTATTAATTACTATCTCCACTTGAATAATAGTAATTGAATAAACATAGATATCCATTAATTCCTATTAAGATTTGTTATTTTTATTCTAACAAAATGATTTCACCATCGATTACACCATTTTGTAGAAGTACTCCGCTAAATATTAGTGAGTGATCTAAACTGCTATCAAGCTTGTATATTACATATTATGTTGTTTGCATTACAAATCCTATGATAAGCTTATTTTGCTTATCTTAAATAAGTATAAAATCTTAAAGATTGCTCTATCCAAAAGGACTTATTATATTATCAATTAATACTCCGAGTAAATAATCATAGATTACTATCAATGTTTAGCCAGTAGCTGTATAAGTTTAGTATTGTATGAGCTTTACATTTAAATTAGTTTTTTTTAATTTTTTATTTATTTTTACACTTCAGCAATTAAATTTTTGTGAATGCAGAGAAGAAGAATTTAATTCATAAATATTTTATAAATTAGATTAATAAAAATAAATTATAATTTTAAAACGTATATTTAAGGTCTTGTTTTCTTACTTTTAAATTTAATATTTTTTCTGTAAATAATTAGAAATAAGGAATAAATATTTAATTTATATTAATTTTTCAAAATAATTTATAATTTGTTTAAAAAATTTGGAAATTATTTGTTTTTTAAATTATTAATTAATATTTCCTTTTAAAATGATTAATTATATTATTTTATAAGTAAAAATTTATTATAAATATATAATTGGAAATTATATATTATTTACTATGTGTAAAATTGGTTTATAGTATATGTCAATTTTTTGAATTTCAATGCGCATATAGTAATATGCTTAAATAGTTGGAATAAAATTTTTGATTGATTATAAAAGTTTATACATTTATTTATATTTTTTTTACAATTTATTTTAATTTTAAATAAAATAATATATATATTTTGGTCAGCTGTTAGCTGGTTACTAGATTACTAATTTAACAGTTAAAGCTAAATTTTAATTTTAATTTTTAGACTAACTTAATATTTTTTAAAAAAATTTATTTTCAATTTTTTATTCCAAATGGTTAACCAACATCTCTGATTATGACAAAATTAAATTAAAATTATTTATTGAATTAATCTAACCTATAGCAAATTTAGAAATTAAATTAATTCTTTGCTTCCGCAAAAACAAAAATGTAAACACTGGAAATATGATGTTGTTAATTGAAAATGCATACTTATAAATTTTAAACAAAATTTCTAAAAAAAAAAAAACTTACTTTATTGATTGACTTATCTATAAAAAAGATAGACTCATGGTTAATATAGCTTATTTATTTTTCTAGTTAGTTGTCAAACAATGACCAATACTATATAGTTCCTGCTTAATCAGATTTAATTATTCTAATATATTTTATCAAAAATTAAACTTTTTTATAAACTGAAAAAATTTACCTATTAAAATCAGAGTCAATTTAAAGTTATTTAACTATATCATAAGATGATTAAGCCGATTGAAAGGAGTCCATGAAATAAATAAATTTAGATGTCTTGAGATCTAAAGTAGAAACAGAAGATTAGAAACATGTCACTACTTAATTCTCAACTACAAAAGCTTAGGTCCATTTAAGTGTTGTCTCATAAGCTTAATTTTTAAAAAAAAGAGGACTTTTCTCATCTAATGAGTATACAAATATGTATTTATCAGAAACAACTGATATTTGATTTTTTTGATTGATAGATCCAAAAGTAAAATTAATTGTAGAATCTACTGAAGTTTAGTTTGCATCTCTTTGATCGCAATAAATTTTTTAGAAATCTGCTTGATATACTAAGATATTTTATTCAATTGACCATACCTAAAATAAATTTGACTCTCCTATTACTATGATAAAGTCTTCTTCTTAGCTAACCAATACCTATGTTGAAGCCGAAGGAAAATTATTCTAAAACTGTAGAACTGAGTTTTTATATGAAGAAACATAGAAAGACCCATTTTATGAAGCATATGTTATAGAAATCTAATTTTTCGTAGTGTAAATTGACTAAAAATTAACAAATTTTTCTATTTAAAACAGCTTTTAAAAAAATTAGCTGGTAATATCAAATGAATATAGACCTCCTTAAGAATCAACAAGCAAAAATCTTCTGTTTGCCTTATCGCTCACACACTGAATTATCTAAGCTTATTTCAGCCAAATTGTAGTTATTTTTGAATCAGAAATTGTTGAAGAGGAATAATCGATGACAAAGAGCTATTTATAATAGTAAAGAAAGAATAATTAAAATAGTTAAAAAAAAATACATTTGATGTGTCCCAGGTTATAACTATTAATTCTTCAGAATTCAAACATGATTTAGGATTGATTTAAATTTAGGAAGGAATTTAAAGAGTACTTTGCTTTGATCCATTTCCTGAGTTCCATCCAATAATTCTTCCTTTAGCATCTAAGGTATGAATAACAGTTACTTATAAGTTTTATCTATCATCTTTATCAATTTGGTAGAATTAAACATCTTCAGATTATTCAATAGTTGTGTACTTAACATTTTTAACGAAATTAAAAATTCCAACAGTGAAAGGGTAGTAGACAACCGCAACGATATCTTGAAAATCTTGCTGAGGATATGATTTCAAAAGTATCATAGTTTATATTTATGCCATATAGGATGAGGATCCTACTATCTAAAAAGGACATCCTATTGCCTTAACTAAAGTTAATTAAGAGAAAAGAAGACAAAACTTTAATCTTATTAAGAATTTAATATTAACCAAAATCATTGTTTTTCAATTTTTTTTTTTTTGTTATTTATAATAAATTTAAATGGAAGAGAGTTAATTTAAATAACAGTTATCAGAGAAATATAATATGCAACATTTAAAATAAGTAAATTAAGAGTCAAAAGGTAAATTAAGTAAAAAAATAAATATAAATTAAAAATAGATATTTATTTTTTGATTATGTAATATAAATGTGATATTGATTAACAATAAAAACTAATAAAAAATTAGTATTAATTCAGCAAAATTAAAGATCAACAAAATATAAATTATCATCAAAACCATATTGCTAAATTTTGTTTATCAGATAACCAAAGTAAAATGCACATGCTAAAATCTTTTAAAAATTTTTAATTTCTAAAAATTATTCTTATGAAATGTCAAAGGTTAACAAAATTGGATGCTAATAATTATATGTAATATAAGTGTAATAAAAAATTTTCTTATTATATTTATTTGATATGTAAAAAGGATATAAACCAAATAATTATGCCATTTTAATATAAAAATTTTTATCCATCCTGAAATGCATATACAAAACTGAAAAAAATTAAAATATGTAATTAGCTTGAATATCTTGCTCTTAACTTTTGAAATTTGATGGATCTTATCGTTTAAATCGATTTTTAAAAAATATATTATAATTAAATTTTTAATTTGTATCATTTTTCAGTATTACAAGCTAATTAAAAATGCATCAAACTACAAAAAAAATAATACTTAGAAATATTCACAATTAATTATAATAGCTTTACCTTCTAATATGTTTAACTAAATCTAAAATTATTTTATAAGATATCTCATTAAAATAAGAATAATTTTAAATATAATTAAAATGTATCAATATTGAATGGAAATCAGTTTAAATTGATAAATAGTTAAATTTGGTGCGTAATAGTTTATTTATTATTAATAATTGCATATGTTCAAACAGCTAATATTTCAAAGCAAATATTAATTCAAAAATAAATTAAAATTTTCTTTCTATTTGCTTTTTTCGACTAAAAATTTAAAAATTAAGAAAGTGAAGAAAATTTAAATTTTATTGCAATAAATAAAAGTATTAAAAACAATTTAAAATATTTTACTTTAAAAAAAAAGATATCTATAAAAATTATTATTTTTACGACTAAAATCAGTAAGAAAAAAATTACTTAGGAGTAAAATTTTAATTTATTAAGCCATATTAATATTTTAAATAAGAAATCTTAAAAGTTAAATTAAGGTATTTGAGCTCATTAAATTTTAATAAAAAAAATTGAATAAAGGATTTATAAAAATAAAAAAATTTCAAAGAATTTTAAATATTGTGTATAGATTAACAAGAGTATATTCAATCTTATTTAAAAAAACTACTCAAAAACATAAAAACATATAAAACACTAAACAAACATATAGTTTTAAAATTTCGTAGTAAAAAATTAATTTTAATCAATTTTATGTTTCTTCATCAATATTGTCAAATTATTTTCTATTGATACCTTATTTATTCATACTAAATTTTTATCTTGTATGTTTTTTAAATAGAGATGCTGTTGGACTATTTAAAGAAGCTGAAGAATTATTAAATTAAATTGAGAATAGCTACTTTGGAGATTTTGGAAAATCTTTTTTTGAATCTAATTCTTTGTTTACACTTTAATCGATAAGTTTCTAAAAATTTTCAATTTAGATTTTTGCTAAATTTCCTTTGTAAATAGATCTTCTTAACTTTGACCAACTATAATTATTGTAAATATTTCTTAATTTAATTAAAGTTGCTTAATGATTAAATAAATTTACTTATTAAACACTTTGAAAGGATCATATTCTTAATTAAAAAGCAAATTGTATAGTAAATAATTATTTTCAAACAAGTACTTTTGGGCCCATGCTTATTTATTTACTAACCTTCTTGATATAAATTTAAATATCGAAAGTAAGCACTTACTTTTTAAAAAGAAATATTAATTTCTTTTAAAAATTACTCCAAGAAAACTCATTGCTAATTATCCTTTTTAATTTTAATGATTAATGTTTAAATATTAAAGATAAAAGGAAAGTTAAATTACCAAACATCATTATTAATAATACAACTAAAGTAATTGAAAAAATAAAATTAAGATAAAGTATATCATCATTCAACTACTCAAACAAAGCAACCCAAAAAATTAAGAGAACATAAGTGGCTGATTTAGACTCTAATATGTTTATTTTACGATCTTAATATGGCTTAAAGAGTATTATAGAAGCACAGTAAACTGACTAAATAAATATTATTGAAATCAATTAAATTTGAGGTTTACTATTGTAGTAGGTTGACAAAAATAGAATTATTATCTTATACCAAGTTTTGATAAACTCCCACCACCATCTATTTTTCTTATAGCCTTGAAAGAAATAACCATATCTTCTTATAACATTTGTTGATATATTGTCGAACATTTTAGAATGGTTTCTACATAATACATATAACATAATTATAGGATAGATAATTATGACTGCTATTAAAACAGGAAGTATTAAAAATACTATGTAGAATTTATGCTCATCATTATAGCATTCTTAATCCATTTAACTTTTCATGTAGTAAGTATCTCCAAACTTTTCACAAATAATAATTTCTAATGCAGCCTGGTAAATATTCTATGTAGCAAGATAACTGAATACAATTATAGTACTAATTGCCATGTTAGAATTATTATATTTAATTTAAGTATAATAGTATTGATTTGGCATAAAATATTATACTCCAATAAAAATCATGTTAATAGAAATATAAATTAGTATCAAAAAGACACATGGAAGAACGATTGAGATGTAAATAAATCTCAAGTATTGGATTGGTATGTCGGAATTTAATTAACTCAAGCTGCAATCTATTGAATATAAAAATACCAATATTGGTTATGAAGTCGTTTGAGGAAAGGTAAATAAGCTCTAGAATAATCCAGGGAATGTAAAACCAATACTAGATTTCAAAGCCGAAATTACATAAAATTAATTTATAAAGATCTTGGATATTACTGTGGATTAAAGTATAAACTATGATACTCCCATTTAGAGAATTTTAAGTGAGGATATAATACGAATTTGACACATTTTACAATTACTGTTTTAGGATTCTAAAATTAAAAAAACCAGATAGAGTACTATTCCTAAGAGTAATAATATTTATTTAAAGGAATTATTTTAAATAGAAGAGCATAAAGAGCATTAAATGCTTTTCTTACCTAATTCACTTACTTTTCCATATTTATCTCCCCATACATACCCATAATCATCACAAGATGAGCATAAAGCCCCTGTGTATCCCTCTTAACAGTACCCTTTTGATGAGTCTCCATTACAAGGGTTAGAAAGCTGATCACATTAGTATATATCATCAGAATTGTTACTTTATCTCCTATATTTTTAAATTATAATCTTTAAATTAAAAATTAAATTTTGAATTAATTAATTACCAGTAATTCTCCCTTAGCACAATTCGGTTTAGCTCACAAAAACTAGCTTTTTAATTGTCACAATTTTTGCATTAAATTTAATCTCCTATTTACGGATAATTGAGGGAATATGTTCCATTTAAGCATTAAATGCACTCTTACAGTTAACAGCCTTAGCATACTGAATTATAGTACTCACCAGCTTCGCAGCTTCTAAAATATATAGATATTTCTATATTATCTGCATTAATAAATTGATTAGTGCTATTTAGAGTCTTCATCCCATTGAGTGAAAGCTATATAGAAGCATTTTTAGATGGAACTCCTGTAATTTTAAAATTATTCATAAAGCATCCTATTTTTTTGGATGAGTAATAAGTATATTCAACTAATGTTGCACCTTCTATTTTTACAATTTGATCTTATAAAAATGTACTACTTTGTTAAATATTTATCCTACAATTATATGAGCTTATTTCTTAGAATAAATCTTAACTTATTTAACTGACCAAAGCTATTTGTAAAAAATTGAAATAATTATAGATTTAAATTTGTACAAAAAAAATTTTATTACTTTGATTTTATAAATCTATCTGTTTTACTTAATTTTTAAATTCATCTAAAAATTAAATAGTCAAGTCAAAGTTACTTTATCCGCTTCTAAAATTGTTAAAGGTAATAAATGGGTAATTTCTTATATCCACATCGAAATCTTTGCTTGGTAAAATAGAAGCAAATTAAGGATAGCTTGCAATTTAATCACCAAAGATAATAGCTTTATTAGATTTGCACTAGTTCTAACTAAATGTTTTACAAGAATCTCTTTATGTGTTGCCTCTGTCAATTAAAAATTAAGGCTTTAAATCAAAATATCTTATGACTCCTCCTATTCCAGCTTTGTTATTTGCGAAGTTTGATTTAGAAATTATTATTTCTGAACCATGAATTAAAATAACTCCTCCGCTCCTATTTTCATATTTTTATTTAAAATTATTAAAAAATATAATCAAGTAATTAACGAATTTAAAAACTATTTTTTAGAATTTATTCTTTATATGAAAAAAAATACTTAATCAACAACTCTTTTTATATTAAATTTTATTATTTACTGTAATGGTTTCAAATTTATTTTATTAGTACTGCCATATAATAGTTATGTTTAAAATTTATAATGGAAGAAGAATTAGTATTTTGAAATTTTAATTTGTTTATTGAAAATAGTAATTTTTTTATTAATCAAAGTAAAATGAAAAATAAATACCCTAATGCTTAGTTATTTTAAAAAATAGAGTCCACAATATAAGAACTATTTCCGTTAGTTTGAGCTATATACAGAACTCCTCCATCACTAAAAGCTTTACAATATTATGAACTGAAGTTGGAGATTTAAAATTAGGTAGCTTAATTAATATATGCATATCCTCCACTCCCACCAGATTAGCAGTTTTGAGCATATATTTTATTTAATATCAAGATTCCATTTTCAAAATAAATACTTCCCCCATTTGTTGATTTTGAATTTAAAAACTAAGAATCATTTATTTTTAAATTAGAATATGCAGAATATATTGATCCTCC